ATTATGCTGCTGTGTACTTTGTTTATTGTACCAATAATCTTAATAAGTAATTCGTATATTCTTGTATGCTAATCCCTTTCCGTGACGTTTTTCGTATATCGTGTGAGATAAAGCATACTCTGTTTATTATAAGTTACAAATACTATGAGCAAATTCATCAACAAATATAAGAGAAACTACTTTGACTTCGTTAGGTGATACTGTTTTTAGTTTTCCAATGGCTTTCCATACATGACAGTGGTTTCCGAAGTATATCCATCGTGGGGCGACCCACTTCAACAATCATATCACCGCATAGCTCATCGTACTTTTAATGAGTAATTGATTTGAAATGCTGCATTTTTATCATCCATTTTGTTTGCTTTGGCCAATATAATCGACTTGTTCTTGGATTATCAAATGCCCCAGGATTCATAATTGGAATATTAAAAAATGAAAATGTAAAAAAAACGTCAAATGACCTGAAAAAGAGGTTATTGTGTTTATGATACCAAATGCTCTTTATATAAATATCGATACATTCTATTAGTAAAACAATAACGTGGTATCACTTTATATCACTTTTGTAGACCAATTACAGGAGATGAGTAATATCTGTATATTTAACCTTATATTTTCAATGTAATATAAATAAATGTTACTAATTGAGTAACATCTATTATTATCTCACATTGGTACAGTTCTTTATATTTCCTGCTCTTTTCAACCGTGTTAATGTCATTATCAATAATGCATTTGATTATTGCATTTCCTTATTATCATTCTCATTTCGATGCAAAAGATTGCTGATTTTGTCAATTCTGCTATTAGTAACTATCATATTGATAGTTCTATGATTCAATATGTGCAGGGATGCTTGGGTAAAGAAATGAAACCAAATGGCTGGATTTCATTCATTTTGTGTAATAGAGAATGTGTAGTATTGCAATTCAATAATGGAGTATTTATGAATCAAGGATTTGTGGTCAATGAGCAGAGAGTGTTGAAAGTGTTTGGAAATCATCAAATTGGTGCTATTTCATATAATGAAGAACAATCTAATGTGGAAAAAGGAATCGTGGACTTGGATCATGGAAGTCGATTTGAAGGATTGATATTGACAGAAAACAAGTTTGGAATTCCATTTGGATATGGTGAAATGTATGATGATGATGGAATATTGGTGTATAAGGGCATAATGATCAATTGGAAACGATTTGGCTATGGAACGAGTTATCATAATAATGGATGTATTGAATATGAAGGATATTGGTGTGATGATAAGCGATTTGGAATTGGAAAAGTCTATGATCGATATGGTATATTAGTGAAAGAATGTGAATGGTATAATGGGACTGAAAATAATACTGAGTATGAAGGAGATGGAAGCAAACCAATGAATATGGGAATGAAACATTTGAAACTGATTGACAATTGTGTATTGGTTGATTGGGATGTTTCATTGTTGTATAATTTGGAATTAATCGAAATCGGGAATGAATGTTTTGAATCAGTGCAAACATTCCAAATCGATGGATTGAATCGATTGAAAACTATCAAAATCGGAAGCAATTCATTTACTAAGAAAAAGGATGATGAAGGAAATGATGAATCAAAATCATTCCACATATTGAATTGCGGATCATTGGAATCGATAGAAATTGGTGAATATAGTTTCAGTGATTATGGAGGCGACTTTGAATTGAAGAATCTACCACAATTACAATCCATTCAGATTGGTGTAATTGATAGTCATTCAAGCAATTTTCATTGCAGTTCATTTGTAATTCGAGGTATTGATATGATATTGAATATTTGAATGATGCATAGATCTTCCAAATCTACAATCCATTACATTAGGCGACGATGCATTCGAATATTCCTCTCTGACAATAATCGAAAGTACTGAATGAATTCGAATGAAATGATTGATGTAGATCTTCCATCATTACAATCCATTCAACTCGGAAGAGAAGCAGTTTGTGGAAGAGATATAGATGAATCATGCTCCTTGATAATGCGAAGTATGAATGAAACAATTCGTACTGATTGAATGTAGATCTTCCAAATCTAACATCGATTACTAATCACATTGGATGGGGTTTCTATTATCCTCGTTCAGTCACATTGGAAAGTAATTATCATTACAGAATGTTGATTGCATTTAGATATTCCAAATCTTCAAAATGTTGATCTACCTGATGCATTTGAGCATGTTGCATATCCAAACGTAAATGGTAAGTCACATTTTCTACTTTTTATAGTGTAGATGTTTCTGAATTACTATTTCCAAAAGTGTACAATTTTGACTATATTCAATCTTTCCAGTCTTCTGTTGTTTTCATTGTTATTCCCCCTTGGACTTGTAATGACACTGATTATACACTATTTGATTTCTCTCGATTCACTGCAGTTGAATCAATCAAAATTGGCCATCATTGTTTTAGATCCGTACAAACTTTCAAAATCGATGGATTGAATCGGTTAAAAAGCTTGATAATTGAGAATGATTCCTTTTTCCAACTCGATAAATTCTATTGGAGAGAGATTTTACAGAATGATGCGACAGAAACAAACTACCAATTGAAATCATTCCATATTTTGAATTGTGAATCATTGGAATCCATTCAAATTGGTGAATACAGTTTTTGTGATTTTGGAGGAGACTTTGAATTGAAGAATCTACCACAATTACAATCCATTCAAATTGGGACAATTGGAAGTGATTCATACAATTTCTATAATAGTTCATTTGTGATTCGAGGTATTGATGTGATATTGAGTAATGAATATGCAATAGATCTTCCAAATCTACAATCCATTACATTAGGTGATACTGCGTTCAATGCATCATTGCATACAGTTATTGAAAGTATAAATTGAATTCGAACGAAATGATTGATAGATCTCCCATCATTACAATCCATTACACTCGGTTATGAGGCAGTCGAGGGAGATTATAGTGATTCCTGTTCGTTGATAATGCGAGGTAAGAATGTATTGAATGGAATGATCAAACGTAGATCTTCCAAATTTAACATCCATTCAAAATCCTAATTACTGGGGAAGTAGCTTCTTTCGACCGTGTTCAGTCATTCTTCAGAGTATGCTAATGTGGTACTGAGCATAAGTTTAGATATTCCAAATGTTCAGGAAGTCAGACTTAGTTTTTCTTTCCAGTTAGTACGATCAAAAACAATCACTAGTTTCTATTTTCTTTCATTTTTCACCTTCAGATGTTTCCTCTGTTTTCGCTGATATTGTGAAAATTACTGAACTAGCAGAAGAAGAAGAAGAAGAAGATTGATAGAAGTGATAGGTATGTCAACTAGAATGATTGTATTACTGCCATACTCTTTTGCTATTATGCACTTTGTAATTTTAATGACTGTCTTTGAGGTTATTCTGTTTGTTTGTATCAATTGGCTCTTTCCACTCTCCTTTATTGTTCTCCTTTCTTTTCTATTCTATTATTCTTCATTTTGTGATATTGTCTACCATTGCATTGAAGCTCGTTTTAGGTAAACTGATCACAATCCATTCTATATTTTATGATCTGGATTGACTCCTTAAACAGTTTTCATTATTTATGCGAGTATATTTCTATATACTCCAAACAATCTGATATTCATACCGTGTGAGTGTTATCTTTATTTGGTTAGTTTGTCATACGATGAACATACGAGGATCGATTCACTTCCATTGCTTACTTCAAACCCAAATAACTCACACGTCATATTCACATCTCCCCACCTCCTCACTCATATCTCTTCTCCCCACCATTTCTCCTCATCTCCCTTCCATTCTCCCCTTCATCCCCCTTCCACACTCCCTCTATCCCTTTCTTTTCCCATTTCTTCCCTCCCCCTTGACTATCATGAACCACTGTACAAACACTTTACCACTCATTTCACTCACATTAATTCAATTCTCTACAAGAATGGTTTGAATCGATCTCCCCTTACTCACCCCTAGCCTTTCGTGAAAGTTCTGAAGAACAAAGCCTACTTCAAGCGTTTCCAGACCAAGATGCGTCGTCGTCGTGGTAGGAGGCGTTCTGTTTGTCTGCTGATGCCTAGAGGGTAAGACCGACTACTACGCTCGTAAGCGACTGATCATCCAGGCCAAGAACAAGTACAACACCCCCAAGTACCGCCTGGTGGTGCGCATCACCAACCACAAGGTGATTGCTCAGATCGTGTCTGCTGAGATCATTGGTGACCGCGTTCTGTGCGCTGCTACCTCTGCCGAGCTTCCCCGCTACGGAGTGAAGCTGGGTCTGACGAACTACGCTGCTGCTTACTGCACGGGTCTGCTGGTGGCTCGCCGTCTGCTGACGAAGCTGGGCATGGCCGAGATGTACAAGGGCAACGAGAAGGTGGACGGTGAGGTGAAGACCTGCGAGGGCGAGAAGAAGACGCACTTCGTCGCGGAGCTGGGCGAGAAGCGTCCTTTCCGCTGCTACCTGGATGTGGGTCTGCGCCGCACGACGACGGGAGCCCGCGTGTTCGCTGTGCTGAAGGGCGCGAACGACGGTGGTCTGGACATCCCGCACAAGAACACTCGCTTCTATGGCTACAGCCGCGAGGACAAGGAGTACAACGCGGAGGAGCACCGCGACAAGATCTTCGGCGCCCCCATCGCGGAGTACATGAACCAGCTGAAGGAGGAGAACGCGGAGCTCTACGAGAAGCAGTTCTCGCGCTACATCAAGAACGGAATCGAGGGAGACATGCTGGAGGAGATCTACGCGAACGCGCACAAGGCGATCCGCGCGGATCCGACCCCCGCCAAGAAGAGCGACTTCGACTATGCTGCCGCCTTCAAGCAGTTCGCTCATCCCAAGAAGCTCACCTACGAGCAGAGAAAGCAGCGCGTGGCGGAGAAGAAGGCTGCCATGGCTCAGGAATAAGCGGGAAAGGAGCATGTGTGGAGATTGAGAGGCGTGTTTGTTGAAAACCAATGTTCAGTGATTCTTTGGAGATTGTGTGTCTGGTATGGAGGCCATCAAGAGAGCTCTAGGACTTGTGAAAACGCCCACCCAGCTTGTAGATCGTATGCACTTTGAGTTTCGCGTGATGGATGGGGAAGAAACGACAGATAAACAGAGGAAGGTGGTTCACTTGGTGCTGGTGCTAATCGTATAGATTTTGAGACGTTTTACCCAAATGAAAGACTACTTGCTTGGAACGGTTTGAATCATGGTTCTATTGTCATAGTCTAGCACTCGAAGACACCGAACATCGCAAAATGCGAAGAGCTTGCAAGCGAAACCATCAGAACGAGTTTAACTTTGAAGGTGCTTCAACACTTCGATAAACTTGATCTTGAGGTTTCCATCCCAAAGCCTGGCTTATTTTTTAGGAACGCAAGATGTACGTGACGGTGTTTGACATTTTGGTAGCGAAGGACTATTGCCAGTTTTCGACCGAGTATTTACTCACTGAGGAGGGGAGGAAGATAATCCAACTCTTAGTGGATGGATATAAGGACACAGCGATAGCCCTTAATTGCGGCATCATGCTTCGCGAGTGCATCAAAGTTCGCTGCATCCACGAATATCTCTTGGATCACAGCGAGATCATCGAGCCAATCTTCACGAACTACTCGCATTCACCCACTTTTGAGATTGCCTCCGATGCGTTCAACACGATCCAGAGTTTGCTCCGAAACAACAAGCAATTGGTCAGCAAAAAGATGAACGCGCAAGGAGAGTTGTATTCAAAGGTGTTCGGGTGGTACGCTGCATTAATCAACCACGAGGAATACGTGACTCGCCGCATGTCGCTGCAGCTGCTAAACGAATTTTTACTCGATAAAGTCAATTTCGATATCATGATCGCCTACATCGGCGATGTCCAAAATCTAATGAATATCATGAATGTGCTCCGGAAACCGGAGCCGCTCGTTCAATATGAAGCCTTCCATGTTTTTAAAGTGTTCGTTGCCAATCCAGAGAAGACGCCCGAGGTGAAGGCGGTGTTGAAGCAGAACTCGGAGAAATTGATCGCTTTCTTGCTGGACTTCCTTCCTGGAAAGGGTAGGCGATGGAGAGAGGACTGAGGGGTAGATAATGAACATCAGTTTGTCGATGAGAAGAAACTTCTGATTAAGATGCTGAAAGAACTGTGATCTCGATATAATTGGAACTGTGTAGTTATGTTGTATAATCCTTGCGATTTCTGTTTGTTTGCACAATTGGGACAGGGCGGCATCGATATGCCCATAAAAGCTGGAAGGAAGACCGAAATTGGGTCCCTTATGATTTTATGGTCGCTATTTCTTATCTATTTGGTCCTGACCCTTCAATTTCTTTTCTAAGTCGAAATGCTGGTAGGATGGCGCCTTGCTGCGATGAGTTGACTAGACCATTTACTCTTACGACGCTAACGACCGTGTCGCTATGGCACTTATTGCTGCCCAGTACAACGACGTTCATATTCATACCCCGGAGTTCAACTTTGGTGTGGAAAACAAGACGGAGGAGTTCCTCAAGTTGAACCCCATGGGAAAGGTTCCTGTGTTGGTGACTCCTGAGGGTGCCATCTCCGAGTCCACGGCCATCGCTCGTTATATTGCCCGCATGCGCAAGGACACTGGCCTCATGGGAGCGACTTTCTATGAGCAGGGTCAGGTTGACCAGTGGATCGACTGGTGCAACGCGGAGCTTCTCCCCGCCGTCATGCCCTGGTACTACACCGTGATGGGATGGATGCCCGTGAACATGAAGAACGTGGAGACTTCCAAGACCAACACCGCTCAGAAGCTCGCGATTCTGAACGGATGGCTCGAGAAGCACACCTTCCTGGTTGGCGAGCGCATCACCATTGCCGATATCATCGCCGTGTGCATGCTGCTGAGCCCCATGAAGTTCCTGATGGACGCCAAGTTCCGTGCTCCCTATCCTTCTCTGGTGCGCTGGTTCGAGACCTGCGTGCATCAGGTAGCTCTCTCTCTGTTTGTTTGACTCCCAGCCCCAGTTCGCCGCCGTGATCGGCGCCGTGGACCTCTGCGAGGAGGCTCTGACCGTCGTGCTGCGTAGTGGAGCGGAAGCGTGGTAACGTCTAGCGAAGAAGGAGAAGGCGAAGAAGGAGGAGAAGCCTAAGAAGGAGGAGAAGGCGAAGAAGGAAGAGAAGCCCAAGGAGGAGAAGCCGGCTGCGAGCCAGCCGAAGGCGAAGAACCCGCTGGAGCTTCTGCCGCCGTCGCCGTTCGACCTGGACAACTGGAAGCGCATCTACTCGAACACGCACAGCGACTTCTACTCGGTGATGGACAAGTTCTGGCCGATGTACGATCAGGAGGGCTGGTCGTGCTGGATCTGCGACTACATGTACAACGAGGAGAACACGCGTGGATTCATGACCGCCAACCTGGTCTCCGGATTCATCCAGCGCTCCGACTCCCTCCGGAAGTACGCGTTCGGCAACATGAACATCCTGAAGGACGCCAACGAGCCCTTCTATCGCGTGATGGGAGGCTGGCTGATCCGCGGAACCGCCATCCAGCCCATGCTGGACGAGAACCCCGATGCCGCCTACTACAACTGGAGAAAGGTCGATGTCACCAACGAGGACGATAAGAAGCTCCTGGCCGACCTCTGGTGCGCGTCGGAGACCATTCAGGGAAAGGAGATCAACTCGAACGAGGTCTTCAAGTAAGTCAGGCAGCAAGCAGGCAGGCACGGAATGGACACTTTTTGGTTGGGTTTGTTTGTTGGAAGACAGAAATGGGGTGATGAGGGTGGGAGATGAATGATGGGGTTGGTTTCGATCGATGTGACGAGTGATTGTGAATTAATAATAATAATAATATAATAATAATCAAAGAAGAGAGCAGGATGTTGCTATTCAATTCCTGAACTCTTTTCTGTTTGAAAACCTGCAAAAAAGACATTTCATTATTATTACTCTCCTTGTTGTTTGTTCGTTAGCAATGGATTATTGTATTCTACTTACATCCAACCTTGATTCGCGCTATCTAAATAATGTGAATATGCTCAAGGTAAACTGCATGGATAGACCGTTATGCGATGTAGACATATTTTGAAAACCGAGGGATTCCCTATGATGAAATCGATGGCGCTGAATCGAAAAATCGAAAACTGAGAGATATCCTGATGAAAGTGGCAGGTATTCCAAATCTTTCCAGTTTCCAATCCCTAGTTGACAATGGAGGCAAAGCTGAATACCCTTCCCTGTTTATTATGCGCAGTAACCGAAACATCCAGTTCGTTGGCAATTGGCACCGGATCCAGATGATTTTAGACAATGATTGCATATCCCCCGAGGATCTAAAGAAGATGCCCGAGGTCTACACATTCGGCCGCTATTTCCGAGATATTCTGTAACATTTTGCCTCTTCTTTGTTCAACAAACACGAAACAACTCGATCGGATACAACTCCTGATTCGCGCCTGATGGTAGTTCCGTAATTGTCGCATACCGCGTATGCGTGCTCTTGTGTCTCTGCAATTCGCTCTGCGACACAAACGTTTTCCCGCATCCCTCCACATCACATTTGTACGGCCTTTGCCCCTGGTGCATGCGCTTTATATGCATTTGGAGGTCGTTGTTCCGCACGAACTGCCGATTGCAGCCCTCGACCGTGCACACGAACTTCTTCTCATTCTTGTGATGTCCGCGAATGTGCATCTGCAGCCCGCTGTATGTGTTGTACTTCTTCCCGCAATCCGGCTGGTCGCAAACAAACGCCTAGAACTCACGCGCAGAGAGATCGACGACATCGGGGCTGCGCGTGTGGATCCATTCATGCTGCTTTAAATGCTGCAAGTCGTAGAAGGATTTGCCGCAGTTTGGGTATTTGCAAACGAAGGTCTTTCGGCGCGTTGTATCATGAATGTGCATGTGTGTGTTTAAATTGCTTTTCCACGCGAATTCTCTGTTCCTCACTCTCGACTCACCGATTTTACTTTTTGCAGCCATCGAACGGGCACTGGTACGGTTTTTTCGACTTTCTAAAAAATCAGCCCGATTTCTGGAATTCCACGGTTCCGAAGACTCGGCTTCCAGCACAGGCAGCGCGTTCTGCATCTGCTGCTGCTCGTTAATAATCTGCAGATCACGTGGAAAACCCAATCGCACGGTCTGTCCGGATGTCATCAAAATCTTCATGGTTTGGTTGAGCAGATCGACGGTATCCTTCGCGTTCTTCCCGTTGGCCTCGAATAAAATCTGCGCGATCTACAAAACACGCATTTCCCATGCATACCCGAATGGCGTTTCTCTCCTGAAAAGCCTGCTGCAGCATGTGCGAACTCTTGTAATTCGTGACTCCCGACAGCGATCCGGACTGATTCAGGCTGTTCTCGATCTCCTTGCGGATCTTGTTCAGCGTCTGCACCTCGCGTTTGTAGCGTCCGCGATCGCGTTCCGCCTGCGTTTGAATGCTCTGCAGCGTCTACCTCGTCGATGTACGGCTGCTTCTGCTCGGGAGTCATCAGCTTCCACTGATCGGCGATCACGCGGAAGATCTCGCATTGCTTGGTCTGCTCGCCGAGCTGCTCGCGAACCTTCTTAAAACTACGAGGAATGGAGGAGCGATGGAATGAGGTACACAGAGCGGCTGTAGCAGGAATAAGCGCTCATGGTGCGCTTGGGCCGCTTGAGGCGAAGACGCGACTCCGTATCGTGGGGATGGTACGCTATGAGGAATCGAAAAGGAAAGGAAGGGAAACTGGAGAGATCGGAAGATTGCAGATCCACTTGGGAGCTCTGCGCGAAGAGATCCATGTTGGTGCCCATGTCGTTCTATGTCGAAGTTGTGGCTGGAATGTACGATTCCGACCATTGAAATGTCGCTCTGCTGGTTTACCATCGAGTCTGGCTAGGAATGACCGACCATTGTGAATCGAACAGGGACGAATGCGATCGATTGCATTCCGGGATTCATCATATCTTCCGTGTTCATCCCGTGCGGGATCTGGACTTCCGAATACCCTGGAACCGAAAGATTCATGGGACGATTTGGAATTGTTACCAACTGACTGGCAGGGATACCTAAAGTGCTATTTATCGGAATCTGCATTGATTGGGACACTTCACATTAAAAAAACACAAAGTTGCGATTTACCAGGAAAGATTCCCATTTCGTCCTGTATTGCACCTAAAAATATAGTTAGCACACTGCGTAGCCCACATCCCCAACCACATGCCTACGATTCGATGCGTTTGAATTAATCACAGTGTTTCCGATAATACCGGGTTGCTGTGAAGTCAGCGAGTTCATTCTTTTAACAATGTAACAAGATTGCCCTTTTCCCACAATTCCCGCGATTATCAAACAAACAATTCAAATCAACTTTCCATACAAGGCCGATCGCTCTCGTTCCTTCTGTGCGTTCAGCTCTGCAACCAGCCTGTCAATCTTCTCAATACACCTTTCATTCACTTCCCTCCATCATCCATACTGTGTTTTCTCTCTCTGCAGCGTTCCGTCCTGCACGGCTTCCAGCTGCGACTTTACGTTCCCCAGCTCCGTGCAGAGGTAGTCAATCGCCTGAATAAAGCGATTCTTCGCCATGGGGTCAATGTTTTTCGTTTTGATAAATAAAATCCATTCCTGCACCGCCCTACCCTTAACTCGCCCATTTTCACTCACTTTGCGAATACCCAGATCGCATTCACGATCCATCGGCTCTGCACGCCCGTTTCGGCGACATCGCGCGTCACGTGCACGAGCTGCTCATATTCCACGCCGCAGTCGACGAAGCATTGGGTGATCCACTCTCCGAGCGCATCGCCGGTTTTCCCCGCGGCAATGGCGACTTCCTCGCAGCGACGCACCAAGTAAGCGACGGGGAAGAAGGCGGGAGCGTTGCGCGGGTCGTTGAACTCGCGGGCGAGGGCGACCAGGCGCGTCTGGAGCGTGCTGAGTCTACAAAAAGATGAGAAAAACTGTCAATCGATGAATGGATGAGTGGATGAGTGATCGGGTTTTGGAGGAATCCAAGAGACCACAATGCAGGGAGGGAACCAAACATTCAGTGGCCAAAGGAACTCAATTCGATTCAATGAATGAATGAATGAATGATCGGGGTTTGATTGAATGAAAGAATTCAAAACTCAATGAATCAAATCAATGAATCAATCAATGAATCAATTCAATGAAAGAATTCCAAATCAATGAATCAATTCAATGAATCAATTCCAAACCAAAGCATCAAATCAAGGCACACCGAGCCCCTTCCCCGACGCCTCCCTGCAATTCTCACACCTCCTTCCTTCCTTCCCTTCCGCTCGTCCCAATTTTATTCTCTCCCACTTTCTTCTGCTCTCGCTGCGCAGCACCTCATCGATCAGCGCTCCCCAGTGTTTCCGGATCGTCTCCGCATCGCTGAACCCCGTGTTCCGCAGCACGCGCAGCGCCGCGTCGTCCCTCCCAGCCCTCACCGCCACGTTGTACAGCTCCGTCGCCTCCAGCACGCGCGTCCGCAGCGCCTCTCTCTCCTCCGTTTCCACCGTTTCCACGGTCTCGGCGTGCGCCAGGTCCTCGCAGAGCGCCGCCTGCACCGCCAGGTTCCGCTGCACCGTCTGCAGCGACGCCGCGCGCAGCGCCGACGGCCGCGGGGAGACTGCGAGTGAGAGAACCGCGGGGAGCGTACAGCCGGCCTGGGAGGCGTTGAGGTCGTTGAGGCAGGAAGTGAGGAAGCGGAGACGGTCCGACACGCACACCGAATCCTACGCGTAACCGCGGGGAAACGGAGAAACCGCGAAGGCGGCGGCGCACATCACCTCGGCGGCGTTGACGTAGTCGCGGTTTTTGAGGTAGTACCGGTGGAGCAGCTAGCGATGAGGCATCCCCGCGGGAGCGACCTGGACGTCCTGGGTCTTGAGGAAGGCTTCGACGAGCGGGCTGCGCACGCTGAGCAGCAGGTCGAGGTGGTGGTTGGTCAGCAGCCACGAAAACGCGGCAAAACACGCGGCTTCTTCGCCGCTCGCCACACACTGCCAATTATTCCCCCTTTTTTGCCATGGCCTACCGCGCCCACGATCCGACCCACCACCGCCTCGCGGTGCTCCACGTCCCGCGGGAAATCCGAGGACGACGCGGGGCCCACGAGCACCAGTTTCAACGTTTCCACGATTTTCGAGAAGATGAATTCCTTGGTGGAAGCCAGCGAATCCGCCGCGAAGTTCGCCTATCTGAAAGTGGAAACGTGGAAACGACCTCCTGGAGCGCGGCAGCGGCGCGGAGCGCGAATTCGGTGAACTCGACGAGCCGCGATTGCTTGGCGAGAAGGTCGAACACGGGCTGCAAGTGAGTCTTGGCTTCGTCGGCGTCGAAGTATTGAAACGCCAGCGACACCGAATCCAGCGCGGCCTATGCTGGATGCCCCGCGGGGACGGTACGTGGAGCTGGTGAGGATCGACGTGGAAAGCGTCCTCGAGAACGCGGGAGAGCAGGATGAATCCCTGGTTGAAGAGCTTCTCGCCGATGGAGAAATAGCCGCCACAGAGCGAGGAAAGCCGATCGCAGACATCGTAGAGCACCGCTACGCGATAGAGAAAGAAAGAGAGAAGGGAGCGTACGGATCGGGTTGTGCTGGTAGAAGAGCAGAATCGCGTTGACCACGCGCTTGAAGACGTGGGATCCCTCCGCGGTGTTGAGAAGTGACGCCAGAGGGAGGTGGGTGAGTTGCTGGCGCGTTTCCTCGGGGAGCAGACGCAGCACCGCCTCCACGCCGATCGAATCGATCTGCACGGAACACAATCGGAACACAACGCACATAGACGAGGAGTTTCATCACCTGGAGCGCGCGGAGAATCAAAAAATAGAGAAGTCGGATCTGTGCGTATTCCTGCTTCGTCGCTCCTTCCCTAGCCCTCAGTTCCCCGTTTCCACGGTTTCTACGTTGCGGTTCCACGATTCGACGTGAGTGCCTCCGGGTACGCGTGCACCAAAAACCCCGCCAGCTGCGAATACAGCGCGATCACGTCCTGCCAGTACCGCGCAGGGAAGCTCAGCGCGCTGCACTACCCGTCAGTTTCCACGTTTCCACGATTCGACCTACAACGGCATCGACGACGCAGCAGTTCCACATGGCGAGCAGTCCGCGACTCACCACTCTGCGTCAAGCCTTCCCCGTTTCCCCACTTCACCACGCCCTCGTACAGATTGCTGTAGCTCGGCTGCGCCATCACGTGCGTCGGCGACGACCACGCCCCGCTCGCCACGAAGTTCGGGATCCCCGCTTTCTCCGCCAGAACCGCGGCAATCCGCGAAGACACCGCCGAAAACCGCGGTAGACACAGCGCCGAGAGCAGCGCGAAGGAGGCCTCCACGCTCCCGAGATACTTGTACAGCTCCTCGGCGTCCTTCATGTAGTTGTCCCCCGCCATCATCTTCGCGTCAATTCCCCCCCAAATAACCGCGGTACCGTCGCAATCTGGTCGAAAACCGTGGACTCCTTCAGCACCAGCACCGCCGACGTCGTCAGCAGCAAGTACTTCCGGCCCTCCGCGAACGTCGGCAGCACCAGCCCGCTACCCTTCACCCGTTTCCCCGTTTCTACTTTTCGAGCCGCGCGCGAATCTGCCCCGCGATTTTCGGCTCTACGCCTCACCTTCTTCCTCCTCACCCCCTACGCTCTCTCCCCGCGGGATAGACCCCCACGGGGAAGCCGCCCGCGTCCTTGACGACGACGGCCTGCTCCTGGTAGGGCCGCGCGACCACGCGGCTGACCTGTCCGACCAGCATGGGGCGCTCGTCGGGCTGCAGGAAGAGCTCGCAGTCGGGCTGGTTGTGCTGCAGGAAGTCCCGCGTGTACGCCGTCACCGACGTGTCCTCGTTCAGCGTGAAGAACGTCCCGTGCAGCTGCGTCCCCGCGCGGATCGACGCCGCTCCCGCGGGGGGCAGACGCACCGCCACGATGCGCAGCGGGCCCGGCGAGGCGCCCAGAGACGCGGAGTGCGGCAGCGCCAGGTAGATGCGGAGATTTCCGCTGGTGACCGCGAGCAGCGCCACGTGATCGGCGAGGGAGGGCGGGAGAACCGACAGCTGCACGAGCCGGATCTATCCTTTAGGGGGAGAGAAAGGGAGCGCCCACCTCGCTGGCGTGCTGCAGCACGTTCTGCAGACGCACCGTGTCCTTCAGCTTGGCGCGCGCCTGAAACGCACGCAGCTCGGAAGCGATGTCGGCCACTTCGAACGCGTAGTGGAACTCCGTGCCTGCAGCTCAGCCCTCCCCGCGGGACTCACCCTTCGGCCCGAGGTAGTACGCGTAGATGGCGTTGTGCCGATACACGCAGTAGAGCAGCTGGCGCTCGTCGTCGACCACGAGCGCGTTGATGTTCTCGCCGTAGCGAAGCTCGCGCAGGAAGGAGGGGAGCACCAGCTGCAGCAGATAGCCGGTGCGATTGGTCATCTGGCCGCGGCTGCTGTAGCCCATGAGCTGCAGAAGGAAGCTCTGGAGTGAGATGAGGAGAGGAAGCGAACGGAGTTGTAGGCGTAGTCGAACTCGTAGATGTCGTTGTCTTCGCAGCCGATGAAGATGCGCCCGCTGGCCGTGCTGGCCATGCACAGAACGTTGATGTTCCCCGTGGGTTGGCGAAGACTGCTCCCGCGCAGCTCCAGCTAGGCGTGAGGGGGAGAGGAGAGAGGAACGCCGTGGGCGGGGGTGTAGGACAATGGATAGCAAATGATCTCGTACGCCGTGGAGACTACCAACACATGCTACCGATCATTAGCTCTCCACCACCAAAAAAATACAGTCACCGAGTTTTCAAACACATTCTGCATCGCTTTTGCCAACAAAACGTGCGTTATTTGCTGGGTTATCTCATTGGGGAAGGAAAGACTGCCCTTCAACTTGTAGTTCCATAAATGGATCGTATTTCCCTTCACATACCAAACGGTATCCACCTCCGGAAACAAACCCGAACTGCAAGTAACATCCGACTTCTGGTAAACCAATGTGTTCGGTAATGCAATCGTATGTTTTAGTGAAATCTGTACAACGTAAATCGATTGAAGAAAAGCGTACAGTTGGCAACCAGGGCGAATACTTGTTGCTGTAGGGATCTGAGTAATAAAAATCGTCTCCCTCCGAAGACAGGAGACTCTCTTCAAATCCAGGTCCAGAGATATCTTGTTCATTCGACTGTACCTTAAAACACAGAAATGAAGCATACTTCCTTCACTGTTTGTATTGTTTTGGTGTAGGACTCTTGGTCAAGACTTAACTCTTGAGGAATCGGCATTTCGTCCACCAACAATGGAGAAAATCAAGTTTTTAAATTATGTGAGAAACTCCCTCAATTGGGATAGTTGGCAAAGTGCGGGTGGAATGTGATTGCAGAGCGATTACGGAAATAGAAGAAAGAATTTCAGCCTCAAAGAGTGTTATACACAGTGTGCTCTGGTTTTGTATTATTTAAACGGATGAAACATGTTTAAAATACAATACTCATTCAAACCGATAAGAATTTGGTTAAACATAGTAAGCATTTGAGTATTACAATCGGTAATCCAATTTCCCGCGGTTCGGTTATTTCCATTAATTGCGTAATTATTAGCGATCTTGACCTACTCTTGTATTTTTATTGTATTTGAAATCTCTGGGACTCTTTTGCTGGGATAATAATTGCATTATATTATTCGCAAATCTACTATTTGCCTAGTCGTTTTTAAGAATCTGATAATTTTCTAATTCAATATCCGCACATCTCTGTTTTTGCTACTATGGATTTCAGTCACATACATGATACTATCTCTGTGTATAGCTGTATTCTGACTTCATATGTATCAAATGTCGATGAGGTATGTGCTGTTAACACTCTGGGACATGTAGTTTTCGTCTCAAATAAGGAATACTCCGTTTCACTCAAAGTATGCATCTCCCCTTTCGATTAAGGATTTTGTTGAACGGTACGGTTGGATATCCTGTTTGATGATAGTATCTACAGATATTTCAATTGCAGTGCTGAGTGTTATTTGCTGTCTCTTATTTATATCAATCGTGTCATTCGCATCAACCGCTTCATTATCAACACATACAGCGTCCATCGTTTGATTCTCACCTCGTTGCTCGTTCTCGTCCTCTCTTACGCCTAGCATGATGGTCGCGGCCAAGTATTTCGATGACGTGTACTACACAAACACTTTTTATGCTGAAGTGGGAGGCATTAGTGTGAACGAGATCAACAATCTCGAAGTTGATTTCCTCTGCCGAATCGGTTTTAATCTCTTTGTGTCTACCGAGGAATTCCGGCAATACTACAAGGACATTGCGGATCATTGCTCGAATTGCTTCACGTGCTGTAGGGATTGCGTTATTATTATTATTCTAACCCGAATAGACTCGATTCGACTCCCTGAGCTCATTAATTGCGGTCCGAAAGGAGAGGCTCCGATTTTGCGATACAGAGAAACTCCTGCCAATACCAACTTTTCTTTCAACGGAATGTTCTCCAGCAACATGGGAACGTTCAGTGGGTACGGGTATCCGTCGAACGGAGGCTGCTACAGCGGATATTCGTTTGGAAGCAACCAAGGAATGTTGGCGTCGATGAACTATGCTAGTATGGCTAGTTATGCCAGCGATTTGGGAAATATAACGCCTACTTACCAAATGTACTAATACGGTTGTTTCTGTTGCCTTCCTTATGCAGTTTTTTGGTGATTGTTCTAAACATTATTTTCTACCATGGACCCAAACGTGGAACAGCAGCAGGATCCTGCTCAGTAGGACGACTGGGGAGAGTAAATGACTCTAGAACGCAGGCAGACGCCAATGCAGCTCCAGAGACGAATCCTAGGTAAACATGTCGATGAATCGAGCGAGCGTATAGTTTGAATACGGAAGAGCCGAAGGAAAAGAAGCCCTTCAATCTGGTTGAAGAGTTGCAGAAGCCCTACGTTGTTGGAATCAAACCGGAGTGCGATCAATGCTGGATAGTCTGAGGAATAGGTTTGTACTTCCCATTGATAGAAATAAGCGTAATGAATCAGGTAGCGCGTTTGGAATCTCGTTCGATTTGAATAGAACAAAGCGAGCCGAAACAAGGCGTAACCTATAAGACAAAGAGAAATCGAGCGGATGTTGGAGTGAAGAAACGAGCGGAGTACAAGATCTTGGTACATTAAAGTGTCTGGAGGATTATGTGCAGTGCCGTGAAGTCGCTCAGGGCCGAGAATGTCCCTACAAAGATTCCTGCAAGTTTGACCACGACGTGCAAGCCTTCTTCGCCAACCGCCAGCCTGACATCAGTCCGATGTGTCCCGTATGGGAAAGGCACGGTTACTGCCCGATGGGTCTGAATTGCCGCTGGGCGGGCAGCCACACGTCCAGCGATCTGAAGCCGGTGGCGAAGCCCACGGAGGAGCAAACCCCGATCATCGAATACAACGAGATCGGCAATCTGCTCCAAACCCTCCGAAAGAAAACCTACCTCTTCACCACCTCCGATTCCCCCGTTTCATCGACCAATCCGCCGTCTACTGAACCCGCGGAACCTACTGAACCTATGGACCCCGCGGAATCTCCGAAGCCCGTCGGCGCTCTGGGCGAGGCCGAGGTCCGTCCCGTGGATTTCCGCGGGAAGATCTACATCGCTCCGCTGACAACCGTGGGGAACCTTCCGTTCCGCCGGCTGTGCGTGGAATTCGGCGCGGACATCACGTGCTCGGAGATGGCCATCACCACGAACCTCCTCAAAGGCCAGGTCTCCGAGTGGGCGCTGCTCCGCAGACACCCCTGCGAGCGCGTCTTCGGCGTGCAGATCGCCACCGGCCGCCCCGACGAGGCGCGCAAGACCGCCGAGCTGCTTCGCCGCGAGTTTCGCTGCGACTTCCTGGACCTGAACTGCGGGTGTCCGATCGACGTGCTGGACAAAATGGGCGCGGGCGCGGCGCTGATGGGCCATCCGAGCAAGCTGCGGCGCATCCTGACCGGCGTGCTGGACGGCGCGGAGACGCTGCCCGTGGTGTGCAAGCTGCGCACCGGAGACCGCGAGAACAGCCTGGAGAAGTTCGTGGGGAGCCTGGCGGCGCTGCAGGGACGGCGAGGGAACCGCGTGAGCGCGCTGACGATCCACGGACGCACGAAGGTGGGCCGGTACACGAAGCTGGCGGACTGGGAGTAGCGATGAGGGCGGCGTGCGAGGTAGGTACGTCGAGAAGTGCGCGGCGCTGGCCAAGCAGAGCGCGAGCGATGTCCAGGTCATCGGCAATGGCGACGTCTTTGACCACGAAGTGGGGAACGGGGAAACGGGGAAACCGTAGATGTACTACGAGCATCTCCAATCCGGAGTGCTGAGCGGCGTTATGATCGGGCGCGGCGCGCTGATCAAACCGTGGATCTGCACCGAAATCAAGGAGCGAAGTCGGTTTTTCCGGAGCGTTTCATTGTAGGGCATTGGGATATTTCCGCGGGGGAGCGTCTGGAGATCGTGAAGCGGTTCTGCGATTACGGGTTGGAGCATTGGGGCAGCGACGAGCAGGGCGTGGACCGCACGCGCCGCTTCCTGCTGGAGTGGTTGTCGTTTCTGTGCAGGTATGTGCCGGTGGGGATTCTGGAGCGGCCGCAGCGGATCAATCAGCGGCCATTCGTGTACGTGGGACGATCGGAGCTGGAGACGCTGCTGGGGAGCCACAACGCGAAGGACTGGATCAAGATCTCGGAGATGTTTTTGGGTCCGGTGGCGGAGGGATTTACGTTTATTCCCAAACACAAGTCGAACGCGTATGTGGAGTAGTAGTAGTAGTGGGTCGTGGGTGATTCGGCGAGTGTTTGTTCGAAAAAAACAAGGGAAGAGTCGTCGGGAGTCTCTGGGGGCGGGTGTCTCAACGCGATCTTGAAGTATTTCTGGAGTGAGGAGAGAAAGCGGTTCTCCTCCATGCGCGACTCAAGCGAGAAGATGAACTCGACCGACTCGCTCATGCTCGGCCCAGACCGAACGAACACGCAGTAGGGACGCTTCGAATTGCTCCACACCGTCGAATGCTACGCGTGACGCCTGGCGTGGATGATCCCTACGCTGAACGCCGCGTCGTACAGCAGAATCTCCTTGCAGCGCTTCTCCGACCGCTTTTCGTCGGGATATTTCCGAATGCTGTACCCGTCGATCACGACGAACACGTTCACCCACTGCTGGAACAGACCGTGCTTGCGGTACTGCAGCTTGTACGTCTCTTCACTTGCGTCGACATCCAGGCTCGGATCCACGGATTGGACGTGCATTGGGATTGGATTCGCATTTGCATTCGCAATTGGGTTGTGATGATTTTGGTCTTGATAGTGTTGGGAACCTCGCTGCTCCCCTTCCTCTCTTTGACGCAGTCGAGCGTGCGGAGAACCCTCCAGACTCCGCAGATCGTCGATGACCCCAAAATTGAAGTGATCGCCGCTGCTCACCGCGCTGCTCCCAGGCGCGAGGTTTTTCACTCTCGATTCTCCGGAAGGGTTCGAGAACGGAGCGGAGGACGTTGAATTGATGGAAGAAAAGACGGAGGGACTGCGGGAAGAATTCACGGAAGTTCGGTCCAGCGAGGGATTGGAGTAGAGGGATGGCCGGTTTTGATTGTGAATGGAGTGGAGGACAGAGGAGTCCTTGATGGGCTGAAGTTGGTACTGGGATGTGCGCTTCTTTGGAGAAGATCCCGATGGACTATGGCGATTTCTGAAAATTCATCAAAGCATTTGTGCAATACAAAATGGCATCCCTAGACACAAACACGGCCAATCCACACATGTGTTGTTCATCTAATTGCAGACAAAACCTTTTCCTATAGCACTTTTCGCAGAATAAACAGGGGAACACAATCTTCATAATACGAGAATCGATATCATTCGGCTGGCCAATACATCTCCAAGGAGAATAGTTTTTGGTATTACAAATTGTGCACGCTGTTTCTATATTCTTAGGTTTTCTGATTTCTAAGCTTTTCTACACTCGACACCAAAACAAAAGAGTACATAATTTGGGTCAAATAGCAAATTTTGAGACTTCATCTCATAGAGAATATTCAAGGCTTGCGTAGAATTCTGCTATAACATCAACGAACAAAACGATGCGGACGTTGATCCCAAAATACCGAAAAAGATAATCTATATTCTTGTTCTGAAAAAATACCTTAAAGACGTCCATCGTCTACAAGAGAGGGACAATTCTCCTTCAAATACCTTTAGGGAGTAGTCACTACAGTATCTTTCTTTCTCTGTCATTATTTGCCAAGAATCCAAGTTACTCCAATGAAAGAATAACCTGTGAACTAAACTCAGTGTAACATTTCAAAAACTAGATCAAAGAAATATGCCAGTTAGTTGAAAACAAACAAAAGAACGTCTTCGTGAGAAGGCCATTTGACTGCCAGGCATGATAACGGTTTGTTTGTCATTCTTTTGTTTAGGAGTTTTGCGCTGCCTTTTAGGTTGCTTTGGAGGTTGCTTGAGCTGACTAGGCTGCTTAATCTTCGGCTTTCTACTGGAATACGAACTCTGAAATAGGATACTTGCTGTTTTTGGGTTGATACAATACTTTTTGTTGCGACTTCTATGACTGATATACAAATGTACAATGCAACGTATTGGGCTTTCTTTTTTTCACGAATAATATCATCGAGTGATCTGTAGAGGTCGGAAGGGTTTACAATTTCCTGCGGTTCTAGCAATTAGCCAAACAGCACAAATCCAGCACCTTTCTTTTCCTGCGTCACCTTTTCTTTCTGCAGATTGATGTAGTATTCTGTCGAGAGGCCATCACTGATAATGTAATTATCTCCTCCCCAGGCTATGCGAGCTTGTTCCCTTCCAGTCTCTTTTTGTTCCATACTTTATAAGAATATTGATTTGAAAAAACGATACACAAATAAGCTACAGTTTGACTTAAAAAAAAAGTTCGATGGTATGGATATCTTTCTCTCTGCCTTATGAATAGGGAGAAAGTCATAGCATTTCGCAGCTGTTGAAGGCAATCGATTCGAAAATCGCCATGACGCCCGAGGCCGAAAATGTACGCTTTCCAAATTGATCGTTATTGCTTCTAGTTGATGGTACTGCTCGCTAATGAATTTATTAAGGATGTTACAGAGGGTTCGTGTAAAGTGGCTTCTTTGCGCAATACCGAAGAAGGAAGTGATCAAACTGTTGAAGTTAGCGACTTAGCTTTATATCTGAGTAATTATTAAGGGTGTTTTTGAGATGTAGAAAAGAATTGGGGTATGAATGTCGAGGGGTACGCGATCTCAACAACAAACTCTGATTTAACAAAAGAAGCTGCTGTATAATTGTTATTTATTCGCTATTTGTTAAACAAACATGCCCAAAACAAACCACCCTTAATGAACTTCCGGTTTTGCTTTAGCTGAACGATCGCTTCATCCCTGGGAAGAACCACGGACGGTGAAGTACGTTGTGAGTTGAAGTCAGTGATGAACGGAAGAGAGTGTTCCGACAAGGGGCTTGAAGGGTAATTATTATTCTGAGCGTTTAGTTCGTCTGCATACAAGAGGTAAATTGATCCAGGGAGAGCGATCTCGGGAACTGTCTTGGTCACTTGATTTATAAAAATGCGAGGCGGTTTTTCAGGAAGTAATGATGCGAGGGCATTTCTCCGAGGGAAATTGAGCATGGCTCGTTCTCCATGATACTTCTCAGCAGCCCGATCATAGCACTTGGCTGCTTCCCACTCTGAATCAAAAGTGCCCAAATACTAGACATTATTCTATGAGATCATCCTCACGATTTTCTTCCCTCGAACCTGGATCTGGGCGTTCCACTTTGTGCCGCGGTTGTACACTCCACGGAAATGGCTCGAAAATGTCGTTCGTTCCGTGTGGTACTTGCGAATTCTATCATATAGTGTGAGTGACAAAAAACGGACTGGGAGTGGGAATGGGAGTGGGAGTGAGACTGAGACTGAGACTGAGACTGAAACTGAGACTGAGACTGAGACTTGGACTTGGACAAAGATGGAGTTGAAGTGAACGTTGATACTGGAAATCGAGCCGAAGAAATACGAGTGGGCATAAAGGATTGAATCGAAACAGGAGTAGGTGAGGAACTCTGGAGGAATGCGTTGACAGAAGGGATGGTATCTTTATGTTTTTCACACCGCAACTTGATATCTGATTTGTGTTGCCTTTTAATATCTTCCTGACATACAGGACAGACCCAGTAACCTAAAGGTCGCTGTGTCATAGGAGGCTGCAGGCACGATGGATGATATGCATATGGGCAAAAATCACAGCAAATAAGAACTCCCTTTCCCTTACAAACATGACAAGAGATCTCATGACTCCCAGAAAAAAGAGGCAGGTTTTCACTTTCTAACAATGATTTCATCCCGGTGAAAACGATTGAGTGCTTGGAGTGGCGAAGTCGTGTCAGGAGCTAGTAGTTGTGTTACTCTATCCCATCGTATTCTATGCATTTTGCAGTGTAGAATGAGAAAAGCCCTTTCGAATTCAGGCAGAGTGAGCACATACTGCCAATACTTTCAGCTTCGAAAAGAGAGTTCGAACTTCCAAGTGTCATATGGCACCAGTCTGGATCCACTTCCACTCGAACCACAAACAAGGGATAGTTCGTTGTAGTGTAATATCATAGAAAGTGTTGACTATCAAGAGGCATCTCTATCACTGTACATGCAATGATATGCTATCCTGAATTTATACAATTCTATCAATAGCACTAGCCATTAATTGATATCATGAAATATTTAGTACTTACTCTCGCGACGATTCTTGTACTAGGTTCATACCTTTTATAATGAGTAGATTGTCCCACTGGCTGCCCAGTCCTGTATATAACATTTTCATTATCTCATTTGAATAGGCCGTTGGTATGCTAAAAGTACCGACCCCAGCTACCCTTTCTCAGCTACATTCGATATTTCTCCGCTTCGCGGAGAGGAGTAAGTGTTTGTTGAATGAGATGACGCAAAGCTACCGGCTGAAGGATCAGTTTGCCTACCAGGAGTCTCGTAATCTTTCGTAGGCATTTATACCCTATTTGAGACTAGTTACTATTTCCAGATTTGCGGCCTTGTGAACGAAGTTCCCAAGCAAAATACCGGTGTTCCCTGCTATGGTAATGGAAGTGAAGATCCTGTCCATTACCCTGCATACCAGTTTTTGAACGAGGGAGAAAACTGCGTCCGTTTGGGAAAGGATCTTTCGGAAGAGAACGTGCGCTGGAGCTTGGTGGACGCGCAGGACCCAACTGTCGGTGTTGTGTACAGTTACATCAACGGCGAGGAGCAGGAATGCGGAGCCATGTCCTTCGAGATCGAGCTGGACTGCTGGGAAGAGGAGTACAACGTTCCCGATGAAGAGACTGTTGCGCAGAACGGCTGCGTGTACCACCTGGCGTTCAACTCGATCTATGGCTGCCCCACGGAGTGCGGAGTGTACCGCGGACTGTGCGCCAAGCGAGGCAAGTGCAAGTTCGACACGGAGACGCGCGAGCCGCACTGCTATTGCCAGCAGGGATGGACTGGCTATGCCTGCAATGAGCGAGGAGAGAACTCTGCGGAGGGATTCACCAACACCACGCTTCTGCTGGTTATTGTATTGGTGCTTCTGATAGGTGTGGAGCTTGGCGTGATCATGATGTGGGATAAGGTCAAGAGATTGCGATTGGATCCGTCTGCCTATGCCAACTTTGCCGCTGCTGATGAACTTGCTTAAAATGTTGTTTGAGTTTGTTGTTTGTTGCAGACTCGTGGAACTTGTGGAACTTGTGGAATTCCTGGGGGGGTGGCAGTGTGCTCAACGCTATTCCTGTGATGGGTAAACGATTTTACAAAGCGAGCTTGCACAAAATTACAATATAAGGCAATTATATGTGTACTCGATCATTTTCAAAGTAATAGCCGTTTCTTCAGTATGGCTTCATTCACTCGATAGTAGATGATAATTGATACTATGTTTTATCAGGAAAAAAGTACTTTAAGCATGTATTTCTAATATTGTATAGTTTAGGTATTATTAATTATTATGAGATGTAAAGTAGTTTCTTAATAATATTTAGCAAATAATACTATTTTCACTCTCTTTCTCTCCTTCAACACGTTTCTTAATAGTCCTTATTTGGTAATAAAATTCCACTTTTACTTATATACAAAATGTGCGTCATCTAGACTTCATATTATTTTTTGGGGAGTTAATAAATGGAACTAATGCATGCCCAAGGAATAGTCAGTGCAAATCTGGAACATATTAGAAATGGCAAACCCGACAGTGACTATGATTCTGTAGTATTTCAGAATATTGGAGATAACATACAAGCGTCTGTATTATCTGGTTTAAGAGAAGTGGATATTCCTAATTCTTTCACCTCTCCCCCCTTTTTCGCTGAAGTCGTGTATAGTGAGGTTTTGGCTATATCTATGTCCTAAATGTATATAAAATCAAAGATCTGTATATTAATAAGATAGTATTTTGCATTTGATAGTTGTTTGTGTAATTACCTATTATTATATTGCTTGTATACATATAAACATATATGATTTACCCCATACAGTGTTAGACACTCTCCAGCTAATTGTCCATAAGTGTTATCTTTCTTGTGGGTTTTTTGTCAATGAAAAGAACATAGAAGTATATCCTACAAAATAGTTTATACTCCTCAAATAAGGTGATGATCTATATGACCAAAATAGGGACAATTTCTGCATGCTTCATGAGAGTGTAACTCAAATTTATAATTCGTGCCCTCCATTCATTATTTTCCGGCATAGAGTTCCATCTGTATATACATAGCCTTATGGTTTCTTCATTCCTAACCATATACAAATATTAACATTTTTCGTATAACCGCTTTTTTTCTCGATGTGAGCGTTGTAAGGTCAGTAATCATATTAGTAACGACACATATGATATTTATTCTCTGGATTCACTAGTTGCTAATTTGAGTTGTTCATTTTCTTTCATATTCGTTTGGTATGTAACCCTCGTTTTGATTGGGGCATACTCTAAATTACAAAAATATAAAAACCTGCTTTTTACAAACAAAACAGAACAGGGCTGTTACATAGATGTTAACAGAGTATTAACCGCTGAAAGCAAAATTTACTCACGTTCTCTTTACAGACATCTTTATAGTGTATCTCATCTTCGTAATGAATGCTACATAAGTCACACAACTCGATCCAGATAGTTTCCTTTTCTACTGTTTGCTGTGCCGTACTGTTCCATTCTCTGACTAGTTCCTGAATATCTTCTTTGTTCAACACTCCATCGCCATCCCCATCCATAATTTCAAACCAGAAGCGACGAGAACTTCCTTCCATTGCGTCCTATACTAAACCATTTAGTTTTGTGAACGTACATTGTATAAAATATTGAACATAGCATATGCTTCATAATGTATTTGCATTCCTTCAGGATGATTTAGAAGGGCATGAATTTTTGAAAACGCTCTGTTAAAACATAAACGGGATAGTTTTGGATTCATCGAATCCATCAACTTGGAAGCGGAAATCACGAATTGAGTATCAAAGTTTGGAGAGTGGTGTAGACACGTAGAGCATGACTGGTTGAGTATTTCCGCGTCGAATGTATCGCAAAGTGACTGGAATCTGGTAAATATTTGTTGTGAATAAGAAGGAGCGAATGGAAGGATCACTGTAATTGGCTTTTTATCCAGCAACTGAAGAATTGTGAATAAACCTGAATGCATGAATTCTCGTTTACCAACCATAGTCGATGTTAATCCATTCAGACTGAACAATATAGCCGCAGCAACAGTTGTTAAATAGATGTAGTGATGGTAGCACATCGCAAATGTGTTGGTTGATAGAGTTTGGTATGCATCATGAATAACAATTTGGATAGCCTTGTTCCAGAACAAGTAGTCGCATATCAATTGTTTTATGCCTGCAAATGTTACTGTATCCTGGTTAGAAAGACTCTGAAACAGTCGTTCCTTATTATCATAGCCAAGAAAAAAGAGTTTCCACCAGTCAGCAAATGATTGATGTTCTACACACCAAATACTTGCTCCCAGCTCTAGTTCTGTACTAGACAGAAAGAGAGATTGATTTGATAATGGAATCTGCTTTGATCTTTGAAAGTAGTTGTTATTATTCTTTATCTTATTCTCATTATTGTTGTTGTTATTATTATTATTATTACTATTATTATTATTAAAATGATGGCTACCTTTTTCACCTGTTAAATTCGTATACGAATATACACTTGACTTTACTGCTCGACAGGAGTGGATGAAGTTAGAATACTTTCGTAGAATGGAAAGATGCAGAATACTAGGAACCTCCAGCTTACTCATTAGTGTTTGACTGAATAGATCATCGGGAGTTTCACAGAGAAGTAACTGCTTCTCTTGAAACACGCTATCAATGATTTGGAGTTGATTCTGTTGCATATCATACATGTAGTTATATTTTAATTGAATTTGGGGAATAACTGAATGACTAACAAGCTGCTTTCTCAGTGACCGAGTGCCATATTGAAGGTATTCATACTCCTTCTTATAATAATCGAGTTGATCAGTCATTTGTTGAAGCTGCTGCTGCAGTCGATGAACTCTCTTTCTCCATTTCTTGTCTGATTGTTGTTCTGGTTGTTCTGGTTGTTCTGGTTGTTCTGGTTGTTCTGGTTGTTCTGGCTGTTCTGGTTGTTCTGGCTGTTCTAGATTGAATAGCGTGCTCTCTTTGGCCTTTTCATCGATTGTCTGGGTAGGAAGCAAAGATAGGTTGTTTTTGTAAACCGCCTTGTAAACCCTGTTTTCGCTTATAACACGTTGCATTCGTAATCGTAGAACTTCAAATGAAACAGGCTTAATCCTATGTTGAGATTGTATTGAATAAAGTGATGTTTACAAGTATTCTGATGCGCCCATAATAAAGCACTGTTCCATGCTATCGTTATCGGAAGAAGAAGATAATATGATTATGGGAATAAGAAATAGATGAGGGTCGTTTTTCATTTTTTGAAGCATCTGAATTCCGCTTATTCCAGGCATTACTAAATCAATCAGTGCAATGTCATACTATGAAATAAAAAGAGAATCTGATATTCACATCCGAATTCTCACTTAGATGGCTGATAGCGTCTTCCGGTTTAGAAAATGTTACTGGAGTATATCCGCATCGTTTTACTACAAAACAACTTTGCTAATCATTGTAGAAGATACGATAGTGAAGATAAACTTGCAAGGGAATCATCGATAATGAGGACTTTGCCTGCATGATGGTTTACACTACAATATATAAGACATATATAGGAATAAAATGATTTACAATGATTGAATCGCAATAGGAGTTTCAAGTGTATGTAAGAGATAAGATAGTTTTTGAAATGAGATAGGATCTGTAAGTAAATAAAAATGGAACTGCTTCTGTTGTTGAATAAAAAACTGGTAGTAGCTCTTAAAAAAAGAATCAACAAATAATCTCACATTTTGACTAATAAGCAGAAGCGGGGAAACATAGAATAAAGGATCAACATTCATTATTGTCATGAGTCGAATCCATGAAGTGTCATATCCAGAAACAGAAATGCAAATGAGAGAGGCTGGTATTGATCTTCCTAGAGCTATTACTTCACTTAGTGAGTTCCGGAATATAGACACATATCCATGTGAAGAAAAGAAGGTCTTCAAAGAAACTGCAATAGACGAAGTGAAGTTACAACAGAGAACGACCTTTGCGTCATTCTCTGAAATATCATCTGATATACGATTCATTATTAGTATTTTGGATATAGATAGTAATTCACTAAAATAAGATATCGATTATTGACTGTATCAATATATATTTATATATAAAACGAATATACTACTACTACTACTACTATATGTATATATAACACGGTAAAATACAAATATATTTTATAAAAACAGATGATTAATACCTTTCCGAACTTCACCGAATAGCGAAGCTATCAACACTTTAGACTGCTATCTATTTTTAATATCTGTATTATTATTATTATTATTATGATTATTATTATTAATTCTTTGCACTCGCTTGCTTTCAACCTGAATTATGCTATGCTAAAAAAAGAGAAACAATCTAGTCAAATCTCGCACTCTTTATTATTCATTGATTATCACATTATTTACCTTCGAGAAGATCGATTTCATCAAGTTAATCTCTAAAACAGACAGACGTTATCTCAATTATCCAAAAATGATCTAAAATCTGTATTATATTTGGGATTCAACTCGATACCTTATTTCAGTTTTATTATCAACTAAGATTTGTAGGATACACAAAATACAACCAAATGACGAGTCGCTGCATTATCTGATTCAACGTCTGTTTTCTTTGACCTCCGTGTCTTGTTGAATAAGAAAATGCAAGAATCATGAAACAAACACAACACAACTGACTAGCATAATCTTCTGGAGAAAACTGTTTCGGGTCATATACCTCCTATAAATTACAGTATACCAATGAGAAAACTGGTTCAAATTGCGTTCCGTTTCCATCAATTCCGAAATAACTCACCGTCTGCTCGAGAATTTTGGGGTTTTGGAACTCCTTGTTAGCCTTCATTCGATCAACAAAAGATGTATGGGTTTGTCGATAATACACCATGTCCTCCTTAATATCCTCTTCGACCTGTGACAGTGATTTCTGAGTCTAAGACAGTAGAACCAACTCGATTTCATATACCTCTCCTCCAGACATGATTACAAGTTTAAAATCATCTTCGTCGTACCGAAAATAGTTTCAAAAACAAACAAGACAAGCAACAAAATGCACTTTCTAGGAATCGCCTAGTTCAACTTCTCAAGCTCTCTAATACGAGTAATGATCTCCGCCTTATTCACATCCATAACCTCGCCAGCAACAATGTAGTTATCCATGATCTCGTACACCTTGTAGAAGTTGTTAATGATATCAACCTCACGAACGTTCTTGAAGTACATATCCAGAGTCTCTACCAGGAAGTGAATAGTCTCCAAAGTAAGCAGCTCATTGTCATTGATATCCACAGCCACAGTGAAGAACAGGCCCGCATAACGTCTTGTAATCAGCTTGTACGTGCTGAACTCAATGAAGTTAGTCATACGAGAATCGCGCGCCGACACCAACTTGTGGATTTCCATCTCAAGACGAGACTGCTCCTCAAACTCCACAGGAATATACCATTTGGAAAGTCTTGTCTTTCCCTGCTTATTTTGAAGAAGTAAATATCGGATCATACAATATAAAGATTAGATGAGAAAGGTGAAATGGAGCCGTACAGTTGTCACTTGCTTATAATGATAGTAAATCACTGTACGAAACTTGGATATTCTGCCCGATTATTGGAAATAGAAAATATATCGAATTTCTGGAATTCTAGGTATTGTTTACTGAGGATTTTTAGTGCCGATATTCGAATTTCTTAACCAGTGATGAGTTCTGAACAGGAAGATCGCATTGCCAGGGACCGAGAGGAAGTCGAAGCATTCAATCGGAAAATGCTTGAAAAGGAGATGAAACGGGATCATCGGTCCAATACGATCACTCCGGAAGCGATTGATGACAAGAGGGCACGGTTAATCGGATCAAAGGACAAAGATATGTGGCGGAAAGAGAGAGAGCTTAGTCGTCAAGTGTACTTGGCGAATCGAAGAGATAAAATTCTACAGCTAGAGGAAGCTGTGATTAAGGATGAAAAGAGGATTTTTGATGAAAAGGACCTGACGCAGCAAGAGATCCAGCAGAGGAGAATCGATGAGGTTGCCTTGCCTTGCTTAGAGACATTAACATTTAGAGCATTCTAGACATGGCACGCAAGGTAAAGGAAAGTGAGGAAGCCGTTGACGATGCATATATCATGCCAACGTCGATGACAGTTTGCCTACATGGTTTGCGTGATATTTAGTCCACGAAAAACCGAGACATAGATCAGGAGAGTCGAAAGAAGTCGGAGAGGTAGGAATGAAAGTGTTCGGTGTCTGTTAGATACCAACCTAGTGACAGAACCATGGATGCTACGATATGGGACGAAACTCAAATGGAGCGTACGAAGCTAACGGTAGGAGCTCAAGACAAAAAGCAGCGAGGCTCTGAATATGACTTTGTCCAAGAAGATGCGATCGAGTTCGTGGAACGTTGTCTGAGCAACGGAATTCGAATCGAAGACCTGCTCCAGGAGCGAAAAGAGAAGGAAGAAAAGCTTAGCCAAGCAAACTCCGAGTTTGAGCGAATCCAAATCGAGCGAGCCACTCTTCCCGTAACCAAATACCGCCAGCAAGTTTTGGACATGGTCGAGAAAAACCAAATTGTGATCATCGAAGCCGAGACTGGTTCTGGAAAGACCACACAGATCCCGCAGTTTCTTCATGAAGCGGGGTATACCAAAAGGGGAATGATCGGCTGCACGCAGCCTCGTCGTGTGGCGTGTATGGAAGTGTCTTCGCGTGTGGCGCAGGAAATGGGAGTGAAGCTGGGGAACGAGGTCGGGTACAGCGTTCGATTTGAGAACAAAACGAACGAGCGCACGGTATTGAAGTACCTCACCGACGGAATGCTGCTTCGCGAGTTCCTCACAGAGCCCGATTTGGAGAGCTACAGCGTGATGATGATCGATGAGGCGCACGAGCGAAGCCTCCACACGGACGTGCTGCTCGGACTGATCAAGGACGTGGCGCGCGCGCGCGAGGATTTGAAGATTATCATCTCCTCGGCTACGATCGATAGCGCGAAGTTCAGCCACTACTTCGACGACGCGCCGATTCTCAGCATTCCCGGACGTCGGTTCAGCGTGATGACGCAGTTGGAGCGTGCGAGCGGAGTGACGTGTAGCTATCTGAAAGCCCCGGTGAACGACTATCAGATCGTGTGCGTGAAGACGGTGATGCAGATCCACATCACGCAGGAGCTGCCCGGCGACATTCTGGTGTTTCTCACGGGCCAGGAGGACATCGAAGCGGTCCAGGAGGGTCTGCAGAAGCAGGTGCGTCTGTACGGAAACAAAATCAAAGAGCTTCTCGTGCTGCCGCTCTATTCCGCGCTGCCTCGCAAGGAACAGCAGCTGGTCGTGTTGGCAGCGCCTTGTCACGTGTAGTGCTTCCAGAAAACCCCGCCGAACGTCCGCAAAGTCGTTCTGGCGACGAACGTGGCCGAAACCTCGCTGACCATCGACGGAATCTGCTACGTGGTGGACGCGGGCTTCTGCAAGCAGAACAGCTTCAATCCTCGCACAGGCATGGAGAGTTTGGTCATCACGCCGATCAGCAAGGCGGCCTCCATGCAGCGAGAAGGCCGCGCAGGCCGTGTGCGCGATGGGCACTGCTTCCGACTCTACACGGAATACACGTACGAGGTACGGATCGACGGAAGGGGTCACGCATAGCACGAACTGCCCGAGTTTACGACCCCCGAAATCCAGCGAACCAACCTCACGTCCGTCTGCATCATGCTCAAATCCATCGGAATCCCCGACATCCTCCACTTCGACTGGCTCGACGCGCCTCCCGTCGAGTCGCTCATGCGCGCTCTGGAGCACCTGTACGCACTGGGCGCTCTCAACGACGAAGGGGAGCTGACAAAGCTGGGTCGCTGCATCGCCGAGTTCCCCTGCGATCCGACGATGAGCAAGTCCATCATCGCCAGCCAGAAGTATCACTGTGTGGGATCGATCTTGACGATCTGCGCCATGCTCGACGTGAACAACTCCGTTTTCTACAGGTACGGCTTTGGGTGGGCGGATTCCGCGCAGACCGAAAGGACAAGAGATGCATGCCGATAATGCACGTCAAGGATTCGCGCACGGCACGAACGGAGATCACATCGCTCTGCTGAATGTTTACAACCAGTGGAAAGAGGCGGATTATGCCGAGAACTGGTGCTATGACAACTTCGTGCAATATCGAAGCATGACGCGTGCGAGAGATATTCGGGACCAGCTGGAAGGACTCTGCGACCGTGTCGAGGTCGATTACAAGAGCGACAGACCCGATGATGACACTCTGAATGAAGCGATCCGAAAGGCGCTGTGCGAAGGGTTCTTTTATAATATATGCAAGCTGCAGAACGGAGGGACCTACCAGTAGGCGGCACAACGAGGTGTTTATGGTGTGTAGCACGATCAAGAAGCCCAAAGTGGTGTCGATTCATCCTTCCTCTTCGTTGTTTAAACTCGAAAACCCTCCAGATTTTGTGCTGTAAGTGGTTCCTGTTGGCTGGGATGTAGATTCCAGGAAATGGTGTTTACGAAGATGGAGTATATCCGAGTGGTGTCGATCGTCGATATCAAGTGGCTCAAGGAGATTGCCCCGCACTATTACAATAGTAACGATTTGGAGGACGAGAGCAAGAAGAAGATGCCGAAAGTTGTGAAACGGAATTAGTAGATATGTCTTTTATGTGGTTATTTATCGAGATTTTGGAGTTGTTTGTTTTCACAAGGGGATCTATGGAGAAAGCCTGTAGTGTACTCTTAAAATGGAGCCAAGCCCTTGTTCCCCGTTTCTCCATTTTAGGTTTTGTCATTTTTGTGGCGACCAGGATGGTTGTATAGGTAAGTGAATGTGACCGAGACGGGTTGACGCAAGTTACACTCTATATCAGTCCTTTCCATGGATTGTTATAATTTTCACCCTTGCAAGAACTCCCGGACATTCTTTAATCTACGTGATATTTCATGATCGCTAGATGATCTGGTCTGACACATTTGTAGAGTCGTCGCGTTTTTCTTTCGTTTTATCTATCTGTTCTATATATCTGTTGTATCCTTGTATCCTTGTATCCTTGTATCCTTGTATCCTTGTTTGTTTAACAAACAGATCCCAAAAAGAAGACGACTTCTCGGGCAAACTACATTATTTCACAATTGTAAGACATTTCCTTAGGAAATGCGAATGATCGGTTTTCTGTCATAATTACACTTTATGTCAAGCAGGAGATTCTCTGCATTGCTGCGGAGATACGAGTAATCATAGAATTCCAATTTCTGGCTTCCAGACATGGAGAGTTGAGAGGCGAGCAGCTTCGAGTACTCGATCATATCTTTTCTGTACCAAATAGGGAGCTTGTCGTCTGAAAGAAGATTCTGACACTCAATAATCGTCTTATAGATCTCATCTCGCATCAGCGTGATATTCATCATCTTCTGCACCTCGCATTGTTCCTGCTCATGCTCGTTTCTAAACTGCTCGTCAGGGGCTTCCTCTACCCATCAGTCCTCCCCTTGTTCCATCCCACCTTTCTGCAAATCTGTGGCACTAATATACTTCCTTCTCTCTGACAATCCGTAATGGCTCGGCAACGTGATTCGAATCGTGCTCGTCGTGTCCGGGAAACTCTTACAAATCGCCATAATGCAGCATCCACGGCTGAGGTCTTCTTCAGGATTGTTTGTGCTTCTACACACTCACCACGCTCCCTTTTACACTCTACAGAATCGTTCCTTTTCGCTTGTACTTCGGATTGGGAAGCAGAATCCTCACTTGATCCGCGATAAAGCACAGTCGCGTTCCGCTTCCTTCTAAAATCACTTCGTCCACGCCATTCACAGAATCCAGGCAGGTCGTGCAGAGACGAGCGAGCTCGGAAAGCAATCCGGACGACTCGCATCGCTTTTGGAACTCTTTCTGCGTGATCACTACATCGACCTGATCCGTGGAAAACACGCTCAGCGCAAACGTCATCTGATCTCCGCTCTCGTTCGAGAAAATCACTTTATACTTGTCCACACACGAGCGGATCTCGGCTTTCAGCCGCTTGTTCGCCTCGATCACGTCGTGCGTGATGTTGTACGCCTGCAGCTTCTCTTCCACCAGCTGAATCAGGAGCTGATCGATCCAGCGCGAGCTGAGCGAGAGCGAAGTGTCCGCGTGCTGGATCGTAAAGTCGTTGTCTTTGAAAACGACGGCAAACACTGTCGTGTGCTCGTATCCCACATCGACGAACATCACAACTCGCTCCCTCTTACTGAAACCGCCGTAGAGGTTGGGATAGAAACCGTAAGCGAGAGAGAGCGCCTCGATGTCGTAAAGAAACACGGCATCGTGGATAGGAGTCGAGGCGAGGGAACGACGGAACAGGGAAACTTGTTGGGTATTCCAATAGGATGGAATCTAGAGATCAAAATAGATGGCATGTTGTTACGCCTATAACGATAGTACTGGGTGTGTTCTCCAGGTCGGGGTAAGAGTTCTCAATGAGCTTCACCACGTCCAAAATGATGAAGGAAATGGCCTGCGTCACAGATATCGTCTTCTTTGTCCCATCGAGATTCGAGAACTCGAATTGGATCATTTTGCACTCATCATTGTACACGGTTCCAAGCGTGTCATAATCGTATTCTGAGCACACGGCCGCAACTTGCTTGCCTAAAAACAGTTTGGGGAAAAGGAAGGAATTCTGCGGGTTTTGTAAATGCTACGAACGTCAATAAATAATTCGAAGATTCTACTTTGTAGTATCCCGGCTCACAGGTGAAGACTTGACCTCGAAAATAGGATACGACGGGACTAAGGAATTATACTGCTTTCGCGTCCTACATTATAGATCGCTGTCGCTTTTCGATATTAAACAGAGTTGTGATGGTTTTCAATGTAGAGTTCCGGTCAACTCCACCGGCCGCAGAAATATATATACATCGCGTCCCGATATCAATTCCAATGCAATAGGTATTCTTGGCAGACATAGTAATCAATTAACTGATACTGCCAACACAAACTGGTTTGCCCTTTAGCCAGTGCGAATGGCACAGAACAAGAATTTAAAAAATTAGTACTTCTAGCAAGGATTCACACTTTTGTTAACGAGTTGATGGAAATACCCAAAGTTTGCCAATGAATAGTAAACGCAGTATAGAATTTATTTTGACAGAAAGCTGATGCAATAGTCTATGGTTTGTGCAATAGCATCAACGACTATCAAATTCTAAATGAGATTGGCAAAGGGACGTATGGGTATGTCTATCGAGGAAGAAGGAGGTCGGACGGGTTGATTGTTGCCCTGAAGAAGATTAAGCTTTATAACGAGGGGCAAGTAATCGATAGTGCTGGGAACTTCACTTTGTTATAGACGGGCTTTCCTATCACCTCCATTCGTGAGATTCAAATGCTTAGCTCGATAGACCATGAGAACGTTGTAAAATTAGTAGACATTGTGGTTGGAAAGGACCGGGATAGGTAACAACCTCCTCTTTCTCCCAACTGTAGTGTGTATATGGTTATGGAGTTTTGTGACCAGGATATCGACTATCTGCTTAAGAGTCAGAGTCGTCCGTGGTCTCTCTCCGAAGTAAAGTGCTTGATTAGGCAATTACTCTGTGCTGTGTCCTATCTGCATGAGCGATGGATCATCCACCGCGATCTAAAGACATCGAACCTTTTATATACAAACCACGGGCAGCTGAAGGTCGCCGACTTCGGTCTTGTTCGTACGATGGGCTTTCCACTGCGACGAGTGACGACGAACGTTGTGACGCTTTGGTATCGTCCTCCCGAGCTCTTGCTGGGTTCTCAGCTCTACTCCTTCGCGCTCGACATATGGTTGCGTCTGTTGTGGAGTGAGGACCGTAGGTCCGTGGGCTGCATCCTCGGCGAGCTTCTGCTTCGACATCCCCTGCTCTGTGGGAACAATGAGAACGACCAGCTCCTGAAGATGTTCGCTCTGCTGGGATGTCCCTCCGTGCGAGACTGGCCAGAGCTCGAAGAGCTGCCTCATTACATGGTCGTGCAGCGATACGAAGATAAGTTCCCTTGTGATCGATTGCAGGAAACCTTCCCAATGCTGTCAAGGAACGGAATCGATCTGATGAAGCAGCTGTTAGAGTACAACCCTGACAAGCGAATCACTGTCGGGATGGAGATGGTTTTTGACTGGTAGGCGCAGCAAGCGATCCATCATCCGTGGTTCAACGAAGCTCCTTTTCCTCAAGATTGTCGACTCATGCCGACTTTTCCTCCTCGTAAGATCAACAATAGTCGATCGAGTGTTTGTTTACAAACAATGCACTTCCCCCCCACATCGTCCGGAATGGAATTGAAAAAGTCCTGGAGCGACACGCCAGGCTTCTTGGGATACCGCACCACCGCCGTTTCGGGACACACCGTCCATCCGGAGAAGAACGCAAGCTCAAACGTCGCGTTCACTCCTCCGTTCGGCGATGGGTATTTCTCCTTCGATCATCTCTCGCCCCCACAACCCACTTTGTACAGCCGAGCGGCCTCCTCGAAGGTCCTTCGCGACACAAACCGTCTTCGCTCGGTCAGCGCGTTGTTCTCTCCCATTCCCTGTAAATGGTGCATTAGATGGTACATGTCGCGGTATTCCACCGTTACCGGTTGTGCATTCACGTTCGTTATGATGAAGCCCGCCTCCTATCCCTCACGCCACGCACTCGTTCTCTACAACCAAAGCATCGCCAATCGATCCGGGAGTGGGGAGAGGCGACACATGGGGAGACATCACGTTTTCTGTTCGCATTTCCGCGGTTTCCATCACATCACGAAGTTCATGAAGCGTCTTCGAGGAGAACATGACGCCGGTGAAGTATCCGTCAGGAATGAGCACGCGGTAGACTTCGCGGAAGCAACGCAGAATGTCGTTCGTCCAGTGAAGATACAAGGGAGAGAAGACAATGTTGACGGAGTTGTTTCGAAAGGGAAGGAACTCCTCGTTTACTTGAATGTAGTTGGTCTGGAGAAAACTGTTCTTTTCATTCTGGTATCGAGATCGGGCTAATTGCAGCATGGGGACTCAAAAGATAAAACTCTCCAAGAAGATACATGATGAATCGCATTCGTATAGGGTCTTCACTCCTCCACGATCCCGGATCACAGAAGCAAGCTCTCCATCCCAACAACCGAGATCCACTGCCACTGGAAATTGCCGTTTTATATCCTATGTGCTCAGAAACCACTGTCACATACTAAAAGACGATCACATAGCTGTTCTATGCAATCATTTCGCAAATACGAATAAACCGTGCGATCTTCTCTTTTTGCAACATGATCTCGGTGATAAATCACTGTACCTGGATATTGATAGCAACTCTCCGAACTCTACTCCGATCGAACAGTTGCGGCTTGCTAGAAAAGGATCGAGCAAGAAGAGCATATGTCGGTTTTCCCCATTTCAAAGTTGATTTCAACATGAGAAATAGGAATCAATGAGCTTGTGCACAATCCAAAAATAAGTAGTATTCCCACCCAAACTTTTTGGCAGAAAAACTCTCTGTGAGTTTCTCATTATCGCCAATATCTGCTTACTATATATCCCTAATTTAATTATTTGATGAGTGACAGCTATTCAACGCTGATCGATGTTTATGTGTGCTCTCCAGAGACCAACTAATGTGTAGAGGCAGTTAACGAGTAATAAACCTCGTATGAAAGAGAATTTTCAGAAACTTGATACAGATCGAGATGAGTGTTTATCTCAGAGCGAATTTCGACAGCTCTTGAGCAAAATGGATATTGTTTTAAATGATAAAGGTACGACTGCTCGTTCTCCTTCAAGATGACAGATCTGGCATACATCTTCAATCGGAATGCGTCACATGGAAGGCTACGATACGCGGACTTGAGTAGAGATCTCAAAGAGTATGCTAAGTCGGATTTGTCCCAAACTATGGTTCTATCAATCTTTTCTATTCATGGTAGAATTTGCAAGACACTTCTATGTCTGAATATGGTGCTGACGGAGGGACTCGTTTGCGAACCATCCGTGATATGAACATTCCAAAGAACTACAGCATGAACGCGTACACCCACATCAGCCGTCAAAATGTTTCGCGTATTGAGGATTCCTTCAGCGAGTCTCAAGCGTTTCCCACCTCCGTTTTTCGATCTGGCCACATCATCCAGCCTTCCGAGCGAAGATCCAACGCCTCCGACACCAGCACCTCCGTTCTAAGCGCACTTCCTAGCTGTTTGGACCGATCGGTTTTTGTCACCTGTAGATAGCTTTCGCACCAACCTGGAGTACATCCACAAAAACGTGGTCGTTTCTTCGTTGTTCGCGATCAGCGAAGGTTTTGCCGCGCTTTCTAGACTGAGCAGTAGAGGTTATTCGGTCGTTCTTTGCGGCAATGCAGCAAGAACTCATCAAGGTGGCTTCTCTAAGACACTCCTCCTTCTTTCCGGTCATGGATTCCGATAGTTCGTACAAATATGTGCTGATGATGGTCTGGATGCCTCGCTCCTATATCAATGGCACCGTGGAGTCTGTCTTTGGAAAGGAGGCGTGGCGCGATGTCTGTAATAAACATGTCAATTCCTACGGTTTAAAGTGCGACTGGATGATTGACATTCATCCTGACTACTGCATCGATAAACTCCTTGTATATTGCAGAGTTTGTTAACAAACAATGATCTGAGGATGGTATTGACAAATACCAGAATAACTGTTTTTCTTTCTTTCTTTACTTTTCGTTGCGGATGCGACGAGCCAGCTGCATATCTCTCGGCATGATCGTCACACGCTTGGCGTGGATGGCGCACAGGTTGGTATCTTCGAACAGAGAAACCAGGTAAGCCTCAGCAGCCTCCTGAAGAGCCATCACAGCAGATCCCTGGAAACGGAGATCGTTCTTGAAGTCCTGAGCCACCTCACGCACCAGTCTCTGGAAAGGCAGCTTGCGGATCAGAAGCTCAGTGCTCTTCTGATACTTGCGGATCTCACGCAGAGCCACAGTTCCGGGGCGATAACGATGGGGCTTCTTCACAGCTCCAGCAGCGGGCGAACTCTTACGAGCGGCCTTGGTAGCCAGTTGTTTACGAGGAACCTTTCCTCCAGTGCTTTTACGAGCAGTCTGCTTAGTACGAGCCATTGAAATTAACAATAATGTGAGAAATAGATCTGGAGGAATGACAAAATCCGCGCCAAAACTGATTTTCAAAATGATTGGAGCAAATTTATAGTGGCGAATTTCCTCCAATCAACCTCCCATTCCTTCAAGGAACGATTTTTGTAGGAATCGAAGGTTTGTTTTGAATAAAACTCATAATATATTTCAAACACTACATTCGAAATGTCTGGACGTGGAAAAGGAGGAAAGGGACTTGGAAAGGGAGGAGCGAAGAGACATCGCAAGGTGATGCGTGATAACATTCTGGGTATTACGAAGCCCGCCATTCGTCGTCTGGCTCGCAGAGGAGGGGTGAAGCGTATCTCGGGTCTGATCTACGATGAAACCCGTTCTGTGCTGAAGACCTTCCTTGACGGAGTGGTTCGTGACGCTGTGACGTACACGGAGCACGCCAAGAGAAAGACTGTGACTGCTATGGACGTTGTGTACGCGCTGAAGAGACAGGGAAGAACCCTGTACGGTTTCGGCTATTAATCTGGTATTTTTCAATGCCTTCCGATTGCTTCTTTATTTGTTTGTTTGTGAATACAGATTTTGGGATATAGATTGCACTGATTAGCGTGTTTGCCTTAATCCCTCAAATAATGTTTAACGTGAAAGTTTCTGAAAATACAGAGTTTGGAATTCCACAAGAGTTGGGGGCGTCCTATCAATCCACCATGGTCAATGTGGTCAACACGATTATTGGCGCTGGAATCCTTTCTATTCCCTCAACCATTCATAGTACAGGGATTATCGGGTCTTTCCTTTTTCTTTTTGGCTCCCTTCTTATTTCTCTCTTGGGCGGATTCTATCTTATTGTGGCTGCAGCCTACACAAAGCGAGATTCCTTTGGAGAGATCGCTTATGCCCTCTACGGACCCACTGTGAAGCTGCTGGCCAATCTAACTGTTATCATTTATGAGATGGGAGTTTCCACTGCCTATTTCGTTATTCTGTTTGACCAGGTGGGGGATTTGCTGCAAGCCTGGAACATAGCAGACGCCACCTTCGTTTATGAAAACAAATGGGTGAGCGAAACGTGAGTTTGTTTTCACTTCTAGTGGATCATGTACCTTGTAACTTTATTCCTGTCGGTTCCCCTCCTATCGATCCGATCCCTAGACAACCTGAAATACACCTCTTTCGGAGCGGTCATTTGTATAGCTCTGTTTGTGTTCATTTCGATCTACTTGGGGATTGCTCAGCTGGTCGACCAGGTAAGGCTTCTCTGGTTTCTTGACAGTAGCCACTGGAGTACAACTACTGGCCGATCGACTTGAAGAACGTCGCTGCTTCCATAGCAGTGCTCTCATCTGCGCTCTGTTTTCACTCCAATGTCCCGAAGTTGGTTTACGAGCTCCGACTCCCCAAGAAATCCAAATACACATCCAAAATATCCAAAATGTTTAAGATTGGAACTCGAGCCGCGATTGCCTGTACCTTGCTGTACTACATTGTGGGTGTTTTCTCGTACATCGCTTTTGGGAAAGATATCGCTGGCAATCTACTCACCAATTTCCAGCAGAAACAAGTCTGGTATCTAAGCATTGTCAAGTTTGCATACGCACTCGTTATTCTCTTCTCCAACCCGGTGGTTGCCTATCTGTCTGTCGTCACAATAGATCGGTACCTTTTCACAAGCGAAAGGACCTATCTGCGAAGACTTGCAGAAAGCTTAGTCTGGTGTACAGTCGTTTGGTTCTTAGCGATCATGGTACCTCAGCTCGATGTTGTCTTCAGTTTTACCGGCTCCACGGGAGGAATTCTTCTCATTTACGTTCTTCCCTCGCTCTACTATCTCGCTGTGGTGAAGAGACTTCGAAAAAGGAACGATGCGAAATCCCTTGCTTTTGTCGGTCCAGGCTGGCTCGTTCCGGGAGCATACATCCTTATCGGTTTTTCAATTCTTCTGGGGATTGTCTCCACTGTTTCTCGAATATTACTTCTTTTAGAGAGTTGCTTTTTTTGTTTGAAACGCCTTCCACCTTTACCAATAACTACTGTACGCGCAAGAGTTACTAAACAATCAGTCTAGTTTGCTCTATCGAAACCAAATATACAATGAGGATGACTAACTATGCGATAGTCAACCTGATCCTCTTTGGAATTGTCTTTTTAGAAGTACTATTTCTCATTGTACTATGTTGTTTAAATGAGCAGACGATCAAAAAGTAGCCCACGTTTATATACTCAAAATTGTAGTTCATTTTTCTGGTTTCTGCTCTATGCCCTTCTGTGGACTGTTTTGCGAGTTGCACAGTCTCTTCCCGAAGTTGCAGAGAATGCAAAACTCTCTCTGTGTGTCTTATATCTGATTTATCCGTGTGTGATTTATTCCTTTTTACTTCCCTCATATCACTATATTTATGTACCTGTCGTGTTCTACTCCGACATTGTAGAGTCTTTACGAAACACGATGTAAAAATACTAGACTTCTTAGTTGGATTTGGAGAGTATTCGTAGCTTTCGAATTTGTTTGCTATATCGTGCTTGGCTTTTCTTCTTCTTCTTTAGTCCTAGAATTGTGCAGCTTTCGCATGGACCCGCTACGCTGACAGTATTTATCTGTTTTTGCCTTGAGTTCTCTTGAGTGTAGACATGTCATAGAGGCGGTATGCATGATACTAGCATTCCTCGTTTCTCTGATGCAGCTGGGTCTTTCAGCGTCCCGTCGGTTCTCCATCAGCGAGAACAGAACAGTGGGTACTTTTATCTGCGAAATCGCCCTTAATATCCTCGTCGTGTTTCATTTCCTGTTTTGTCCTCGTCCATTCTCTCCATTCTAGCTTCATCCTCTTCAGTATCTTCCATGTGGTCCGCATTTCATTCGTCCCCAACAACTTGGATGCCATTCTATTTTTCATTTGTTTGGAACTTCTTCCCCTCCAGCTACTCATTCTGCTAGTTTTTAACTTCAACTTCCGAGAGTGGGCTCTTCTTTCCGTTCTAAGAGATAGGATCGCTCATTTGGGAAATATCCAAGTTCCAAAAGACCTGGTGGATAGCTGCGTTCGAGAGAATATTCTGAAAAGCAATCCGACGATCGACGGTCCGTTCAACACCCAAGACGTGCAGTATATGCTCACGTTAACTACTCGCAGTCACAAAGATAGTGAAGATGGTGTATACCACATGGACGAGTCTCGGCATTATCTTTCAGGTTTGGGTGGAGTTGGCATCTAAGCGTAGTGAGCGAGCACTTCAGTTCAGTTGATCGACCTGTTAGTCCTTCCGAAAGCGTCGGATTTCCGTTGGCGGGATAAGCTCACTCTAGTTTCCCTCACTTTGTTGTTGTTTCTTCAAACAAATACGCATAGTGTACAGAACTGCGTAATCGGTCACAACGCTGCTTCTCGGATTCCAACTGTCTTTGGAGATCCTTTCTACCGTGTTACAAGTGCAGAAAGCGCTCACTCATTCTCCTTTAGACTCTTTAACTTTTCAGATAGCTCCATCTTCGCTTCGGGTACACGCTCGTCGATAAGCGCAGCTCCTACTAAATGGACGAGGTATTCTCCTTCCCCAATGTTGTCGATTTCCTGAGTTTTACAAACGCAGTAAGAAAAAGATTTCTACCTTAAGGATATTGTTGAGCTCTTCTTGCTCCGTCTGATTCACTTCGATTTGCGAGAAAAGGTGACTCACCACTACCATTCACGCTGGTCCTTCCAACGCCCACTCGCCTCGCTGATCTCCAGTTCCCTCTTTCCCTCGGCAGACATTTACCAGTCTCAAACAAACATAAAAATTAGGATAACAAGCGACAAAACTGACCACTTTACTCTCCTTACCAAGCGAAGTTGAAGTTCATCGTAGCAGGGTTCTGCTGAGCGGGCTGCTGAGGCTGCTGCTGCATGCCATAGCCGTAACCCATCTGGGGCATTCCATATCCCATCTGCTGCTGGGGCTGCTGCTGAGCCTGCTGCTGCTGGGCCTGCTGCTGCTGCGGCATGCCATATCCCATCTGCTGCTGCGGCATTCCGTAGCCCATCTGCGGCATTCCATAGCCCATCTGCTGCTGAGGCATACCATAACCCATCTGCTGCTGAGGCATTCCGTAGCCCATCTGCTGCTGCGGCATACCATAGCCCATCTGCTGCTGGGCCTGCTGCTGAGGCTGCTGCTGGGCCTGCTGCTGAGGCTGCTGGGGCTGAGCAGGCTTGTTGTAAAGATCCATGATGGAGGCCATCGGATTCACCGCGGGCTGGGCAGCAGGAGCCGCAGGCTTGGCAGCCGCCTTGGGAGCGGGTTTAGCATTAATAGACATATCTCCGAACAGCTCGGTCATAGGAGACACAGGAGAAGGTTCAGGGACAGGAGACATGTTGAACATATCGTCATCAGCGTCGAAATCATCATCCGCCAGCTGCTTCTTGACAGGCTTCTTAGCAGGAGACTTCTTCACAGGAGCCTTCTTCACGGGAGCCTTCTTGGCAGGAGCCTTCTTCACGGGCTTTCTCTCCTCCTCCTCAGAGTACTCCTCCTCCTCCTCCTCTTCATCCTCCTCATACTCGGACTTGTCGTCGGCTACCCATCTTCTCTGCTCGTATTTAGCACGAATGAATCTTTCCAACTCAGCCATCGAACTATGCTCGTCAGGACGAGGGTAGTTCTTGGGGAGCTTAGCCTCGTAAAAGGCATTGACCTTCTTGTTACCCCACTTCTGCATGTTCTTAATGTGCTCATTCTTCCAACTATCAAGAGAGACAGAACGCACAAAAGAAATGTGCACTCCCAAGTTTCTGTGGACTCCAGAACAACGAATGCAGATAAAGCTACCCAGAGTAGCAGAAGCCCATCTAGGTCCTAAACGAATAAGCTGAGCCACAACACAACCTCCTACCCTTAGCTCTGCAATCACAGCAAACCTTATTACAATCCTTCTTCAGGAGCTCTTCCAGAATCTTTTTGTGAGAAGCCTTGATCTGACTCATTCTTTATGGTTAGAAATTGAGAAATGTTATCTTTGCCATTTTACGGCCATTTTCGGCCATTACTTGGGCGTTTCAAAAGGATATGTATGGCATTTATCCATTATAATCCCTAAACCGTTGTATTCATTGCAGTATATTCCGGGCGTTAAATGGACATATGTTGCCAAAACCACCCAAGGAACAAAATAGCGTTAGAATGATCGCTCCATGCCACGGTTGCATATTTATGGAACAAACAGGGACTAGTCTTCCTTGACATATTGACAATAAAATCCCTCAGCCATTTCCCTCTCCCTTTCGAAAACATTCTGAACCCTACTATAGTCCTACGCCTCAAGATCGGCACGGAGACGAATACCTTAAAATCGAACCATCGAAAAAGAGGAGTTTGGGCGATTTTTGTGTACCAGGAACGGAAAAACTATAGCGTCACGCTCAGTCAAACAGAAATGCCTTCTCGTCCAAAAAATACCAACATAAGCCAAAACTAAATCCCACTAAAATACCCACCAACGTCTGAGATAGCGTGTGTTCACCTAGATAGGTTCGGCTACTAACAACCAGAGCCCAGACAATCCAAAGGATTAGTAATGCCAAAACTTTCTGAACTTGACTTGACAGGACCACTCTACTCAGATTGTTTAAAGGAGAATAGCACCCACTTGTTGCACAGCCACAAAGTAAAATAGATACAGAAGCACGACATGAATTGGGAATGATCGGAAGGCATTCCATACGTCTGCTGAACCCCTCCAGCTGCAGATTAGATGCTAGTATGAGCACATACTTAGTGGGCGTGGCTGTTTTATAAGATGCTTTAGTATTTGGTTGAATATGGTGCACAAGATCTATCCTTCAGAAGAGGAGTGTTTCCGTTACCATTTGAATTAGAAAGAAGACAGAATGCATATCCCGGTGCAAAAGGATGGAAGAGCATAAGATGCACACAAAGAAGCTAAAAAGTAATCAAGCTAAGCACAATTCGTAGTACACCGGTGTTAACGATACGAGGGCCATAACCCATCCAACAATTCCGTCCTCTTTGTCATATTGTATATAGGTGAGGGAAAAGGGAACTTTGGTCATTTTAAATTGGTTAGGGAAAAATGAAACTCCTGAACGGTTTATTTGTCATACCATCACTTTTTTCGTGGAATAAATACAATGACACCCCCTGCTGTTGATGGGATTTGCAGTTTGTGCAACTCGGAGCTTTATGGAAAGGTAATTATGATTGCTGGAAAGAACTACCACCACCGGTGTTTTTGTTGCTGCCAGTGTCGAAAGCCGCTTTCTTCCGAAGCGTTCCGTATGCGAAAAGTATTTTTTGAAGTCTTTTCGAATTTATACTTTAGAACAATTTATATTGTATTAATTGCTACAGTGTTGAGTTTGAAAGAGTGTGTGCCGAGTGTAAGGACTATATTACCGATGACAAATTTATCGAAGCCATGGGAAAGTTCTACCATTGCGTACGTGCTTCCCTGTCTGGTTTGATATCTAGAACCACTTCGTATGCTTTTGTTGCAAGAAGCCTTTCCAGGATTCTCAATATGTGCGTAAAGACATTTACTATGCCGGAGAATCGTATATAAGGCCCCTGTGCATGGAGTGTAACAAAAAAACGAAATATATGCCTTGCGCCAAGTGTAATCATCTGATGGGTTCTTCTGTACGTTGAAATGGTGGTGTCCAATGTAGCGTGCGTACGACGGAGAGAAGTTCTACCACAAGTTCTGCTACTTCCAGGACCACCCTGACGATGAAGTGGACGAACACAATTTGCGCCTGTCGGAGATGCAAATGAACGAAGATGTGGCTGCTCATGAGCGGGAAGAGTCCCTGATTCGATCGTTCCAAGAGAAGGAGGAAGAAGAGAAGCTGCAAAAGCAGAGAGAGGAGGAGGAAGAGCGGTTGAGGAAACAGAGAGAGAAGGAGGAAGAGGAAGAGAGAGCGAGGAGAGCGAAGGAGGAAGAGGAGGAGAGGAAGAGAAGAGAAAGAGAAGAGGAGGAGGAGAGAAAGAGAAGAGAGAAGGAAGAGGAAGAAGAGCGAAAGAGAAGAGAAAAGGAGGAAGAGGAAGAAAGAAAGAGAAGAGAGAAGGAGGAAGAGGAAGAGCGACGGAAGGCGGAGGAAGCGGAACGCAAGCAGATCGCCGAGGAGCAAGCGAAGCGTTGGGAGGAGCTTTCGCAGCGCCGCGAGCGTCGTGAGAAGCGCCAGGAGGAAGAGAAGAAAGCGGCGAAGCTGAGGGCAGAGCGCCGAGAGGCAGAGCGACAGAAGCACAAAGAGGAGAGAGAGCGCAACATGAAGCTGCGCGAGACGCGCAGACAGGAGCGGAAGGAGCGCGAGGCGGAGCGCAAGCAGGCCGAAGAGAAGCTTCGTCAGGAGCGAGAAGAGGAGCGTCGCCGTCGCAGCGAGAACCGTCCGGACCGCCCCGCTCGCGAGATGCTGGAGGAGTACCGCACCAAGGATCGCTGGGTGGATTTCGCGGAGTCGGAGGACGAGGTCGATCTGCCCACGGAGAAGAAGGCGCAGCCGGAGTTCCGCCAGCCGTCGTTGCCGCCGGCGCCGCCATCGGAGAGCACGACAAAGAACACGCGGGTGGTGTCGGTGACGGACATGCTGCGAACCAGCTACATGCCGACGCGACAGACCACGGTGGAGGAGTACCAGGATCAGGGCGATGTGGCGAAGTCCACCGTGTTCGCGTACCCGCAGTACGGAGACTATCGAAAGAAGAACCGAGAGAGCATCGAGGGAACCTTGCACAGCGAGAGCGGAGACCGGAGACCGGAGGCCATCAACGAGGTGGACGAGGAGGAGGATGCTCTGAATGCCAAGCCAGAAGAGGTGGAGGACGAGAATACCAAGCCAGAAGAGGAGGAGGACGCTCTGAATGCCAAGCCAGAAGAGGCGGAGACTGGAGACAAAGCGGACGGCAGACCGGACGAAATCGCGCTGGAGAGCAGCTCGGACGACCTGAACACCACGCTGTCGACATCGATGCTCAACGCGATTCCCAACACTGCCATCTCGTCGGGCGATGCCCCCAAGCCGGAAGGCGTCATGGGCATGCGCGGAGAGGACGAGGAGGAGAAGCAAAACGAAGCGGACCTGCCGCAGGAAAAGGTCCTGAGCTGTAGCGGTGGGATCCGTCCCTCACTGTGTAGATAATGTGGACACGGCGTATCTGAAGGAACAGGAGCGCGTGTCGAAGCTGCCTGTCGAAGAGCTTAAAAGTTACAGTCTTCAGGTTTTAACGGTGGCCTTTTCTTGTTGGGAGCGATGTGTAGACGATGCCTTATCCTGCGGACGTGGATCCGAAGAGACGAGAGTATCACCTCTCGGATAGTGACTTTGAGTTAGTGTTCAAGATGTCCAAGAAGGTCTATCAGACACTTCCTCAATGGAAAAGAAACCAACTGCGTAAGTCGTATGGTCTATTCTAATTGTAATGAGTTGCTTGTTAATATTTCGTTTTGTTTGTTGGCCATGCATCCGAACCGTGTGTTTAACTTCAAGTTTGAAGCGAGACAAAAGGGTCTAGTGAAACTCCCATGGATAAATTGATCTTCATTTTAACTATTGTTAGTCAAGTCTGATGAAGAACGTGTGTAATTTCTGTAAGAAAGAGATACCGACTCCGGAGGTGATGATCGATCAACTTGAGTATCATTACGAGTGTTTGGTTTGTCAAGGCTGTAAGAAAAGTGTCATTGACGCCCCTTTTCGCATGAGAGACGTAAGTTTGGACGGGTGCTTCCTAGTTGTCTAGAACGTTATATACTGTAACAATTGTTTCAAAAAGGCAATATCTGTGTACTGTGCAGGATGTAAAAAACTTATTCAGGGAAGCAATCGAATTCACGTTATGGGAAAGTATTACCATCCAGTGGGTTTTGGGGCTCATTTTAAATCTCAGGAACATTTCGTTTGCTTCAGTTGTCAAACTGTGTTGCAACCTTCTTTTTACAAGGCAAAAACAATTTGTGTCGATGGTTACACAGCCCTTCGTTCCTTTTGCAACAATTGCGCTCAGCGACTGGAGAACTCTCTCTGCCCGAATTGTAACCAAGCTTTATATGACTTGGTAGCGATGTTCCATGTTGCTCACGTGTAGCTGGAATTCAACAACGGCAGCTACTCCCACATTGATTGTTCGATGAGAGAAACCCAGTCTGGAGCTTCTTATGCGCCCGAACCCAAGAATGAGATTGGTGACGAAAAGGAGCCTATGTTTGTGGAAGAGTCTCCGAGCTCTGCGATTCCTCCACGCACTGGTTATCCCGGTGATCCTGGTTATACCGGCAAGACGTCGTGGACGAAACTCCAAGAAAGAGCGAAAGAAAGACCCCACGAGAAGCCGGATGCGAGTTCAGTTCCGAGCGATGCGTACACGAACTTCGAATCGCAAGGAAATGTGCGGAGCCGCGCTGGCGAGTACGAGAAATCGACGCGTGATGGCGTGGATCGAAGACCCGAAGATGTGGAGAACGCCTACATGAGAAACTTTGTATCGCAGGGAAACGTGCGCGAGCGCGCAGATGCGTTTGAGAAAGCCACGAGGGAGGGCCTGGATCGAAGACCGGACGATGTGGAGAACGCCTATATGACGGACTTCGAGTCGCAGGGAAACGTGCGCGAGCGCACGGACGAGTTCGAGAAGTCGGCCAGACGCGATCGACTGGGCGAGCCGAAAAAGCCTGCGGATCTGAGCGATTTCGAGCTGCAAAGAAGTGTGCGGGATCGCGTGAACGAATTCGAGGAGTCTGCGAGGCGAGATCGACTGGGCGAGCCCAAGGAACCCGCGGAACTGAACGATTTTGAGTTGCAGGGAAGCGTGCGAGATCGCGTGAACGAATTCGAGGAATCGGCCAGACGCGATCGACTGGGTGAACCGAAGGAACCCGCGGAACTGAACGATTTCGAATTGCAGGGGAGTGTGCGAGATCGTGTGGATGAGTTTGAGGAAACAGCGCGACGCTATCGACTGGGTGAACCAAAAGAACCTGCTGATTTACATGATTTTGAGTTGCAGGGGAGTGTGAGAGATCGCGTGAACGAATTCGAGGAAGCGGCGAGGCGTGATCGACTGGGCGAGCCCAAAGAGCCCGCAGAACTGAACGATTTTGAGTTGCAGGGAAGCGTGCGAGATCGTGTGGATGAGTTTGAGGAAGCGGCGCGACGCTATCGACTGGGTGAACCGAAGGAGCCTATCGAATTGGACGATTTCGAATTGCAGGGAAACATACGAGATCGCGTGAGCGAATTCGAGAATTCCCAACGATTTGAAGACCTGAGTACGCCCAAAGAACCCGTAAAACTCCACGATTTCGAGCTGCAGGGAAGCGTGCGAGATCGTGTGAACGAGTTCGAACGATCAGGACGAAAGGAGGGTCGAGACGCGAGACCGGAGGAGGCGGAGAACAAGCATCTCGCCGACTTTGAATCCCAAGGAAATGTGAGAGATCGACTGGAGACTTTTGAAAAGCCGGAAAGAAACGAAGCCTTCGACGCAAGACCTGAAGAGCCTGAGGAGGAGTCCGAAGCACAAGTGGAACAGGATGAGCCGGAAGAACCCAAACAGATTGAAGAACCTAAAGAGTCGGAAGAACCCAAAGAGCCTATTGAACCAGAAGAATCAGAAGAGTCGGAAGAATCAGAAGAGTCGGAAGAGCCAAAGGAACTTGAAAGACATGAAGAACCTGAAGAGCCGAAGGAGCCTGTAGAGCCTGTAGAGCCTGTAGAGCCTGAAGAGCCTAAAGTACGTGAAGAACCTGAAGAACCAAAGGAGCCTGCAGAGCCTGTAGAGCCTGCAGAGCCTGCAGAGCGTGAGGAAGAGGAAGAAAAGCCTCGCGACTCGCTCCTGGACGACAATTCATCGGTTTCTTCCTCCGATTCGGAGGATGCCCCCGCCGAGCTCTCCGAGCCTGGTAAGAGTCATCGCCCTCGCCTTAGAAACCCTAGAATTCGACGAGGAAGAGTACCGACGAGAGCAGGAGCGACTGGCCGCATTGCCTCGTGATAAATTGACCATATATCCGTATGAAGTGCTGAAGGTAGGCGCGGAAAGAGAGGGTGAGGGATGTAGGGATCCACGCTGCCGAGGGATGTGGATCGCGAACGAAAGCAGTACCACCTCTCGGATGAGGAGTTCGAGAAATTGTTCGGCATGTCGAAGGATGAGTTCAGTCACTTGAAAATAGGAAAGCAGAACTGGGAACGAAAGAAACGTCAGCTCTTCTAAAGTGTTTCTAGGTTTCCCTTCTAGTGTGTTTGTATTTCGTTTTGTTTGTGAAAAACAGATGGGAGTGGGATCCCCTGTTTTGGGGCATGTGTTTGATAACTGGAACGAAACGGTCTTTAAATAGCATTTATCAACGATATCATGGATTATACCCCAGTATCAAAGTATAGACATGTTTTTTGTCCTGGTCTGAAGCGTTGAGACTATGATATTCCTTAAGATTAGCTGAAGAGATCTACCAAGGATTCAGAGTGGCAACGACTACAGGAGATCAGAACTACATCAAAGGTAATTCTAAGTATTTTGCTTTTCCTGCTGCCGGTGGTGGTGGTCCCATCTGTATCCGAAAGCATAATACTCCCGGAAGAATGCCCAACCAACTACCTCTTCTATCTGGGCATAAGTAGCTCAGATTTTTTGGTGTGAAGTCTAGGGGAGATCTTTGTGATTTCGATTTCAACCCTTTTAACGATGAGCAAATTATCAGCTCGTCTGCAGACCTTACGATTATGGTTGAATCTCCTGTCATTATCTCATTGGTAGCTTTGGGAGTTCCCTGAGGGCGGTCCGACCGAAACGATTACGGAGCCGCTTCTGACCCTTACAGGACACCACAGAAAGGTCGCCTTTGTGGAGTTCAATCCTGTAGCCAACCTGATTGCTGTCTCTGCTTCAGCGTAGTTCCTGTCCGATTCCTCTCACTCTAGCGATGGTACCGCCAAAGTATGGGACTGCAAGCTCGGCGATGAGGTCATGACGTGCAATTTCAAGGCGCTTCCCCAGGATCTCCACTGGAGCTATGGAGGCGATATGTTCTGTGTCTCCTCCAAAGACAAGATGAACCGTCTCTTCGATCCTCGTGAGAATCGGATCATTGCGGAGTGGAGTCCGCACAACGGCACGAAATGCTCCAAAATGACGTGGACCGGCGAGCATCCACGCATTATCACCACTGGATTCAACCGCTCCTCGCAGCGCGAGTGGAAGATGTGGGATCTGCGCAACCTGGCGAAGCCGATCAGCCACGACGCCTTGGATCAGTCGTCGGGCACGCTGCTTCCGTTCTTCGACCCGGACACCAACATGCTCTATCTTGCAGGCAAGGGCGATGGCAATATTCGCTACTACGAGGTGATGGAGTCCTCGCTCTACCCGCTCTCCCAGTACTCCTCCACCGTCTCCGCGCGCGTAGCTTCCACGTTTCTCCTTTTCTCTAGGGCCTCTGCATGCTTCCCAAGAAGGCCTGCGACGTGAATCGCTGCGAAGTGGCGCGCATTATGAAGCTGACGGGGCAGGGCGACGTCGAGCCGCTGCCCTTCATCGTGCCGCGCAAGTTCGAAGGCTACCAGCCCGACGTGTACCCGCCTTCCTATGCCGGAATCCCCGCGATGAGCAACGAGGAGTGGCGATGCGGACAGAACAGCTTCCCCGTGCTGATGGTAGGCGATGAGCTGGGGTTGGACGCGTAGTCGCTGGAACCGGGCGTGGAGAAGACGCTGAAGCATGAGTTTGTGCCGTTCGAAGTGGGAGAAGTCCATGAAGACAAGCCCATGGCGTCCATGCCGACCGCCCATCGAGAGGCCTCGCCGATGCCCACGTCGATGGGAGGACATGGAGAGGCTTCTCCAATGCCCGCGTATGTGCCGAAACAGGGGAAGATGACGGTGGATGATGTGGAGAAGGAGCTGACGATGCTGATGGAGAGAATGGAGTTCCTGGAGAAGACGCTCCAGGAATTGAAGAAGGAAAATGCGAAAGACTTATAGTGTGTGTGTGAAGTTGTTTGTTTGAAAAGGAAAACGTTGAGTATTGGTTCAAATCTTTGGTTGTTGGTGGCGATCGTTTTATCTAATCGGAAATGCCTAATACATCAGAGATATACCGACAAAATGCAATCCTCGAGTATCAAAATCAACTCAAGGCAAAACTAGCGAAGCAGCATGTTCAGCGTGAGGGAGAAGTCCCTATGTATGCTCTTCTTCTTTTAGACTCATATTTAGAAATGGAAACGCAGAGTCTTTCAATCTGGGAGATATTATGGTATCGAATATTATGGAGTCTCGCTATTTCTTCAAAGTCCTGTATGTCGAGAAAGGATGTGTATTAGGTTCTAGAGACCTTACGGACATCGAGGAAGTGATCAATGAGATAAAACGAGAAGTGCATGACTTGGGTTCGTTTTTCGTTGTATGGATTTGATGGTTAGAGCCGCTGGTGATTGGTTCGTCTCGTCATCCCTCCTCTGCCTTCTGCATTTTATACAAACTCTCACGCATGCGAATCACCTACCAAGAACTCAGTGAATTAATCCATTGCTTAGATAACTCCTATGTGCGAGGCATTGGTTATCTCTACATCCGTTTCGCAATCGCTCCTCGCGAGCTCTGGAAGTTCTACGCTCCCTACTTCGACGACAACACTTCCTTGGTTCCCTTCAGCGACAAAACCCCAACGTTTCCCCGTTTCCCCTATTTCACCTTCAGAACGATCGGGCGCTTCGTGACCGGGCTGATCACAAACAAGCGCTACCAAACAGTGATGCTTCCGACGATTCCGATCGTCGTAAAGCGCGACTGGGAGGTGAATTTGATCAAGCTGGACGCGCTGAATAACCGCGAAACAAAGCCGTGCGAGATCCACGTGGGGGACAGCGTGATGGGGTTCTACGCAGTGGACATGAAATGGTACCCCGCGAAGGTGCTGAAGGTGCTGGAGGCGGACTTGCTGTACATCATGTACGATGTGTACAACAACAAAGAGATCCGAACGCGCGGACATGTGCTCGTGGAGGGAGAGGACCCCGTGAATATTAAGTAGGAGTGAGGGAAAGGAGTGAGAGCGAGGCCGAAAACGCCAAAAGAAGAATCGAGCGATGCGATCTCGACTTCGTCGCGCCGGCGGCCGTCGAAAAGTCCGTCAAGAAGCCGGTCAAGAAGCCGGTCAAACAGCCGAAATCGGTCCAGAAGTCGGTCCAGAAGTCGGTCGCATTCTCATCGACATTCTCATCATCATCACCATCATCATCACCATTCTTCTTCGTCTTCTTCGCATCATCGTCGCTACGATTCCGCAGTGTGCGTCTTGTTGACTTCTCTGATGCATAGCTCGCCTGTCTTTGATGATAAGCGATTGCAGGAATTGGTGCGAGAGAAGGAGCGCGAATCGGTTACCACCTCGAGCAGCCATGTCGCCAACACGGTGGGACATGTGAAGCAGTCGCTCATGCTGAAAATGGATCGATTTACTGCGAGAAAGCAGGATTACCAGCCCGAACGAAACGTGGTGGTGAATAAAATCGAGGCGGAGGATTCGCTGGAGAAGCTAAAAGAGGAAGAGGCGAGGAAGGAACGCGAGCGCGCGAATCGGAAGCGCCTTGAAGAAATCCAGCAGCGTTATAGTCGAAATAAAGAGGAGGACAAGTACAACCCGGACTATTATTTCTGTGTTTGTGGAACAAACAGACGATCAGTACATCGTGTCCCACTTCATACCAGTGTGAACACCGCAGGGATTCATGAGCTTATCGTAGTTCTTCATGATGCGATCGTAGAGAGTAGCGTATGTATTCCGAATATCGATCACGGCTTGAGAGATTAGAAGAAGTCTGCATGGCAGCAAGTCGCAAAGCTTACTCTTTGTTGTCGTATGTCGCAATTCCATTCATGTAATCAGCGATGTGAGGGTTTTGACGACTCTAACGATCACCCAGAACACAGAATCGATACGCTCACGATGTACGAAGCGCGAGTTGCAAAGTAAGTGATCATTTCTGACAGAACTTGACGAGCTGAGTCCAACGAATCCGAGAGATTGCTGATAATCTCACTCTACCATCAAATGGGGCACAGATGCGATACCTGGACTTCCACACCAAAGTTGTTTCCATCTTCCTTTCGCGGAAGATTCAGAGAAATATAGAATCTAACAACACAGGACACATTGCACTCTTACTTCACAGTAAGGATATAGTTGATCATATCCCATAGCTCTGACTTTATTTTTTCTAGCTGTTTGCAAATCACCTCACGTTTAGGACCACACCCAGTACCCTACTTCATTCGGAGGAATAATGGCGTCCCTTGTTTCAATATGGGCTTTATCTGGCTCCAGACAAACTAAAATATCCTAGTAGATTGAGAGCATTTAAAGTAAGCAAACTTTCGACAATTCATTTAATGCGATAATCTTTTTAGGCATCTTAATTTTTATTATATCGATCGCTTCTTTCCTGGTTTCTTCGACCAGATTATCAAAACTCTACAAACTCAATCGAAAACGTAGACAACTACTTTCTTAACTTCCGGATCAATCTGTTCCATATTAATAATCGTATTAAACAAACAATGGAAAGAATCAATACTTATCCACAGCCCATATATAGGTATAACTTTAGAAGATATACAAGACAACTTGTCCGAGTGGTTAAGGAGACAGACTAGAAATCTGTTGGGCTTTGCCCGCGCAGGTTCGAATCCTGCAGTTGTCGTTTTTTGCGAATCTTTTTTGCACATTGATGCAAGTGAGAATACTCGAACACGCAGATCGAAGCATATGGTTATCGTTTTCGTTCATTACGATTCTACACTAAATTACCATCCAAGACTCGACTCGACATCTCTTCCATAACTCCTTAGCAAGCGATAAGCCTCGAACGTTTGCTGATTTACAACGCGACAGTCCTTTCCTCCCAAAATAAAGCAGATCGGAGTCTCCACCTTCTCCATCTCCCTAATCGGATTCACTGCATAGATTCTCTGCAAATCCTCGAGTGAATAAACATATTGTCCTCTCAGGACCATTCGTGTTTTCTCTGTTGGCTCCCCTCGCGAAGGAATGATCCCTGCGAGGACCAGCATCCATGAAGACATGTCGGATGCAGTCAACATCGTTACGGTGTCAAAAACTCCATTCCGCAGAATCGCATACTACATCAAAGACACTCAATTCGACTACTCGGAACAAGGTCGGTCTCGTTTGTAAAAGTTTCATTCCGATAAAACCTCCATAACTACTTCCCATCAAATAAAGAGAGTCAGGAGAAAGGCTTGGCCTCGCTCTCAGCGCCGTCTCGATACTATCCAGAACATCACGGATTTCAATATCTCCTATGTGTCCGCACAAACTGTGCAGAAAAGCGTCGCCCGCCCCGAACGATCCGTGGTAGTTTGGAACCAAAACGGTGTATTTCTGATGCACATAAAACAAAATATCGGGCGTGTAGCAGGCTGCAAAGCAATTGTGCGGTCCTCCGTGAAGCAAAACGATCATCGAATCGCTCTGTTCGTTGGACGGTTCATAGAGAATCATTCCACAACCGTTCTGATCCTTCGAACTCATCACACTCCATTGAATGAGCGAAGAATACAGGCCTGATTCAATCGATCTCAATCCTGTCTCGCATACTTGAAAGAATCTTCCATTCTCATACAGCGCAAGACAAGGAGGACAATCGGGAGCGCTTAGTCGATAGGCTTTGCTTCCCCACACCTCGCCGACGTACTCGGTAAAAGAAAAGGGGGAATCGTTCCAAGTAATGGTGTCTGGGGTAGATGTATTGATGGAGTAACAAACGCACTTCGTTCCCTGAATGCAGTTCACAAAAAACTCCTTCCATGGTCAAGGAAATGCACAAAAGCAGAGAGGATATGATCCGTCTGAAGAGAATGACGTGTCTGGAAGCGAGAAAAAGAAGATTCCGGCATACCCGTCTGCTCGAGGTGTTTCCTGATGGTCTACAAGCAGTTTCCATGTCTTGGATGGCACATCAATCGCTATGATTTGCAAGGACGAATTGTGAGAAAGAACGCTTCGATGAGGCCCCAAAACGATGAGTTGATTCTTTGCCGAATTGAATCGAACGAGTTGAGGATTGCACTATTCCTACTCACGACTGCGGATAACAAGCTACTTCGAGGTCTAGAATGTCCACTGTGTGAGTATTCAGATCATAAAACAGAAGTGATGAGGGAAGCGTGCAGAATGAATCCATACTCTCATGGACAGGCATTTTGTACCAACCGATCATGCAGAGCAACGATTCTGAACACCAAACAGGTTGTCCATAGGAATAACAAGGAGGAAGGTTGTCCAAAAAGAAGGAATCGCCCTTAGTGAGATTGATTACACATGGAATCATATCAACAACAGATGTATTGGATAGCCATGGCGTATCATAAGTGAATGGCAGTGGCTTCGGACTACAGGCCATACTAGGTGCATCAAGAGAATAAATAATGGACAATACGCAATGTTCCTTTCTTCTTTATCCCACGCAATCCCGGAAAATAAGCCACTAGCAGGAGAATAACCTTCAAAACGAACCTGGCACACTTCCTTATAGGATTCTGATTCTATCACACCCACCTCAAAGCCATTGATCTCTTTCACATTCCGAATAACAGATAGTATTTCCCAGAAGGAGATACAGATCGGATACCACCCCAGTTCTTCATGAATCCATTTAGTAAGTCGCTTGATACAGGTGGTTGGTCTTTCTGGTTCCATTCCAAGAAAGTCGATACACGAGAGAGTTCGTCGCCATTCGTTGCTTTGGTTTCGATTATATATTTAGGCTCTATATAAATATGTATAATAAATCCTTGCCAGCAGAGTCTGAAGGGTAAATCTTCACAAACTCACTTGACAGATTCTGTATGAATGTTGTATATTCCTTTTTATACTCGGCGTCGGTTTTGAGACTCATTAAATCAAATAGCGGACAAAAATATGATATCCGAAAACTCTGACAATTACTCATTCGTTTGAATGGTATCTACTATAGAAAATACCATCGAGGACTTGATTGATAATGAGCTATATGATGACGGTAGTAGTTGTAAGAGTTATTGAAGTGCAGCGTTAATCCTTGCTGAAGAGTCAAATCTATTACATCGAGATTCAAAGTGGTTGCTCTATATTGGAAAAGCACTCTATCACAAGGGATTGTATTATCGATGTATCTTGTGCTTGGGTGGCTGCAATTCGGCTGAGTCTACGTAGTTGACATTTGATATTTGCTAAAAATAGTATTTTACAGGCAAGAAGCTACTACCATCTCTCCGAGTATGCCAAGGCTGCTGCTCTATTAGAAATGGTTCCAGTATTGTTCGTTATTTTGCTCTACTCCTTAGGATGGTCCGCTGCGTTCTGCTGCTCTCCTGAAGCTTCTGGGAGACATCTATATGCAACTAGGAAAGAAGGATCTCGCCAAAAGCACATACATGTCAAGTTACCACAAAGACAAGAGATTGCTTAGCGTGAGAAAGGCACTCCACAAGCTCGGAATTTGTAGCTTCACTCCTTGGGATGCATTTAATGGTTGTAGTCGTCGAGGAAATTGAAACAGAGGACAAGAACGACGCTCTTCTCTGTCGCGTCATTCAATTAGGCATCCAAGATAGTTGCTTAGTGCGTCACACTCCTCCCTCCACACTGTCTTCGCCTCTCTCTTTGTATTATCAGTTCATTTCTCAGCACGATCGCTCGCAATACGCGGAAGCTCTTTCGTCGTACCAAGCTCTTCGCCAGCTCTGTCCGTGGTGGAGAGAAGGCATCGATCGGTACAGTAGCGTGCTGTTTGTTCAAAAGCACGCCAGCGCTCTCGTTTCGTTGGGCGTTGAAGTCGAACGCTATGAGAAAGACTTGAAGGAGGTGATCGCAGCCAACGGCGTGTGACCTGTAGACCGCTGTTGTGTTGTGCAATCGCGACCTGCTTCGAAACGAAGAGAAATCGATCCATCATTTAGTTAGTGTTTGTGAGAAGCATCCATCCTACTGCTATGGGCATTATCTGTTGGGAGAGGAATATCTGCACCGAGGAGACGCGTCGTCAGCCCTCCAGTACTTTCAAAATGCGCTTCGCGAGGATGATTCGGACTACCGAGTCTGGCTAGGCTTGGGCGATTGCCATTACCTGAGAAAAGACAATCGAACCGCTGCTGCTCACTATTGTCAAGCTCTCACGATCTTTCCTGGCTGTATGAATGCGTATTGCCGACTCGCACGCGCCTGGATCCAGGCCGGAAACCTGGAAAATGCGCATCAGACAGTCAATAAGGGGCTTTCGATCGATAAGAACTGCATGGGAGTAAATGTAGCAGTGTGCCTGTGATCTAGTTACTGCTCCTCAAAGCGGAGCTCTTGAAGAGAAACAAACAATACAAAAAGGCGATCTACTGCTATGAGAAGGTGCGAGCGCGGTGCAGTCTCGAGATCTCGGTGTATATCGATATGGCTCAGTGTTATCACGAAATCGGGAATATTCCTGAAAGCAAACGAATTCTCTTTCTGGCGAGCAAGATCGATTCATCGCACGAACAAGTGATGACCTTATTAAAACAATACGAATATGAATGGCTTCTTTGATGATACAAACAACACAGAAATAGCATTGATCACGGAGCTCGGGAGTTGCAAAGCGATCGATCACACTCTGCACTCTGCTTTTCTACAATCGCACACCACTCACAAACGCAAACAATGGCAGGATCGATCTCCGCGAATGGAGTCGATTCGTGCTTTCTACACTCCTCCGCAGTCAGCAGCACAACGTTATCCAGCGTAGGTGGCTTCGACGTATCCCAGCGAGTTAGTTCCTATGTGAGACTAGTCGATCTGCAGCCTACAAGCCTCGATCCTGCGATGGATTTCCCCGATAGAATGCTGCGCTGATGAAAGATGCTTTGCACCAGGAACATTACATCGAAGCGATCGATGGGAAGCGCCGTGTTCCCGTACAGCTTCTTCTCCTTGGTCTGCAGAGTGTTGCACAGCTTTAGCAACACGTCTTGCGATAAAGGCACGACCGAACTCGCCCTATTTCTCAGGAAAGGCATCCAGAGAGGTACAGGAAGGACTTATGAGACAGTGAGTGCAGAATATACGAGCAGATTGCGTTCCCAAAAGCGGCTGGAACACATCCTACAGCCGTCACCCACGATTCGAACACCTCACCATACACCGGAATCGTGCGATAGCGCATCGTCGAAGAGCTCGGTGCAGCGATCGCTTCCGCCACTTTGGGTTCTTCCGAGTTGGATTGCCGCGCAGCTTCGATCATCATGTCGTTCTCCTGCGTCTTCTCCTGCTTGCTTTCCTCATAAGACATGATGGAAACCACTGGCTTCTCGTAGGAAGACACGCACGGAATGAAAACACCGGACGATGTGTTCACGATCGTGGCTTTCATGGAATCCGTCTCGGTGGTTTGGTTGGAAAACTCGCTCGAATCGAAGTCGATGCCGCGCTTTTTTAGTGTGTGGCGAATCTTCGCGGCTAGGGGATCGTCTACTGTGGTGAGTGACGGAGGAACTTTTACACTTCACGTCGGTGATGTTGGTGAAGAGAAGCGAAGTGGGATTGCTGCGACATCCACTTCCCATGCTTGAGATCACCTTGATATTGTTCCGAATGCAGTACTCGAGGAGATCTGCTTTCGAGGAGTAGTCATCAATGCAGTCCACAACAAAATCACAGGAAGAATCGATCAACGAAGGCAGATTGTCCTTCGACACCAGAACTCGCTGTACAGTGATATTTACCATTGGGTTGAACTCCAAGATGTGGTCTCTCATGACTTCCACTTTGGGTTTGCCGATATCTTTTCTCACAGCCACGGAATGACGATTGAGCGAAGAGACAGTCACGACATCGAAATCAAAAAACGAGAAGTTGCCGACACCGGAGCGAGCAAGCATGTGAGCTGCGTGGCTTCCAACTCCTCCTAAACCCACAATAGCAATATGCGCATTTTCGATTTGTCTTTGTCCCTCTTCCCCAAAGAAAGCGATATTGCGAGCAAATTGCTGGCGATGCATTCTGTCTTCACTATCTGAATCATAAACTCGATTTTAAAAATCTACTTCCTGTCACATCTGAAAAAGACGTTTCTGCTTGTTCTAAAGGTACTGAAGTTTCATCTTTACTCGCTATGACTTTAGGACCCATGAGCGCTTCTTCTACTCTTTGTTAGTTTGGACGAAGGGAGCATCACTTTCAACCCCAAAGCTCTCAATTTTTGGAGTTGGTGAGAAAGTCGGAGCATTTTCTGGATCTCCCGATTTCCAGCATATTTTGGCAAAGCTTCTTTTCGTGTCATTTGAAGCAAATCTTGTTATATATCAAAGATGATTGATATTACATTACTTATATTACTGATCCTCTTTCCTGTCTTCACAATTTTGATTGGATGGAGGCTCATGTACTATTATCTCTCTGACGACTTTGCAAAAGGATTCTATGCTGGCAAAATAGTCTTCGTACTACAGGCAACGGTTCGATTGAGCGTATAGATATTATCTTTGACCATAGCCGTTTCTGCAATCTGCTTCTTCCCGTTGGATGTGGCTAACGCAGGAGGAGCAATTGGCTGTAACGCAAATGGAACAGGATGCGATCGTATTCCTTTTACGTTCATCTGGTACACATTGTTTGTTATCATCGTTGTTCTTCTCTGCGTTGTTCTCCCATTTGTCGTATTCTTCTACGAAACGATGGATATCGAACAACCTCCAACGGGAGAGCGTTGCCGATCGGCTTGCTCTTGGACGCTGGGAGTGATCGTGGTGGTCGCTGCGTTGACAACTATTTTCTGCCTGCTCATTAAGGAGACAGATATTGATATCGAGTCTTTCACCGTGTCTGCAAACAATACCTTCCTCATCGATATGAATCCTGATGATACGCTGATTCGTAGTTCCAGTGATTTTATCTAAGCATAGTTTCCAACTGGGAGGACAAGATCGCAGTCGAGGACTTTTTGTCTCCTGAGGAAATCGATGCTGCGAATAGTGTCACCAGCGTATCGGAGACTCTTTCCATCCCTGTCTCTATCTTCATCCGCATGATCGCCTTCTTCTGCATCATCGGGTGGCTTTTCTTCGTGATCTTCGCTGGCATCGGCATCATCGGGCTTCCCTACAAGCTGATCTAGTAAGTCGCTCTTGTCTCGAATGAGGGAAAGTGGGTTTATAAACCGCCCGACCTACATGCCGAAGGAGCGATTCAACGAGGAGAAGAAGGGCATCGCGGTGCGCATCCAGGAGCTGATTGCGCAGGGCGAGTCGATTACGCAGATGATGGAAGTGTGGGCAGTGCAGGGACTCGATCGTAGGGCACGAAGAACAGCTCGCTGGGATGGAAGGAAAAGCGCCGGCTGAAGAAGGAGGCGAAGAAGGCGTTGGACCAGTACCGAGCAGAATGCAAGGAGCTGGACAATGACTATCTGAAACTCCGCGCGGAGCATCTCAACTACAAAGAAAACAACCCTCTCTTGCCCGTGGCGAAGCTGATTCTCGGCATTCTCTCCATCATCATCTCCATCCTGTGGCTGCTCCAGCTGATCTTCTACGTCTTCCCCAAGCAATTCACTGGCGTCTCGCTCTTCCCCTTCCTCAACTCGATGTTCATCGGTCTGAACGACTACTTCCCGATCCTGGCCTCCGTTCTGGTGCGAGTGCGTGCCCGCCGTTACGCGTAGCTGCTCGTCTTCGCGCTGTATTTCATGTTCTGCACGATCAACGGCGGATTCAGCTTCGGTCTGCGCATGTTCCTCATGAACGTGCACGAAATGGAGCCGCACGACACGCTGATCACGTCGCTCGTGTTCAACGGAGGGTTTTTCCTTCTCCTCTCGCTCGATCGTGTAGTCTGATCCTCATGACGGTCCTGCCGCTTCTGCAGTTCTGCTCGAAAGCGTTCGGCGATTATGCTGCGCAGTCCGAAGTGATTGATATCCTTGCGTGCAGAGTTGTGCAGCGTGGAGATCCTTGACGAGCACGAATCTTCGGCGTGCAGATCGAGTACTTGGAGTACATTTCCTGGCTGTTTAACAACAATGTCTTCTTGTGGATCATGCTCGTTTTTATCGTGTTTGCATGCTTCTACTATGTGGGTGAGGGAGGTGGAGTTGAGACGTAGTCGTGCAGAAAGAGCGATAAGGAGAGAAAGTTAAATAAAACGATGAAGGAGTTGTCTCGGAAGGACAAACATCAAATAGAGCTTAAACGGATGAAGGCTGAGAAGGACAAGGAGGATATGGTTTAATTAATTATAGTACACTTTGTTTTGATAATATATGAAGTGTTTGTTTTTTCATAATTTTTCATGACGTTCCACTCTTTTGGGTAAGGTTGTTTCTGCACCGTTAGACTTTAGCGATATTAAGATCGGGTTTCCTTCGGAGGAATATGCCTCTATCGTAAAACAGGTTCTGGAAGTGGATCCGGAGCTCTCTCCAGAAAAAGTCGACAGAACATACGAAGTTAGCGGAAAAACTTTAGTTGTGTCTGAGTTTGTTGTTTCTCCTGAATTGCAGGCATTTTAGAGCCGTAGATGCAAAGTCACTGCGATTGAGTGTTTCTACGTTTTTCGATATGATTCAGGTAGCGATAAAGACCCTGTCAGAATTTGGAGCTTATTCCAATGTTTATTCTAACAAATTCACCACAAAACGTAACGGTTAAACCATGCTATCGTTGCCACCCTTCTTATCGACAAAGGATCCGATAATATCGAAGAGACCAGCAATACCAATGAGGATGGCACCAATGATGGTGGGCTTCCAGAAACTCCAGCACGTCAGAAGCATGACAACACCAATAATCAAGGGATTGTGAGCAGCAGAAAGCTTCTCGTTGATATTCTTAATGCTACTGAAGCACTTGAAGCATGGGAACCAGATCAATGCAACAACGGCAAGAAGCAGTACGAGGGCGATAATCCAATGGAAGAAGTTACTGTACTTTCCAAAGGAAAACAGTGCGCCTAAACAAAACAGGGAAGCAAGGTAACCAAGCCACTTTCCCCAGACGCTTAATCTGAAGGTTTTAAGCTACAATTGCAAAAATTACCGAAAATGTTACCTCCTTCAACATATTATCACAGAAGCCACTAACAGAACTACTCACAACAGAATCCATAGTAAACTCTTTCTCAATACAAAAATATATGTAAACTTGATAGTATAGAAGACAGCATAATCCATCCCGTAATGCTAGTATTTTATCAAGTATAAACACAAAAAGATATTAGTATTTCATCCTTATTACACAAACAAAGGGAAAAACAATTAGAGGATAAAAATATATATGCCCAATATTCTGGATACCTACTCTTTGCTCGCCTGACGGCTACGCTCCATATAGCTCTTCACAAAGGCTTTCACATGTTCTTCATATGCAGCTTCGGACTTTCTATAGAGTTAGTCCTCAATAGAAAATAGCACTGATGCACAACAACAGGTTCTGCCTGCGCGGGATCTGCCCAATTAGGAGCTTCTAATAAGTGTTGGATCCCAAGCAGGATTTCTTTTACAGATATCGAAGGCCTCCAGCCGAACTCGGACTTTTTAGGATTTAAAAGGCTCAAACAAACTGTGCCTGAGGGATAGACATTAGGGTGAAACAGAACAGGCTTAAAAACGCCTACACATAATGTTGACAGACTCTCAATCACATCTAGGAGGGACAGAAGGGTAATCATCAGGAAAGATAATTTCCAAGTTATACTTTCCTCCTTCCCATATAGTCTATACATTATCAGAGTAGCAAAAATCCACTCCCTGTTTTCCAGGAATAACACACTTCCATCTTTTCAAATCAATAGTTCCATCTGGCAATGTGACAGGATGTGCCTATAATAGCAGAGAACAAGAATGCAATGTACAGAGAAGCCTGCAGGATGATCTTTTCTCCATTGTTTCCTTTCACCCATGAGTCTCCTTTCTGCTAAATCTATCGTGTCAGATCATCATAGATCATTACTAGTTCCGCTCATTTAATTGTGCTTAGAATGAATTTACAGAGTGATTGATTTCTGTTTTTAACAAACGTGATAATTAATACAGGCTAAGTAAGATTCTTGGAGATATTAACATTTGCATTCCTTGCAGCAGCAGCAGCATTCCTTCTTATCACCACACTTACATTCTTTGCAACATTTCTTCTCAGCAGTGCATTGACAGTTGTCGCCACACTTGCATTCTTTGCAGCAGCAGCATTCCTTCTTATCACCACACTTACATTCTTTGCAACATTTCTTCTCAGCAGTGCATTGACAGTTGTCTCCGCATTTGCATTCCTCACAGCAGCAGCATTCCTTCATATCACCACACTTACATTCTTTGCAACATTTCTTCTCAGCAGTGCATTGACAATTGTCGCCACACTTGCATTCTTTGCAGCAGCAGCATTCCTTCATATCACCACACTTACATTCTTTGCAACATTTCTTCTCAGCAGTGCATTGACAGTTATCGCCACACTTGCATTCTTTGCAGCAGCAGCATTCCTTCTTGTCACCACACTTACATTCCTCACAGCATTTCTTCTCAGCAGTGCATTGACAGTTGTCTCCACACTTGCATTCTTTGCAACATTTCTTCTCAGCAGTGCATTGACAGTTGTCGCCACACTTGCATTCTTTGCAACATTTCTTCTCAGCAGTGCATTGACAGTTGTCGCCACACTTGCATTCCTCACAGCAGCAGCATTCCTTCTTGTCACCACACTTGCATTCCTCACAGCATTTCTTCTCAGCAGTGCATTGACAGTTGTCGCCACACTTGCATTCCTCACAGCAGCAGCAGCATTCTTTCATATCACCACACTTACATTCCTTGCAACATTTCTTCTCAGCAGTGCATTGACAATTGTCGCCACACTTGCATTCCTCACAGCATTTCTTCTCAGCAGTGCATTGACAGTTGTCGCCACACTTGCATTCCTCACAGCAGCAGCATTCCTTCTTGTCACCACACTTACATTCCTCACAGCATTTCTTCTCAGCAGTGCATTGACAATTGTCTCCACACTTGCATTCCTCACAGCAGCAGCAGCATTCCTTCATATCACCACACTTGCATTCTTTGCAACATTTCTTCTCAGCAGTGCATTGACAGTTATCGCCACACTTGCATTCTTTGCAGCAGCAACATTCCTTCTTGTCACCACACTTGCATTCTTTGCAACATTTCTTCTCAGCAGTGCATTGACAGTTGTCACCACACTTGCATTCCTCACAGCAGCAGCATTCCTTCTTGTCACAGCAGCAACCAGATTTATTGCAGCAGCAGGTTGTATGGGCTCTTTGACAAGTATTAGCTTCTTCTGCAACAAGGCCTTGTTCCTTAAGATGGCATCCACAACAGGTGTTAGTATTCATTTCCAAACAGCTTTATAACTCGAATTAAAAATATTATGAAAATTTTGTAGAACGAAGTATGAGATCATTTGACCCTCAAAATACCCTCCAGATTTGTCATTCCATCTTCGTTTTGTGTATTTTCAGAAATAAAACACTTTTGTGGATTAAAACTATCTTATCACCTACATTTTTACATTTCTACATCTACAAACACGTAAACACAAACTCACATTATATACATTTTACCTGATTCTGAAACTCGGAGGATTCATTCCATATCATGTCGTTGATAAATAGCCATGCTTTTAGCTTCCTTTCAATTATTGACATTTTCAAATTTGTTGTGATTTTTAAGGTATCTGTTTCTACATACGAACCCTAGCCGAAATGACTCTATTTATTGAAAATGCAAAAAACAACGGCAGAATCCGAAATGAAAGATTAATCATATTGAAACAATTGATTATTATCGTGGATGTTATTAATTATTATGGATGTCTATATGAATGAACAGGTATGAATGAAGAAAATACTAAGATTTGATAATTAGGAACTCTAGGTAAGATCTTTATTAATCTTTGGATCGTTCTCACCTTTTTTTAATAGCTAAATAAAGTAACATGGCTGATCAATCTCTTCATTTCAAACTTGTTCTTCTTGGAGATACTGCTGTCGGAAAATCATGCCTTGTTGTCCGCTTTGTGCGTGATGAGTTTTTCCCTTTCCAGGAGCCTACTATCGGCGGTTTGGAGTTAATTTGAGTTATTATGGATATAGCTGCTTTCCTTACGCAGACAGTGAACGTAGATAATGTTACCATTAAGTTCGAGATCTGGGATACTGCTGGTCAGGGTATGGCTGTGTTTTTTCTCGAGTGACCCTTCAGAACGATACCGCAGTCTTGCTCCTATGTACTACCGTGGCGCTGCTGCTGCTATCGTAGTGTACGATATTACGAGCCGAGTAGAGTGTTGGAAACTGAAGTGAAGGTTAGGAGTCCTTCAATGGCGCTAAGACCTGGGTGAAGGAACTGCAGAGACGCGGTGATCCCAATGTTGTGATTGCTCTTGCTGGAAACAAGTGTGATTTGGAGGAAAACCGTCAGATTCCTCGCGAAGAGGCCGAGGAGTATGCAGTGGAGAACGGTCTGCTGTTCATGGAGACGTCTGCGAAGATGGCTCTGAATGTCCGCGAGATCTTTGAGTCCATCGGCCATAAGCTTCCGAAGGGAGCTCCGGTGCAGGAGAAGACGGACGCCTTCGTGATTGCACCTCCTCAGCAGAGCGAGAAGAAGAAGTGCGACTGTTAACTTGTTTGAATGTTTCGTTAATTATGTTTCTCTATGGCTCCGCTGCTACTCTCGTTGCTTGTAGATAGAAAGAATCTCTTGTTTGTTACAAACACTGCACAGTTCTCGAAAAGGTTTGCATTGTGTGATGTTCGTTCATACTATTGTTGTGGTTATTGATGTGCTTGCTGCTGCTGCTGCTGCTGCTGCTGCTGCTGCTGTCGTTGTCTTCGATTCTTCCTCTTCCGAGCAAACTTCTCCATGATTTTCTGTTCCTCCAGGTACGCTTTCGACTTCTTCCGCATGTCCTCGAGCTGCAGTTGATTCAGATACTTCTCGACGGTCGTTCCCGGGTTGGGATAGCTTTCCTCCCCGGAGCACAGCGGCAATCGCCACTGCCCCGCGTACTTCTGGTTCCTTTCATACCCCAAAATCTGCAAAATCTTCATGTTCACCTCCTGCTTCTTGTCCGCCGCCAGCGACGTCTTCGCCGGCTTGTGCCGCAGGTGATACAGCCACGACTGCGACAGCAGCGTGAACCTGAACCCGCGCAGCCGCAGGTGATTGACCCACTCCAGGCGGTTGCTCCCGTAGTTCTCCAGCGCCTCCTCGAACGCGGGCACCGCCTCCGACTTCCGCACCAGCAGGAACCTACGCGTCAGGCGTCCCGCGCGGCGCTACGGCTGCTGAGACAGATTCTCCCAGCAGGAATACGGCGTGGAGTGGTTGCTCGACGGCAGCGAGAGCCACCAGCTCTTCACGTACTGCTACGAGTGAGGAGGCGGGCGTGCGGGTACGTTGGGGCCGTTGGATCCGAGATTGCTGCAGCCGTTTGTGATGGTACACATCCGCAGATCGTACTTCTTGAGCGAGGAGAAGAGACGCAGTCTATCCTTCAGGCGGCGGAGAGGACCTTACTGCTTATCACACGAAAACCAGTTCGAGCAAAAGACGTTGTAGTGGATCATTTCGAAGAGCGGAAGCACGATGGCCATCTTCTCGTCGAGTAAAAGATTGGACGGCAGAGACAGCAAAGTCGTGTACAGAGAAGCTACCATTCAATCGGAGGAGGGTCGGAAACGAGCTGGGATGATATCACGATCCAACATCATAACGTGCGTCGTGTCACTGTTCTGATAAGCCATATTGCGAAGTTTGTTGATAGGAAAAGATGGTGTCGACTGAACAAACCTCACCAGTTTTACACGCGAAGGAAGATTTGCATTCTTCTCCACTGCATCGAAACTACCCGTTTCGGATAACGGAACCGAGATGGCAGCACAAATAGGCCTAAAATCAAACGCCCCTCAAACGACACACCCTGTCCATAAAGCGACCTGGTAATATATATATGAAAAATGCGACCCACTATAGATTATAAAAATGATGCTGAATAACTCTGTAACAGTTGCAAGTGTAATTGTTGCGGTGGAACTTTCTTTTCGTTCGATATACTACCATGCCAGCGACATAGTCACGACCTACCTCTTGACGAAGGTTCTTTTGCTGAATACGCGGTTTCACACTTTGAGCACTCATTACAACTACAATTTCGCTACAACGTTACGAACACACTCCAAAAACCCATTACTAGTAACAAACCACCATGATCACAAGAGAAAAGACAGCAGATATTTTCACAAGGCTGGCTCGCAAAGATGCCATTTTCTACACACGAGTTTTGTCCTAGAGGCGATAAAATGCTGCTAGCCACAACGAGACTAGCGACGAAAAAATGTCTGTTGCATTTGTATTGTTATGGGATCCTAATTGTCTTTATATTCTCTATTTTATATTGTTCTCTCTATGTAGGTAATCACCCTCTTTTCCCAGGTTTTGAGAGAAGACCATTCTGCTTCATCTCCCCCCTAAGAACTATTCAATGAATTTACACGGCAACGCTAACTCGTTAACTCGTTCCGTTCACTCGTTCGTTCACTCGTTCACTCGTCTTCAAACAAACAACAAACTTAAACTTCTTTTCCTTCCTTCAAACACGGACACACTTGCTTTGCTTTATTTAGTGCTCGCCGATGTCTTCTTCCTTCATCATCGTATCGTCCTGGAAGATCTGCGTACTCTCCGCGATCATCTGGGCCAACTGCGACGACTGGTTGGTTCCGCGCAGCGCGTTCTGGAACGGGGCTTGCTCCTCTTCGTTGGGCTGGTAGTTCAGCACGTTCTGATAGTTGATGTTGTTGTTGTCATCCACATCAACGAAGTCTTCCTCCTCACCATCCAACATTCTCTGCATGTCCAGGTACTCCTGCTGCTCGCGGCGCATCTGCTCTCTTTTATTCATGCGCTCTCTCTGGCGTCTCTGCAGATTCTCCCTGCGCTGCTCATCGAAGTCGCTCCAGAGGTTGTTCAGACTCGACAAGTCCTCAGGATGCACGTACACCCACAGCGCGTACGCCAGGCCAATGAACAGAATCACGAAGATCACCATCGCCATGATCAGCAGAGCGGTCAGAACGCCCGTGTCGATCTCAGCGACGCTCGTCTCCTGCTGCGTGAACGTAGTGAGGATACCGAACGACTTGCCGACCACATAGGCCTTGCCCGAATCGAATCGGCAGCTATCGCTCTCTGCGGCGGCGTCATACAGCTGCCAGCCGATCGAGAGCATGTTCGCCTTCTGAGCGCAGAACTTATCGCCGGCCATACGCTTCGTGTACCCAAGCTCCATGTCCTCGTTGAGCTTACCCGTCACGGTGCCGTTGATCAGCACTTCGTAGCAGTTGCCCTCCGTGATATCCGTATCGATCATCACGCACTCGTACCGGTTGATCTTCACCGACACCTTGCCGCCAGTCGTCTCTTCCAGACGGCGCGAAGTCGGCTTCGGCACCAGCGTAATCTCCGATCCATCGCTGAACGTGAAGTCCGTCTCTCCTCCTTCCACGCTGCCCTCGGCCGACTCGGCCAGCGAGCGCCATCCTTCCATGATCGCCTCCACCTTCGCGCTGTTGCCGTCGTGTTCCTTCACCATGAGCACCAGCAAGGCCTGAGGAAGCTCCGAATCGCCAGCCGCATACGCGTTCATCACCTCGTGCGCGTAGGCGCCCACGAACACCGTCACATTGGCGTTGTCGGTCAGCTCGCCCACCACGCGGCGAGCGAACGAATCGAAGTCCATGTTCAGCATGCGAAGCACGTAGAGCACCTTCGCGGACTGCGCCAGGTCCTTCTCCACCAGGCTCGAAGCTCCGTCCATGATGGCGGCGGAGTCCGTGTAGGATATGGACATCGCATCCATGAAGAAGGTGACCAGGTTCTGGTAATTCTTGTTCACCACGCGGAAGGCATGCTCAATCTCGTTCAGCAGCAGCTGGTTTCCTTCCAGAGGCAGCATGTTCAGCATGTACTGGTCGTAGGCGAAGTAGCCCTGCGACTGATAGAAGTTGTAGCACAGCTTGTTGTCCATGAAGCCCTGCGTCAGGTTGAACACGCTCGTCTTCGTCTCCTCCTCCAGCGTGAACGGCACGTCCGGTCTCGAGCTCGACGCGCAGTCGTCGCTCAGCTCCACGAACTTGAACTTGTCCATCTCCGAGGCCTCGTTCGAGAACAGCACCTTGTTGTTGTAGTTGCGCAGCAGCAGCAGCGGATCCTCCGTCGGCAGAATCTTCGCGAACGACACATCGAGATCGAAGCTGAAGAACGGCGAGTTCTCGTCTCTGCTCACGCACACCATGTTCTCCTTCTCGAACGTGATGTCCTCCACGGGCGACATCTCCATCGAGTTGTCGCTCGACACAATCGCGCTCACGGACGCCGTCGCCATCGTGCAGCTCTCCGAGGCCGCCACAATGCGGACCACGAAGCCAGCAGGCAGGTCCTTGTCGTTCTTCAGTCCCAGAGTCACCGTCTGCGTCTGGCCCTGCACCAACGTGCTCGGGCTCACGCTCGTCAACTGGTACACCGTCAGCACCACATCGCCCACCTGGTAGAAGGTGCTCGTCTCTCCGAACTCAGCGTACTGATAGCACACCTTGTAGTCGCTGTAGGCCGTATCCAGCTCGATGCTCAGACTGCCGCTGTTCAGCACCACGGATCCCACGGATCCCACGGATCCCACGCCGCTGCACTCCATGCTCGTCGGCACCAGAGCCACTCGGTCGTCCACCTTCAGGTTCTGACCCAGAATCGTGAAAGGCACCGTCTTGTGCGTCTCCGACATGAACGGCGACGGGCTCTCGATCGTCGTGAACACCTTGAACACCTTGCGGATACGCGAGGCCACGTACACGTCGCCAGGAAGGCGCAGGCACAGACTCAGGCTGTTGTACGTGCGCGTGAATGTCGACGTGATCTCCAGCGTAGCCTCCGTCTTCACCTTCTCCACCGTCACGTCCACGTAGTTGATGCACGTGCTCTCCGTCCACACAGGCTCCACCGTTCCAGACACGTACTTCAGGAAAGGCTCCGTCAGCGAGAACGTGTCCAGGATCGGATCCTCCGTCAACACGAACATCTCCGCGTCGTTGCGGCTCTCCGAGATCGCCGTCGTCTCCACCGTCACCTTCAGATTGCCGTAGCGTCGGTACTCGTTGCTGTTCGCTCCATGCACGATGCACAAATAGTAGTCTCCGGCCTCGGGGAACAAGATGCTGCTCAGAGTCGCCTTCTGGCCCACGTCCACGATCTCGATGTTCGTGATCTGCAGCGGATCCGTTGAGGTACCCGTGCAAGAATCATCCTCGCTCTTCACGAACTTCACGCTGTCGCTCAGCGAGAACAAGCTTCCCGTCAGCACCATCGGACCGCTCTCCATGTCCGAAGCATAGCCGGTCGTAGGCAGAGGAATAGCCGTCAACCAGCCGCTGTGGCTCAAGGCCGTCACATCGAACACGGTGACCTCGATGTTCACGCGTACCGTGCCGAACGACTGGAACCAGTAGCACATGTAGTGCACCATCGAGTTGGTGATCATCAGCATCACATTCTCCTCCACGTTCGTCACCTCCACCGCCTCCACTGGAGGCTCGCCGCACTCCGACTCCACGAACCAGATCATGTCGCCCACCTCGCGGCCCAGACCGATGATCTCCGTCTCCTGGTACACGTTCGCCACGAACTGCGTAGGCTGGATCGAGGAGATCAGGTACACATTCAGCGTCTTGCTGGAATACTCCGCATACTCCTGCTCGCCGCTGAACTTGTAGCACACCTTGTACGCGTCGTGCGTCAGCGCCGGAGTGATCTCCAGCGTCGCCTTGCGATCGCCGCCCACGGGCATCGTCAACACGGACACCCAGTCGCAGCTCTCCTCCACAGGCACGAAGCGCAGCATGTCCTCGCCACCAACGTGGTAGCCCGCCAGAGACACTTCGTAGGTGCCCTCCGTGAGCTTCAGCGTGTTCACCATATCGTTCACCGTCACCGTGGTCAGCTCCTTCACCTCCAGAGGCGTGTCCACGTGGTAGTAGTCGCTGCCCAAGAGCACGCAGAAATACAACACGGACTCGACTCCACTGTTGGCCAACACCGTCACCACAGATCCGTCCACGCTGGACACCATCACGTCCTCCACATTCGAGACCGAGCAGTCGTTGCCTTCGATCACCTTCACCTCCACGTCGATGAAGTACTTCACGGCACCCGTGAACGTAAAGTTCTTCGATGTCGGATCGTCTTCCTTCACCAGAGACACCACGCTGGAAGCGCCCTCGATGCCCACGTAGTACTCCTCGACCAGCAGGGTCACGTAGTCGTAGTTCAGGAACTCGTCTCCGAACCGCACGCAGAACTTGTAATTGCCAGCCTCCGTTACAGTGAACTGATCCACCAGGTACTGCTCCATCTCCATGTTGTTGGTGCTGTTCGATCCAGGAGTCTCCGTAACGCCCGCAGAAGTGTCGTTCGTGTTCATCTTGTGAATCGTCAGAGGAATGCCGAACGTGTTGCACGCGTAGTTGTACTTCACCAGACGGATGACCGCCTCGCTCAGACCCTTTCCGTAGAGGACCAGACCCTCCGTGTTCACCGAGTTCTCGCTCGGCAGAGGCAGATTCACTAACCACGACTGCTCCGAAATGCTATCCAAGCCATACATGTCGACCGCCAGACCTGTGTAGTAGTACTTGTCTCCGTACTTCGGGTACTTGAAGCACATGTACACCAACGGGTGGTAGTTTCGCACGATCGTCTCGATGTAGTACTTGCCGAACGCGTCCTTGCGCAGTCTGCGCTCGCTCAGCGAGTCGGAGCACGTGTTCTCGCTCGACAGCTTCACATAACCGTTCTCGATCTGCTCTCCGGTCAGGTACAGCACGGAGTCCGTAGCAATCACGATGTACTGCGGCTCCACCGTCTCCACGTACATCAGAGTGATCGTCTGGTTGAGCAGCATGTACTCCTTCTGGTTGAACTTGTAGCAGATGTACAGCGTCGGCACCTTCTTCGAGAACACCGCGCTCACCGTCGTCTTCAGATTCTTCTTCACCACGGGGTACTCCACAGCCTCCTCCGAGCAATCCATCGTCTCCACGAACTTCACCTTGTCGGTGGCAGACACCGTCTTGCCGTTGAAGACGATCTCGTGCGTATCTCTCTCCTCGATCGTGGTCACAGGGAACATCACGTTATCCACAGAGTCGATCACGTAGTCGTTCACCACCGTCTCGTACACGTTGTCGATCGTGTAGAACGTCGAGTCGCCCTCCAGACGGATACACACATAGTACGTATCCGCCACCGGGAACACGTAGCTCGTTCTCACCTGCTCCGAAGACAGGAACACGTCGACCACAGGCTCGCAGTAACCGGTGCCTTCCTTCATCAGGTAGCCGAACGTATCCTCCTCCACGAACTCCTTACCATACACGTCCACGGTGCTGTTCTCCAGCTTCACCACGTACTCGGGATCCACTCTCGACACCTGCACCACACGCACACGGTACGGGAACTCCACCATCCGCTCGCCGCTGAACTGGTAGCACATGCGGTAGATGCCCGCGTCGTTGAACTTGAACGTCACCTCGCCATCGATCACTGCCAGCGCGCTCTCCGAGTCTCGGCAACTCTCCTTCTGGAAATCGATCTTGTCATCGTTCGACAAGCCGAAGCCGCTCAGTCGGTAGAGCTTATCCATCACCACCATCGCAGAAGTGCCGAATCCTTCAGCGCCAGAGAAGCTGCGAATGTCCTTGACGTTGATCACGTACGGCTCCGCCACCTTCTTGCCCTTCGTCAACATGTAGAAGATGGAGTTCGGGAACTGGTAGCACACATACACCTTGTCCTGCTCCGTAGAGCTCAGCTTCACTCGAATCACGATCGAGCCCTGCTCCTCCTCCTCCACGTTCGAAACGACCAGACCCTCCTCGTCACACGAGTTGTACACCACCTTGAACATGTCGTTCACCGACAGTCCGTCTCCGCTCAGCACGATCGACTTGCTCTCAGTGTCGCCCACCACCACGCTGCTCACCAAGCTGTTCTGGATATACGCGTAGCTCACCAGCACGTTGATCTTCGGGCGCTCCACGTACTGACTGCCACCGAAGCGGAAGCAGGCCTTCATGGGACCCGACTCGGAGAAGACCAGAAGAGCCGTTCCCGTCGCCAGGTTCACAGGATAGAAGTGCTCGGGATCCTGCGTACAGTCGATGTCATCATAGGCAGAAATGTAGTAGATGAACGCGTTCTCCTCCAGCAACGAACCCATCACCACCAGATTCGACAGCACGTAGCGCTCCGACGACTCGGAAGTGAATTCCATCGTGAAGTGGTCCACCGCGATCGGAGTCATGAACTCGATCGACATCACATCGTCCACGTCTGTCACTATCGTCTCCACCTCCATCACACGGTTGTTGAACTCGTAGCTGATCTTCACCATCGGACGAGGCAGCGTCACGCCAGCGGCGTAAGGAACCACCTTCACAGACACCGAGTGCATGTGGTTGATCGTCGACTGCACCACGGAGAACGTCAGCGGGAACGTCGTGCTCATCGCCTTGCCCGTGCGGATCATCTCCGTCAGCGTGGCATCCTCCACGTCGTCCACTCTTCCCGTCCATGTGCTCTGATTCAGAGGACGCACGTTCACCGCGGACAGATTGAAGCCCGGTCCAGAGAAGTGCAGGATCACCGGAATGTCGCGCACGATCGTCTCGTCCGTCTCCACCATCGTTGCATCGATCACCTCCAGGATGTAGTTGTACTCGATCGGAATCTTGTAACCGGAGAAGATGTAGCACACCTTGTACCGACTCGTCGTCGCCTCCTGCACCAGCACCGTCGACTTGAAGCCGTCATCCTCCATCACCACAGGGAAGTACAGAGCTCTCTCCGAAGGGCACGAGCTGTCCTCCGCCACCAGCGCCAACAGGTCCTGCGAAGTCAGACCCACTCCCTCCAGATCCAGCGTGTTCTCCGTTCCAGCCACCAGCAGCGGCTGCGACACCGAAGACAGGGTCACCACATCCACCGTCACATTTCGCTGCAGAATGAAGTGATCCGAGTCGTGGAAACGAATGCACATGCGGAAGTCGAAGCCCGCCTGCGGGAAGGTCACGTTGAACGTTCCGTCCTCGTTCACCACCACGATCTCGTCCAGAATCGCCATGCCCGAGCAGTCTCCATCCGACGAAGCTTCCGACTGCGTGAACAGCACCGCGTCGCCGGGCTGCAACGTGTAGCCGAGCTGGTTCGTCATGTTGAACGTGTGCTCCACGTCCTTCACCGCGACGTGGTCGCCAGGCGTCACGCCGCGCACCATCAGAGGCAGGTGATCCGCAGAATGCCACACCTTCTGGCCGTCGATCGACATCTCCACGCACAGCTTCTTCTCGCCTCCCACCAGAGGGAACATCACCACAGTGAAATCATCCCGGATCGTCAGCGAAGAGTAGGAAGAATCCTGCTCGCAGTCGCTATCCAGAGACACCATCTTCACAGCGTCACCCGGCTGCAAGCCATAGCCCTCCAGAGTAAACACCACCAGCTCGTAAGCATTCATCGAGCGAGGCTGCACGTCCGTCAGACCATACGCAGTCAGATTCTTGCCGGTGTATCCGAACGGCTGCGTGCACTCGAAGCTGAAGCAAATCTTCATCTTGCCTCCGTCCTTGAAGTTCACAGGCAGCTTATTGCCGTCCACGATCGGAATGACCGTCTGGTTCGTACCAACCATCTCGTGACCCATGTCACTGCACTCCATGCCTTCCGACACGAACTTCATGCATCCGTACATCAGACCCGTGCCGCTCAGAGTCAGCGTGGTCGGCTTGTACACGAACACGTTCGAGGGCTCCACAGACTCCAAGCGCAGAGCCACAGACTTCAGAGTCAAACCAGTCACCTTGTGCCATGTGTTATCGCCGATGATGTAGTACATGTAGCAGACGTCGTAAACCTCGTTCACTCTATCCACGAACACCACCGCGCGACTGTCGTTCACCTGCGCCTCATAACCCTCGCTGTCGCATGGTTCACCCTCCTTCACCAACTTCAGCTGGTCGTACGTCTGCAGCGACATACCGCTCAGACGCAGAGTCGTGTTATGGTCATAACCCACCTCGCGAGGCGAAATATCCTGCAGCAAGGCCATCTTGATCGTCTGCGGCAGAGTCGTGTAGTTGTCCGCGTTCTCGAACTTGTAGCAGATACTGAACTCCGGATCCAAGTAGTCCATCGTCACATCCGCATACACAGTGTCCTTCTCGCTTCCCTGCACCAGCTCAAGCTCCACAGCGTGCGATGCAGTCTCTGGAGGACAAGACGTCGACATGAACGCAGTATCCCGAGACGAGATCGAGTGGCCGCTGATCGTGAGACGAGTAGGCACGTGCGTGATCATCTTCGTCGGAGACACAGACAGCTGCACATCCTCATACACCGTCACCGTCAACTCCGGGCGCGTCAGCAACACAAACTCGTCCACCAAGCCAAGAGCGCTGAAATAGTAGCACGGGTAGTACTCGCCAGCTTCCATGAAGGTATACGCCTCCGTACCCACAACGATCGCCTCCGCCTCCAGCGCAATGGAGCACTTCGCATCCTCGCTCTTCGGCACGTAGTACACCTTGTCCTCCGTACGGTTCAGGTTGCCAATCGACATGAACTTGAGCGTCTTCGGAATGTTCAACAGCGCAGAGTTCGACTCCATGCCCGTCAAATCCTTCACTGGCATCTTGCTCGAGAAGCTATCCTTGTTGTAGTTCATATCTTCTGTGCCGAAGAATGTGTACTGCACCGAGTAGTATCCACCTTCCTCGAACTTGAACGTCATCGAGCGATCCAACGTAGAGAGTTCCATAGGCTGAGCAGCACCACTTGAAGACGACACACTTCGCAGCAACGCCTTCTCATGGACTCCCGAACCGAAAGCAGGCTCCGACTTGGAGTACTCAAAGTTCACCAACGTCACGTACACACTCTTCTGCTCATCTTCAGGCACGAACCGCAGCTTCAGGTAACGACCCACGTAGGACACAGGAATATCAATCGTTCCGACCGAGCTCACCTCCAAGTTCGTGTGATTCACCAGCATGAATGTGTAGCCGTCCACCGCGCTCAGGTAGCCAACAATCAAGGACTTCACGTTCTCCAGCAAGCCGAAGCGCACCGCGCGCACATTCGCAGACTCGCCCAGATCCAACAGGATCCAGCGACCCGCCGACTCCTCGCACGCGCCCGTCGCAGGAATCTCGTACATGCCAGAGATCAGGCTCTCCATATTCTGGGCCGCATTCACATGGCTCACACGGCCGCACTCGTTGCTGAACCAGTCCATGGACACTCCACTTCGGAAACGACGAGTCTCTGCCTCCGCAGCCGACTCCGTGGTGGTGAACACCAGCGGAATCGAGTCGAAGGTCACCAACACCTCGGAGCTCTCGGAGTAGAAGCTGTGCATAGACATCATGCGCACCGCAGTCACCAGCAAATCAGGACGATCCACCACCATCGTGTACTGCGACTCACCGTAGCGCATGCACAGCTTGGCATCGATCATGTCGCCGTTGAACTTCAATTGCACCTTGCCCTCGGAATCAATGGTGCCCTCCGAGCTTTCTTCGAACGTCTCACTGTTGCACGACATCGCGGATGCAGTCACATACTTCACAGAAACGCCCTCCAGACCATTTCCGACAAACTCCATGTTCACAAACTTGCTAGCGACCACCTTCGCAGGCGAACGGTAATCCACAGTGACCACACGCAGCTCCACGTCGTCGTACAGCACGAACTCCGTCGTTCCCGCAAAGTTGTAGCACAGGGACAGCACATCCTCATAGCTGTCCACGATCACCGTGTGGTTTCCATCCACTCCAACGCTTCCAGGGAACGAAATCACGCTGCTGCACGATGAGCCCTTGATCACCCACTTGAACTGGTCCTCCGCATCCAGCGAAATGTCGGTCGCGCGCAGAGAGTACGTCAAGGGCGTATTCACGAGCGCAACGGCCACAGTGCCGGGCAGAATGCTCTTCAGGTACACGCTCTTATCGTTCATCGTATTCCACTCATTCTCGTCGAAACTGTAGCACACTCTCAGAGGCACATCGTAGCCCTCCGAGATTCGCAGCGGCCACATTCCATTCTCCACCTTCGCCGTGTACTCTCCCACATCATTACAACTATCCTCAGGAATCGACAACTTGATGAACAAGTCTCTATCCAGGTTGTAATTCGTGTTCACCGCCACAGAGCAGTCAAGGCCAGAGCGAGGCACCGCAAACACCGTCTGAGCCAGACTGAACGTCGACTGATAGATCGTCATCGTGTGGTTCAGCTTCACCTGGGCTTGCGATCCGAACTTGTAGTACGTATCGAAGCTAACGCCATCGCAGATCGCCTTGGGAGGCGGGATGGTCACGGTCACCGTGTTGCGGTCCTCCAGATCCACGTCAAACTCAAGATCTCTATCCCAGCAGGCCACCTCACCGCCATTCGTCTTGCTCAGGATGAACTTGTCGTTCGCAGTAAGTCCGTAGCCCGTAATCGTCACGACCGTATTACCTCCAGTCCAGATCGTCGTCGTCGCAATGGGATCGATCTCCAGCACCGTTCCTGAAGCGAACTTCTTCTTCATGCCGCATTCGTTGTCCAGACACAAGTACAGATCGAAGTCACCGCCGTATCCAGCAACAATCACCGTCTTCGAGTTCATCACCGAATACGTTCTGTAGTCTCCCTCCGTGTACACCAGAGACACGATCATGTCATTGCTGATCATGGAACCGTTGATCGTCACCTCGACCTGCTCGCGAGACAGGATGAACAAAGGATCCGGGATCATCGTCACATCCACCGCGGTGACGGTCAACTGACGCACAATCACTCCGTTGAACCAGTAGCACATCGTAGACACGCCGACAGGAAGAACCATCGCAGTGCCCAGCGCAACCTTCTCCGCAGTCGTGCAGTCCGCTCCCACAGAGATCAGATCGTTGTCCGCAGAGGCTCCCACCACGTCGAACGAGAACACCACCTCCTCTCCAGCGAACACGCGCGCCGGCTCCACCGCGTTCAGCGCTACCGTGACCACCGCCAGGCGCTTTCCGGTGTAGATGAAGTCGGCCTTCGCCGCAAACTTGTAGCACACGAACAGCTCCGTAGCCATGGTGGACACATCGGTGAATGTCGCGACTCCCGCAGACACGTCCGCGACCGAAACCGGCATGCTGCAATCACTGCTCTCACTCAACATCGCACGATCGGCAGTCGTCGACGAGGCAGAAATCAGATGACCCGTGAAGGACATCGTATTCGTCTCGTGGTTGTAGATGAAGCTCGAAGACACTCCGCTCACCTCAGCAACCGCGATCTTCGAAGACGCGTAGTGGTACCACACCTCGTTCTTGAATCCATAGCACACTTCATAGTCGCCACCCTCCGTGATCAGCGCATTCACCTCCAGATTCTCACCCACAGCAAACTCGAAGCGGGCATCCGAGCAATCCACATTGCTGCTGCTGCTGCTGCTGCTGCTGCTGCTCACCGCAATGAAACGCACACGATCCAGAGCCGACAAACCACTGCCGCTCACGGTCGCCGTGAACTCTTCATTCGCAACCACGAATGTGGAGGTTGTCAGCTCGACGAACTCGGCCACCTCCACGTTACTGTCGTACAGGACATAGCCGTAAGATCCGAAGCTGTAGCACACCTTGCTCATTCCAGCCTTCACAATCACCACGTTCTTCGCCATGCGAGACTCCACCAGCACCTCATCGCTCACCGCGAACTGGCTGTCCAGGCAATCCTCGTCACTCATGGCCTCACTGCTCACGAACAGAATCTTATCCTCGTCGTTAATGCCAACGCCGTTCAGCTGCAGATCCATCGGACGACCAACCACCGCCACGCCGCTCATCACCTCAATGGAGCTGATGCTTCCGATCGAAATCTCGTAATCCGAGAACATCTTCCAAGCCTTGTCCGCGTACTTGTAGCACATCACGCCCTTCTCCACGCTCTCCAGGCCTTCGACCACGAACGAGCTCTCTCCGTTCAGATAGTACGGGCGCGTCACATACTGCGTCTCGTCCATGCACACGGCGTCACCACTCTCCAGACGACGGCCTTCGCTCTCCACAGGCGGCAACACATACACCACCGACTGCTGCACAATCGGACGAACCGTCATCTCCACATAGCGCAGCAGCAAATCGCTCTCCGAGGACGACTCCACCTGGATCATGATCACCTGGCTCGTGAAAGGAGTGTTCAGAAGCAGCGAGTACTCTTCCGCAGCCGCAGTCTCCTCGCTCGCTCCGCTCAGCACCACAGTACCGACAGAAGTCGGCACCTCCAGAGAATCATACTTCATCACCGTCATCGTCTGAGGATACGATCCATTCGACGGCGCCACCAGCGAAATCGAAAGAATATCGTACACAGCAGGCAGAATAATCGTGATGTTCACCTGCTTCTCGCCGAACTTCATCAAGTTATTCTCGTCCATCGTGAAGATATCCTCCAGCAATCCTTCAGGCTCCGCAGTCGCCGTCACGTTGGTGTTGCTGCGCAACTCCATGTTGTCGTTCAGCAAGAACGCAGGCACGTTCACCAAGGCAGGATCCAGGTTGTGCACAGGAAGCGTCACGCTCTTCGAAGCACCCACCGGCAGAGTCACGCGCTCCATGCTGTCAATATACACCACGGAGATGCTCACCGGGAAGCTGCGAGGCATCAATCCCTCGAAGGCCACGCACAGCATCGCACTGTCCACAGGCTTGGTTATCGTGATCTCGCCGGCTCCATCCACCACGCTGGCAATTGTAGACACACGACGATCGTTGCTGCAGGCTGCGTCCGCGGCCAGACGGCGCGCGCTCTCGCCACTCACGAAGAACATGTTCGTGGCCAGCGACACGCCCGTTCCACTCAGACGCACCTCCTCCGGAAGCGAGAGCAGCATGTCCTTCACGCTCACTCCGCTCAAACTGATCACAGTCATCGTCACGTTCGGCTGCAACTCGAAGTCCACTCCGTTGGTGCACACGCACAACTGCAGCAACTCAAAGCCTTCCGAGAACTCCATGCGCACCTCCTTCTGCTCGTTGACACGCACAGGAGGATTCAGCACCAGATCGTTGCAATCGCCACTCTCCGTCCACGAAATCTTGTTATCGATTTCCAGACTGGAGAACAGCACGCGCTTCTCAACGTTCACGAATGCGATCAACTCAATCGGCTCCATCGTCACCGTGTCCGTCTCCTCATCCTCGTACAGAGTCAGCAGCACCGGCTGCTTGGTCAGCACGGAAGGCGACGAGGTCACAGAGCTGTAGCACACGTCCACCTTGTCGATCGCACCCATCAGCGTCACGGTCGTCTTCATGTTCTGCAGCACCACCGAAGTGCCCACGCGAGCCTCCTCGCGGTCGCAAGCCTCGCCCGCGGCCACAAAGACCAACAAGTCGCCGTCCTGGATACCCACTCCCTCCAGCGAGAACTCCACAGACTTGTACGCAGGCACGCTCGTAGGCTGGATCGAGGTCAAGCCGTAGACACTGATCGTGGAGGCCATCATCATGAACGGTCCACTGCTCAGCGACACGCAGAGGTGCACCTTCTCGGCCGCGGCCTGGAAGGTGTTCGTGGCCGTCATCTCCACGATCTCCACGCTGTCCTCAAGGTTCTCGGAATCGCAGCTGTCCATCGTAGTGAACACCACACGATCCGGGCTCGTACCAACGCCGAGACCCTCTCCAGCGAACGTGAACGTCGTGGCAACACCGATGAACGCCACAGAAGGAGTCACGCTGCTCACAGTAGCCATGGCCACCGTCAGCACAGTGGGCGTCTCCATCACCGTCTCGCCCTTCTTCACAGACACGGTCAGGCGCTCCTTCATCGTGCTAGGCACCGTCACGCGGATCGTCTTGTTCTCAAACACGGGCACCGACAAGCACACCGCGCTTTCGTCGCACAGCACCAGCTCGCTGTCCTCCAGCGACTGTCCGCTCTCCACAGACAGCTGCATCTGCACGTTGTAGAACAGCTGGCTCGGAGTCAGCTTCACGGAATGGACAGTCAGGTCGAACTCATTCGGGCTCAGAATCTCTCCATTGAAGAGATAGCACGCCTTGTACTGCGCCTCCTCATCGGCAAGGCTCAGCTGCATGTAGTACAGCGAAGACTCCGCATCCATCTGCATGTCGTACGTCGCCACCGCGCTCGCGTTGCACGAAGAGCCCGCAGGCACCAACTTCACCTGGTCGTTCACGGTCACCGCAGGACCCGAGAAGAACACCTTCGAGTTGGCGTACACTTCAGAAGAAGAGGTCATGGACACGGTGGTCTCCACCACAGAAAGCTCTATCGGCAGCTTCACGCCATCGTAGCACATGAACACGGCGCCTCCAATGCTGGTAGGGAACGTCGCCTCCACCACCGTCGCGTCGGTGTGCTCAGCAGCAATCGCGCTCATCGACTCGCAGTTGGTCGCAGTGAACAGCACCTTATCTTCCACGTCCAGGTTCGCACCCGTCAGCGTGATCTGGTACTTGTTTCCAGCCACGAACACCTTCGGCGAAATGTCCGACACGCTCTTCACAAACGCGCGCACATTGTTGAACAGAATCCAGTCCACTCCAAACTTCGCGCACAGCACGTAGTTGCTCTGGACAGACAGGTCCATGATCATCTCGTTCGCGTACTCGTAGAGCGGAGCCACGGGGGTTCCCGCCTTCGACTCGCACTGACCCGCATTCACGATCGAAGGATCCACGAATCGCACCGAAGTACTACCCGCACGAGCCACGAAGTTCAGCTTCAGGTCGCTAATGGTCGTCGTGCTTGCGCCAAAGTTGCTGTTCACAATGAACATCACGTACTGGGCCACCGTGTAGGTCGCGTTGAACGTCATCATCTCCGACGGCTCCTCAACCAGCTCGTAGCTGTACCACAGCTCCCACGGGCCTTCCACAGAGTTCACACTCACATACACCGAAGCGCCCTTCACAGAGCGAGCACCCTGCGTCATCGAGCTGAACTCGTCTACCGACAGCACGCTGATGCTGCTCAGCACCACGGGACTCGTCAGCGACAGCACAATACGGATATCCGACGAACCCAGGAAGCTGGCGTACGTCGTTGCGCGATCGTCCAGAATGTTGTCAATGCTTCCGCGCGTCGGGCGGGAAGAGATGTTGTAGTCCACCTCGATCTCCTGCTTCGCAAGCGGCGTCTCGACCTGAGCCTCCGTAGCGAGACCCAGGAATGGCAGCTCCACCGTCTGCTTCGTGTCCTTCATCACGGAGACGTTCACCTCGCTCGAAGTGCTGCGGACCGACAGCGTGTACACCGGCACCTCGTAGTACTCGTCCAGCGACGCGTATCTGTAGCACATCTTGTACTCGTCCACCTCCGAGAACACCACCTCCACCTTGTTCATCTTTCCTTCAACGAACGAGTACTCCAAGCCCTCAGCCGTGCACTCCTCGTCCAGCTTCACGAACTTCACCGTGTCGTTGCTGCTCCAGTTCCGAGCCTCCACGGTCATCTCCATCGGCATGTTCTCGAAGGCAATGGCAGGCGAAATCTTGTAGTCTCCGCGGAGATCCAGCATGTTGTTCGCGAACAAATAGTACTCGGTATCGCCGCTGATCTTGTAGCACATGAACAGATAGTTGTCCACCACGCTCGAAGGAATCATGAACGAGCTCACGAATCCAGTCGCGTCCTCTTGTACCGACGACATCAGCAAGGCGTGCTTGCAGGCATCTCCGTTCTGCGTGTTCGTCCAGCGGATCAAGTCGCCCTCACGAATGCCGTTGCCGCTCAGATGGAACTCGACCGGCTCCGCCATGTTCAGCACCACCAGGGTCTGGTCGTTCAGCGTCAGGAAGGTGAGACGCAGCTCCTCCACCTCGTACCAAGCCTCATTGCCGAACTTCGCGCAGAACGTGTACACGGACGCGCTCGGGAACTTGAACAAGGCCTCGTCGCCATTCTTGTACAGCGAAATCTCGGTGTCCGCAACGGTCTGGCCTGTAGAGCAGTCTCCAGACACGTACTTCACCTTCACGGGCACAAAGTCGAACACTCCGGTGAAGTGCATCGGAATGTCGGTCTTGTCGTCGATATACATGTACACAGAACGGAAGGACGTCGAAGACACGAACGACTGCACAATCTCCACCTCGAAGGCAGCTCGGAAGGTCTTGCCGTTCGAGAAGGTCACCAACACTGCATAGCTGCCCGCAGTCGTGAACTTCACAGGATTCAGAAGGGCGCCCGACACGCTCACCTCCTTCACCGTCGTAGACACCTCCACCTCTTCTCCCTCCGACATCTGGAACACCACCAAATCGCCCACAGTCAGGAACACCGGGTGGAGCACGAACGTGTCTTCCTCCGTCGTCACATCCGTCAGCCACTCCGTGGAGGAAATGTAGTCCACACCCAGGGACTTGATCAGCACCTTCGGGTCGCGAATGATATCCGTACGCTCGGAGAGCTTGTAGCACACCGAAATCGTATGATAGCTCAGCGGCAGCGTAATGTTCACGCCCTCCTCGCTGTAGGCGGTGCGCACGATCACGTTCGAATTGCAGTCCGTGCCGCGGACGAATAGAAGGTCGTCCTCTTCGTCCAAGCCAATCACCACGACATGCTCCGGCACGCCATTCACAAACTCCGTAGGACCCAGGTACGTAATATCCGTCACGTTGAAGCTCATCACCACCGCAGAGCCGACCGTGTCGTAGTAGTAGCACAGATAGAACGAGCCCGCCTCGCTGAACGTAATCTCCGAATCCTTAAAGTAGGCAGAGGAAGCAGCCTCCGAACAGTCGCCATTCTCCGTCGGCAGGATGCGGTCGGTCTCACGCAGATCGTATCCCTCGATCTCGAAGGCGCGCGTCTCTCCCGTCATCAGCAGAGTGGGATACACGCTCCACACGCCCGACACCTTCACGACCTCTCCTGTCTCGTAGAACGCGCTGCTGTTCGCGTACTTGTACGACACCTTGTAGTCTCCCACGGCCGTGAACTCCAAGCGCACCACCGCCTTACCGTCAACCACGTCCACATAGAAGTCGTGCTGGCTCGGATTGGCACCCAGAGCCTGGAAACGCAGAATGTCACCCTTTCCGCCGTTCACCATATTCAGCTCCACTTCCGAAACCACACCCACGGCAAAGCGAGTCTGCGGCAAACCGTTGTACTGTCTCACCACGAAGCGCAGCAGCTCCACAGTGTACTGCTCACTGCCTCCGTACATGTAGCACACCAACTGCTCGCCGGCGATAGCAGACACTTCCAGGGTCATATCCAACGGCTTGCCCTCGTCACTCCACACCACATCCAGCAGCTCGTTCGGGTCCGGATTCGCACCCGCGCAACCCTGCGCAGCCGTAGACAGGAACACCTTGTCGTTCGTGTTAATACGGACGTAAGGAGACAGCGAAAGCGTGACCGTCGTCGTTGTGCCGTTCGATGTGTTCACCACCGGGTTCTCAGGAGTGATCGAAGCCGGGAACCTCTGAGGATACACCGTCATCTGCTTGTTGGTCAGGTACTGCTTGCCCAGAAGACTGAACTTGTACGACGCGTTGTAGACCGTGATCGTCTCGCTGCTCGCAGTGCCCAGCGTGACCGAGCTACTGAACATCACGCGCTCCGCTCCTTCCGGATCGTAGGTGTACTCGCTCAGAGAAACGGAATCCGAATCGGACGAGGTCGAAGACAGCGTCAGAGAATCACCAGAGGACGAGAAGCCAACACCGGATGCGATGATCTGACTTCCATCTCCCAAGTTGGAAGGCAGAGGCAGACCAGCAATCCAATCCGCAGGCTTCAAATCCGATACGGTCACCACCACGAACTTCTCACTGGAGATGAAGTAAGCGTGCAGACCCTCCGCGAACGAAGCGCACAGGTGATAATCCAAGCTCGCCTCCAACACGTTCACGTCAGCGAAGTAGCCACCGCTCTCCACAGAGGACTCGACGGCAAACATGCCCGTGCTGCTAGAACAATTGTTACCAACAGCGAATGCGATGCTCTGCAGCATATTCACGCCGGCTCCGGCGATTCCAACTCTCTCCACAATGCCAGTATAGGTACCATGCGTGTCCAGATTCACGTAGAACAACGGCAGATCAATCTTACTAGGCTCCATGACGGACGCGTGGTAGTAGTTCAAAGTCACGTGGTCCAAAGAAGTGCTGAAGTTCGCGTAGAAGATCACGTACATCTTGTTGTTCTCAATACGGATGTTGGCATCCTCTCCATTGATCGTAACATAATCTCCGTCCTCACCCTCGTTGAACGCCGCAATGTTGATGGCGAGCGTGTTACTCGCTCCGTTCACGACATAGTTCGGAGTACAGGTGACACTTCTCGGCTGGACCGTCACAAGGATGTCCATTGGCAGGAACGAAGTTACGCTGTTGACGAACTTATAGCACATTCTGAATGCTCCCTGATCAGGCATCGTCAGCCACACCTTCTGATTCTCTTCCACCGTGAAGGTATTCTGCTCTTCGCACACGCCGTTGCGATAGATTCTCATCTGGTCGCCAGCAGAGATATGGAAGCCTTGCAGCTGCACATGGAGAGGCGTATCCACCATGATCGAGATGTTCATGGGCTTGACATACGCAATATCGACCGTCTTCAGTCCATACGCAGGCTCGTTCGGGAACTTCATGCACACGTTCTGCACTCCTTCTTTCTCGGGGATCGCGGGGATCAGGTCAACCGAATTCACCTCCAAGACCTTAAACGCAGAGTCTTCCAGCAATCCGCAATCTCCCTCGCTCAAGGCGATGCTGGAGTTCGAAATGCCGATTCCGGTCACCGTCACCGTCGTACTCGTTTGCGCAACCAGCAGTTGAGGAGTGATGCTGTCCAGCGATTTCACCATGAACGATACATCCAGCACCGACCAGCCTTCCTCATCCGATTCTTCCTCCAGGCGACGGTACAGAATGGACAAAGGAAGACGGTAGCACATGAACATGCGATCCGCTCCCTCCTCGAAGGTCACATTCCGCACAATACCGTTCACCACCTCCAGGCTGCTTGAAGCACTCTTGCACTGCTCGGCCAACGACTCCAGCGTAGAACTCTCCGTAGCCTTCACGAATCGCACGAACGTGTAGGCAGGAATCGAACCGATCAGCTCCAGATCCTTCGACGTCGTCACCACGATCGAGCGGGCGTCTCCAGTCGTGAAGCGAATATCCGTCACGTTGTACATGTCGAAGTGACTGTTCGGCACCAGTCTAGGAGCGCCCTCTCCGAAGTCGAAGCACACCGCAAGGTTCATTCCGTGTCCAGGGAACAACGTCGCAACAGGCTCACACAGAGAGACAGACGCGGAGGCAACCACATTGCTGCAGTCGTCGTCAGTCACGATCGTGATACTACCGTTCAGCACGGGGGCGAAGCCATGGATGCGCAGCATGCTCACGCGAATGTACTCGAACGACGGCTCGTAATTGTCCAAGAACACCAAGCGGAAGTGCGTGCCCTGACGAGAGAACGCCGGCGACTCGCTCCAGCCCAACGCATTCGCCTTGGTCCACGAGGCCAAAAGAGCAGGCTCGCTCTCCGAATCGCTATCGTCAACGAAATAGAACTCCAGATTCTTCGGCGAAGCAGGACCCGCAGCAGCATACAAATCGATCTGCGTCAGCACGTAGGGAGATCTCAGATAGATGTCCATCGTCTCGTGATCATTGCCATCGAAGCTGATGGCCGTACGAGGATCACCGTCGAAGAGCACGTTGTAGGAAGCGCCAGCAGGGTAGGTCTGCGAGAAATCGACCTTCTCAATGCTGTTCTGCGCAAAGCCAGGATTCGCGGTCAAATCCTCAGAGAAGCCGCACGTGTCGTAGCCAAGACCCACGCCGCTCAACTCCAGAGTCACAGAACCCTCGCGAGGATTCGCGTCCAACAAGGTCACATTCTCCACACCGCGGGCCTGGAACGTCAGATTCGAGAACGCGTAGTAGGCGGAATAGTTGCCGAACGAGGCGCACAAGATCACTTCAGGATGGGTCTTCGTCACCGTCACAATGGTATTCGTAGCGCCATCGAAGTCCTCCGTGTAGCGGTCCTCGTCGGAGCCGTCACACACAACACCCAGATAGGCCTTGCCCATCATGTCCACACCCATGCCCTCAATCACAGCGTTGGTAGCCACGTCACGTGTAAAGATGCGAGGCTGCATGTTGAAGATGCTGTACACCGACAGTTTCTGGTTCGAATACTCCACCCAGTTGAGAATACCCGCGAACTTCATACACAAGTTCGCACTCAAGAACGGCTGGGTAAACGTGAACGTGGTGATCAGCGTATCGTTCACCTTTCGCACCTCCTTCTCCTCTGTTCCAGGAGCCGCATGAGCGCAGCCATCGAGAGACCACATCATCCGGTCGCCCGGATACACATTGTCTTCCTTGATCTCATAGGTCTCCGTCTGGCCAACCACCGAGAAGTGGTGCTTCTTGGAAGCGAAGTCGATGACGTTGCGGTCATTCATCACCTCCAGACTAAAGTCCACCAGCTTGTAGTAGTTCGTAGCTTGAGGCATGTAGCACAAGTAGAACACGTCAATCTTGGTGAACAGCACGTTCGCGATCTGCTGATTACCCATCAGATAGGTGGGATAGCCTTCGCTATCGCAAGGCACGTCCAAAGGCACGAATCGGATCGCATCCTGAGGCTTCGAGCCATAGGCGGACACAGTCACATAACTGTACGTGTTGAGAGGAATAACACTGGGCTGCATCGATCGAATCAGAACCACCTCCAGCACCTTGTTGGAGTATTCCATCGCGGTCGCCGACGGGTAGCGCAGGCACACGTAGAGCGTCGAAAGGTCCTCTTCTGTACCGAACATCACATCTGTCAGTCCGTAGATGTTCGGCTCACCAACCAGTCCCAGATAGAACGAAGAGCTGCCGTTCGCCAGAGCGACAGGGTTCTGGCAATCCATCGACTGACTGAATACAACCTCCACCGCTCCGTTCAGAACCTCTCCGCCCATGAACTTGCCGTTGAATACAATGGTATTGTTCACGTTGCCCACGATGCGAGAAGGAATCAGGCTGTTCAGCGCAGGAGCCACCACCGTGTACGTCTTGTCGCCGATCTCCACATAGGGTTCGTAGAAGCTGTACTGGTAGCACATCTTCAGAGTTGTCTGCACAGTGAACAGCATCATGGCGTAGAAGCGTCCCTCCTCATCCTTCGCAACCTGCGCGGTCGAGCCGGCAGCAGCGCACTGGCCGCACGTGCTCGACGAAGAGATCATGCAGAGTCGATCACTCTCCGTCAAACCAACTCCCTGCAACGAAATCTTCGCCTGCAGATTGTAAGGAACCTCATCCAGCTCGATCGGGAACACCTCCACCACACTCACAGTGGTGTTCAGCATTCTCACATCCAGACCGCCGAATCGGTAGCACACCTTCAGATTCACACCTCTCACAGGGAATGTCTCCGTGGACACGCCGTACTCGTTATGGATCTTTTGGATCGGCATGTACGTGGCATTGACGCAGTTGCCAGCAGTGAAAGCAATCTCGTCGTTCTCAGACACTCCGTTGCCGATCACAGTAAACGTGTTCGGGTAGTTGTTGATGAACTTGGTGCTGCTCAACGTCACCTCGCCAGCCTCCACGATCGTGAAGGACGGAACCATCGTCTCATGGAAGGCAAGACCATCAAACATGTAGCACAGCTTGTATCTGCCCTCGGGAGCAGAGAATCGCATCTCCGCTCTCGCGTCCTGCACGCTGAACACGTTCGCAGATCCCTCCGACACGGTGACGCAGTCCGTGGACTCACTCACAAACGCAATCTTGTCGCTATCCGAAATGCCAAATCCAGATAACTTCACAGTGCGCAAACCACCCGAAGGAATGTTATGCAGGTTCGTGGCTGCAGTGATGCCAACCGCGCGCATGTTAAAGTTGTATACAGATTCCCAAACGTTCTCGGTCTCCTCCTCCTCCTCCTTCTGTTGGCAAAGACCGTACTCTCCCACCTCGGTAATGTTCACCACTCCAGTACGAGTGCAAGAGTAAATCGTACTCTCGTATCCAGCGAGACTGCAGTCCAGTTCGCCAGCAGAAGTGTACTTCACCCACTTCACATTAATCGCGGGAGACGTAGTGTCTTCGCACGACGTACCAATGAAGGCAACCTCGCTCAGGATAATGAATGTCGTCTGGCTGTCAACAATGCGCATGCGCACATAGCGACCGTTCAAAGAGAACGACGTCATGTTGTACCATCCCACTCTCGAATTCACAATCTCCATCCGAGCCTCAAAGGTCCAGGCCTTGTCATTCGTGGTCAAAACGTCGCTCGTCTCCAGAATTAAGTAGCGAGGATCCGTGTCAATGCCCAGCAGGTACATATCGATCTCAGAAACATGGAAGCATTCGCCGAAGTCAAACACGATCCACTGATTCTTCGGGTCAATCGGACGGTTGTCACACAACGGGTTCGTCTCGATGTTACCACCGAACACGAGAGACGTCGTCACCACACCATCCACAACCAAGGCCGACTCACCAGCGAAGATCGAACTCACCATATCGCAAGAATTGCTCACATCCGGAGTGGTATAATTGTATGTGCAGTACTCCGGATACGAAGGAGTAATATACTGGTAGTTGATGCGCGTCTCCTTACCAGCAAGGACAGTGATCGAGTTACCGAAGTCCAACACGGTCAAGAACGGAAGACCCGAGAACTTGAAGCCCTGTCCGCTGTAGTCCACGCACACGTACAGGTTCGTGTAGGCCTCGTTGAACGTGATGCTCACCACATCCTGGCAAACGCCCGTCGCCTCGGTCGAAGCATCGCAAATCTTCAGCGAGTTAATGTAGCTCACATCCGTGCAGCTGGTATCGGCGGAGAATCCAAATCTGCTGTTGGCAGGAGTGTCGATCAGGATCAGATCCAGATTTGACTCGATCGTGGTCAGCAGCGTCTTGTTGGCCGCAGGCTGGACCGACTGCAAACCACCCACACGCACCTTGATGTTGTTGAAAGCTCCCATGTAGGATCCGTAAGAAGCGATCGCAATCACCTTGTCCTCCGTAGTGGGCAGCACGAACTCCAGCTCCATGAGAGAAGCGGTGTAGCGGGCCACTTCCTGCTCGTTGAAGTTCTGGAAGCTAATATCCACAACAGCGACCGCACTACTGTAGTGAGGATTGATCTTGGTGAACTGAAGAGCGGAATGATAGCTATCCTCCGCGTCCAGGATGTAGTAGCAAGCATTCTCGATTGGATGGTAGTCATCCACCCACTCGATATGGTTATTCACGGTATCATAGTACTGGAAATACATGCACACTTCTCCGGAGTTCTTCACATCCTTGAACGAGCATGTCACAGGCACCACGCCAGTCATCTCCTCAGGTCGCGTCTCGCAGTCATAAGCGTTGCCCTGCGCGTCCATGAAGAAGAAGCGCATCTCCTGAATGTTCGTACTACCTTGGACATTGAACGTCTGCTCGCTCTTCGGGAACATGTTCCACTTGGATACCGCAGCCGCACTCATTACCACACGGTTCACGCGAATCGCATAACCAGTCGCAATTTCCTGGTTGGAGGCATCAGCGGGCAAGTACAGAACATTCAACTTGGCAAACTCGCAGCCTGCAGGCAGAGTGGGGGCAGTGAGTCTCTCGATCACGTAACCGGTCGTGTAGGCAATATCAAGAACCATCGGCTCGATTCCAGAGCACACCTTCTCGTCCGCAACCAATTTCAGCTTGTCATTCACGCTAAAGCCGCTTCCCCGAAGACCGATGTTCTTTACCGAAACGCCTTCAGGAACATTCGTCAAGTCGATGCTCTCAATGTGCAGCACGTCCAGAGACAGACCCGTCGAGATCAGAGAACCCGATCCAATTCTGTAGTACACCGCCAGAGAATTCAGACTCGGGATATATTCAGAGATCTTCAGATATGCCGTATGCGATGCCATGATCTGGCCCACAAGATACTTCTGGTCTATAGAGCTGGATGCATACTGCTTCAGACAGCTGGAATCATCCGGGTCACAGAGAATAATTGTGTCTTTATTCGCTTCCTGGATCTCTTCCTCCGTGCTTAGCGTGTACGAAAGGGTGGCGTAATCCGTCACCAATCTCGGAGCGATCGCGGTGATATTAATCACGCTGATGGTGCCAAATGCTTGAGTGAGAGCACTGCAACTATAGCCCTCCAAGTCTCGGTAATGATAAGTCACCGTATGCGCTCCAGTATGCGAAAGCTTCACAGACGCAGTAGCCGATTTGCCGTCGCTCTCGATTGTCAGCGAAGTGTTGAAACTGTGCTCCTGATGCGTGATCTCGACTGTCTCACTAGGATCAAACAGATTGGACTCCAACTTCAGAAGATGGTCATGGTTGACATACATCTTTGGAGTGGCCAAAGTGGGAATGTCTCGCACATAAATAACCACATCCTCCATGAACGCCTCCGTCTCCAATTCCGCAAATTTGACCATTACACCCACCTTATCACTCTCAACCAAACTGTAATCCGCACTGTACAAGTAGCACTCCGTGGCACTCTCACAGTACATGTTCTCCTCGATGACATTCTTCGTCTCATAATCCACAAAGTTGATCTTTTCAACAGTTCCGTGGGCTTCGAAGTTCACGGTACGCTTGCAGTCGCCATCGGCAATTCTGAACATGTCAATGCTCTTGTCGTTCAAGCCATATACCGACAGCGTAACGGTATTCACAGGCACAAACAAAGTGGTTCCGTCAAAGCGTACACAGAGATGAGCGTCCTCGGACAGATAAGGCTTCACACCCTCATTCCAGCTGCAAGCGCCGCCCGAGCAAATCGTTGTCAAAGACACCGCGCCCGAGCAATCTGCATCTAACGACCAGAAGGCTTCGGAGTTGTCCGTAATGCTATCCACGCCACTCAAAATAATAGGGGCACCTCGAGCAGCCTTCATGTTGATGGGCTGAATGTTCAGGAACTTCACCGTCACATCAACTTCCACTATTCCGCTAGGCTCAACCTGATAGCAGAGAATATAAGTCGGATTGCTCGGCAAGGACACATTGTAGTACACACTGGCATGGACATAACCATACTGATCTCCCTTTCTCGCTTCCACATACGATGAACCGTCCGTCGAACTTGGCACGGTATCAGGAGTACAACTCTGGCCAGTAGGCAGGATGTAGCCCATCGCATTCTCCACGATTCCAACATGGCCATAAAGATCAAGGCTCACACGGGCCTCGACACTATTGCCACTCGTTGACGAGAGAGGAATCAAATAGGCTTCCCGGTCCGTGCTTCTCACAGTGTTGCTTTCGGGAATGTGCAGCACCTCAGACGGGTAGGACATCCAGTTGTTCTCGCCGTAACTGAAACAGATGCAGCTCTGCGCTGCGAACTGCTCCACGTTCAGCACCTCCTCGAGATAGTAAAGCATGCTGTTGTCCGGATCTGCAACAATGCTATACGCAGTGCTGACAGACTCGCAGTTCTGGGAGTTCTGGCAGTTGCTCTCAGTCGGCAAGAAAGCAATCTTATCACCACTCTGCAAGTAGTAACCGCGAACTTCAAGATTGTTCTTCTTCTGAGTATCACTTCCAGGAATCTCTCGGTTCTTCAGCCAATAAAGCACATCCACGTTCACGAACTGGGATACAGTACGCGTCAAGCTAGCCTCGTTTCGATAATCAGCATAGTCGCATCCATTTTCATCCTCGCACTGATACTCCACAACGATCCACCACAAGCCAGGACTCGGCAAGGTATAATGAGCCATGTGCCCGTTGTACAACTCCTCCCGGCTGGATTCCTGACCAAGATCATTGCGCCACCAGATATGGCTGATCTTGTCAATATCATCACCCGATACGCTAATGATGAAAGGCTTATTCACCACTAAACGATCCACACCTTCAATCGTCAATGTGATGTTTCCATACACATCTACAAGAAGGTCTTCGAGAGGCAGAGCTTCGAACGGCGCAGACGGGTCGAATTTCAAGCAAGTCTGCAACTCGCCACTTTGCTTAAAGACCATCGAGGTGATTTCAGACAATGGATCTCCCAATCCCTCCAAGTCCTCGCACTTCATTCCAGTATTGTCAAGAGGATACCACTTCGCATACACAATGCCAGGAGGATTGAATGGATTAATCAGCGTCACTCCAGAGAAATAATAACGGATGCCATAGAACGGTCTCCAGACTGGAGGATCGAAGGATGCGGAGTACACGTACAACGTAGCACCCGTGTAAACAGGAGCCAAGTCAGCATAACGCGCGCACACCTTCAACGCATCGGGATATCCCTGAGTGAATCTGAACTGAACCGCAGAGGACTTGGTTATCGTCACTTCATTGGTGACGTCACTACCCACACCATTTTCGCAAGACTCCGAAGGAGCCAGGAAGATCGTGATCAGGGTAATATCGTCCACAGACACGTCCACGTCCACATTGATCGTCTTCTTGGTGTTCGTGAACAACTTCAGCGAGCCGGAGGAAGTAATGGTCATCTCCTTCACATCCACAACAAGATTGTTGTACAAGTAGCCTCGAGAAGCTCCAGGAGAAATCAGGCACAGCTTGAACTTGCCAACTCTCGGGAAAGGAATCTCCACATCCAACTCCATGTTCTCCGTCAGCGGAATCGCCTCCGCTCCTTCCTCGTCGCAGCTATTCTCCACAAACTTCACCATGCTATCAGGCACCACGTAGCCCTCAATGTAGATGGTGCTGTTCAAAGCGCCCGCCAGAGGCAGTCCAGCGGCGAACGTATCCACGGACAGGTAGGTCACATCCACAACATTCAACGCTCCCAGACTCACGAAGTGCTCTCCGTTATTGCTCAAGCACAGCTCCAGCGAAGCAGTCTCGTTGAACGACATCGTGAACGAGAACTCGCTGGACAGCGCAGAGTTGTACTCGATCTCCGTCAGCTCGTCGCTGCACGAAGCGCCCAAGTAGAGAGAAGAGCCAGGAGGAATGACGTTGGTAGAAACAGAGATGGGCTCCGCCTCCTTCACACGAAGCACGGAAGGCGTGATGGGACCCGTTTGGATGATGTAAACGCTCATGTCCTTCACCTGAGTGTACACCGAACGTCCATTGAACTTGTAGCAGACGACAAAGGCCTGGTCCAGAGCAGTCGTCCAGTCTGCCTCGAACACCAGCTGATTGTTACTGCTCTTGATTTCGAAGGGTCCGTTCCGGATCGAGTTCGTGCAGAAGTCCTTGGCGAACATGATCATATCACCGTTCACCAGACCCTTTCCACGGACAGGAACGGTCACGTGCTGACCAACGACTCCTATGGACATGTCCAACTCTTCGAGATCCATCATATGGACGATCGTGTTCTCGATCACACGAGGCGAACTCTTCTTATCCCAGCGCAGGCACACGTAGTACTCCAGGCTCGTCACATCCTCGATCAAGAAATAGAAGGTGTTCTGGTTGAACGTAGAGTAGTCGATCACAGAAGTGTCGCACGAAGAAGAGGGCGACAACAGCAAACTGATGTCGTTCTCGTTAGACTGGGGGTAATTGCCCATCAATGTAATCTCCAGAACGTCGCCGCGGGTCGCGAAGTACTGATTCGAATCCGTGTACACGTTCACGGGATGAATCGTCACCATCTGAAGGTTGGCATACGCATCGTAAAGAGAGAACTTATAGCACAGTACCAAGGGCTGCTCGTACGACAAAAGCTCATTGGAGAACACCACACGGAACTGCTCTCCCTCAAAGCCTTCGCCGTCGTCAACATCCTCCTCCGCACTCCACGAGGCGTACACTGGCGCACCTTCCGTGCAATGGGTAGAAAGAACAATCGAATCCGTGCTGTTCATGTTCAAGCCAGTCGCGCGGAAGCGGTAAGGATACTCCGTCACCACGCTGTTCTCCGTGAAGTCCATTGAAACCATGAGGACATCCAGGTTGTCCACAAAAATGAGACTAGCGTTGTTCGGAGCATCGTTGTAGTACTTGTAATACACGTGCACCACAGGTGTAGTAAACACATAGCCAGCGGTATCAATGTACACACGGGAGCCATCACGAATCACATCAAGCGTAAGATCGCTGTCGCTCTCTCCCTCCTCCTGAGATCGCATAATGACCTGGTCACCCTCGTCGACACCGTTGCCCTCGATCTCCAGCTGGCTTCCAGCGATGAAATAGCCAGGCGCGTTCGTAAACACAATCACGCCCGTATAATTCTGAATCTGAAGCTCGACGTGCGTGTTAACGAACTCTCCTCCGTTCACATTTTCCCATTTGTAGTACAGCGAGTAGTCTCCGGCTGTGCGCAGCTCTCCCAACTCCAAGAACAACTCGTCGTCCAGCTTTATGATATCGAAGACATCCTCCAAGCAGTTGCTCGCGTTCTCCGTCTCGCAGAGCTTCACCTGGTCGTCTCCCTCGATGACGCCGAACGAGTTCTCGATCTTCACGTTATTGTAGGTCATTCCAACCAAGAAGCGAGTACGCGACAGTGTGCCGAACGTGTACACCGTGACCTTCATCATCATAGAGTCATTCAAGTTCTTTTTCAGAGGAATCTCCGTTCCCAATTCAAGAGCGAACATATACAGCTGCTCTTCTTCTCCGTGAGAGGTGAAAGCAATATTGGCAACTCCCTTGTTCGCAATGCTGTAGCCGAGATCAGGATACGTGTTGGACGCCTGAGTCATAACAACAGTCGTATCGTTCAAAATGTTGCCAGTGACATACACGTCACCCTCGGACTCATACAAGAACCGACCCTCGAGGTTCAAAGCATACGGCTCGTGTGTGGTCCAGAAAGCAACCGGGTTCGAAACCTTCACCTCGCTAAGATGCATCTCCAATTGCTGGGGCTCGTAGATATCCTCAGATCCATACTGCACGCACAAACGCATTCCATCGTACTTGCTCTCGTACGGGATGTCGAACAAGATCGTCACGCTATTATTAGAGACTGCAAATGGTCCGAAAATATCATCCGGATTGGTCTCAGAGCACGATTTACCAACAGTGGCAAACTTAATGCTTGTAGGCACATACTCTCCAGCATTCAGATACAAAGTCTTGCTGTATCCCGAAATCGCATAGTTATTATATCCCTCCGACTCCACTTGCGTGTTACGGATCATAAAGGAGATATCATAACTAATGAAATCGTTGTAGCCATTAGGAGCATCGGTCTGAGCGTAGCACAGGTGGTACGTCTGCGAAATATCCGCGACCGTGAAGCGCTCCAGCAGACCCGAGCACTCATCCATGCGAACCTCCTCCAACACTGCATTGGTCGACGGATCGATCATGGCAGAAGAAGTCGAGCAGTCCATACCCAGAGGGACAAACTTCGCCTTCACCGTGTTGCTGAACTCTCCATTGTTCACGAAAATCTCAATGCCAGTGAAATAGGTATACTTGTAGAACTCGCTCGACGGGTCCTCCGCAAACGTGTCCACAATCTCCAGTTTCCAAGTATTACTCGTGCCATGGAAGCCAGTCGTATCCGACTTCATCGCCTGGTTTTGCTCGTTGAATTGCGTCTCCCAGCTAAACGCAAGCACGTACTTCTCGCTCTCCATACGGTACATATTCATTCTGCGCGGAGACAGCTCACTACGAGGAGCATGCACATGCATGGCAGTAATGGCGATGTGCTCAGTGTAGCGGAAGATGATCTCCAGAGGACGATCGATTTCGGATTGGATTCCGTACTGCGTTTCGCCCAAGGCCTTTTTCAACTCGCTTTCCAGCAGTTTCTCGTCGTTCGACTCGATCGACACGTTATTCTTGAACGCTTCGTCGTCGGTTATGCACTCCTCGTCACACTTGTTGGCCACATCCACTCCATCCAGAATCACGTTCGCAATCATGCTATTGCCTTCCACAACCACGTTGTTCGTCAAGCTGGTCGGACCCCGCACCGTCAAGCCATATTCGGAATACAGCTTCCAGCGACCCAGACGGGAGAAGTAGTAGCACATCACCACCTTTGTGGCAGGAGTACAGGTCAGCTTGGCTTTGGTGGTCTCCAAGAGCTCCACGCTGCCGCACACTCCCATGTCGTTGTCACAACTCGAACTCTCCGGAATGAACTTCACCCTGTCTCCCTCATCTCCGCTGTTGAACACCGTGTCCACCTCTTTACCGGCCATGATGGCGTAATTGGTTCCGCTTCTCCAGCTACTGTACGCAGGAATATCGAACGTAGACACTCCGACCACATCCAGTCTGTACTCATCCAGCATCGTCCAAATGTCGTTGTCAGACTTCACGCACAGCTTCAGGTTGCGGTACAGGGCGTCGAACACGAAAGTCACATTCAGATGCTCGTCCAAAGTCTCGATCGAAGACGCCTGCACCGTAGGAGATGTGCACGATGTAGCCGAGGATCGCACCCACATCACCTGGTCTCCCATCTTCTGGCCCGCTCCACTGAACGACATTTCGTACGGCTCGTCCAAAACAGCAACATTCTCGCTATCGTACACCACGTCCAACACATCCACCATGATGTTCGAAAACAGAACCATTTCATTATAAGCAGAGAAGTAATAGCACATAGCCAGGTTCAAACCAGGCTCCGTGAAACGGAACACTCCCTGAGTACGGCGCGTACTGGGGATGTACGTCAGAGTCACGGGCTCTTGACCGTGAAGAGCCGATCCGCTCGACATGCACGAATACTCGGCCTGACCCATACGATCCACAAACTTCATCTTATCTCCAGATTGGATGTTGTGTCCATCCACAGAGAACAGATTGGCCGTGTTCTTGTAGACAGACAACTCCAGACGCAGAGGATCCTCCAGACGCACATTGTTGATCATCAGGATCGGAATTCTCACATTCATGTCCTCGTACTCCTGCTTTCCATCGAACAAGTAGCAGACCTTCAAGTACGCCGTATTCTCCACAGTCCGATGCAGGACGAATTTGCCGAGTCCGTTCTCGATTCGCGTCACCGCGATCTCATTGCCCGGATGGCTAGTGGTGGGGCAAGGCTCATTCTGATTCGCCAAATACACCTTCTCGGTTTCATTGTGACCCACTCCATGGCCTTCCACGCGATACGTCATTTGGCGACCACTCACATAGTACGGGTCAGATAAAGTGTCCATAATCTTGACACTCACCGACCTCTTGTACACCTTGAGCGTGATGCCCTCCAGCTCTTGAATCTCATCCACAGCATGCAACTTGTAGCAAACCTTCATTGTGGTTTCCGCCAACTGGGTGGTCAGCGTGATTTCCTTCGTCAGCACGACCTCGTTGGCCACAACATCCACTGTGGCGTCGCTGAGATCAAACCGCAAGGTCGAGTCCTCGCACTTGAAACGATTATCCACGAACCACACTTCGTCGTTCACGGTAATGCCCACTCCGTAGAACGACACCTGCTCCGGAAGCTCGTCCACAAACTCGGTAGGATGAATTGCTCGAATGCTGTACACCTCGAACAGAAGGCCAAAGTCGATGAAGGTCGTACTCAGTCCGAAGCGGTAGCACACCTTTCCAGAAGGAAGAGGATTCGTAAAGGTTATATTCAACTTTCCGTCCTTGTCAAGCGCGTACAGGGTAGCACCGCTGTCGTTTCCGTTGCAATCCTTATCAGAAGAAATGAATTTCACATGATCCGATTCCGTGATGCCTGCGCCGATGAACTGCAGCTCCTGAGTCTTGCCCACCATCGCCCAATTGGGAACCACCGCACGGACGTACGGCTCCACCACCTCCAAAATCACATGGGGATGCGGCAGGAAGCTGTCGACGGAGTTGATAAACTTGTAGCACAGACTGTAGTTGCCCACAACATCAAAGCCCGTCAGCTTGATATTGCCGTTTCGTCTCACTGTAAACTCGGGCGCCACATAGTCGCAACTGGAGCCGACAGGCACGAACTTCGCAACGTCTCCTTCCTCAATGCCCTTACCAACCAGCTTCGCCACGCGAGATGTATGCACCGCCAACTGGTTGCTTCCGCTGAAGCCACTCACATACTTCATCTCCATCGTGATATTGGGATACAGCACATATTCCTGATAGTTGGGATGCAGGAAGCACACACGCTTTCCGTCATACGAGCTGTTAAACGTATGGGTGAACTCCTGAGAGCAAACGGACACCTCAAACACCTCATCCACGTCCTCGCAGCTCTCGGACTCAGCGACATACTTCACAGCAAAGTGCGAGTCAAGATTGCACGGATGACCATACAGATTGATCTGGTAGATGGAAGTGTAAATCGCGTGACCATTGTTGCGCGTAAACTCCAGCTTCATCGCACGGCCAGAGAAGTTGATCTCTCTCTCGTTCACCGTTCCCAACTCCAGAGTGTTGTCGTAGTTATCGAAATAGGCCTCCGTGAAAATGCCCGTCTTGTTCATGGCAGAGAACACGTGCAGCTCCGTCAAGTCATCAGAATCCGTCTTCGTTTCGATTGTGAGTCGGGTCACATCGTAGCACGCTCCGAAATCCAGGATGATGAAGTTGCCGTTCGGTCCCAGCTGGTTGCTGCACTGGTTGGATCCCACGCCTCCGAAACGAACCGGGTTGTTGCTCTCGTCGCTGAAAATGTCGCTCAAGGTACCAGAGAAGAGATTGTTCGTGAACTGGCAATCCAGATCCACCCAGCTCTCCTGGAACTCCAGTCTATTGACATCGCAATCTCCATGCACGTTCGTGGCATTCACGAAGAAAGTGTACTCTCTGTCGGCCAAGATGGAAGCGGGAACAATGTTGCTCAAACCAATGAAAGGCAGACGGCGGATTGGCACCCAGATCGAGTTCACCGCGTAGCACAGGTGCACGTCCACAGGCAGCAGTCCCTCAAACACAATGTAGTCCTCGAACTTCATTTCCTCGTCCAACTCGGTGAAATACATCGTGCTGCCGCAAGCGTCCGCGTCCTCTTCAGGGCTGGTATTCACTCCAGCAGGAGCAATCGCCACTCTGTCTCCACTCTGCGCTCCAGTCACGTGCATCAGCAGATCGACACGGTTCACGATCTGATCCACATCCACCGTGATGAAGGACGAGCGGAACTGAATATTCATCGGAATGATATCTTCCAGATCCTCGAACTTGTAGCAGATAAACAGCTTCTCCTCCACAGTGGGAATCGTGATGCTCACATGCCAACTATTCTCCACATTGACGGGGTGCTCGCTCCAAGCAACAACGGAGCAGTCCGGATTGCGAGAAATAAGCACGCTATCGTTCGAGCTCAGACCCACTCCTGAGACCGGCAAAGTGTAGGTGTGATTAGCAACCACCGCGTTGTTCTCCGGAGCTTCAATTCTCACCATATAAGCGTTCAGCGTGAAGTAGGTATCTGCATAGCTCTCCTCTCCAGCGAACAGGTAGCACACCTTCAGCACATGGCTCGTTACGAAGCTGAGATAAACGTTGAACACCAGATCGGGATCTCTCTTCTCCACAACGAACACCGCTCCATCCTCGTCCGCGCAGCTCGAAACTCCAAGCTTCACCTTATCGCCGACTACCACGTCACGGCCACTGATCTTCACGCTGGTTGTCGTGTTGAACAGCAGAGGAACGTTCTCCACATCATCCACATAGCTAATCGAGTAGATCAGATCGAAGGTATGGTTAAACGAGTCAAACGAGTAGGACAGCATCGCACGATCGCAGGCACGAGCCACCTCGAGAGTGAACGCAGCGTCATCGACCGTGATCAGGTTGTTGCTCACAGTGAAAGGACCGATCGAGTAGGAAGGATCAGACACGCAATCGAAAGTCACCAAGTCTCCGTCATGCACGTTCACGCCGTCCACCTCAAAGGTCTTCTCCAGTCCATAGATCAAGGCGTGGGCACCTCCTTCCGTGGCTCTCACGTCCGTAATGTGATAGAGAGACACTCTGTTGTTGGTAACGAAGCAGCTCTCATCGAAGCAGAAGCAGATCGAGTAGTCGCCAACTCCAGGAATAGGAATCTCCGTCACGTAGACAGGAATGGATCGCTCCTCCACATAGTAGCGCGTCGTAGTGTTCATGTAGCACTCCTCCAGAGTGGTTACGAAACTAATCGAATCATTGTGACTAACATAGTCCTCAGGTCCAGTGATCGTGTAGATGTACTGCTCTTCCAGGAAAAGAGTAGGCGAGTAGTCCAGGGACACTGTAACAGCTCGCAACTGAAGACCCAAAGGAAGGATGCCAGCGCCTCCGGAGAACGCGTAGCAAAGACTGAACGTATTGTTACTCCAGCTCTCCGTGCTGGGAACCACCACATCCACTCTCGAAAGGTCTCCGGAGAAGAAATAGATCGCCTGGATCGGAGCCTTGCACGTTGGGTCATTACCACGCGCCAACAGCATGTAATCGTTCTCGCTCTGGCCGTAACCTTCAATCAAGTACGTCTTGGGAAGATCGAAGAAGATGGTTTCGTCGTCTCCGTACTCGGACGTGAACGAATCGATGGACTTCAGTTCAAGGAAAGCCTGGATGAAGTGGAACGGGCCCTGCTTGTACTGCCAGCACAACGCGAGCTCCTCACCGCGCGAGGAGCGTGTGAACGTCACGATATCGCTCACCTGCGAGTCCGAAATGCTGAACACAGAACGAATGCCATTTTCGATGAATCCCTCAGCGTCCGAGTCATCCGGTGCGCAACTTCCCAGACTCTTCTTCACCCACTTGTAGTGATCGTTTCCGCCCAGATAGTCTCCGCTGAATACGAACGTTTGCTGCAATCCCACAACGGCATTGTTGTCCTCCCTTCCCGTTGTCACATTCACAGTGATCAGCTTGTAAACCGTGTCATAACGAGTCCACAGCTCACTTCCCATCTTGTAGCAGATGACAATTCCCTCGTTAAAGAAGCTCTTTTCTTCCACAGTGATAGTGAACATCTTATTCTGCACATGGACTATGTCGTTGGGATTGACCATGTTGCAATCGGACGACCACGCTGGAATGAACGAGGCAGTGTCGCTGTTCGAGACATGCGTACCCGTCGCCACGAACGTCGTGGGCTCCATGTACACGATTCGGTTGTCCATATCATACAACGGAGTCACAATAGGCGGCTGGGCAATCGTTAACACCCAGCGGACATCATCATTAAATACTCTCACGATCATATTGTATCTCGAACTGAGCACATATGCGTAAACCAGCTCCTCCTGCTCTTCTTCAAACGTATGCTCCATAGGCAGGTCCGAAAGGGTATGCATGAAGATAGACTGATCGGGCACAGAGGATGTGTTGTACACACTATCCAGACTGAAGAACAGCACGTCCTCGTCGCGATTCAAACCGATACCGTCCACATTCAAACTCTTGGGCTGACCCACCACAAACATGTCGGGCAATCCGTGATCCACCGTCACGTTGTTGACCACCAACATGTTAAAAGTGAACGGATAGAGATGATACTCGTCATCCTCTCCATGCTTATAGCAGACGGAGTAAGCATCCCAATAAATCTCGGAATGGGCCTTCACATACACCGTAGCGCCGCCATCCCGCTGAGCCTTCACTTCCTTAAACTTCTTCGGCACTGGATCCTGGAAAATGTTGAATGCGTACTCCTCCTTGCACTCGTTCTTATCGGCCTCGATAAACATGATGTAGCCAGGACCAAACTCCTTCTTGTAGCCCAAAATCTCGAGATCGATTTGCTCAGGATAAAGTCCACGAAGCAGATCGGGGTGCTCGGGCAGCAGCAGCTTATTTATGGCGCTCGTCATTGTCACCACAGAGAGAGTGCCGGCCATCATCCGCTGCTCACGCGAAGGCTGGTAGCAAACGTTGTACGTATTGATCGCATCGTCCGATGTATTGTAGTAGTAAATACGATCCAGCGTAAAGCCAGTGTAGGTAGCATTGAATCCGTCCTCCTCCTCCATGCAATCTCCCGTGGAAATATACACCAAATCGTACTCATGACGACCAAAACCGGGCACCTTCGGGTTCTCCGGCGATCCCACAATAATGTCCTTCAAATCTCCAGACACGATATGCATTGTGCCAAGCACAGGAATATCCGTAACCATAATCGTGTAGTCGTCACTCATGGGACGGATCTGCGACTCATCGCTACCCTCCACGATGCATCCCTTGAAGAACGAGGGAGCCGAATTGATGAGGAAAGCAAAATCGATGTAACCTCTCTGCGTCTCGCTATCGATCTGCACCGGCACTTGGTACACCGGTCCCTCAGCACTCTCGGTAGAATTCTGAGAGTAAACGACGAGAGGCGCTCCCTGCGTTAAGCAAGAGGCGGCCTCCGGAACGAATTTGATGCTCGTCGTCGCGGGATTGGCCACATCGATATAGATCTTCTTTCGCTGCTCCACGATGGCTTTACGGCTAGAATAGAACTCGGGGTAATCTTCGGGAGACACATCCAGCACCTCCATGAAGTATTCGCTGTATGCCTGCCATTCCTCGTGTCCAAACCGATAGCACAAATGATAACGGTCATGCTCGCCCATAGTCTTCTCCGTGAAGGTCACCTTGAAGTACGGCACCTCTTCGTCCGCTACCACAGTTCCAGTAACAATGCGGGATTCGTCAGTGCTGTTGCAATCCGCGTCACCTCTGACGTACTTCACCTCATCATTGGATCGAATACCCGATCCACTGAGGTAGACCAGCTTCTCCGAATTGATAAAGGCGCGAGTAGCAGAAGGACTCGAGCTCAGAGACGAGATCGCGTGGATCATCAGCTTATACGGGTAGGCGATGCCCGTTCCTTCGTCAACAAAGTAATAGCACATCGACCAGAAGTTGTCATTCGAGTGAACATTGAACATCACCTTCGCGGTCTGCTCGCTGTTGATCGTGAAGCATCGATCGCCAGTGCAAGTGGGCTGGCATCCCTGGTCCGAAGGAATGTAGGTGAAGCTGTCGTTCGCCGACACACCAACAGATCGCGAAAAGTCAAACGTCTTCTGCTGGTTCATGACGATGGACATCACACTTCCACTCGACACCTCGGGCTCTACGATGTGAGCAATGATCACATGGATGTTGGAGAAATAGAGCTTGTTTGAGTCGGTGTCTCGGTCCCAATAATTGCTGAACTGGTAGCACAGGCCATGGAATCCAAGATGCGTCAAACTCGAGTCTGTAGTGAACGTAAAAGTCAGGTTGCCGCCCTTCTTGTAGTGCGTGTCAAACGTAAGGTCGTTATCAGCGTCCGACATACAAGCATCATGATCCGGAGCAAACGCAAGAATGTCGCTCTTAACGCAGTTGTTGCACATGAGAGTGAAATCCTTGGAATAGTTGGCCACAACACGATAGTCCGCGCCCGTGCTAGCCTTCAAACCGAGCAGCTGGACCACGGTCAGCGAATACTCATCAAAGCGGTAGAAGTCCTCGTGCTCGAACTGGTAGCACAGCAGACCGTAGGAAGGCATCTCTCCATTATCGTTGATCACGAAATCAAAGTCGTCATCGCCACCATCGCCACCGCTCCGTTGCGAGAAAACGGGACGAGGCGCACTGCAGTCTTCTTCGGGACTCACGAATTTGATCGCGTTCAATCCCGTTGAAGTGTAAGAAGAAGGCACAAGCGTCTCTGCGCGAGCATACTTGTTGTGGTAGATCACAGCAAGAGCATTGGCAGTCGTGTTCTGATTCTGCTCAATAAACTCAAACAGCAGGAGCTGAAGCACACTCAGATGATACTCGGGATAGCTCACCAGCACAGAATCGAACCAGTAGCACATCTTCAGCGTCTTCTGCGCAAAGTCGCTGGACACGGTGACGGACAGCGTGTCAGTCATATTGCGGAAAGGAGTAGGAGCGACAGCACTCGAGGAATAGCTCGCACAGTCCTCGGACTCCAATATCCACATGATGCGCTCGCTCTTACTATCGCCGCTGCCCACCTTGAATCTGAATCCCTTCTCCTTATCGGCGACGATCAGATCGCTCGCAACACCTTCCGTCAGAGCAGAGAACTCATACACTCCCTTCACATACACGCGCACACGGTACTCGTAATCGATGTTCAAGCCATAGTGATAGAATTCCTCGTCGCCAAACTTAATGCAAGCGTAGTAATCTTCGCCCTGCGTGGAGGTGGTGAAGTTCACAGGCAACTCCGACCAGTACAGCGCACGGTCGTACGTCTCGTCCACGCGGCTCAACTGGGTAAAGACTAACGGCTCGCTCAGCAACAAGTTCTGATTCGAGCAGCTCTGGTCTTCGCTGTTGGTGAAGAAGACCGTGTAGGGAACATCGTAGGCAGTCGTGAAACTGATCACATCCGCATTTCGCATCACGAACATGCTCTTGGAAATCTCCGCAACTCCATACACATACGCCATGAAAATGCTAGAATCCAGATTGATGCGAGGCTCGTTACGAATCTGCACAGCAAGACGCACTTCCTGGCCCTGGCGAGATGGAGGAGCGCGCAAGTACAGAGTGTTGTTCACAAAGGTCGCCATCGCATCATCCAACTCCTCGTAGTTCGTATCCAGAAGAGTAAACACGGCCTCGTCGACCAAGTTGCAACCTTCCACCGTGAAAGGCTTGTCGAACATGGCAACCAGCACGTCCTTCGCTCCGGTATCAGCCTGGACAGAAGTGAACGTCACGATCTCCAGCTGCTGCGTGTACACATCGGCCACATAGCTCTTCTCCATGTAATCAAAGTTCACACACATGCGGAAAACTTGGTCCTGGTAGCACCCCGCATAGATAACCAACGCCGAGTTATCCGTCAGGGAGAACAAGCGGCTGTCCAGCATGTTCGTCTCGTTGCAAGGCAAACGCACGTCCACGTAGTAGAAGGACGTCAACTCCACCTCCAGCGCAGACAAGGTAAATGTCTTGTGCACACCAGAAATCAGAAGGTCGTCGTCTCCACGACTTACAGTGAGGTTTTGGTAACCAATCGCACGCATCGAATACTCCTCGTTCAGGAAGTAGTAGAACTTCGGAGTCTCGGGATCGTACTTCACAAACGAGTAGCACATATGCAGAGTGGGAGAGGGAGCCGTGAAACCGAGGGTCAGGCTCTTGTCAGCTCCCAGCGTGTAATAGTCCAAACCGGTGACCGCCTTGTTGTAATCGTCTTCGTCGCAGGAGGTAACCACATACTTCACACGATCACCCGCCTGCACAGAGGAACCGCTGAATGTCATTCTCTTGTTCACGTAGCTGAAGGCCAAGTTCAGATAGCCGTCATCCGCGCTCACGACCACACGATCAATGACCAGTGTCTTTCGCGAGGGAAGCTTCACAGAGCGGTCGATGGTGCTGAAATGGTAGCACAGCTCGAACGTGGCAATCTCATCCGAACTGAACTGGAACGTGTTCAGTTCGCCTGCCGGCGCCACCCTTCTGTACACGGAGAGCTCCGACGGACACTGCTGTCCTTCGCGAACAAACGTGAACTTATCGTCCTCCGATTGCGTGGGAACGGCCTCCAAATGGAAGTAAGCGGCCATATCGTTGAACGTAATGCTGTTCAGATCTGTGTTCACACCATACACCTTGACGAGCGTATTCCAGCTTACAGGGACTTCCGCGGCAAAGCGGTAGCAAATTCTCATCAAACTCGCACTTCCTTCGGGGTAATTCACCACCGCAGACCGGTCCGACACGGGGAACACCAAAGAAGGAATGGCCTCGCAGGATTCGTCCTCTCCCACCAAGAAGAGAGTATCGGTGCTCTCGATTCCGCGGCCTTCAATGGTGATCGTGAAGCTGTTCTCCGCGATAATGTAGTCGTTGTCGGGAACATCCTCAATACGCAGGTCGATGAACTCCTTCAAGCTGATGGTGTAATACGGCTTCGGAAGCTCCATAACATTATCACGCTGCAACGTGTAGCACATCACAAGCGGCTCGGAGAAGTTTCGGCCCAACTTAATCGTAGTCGAGCTGCTCGCGCCATATTTGGCTAAGACTTCGCCTTCGCAAGACTCCTTGTTCAAGGTGATGAAGCCACTAAACAGATGGCTGTCCGGACCACCCGAGATCACCGTATCGTACGTCTTCTCCTGGTCAACAACCAGCACATCATTCGCACCCGTACGAGCCGTCAGAGTAACATTGTAAACCTTCATCTCGACAGTAGTCAAATAGAACTGTTCGATTCCGAACTTGTAGCACACGCGGAAACGACCAGACTCGACTTCCATCAAAGTAGCACGCAGAGAATCAGTGACAGTAGACATGTCATTCTCTGCCACGATGCTGCTCGGATCGCAAGTATCGTCCTGGGTGAGGAACAGCTGGTCTCCAGAAGCGACACCCACTCCGTTAACAATAAATTCCTTTTCAAAGTTTGAAATCATTACATCCGCACTGCCAGAAACAGCCTCCAGAGAGTCCAAATGGCCGACACGAACAGTAATGGTAGGGAACACAACCTCGGGCTCCCCATAGAACTTGTAGCAAAGAGGGAAGACCTCCTCGCCATCTCCTCCTTCCACAGAATCATCATAGTTAAAAGTAAACTCAAAACCGCTAGGATTGTATCGAGTCAACTGGCACACGCCGTTGATCTGGAATCCAACCATATCGCCCTCTTGGTAGCCATCGACATCAACACGCCAGATCTTTGGCACTCCCTTCACGGCGAAATCGTTCGCACCTCCCGCAGGAGCTGTGAAGTTATAAACGTTACGCACCTCCAAATAGACTTCCTCTCCAGGGATCATGAAGTACTCTTCCTCCACGTAGTCGTCGTCCATCTTCATCTTGTAGCACAAATGCAGACGATTCTTGGTACTATCGTGGAAGACCACAGTGAACGTTCCATTGCTAGACAGAGGGAACTCCTGTCCAAAGGCGCTCGCGCTGCAATCCGTTCCTTCCACATACTTCACCACATCGTTCTCGTAATTCTCGTGGTTGCTGATGCTCATTTGGAACGACTTCTGCTGGCCGACGACCAAAATGTTCTTGTCTCCCTGCTGACCCGGAGCGAGACTCACGTCATTCACACGCACCACGGACAGCTGGTAGCCAGGATAGTAGAGCGGAGCTTCGCCCTTGAACGTGTACTTGAGCACATAATCGCTCGCCTCCAGAGACGAACCCTCAACAGTGATCTCCATTTGGTCCTCCAGACGGCGATCCATGTGCAAATCCTCATTCTCGCATCCCAGCAAGCGAACCTCACGCAGCTCGACCTCATCCGCGCCCCAGTTGGAGGTTATCTCGATCTTCCAGTAGCGGGCAGCCACCACACCTCCATCCAGCGCAGTCAGAGCAACGTCACCCTCCTTCTTCTTCTTCTTCAAATCCTTTCGGGTTGTGTGAGCGAACTCACGGAACGGCCCCTCCAAACCAGTGAAGGAATAGGAAATAGTCCAAGAACGAGGAGCAGACTTCGAATCCTGAATAAACAAAGCTACCTGCTGAACTAACACCAGCTTCTCCGTATCAAACACAATAGAAGCACTAAGATTATCACAGTAGCTACCTTCTTCTTCTTCTTCTTCAGTCTCATAGCATACTCTTCCTCCCTTTCCTTGGTTGTACCTACAGGCATCACAAGCAACTCCCAAAAGCCTACCTCGCCACAACGCTTTCTCCATCCTCCTCAATGCAGTTAATACTACCTACGGGACACTTCTCGTTCAGAGAAACGGTCTTCCAGACAAAACCACTTGCATTGTCTCCGTCAAAAACGTTGTAAACGGAACCAGAGACTTGAGAAACCGGACAGTACGGGGTACTTTCAGAAACAAAACCCCACTTTCCATTCTCAACTCCACGGCTACCCCAAGACGAACGCATCGCGTCGTCCGGGAGCCATGTAAACACAGAATCGGCAATCACCACGTTCTTGTTCACATACACCGCTGAAGATAATTCAGACTTCTCATTAGCATGGACTGCTACGGCTAGAATAGCCAGCAGGAATAAACATAATCTACACCCATTAGCACTCTCATACAAATTTGTGTACCGTTTTACACAAATATCCCTTCCTATTATTGCGTTCATTAAATCGATAATAAAAACAACAAGAAAAGATATATAGGACAAACACTATATGTATTTAATAAAGACTTCAAAAATTCGTAACGCCACAAATCGGTACAAAAAACCACCTTATGGTTTATTTTCCACCACAAATAAATGTCGCTTTTTTGACCACATATAGACCAGCAATGATTGGTTTAGCGCTCTCAATTCTGAAACTCCGTGGTTTTTATGCAATATGTCGTTTTTTTTTGTCATATCGACCACTCCGATTGTGCCTAACTCGAAATCCTAACATTATGTTGAGTGAATGAAATGCACATTTTGATCAAACGAATCAGAATACAAATGAAAAAACGTGCTAAATGGTTTCTTTTCATTCTAGAACAATGAACTCCCCACTTTGGATTTTTCGATTTGTTTCCTAATTGTCCGGCTTGGGTGAAGCAGGTTGTGCAGTTTCTCAACTCAAATTTGGAACGTAGGAAAAGGTCGTTCTCCTGCCTCAACACAACGCCTGATAGAATTACGTTGATTGCAAGAACACACTCGTAGTGGTCACCTTCCAAGTCAATAAGTACAGTTTTCTAAATCTTTCTTCTCTGTTCTCCTTTTTCAATTCGATCATAATAATAGCATGGGTACCATTCAATATTACAAAGAAATATATTCGTTATTTCAGTCCGGTTTAAGCGATCTGGTAGTTGAAGATCGTTTAAAAGTAATTGAGCACAGGTTCTCAGGATCCAGTGGTGATGCCATATTAGAGCTCGATAACCCATATACCGGAATGACACTTAATGTGGTGTGGCAACAGGGGGTTTTAAATGGAAGCGCGACGATTGCTGACCAATCTGGAAGGAAGATATGCGAGTTCACTTACAGAGATTTCTCTCCGTGTGGACCTTGCACTTTTTATAAGGATAATTCGATTCTATGCTCTCTAAATGTTTTAAACGGATGTTATTACGGCACCTGCAAATTTTACAAAGACTCTGTCCTTCTCTATGAGGGCGATTATTTCCATGGGGACGTCAATGGTTCCGGTACTCTATACTATCCTAATGGTTCTGCGCTTTATGAAGGGAACTTTAAGTATGGACTTGCTGATGGAGTTGGGACGTATCACACGCCAGACGGAAAAGCGATCCATTCTGCAGAATGGAAGAGTGGATTATGTGCAAAAGTGTCGAAGACCATCTCTCTCCCCAAGTATGTCATATGTCCGAATCAAGTTCTGTCGAGAGCCGCCTACTCAATGGAGCTCATGGCAATTCGGTATGCTTCTGAGAGTAGGGCACAAGGAGGGGTGGTAATTCCTTAGATCCTAGTGGTGATGCAGACAGCAACTCGATGGGGATGTCTTCTGAAAATACGTCTCTCAATCTGGATGAAATTTATGTGAAGTCGCAAGGTCGATTGGCAGCCGTCCTGCAGCAGCAGGCTGTAGATTTCAATGCCAGCGAAGACATTGAGGAACTCCCTGTCATCACCGCAGACGGTAAGATACTTAAGAACGCTGCTCGGAATCGCCCTGTGAGCAAAAAGCAACAATCGCAGCTATTTATGGCGCCTGGGATACTTCCTCCAAGTCTGGTTGTGGAAGACTTTTCGGTTATGAAGTTGATCTTTAAGCAGCCATCCGACTGTCCCGCACCTCCTCCGTTTAGGGGCAGTAAGGTGAAGAAGGTCATTAAGTCGGATATGGATTGGAAAACTGTTGATTCCACTGTCACGAACCTAGAGATCGAATCAAATTGCATGACTGGCAATGGTATGAGTTTCCTGAAGGCTTCGAATCTCACCTCGCTGAAGACAATTCACTTTAAGGACAGCAGCGCGTCCTCGATTGAGTGCGTGACGATTCGGAACAATCCCTATCTTACCGATCTCACTGTCGGAAATAACTGCTTTTCTTCCTTCTTCGACCCCAACCAAAATCTCTATCTTGCTCTGGAGGGAGAGACTCCAAGAATCTTTTGCGTTATGCTCAATTACTCGCTAGAGCATATCTCGATAGGGAGGTATTCTTTTACGAGATACTCCACATTCACCCTAGCACGTTGCTCTAAAAACTCTCCATCACGAATAGTGCTTCCCAATCTCACGACTCTTTCCATCGGAGAGTGTAATGACAGTACGGCCATGGAGGACGGATCCTTCTGCTTTTCATTCACAAAAAGCTTCACTCTGAGTGGTAGGTCATTCACTGTTCTTTGCCAATAATCAATTGTAGATTTGCCCAAACTCATTTCCGTTAAAATAGGAAATTATTGTTTCTCCAAAGTCTGGAATGTGTCACTCAAGAGTTGTTCCACCCCGATAGTGTGAAGTCTAGATTTGCCCTCGCTAAATTATCTATTGTTGAGTAACTCCGTGTTTAAGGGAGACTATGCTTGTGACGAATGTTTTATGAGTTGGGAAAATCTTCCTGCCTTGACTACTCTCATCATGAAGAAGGATGTATGCTCACTGATGAGTTTGGTTCAGATGACAAGTATGTCTTCTCCGCCCATTGAATATTAGATTGCTTCCTATCAAAGAAGCCATTGAACTTTGATATTCATGAAGTATTCGGAATGTCTACCAAACTAAGAGCAAAAGGATGTCGGGAAGATGCGATCAAGATTATCAAAAGTAATATTTCGATTCTCTTATTTTTTTGTTGGAACCATGCTCCATCGTACGTTGAGTGCTCTTTCAAGGCACTCTAGAGAGTTTTCCACTGGGTTATTTGGGTTTACAGGAATCAATGTACCGTTCGATTGCGTGATATTCGCGGAAGTATTGCTATTATTTATTGATTATGGAGTAGACAAGTAAAAAGAATATAGAACGAGCAAGGAAGGCATTGGTACGTGAACCTGATCCGTAGTATCGTTTTTCGCCTCATATAGTTAGTGTTCGTCGTGTGCAACAAATAGACTTCATTTCGAACACTTTAGATAAAGTACACGTTGTCGTGCTGTATAAGGTAGTCAATGAATACACTTAGCTTCATTATGTCTTTTCATGACGACAATAAGATGCTACAGCAAGCAAATCTAGCCTATAACGTTTCTTCTGCTAGGGAACTATTACCATAGATGCTGTTTGAAGAGATGACGGAGATAAACAGTGACAAATCGATGTATGAGTTGATAAAGCACACTACACTCAATCCTGAGTTCCGTGAAGAAAACGCTGTATTACAAACACTTCAGGTGACAGAATTAAACGGATTTCATTTACAGCATGAGTATGAATCGAGTGGAATCCAATTTGACTTGGATCCACGTGTCAATGATGCGCAAAATGCTATTCAAACACTGCAATACCAATTTTCTCAAGTAGATGCATGGAAATGCTCGCGAATAGAACATTCGAAACAACTCGGCTGCTTATTCAATTCCCTCCAGAGTGCTGATGAGTCCAAATTCATTGCAGCGATATCGAGTTTCTCCGATGAGTCGCAACTACAAAATCCCTTTGAATGCTGTGGACGTGGGAAGTGTTCTCTCGGGAATTACGGATGAAACTACTCGATATAACCTGCTGGATCAGTTTGCTGCAAGCGTTCCAGAGAACCAAAGAATCCTACAACAAATCGTAGATTTATCCTATGTCGTAGCTCGCTGCTTTCACAAGAAGAATTACGCAGAATATAAAATGTGTGATACGCTGATCAAGCAGCCTCATGAAGTAATGGTTCTACTCCAGCGGTGTCTGGACAAAATCCGCCCCTTTCGAGATCGGTACTTCGAGGAGCTTCGCAAAGAGAAGGAGCGGCATCTGGGAGGGCATCAGACTCTCCATCGATGGGATATTAGTTTATATGACGGCATTATGACATCCCGGAGAGTGCAGCTGCTGGAGAAAGATGTGAGTGTATTCACAGCAGAGGGAATTCTAAGGGGAGGCATTGCTCCGTTGCTTCGCGACATGTTCGACGTTCAACTGGAACCTGTGCCAATCAGAGCAGAGGAGCAGTGGACCCGAAAAACCAAAATTGAAAAGTATAGAGTGATTCACGGCAACCGAGTATTATAGCTCTTCTTCATTCGGTTAGGAGTATAGGGCTACCTAGGAGATCTCTATCTAGATCTCTATCTCCGCCCCAACAAAGGCATTTCCACTGCAATGTATACAATCTGTGGAAGACGTGAAAACGAAGATAAGTCAGTGCAGTCTCCGATTGTAACGTGTTGTTTGGCGATTTGTTTGGCGTAGGCCGTCATTGAAGCTTGTCTTCCGATGAACTCTTTTCTTTCCGTTAACAGCGTGTCATCGATATTTCATGAATTTGGCCATGCGATGCAGCTGTTTCTCACAGATACGAAGTATCAAACAATCTCTGGAACCCGAGTGTCGGTAATCTCTCTTTCGACGTTGTTGATAAAATAATAGGATGATGCGACGGAAATCCCTTCTCACTTATTTCAGTTCTTAGCCTCGGATTCACGTCTTCTTTGTGGTATGAATGAGGCATCGAACACCCATACAGCTTCGCAGAAGGCAATTGATTGGATGAGTAGCTGGATTGGGAAGCCGAGCCTGTCTACGTTTACAGTTGATGGCATGTTTTATTTTTAAAAATATAGGATTATTGTATCGATGGACTGATTGACCAGTATTTGTTTGGAGACGGATATGGAACGGTTTTGATTGTTTGGGTTTCATCCATCGTAGTACTCTGTTCCGCTTGTTCAGCAAGCGATTACAAACCAGTATGAGTCTGTCAAACTTCCTACTTCGTGGTCCTTTCTTTCTCAAAATTCTACGCTTTTGCATTACTCAGGGCTTCAATACGCGTAAGGGATATCGGCCGTCTCGTCACTAGATATGCCCTGAACATGATTATAGCATACGACATTTTCAAAAGCGGAAAATCTATTAGCAGGGAATTTGGGAAACGCATTGAGAACGAAGTAGAATTAGTCTAAAAGTGAAATGGTAGCTTCTGTCGAGAGGAAGAGCGGTCCCTCAAGACGATATCATATACCATATTTTAGGTCGGAAGTATGATGAGGAAGCTATTATCAGCTCGTTTGAATAGTGTTGCAGTGGTTTGTTTAATATCTATTTTGTAATCGTTGGGTAGTTCTGGTGCGAAATGCAAACTTGAAGTTATGTGTCATGTTTCATTTTCTATTTTTGGGTTATGATACTGTGCTTTTTGCACAGATTCTCTCACCCTTATATAGTTTTCAACCCAAATATCTAGGTACAACGAATAGGGATTTTGACCTTCCAAAATGATGCGTTTTCAATGTGCATTCAGAAAATGTAATACACTGAACGTGTTATATAGATTGTCAGGGTAATGATTAACCAAAACTTAGGGGAGGAAAGCCTGTAAATTGATATGAAAAATTACGAAAAAATACAATCAAGTGTAAGTTATATTTCAAAACAATTCTTTTTACTATTATTATATGGGAGAAGTTAGCTTTTTGCAAAACATCCTAAACACAGATACATCTCTGCTTAGTCAATTGCAGCAAAGTTTCTCCTCCCTGAACGTAACAAAGGCAAACTATAGTGGTCCGAATACCCAAGTAGCGAATTATAATGGATGCAACTTGTTTCTAAAGTCTATGTATGTCAAAGGTAAATTAGATGGAATTGCAACGCTACTAAATAATGACTATGAAATATTGATGGAACTACCATTCAATAATGGAAAGTTAGATGGAAAGGTAAAAATACAGTGTTTGCAACAAAGTTATGCAATAACCTATTTTGATGGAAATCCTACGGGTGAAGTCATGATTAAGGAACAAGATTCGACTCTTTTTGAAGGATTATACAACAGTGGAATGGCAAATGGGAATGGTACTTACTATTATTCAAATGGTTATTCATATACCGGGTTGTTTCAGGGAGGTGTGGCGAATGGCACTGGGAGTATCTATGATCAGGATGGATCGGTTATCATTTCTGGAGTGTTTAACAAGGGCAGACTTAGTAATTATAAAGTTGAATGTCCTACATGTATTAGATTTATTAGGGAATGTGTGAAGCCGCAAGTGCGACAAGAAGAGCCTGCGGTTGTGTTTTCAAAGGATGGTCTGGAGTTCCAAGACTACGCTGGTATTGTGGAATGTGAAGTGGATATGGTTAGTAATGAAGAGTTTAACTATGTTGAAAATCGACACTCATCTTTGGAAAAGACAAAAGAAACGTACCAGTCTCTCGTTAGTAAATTTATATCCTGTCAAGTCCTTTGGGAGAAGTGGAGTATATTACTTAAGGAAGGAAGGAACGAGTGGAATAGTCAGTGGAATTTAGTTCATCGTGCTGCGCAACTTGATTCGATATCGGGAGGGTCAACAGCAGCAGCAGCAACAACAACAACAACAACAACAACAACAACAACAACAACAACAACAACAACAACAACAACATCAGCCACCTCATCAGTAAGTACAAAAGCAAAAACAAAAGCAAAAACAAAAGCAAAAGCAAAAAAAGCAAAAGCTCAACCTCAACCTCAACCAAAGCCTCAACCTCAACCAAAGCCTCAACTTCAACCAAAGCCTCAACCTCAACCAAAGCCTCAACCTCAACCAAAGCCTCAACCTCAACCAAAGCCTCAACCTCAATCAAAGCCTCAACCTCAACCTCAACCTCAACCTCAACCTCAAACAAAAGCAATAAAGAAAGCACAGCCACAAGTCAAATCACAACCTCAGCCACTGGTGATTCCCACATTATCTTTTACAAAAGTATCACAACCCCAGCAAAATACAACTGTTCAACCCACCATTTACGATAACAGTGTTGCCCAGCCAGTGAATATGGGAGAAATGGGTGTAAGATCTGTCACAGCTAACAGGAATATATCCTCAGATTCTGATAGTGATGAATCTGTATACAGTTTCATCAGCGAACAAGGTACTCATCCTGTATTAAAGGAACGTGGTCTGTTGGATAGAGAAATGAAACAACGCATAGTACGGGATGTATATGATAAAGCTGATCTGGATGATCTTGTTTCTCTTTGTAATGATGATGATGACTATCAAAGGGACATCATGGGTTCTCCTACCAATTCTGCTTCTTCAAAAAGGCAAAGAAATATGGGAGGGACAGAAAGAAGAAGAAGAAAAAGAAAAGGAGGATAGTTCTAATGCTTTTGGTGATGATGATGTTAATGGAATGAATTGTACAGTGAAAAAGAAATTTGTATCAAGAAAACCACAACCAATAATTGCTATTCTTATCATAAGAAATAGGGAAAGGAGAGTGGAAGTGTTGTTGTTTGTTATCAAATACTCATTACAATAAACCAGCTTGATCAAAACAATGCATTATTCCCTGCATCATCTCTATGTTCATCTCATTCTGCTTTGGATCCCACTCCAAGGGACTTTGCTCCACTTCCACAGCTGTTTGAAGTTCAGATCGTAGTTCTAAACTAAAAAGGAATCTCCATACATACTCCGAGCTTCTTCACACACATCCTCACTCTCTCGAAGAGAATGGACATCTTCTTTTAAACGCGATACTGGGAACTCTGCAGCAATCGCTCCAAGTCGAGAGAGAGCCACCCCGAAATCAGACTGCACTAGCATCTGCTGTATTTGTACAATATTTCTCTTCCGATAACACTACACTTTTACACACTAACAAACAGGGCTCTCCCACTTCTACCAACTCACGCTTCCGTTTTTCCAACTTGGCATCCAGCTCGCGCTCCTCATCACACACATTGTCAATGGGAGAAACCTTCACTTATGAGTGTACTAGAAAAAAATACCTTCGAATCTTTGTATCGTGGCATCAAGATATTCTGCTCGCAGTATAGTTCAAACATATTTATGTATTTATCGCACACGCGCTCAAATTCTTTAAAGACTCGCATGGTACCCTATCCACTCACAAAATTACTCTACGACTTACTTCAGTAACTGTGGTAGGGACCTCCTCATTCCTTTTCTCAAATTGTTCCTAAGTGGGTATTACAACGCTTTATACATACACGAATCCTGTTTTCGAATTGTAATAACTTTTCTGCAGTAAATGCAGTTAGTTGCTGCTTGACTAAAGAACATCACTCACTTGTATCAACTACCTGATGCTAATATTACTTGATTCCTCTCTTTAGCACTCTGAGGACCAACTTCCGTTTCCATTTTTTACTTTCCTTGTGATTGTTCTTACTCGCGAAGTTGAAATCGCCCTTGATGAACCTGAGGTACTCTTATAAGAAACAACGAGAAGAAATGCAAATTTATTCCTTAAGGGTAGTTTGAAATGGAGTATGGGTTTTTGGGTCAAAAAGAATCTCTGACCTGTTGATTTTGATTTTGATTACCATCAATGCAACACAGCTACCAGAGGTACATTTTGGATAGTACATTAGGAGTGATTACTTCCCCAAACTCTAATGTTGTTTTCAGCCATGATGCTACTCTTGCCATATCTGGAGCGTTAGAGGAGCTGTCTGTTTGGAATATTAAATTGGGTACGAAGGTGAGAGTTTTCATTTTTGGTCAGCCTTAGGTGTGTGGGTTACGTGATGGGACAGCAGAGATCTCTAAAATTTGTCGAAGCCCGAAGAAGAATCTTATTGCCGTTGGCTACACTGATGGTACAATTCGCCTTTGGGACATTGAGAAGCGAGAACTAAAATGTAAATGCATCCAAAGGAATCTGATATGTAGTAAAACTCAAGGGTCACAAGAAAGCCGTTAGTTGTCTCGCTTTCAACACGGAGGGCAATTTTCTAGCATCTGGTTCAAATGACTGCACTATCGTAATATGGGACCTAATTTCAGAAAACGGAATTTGTCGTTTGAAGGGTCATCGCGACATGGTAACCAGTATTACGTTTCTCGAAGAATACAATATGCTAATTTCCGCCTCTAAAGATACACTACTCAAGGTGTGGTCGATCGACGGTCAGTATTGTATCGATACCTACATCGGCCATCGAACCGAGATTTGGAGTATGGTTTTGTTCACACAGTCTGGATACAAGGACAAGCCAGACGAAGAGGGTCTGACCAAATACAACCTGCTTACCGGAAGCAGCGATCAAAGTCTGCGTCTGTTTAGCATCTATAAAGATCCGCGTGTCTTTAGCACAGAAGCAGATGAAGATGGAAAGGAAGTGGGAGGATCTGAACACGTTCTGGAGTACCGTGGGTGTGTGACTGTGTCCCAGAGCGGGAGAACGGGCCAACTTCTGATGGATAGCACGCAGAGCCTTGTTGGGTATTTCAACGTGAATAAAGTGTTCATGCTCTATCGCGTTCGGTCCTTTGCTGACAGTATAAAACGAATGAAACGTCGAATTCGTCGTCGCAAGGAAAAGGGAGGAGTGGCGAAGGCGAGTGTTCAATGCAGCGATGCGATGGAGCTGGTTTCCACGGTCAAGACCACGCACAAGCTGACATCTTTTGACTTTGGTCGTCAGTTAAAGGAGAGCGACGAGGTCGAGGTGCTCTTCGGCATGAACAACAACTCGATGCAGCTCTATCGCCTGAGTCGCAACAATTCGCAAGCAACAAAGGACGAAGAGGGCAGGAGCATGGAGAATACCGGTTCCTACGAAAAGGTACTGTCGATCGCACTAGCGGGCCATCGCAGCGACGTCCGCGCGCTGGCGCTCACCTCTACGGATGATCTTATACTCTCTGTAGGCCAGAAGGACGCCAAGGTTTGGAGTGTACGTTCGTTGGAGTGTGTTCGCAGCATTGATGTCGTCAATGGACTTTGCTGCTGTATTCTTCCAGGTGACAAGCACGCGGTGATCGGAACGAAGGACGGAAAGCTGGTGCTGGTGGATCTGAATACGGGAGACGTCATGCAGACCGTTCAGGCTCACAAGGGAAGCATCTGGAGTGTGGATGTTCGTCAGGACAGCAAGGGAATGATGTCCGGCGGTGCGGACCATAATATTTGCTTCTGGGAGATATCCTTTTGGTTGTCGATTCTTTTGAGTCATGGAATCCTTCACTTTAGTTTGATATAGCGGTCGATCCCACGACAAAGCGGCGAATGCTGCAGATTATCGCAACGCGCACGCTGAAGATGTCTCATGACATTCTGTGCGTGAAGTACAGCAACACGAAAGACCCTTCAAAGCTTTTGGTTGCTGTATCGCTCCTCGACAATACCGTGAAAGTAGGCATGGTTTTTCGTTGGAAAGCAGATCTTTTTCGAAGATACTCTCCGTTTCTTCCTCTCTTTGTACGGCCACAAGCTCCCCGTGCTCTCTCTCTCCATCAGTTCAGACAACAAGCTTATTGTGACGGCAAGCGCGGACAAGAATATCAAGATCTGGGGACTGGACTTTGGCGATTGCCACAAATCCTTCTTTGCCCATGCGGATAGTGTGATGAGTGTCGGCTTTGTCAATAACACTCACTATGTTTTCTCCTGCGGGAAGGACGGAGTGCTAAAGTTCTGGGATGCGGATCGGTTTGAGATGATCACGCAGACAAACGCGCACTACGGCGAGGCGTGGTGTCTGGTCGTATCGCATCTTGGAGACTTCGTGGTGACCGCTGGCCACGATCGCGCGATTCGCGTCTTTTTACGGTCGAACGAGCCTGTTATTTTGGAAGAGGAGCGAGAACGGGAGATGGACGAGCAGCTCGACCAGACCATGGATGTCGATGGTGAGCGTGCCTTGGGAATGGAAGAAGAGACAGCGATGCCGAATGAGGATAAGCAAGCTGTCGGCGAAGCGCAGGCACACGAAGTGACCCTGGACAAGGACGCCAGCGATAAGGTGAGCTCCGTGCACAGCAGTAGCATGCGAAGCGCGGATTACTTAATCTCCACTTTGGAGCGCGCAGAGAATCAGCGAAAGAAGGTGAAGGAGTGGGAAGAGGAGTGCGAGTATATGAAGTCGCTGCTAACAGAGGAGGAATACAACCAACGCACGGAGAATGGAGCCAAGCCTTTGATGGCTCCTCCTGAAAAGGACATTATGATGATGGGCATGTCTCCGTTAGAGTTCGTCGCTACAACGATAAGGTAGGATCCGAGCGGTACGTTTTCTGTAGCAACATTCCTCGCCCGGAGTTCGAGTCTACGCTCTTGGTATTACCCTTCGAGAATGTGTGCCAGCTGGTGGAGTATTTCAAGGACATGCTAGAGACGAACCAGCAGGTGGAGCTGTGTGTGCGATCGCTGCTCTTCTTGCTGAAGCTCTATGAAGTAGGGTTTGAAGGGACATGTAATGGGCAGCAACAATTGGAAGCGTCGACCCAACTTCGAAGTACCCTGGTCGTTCTCAAGTCTCTGATGAGAGAAAAGCTATTCGAAACTCGCGTAAGTGGTTGGGTTGGCTTGAAATGGAAGGGCTATATTGGAGTGAACCAGGCTGCTCTCCGTCTTTTAAAAAGGAAGTTAGACGAGAAGAATGAAGTGTTTGGAGAGGAAAAGAGATCTAAAATCCTTTGTTCTTTTTGTTTTACAAAAATCGTGCCTATTTCATTTTAAGGAAAGAAATCAAATCCACGAAAAAGCCATGAATAGTGGATCATTTGATAGCTACATCAGCATCCGAAAATCATCCAATTATAAAAAGCTTCCTGATGTTGATAATCTGAAAGTTGAAAGAAAATCGTTTGTTGAATCGTAGAAATTGAAGCACGAGCTCCGCAAGTTGCTAGTCATCCAATCAGAAGAGTCATCCAACGAGTCGTTTGCATTTTCCTCGTTTCCTGGCGTTTCCGAAAGAGAAGTACGGAACAGTGTGCAGATATGGTACTGGCCGTATCATTCGCGTCACTTTTAGGTGTGTGAATATGTTACGCATTTTCCCGAAGGAAATCGGTCGTATACTGGAGCAAGGCTTTATTTGGAAAGCGCTCTATTATACGCTTCTTAGCGATAATGATGTTCCCACAGCTACCTTTACGGAGATTTTAGATGTATCATTTATTCACGACTCATAATATAGCTGAGCGTTAAGACGAGCGTCTTCTGCTCGGAGCACAGCGCGGAGATTCCGGCAGACCAACTCTCCAAAGTGATGCTTTACATGATTCTATGCGTCTCTGTTCTGTACAACATTGACAACTCGATTGTTGAATCAATTTCCCCGCTTTTCCACGCTTGTAGTCGAACTGTGGTTCCTGTTCTTTACTAGATTCAAAGACATCCTTGGCTCTTCTCTTTTTGAAGAGAAGTTCGTTGATAGCCTGCCCCATTTCTGTCGATTTGACAACCTCGCTAATAGGCTCGATGAAGATTCGCAATTGGACAGATTACTCTGTTCTCCTCCTCGCCATTTTGATTAGTGGTATGGGTCGCAATCGAAGCATTTTGTATGCACTCCAGCCCAAAGTCATTTCGTCGATTGGCGAATGCGTTTCTTTGTTCTTGTCGCACTGGATCCCGTTGGAATCGCACAGTGCGCTATGCACGACGTGCAAGCTTGCTTTTCGAGCCTTTTTGGAGCAGTTGCCGTTCAGTCATTTGATTCTTCGAGAAGTGACGCAGCACACGCTCTTTTTCCACTCCATTTATGGCTATTACCGTATTATTTTTGCGTGGTGACATCAATGGTAGAGCAGACACCCAATACGAAACGATCAAGAGTGGACGATAATTCAGCCGCTATCTCTGTATCTTCTCATCAAGAGAATTGCATTCGATGCATTGGGGAGAGTGGAGCCAAGAAGCCCAAGTCTCTGCTGAATTGCTTTCTGGTTTCCGTGCAGTCGGTTGTGCAAAAGCTGGACGATCAATCAGTGCCCGAAAACTTCTTCGAGTTCCTTCGGAGCATTGTCGAAGTGTGCTGGAGCCAATGCCAAGTACGCATTCGCGAGTTGGGTGAAAGGCAGATCGTATTTACCTCTCCTGCGGTGTTTTCAGATCGAAAGCGAAGACGCGAAAGTGCCGACGAGAACGTGGAGTCCGAATCGATTCCCCACTTTTATTTGGTCATTCTAGATATGGTCCAAATCCTGCTGGGAGGAATGGAAAAGGTGTCGCCTTCCTCGAAGTATCTGCGAATAGCGGGCATCGCATGCGTGCTGGAGCAGACTTCCCGCCTCTGCGACTACAGTGTTACAAACAAGTGCTTGGTGGTACCGATTCAATTGAGAACTGAGCGATAGTATCACTACTTCCATGATGCGTTACTGCTGATAACTTCGGAGCCTTCGGAATCCTCCGCATTCTATAATAATCAGATTGGGATTTTGTTCTATTTGGTGCAGATTTCCTCTCTGTTCCTAATCAACAACCTCCCCACTTACATCCAATTCATCAACACGCATACTCCCGAAGCAATGTGCGAAGTCCGCGACTCTTTGGCTCGCCTCGAAAACTGCATGTTCACTGTTTACACCGAGATGCGTGACTTGAATGTTCTGTTCTCTACGATTCTGTGCGAGTCCTCGACACGCCGTCTGACCGAACTCTATACAGATGAAAAGGTGCAGCAATGCCTCGAGCAGCTAACGATGCGCATTCTTCCCTTGCAGATTACCAGCATCCTGAGATGTCTAATGGACTATGTCGTTCATGCTGGGTTGGCTTTGGAGTCGCACCTCATCCTTAGAGAGAACCATGTTGCCCTGACAGCTGTTTGTTTCCTGCGCTGCTTGCTTCACACGATGCAGGTGACGGAGGCAAACGTGATTTCCATCTACCAATTCGTCTGTGAATTGCGTCAAAACGTGGGGAGCGTCATTCTTGGAACTTTTTCTCTTTGTGACGAGCTTTTCAGCTCTTATATGCTGCTTCTCGTTGATTGTTTCGCCGTGGAGCGTCAGATCCAAATCTATACTCCGATTCGATACAGCGAATCCAAAGAGAGGAGTGTTCCTCAAGCTCCGCAGACGGAGAATCACAACCTTTCACTGAAGGATGTTTACTTTGGAGGCTCCGTTCCTTCTTTATTCACCTGCATGTTTGGCTGTTCGCCTCGATTTCTCTATGAAGGAAAGGAGAAAAGCGGCACGCTGGAGCGAAAACTGTATCAGCGAGTGGGGAAGGACGAGGATCTGATGATGACTTTATTCGTGGAGCGACTTGTGCTTCTCGATCATTATTACAAGGCAAACAGCGACCCTTCGATCTTGGAAGAATGCAACGAAATCAGCTTTGACATTTGCAATCGATTGCTGAATCCTTCTTCTCACTCGTGCCATGAAGTAGTTTCCCCTAGATTGTTTTTCTGTAGTGTTTATCTGAACGATATCAAGCTCCTCTCCAACATTTATCGCTCATCGTTTCGTATGTGCCTTCCTCGACGGTTTCTAGCGTCGTTTCCTTTCTTCTTTCAAGCTGCCCCTGTCTGGCGTGCGCTTCTCAGACTCCTTGCTGCAGACAGAAGCTTCTTCGTTCGTTGTTCTTTTACGAGATCCCTGTGATTCGTGCTTGCTGTATTCTTTTTAGGACTCGAGTGATAACGATTAGGCTGCACTGTTCTTCTCCAGCAAATGCGCAAAGAACTGGAGCGTCCTGATGGAGGCAATCCCAGCGAGTTTACTCATTATGTGAAGCTGTTTGAAGCCTTCCCCAATTCGTACTGGACTCAAGCTGACCGGAACGCGATGACCGCTTGATATCCTTTATCCGAATAGAGAAATAATAGAAGGGTCTTAACTATACCTTTTTTGAACTGGTTACTTCTTCATCTTCTTCTTCTGTTTTGAAATCTCCAAGTGTGATCAACGTGTGGAGATTGTTCTTTACTCGAGAATCGCGCTACAACACGGCAGCTTTACTATCGTTCATTCTTTCCAAAAAGCACAATCCAATCGACTTGCTCTCAGTGACGTCGTACGATTTTTATGCCAATTTGGGAGTGGCCTACGCTTCGTATCTAATGCAATACAATTCGGATGATTGCATCGCTGAATATGTCCATGCGTTAGTGCAAAACGAGATGTCGAACCAGCTCGGGAGTGTGCTTCGCTGGTTTGTAATTTCGCTCACAAAGCAACTGATCCTGCTGGATAAATCCAGTCTTTTAGGTTCGACCGAGGCTGTTATTTTGTGCCCCTATTTGTTTGTTGAGATTGGAAAGAAACTACTGGAAGATGAGTCTCCCTTATCTCGCTCCTGTGTGATAATGCTGCTGTCCTTCTTATCTTCGCTTCCTTGCGATCCTCTACGCTCTGAAGAAATGAAGACGTGGTCTAGCGATTTGCTTGGTACCTTGCCCGAAATTCAGGACGGAAGTGACTACGCAATGAAAGAGGCAGAATCCTTTGTGTCGCTGAGCGATTTTTGCCAGCGCGACGAGCGATTCTGGATGTGGAGCTTAGCGGTGCCGTTCTTTATCAAAAGCGGACTTTCTCTGCAGAATGTTCTGCATGTGCTGTCTAGAGTATTTTGCGACTTTGTTGCTGGCATTATTCTCTTGTAGATCGCTCTGGTGGTTGACGACTCCCACTTCCCAATGAGTGATCACTCATTGCTTCAAGTGTCTACCGCTCAGTCTCTGCAGCTTGTCATTCCCTTCATCACGTCGGCTATCAAGAGATCTTCCTACGCATCTCACCTTTTCGATAATATTCTGAACATCCCCTTCGATGAATCGCACCTTGTGGCCGTGGAAACACTTCGAAGCCTTCTGTTAAAGAGCGCTTTGAATGGAAAAGCGAACCAGTTATCCTCCGTTCTGTCGAAGGACAGTAAGATCAGGGGAAGCTGTTGCTATGTAGTGTTTATTTTGTCTGCCTTCCCAATGGACAAGGAATTGGCCGTTGTGCTGATTGAGTCGTGCTGTGAACGTAGGGTCGTGAATGGAGTTGCTGATTTTAGTGATTGACCTTTGCCGACGAAGACTACTTGGCTACGACCTTTCCACGCTTTTCGAGATAACGCCTCATGTTTCTGTAGTGTTTAATTTATCGGATGACTTGTAGGAGTGGTTTAGCGTCGACCATCCTCTAAACAGCAAGTACACTTCTATCGATGTGTGTCAATTAGACTCTATGAAATGCTGAGCCGACTGACGGGCTGCATTATGGGAGCCGACGACCGCGTGTTGTCGGGCATTGTCGGAAATTTAATGGGCTTGATCACCGAGCTGTACCGAGTGATGTTCGCCCACGTGGCCAAGGCTTCGATCGGACCAGAAGAACTGAGCGTGTATGTGAATAATTTCAAGTTCATTTCGACGAAGCTGTTAGGAAAGCCATCGATTTTCCAGCATCACATGCAGAGCATATCCTTTTTGAATGATTGAGTCGAGGGCGCTTTCGATCGATTCGCCACCACTCTGTTGATCAGTTTTCTTAATCCCAGCTGCTCTGTGACATGCTCTCCGAGCCGAACAGTCAGCTCATCTTGCTCAAGCTAAAGGACACGTCGAGTATCAATAGCGTGGTGTTTTCGAACATCTTCAACGATGTTTTGGATTTGTGTGGATATGAGGGAGTGAAGCAGATCAACGTGCAGCTTTCTACGGCGAAACGTGACATCCTAAGAGGACTGTTTGAATACTATAAGAGAGAGCACAAGTATAAGGGAGTGATTTAGTATTGTCCATTTATTGGTTGTATAGTTTTTGTTATTTACAAATCTTTATTTCTATATATAGAATAAAATGAATGAAAAGAACTTTGAATATGCCAGATCTTTGATTCCCGCAACGTATGTAAATCAGGGAAGAGATGCAATCAAACGTCGCGAAAATCTTGTCAAAGATCTACTCACACATCGTAAAATCCCAGAAATTGGTTGGGACGACCAGTCCATAGAGTAGAAGACAATTCCTCTCTATTCTCGTCTAGACTTTTCTTAAACGACCTTTCTCTCATGGACAGCAATAACTTCTTGGGGAATAGCGGAGTCGGTGAGCGTGAAGGGAGAATTGCGAGCACTTTGGTATTATGCGATGATCCTTTGTCTATCAGGTTGCCAAGCGTCATTTCTATCTTGCTCATGGAATTGGGAGAGCGGGTGATGTGGCTGCAATCCAAGTAAGACATAAGATCATGTTGAACTGTAGCCTAAAGCGGCTGGCTCGTCCTTGATCTGTGAATTAACCCGGAAAATGGCAGTAGATTTTATCCAAACCTGCGGGATCACCGAGGTGAAGGATTGCATTGTTCTTCCCTTGGCCACGGGCATGAGCATCAGCATGTGCTTACTCTCGTTGCGACTGAATAACCCGACCGCCAAATATGTAATCTGGTTCCGTGTGGACCAGAAAACGTGCTTGAAGAGCATTTTGACCACAGGATTGGAGCCGATCATTATCGATCCTGTCCCGGAAGGCGACGAGCTCAACACAAACCTTGGAGCCCTGCGCGAAAAGCTCGAATCCATAAAGCGCGAGGAGATCCTGTGCATCATTCCGACGACTTCCGTGTTTGCTCCTCGCCTCCCGGATGATATCGTGGGCGTTAGCAAACTGGCGAAGGAGTTCTCCGTCCCAGTGATCGTGAACAATGCGTACGGACTCCAAAGCGGAGCTACCTGCAAGGCGATCGACCGCGCGATCCGCGTGGGCCGCATCGACATGCTCGTTTCCTCCACCGACAAAAACATGCTGGTTCCCGTGGGAGGCGCGCTGGTGTACAGTCCGCAGTCCGGAATGGTGGATTTGGTGCGAAAGAACTACCCTGGGCGAGCAAGCATGTCTCCCATTCTGGACGTGTTTATCACGCTGCTGAGCATGGGGAAGAGGGAGCTGCGTTCGGTTTTGAAGGAGCGAGAGGACTGCTATCAGTACTTGCTGGACCGACTGGGAGAGGTGGCCGGGCGGTACAAGCAGCGCGTGCTTCGCACTCCGCGAAACCCGATTTCGATCGCAGTGACGCTGGATAATCCGTTCCCCGAGGACGATTCGTTCGAGTATTCGGATGAAGATATTACAAAGTTTGGAGCAATGCTCTATACGCGAGGGGTGTCCGGTCGAGTTGTGGAGATTGTCTGATCGATAGGATCACGATGCGTAGGGTTTCATAACAAGAAAAGCGTGGGGAAGTACGAGTTTGCGAACTACGGAGGCCATACTGACCACTATCCTCACGCTTACTTCACTTCGGCTGCTGCAATCGGTGTGAAGAAGGAAGAAATCGATGTGTTCATTGATCGTCTGGAGAAAAATTGGAAACAATACCAAAAGGACTTGGAGAAGAAGCGACAGAAGAAAGAAACTCAGGAATAATAGTAACAGTAATAGTATTCTTGTTTTTTCGCTGTTTATTGTATTCACCTAACTATGGTAGGGCGAGAAAGGAGTCGTGTCACTTTCCAGAGCGAGAAGAAGCGTCTGGAATACATTTACCGCGAATATCCTCCAGATACGGATGAAGCAAAGATTAACGAGATGTGTGTACTTTTTTGTAAGTACTGCGGAGAGTATGTGTTAATTCTACGTACGAGCTCTTTTTTATTACGAGATCTATAGCGCATGCTCTCGAAACATATCCCATTCGCAAGCGCGACATGTCCAGAGTGATTGAAGTTTGTCATGTCGTATTTCTCTTTTCTTTTTAGGAAAGTGAGAACGATTTTCGATGGAATCTACATTATGAGGGCGATACATATGTTCGAAGGTACGAAATCTGATTTCAAACTAAATCAAGAGAAAATGGCATAGAAAAGCAGTGCCGGTTATACTGTAACCACTGCAAACTCTTTGTAGCTTATCGCTTAACACCTCCTGGAAAAGAGAGCAAGTAAGTCTGTTTCCCCTGTGTAATGTAGGTACTTTTACATAGTGAAGGGGAGTCTAACCACAGACCCTGACGTGATGATGCACGAAGTGAAGAATTATAAGCTTCAGATCCCTCCTTTTATACAGGTAGTGAGTATGTGAAGGATTTCAAATAGCGGGATCCAGATGACCCTTCTCGCAGCTCCTTGGTGTTCTTAAATGTTGCGTATGGGAAGGAGGCGAATCGGATTGTCGGTGTTTCGGATGATTTACTAAATATTGAACTTACCTGTGCTTTTTCGCTTCATTTCATAATTCTGATAGATCCTTACGTGGAAGAGGGGAGAGCGAACGCATTATTAATTCATTTCCTATCCACATTGCTGAATATACCGAATATTAACTGTTCTCTGATGTACAAGGATTCGAAGCTTGCTATGAAGATCGAGGATATTGACTATGAAGACCTGTTTGTGAAGCTCCAAACAGTGATGTTAAAATAACTGATTTTGTGTTTGTTTTGTTTGAAAAAGAGTATATGAACGGAATAGGATTGTTATTTTTTGTTATTTTGATGAGTTTTACGAAGGAGAAAGATTTTTATTGTTGTGACTCAGAATGTAAAGTCAATATCGCACCTTATATTTAGATGAAGCATCATTCATTCCACTAGACACTTTTGAATATTCTACTGGTATTCTGAGATATTCTGGTCCGAATTTTCTACAGGGATTAATTCCCTATCAACTGTTTTGTAAAGAAACTGTATTAGGTGATGAGAAGACGAATGAGATATTTGAGAAGACAAAGGATGATGACGAAACAATTTCCATATCTTCTAGAGCTGCCAACGCATATTTACAAGCACTAACCGAAGTCAGGCGCAAGACGGACGTGGAAGAGTATAAATATGCAGACAATCAATCGTTTTGTTTTTTCAACGGTCTGGTTGACAGACAGGAGATGTTTTTTTTCGAGATTGCCTATTATATGCAAAATAATACTCCATCATCTTCTGTATCTTTTGGTTTAGCCCTGCCAAATGAATTCGTAAAGAATCAAGAAACGGTTGGCTTTGTTAAATCTCCTTACCAGATCGAGTCCCATCTTTCCTATAATCGGAATGACTCCAAATTGGAGCGTTCACTGAATATCAAATGGAGCGGGGAGTCGATAGTCAAAGGCGTCATTATAAATGATTTTAATGTAATTTCTGCGCTTAAGGTTCATCATGAAGCAATTCGAAAGTGCAATATTTCTCCCTGCTTTGTCAAATTTAAATGTTCCAAGAGTGAATATACGACTACCAACTTTTTGGTGAAGAATCTCTTGATCGTGAGCCATGGATTGTGTATCTCAACCAACGAGAAGAATCAATCTATCACATTCAATGGTGGAGAACAAATTAAGGTTAACTTTTCCAATGAGCAGTTAATCGATTACCTTGATTATGGCACATACTACAAAGGTGGGTATGTAAAAGATGATAATGGTTTTTTCACATGGAATGGAGAAGGAAATATATATCGTAAAAAGGAAAGAGGAGAATATATCGAGATTGAAGGCACCTGGAAGATAGGAAAAATCAATTTGGAAAGCTGTCAAATATGGGATTCTACAGGGAGATCGTACTCCCTCATGTATTATTGGGATGGGAAGGAATTAAGGAATACGCCAGCATCAGATCATGAATCAGTTGCAGTATGGGGCCCAATCGACTTGGGAAGCAATCATTTGAGTGTCTTTTTAACGCAGGAAACCCAATCTCTATATCTTGACTGCTACTTTTTGAATATGAAAAGGCTAACTATTGGACTCGACGATGCGAGCGTTGTTTTCTTACTGAAAGAAATAAAGATTGGAAACTACTGTCTGGCAAACACGGAGCACTTTGGCATCTATGACTTACCTTCTCTGCGGTTTCTTTCTTTTGGGTACCACTCATTAAACGATTGTTTGGACTTTGTGCTTTTTGGTACCGCTTTGTTTCCTTGATTACTAATCATATAGGGTTGAGTCAATTAAATAAAATCCAAGTGGAAGGCGAAGTACTCTCCAACTGCCAGAATGTTTCAGTTTTCGGTATGAGTGGCCATTTCTGTTGAGTGTTTAGCGTGCCATTTTGCTTGCTACGAAGCGCTGGAATTTCTGAAGATACCGGGGACCTGTCGTATTTATGCGGACAAAAACATCCCGTTGGCTTGTAGACGTAGGGTCGCTTCATTCTCTTTTGATGGGTAGAACGCTCTTCTGTTTATTTATCGAATGGGTCAGGTACGTTTTTCCTGTGGTATTGCGTATTTTGCAGATGTTGAGATGTCCGAAAACAACATAAAGAGAGATTTGGCCATGTTGAAATTGACAGTTACGGAGTATCGGAGTCAAGATTCCTCTGGTACCCCGGCCAAAGAGGGAGTCCTCAAGGGTACAACCTTCTGCCCTATATCGAATACCCTTACGGAGCTCTACATAAGTGATAATGTGGGATTCAACATATTTCATACGGAGTTTTCACATCTTTATCACTTAGTAACGCTGCGTATCGGCAATGATTGCTTCACAGACGCAAAACGGAACACAGAATCATGTGTGACACAAGAAGAAAAGCGATCTCTAATTATAACGAATAACAAGTCTTTGGTTATTAGTCATTGCCCAAACTTGGAATCTATTATTATCGGAAAGGGAAGCTTCCAAGACGCTTATCGATTTGAACTTGCAGGGCTCCCGAGACTGAAGTCCTTAATAATCGGCAAAGTCGAAGACGATAATAATACGTGGAACTCGCAGTCGATGTGCTTTGTCTTTTCTCTGTTTATGGAGATAAAGGGTAACTTTTAATTCATTATTTGAATCTGACAAAAAGATCTTCCATCTCTTCAACAAGTCGTCTTCGGAACGCGATGCTTTTACGGAAATGTTGAACTTGAGTTTAAAAGTAGTTGATGGAGGATGAATCGATCCTAGATTTGCCGTTACTGGAGTATCTTGTGTTTGGCGATGGCGCGTGCTATCTTTCCGTATCGATTCGCATGATAAGTGGTTTTCTTTTGAAATGTTCACCGATAGATCTGCCCAAGTTGAAATACTGGAGAATTTTCCAGAACGCGATTACTCTGATAAGGAATATCAACTTTATCGGTAATTGCAAGGATTGCTTCTTATCGGTAGATGTGAACGATGACTGTACCATTCTTGTGAGCCCTCCCTATCCGCTTCATCAGGAGACATTGAAAGAACGTACGTGGGATTGTGCTTAAAAAGCGAAATGTAGTGATGGAGAGGAGCCAAACAGTCAACATAATGAAGATTCTGGACAGTATTCCGAAAGACATGCAATGGCCTGAAACAAGTCAGTATTTGACGTTGGCCGTTTTCACTCCCAAAGGTGTTTAATACGCTCGAAATGAGATGTGTAGATAAGGGATTTGGGGTTTTCAAGCTTCAGAAAGCGCTTTGCAATGCTTTTAGTAGTCAGAAAGAACTCGAAAAATCGGCGCGTGGAGCGGTTGTCCAGGTCCATCCGTTCTCTTATATGCCTGACTTGTCGTTCTCGTTTTGCAGAGAAAAGGTCGTTCAAATCGTGATTGGCAACTTTTCTTGTAAGCGAGTTACGTCCTTCGTGCTCTCGAACTTCCCCAAGTTGGTCAAATTGGAAATTGGCCGAGGCTGTTTCCACTCTGGAAATCCTGAGAACACTCCAGAGCCGTATAATTCCTCTCCGCAGGAAAAGGAACGCTCCTCTCATCTGATGTTTTTGGTGTCCTATTGTGACAACCTCACTTCTATCACAATGCGCCAATGGTCATTTACCAGATTCAACAAGGTGCGGATTTCGAATTTGAAATCGTTGAAGACTTTATGCTTTGGTATTGTCTCATCTGTCACTACAATTTTGAAAAATAGCAACAATTTTTATTATGCAGAAAGCCTGACTCTCTCAAGTACGGTTGGCTTCGACTTGTTATGCTGTAGATCTTCCTTCGTTAGAAGATTTGGTCATCGGAAATGTGAGTTTTTATAGGTGTACCAAGGTGACTCTTGAGCACTTACCCAAGCTTATGTCGTTTCAACTCGGATATGGCTCGTGTTACAACACAGAGACGCTCGTGATGCACGATATTCCTCTCTTAGATCACATGATGATCGATATAACAAGCTTCAAAAAGGTGAAATCACTGTATTTGTTAGGTAGGCACGAAAGATTCGCTGGATTGCTCGTAGATATGCCCGAGTTCAGCTCGTTCTCCTTGCTGCCATCGCATTCAGAAGACTCCAGCTCATCCTTTGAATACCTAAATGACATCCATGTCTATCGTATGGAGAGTTTGCCTTGTTTTCCTGTAGGCGTCAATCCGAAATGCATCGAATTCCTCAAAGTTCGAAACACTGTAAATGATCTTCCATCCATGTCTCCGTTGTTCTATCAAATCGAAGACTTCTCGTGTCTTGATTCAGTGACTACCATAATGACTGCGCCCAATCTGCAAACAAACATGAACGAGTTTTCGATTGTGAAGCAACCTTTGCTTCAGAATTTGGTGATTCAGAATAATTGTTTTACAGGAGTGAGCAAATTCTCCTTGGAGGATCTCCCAATGCTGCGCTATGTTTTCATTGGAGATTATTGCTTTAACTGCGAAACGGGAAAAGGATACGTCATGAAGATAAGCAACTGCGTAATGCTTAGCATTCTTTATATAAAAAGCTCTGCTTTGAATAACTACGAACGAGTCGAGCTGAGTGGTGAGAATTGGACTCGATTATCACAATAGGAACACCCAAATTGAATTGTAAACAGATTTTGAATCCCAGACTCTCCGTTTCACAAGAGGCCCGAATGATAAACTATGACGGTCTGTTGGGTGCCTCCAAGTTCAGTTCAAATAGAGCGCGCATAAAGAGAGAAAAGGCAATTAAAAATCAAATGTCTGGGGAAAAGAAAAATAGAAATCGGTCTTTTGACAAACAAACGAATGGAATTCGTGCGGTCGAAGAGCGGAAGAATGGAATACGCCTAGTCGATAATCCAAGTATGCACATGCAGCGGGTTCGTAAGGCCTAGATAGTTCCGAAATGAGCAGCGAAATGGACTCTTTTGATGGAAGTGAAGGGGACAGTCCAGTTCGTCCTCGGAGAAATAGTTTGTATGACAGGAGCAGCGAAACGGAGGACGATTCTGATTACTTCAGAGAATTGTCTCCTAAGGCCCCCACCAGTTTAGTCATCGATCCTACGCACGATGCTTACACGGACACGGATCTAACGAAGCAAAGCTCCATCATGCAGCCATACAACCAGTCAGGTTCCTACTTTGTGAAGGTTTGCGTTCTGACGTTTGGTGACGTGTAGCCCAGCGGGTCGCACTATATGCTTCACTTAGAGAACGGTGTTCACCTTTTCTTCACCTCGGAGTATTATGACTCCCCACTCTTCCCAGTTCTCACTTCCCAGTCGCTGTTTCATTTGTCCAGATGCGATCTAGAGAAGGGATCGTTCAGGTTCGAAGGCAAAACGAATGTCTTCTTCTTCTCGAAGAAGTTTCTGAACAAATTGAGGAAATGGAACGCATTTTTAAGCTACTATGAATTCTTTTCGATCAGCGGGGAAGTGAAAGAACGGAGAATCCAGCGTCTGGAAATCTTTGGGACTCAGATTCCGGACGGTTTAGAGTATCTCACCTTCAGCCCCCGGTGGGGAGTTTGCAGCCAGGACATTGGCGAGGTGAACTTCTTCGTTTCCCGTTGGCCTTATTTCGTAAGTGAAGTGCCGGCTCTTTCTCTGATATACAGCAAAATCGGCTCGAAGGACTGGTTGTCGCATCGATTCCACGCAATGTTAACCCCATCCACATTACCTCCGAGAGCTTAAAGATTTTGCGCTTATCTTCGTTTTGCGATTGTGCGTGGGACGAGAGGATGGAAGGCGGCGAGAGTTTTATGAATTACAAGAAGCTGAAGATTTTCAATTGTCCCAAGTTGGAGCATATCTTGATAGGACGCTTTTCGCTTATCAGTGTGAGATCGATCGAGATCGAGAGTAGGTGATGGGATGGACTTCGTCTCCAGATTGTACCTCCCTACACACGATCGCATTTGGAACGATTTCCGGAAGTATGGACTTTGACGAAGCCTCTCTCTGCTGCTTGTCCTGCACCAAACTTAGAATACGCAGTAATTTCCGTTTGGGCGAGATTCATGGTTAGGTTGTGAGAAGCTTCGTAAGATCGTGTTCGGAAATAACTCGCTTCCTAAACTCGAAGAGTTTACCATTGACAGAGCAAATATTACCTATACATTTGGTACAAGATGCAAACATATTCGACCCAGTATTGTAGAATAATAAAATATATGTTTAAAAGTGTTCTGTTCTTTGTTTTCAACAAACAAATCGTCTCTCTAAGCATTTAGCACGTTTAGAAAGTGGGGTAAGAGTTCATCTGGTTGATACCGCAGATACCAGCTCCAGACTCGGTGTACTTGATCTTCAGGTAACCCTTGTCACCCCAAGATTCACCCCAGGAGTTCTTGACAATCCAGTAGTCAGCACCATAACCGACAGCCAGCACTCCGTGGTTCAGAGAGGTTCCGCAAGCGGAGCTATCAATGACACCACCAGTGTACATCTGGAACACAATGGAGTCAGCCTCCACAGCCACAGACACGGGTCCCTGGGACACAGCCTGCTTCAGAGCAGCACCGTCGAACCTGGGAACCTCTTCATATCCCTTGGGGAACACAACAGGAGTGCACTTGTCGTCCTTGCAATCCTCATCAACAGCGTGGTAAGGATAGTCCTCCTCCTTGCACATACCCTTCTTCTTGGCGTACTCGAAGGCATAGGTCATCAAACCACCTCCGCAACCAGAAGACTGATGATCGCAATCAACGAGCTGCTGCTCAGACAGAGAAATGAGCTCTCCGTTAGCAACGAAGTTTCTGCCCTCCATGGCACCGGTGGCAGAGAAAGCCCAGCAGGATCCGCAAGAAGCCTGGTTCTTGACGGGGGTCACAGCTCCCTTCTCTCTCCAGTCAACAGCCTCAGCAGCGGGCTCCATGATGGGAGTGGCGGGCTTGGTCATCTTGGGCTTCAGCATGCATCCGCAGAGCTTGGAAACAGCGAACTCAGTGTTGGTCATATCAGCGAAAGGAGTAGCACCGACGGTGTAAGGATGATCCTCAGAGTTGATCTTCTGAGCCCATTCCATGTTGTAGGCAAACACCTTCTGGCGGAAAGCTCTCTCAGCGGCGTTGATATAGTTCTTTCCATATCTGGCCTCGAAGGAGTTGAACGTGTTTTCATAACGAAGGCTGGTGGCCAACGCGATAGCGAACAGAACATAGATAATGCTCTTCATAGCTTACTCAAAGTTTTTTATGAAAAACTTGGGTGTCTCATTTTGAAACGCTCGGCATAGACAATATGACGCATGATGCGACACACCGAAATTGGGCAAAATGATTGGATTGCAAAGTTGTTCGCCCAATCAATTACCGAAATCTACGTTCTCCAATCAGAATTCGATAAATAGTAGAAATATCTACATGAATTACCAATTTCGGGCCAAGTCGAATTCCTGTCTTTTCTGGTGACTACTCTCCTTATAGGGTGATACCCGCGAGATGGAGATTACGATTTGGTCGCTTTACGAAAGCTAATCCACAGCTATTCGGTCTTCAGCACATCGGATTCAAACAAACAAGCGCATACCCAGCAGCTTGGCACTAAAAAACCTCCTCCATTACGAGGAATCAACCACGGTCTCATCCACCTCAGCAGCAGATGAACTCGCGCGTGCACTATTTACGCACTTTTCCTTGTTACAGCTACAATTTGCGGAACATACTTTTCCATAGTTTCGACATGGACATTTTCGATTCGAACACTTTCCTTTGCAGTGACACCCATAAGACTCGGACAGAAGCAAATCGATTTCCGACCTTTGCTTTCTCGCTAATTTCTCGCGATCTTCTTTCGACTTCTGTTTTTCATTCGATCCTCCAAAACAAACTACTTGCTTATGGGTCTTTCCGTTCTCTTTCGACTCTTGAGAGGTACTCTGCGTCTCCACTCCTTCTTTCCTTTCCATCTTCGCCCCATTGCGCGAAGGAAGCTTCGGGAGCTGCAAATCATCCAGCGAGGGAAGCGACTGCATAACCGACTTTTCTCTCTGTTTGTACGCGTCGAAGTTCCTCTCCTTCTCAATCTGTGCGTAGTCACGAAGCGACAGAGCGGGTTTGGCAACGCGGGGCGGCGTTCGCAGGCCTTCGCTCGATTCCGTTCGGTGTCGTTTCTCATCGCTGGGCACGGGAGGAAGCGAGCGTTTCTTTGAAAAGGTGGGGAGTGTGTGCGGCGGAGAGAGTTTTCGAAGGGTCGGCGTTTTGGGTGGGTCGGAAGAACTCGGTTCGGTAGATTGCCGCGATTTTCTCGACGAAAACACAGAGGAAGCAGTGGTAGGAGGAGGATGGCTGGATCGAAATCGATTGGAACGCTTGGCTGGATTCCCCGGATTCCCTGGATTCCCTGGCTCGGATTGTTTTTCGATGCCTCGAATCGAAGAGCGCAGCGTGTGCATCGTCTTCTCTTCCTCCAATTCCATCTGCAGAAGCTGCTTTTCGTCGTGGTACAGCTGCGCGAAAGCCAAGAAGAACAATCCTACTTCCAATTGGTTCTGAAGGAATTCGCCCAGACGGAATGCGTCTCGGTCCAGGTGCTCGCTGCGTGGCTGCGAAGCTTCGAGAAGACTCCCGTCACTCGATCCATCCAGCGATCGACTCTCCTTCTTGGACGACATCGAAGCGAGCTTCGCGGGAAGATCCATTTTACTCATCAGAAACGCGGTTTTGCTCTCCTCTTTCTTCACTACCAGTCAGGACTCTCCAGAACCCCAACGCAGCTCCACCAATTCCTTGTTCTCTCCTGCGAGCTGCTGCAATTCCCGCTCCGTCTTCTGCGATTGCTGGTTCCGCTTCATCATTTCGCTGAGCAGCACGTCGCACACCACGCGGAGCTGATCCACAGAGATGAAACTCGACCAGCGCGCGCTGGTCGAGGGAGCGGAGCTCGCAGAGAGCTGGCGATTGAGGCGTGTAATCTTGGCGGTGAGGATCGCTTTGTCCTGGTTTAGATGGAATAGCCGATCGGTGAGAAGCTTCTTTCGGGAGAAATCGGACACGGAAGCGAGTTCTGGAGATCAATCAAGAGAGGAGACATGAGAAACCTTGCTGGACCGATTCGATGAGTCGCTGTAGCTGCGTTCGCTTGTCCACTGTGGTTTTCTAGGATCAAAACGACTGGCGGAGCCAACTATGGTGAAGTTGAGCGTATCGATATGGATCTCGCGACGCAGCAATCCGAGCGCCTGCTTCTCCAGAAGCGATTTATCCACACCCTACACTCCATCGGCCATTCAGCAAAAAAGAACTACGAGCGTGGTTCGGCTTAACGAACGCTCCCGTTCGCGCTCCCGTTCGCGTTCTCTCTCGCTGGAACGGCGTTCGCGTTCCACTTTTTCTAGAGTGAAACAAGGCGGCGATTCGCACCTTTTTCGTTCGAGAGCTGGATTTCGAGATGCCGAATCTGCTTCTCGAGCGCCTCTTGCTCTTTCTTATCGCGCATTCGCTGCTTGCTTTCCTCCAATTCGCGCTTTCGCTGCTCCAATTGCTGGCTGCGCGCTTTCTTCGCAACATCCTTCTGAAATCGGATTCGCTCGGCTTGCACCTGCTTCAATGTGGTTTGCAGCTCGCGCACTTCGATCTCTTTCTCCTTGTATTTGCTGATTATTCGGTTGTATTCTTCCTTCCACTTCTGCAGCTGGAGCGTCGTCGATTCGTTTTTCTTCAGTTTGCGACGCAGTTCGCGGATTTCGCGAGTTAACGAAGCGTTGGACGAATGCGACGCTTTTTTCTCCGTCTCTGCGAGCATCAGATGAAGCGAGTGGTTTTCTTTCTATCTCTCACACACACACACCGATCACACCGTCAGCGATTCTAACTGCGAAGCGATCTGAATGAGCTTCTCTTCGTACTTCTCTTTCAGCGATTGGATTTGCTGCTTTGACTTCAGCAGCGTTGAAATCCGCGATTCTTGTTCCGTCAGCGTGTCCAGCTTCGCTTGGTCCGCTTCATCTACTTCGATCGAGCAGTTCTCTGCATCCGCTTCGACTTCCATATCCGCTTCGATGGGAGTTTCGGTTTCCCCGGGGAAATCAATATCTTGCAAGAGCATCTGCATCAAAACACACACGAAAAGCAAATACAGCGTACGAAGATTGGCGCTTCAAAGACGCAATTTCCTTGTTCTTCGTCTCGAGCAATTCCTGGAATCCCTTATCCGTATTCTTCTGCTCCAGCAAATAGCTCAAATCCTCGCGGCAGCTCTTCAACTCGCTCTCGCTCTTCAGCAGTGCGGTCCGCAGCCGCTTCACTTCGTCCTCTAAAACAAGCAATCGCTGCTTTCCCTCCGACGGCGAAGCCGGATTTCCAAACGAACTGCCGCTCTCATAGTTCGACACGATCTCCTCCAGCTCGCTAATCCGCTTCTTCAGCTTCAGAATCTCGGCGGTGGTGGGATCCATGTTCACGGTGGGCTTGTTCTCGATCTTTCTCGCTTGGTCGGCCCAGCGCAGCGTGTTGACCGTCTCGCTCAGATTCGTATCGGCCGGAGAAACGCACGCGATCATCACCGTCTTCGCGTTGCCGCCGAGCGAGTCTTTGAGAAGGCGAGTGAGCGAGCTCTCGCGGTAGGGAATGTGCGAAGCGTGCGTGACGAGAGCTTCGATGACTTTGCTCAGCGTCGAGAGCGATTTGTTGATCGAAATGCCTTCCTGCGCGCGATTGCCGGTCGCTTTGGTCTTTTCCAGACGCTCGCTTCCAGCCAAATCCACAAAGTTGATCTTGCCGCGCAGAGTGCCTTCAGATTCGGACACTTTGCAGATCGTGATTGTAAAGATGGCATGGCTTCGACTCGACTGCTTGTTCATTTCGGTAGCGCCGATTCGACGAGATTCGCTACCTTCACGGAGAATACTGAACATTTCGGCGCTTCGGTACACTCGGCGCTCGGAAAGGCCCTTCACAATAACATTGTCGCCGTTATTAATAATCGAAAGACGCTCATTTCGGTTGTTTAGCAGGTCAAACACTTTCTCGTTATATATCTCGGCAAATCTAGTTCTCACATTCAATAAAGACGAAAACGATGCATAAATCTCGTAGCAAGTTCCCTCGGCAGCACAACTCTCCGTTTCTGCGTCCAACTTGCCAAAAATGTCCGTAATCATCCTAGGCAGAATCCCCCGATTATCTTCGTCCAAACCGTCTTCTTCAACTCCAGTTCCCATTGTATATGTTTTCCCGGAACCTGTTTGTCCATAAGCAAATATCGTCGTGTTGTACCCAGAAAAGGAAGAGTTCAGCAAATCACGCACACTCTCCTCATACACAAAATCCTGTGTGCACCCCGATCCAAAAACAGAGTCAAAGCAAAAGGAGCGGTCACTTACAAAAACGGAATGACTTTTGTCATCGACCGTTACACATTCTTCAGCTCCTGTTTCTGTTTCTAGCGGAATCAGTGGCCGAACTCTCACAACAACCCTTACTGGAATTGAGCTAGCAACTGTTGATGTTGTGACACTCATCGATTCTTTCGATATAATTCTGTCCAACGGTTGCTACAAATCCTTAAAATACGTAGAATACACAAAACAATTAATTCGCTATTTCGTGTGTATATTTGGAAAGTGAATTCACATCAATATTTGGAATTCCGATTGTATTGGGAAAAGCCTCAATCCAATTTGACATAATCGTCTTCTTTGATCTATTATTCGAGCAATGGTACATGTCTAAAACACAGTGAACCTATAGTCATCGTGGTTTGTTGAAGACGGTTCAAAGAAGGAGTTATCGGAAGAGGAGGTGCGCGAGAATACTGTAATCATTTTCGGTGATATCTGTAATACGACTAGCTGCTTCAGTTGCGAAATGATTATTATGCTATTCTTCAGGAGCCTCAAAATACGGCTATTGAAGTACGTTTTAAAATGTACATACTAACGAACAGAAGACTGTAGTCATTAACAAGTTACTTGCAATTTGCGATAACGAAATTCTCCACGTTGATATTCCGGGAGATTCATCCTTCGAGGATCTTCCATTCGAGTGTCAACTTCAGTATATGTGCTTTGTGAAGTGTGCAGGATTGTTTTCGTCGATGGGTGAGAGTGACCAGGCGGTCAATAGCTATCTGCGGGTAATTCATGCAAACCACGATTCCCTGTAGGCAGCGGAACTCTATGAAGGTGATATTTCCTTATGGAAGGGTCTTTTTGAAGTCGCAACGACCCATAAAGTGTACGAGACCTTTGTGGCTTTAACAGCTCTAGATTTACTTATCAGAAGGCGTGTCTGAGTCACATCTTGCAGATTGTGTATGAGCAATTTCCGATCGACGAGGAGAACTTGGATTACATTCTGCTTTACCTGCAAATGTGCTGGAAACAGCGAGATTTGGAAGCGATTCATGCCTGCATTTCCTTTCTCACTTCGTGTAACACTTCGATTACCAATCCAGACTTCCAAGAAGTCGTCAATTACTTGAACGTTGCATTGATCCGGTGTTTCCATGTAGTTTTTCTTCACGCCTCGAAGTCCTTTCGTTCCTTCCCTTCCTCCTCCTCCTCTCCCAGCCGCGCTTTCTCCTTCCGTGTTGGATTCTCTCTTCCCTATTCTCCCTTCTCCCTCGAAGCCACTTTTCTCATATCAAACGAAGGAAGTTCATGTGAGCGACTCGTCCTGCTGGATGTCCGTGTTTGACGCTATCATTGAATGTCTTCTCGCCTCGAATCATCTCATACAGTTGAAGTTTCTCTTTCCAAGCACCCTTCCAGAGAATCCACAACTCACAACGATTACTTATGGATCGTTGTTTTCTCACAACACACAGCAGCAGGAAAATACGGCGCCTGCTTCGATTTCAGTGTCGAACCCGTTGCTCAATGAAATGAAAGTGGATGAGAATGAGGAAGGAAAGAACCAAAATGTCGATGTCAACGAGCTTACATTGATTAACACACGGTTCTCATTCCTAATTGAATCTTAGGATTAGGCAGTTTTTCGAGCATCACCTTTCCTTTCTTTACAAATATGATTCTGTTTCCCCTGTTTCTCCAGCGTTTGTCGCTTCCCCGTTGGCGCAGGGAAGCAGCCGAAGCAGTGGAATAAGCAAAAACAAGAGCAAAAGCGGAAACAAAAAGAAAGCAAACTACAAGAACGAAGTGTTTTCAGTGCCGCAAATGAAGTTAACGCAAGCGGACTCCATGCGAACAACCAAGTGGGATCGATTGCTTCTTGTAATGTAGTTGTCTTGCCTTCCTCTACTCGATTCTTCACGGTCAGCCCGAGATCACGCTGATTGACTTCATCACTACGTTGTGTGATGTCCTCTGCGAGTTCCCTATTCTCATCTTGTTTGAATCCCCTGTGCGACTCGGCGTGCTTTATTTTTTACAACTCGTCGGAGAACACTATCCACAGCTGATCACTTCGCGAGGCAATCTCGTTCTGTTGATCCAAGAACTGCTCTACTGGCTTTGGACGGTGAATTCGCGGATGCGAAGTGCAGATTATTATAGTCGCATTAATCGAGGTACTGGATTGTTTTGCACTCTCGATCATAGCGGAGCTGGATTCGTATTATTTGAATGTAACAGATCCTTCTCCCTTTACACAGCTTCGGCTTGTGTATCTCCATTACCAAAAGATGGTGAATTCCAATTCTCCTTCCGCCTCAGCGCTCGCCATTTCGGCACTCCATCAAGATGTCATCAATCAATTCCAGACGGTTCTCGATTCGATCACTCCTGAAACTCCCATGAATCTGATGGTAACAAGCTACAGCCAAGCGATTCTCACTGGGAACTCCTATTTCTGTTTGAATCATGGAGTGGTGGGCGTAATCATTCCCTTTTATGGCTCCTCCTCCTTCATTAATCCCGAAATTATCTCAAAATCAGAGAAAGAAGAATTGACAGATGTGAACCTTCTCATCCATGCTTTGACTAAAAATATGTCCAATACGTATGAGCTCTTCTTGCAGCATGGATCATCACCAGAATTCATGGATTATATTTGTGAGGAAACGAGGCTGGTTCCTCAACTCACGAAACTGCTGATCGAAAAAGGGCAAATGGTCGATTATTACACGACTCTGATTAGCAAAATAAGCAGTGATGGAAACGTTCATCTTGCGTCATTTGTCACAGCTCTGCATCGCTATTTGATTCAAGAGAAAATCCAATCCCATGATTTCAATCTGCAGCTGGCGCTCTTGCTTCTGCAGCTTCATCAAATTGATACATTCGTGTCTTATTTCGCTTCATTGCCTCCCGATCTTTTGATTCCAACACTTCACTCGTTAATGCCATTGCTATCACAGCTGGCTCTAAAACAATACATCGAATTCATTCACATTACGGCGCAGGTGCTGTCCGAGGTAGTGAATCAATGGAAAGCCATCCATGATTTCTCGAAAGTCTCTTCTTTCTTTAAAATGGACAATCGGAAGTGTCAGCAAGCCGCGGAATTTGCGAGACAGATCATAAAACTGATGACTGCGTATATCTCATTCCACGTAAATACCTTCGCTCTTCTATTCGACTCCATCTACATCATTATCGTTTTAGCGGAGTGTATCGCAGAAGCCAATCCGGAGATCATTTCTGGCTGTTTCCAAGAATTATTCAACGATTCGTTTCCGACAGTTTGTCCAATTCAAGCACTCTATCACATTCTTTTCGTCTGTCAAAAGGCTCACTTCTTCTTCTCCCGATTTGGAAGCAATAATTGCTGTAGTCTGAACGATGCTTTCCTTTTATTCGAATTATCGCTTCTCTCGTCCTGTCCCCCCTCTCTTGTTACGCTTTTCAGTTCCGAGATCAATCAAGTGATTCGCTGTTCGCTCGGCTTGCAGGTAGGAATAGATCGCATCTGTACTGTAGATGCCGAAAACGCGTCAGCACAATGTGTGGAGCATCTGTGAAACGTCCACATTGCTTTATAAAGACATCGCGGGGCTGATTCGAGTGTCCGAAATGATAGAGGATGGCAAGTCTATCAACTCTCACAAGAAACTCATTGAAATCATGTCGGATTGGCTCGATCTGGAAAACCGAAAAAGCCGAACATCGGCGGTAACCAAGGAAACGATCTTCTATGGAGTGTACGATGCAGCGCAGATGAATGCAGTGAACTCGATGCTAAAGCTTCTCAATACAGTACACCTCTCATGAGCGATTGATGGATAGATCATAACGGTCGATGAGCTTTCTGATCTCTTGAAATCGCATGCGCATTTCCAAGATCCGCTTCTGGCGACTCTGGTGAAATACAAACTCAAATACTTCGTTTCCAAAACACATCAGGGTAGTTCTTTTGGAAACGGTACACAGTAGACATGGTTTTCAATCAATCAGTTGTCGAAGAATATAAGAAGAAGGGAATCTGGATGGCGCTGGGGATTTTGTACAAGCCATCGGACTTCCAGATGTGGGAAATGTTCGTCGATTGGCTTCTTCAGATGACGTATTACAACGAGGACGATCTTGTTTTTCACACGGTGATGAATTGCAACTGTGATGTTGCCTTGGAGGATTCGTTCTATGAGGTCGATAACGCCATTGGATGGATTCAGTTGAAAGTGAATCCGCATTACCCTGTGTATATCAATATCATCAATATTGTGGATTATTTGGCAGCGATCGATATGAGCAATGGATTCCCTTATTTCTATTCGATCCTGCCGAATAAATACAAAGCAGCCATTTCGAAATTAAAGCCTGAAACGAGTACTCGTTTTTCAGTGTTCGTTTGATTGTAGTTGTCATTCTATTCAAATACATGTGGAAGTCGAGTATCGCTGCAGCTACGTTTAATTTATGCACCAATTCCATGGTCGATAAGGAGATTGTTTGATTTTCATTCCCGTTTGATTGTCTAGAAATTCAAAGCGATCGACAATCTCGCGTTTGTGATTCACACAGCACTGCAAGAGCTGCAGACTCTCTCGGTCCTTTGGAACGACTATCTCGTTTTGGCGGTGCTTTCGATCTTCCGATTGTCTCTAAACGAAGGACCGATTCCAGTGAATTCCATCGATCAGGTCGTGCAGTACTGCATTCAAGCCGAGCAGAACGCGACATCGGTGTGTAACGCGAAGGGGAAAAGCATGTCTCGCTATATCTTGCATCGGTTTATCGTGTATGTGTTCGTCGATCACGCGTTGGCCGAAAAGAATCTTTCGTAGTTTCTTTCCTTATCGTTAACTGCAGTCTCTTCTTAACCCAAAAGGGGGGAATGTTTTTCTATTCTCAACCCAACCATTACATTTTCAACGCAAACATCATCGAGTCCAAGATCAATTTCCCGTCCTGCACCATCTGTGGCCAGGCATTCACCGCGTTAAGTCGAATCAATATGATGGTCTGCTACACTTGCGGCGTTCACATGCACGTGGAGTGCGCCATCAAATCGAAAGGCATGCTGAACGTGAAGTCTTCCAGTCCAACGGAAGTGTACATGTGTTCGGACTGTGTCAACCAATCGGTCCATTCAATTCAAATGATGCTGCTTCGAAACGCGTTGGTGGCAATGAATTACGTGATGATGATCGATTCGGGATCGCATTTACCGCGACTCTTTCAGCGGAGAGTTCTCGTATTGGCGAGTAAACTTCATCCAGAACGGCAAGAGTTCTATAAGAAAACGGAAGTGGACGTGTTCATTCCTTTCTTTTCGAAGCCAGGCAATGTAGCATGGATGGAGGGTTGACTGATGGATCGTAGCTTGTCCCGCTCGAACTGAATCCTTCCATCGGAGATCTGGTTCCTTTGTTCGGAAGAAAACGCGATTTCCTAATTAATCGCAGGCTGGTAAGGATTTTGCTGTGCTGATCTCCAGATTTTCGTGAGAGCGACGGAAATCTTCTTGGCGTTCAACATGCTGCCCTATCTTTCGATGGAAATCGAGTTCACCAGTCGAGCCAACTCTGCGTTTTTCCAATCGTTGTTAGAGATGATTGTCGGCCAATTGGATCGCGTTATGGAGGCGTTTCCGATTTCATGTAAGCGAAAAGAGCGACGTGAACGATAGTGAATGGATTGGGAAGCATGCTGAAAGCGGTCAACAGCGTGCTGGCGATCGTAAAGGGAAAGATGAAGCCGTCGAACGAGATAACGAACGAGAACTTCCTTCGAATCTACCAACGCGTCATTAACTACATCGGTTCGCTGGTGCTGGTGGAACCCAAGATGAACGTTCAGTTCCCGTCGCCTCTGCCTCCAACCCTGGAGAACGTGAACGCTTACTTGAAGTTTACGAGTCATCTGTATGGAAAGAAGCGATGATTGATTCGATGATTCATTTATCCACTTGTTCGATGACTCATTTATCCACTTGTTCGATGACTCATTCGATGATTCATTCATTGAATTGTTTGTTTGTTAGTTTGTTTCTCTGATTGATGATTGCCTTGTTGTTTCCTCCTTGTTCCACACACCAATTCCAAACAAACACACAACAACATTGCTTTCTTATGAATACAACTAGCTCCTTCCATCCCATATTCCTCCTTCGTAATCCACATGCTATTAAACGGACTCAGCGACGCCAACACGCAGCCTCCCACCCACGCCGATCGCGCTCGTTCCGGTGGCGCAAACAGCCGCAGCGTCGTGTTCGGCGGCGAGATCTTCTTCAAGTCATCCAGCACTCGCTTCGCAAAGTCTGCGCGTCATCTCGCCCCTCCTTCCTCACTTCGCGTCAGCGTCACGCCGCCAGACAGCAGAACGTTCGAGAAAAGATCTTTTCGAAGCTCCAAATCGCACGCCATGATCGTGTCGAAGACGTCGCGAGACACGCCGAACGATTCCTGACCGATGTTCTGCGGACGGAACAGCGACTCGCAACACTCCCAACGCTCCGCTCCCAGCTTCAGCACGTTTCCGTCGGGCAGAACGTAGTCAACCGTCGTTCCTTGCAATGAAACGCCCGTCTCGGAAGTGACACATTCGGAACAGGATTCTTTGATCTGGCGGACCACCTCGAGCTCGCTGGAGGTGGTGAAGATGTGGCCTGCTTTGCGTAGAAGCAGCTGGAGGTATTTGGTTACTTCGTGGCCTCCGAGATCGACACGGCGGATGTGCGGGGTGATCGCAAAACCGTCGTAAACCGGGAAATACGTTGTTACCCCTTCTCCAATGTCGAGAACCAGGCCTGTTCCGCGTCCGGACGCAAACAGACTTAATAACGGTTCTGGTGCGATATAGAGGGCGGGAACCTCAAATGTTTCGAAGAATATCTCTGCAATTTTCTCGGATTGTGTCTTCGGGCTCAGAACGGCTTGAGACAGAAAAGCCTAGTAATTAGGGAGGAAATAAAGTCGAACGGGATGCTCACGGCTATCTAAACCAAGTTGTGATTTTGAATAAATGTGCTTCCAGATTGATTCCATCAAGTCCCAATTCTCCACGATTCCGTGCTTCATAGGATATTCGAGATAACACAAACCTCGGTGACTCTCAAGGTCCTTTCCTACCCACCTAGAAACATAATAGCAAGGAAACCTCGCTTACAAATCTTCATTTGGTGCAAATCCATTATTAATCACACGGCTATACTTCGGCTGGCCAACACAAGAACGAAATTCACAACTAGGTCGTTCCACCCCTGCCAGTCCTGCCTTCATGACGCCCGTCCCATTGTCAATCACTACAGGCTGATTTGAAATGAATTCTTGTTGAGACATTTGAGAAATAAGGGCTTGAAGTTTGAATGAAACTCACCTTGATCAGGGAACAGGGTGAATTTGGGTTGGAATTATACTAGTGTATGCAATAGTCTAAATATATGGATGGATTTGAGACGTAGGAAAGGTTGTGGAAAGGAACACACGCCATACTGAAAATAAGGCACTATCATTGAATATTGCTTTAGTTATTATCCATTTTAAACGCCACACAAAAGATTTGATCTACATCACTTGTCAAGAAAACAAAAAAGCAAAATAACCTAAACTAAATCAACTAAATAACACCTGGATTCTCCAGAGGTGCTTCTTGCGTATCTTCCATCGAGTTTACTTTCCCACTAACAGATTCTGCCAATTCGCTTTTCGAATTCGCTTCTACAGAATTGCTATCCTCCGAATCAGAACCAGAAGAACTGGTATCACTCGAATCCGAACTCGACTCGGAAGAACTACGATCATCAGAATCCGAATCAGAGCTCGAATCTGATGAGCTGCTATCACTCGAATCGGAACTGGAACCGGAAGAGCTACTCTTCTGTGACTCCGATTCTTCCGAACTCTCTTCCTCTTCCAATGCTTTTTTCTTCGCTTCTTCGTTTGCCGCGCTTTTTTCTTCCTTCATTTTCTTTTCCATTTTCATTGAATCCGGCACCGGAATCAATCCTTCATCCACAATGTACTTAAAGCATTGCAAGATGCAGCTGTTCTCGTTGAAGATCTCCGATCCCAAGAGCTGCGTCAACAGCGAAGGTGCTTCCGGCTATTTCAAAACCCGATCACTCCATCTACCTCCACCATTTTCTGCTTCAGCCAAACAAGTCGATCGCTCGGGCTGTGCAGCTTTCTGCACTTCGCTCCCTTCATTTGACCCCCTTTTGACCCCTACCCGAACGCAATACCCGCGGATAAACGCTCTGCACAGCGACCGATTCTTGCGACAAGGGTCGTGCAGAAAGCGGCATTTCGGTCCGTTGCGGCAGTTCCCTTTCAAGTACTCTTTGCACAGCTGCACGCGTTTGCCCTCGTTTCATTCCATCCATTCGACTACTTGAACCGAAACCGTGGAGGGAACCGACGCCGGCCCCGCCACGCCCGATGAAACCCCCGCCGTGCCGCGCTTTTCGGCGGGTTCGACGAGGCCGCCCGCGTTCTCGACGTTCTGCCGCGCGGTCTGCTTTTCCTGGATGTTTCTCTGCGTGGGGTATCTTCGCTTGCGCTCTTCCCGCCATCTACATGCCAGCGATTCAATGCCTCCACTTGCGGATTTCTTCGGGGGAGTTTCCGATCGTGGCGGCGTAGCGGTATCTGGTTGGTCATCGAGAACCGCGGGAGCGTACTTTTCGGGAATGAGCTCGAGGAGAGAGGGCGGGACTTTGTCTTCGCCGGTGTTGTGGTGGACGGCGATGTGGTCGCGCAGAACCTTCTCGATGGCGGCGAAGGTGCAGCCGGGATACGGGCATTTCTCGTGGAGAGCGAGGTGCTCCTGCTTCTTGGCCTCCGAAATGAACCATTTCTTGCAGGTGGTGCACTCGATTTTGGGGGCGTGGGAAGGAAGGGAGGCGCTTGAAGGTGTGTGTCTAGAGAGAAGAGAGAGAGAGAGAGAATCGACTTTTTGTTGAGCGGGCAGAACTGGATCCAATGTCCTTTCTGCTTGCAGCGTCGACAGGTGTAGCTCGCGGGCGGAGGGAACTTCTGGCCTTCGATCACCTGGGAGAGGAGGAGGAGGAGAGCTAAGGTACTGGAGGGGTTGGCTGGGAGGCAGGGAGAGCGCCGGTGTTCATCATTGACATGAACTGAGCGAATTGCGACATAAACGCGGGATTGTTCATGTTCATCATCATTTGGTTGTAGAGTTGTTGTTGTTGTTGTTGTTGTTGTTGTGCCTGCTGTTGCTGTTGTTGCTGTGCCTGCTGAGCTGTCTGCGCTGTCTGCGCCTGTTGAACTGTCTGAGTGGGAGTTGGAGGAGGCATTGCATAGCCAACTGTTTGAGGATAATAATAAGGATAGTAGAAGCTAGAAGACACATTCTGCATAGGAAAAAAGTTGTTTTGTGGCATCTGTGAGTTACTTGTTTGTGGGAAAGCTGTTTGACTCGGTGTAACTGTAGTTGCCGGCACTTGCACTGAAGGATCTACATTATTCCCATTTCCATTCTATAGATAATACACCAACAGCGAAAATCAACAGGCTGAAAAACTATGCATCATCCATTATTATCAAACGATTCTACCTGGATAGTTCCCTGTATTTAAATAACTATTGAAATCCATTGCGTTGAGAAACCCCAAGAGTCAAGCAAAACCAGTTCTAATTTTCAATTTCGCTCCTTCATCAATTACCAATATATGTAGAATACACAACAAAGTGTTCTGCGATTCTTGCTTGTTCCTATCTCAAATACACCCAATTTTCGGAATACCCCAAATTCGATTTCTTTTTCCAACTCTTCTTTCTCATTATCTAACCATGGATAACCAAAATGAGATAGATCAACCTGCAGATGTATATCCTTATGTCGCTTGGACACGTTATTGCTTGGTTTTCTTAACCTTGAACGCTGTGTTGCATTTGCTCGACCCCAATTCAGCCGAACAAAGCCAACATGTGTATCAACTGCATTCGCTCGAAGGTTGATATCACTGAAGGCATCCAGAGGCAGGTCGTTCTGTTTCAGTGCAGAGGATGTGAACGGTATGAGTGTGTGTTTGTCGTCACGTTAAAGATATTTGCGTCCTCCATGGACGGCAGCTCCCCCCGAGTCGAAGGAGCTGCTCGCTTTATGCTTGAAAAAGATTAGAGGTGCGTCTTTTTTTGCTTCTGTAAGCATAGGTCTGAAGCAAGTGAAGTTGGTTGATGCAGAGTTCGTGTGGACAGAGCCCCACTCCCGCCGTATCAAAGTGAACGTGACGATCCAGAAAGAAGTATTCAACGTGGTCCTTCAGCAGTCGTTCGTGGTGGCGTTCATCATCGAAGCCAAGACGTGCGAGGACTGCATCATGGACTCGATCCAGCACTCGAACCGAGCGGTCGTGCAGCTGCGTCAGAAGGTGGAGCACAAGCGCACGTTCTTCTTCCTGGAGCAGCAAATCATCAAGGCGAACATGCATCGCCGCGCCGCTCTGATCGAGTCGCAGCCCGACGGCCTGGACTTCAACTTCCCCGAGCGCAGCGACGCGCGCTCCTTCATCCTCTGGCTGAAGAGCGTGGTTCCCGTGAAGTAGGCGCGCCTGCGCGCTGTGATGCGTAGCGTGGGCACGGCGCGGCAGCTGCTGAGCCAGGATTTCTCCTCGAACGTCGAGAAGTTCAACAACAGGCCTATCCGCGCGCTCCTCCCGCCCCAATCCCTTGGCCAATGAACCGTCCTCGGCGTCTCCTTCGACCCGCAGCGCGGGCAGCAAGACGCCGGCGACAAGCGGCGGTTCCCTCTCGAGGAAGTCACCGTCTGCCGCACCGACCATCTCAGCCAGAACGTAGCGATATTCGCGGTGAACACCCCTTTCAGCGCCCTGCTGCGCGAGGGCGACACGGTTCTGGGCTACGATCTCTCCAGCGCGGTGTTCAACGACGACGACATCAAGCCGATGGGGGTAGAATCGTGGAAACGTGGAAACGCGTAGAACCGTCCGCTGCCGGACTGCGTTTTGGTGCGCAAATGCTTCCCGAATTTCCGCAAAGCGAACCAGAAGCGCAACTGGAAGCTGAAGAAGCTGGACATGGAGGAGGGCGAGCCGGGAAGGAAGGCGAACCAGGCGAAGGAGGACGCGGATTACGAACAATTTATGATGGATCTCGAAGAGGACGAAGACATGCGGACTCGGGTCAATATTTATCGGGACAAGGACGCGAAGGAGATGGTGGTCGGAGGAGAAGTCGAGGCGGATGCTCCGATTATTCCGCTGGAAGAGATGCTGGAGGACTTGAATTTGGATGGAGACATGGAAGGAGATGGGATGGATATGGATATGGATGGCTCGAGCGAAGGAGATCTCTAATTGTCGTTTATTTGAATTTGATCGTGTTTGCGTTTGTTTGTTTGGTAGTTAGTTAGCTAGCTAGCTAGCACATTCTTGTTATATTGGAGGACTATGCCACTTTATGGAAGAGAGAAGTGGGATGCATGGTATATCATCTCCCAGATTGTCTGTAATCAAGTGGGAAACGGAGTTTGACTGTGAGGTGTAGTGCTGGTTCTATTTCATTTGGACTCTTGTACACTGCATCATCAGTTTTCTTTTCAGTATCGGATCAATTCCAATTATGGACATCTTGTTCGATCCAACAGTAGGGGCTTTTCTCTCCTTCTTACAAAGGTGTTCTCTAGGAGATCGACTCTGAAGTACTTCTGGGCAATTGAACTCGGTTTTGTATGTCTAGCATTGTAGGGAGTGAAAGTGAAATATGATGTAGATCGGTTGTTGTTTCTATTGTGGTGGAGCGATCAAAGAAGTGCTGGGACTATTGCAGCACCATTCTCCTCCTTCATCTCTTGTTGACTACAGTTCTGCATGTTGGCCATTAATTTTGTATTTTAATCTTAGTCGTTTCCTTATTCGTTCAAATGGTGGACCATGATGGGCTTATTTGATGTAGGCCTAACGATGATTTGTAAGTCTCAATTTTTTCGTTCATCATAGCTGAAAGGATTTGTCTTCGGAATGAGCTTGAAGAAATCCCAGTCTCAGGTTTGTAAAATATGCACTTGTAGTTTTTTGTTTTCAAACTTATCTATATTTTTTGTCTTTTATTTTAGATTAACTTGCTTGTGGCAAGGCTTACCTTGTACTATCGGACATTTTTACGAGTTTCGAAGTATTGATTCAGTTTGCATCAAATTTGTTGGATATGAATCTAGAATACAACGAGTATTGCTGTGCTTGAGTTCTTGCTCATCTCTAGTGACTCCGATATTCTAACACCTGATTTAGATAGCTATCAGCACAGGTATAGTAATTCAATAGATGGGAGCAATGGGAACCAACCTTTCCCTGTAGCTGGAGGTTCCTACTCATATTCGCAACCAACTGTGCTTCTAGAGCAAACCGATATGCAGTTTCAAGATCAATTTAACTATACTTTATCTCCAACAAACAGTCCTTCCAATGTGTACTCTACAATGTCTATGAATCCAAGTATCGCTGCTGGTATGAGGCCTACCAGTGAGCAGTCGTCATTCGGTGATATAGCTGTTACCCAGGCTGAGCCGATGGCATTTCCTATAGACTATGGAACCAATTCGCAAAGCTCCATTTCTCCTTATCAGAGTGGACGACAAGGAATGAATTCGATGAATGGGGGCGCTCCAAATTACCCCAGCTACCCAATCATGTCGCCTATCCAACATCAACCCGTTTCTCCGCCTCTTATTTCCGCTCCTCCTCCTCTACAGCCTCTGCCTCCTCAGCAAACCCAGTATTCGATGCCTACGATCTATCCCACTCGGTATCCCCAGTTCAGCAGCACCAGCAGCAGTACCACTAACACAATTTCCACCAATCCTCTTTCATTTTCCAATCCAGAGAGCTCGTTTCCCGATCCCTTCACCTCCGACATGGAGAGTTTTGCTCAACCGCAAGGTTCGTGTGACTATTCATTGAATCAATTCCTGCCCATCTCGGCAAAACCGGCTTTGGAGAGATTTTCCGAGCCTGCAAGAAAGGTTCCTTCCATCCCGCCCCACCGATCCTCGCGAGAAATCCTCAGTTTCGCGAAGCAGGCAAAGCCGCAGCGGCACTGCATCGTTCGAACGCAATCCAGCGAGCCTTTAAATCCAAAGAGAGAAACGGAGAAGGACTCGCCGAGCGATTGGCAGATCAAATCGACGCTGGTAGGTCCGTTGAGCGATGAATGAAGCGCAGTTCGCCCCGCAAACTCAAGAAATCGGCTGCCAGCGATGTGCACGCGTTGGCTCGGATTGATTCGTAGATCTTCGCGAACTCGATCGCTGCTCCGCGCAGCTTCTGCTCACCCCGCAATCCTTCTTGTTGCTCCGCAAAACCGAGCGGATTCAAACCAAAATCCCCGTCAATCTCGACGTTCGCCTCCAGCGCTACACCGACGAGTCCGACGCGCTCTTCTCCCTCTTCAGCGAGGGCCTTTTCCCTCCCGAACTCGAAGACGTACAGATTAGGATCGCTCAATCGATCGAAGCTGCTTCCAGCGGAAGAACGAGGCGCCAATTCGCCGGTTCGCCTGCTGATTATCGACTTGCGCGACGCGGGGAACGAAGTCGCGCGGTTCTATCTTGTCAATCTTCGCTGCGATCGCGAGCGAAGCGACGCGATGGAGGAGCAAACGCGGCTGCTTCGCGCGCATCCGACGGTTCCGATCGGTCGCGCAAACCCCGATCAGCTTCAGTTTTTCTCGGTGAACTCGGCGCCCTTTCGGTTTGTCTGCTCGATTCATGCGATTTTTTTTAGATCGCCGGTTCATTCGACGCCGAACGTCGCTGCGGTTGGTGGCGAAGATGGATTGGAACGTAGGCTCCGTCCGACAGCGAGCTCCTGATTCGTCTCGACAAGCTGCTCGCTGCAGGCGAATCCGGTCCGCGTCTTTCCACTCTGCACAAATACTTTTTCCCCAATCGCATCCGCTTCGCCTTCGTCGAGTTTGCCGCCAATTCTTCGTCTCCGGCTTCGGCTTCGGCTTCGCTGGCGGGGAAAACCGCGGGGAAATCGCCGGTGCTGCAGGGACAGAAGCAGTCGATCGAAGGAGCCGGCGAGAAAACGGACGTGGCGTCGTCGGTCGCGTCGACAAACGACGTTTCATCGTCGATCGGCTCGACGGCTTCTGAATTCCCTCTGATTCCAAAAATAGGGACTATTTCTGAGGCAGATTCGGTGCTGATGGATGATCCGTTTTTGAATTGTGTGTTGTCCTTGAAGTGTTTGTTGGGTTTGTGCGTGACGGATAGTCTGCCAACGCTTCATTCGAAGCCATTGGACGCGCCGGAGTTGCAGTATCGATCCAGCGCCGCCTTTCTGAGCAATCTGCTCACCGAGTTCTGGGAGACGCCCGTTCAACGGCTTCTGCTGAATCGAAAAAAAGCTGGCGGCTCTGCGACGTACTCCAAAGACTCCGCCTCCAAAGTATTCCTTTGTCTTTTTCGTTCAGACTAGACCAGTTCGTTCAATGTTCCTTCTAAGATCCTCATCACGCCGTCTCTGCTTAACTCTCTCACCAAACTCATCGTCGATTCTCCTTCGCGTTATGCGAGCAATGGACTGGGAAACGCGCATGGAACGAATTCTTTGCAGGCCTGTCTCTACATCCAGATGCAGAGTTTCAGTCGAAACCCGCCACAGAACACAAATCGGAACACGAACCAGAGCACGGGCCGAGGCACAAATCGAAACACAAATCGGAACACAAATCGGAACACAAATCGAACTCCACCTCCCAACCCCACCAATCGAACGATCCTCCAAAACCCACCCCACCCCCTCGATCGAAACACAAATCAGAACACAAATCGAAGCCCCGAAACCCTCTTCGTCCTTCAGACCTATCTCTCGCAGGTGCTCAACGGCAAGGAAATCACGCGGCGGAAGCTCGCCACGTAGCCGTTTTCGCTTTTTTTTTCCCCACAGAACCACTCATTTCACAGAGCAAACCGAAGCGCTGAGCGCATTGAACTCTCTTTTAGCCACCACTGCCGCCGTTTATTCTTCGCGCGAGCGATTTCTTCCCTTGCACGACGAGCTCAACGCTCGCATCATTTTGGTTCGATTTTGGGAAAAAAGGTCAGTCCTCTAGTTCCAAAATGGGCAATTCCTATTCGCCGAAAACCTCCAAAACGGATTGGCCGCGGTTTTTGCGCCGCCTACCGCCACGGAGAACGCCAAACTCACTTCACACCGAATCGATCTCGCCATGAAACGCCCTGAAACGCCCGCGGCGGAGGCCTTCGCTCGACGGTCTCCCACTTCGAACCCCATTCCCGCGGTTCTTCCATCGAATTCTCCTGGAACCACGCCGAATCTTCCCGCCAGCGCGTCGTCCCGCGGTTCTTCCGCGAATTCCACGACCAAGGAGCGGAAGAGGCGTCGGAAAACATCGACAGCGTCTTCCGCGGGGACTCAGCCAAAACGTCGGGTACCAAATTTTGGCGGGAAATGAGGCGAAGCGGAAGAAAGAAACGCCCGTGACAATCGTGGAAGAGCCGACGCGGTACGGAGCGTCGCCTCCTCCGATGCAGGCGATGCACCGCGCGGTGAATTTCGCGGAGCAGAGTCGCGTTTATGCGTATCGTAGCGAAATCGAGGGGTTGTGAGGTGTAGCGTCGCAATCGCCGATTACGACGCCTCCTATGAATATGATGGGAAATCGGTATGTTTCGACTGGGATGAATGGGCAGATGCAGTATGTGATGCAGCAGAGGAATGGGATGGCCGTGCCGCAGACGATGTATCAACCCATGGGAATGGATCGGAGAGCGATGAGTCCGATGCAGCAGGGAATGCAGCCTGTGCAATATGGACAGCAAACGTTTATTAATGCAATGGATAATTCTACCCAATATATTCCTACCTGCACAAATAGTGCTTACGTATAATAATAATAATAGCTCGTCTGTTTGTTGCAACAATGAGTGCCGAATCCCTATTTTCATTGTCGAGTGCTGCTTTTCAAGTGGCTTTCTTGCAGTTCACTGTGACACACTATTGCAGTATTTTAGTGGTGAATTTCGAGTTATCATTGACCGGAAAGTGTATCGCGTTTAATTAAATAGGATGATAAGGACGAGGGGGATTCAATTCGCACAAAGCAAAAGTAGGCTGATGAATAAATAGTGCTAGTTGTGTAGTATTTTAAAACAAGTCTCACTCAGCGAAGACTTTGAAAAGTATCACTTTCGTTTTCCACGCAATTTAGAGTATTATCATGAAGAATAAATGGATGTCAAAGGAGGTGCAACGGCTTCTGCCAGAGGATTGCAACTGCCTACAATGTGGAGTAGCCAAGGTCTTTGCTGTATATAAGAAATCTCCTCCCGAACAAGATTGGAGAGACCTTGGAATCGTTGGAATTGCGGCGGTTATTCTGAATACACACACAGGTGCCACGTTTCTCCGCCTCTATGAGTTTGACAACGTTTGTGGTTTGTCCGAAGTTTTCCATAGCCCGTTTCCACTGTTCTTTTTGAGTGCCAACTCCCGACTCAATGCAACTACCAGATGCTCACTTCCGTGTTTCATAGTTTTGAATCGGAGCATCTGGTTGTTGGAATTCTGTTTTCGAGTGAAAAGCATTCAAACCGCTTTTTCAAATATGTGTCTCACTCTCTCTCGCACATTCTCAAAACGTCGCAGAGCTACAGCTACTCTCAAACTCAGTACAGCGAAGATTCCACCAAGGTTTCCCAACAAACACACACACAAATAATCCATAGGATCCAGCGAGGCCTCGTCGCCGCTCTGGAATCTTTTCTTTTTTTACCAGTCGAGAATCCGCTTCTTCCAGAGAGCCTCAATCGATCGATGTGTCACGCACTCCTCGAGCCGTTCCCCCGGCGCCTCTCCCCTCTCCTGGAGTTTCTCCCTCCATTCCAGCCCAGCCAGCACATCAGCCAAAAAACGCTCCTCCTCCCTTCATTCCTCCCGCAGTTCCTCCGCTTCCTTCCAAAAGTTTGACACAGACAAAGGCAACCAAGGAAAAGCCGATCCCGCCTTCCTTTGTTCCGAGTGGTTCTGCGCCTCCTCCCATGACCACTTCCAAAGTGCCTCCTCCAATGACCACTTCCAAAGTGCCTCCTCCGATACCCAATCAAACGCTACCTCCACTTCCTCCCCCACCGAAAATTCCGCAGCGGAAGACGCAATCAGAGATAAACCAGCAATCTGAAGAAGAAAAGAAGATGAAGAACAAGAAGAACAAAGAGCCAGTGAGTCAAATGAAATCAAATACCAGCAAGCCATCTACTAAAACTACTACTAATACTACTACTTCTTCTTCTTCTGCTTCAGTTCCTCCTCCTCCCCTTCCGCCTTCACAGAATATACCCACTTCATCCATTCCTCCTCCACTTCCAGTAAGCAAAAAGCCGCCACCACCTCCAATGTCTTCTGTTCCTATCAATAAGAAGGAGGCAAAGGCGCCTCCTCCACCCCCGAGTGACACACCTGTTCTCTCTGAGACCGAAAACCGAAAGATTAGTGCTCCTAAGTATTGTTGGATCGAAATGCTTCCATATAGAGATTTTCTCCGTGAAATCCAAACTTTCAACAAGGCAAAACTGAAGCACATCAATGACGGCAATGACGCGTCCAACAAGTATCTCCCTATTACTCTTCTCCTTTATAATCGTAGCGACAACGATCAAAGTGTCTTGATGCAGCGACGAATGCGCGTATTCCAAGAATCTTCAAGCAGCGATAGTGACTCAATTGAATTTAGTGATTGATTTGTTGTCGTTTCCTCTAACAAAGAAGCCATATAAAACACTAAAGAAATACAAAAAAAATAAGTGGCAAGCCACTTAACAAAGACCCAATTAAACCGATGTTCTAACTACTACCCAAATCTTAACTCAAGAAGGCTCTATTGTATAGTGAAGTGAACGCATCCTTAGCCAAGAGAGTAATCATAGAATGAGGAGCTGTTCGGACATAGAAAGTCCAGTAGCCTCTCCACAGCGAAAAGAATCCTCCCTGCTTGACAATCTTGATACCGCAGTCCAGAATGTTCTTGTAGGGATATTCTCCAGTCACAGGATTCATGTGCATATTCATCAACTTCGTCTTCATCATGTCAAAAGGAAGAGCAGTAAACGAACAAATGAAACTGGTGAAAGCACTAGCCCACAGATTATTGGACATACCAGGTCCAGTATAAGGAAGTAAAACTTCCTTGAATTGATCATAGGAAGCCAGCATACCAGTGTTCATAGCCACTGCTCTGCAAATCATAGGAACAGATCCTCTCCAAAGTGTCTTCAGACCTTCCTCCTTCGCGATTCGGTAAACGGCATGCAGGACATTCTTGTAGCCACGACGTTGGGCTTCAGGGGCACAACCATCTGCCTGCATTCGAACCAAAGCGAGATCAAAAGGGTTTCCAATGACTGCAGCAATAGCACCGGCACTCATTGCCGAGAGTGTCTTTTGATAGAAAGGAATGGGATTACCATGGTTCAACACCTTCAACTTCTGAGAGAAGCTATCGTGAAGACCAATCTTAGCAGTTCCATATACGGCCTGTCTGGCAATAGCTGCGGACAAACCAGAAAAAAGTCCCCTCACACCCTCGTTTCGAACTACGCTCTTGGCAATAGCCATGCCGCTAATGCGGCCTTCAGCAGCAGTGTTAGCCACCTGAAGTCGGACTTTCACCAAGTCAATCGGATGAATACAAATGGAAGAGAAGATAGCACCCGAGCCACCAGCGATATAAGGTCTCAGGGTATATGCGATACTGTTCTTGTTGCTCATACTAAATAGAAGAAATAAAAAAGAATGAGAAAATGATCCCCCCTGAGCACATGTACAGTGATCTGTTCAATGGTCAAAGGACCTTGATAATCATGGGCTGGTTGGAAGCCATATGAATGTAACTCCCTATGACATCAGAGAGTTAGAATATCACTCCCTTTCTGCAATTGAAAGGCTCATAATATTGTGAACTCTATGTGTTCTGATTATCCTACCTACTTGAAATTGTTGTTGTAGCCGTTATCGATTTCAGCAACGGTGCAAGTTGGCGGCAGGGTGGTTTATTCAAAATGATCATGAATGAGCAAGCGTTCGTTTGCCAAAGGGACCAGACTTGGAGTGAATTGGAGAATTCGTGGTAACTCTCCCGTTTGTAGCTCTCACGCCTGGAATGAATTGCTTACAGGACTGTCAATTCGCTTATCCATCAAACAACGTTATTACAACTTCAATGTTACTTGTTTCTTTAACTTGTTAAACAAACCACCTGCGGTGGATGTCTGCGTAGCAGGTGCTGGCTGTGCAGTTTGCGAATCCGGTGCATTCTCATCGGCAACCACTGCGGCAGAGCTATCGGAACTAGTGAAGGCCGCAAGGATTCCGCTAGCAAACGACTTTTTAGCCTTCAGCACTGGATGGAACTTGACATCGTTCACGAAGGGACTTTCTCGCTCGTATCCGCTGTTCCGAATATAATTGAACAACTCCATCTAGAAATTAGCACAATGCCACAGTCCTACTCGAATTCCAGGCACATCATTTCCCACACTGTCCATAATAATAATAATACTGCTATAATCGTTAAGCTGCACCGCCAACTGCGTCGCCAGCGTCCATTGACTACGATCGACCCCTCCAATGATCCCTACTTCAGCAACAAGGCATAATGCAGCGCGAGTGCCGGCGAATCCTTCACATTCATCACCTTCAGATAGTAATCTCCCTCGTTGTACGCCTTCTTCCCCAGCACGACTTGCAAGAAGCACTAGAATCAACAATGAGGCAGCGAACGAACCTCGATGGGCACGATGTTCTTGCGCGCCGCGTAGATGTGACGAATCTCCTCCCAACTTCCCACCTTCGCCAGTCCGTAGATCTTCAGAATATCGTACCGAACGTCCGTGATGGCGTATTGCTGCTTGAGACTGGAGGTGAGAGCGGGGAAGAGAAAGGATCGTACTAGGCGGCATGCCGATCGCTGTCTTCATGGCGACGCGCGAGAAGGTTTGTGATCGTGTTATAAAGGGAATAGTTGAGAATCGAGGTTGACAGCTGCGTCTGGACCTTGTATAAAGTCATTTGGTTCTTGATGCACTATGCGTCAATGCGCGGAAACGAAGCAAACCGAGACTTCGAAGTCGTTTACGCCGGGAAGAAGCAGATCGACGCATCGCTGGAGATCGAACATTTTCGCCTCGACCTTCTCGACTTCGTCCAATTCAAACATCGAGTTCTTATTCAGCGAGTCCACGTCGTACACCGCGTTGTACAGCAGCTGATAGAACTCGTCGCGATACCGCGCTGTGTGGTTGTAGAACTCGATCACCAGATCGTAGAACTCCACTTCCGTGTAGTAATCGAGGAACAAATCCACCGCCGTTTCGCTCTCGCAGATCAAATCGAACCATTCTTCGCGACTCGCCATGCTATGCCTCAATTCCATTCATTCACCATCGACTGATCGCCTGCGAAGCGGATCACTGCGAAGACGAGCTCTGGATCGCGCGTTTCGTCCGCTCGACGCAGCGCCTACACGCTGAACCCACATTACAAGCTCCACTTCGTGGTATTCTTCGATCTTGAGAAGGCAAGCGATCGCTAAGCTGTCGTTGGGCTCGAGAAGCAGCAGCGAAATCGCGAGATCGGGGCGAATGTCGTAGATGTTGAGAATGATGGGGATGATCGGAACGCGACCGACCTTCAGAATGTTGGTAAACACCATCGTGGCGAGCTGCTCTGAATTCTCTGTGGAGTTTTGGATCTTCGGTTCAGACAAAAACCCGTTCACACCTTCTTTGTGGCCCAGTCCATCGCGATGATTCCGCGGAACTCGTCGAAATAGTTGTCCTTCTCTTGCTGATACTGCTTGTTGCTGTGCGAGTTGTAGACATCGCAGATGCTCAGCGCCACCAAGTGCTTGTTCTGCAGCAGCAGCCGCGAAATCACCACGGGGAAGGAGAGATTCCGGAACTCCTCCATGGTCATCGGCATTCCTTCCTACACTCAAAACGAGACGCAGAAGCAACCAGCCGGAGATTGTTGAGGACCTTCACGTTGCAGCAGGTGAAGTACAGCGCGTTGCACAGGGAATGGATCTGCGACTGCTTGGGCAGCAAGCGGATGGCGAGCTTTAGCGCGGAGAGAAGCTCGGGGTTTTGAGGACTGAAGTTGTCCCACTCGCAGTACTAGCGCATAGAAGAGAGCAAAAACCCGAACAGAGAGGAGCTGCTGAATGACGGCGATGAACATATCGGCAGGGATTTCCGCGTATTCCTGCGTGACCGATTCGTTTCCTTTCTGGAACTCGTCGTAGATGTGGATGAAGAAGTCGGGGTAGAGCGAATAGCGCTTCGCGAGCTGCAGATGCGACGGGATGATCAGCGCGCGCGAGTGGTTCTGGCGAAGCAGCAGGACCGACGAAGGCGTGATAATTCGCAGCCCGTCCACTTCCTAGCGGTGAGAGTCGCTGCGTTCTCGGACTTGTTGGAAGACGCAACAGCTCGGCGGCACGTCCAGCGACAGCCAATCAAATCCTCCGTGGATGGTGAGCTTGGCGTGAGGCGAGTGAGCCGAACATACAGCGAGAATGCGGCATTTGGAAGCGTCAAATCGGTCGGAGAGCACCACAGCCACCGAGTTGTCGTTCAGCCAATACAAGCCATACACGCGATGAGGAATCGTTGGGAGTTCCACAGGCGTTTCGGCGGTTTCAGAGATCGCGGGAGTTTCCGGTGATGCAGGCACTTCAGCAGGCACTTCAGTAGGCGATACAGGCGATGCAGGTAGATCCGCAGGAGGTGCGGGGGAGGCGGGAGAGAGAGGCTCGGGAGGAGAGCCGCGGTCGGATTGGGTGCGGAGGTTGAGGGAGGAAGGGACGCGGAGACCCAATCGAGACAACTGCTTGGTGATGCGGAGCTCCCTGGGTGGAATGGAAGATGCAACAAAACAGAGAGGATTCGGAGGGAACGGAGGAGAGCGAAGGAGTGGAGGGGGCGGGGCCGTCGATGGGAGAGTGAGGCGGACTGAGTTGCTTCTCTTCCTGCGTCACGAAGGAGCATTTGAAGAGATTGTATTTGCAGTCGTTGTCATAGACCATCAGCTGCTTCTCGCTGCAATACGCCGACAAAGCGTGGAGAGGGTGGAGCGCAAACTCGCTGAGGGAGTCGGTCATCGGCTCCTGATCATGAGCAAACATTACGAAATCGGACGACTAAAATGCGCGTGTCGCTACTATTGTCACACACCACGAAAAGCACGCCCTTGAAAGGACCCGAGAGGACCGATACGACGACGCTTGTGTTTCGGGAGCTGATACACGTATCCGGAAGCATTCCCAGGACTTTAATCTCGGATTCTCTACAGATCATATCCAAAATAAACGCTCTACCGAACACTCTCCGGAAGACTTGGGGCCTTCCGCGCTATCGTCTCGATGATTTCAGAAACAAAATAAATGTCATTCGTCGTCGTAATGAGGCAACAAGTCAAACCATAAGTATATGCCTCCTTTATCTTTATTCCGGATTCGATTTCCTCTTCAGTCATCAATTCAATCATTCGACGAGGATCACTCGTTACTGTATATACCAATGCACGGCAATCATCCAAAAATACGCATAGTCGCTGGTCAATCAGCCAGTGAGCAGCAACCACATGATATGAAGGAGAAAGAACATCCTCAACCAAGATTTTCCCGCACCCGTCGTAAATAGTGAGGTTTCGTGACTCGTTATCGTCTTTCGGAACGAATGCAATGTAATGACCAAAGGGTGCTGTTACTACAAAATAGGGAGAGAAGTCCTTCACGTCCCACTTCATGCTCCCTAGCGAGGATATGATCCATGAATCCATGTTTCTACCTTCAGAATTAGGTGATTTGGCACCATTCCACAAGGGGAGTTTCATCGAAATCTCATTTCACTTTGCACTATTCTGGCATTTGTGAAAGAATGTTCATTGATACGTTTTATAGAGCATAAAAATCGCCCATTTCCAGCAATAGTTCGAAAGAGAATCTGTGTGAACGATCCAAAATGTACTTCTAGAGACACAATATCGAATAACCAAATCAGTGAAACCTAGTAAACCGAAAGATTCTTTTGAAATAAGAAGCAAGAAATACCATTGTGATTCTTGAAACTCCCTGAATGTACATTTTAATTATTATCTAGCTAATCTTGCCTCTCTCTCGTAGATTGTTATGGTAATCGTTTGAAACTATTGCTAATAATCGATAGAGTTCTAGCGTAACCAAGAAGGCACCAAACATCGACGAAGTCGAACTGGGAGATTATAGTTCGTATAAATTGTATCCACTAAAAGAGTAATATGTGTGAATACGGTTAATATCTGCAGAGAAGAGCGTTCGACTGTTAAACTAATTAGGCAAAGAACGGAGCGGAGAGTACATTTTAATGACGAGGAAGGACAATTACTCGATCAGGTCGGAAGTTCGTTTTCCTGGCTTATTTGTAGACTTTTTACTCGAATAATTTGGAGTTTGAATTAAAATCACGAGCTTGCTGTACCATTTTTTGAATTAGGTTGTTTATACAATTTATGTACTTTTCTAACTTCGTTGCTTGTACTGTTTGTTTGTACGCAAACTCGGAGGGGAATGGATATCGGGATCATTTCCATTCCCTTCGCAATTGCACAGATGGCTTTTATAGTCAAGCGTATTTGTCCCCTGACAATCTCGCTCCGGCGAAAGCAAATAATGATGGTATTGGCATAATCATGGAATTCCCGCGGGATTCGTCTATTGAGATGGATGGCTTGTTTCACTAGATTATTCCGAATCACCTTTCAAGATGGTAGGTGGAGTGCGGAGCGGATTGTTCTGTCTATGAACCTGTATTCTAACGCATTTTGTAGTCGCTTGTTAACCAGGGAGAGTTCCAGCACATTCTTCGTGTTCTGAACACTAACATTGATGGAAAGCAGAAGATCGTCTACGCCTTGACCTCTATCAAGGGTATTGGTCGTCGTTTCGCCATGGCTGTCTGCAAGAAGGCCGAGATCGATATTTCGAGACGGTAGAGCGTTTGTTTGCATATGCTGATCGATTAGTGCCGGAGAGCTGTCGAACGATGAGATTGAGAAGCTCATTGCTGTGATCAGCACTCCTCTCCAGTTCGATATCCCCGAGTGGTTCCTGAACAGACAGAAGGACGTTGAGACCGGAAAGTACCGTCAGGTGGTCTCCAACAACCTCCAGGCCAATCTCCGTGAGGATCTGAACCGTCTGAAGAAGATGAGGTAGAAAAGCGATTGGGGATGGTGATACATAGAGCCAACCGTGGTCTGCGCCACTACTGGAACCTGAAGGTGCGTGGACAGCACACCAAGACCACTGGCCGCTTCGGCAAGTCTGTGGGTGTTTCCACCAAGAAGTAAGAACAGTACGAATGCAGTAGTATGGTTTGAAAGGTGGATTTGATGTGTTTGTTCAGATCAAACTCGATGATGTGGTGTGATTGATTATACGTATCCTATGACTCTGCATGTCTCTGTAGCTGCTTCTACTTCTACTTCTACTTCTACTTCTTCTTTCCCTTCTTTCCCTTCTTCTTCGGCTCGAAGTCGTCGTCTTTTATATTCTTCGCCTTGCGGCCTCGCATGTTCTGGCTGTTCATCTGCTCGATGATGTCCAGCACCGACATCTCGCCGTCCTCCGACGCCGCGACCTCGATCGGCTCGATCGGCGTTTCCTCCTTCGAGTCGATCACGCGTCGCTTCTGCCGCTTATTCTTCTTTCCCTTCTTCTCCTGAGGCGTGGATTCCACGCTCTTTTCCGCCGTCTCCTCCTCTTCTGGCATCGTTTGCGTCGTTTGCGTCGTTTCTGTTGCCGTCTCCACTGTTTCTGGCGTCTTCGAAGCTTCACTCGCTTCGTCTTTTGCACTATTCTCTCTCCAATCCTCCGGCGTGTTCTCTGCAGACTCTGCGCGATTCTCGTTCTCGATATTCTGCATGAACTGATCGTCCTCCATCATTTCCTCTCGCAGCTTCTTCACGGCCATCGCGTGCTTTCGACTCTCTGCCATGAAGGATCCAACTCGTCACACTCAGGATATTCTTATGATTCAACAGCGCCGTTTCCGACTTGAACACCTTCCGACACGCCACACACTCAAACAGATCGTCCTCTCCCTCCTTCTCTCTCTCTTCCGCCTCCGCGAGATCATCGAACGTGAAAATGCTCTGCACTTGTTCCGTCTACTTCCAACTTTTTTCTCGCTCTCTACCTGCGTTAAACGCGCCTCCATGTTCTGCCGCAGATCCTCTTCGCGCTTCCGCTTCTCCTCCTCTTGCCGCTTCCTTCGCTCTTCCTCCATGCGCGCCTGCTCCTTCGCTCGCTCTTCTTTCGCTGCTTTGTAGCGCGGATCGAAGCGTTTCACCAAATCGACGAGGCGCTGCACGGTTTGGTTGTATTGGCGGCGAGCGTCGTCGCGGCTCTTGCTGTTCTTCTTCTCCATGGCGCGGCGGACGAAGCGATTTGGAGCTTCGCGCGTGTCGTATTGGCAGACAGACGCGAATGTGCGAATCGTGGTGAACACTGTCCACACGTTGTAGAATTGGAGTACGTCTTCGAGAGAGGTCGACGAGTTGCCAAACGGAGGGAGATTAATAGAGTTGTTGATTTTCCTTTCAGATCAATTGGCATTGCAAAACAGTACTTTTCAAACCTCGTGATGTCGTTGAATACGCCACTGTACACGGAATAAAAACCATTCGCACCATCTCCATATCCAGAAAAGATAACAGGAGAGAAGAAGGGCATCATAAAAGAACAGAAATCGTCTGCATCTAAGGGCTCGCCATTACCTCCACTATAGAATCGATAGGGAATACGAAAACTACTTAATAATCATTTCTCGGTGATCATCGTACCAAGCGCGCTCTTGCGGGTCCGAAAGAATCTATAGATTATCGAAGTGAAGAGCAATGCATACTTCCCATGAGCGACTAATTGCCTGGAATTGTATTTTTGCTTCTTCAATGTTATCTGGATTTTTGTCTATTTCTTATTTTCAGACACTGCAAATTACCGGGATGCCATTTCAGGGCGAGTTTTCTATAGGCCTTCTTAATTTGGTCAACTCTGCAAATAATACCGTGGCAGCAACACAAACGTTGCATCTGGCTCGACTCCAAGGATTTCATAGCAATCTCTAGAAGGGATGTTATTCATTTGTTTTTATTTGAAGAGTGTCTGTACACCTGTTCTTTTTCTACCTATTCGAAAAATGGAAAAGGAAGAAAGTAAGGAATTAGAAACCCTTATTCACCGACTTCGTAAGTGGGCAGCCGAAACGCCGCAGAAAGCAGCATTTCTGTTTCTTCGTAACACGTAGATTGCACTGCGATATTGCGATGGTAAGGGAAAGGTGATTGCCTCCAGAACATACGATGTAGCCTATTTTACGTCCCTATCAGATATAGGAATTAAACAGACAAACATATCTCATTTCTGTAGAATTAAGGGAGAAATACCAGTATGGCAGTTACCGAATTTCAACGTAGTCTTACCGAAGGATCTTGCATCTTCCTCGTGTTTCTTCCGTGTATTGATTTCATCCTGACATTCTTGGGATGCATTCGAGCCGGACTTGTAGCCGTCCCGGTCTATCCTCCAAGTATGAATATTATATCTCTGACTTCATCACAACCAGATCCCAAAGAAATCAAAAAGAACGTGCAGCTCTTTTCTGGAATCCAGCAAAACTGTCAAGCCAAAGTCGCGTTATGTGACAAGTTTCCTTTTCGTTTTTCTCTCCACTGCAGCGAGTACATGAAGATCAAGCGCGTCACCGACATGAAAGCCCTCTTCACCGCGTCGGGCGTCCAATGGCCGGACTTGGAATGGATCAATCTCAGCCCGATTCTGGAAACGTCTTCCCTCCCCGACGTTCCCTCCGGTTTTCTCTCTTTCTCTTGCTTTCATGCCAGACGAGCCCGCTCTCCACTTCGCCGGCGACCATCTCTGCTTCCTCCAGTACACTTCGGGCAGCACATCGCTCCCCAAAGGCGTCATGATCACCATCGCCTCTCTCGTCGCCAACATCCACATCATTCTCCGTGCTCTCAACGCGGACAGCACCGCCGTCGTCGCCAGTTGGCTTCCCCAATACCACGATATGGGGCTCATCGGCTCCGTTCTCTCGCTTCTCTACTGCGGAGGAAGCGGCGTGTACTTCTCTCCCCTTGCGTTCATCCTCTCACCCATTCTCTGGCTGCAGCTCGCTTCGCAGTACCGCGCGACGCATCTCCAAGGCCCCAATTTCGCGTACGCGCTGCTTCTTCGCCGCCTCGCGACGCACCAGCCCGCCAATCTCGATCTCTCGTCCATTCAGCACATCTTCGATGCCGCGGAGCCCATCTCCGTGGACGTCGTTCGTCGCTTTCGGTCCGTCCTGGCGCCGTTCAAGCTCTCGCCGCATGCGATCACAGGGGGCTACGGCCTGGCGGAGAGCTGCGTGTATGTGTGCGACGGCGGCCATCGCGCGCTGGCGGTGGATCGGGAGTTGCTGGAGAAAGACGAGATCGAAGTGCGGGGCGTTTTGGAAGAGAACGATGCGGGTAGGAGAAGAGGAAAGAGAGAATGATGGATAGAATGGAGAGTGGTGAACGGAGAACTGGACGCGAAGAATATTATTGAGTTGTTTAGTTGTGGAGATGTGAGGAAGAATCCGGAGACAACGATTCGCATCGTGAGGGAGGGAAAGGACGTGGGGGTAAATGGAGAAACGGGGTTCCATGGTAGGAAGACCGCGTGGGGGAGATTTATGTGGCGTCGACGTCGCTAGCGAAGGGCTATTATCCCGATCGAACGGAGTCGTTTGAAGTGGAAATGGAGCGTGAATTGAATGAATAGAAGCGAGTCGAAGGAGACGACAAGAGGAACTATTTAGAAACGGGCGATCTTGGTTTTATTCACATATCCCAAAGCATTGAATGAGAGTGATTGAATCGAAATTACTATAACACAACAATAAAACAATAATAAACAACTTCAACACACTCATACTAGTTACACCAATACCAAGAACCATTTCATCTCATTGATTTCCTTCACACCACGATCACGAACTCTACATCTGCGGGCGATCCAAAGATCTCATCATCATCCGCGGGAAGAACCACTACCCGCAAGACATCGAATACGCCTGCCACGCGCTCCCTCAAGTCAAGCAAGGCTCCATCGCCGCCTTCTCCGTCTCTGCTTCCTCCCTCCTTCACTCTCAGATCGCAGGGAACGAGGAAGAATCCCTCATCGTCGTCGTGGAATTCCGCGAAGGAAGTTACTCCACCGACGAATATTCGCGCCTCTGCAAAGAGCTCGCCTCCCTCATCAGCCAATCCAACGGGCTTTCGCCCAAAGAAATCCTCGTCATCGCCCCCAAATCCATCCCCAAAACCACCAGCGGGAAGATTAGTCGCTCGCGCTGTCGCGAGGAGTTTCTCCACGATCGGCTGCGCGTGCTGCACAAGGAAACCTTCGCCGAATCCATTCAGCCGCTCGAGTTCGAAAAGAGCAAGCCCGATTCCGCGGGGAATTCCGTCGATATTCTGCCGACGATCGCGGAGTCGACGCGAATGCCGCATAATGATGACGATGTGAATCTTCCGTCGCAGCTGGATAAAAAAGATACGGTTCGGATCGAAGGGAGTGTCGAATGTAGTGTGCATTGCACGGAGAGGAGCTGGAGAGCTGCTTGTTGGAAGATATTTGCTATTTGTGCGGGATTATGTCGTATACCGTAACGATATCCTTGAAAGGAGAGAGAGAAAGAAAATGGGATGCTTAATCATTACCGAACAGACTCGCTGGAAATGATGAGTTTGGACTCGTTGAAGCGGGCACAGTTGAAGGGAATACTGGAACAGTATTACGGAGCGGAGATAGATCCGAAGTTCCTCTTTGACATCAATACCACTTTTGAGCAGCTCGTAAATGAGGTGGATGTGGAGAATTGGAGGGGAAGAATTTGATTTCTAGAAGCAGCAAAATAGAAAGCCGATCGTTCGATCGATCGAGATGGATTCGGAGGGGAATGAGGACGGAGAGACGCGCGAAGTGGCTCAACCAGTGTATGAGCCTCCAGAGAGAACGTTCTGTCAGAAGTATTGTTGCCAGATTCGATAGTTGTGTTTGTTGGAAATGGATATTATTGATGTTACCAAAAAGTTGATTCCACTGTGGTACTCTAACGGATAGGATATTCACAAGACTGGCAGATGATGGTTTGTTCCTCCATGCTTCAGTCTTTGCAGACGAGCAATTTATGACTGTGAGGTTTAACTTTCTGTTTGATAGTGCTAGGTATTTTCCAAATGTTCGTATCTTTCATCGATTTTGGCATCGGAAGGAGAACCAATCTACAAATTTGAACATTTCGGTATATCTTTATTTTTGAGAGTGAATCAAATAGTATCGCACGAGCAAGTCCTTACCACGTCAACAAGTCTCGTTCCCAACGTATTCCTTCCGAATCCGTTGAAAATGGAACGGAAGCAGGATCAAAAAGCGGTCGTATTCATCTCCTCGCCCTTTGCATTGGTGAAAGAATCTCTTCTCTCCTTTCTGCACAACGTTTCTTTTCACAAAATCGAGCTCTATTTCGGATCCGACAATGAGCTCATCATTCAAAACAACATGAATGGCAACGACTCCTACACCAAGGCCGATCGGCTCGTTTCTCCGCTCCCCTACATCACAGAATGCATTCGACCTTTTATAAATGAAGATATCTCCCTCGCGTCCTACTCCATCTGCATCAACACGCTTCCTCTCTGCAGTCGTATCTGCGCTCCCCGATTTCTCCCATAGTTCCTTACATCAGCACAAATTTCGCTCGGTTCCTGGATCAAGTCCGCTTTTTCCTCTTTTTTCATCCGCCTAGACGCTTCTTTCGAACTCTTTTTCTTCCATCCAAAGTCCAAATAACCGCGATTCCTCACCGCTAGCCAATTGGACGACCTCGATTCTCCGTTTCCTCACAATGCTGGACCTCAACGTGCACAACTACATCTTCTACATCGGGTCCGGACCTCTAGTTTCCCTCATTTTCAGCGACCGCTCGAGAGAAATCGCGACGGAAGTCCAGCGCCTCCACAAAGTAGAAACGGAGGTCCTCTTTTACGTAGTCGACATCGGATAACATGGGCTTTTCGCTCCTCATCGCAGACCATTCCGTCGATCTTCTTTCCGTCATGAAACGAATCCATTGCGCCGATTTCCACGCCTTTCTGCGCTGTCTTCGCTTCCTTTCCCCGCGGCCAGCCTCTCCCGCCCGGTCAAACTTGTCAAACTTGTCAAACTTGTCAACGTCTTCGTTCCTGCACGACGAAACGGACGCGAATCTGATCGTGGAGGAGTGGATTCGAAGTCGGCCGCAGTATGATTCAATGCAGGACGGTTCGCTGCTGATTCCGGTCGTGCGGTGCCTGGAATCCGTGCGTGAATTTGATTGGCTGATAGAAAGATGTGCGCGGAGGGAGAGAAGGACGCTGCGAGCGGCTGGAGCGAGCTGTCGATGAGTGAAGTCAGAAAAGAAGCGGAGAAACGGATGGAGAGGCTAAGAAAAAGCGAGAAACGGAGAGAATGTTTCGGGTTTTTGTCGTTGTTGGATCGGGTTTTGGTGAGAAGAAGCAAGCTGATGGTTATCGATAGGACGAGCTGGACGCGTCGTCGTGCGAAGCGTCGTGTTCGCACGACTATTACGATCACATCGACGAAGTTTTGCCGGAATTGAGGGACTCTATCCACTTTCTTCGCGATCATTTCAAGCAAAAATGCAGTTTGTGCGGCGCGTTGCCTTCGCTTCAAAGCCTCGTCGATGCCTCGATTCTCCTCGTCGCTTACGTAGCTCGTTTGGCTCGCGGATTTGAGGCGAATAGGGGAAACTGGAGGAGAAACAGTTTCCACGATTGAAGGAGATGTTCGTGACTCTCTGTTCGGAGTGCGAGGACTCGCAGCTCGCGCCCGTTCCGTCGATTTTTTCGAAGGAGGACGTTCAGAAGTTGCAGATGCACGATCCTACGCAGACGAAGGCGGTCATGGATGATGTCTGTAAATCCGACGGAAACCTATTCAAAACGCTGCTGGAAGCTGCCACGTTCCGAAAACATTTGCACTCTTCTCCCTTTCGAAGCAATCTAGGCCATTTTGTAATGAGCTCGGTTTCGATGCGAAATAGATTAGCAACGTCCTGAAGTGCACAGACGAGCCGATGAGCGTGCCAGAGAACGATTCTTTTGAGTGCAGAACGGAAATCTACACAACGCAGGAAAGACCTGTGGAGGAGACAGGCGGCTATTTTTCCTTTTTCAAATCGTTTTTGAGCAGAGAACCGGAAGGGAACATAAGGGAAAGAGAAGGATTGGTTCTCGTTTTGCTTGATGGCGCTTCTGAAACTGATATCTTTGAAACGATGATGGAAATGAACTCAAGAATGAATAGAGAACGAAAGGATGTTTGTTTGGGTGTTCATTGTAAGATATAGTTGATCATATGTACAAATCAATACGAACCGTGCAATTCGCTTTCATATGTGTTAGGGGAATGTCCTGTTTGTTAACTTACAATTTGTGCACTCAAAGGGAGTATTTCGTAAAGGAAAAAAGGAGAAATATGACCTAAAAAAAAGAACATAAAAATCATGGGTATTGTACGGATGCTGGAAATGCGTTCTTTGGCTGTTATTGAGTGAGTAAATGGCGAAGAATCAAACACTCAAGAAAACCAAGAAATCACATGTATGATACGAATGCTCTTCGATGTCAGAGTCGCTTATTCGGCAGTAAATAGCAATTCCAACAATTTTTTAGCCATAGTTGAGGAAAGGGGATAAAGAATAGTAATATTGCGTTACCGCGGTTATGTAGATTCTTTACTGGTAAGTATCTGGAGTTTCAAGATTGCAATTCGCTTTTATTCTTTCCTTTATTTAATATTTTGCTCATCATTTAATATACCAAGCATGAACTCTATGGGAACTATTGACCCCTCTTCCTTGCCAGCGATCTATTCCAGGAGAAAGACAAGAAAGTGTTCATCATGTAAGTGTTTGAAACCAATGGACCAGTTTTTACCCATCACAATCAATAAGAAGACTGTTATTCCAAAGACTTGCCAATCTTGTCGATTACGACGAAATAGTTATTATTGGAGTAAGATCAACTCGATATGTGTTATGCGGTAGACTTCGAGTCCAAGAAAAGCAAGTCCGAGGGATCAAAGCGTCACTCTTATCATGATTTTTCTACACAGCGAGCCAATCATGTTGTAAAATCAAATATTGCCAGCCAAAGTGTTCCAAGTGCTGTGGTGCACACAGATAAAAGACCTGAAGGGAGTGAGGAGATGAATGACTTATCCCAAGTAACCTTTGACGATCTAGTTCATCCTCTGCACTCCTATGGTCATACCCAATATAACTTTCCATCTCAAACACCCCAAGAAACTCAGATCTCGCAGCTTTCGCCATTGCCTTCAATCTCTCAACCAGCGCAGGAATCGATTCAACCAATGCAAACGGTCCAGCCAGCCCCCTCTTTCCAGTCCACCGAGGCTGTTCCCTCTCTGGATGTTCCGAAGCGCGATTTCTGTGAGTCGAGTAGCGCTCTGGGCATTGATCCGATTCTCTCAATCAACCAACTTTCTCCTTTAGACGAGGATCTAAAGCTGAAAGCGGACGAGATGAGCTCCATGAACGATTTTTTCTTGCTGACAAAGCAGTCTGTGGACTCGATGGAGTACATGCTGCCTGATTCGATGAAGGTGGACGATCTGATTTTAGAGTTGCAGCGACAGACTGTGCATAGTATGATGGACGAGATCGGAAATATCAGCGATATCTTGGCTGCTAGCCAGTTGGACGTGTATAAATCGCAAGAAGTGTGCTATCCATCGATGATGGATGATGTGGATTTTGGATTCCCCGCGGCGGTGCTTGGAGAAGGGGATGCGCCTTAAATGGATTTAAAGAAGTGTTGTTGCAGATCACTTTTGAATCTTTTGGGTTAATTTATTATCATCGATTTTTTTGTTATCATTGTCATTTCTATTCTATTCTGTTTTTTTAACTGTTAGTGCATGAGATGTTTGAGAAAACAAACACACTAGGAACGACGTGTGATGCGCGGAATCACATTCCGCTTCTGATAGAAAATGCCTTCGACCAGGCGATTGATGCGAGACAGAATGAGTCGCGTTAGGAAATAGAAACATTGGTCTTCCACCAGCACATGTGCGGGATCTTGAAGCGAAGGGCAATCTGATAGGAGACGAAACGAGTCTAGGAATACTTGCGAGATAAAGTTCGTGGCAATAACGGAAACTCGCGTATCGGAATTGGATTTCATCCAAACGAGGAAGGTTTTCGAGAGATAATCGCGCCTTTGTGTTCTTCTCATTCACAAAGCTGCCCTCGCCAAACTCGATTCGATGAAGACAAGGACAATCTACGTCGAATGAACGCTCTACAATCACTTGAAATTGAAAGATCGCGACAGTGAAGAAAGGAATAGCTTCCAAAGATGATTTCTTCTAGTTTCGGGAGGTCTACGATCGATTAACCAACATAGCCAATCTAGCGAGTCCTACCTGTCAATTCCAGCTTCGAGACGAGCGAAAAAGAAAAGCTTCCCTCTTCAAGATTCGCTCCGAAAGTTAACAGAGCAAGGCGTGGCAGTTCTATGCGATATTCTTTCCGCAATGCTTTTATGTACTTTCAATAACCACTTCTTGGAAGAGAAGAAAACTATGACTTCCGATTTCAATACTCTCCAAATTGGGACAATCCGTGACCATAAACTGGCGATGGTGTCCACGCGTAACAGCCGAATCCACTCTCCTCAGCTGCTCTTCCGAAAAGGATTCCAAGCCTAGAAAGCAGTCCTGCTCGATCACAAGTCGCTTTATACAGGGAAGCTGAGAAATATGGAATGTCTCAATTTGAGTAAAGCTGTGATATCCGATGGATAAGTGCTCCAATCGGTCCAGATTGAAGAAGTGGATCTTGGACCCAGGGATTGTTGTGTCGTGAGACAACATTAAGGAGTGCGAAAAGGAATAAAACGTAAGCTGATCCTCCGGAATTCGATCAGGATCCACTTGCTCTCCATTAAAGTAGACAACGGTGTGAACGAAGTGTCCGAAACGATCGAAGATCTCGAACGGACCAAACTGTTTTCCATCTACCCAAAACCCACGGGACTCGACTGTAGGAATTAAAAAATCTGGGTAAATTGTCTCTCCAAAACCATAGCGTCTGCCATTCTTCGAACTTCCCATATAGACCAGTCGATTATCAGCATCATAGAACGCTCCTTGTGCCTGTAAACTAATTAAGTCACCTCGACTCTCCCATCGACTACCGTCATCATAGTCTACAATGAAATCACTCAGTTCATCGATTGTTATGGGCTTCTCTGATATGACGGTATCTCCTACGAATACCATTTCGCAAACAAACCAATTGCTGGTTCGATCATACAACAATCCAGAATAACTATTTGAGTCTGGAGAGAAATGGACGCACATTGTAAACAGCACATCCCCGTTTTCGTTTAAATAGTTGATAATTCCTTTTCCAGAAAACCGGAAATTACAAGCAGCAAGATACCTTTCTTCCTTGCAAGTACATAAAATGGGATAATAACGCAGCTTTACGCCATCACTTCCTCTCGAATACAGTGCTTGGCTTGCTGCACGTTCCATCTTCTTTCTCATACCTAACTACCTCGACTCTCAACAAAAAATGAGACAATGTCTCGCTCCGTTCCTTTTTGAATATTCACTCAAAAATAGTGACTACTTTTGGAATATTCAAATCTTATTGTTTTTTGCCATTCTGCTTAGAACATTATCCTGGATATAATTAGGTGTATCGAAGCAGATGATTGAGGAATCTGCTTTTCAACTCTTGTATTCGCTTCTTGATGTAATATTGGTGTGTTTCTATCAAATACAGAATGACGCGGATGCAATCAACGTAATCCTATCAAAATTCAGAAAAAACTACAGTGATTTACAAAAGATTGAAATTGGCGAGTTATTGGTGAGTTTAAATAATTGTGGATGCTTGACAAAGTCTCAGGTAATGGTTTAGTGTCACACATTGAGTACTGTAGGAGTTTGTGAGCTGTCTCCTTCTCCTCTTTGATTTTTATTGTTCTTCAGAGGATATTAATCCATTTTGGATGCATATTTTATCAATTCTAGACACAGTATGTTCTTTTGGTATTTTTAAACCCTCAGGTTTTGTATGATGTTCATACAAATTATATATATAAGAGTGTTATCAACACAGGTACTTTCGAGGGATTATCTTCACCTCCCTCATCAATTCTGGATGATCCTCAAGAGATCGATTCCAAGTTGTATCAGCAATGCAGAGATCGAGTCTACTCGCGATACAAGGAGCAGTGTGTACCTCTCTATTTGTATGTCGGTGCTCCCTATCCTCTCGCGCTATCGAAACAATCGTCTGCTTCTCTCTACGAGCGTTACGTAGCGAACGACCTGTCTCTCTACGGTATGGGGTCCTCTCTCTCTACCTGTTCACACCGCCAGTTTCACTTTACGCCTCTTCCTTGCGATGTTTCATGCTCGATTTAGCGTTTGATGTAGTACGCTCCTCTTTTTCCACAAATCCCCACGAATTTTTTACTGGATCCGGTGATCGAACAAGTGTCAGACAGCGATATGATCGTGCTGTACATCCGCCAACTGTTTGAAAGCCCTTTGTCTCCCGCCATCCTGTCTTTTGTGAGCGAATCTGGATGACGTAACGCACAGTTTCAATCGCACCAGTCTTCGCTTCGCGATGTAATTCGACGCCATTGCGAGGGAGAACTGTCAGTTGTGGGCCCGTCGAATATCCTCGAGTTGGTCGAGCGATGGCGCGATTTGGGTCTGGCTTTTCTGACAGCGTTTTTGAAGTCGAAGCGATTCAACTCGATGTACAACGCGGAGGAACCGATGAATTGTAGCTATTTTCAATTGCTGTGCACGATGGAACTCACGGAGAACAGGCTTGTCGTTGTCATCACGCTGCTGCTAGTGGATTTATTACCGGCTAGCATTTTTATTTCGCTTCTAATCAACAAACTGTTGGAGTTGGAGAAGAAGGAAAGAGTGGGGGCAGTAGAGGCGAATAATGAATAGAAGGAGCTCGTGCCGCTGTTTTGCAGATATGTGAAGATGAATCTTCGGATTAAAGCCGTAATTCCCGAGATTCAGTATGATGAAATTGACAGCTTTTGTAGAGAGTGTAGCGATGTGAAGGAGGCACAGGAATTGCTGGATATGATTAATACTGTTTTGGGTGTTTGTTAATAGACTTATTTGCTTGTTGGGTGAATTTGGCTTATTTCGGTAGGGAAGTCTTTTACAACTTTTTTCCATGCATTTTCAATACTCATTGATTTCTATTTGCCGTTCATTCATGTGGAATTGAATAGTATTCAACATAGATGAGGATTTTTAATGCTGTTCATTGTTCATTGTTATATTGTATGTGGGTTGTTGACAGATAGAAATGATTGTTGTTGTTGTTTGTGCTATTTCTGAAAGAGAGTGAATTCAGTTTGATTATTTCCTTTTAGGAGATAATCAGATACCTGTTATTTTCACAGCTGAATGGGTTTTGTGATAATTGATGCGTAATCGATTCTTCCTACTAATTCGTATCCACAAAGCGATTCTAGCTGATCTAATAGCAATAATAATAATAGTAGTAGTAGAATAGATTCTCTAAAGAATACTAATAACAAGTAAGAATATAGGATTTGACATATTACATGAACCAATGGTTTATTATTTGAACATTCACTTTAAAAACCACATGATTAATTTGATTCGGAGAAATGAAGATAAAAGAACAGCAAATAGAACTACTTATCCATGTATTTGAGAAACATACGCTTTTTAGTTGCATTCGTACCTAAAATGCGTAGTATTATATTTCACATAAAGAAAAGAGAGCTTTGATGATTATTAAACTGAGTGTGCTTTTGGATTTTCTCATAATTTTTTTAATTTTGGTCAAATAAAATGGTAGAAGAATGTATTGTGTTATCTTCCATGCTAATGAATAGCCTATTTGACTGAAATTCGCTTCACCGAGTATCTGCTAAACGGATACGGTACACTCGGCGACCCTGAAACCCTGGTTAAGGATGGAATAGAATACACTGTTCAGCGGTTCCAGGGAAAGCACAAGAACGAATTTCTATTGCGCTCAGAAACTGGTGAAGTATATCTGTTTGAAAATAACGTACTGAAACAAGAATGGAAGGAGGACGAGAATGGGAAAAAATCGGAGGAGTTTATTCGATACAAGAATGGTCGAGCCGATTTCAGTCAGCGATTCCAAGATATTTTGGAACAAATGAATAGCAAACGTTTTGTTTATCACAGGAAAGGACTTCGAATGGAAATCTGGTCAGTCCAAACGGGGCATTTGCTGTATCACGGAAAATACAATGATAACGGGGAGAAAGAAGGCTGGGGCATCGAATACGATAAAGAAAGCGGAAATGTGGTTGTAGAAGGGATGTGGAGCAAAGGAGTATTGAAAGAAGTGATTCGCTGTTTCAATGGAGATACGATGACAGAATTGAAACGAAACGGAGCAGATAGTTTGGATCCAACAAAACGAATTCCGATCTATGTAGGTGGATTTCGCTATGATGAAGATAATGAACGATTTATTCGTGAAGGGAAAGGATGTCTGATTGATGAAAAGACTGGAATGGCAACTCGAGAATGTGAATGGAAGGATGGAAGGGAAGTGAGTGGAGTGGATCTGAATGGCGGAAAATACGATCCAAAATTGAGGTATGGTTTATCAGCAGCTATGATTCCTAGACCTGCTCCTGTTCCAAAACGCGAAGAACCTGCTCCTCTTCGAATGAACGTCACTGGATCTACAAAATGGACCTATATTAGTTTGGAAGTTACCGATTTGACGATTTCATCGAATTGCTATAACGATTTGAGTGCATTGGATCTGAATCGATTCGAGTGGCTACGATCCATCGAAATCGGCGATGATTGTTTTGGATCAGTGAAAACATTCAAAATTGATGGATTGAAGCGATTGAAAACGATCAAAATCGGGAAGAATTCATTTACTCAGAAGCAGGATAGTGGTAGTGGGAACAAGTCGAAATCATTCCAGATATTGAATTGTAAATCATTGGAATCCATTCAAATTGGTGAACATAGTTTCTGTAGTTTTAAAGAATTTGAATTGGTGAATCTACCACAGTTACAATCCATTCAAATTGGTTCAACTGAAAGACATTCAGGCAATTTCCATAATAGTTCCTTTGTGATTCGAGGTATTGATATGATATTGAATATGGAATAATGATTAGGTCTTCCAAATCTACAATCCATTACATTAGGTAAGTATGCATTCTATGAATCCTTTATGACAATAATGGAAAGTATTGAATGAATGTGAATGAAATGATTGATGTAGATCTTCCATCATTACAATCCATCCAACTTGGTACTTATGCACTTTATGGAACAAGAGAAAGTGATTCCTGTTTTTTAATAATGCGAAGTATAAATAAGATGATTGTAAATGATTTGCTTTGTAGATCTTCCAAATCTAACGTCCATTGTCAATTATGGAGGCCATAGTTTTGAATGGCCTCGATTTGTGATATTGAAAAGTATTTCTAAATGTTGAATATTGATAGTTATTAGATATTCCAAATCTTCAAAATGTCGATCTATCTGATTCGTTCTGGTATACTCAATCGAAAACAATTTCGAGTATTGTTTGATTGATTTGATATCATTCATAGATGTTTCTTCGATTCTCACGAAATATGTTAAAATCAAGCAGTAATTCCAGTACTGGATCTACACACTTCATTCCATTCAATGATCGATACATATTCAATGTTTACTTTGTTTCTTTGTTTATACCAACCTCCATACAATCATTCTTTGGTCATTGCTTTTTATCCATTCATCGATTGAATCTTTTACATCATTACAACTCAGTTTGGTTAAGCTAATGTGTTCCACTCCTTCGTATAATCGATGTTAAGAATTCAAAAATGTTGTAGTATTGTAGAACAAAACTGAGATGATTAATGGTTTGAGAGACCGGAGATGATGGTAAATGGAACTCGTTGTTTAAATCGATTTGCGTGTATTGAGTTAGATAAGACTATTGTGACAAATGCTGCTTTGGCAACTGTTATTTTATTCCTGGTTACAGGACATTTTATTTGTTTCCCATCGTTCATACTGTTTTCTCAATATGACTATTCCCCTATTCAACATACAATGAATGTCATGCATTTACCTTTACTTACGTTGGGAAACTTCCCTTGCTTATTTCGCTTAGAATTGATCGATATTCAATGGTTTGTTCAATCCTTTCATATTCTCAACTTATATACTTTTCTTCTATCTTTGAATCAATTCCAATCCATTGATCCTCTTGTGTGTCCCTCTATTTCCATTGAATTGTTATAGACTGCAGCAGGTTATCAACGATTGATTCCTATAACACTACAATAGTGATAAGTGATTTGCGTATCACTTGTTTGTTCTCTCAAAGTCTCAAAGCTGCATTGATAGTTCGCTCAAACAAAAGGTATACCCAAAGCTTAGAAATGGAAAGCCGAATACGTAACAATCCATGCAACTAAATAAAGGCATACACCCTGCATGGCCCCTTCCTGAAGAATTGTCATCACATCGAAATCGTCAGTATTCACACGAATGTAACGAGTCGCATATACAAGTGGAAGTCCAATTACCCACACCAAACCTCTACAGACTAAGAACACAAAAAAACCAAGAACGTGACCAATCCGAACGCTCCCGTGAAGGGAACGATTCCCCAGACAATTCCAAACACACTAGAAATAAAGAAAGCCGAATTTCTCAGTACAGTGCCAAGATCTGTTTCATGAAGTAGATAATATCTAAAAAGTCCGGAAATGAATCCTACATAATAAACAGTCCACAAATGAACATCCACACCTTATCATATTCAGCCTCTTTCTTTAAGGCAAGAGTCAAGAGATCCACAGTTTCTTCTTTGCCATCAATCTTGACAGTGCGTCTAAACCGTAATTCACTAGAGGACATTGCAGAGAAAACCAAAAATGTGCAACAAACACACAACATTATTATTTACAAATATTTTCGGTATCACTTATTCAACAAACGCCTCCTATTCCTATGCCTCCTTTGCTTCCGGACATAAGAAGCGACCTCCTCTTCCATCTCTCCAGCAATCATATTTGTGTAGTCTACGCTGTCTACAGAAAGCGTTCGCGGATGACCCATGTACATCGCGTGGTCAATCGACATTGTTCTTCCCTTCTTCACCAACTCGGTATTGGGCGTTTTCTCAATCTACAACTCACAACATATTCCATGTTCAACGGCAAGAGAGTGGTCTCCGGGCGTCGCAATGGGCGGCATGGACTGATCTTTCATATTCTACATTTCACAGCGTTTTTCGGCTCCAACGCGCACAATCTCCCATATCTGCTCAGGAGAATAGCGAATAAACTCTCCTTTATACCCTATGTGAACAGACGACGTGGCCACGAAGGGTAGCGTGGATCCTTCCTTCCCATAATCGGGGAACAAATCGATGCTACGCTCAAACAAATTGGACGATTCTCTACTCAAATCCTTTGTATTTGTTGCTTTCTGTGATTAAAGAGAACTCGTCCATGTCGTTGGACAGTTCTGAAGGCGGTTTGCTTTGCAGCGTTTTCTTCAGCTCTTCGAGTTTGCTGTCGGAGAGGTCGAAAGGCGTCGCGTCAGCAGACATTCGGCGATGTTTCGGCTCGACTTTTGGAGTTCCAATAATCGTGCTGAGTTGACGTGTGAAAACTTTCATGTAGTACTCGCTCTTCATGCGAGCTTTGATCGGAGCTCCTGCTAAGGTGCGAGTTTGGAGGGAGTTGAGAGAAGAGAGAGCTTCTTCTTCTGTTGAAAAGGTTACAAACCAGGAATTGCTGATCTCCTCTTTGATCGACTCGATTGTGACGCCTTCGAAGAGGGAGCGAATCATATCCTCGGTTGTATCCGCAGGGAGATCACGCAAAATGACAGTTTTTCGTGCTACAGGAATAGAAACCCGAACACCCGTCAACGTTGGGGACAAAGAGAGTGTCGGAATTGTTTGAATAATATCGATTAATTCGCTACGCGATATTCCAGTTCTGGAGATTGAAGAGAGTGACATTAGATAAGTCAAGGACAAATAACCTTCAGAATCCAATCGAGTCACGAGGGATGGAGTCGTTGCCAAATGATCCATCGACATTAGTTTTTCTATCTACACTGAACGAACTTTCAAATTCAAACCTTGTTCTTGACAGCAGCTCTGCGTTCTGCACACTCATCTTCTTTGGGCGCCACTGAGTTACAAGAAGAATCCATTTCACTTCTACGATGGTACATGCTTATTCTAGTCGTACTTGCAACAGATATTTCACCAGGCCTTACTTTTTTCAAGCAAATTGAGATATTGTGTTTTAGGATGGATGAAACGCCTCAAAAATGACAGCAATCACATTATTCTATGTGGAACAATCATTTTTAGACTCAGCGGGACGTTTTAGAGTGCAATATCACTTTAGGATGGCAGTTTCCGATCATATGTCAAATCAGGCGAGCGACAATATGGAATTGACCACTGGATGCTCCATAGTAAACCATGTACATAGCCAAACACATAATGCTCACCAAAGGGAAGACCCTCAAAAGAAGAAAGTGTAGGCAAGAATCTTCAGGTATTCGTAGATGTATAGTACTACATAAATCCAAACAATTCTGTTCCAAACAACATTACTCCATTCTTCCAAATTAATTTACAATGTTAAGAAGATCTTCGTTTTCTGTTAATGCAAGTCGTACCTCAGGGATAGACACATCTTTGAGACCTCGCTATTCCAAAAAACTATCATACTTCACTGAAGCTCCTTCTGCAAAGTAGGTTTGTTGTGCGTTCAAACTGACAGAATAGAAAAATAGATGAATATTGCGCCATTCTAGCAAAGCACAGGTCTGGACTTGTGTTAAACAAGGAAATGGTTTTAAAAACAGATATTATTCCTCCACGATATGAAACAAATGTAGTGCTTTATTATTTTTTATATTACGAAAAGAACTCAAACAAGTTTTTAGGAATCTCTTCTTTTGTGGCTTTTGAGCCATGGAATGTATATGCCTGCTCTCAGCCAGACGAATCCAGTGTGTACAGTGTACTCAACATGATCAATTATCTGGGGAACGATGCAGTGGAGACTCTCTGGATCAATCTCCGCGAAGAGCCCTCAGTGTATCATCGGTGGAAAACATTAACGATAGCTATATCAACGGCCAGTCGTTTGTTTTGCGCCATAAGAATGAACCATTCAAGAATCTGTTCACGGACGAGTCTTTTATTACGCGCAACCGTGTTGAGAACATGGAAAAGAGTCTAAAGAAGGATGTAGCCCGCGAAGCACATCAGGACGCGGGTTCAAACATTCTGGTTCACGATGAAGAGTCGTTACAACACGTTTGGATTACGATTCATTTCACTATTCTTAGCTAAGCAAAAAGATTCTGCATGTGGATACTTCGTCCCTGCTTACTACACGCGAGATGTTTTATATGGTTGGAATTCGAGGCTACAACCTAGCATACTATCGAATCCCCATCCTGGAAACCCATCCTCCAACCATCGTAGGCTCAGGATGTTCGGTTGTCGATTCCTTGTAGGAAGCGCTGTCTGACATCGTGGAGATCTTAGTAAAGAACAGTAACAGTAAACATATCGTGTTTTCGGATATGAGCGGACATAACAAATCGGTGTATTGCTCGTCTGTCGCGATTTTGGTTCGAGTGAGGCTTGCCGCTCGGCTTTCAATTAGAAATGGAAACACTTGCTGCACGCATTTGCAGATCGTGAAAACGCTCGAATTCGAATCGAGTCTCCGATGATGACGAATATTCCGGAGGATGGGTTTGAGGACGCGATCGAATTGGAGGAGACGGAGAATATGCAGGACATTCCGTTGATGTCTCCGATGGGAAAGGATGCGTTGATTTATCATTTGGATGATATAAACGACGTGGATTTGTCGATGGATGCAAACTCGGAAGAGTTGAGTGGACAGAAGCAGAAATCGATCCACAAAGAAGAAAAGGACAATATCCTTTTGTTTTATGTTGAATTGGGTCAGGTTTTTAAGTGTAGGATTCGCTTCTGTTGAACGGCAACTATGGAGTGATTATGAATCTGATCAATCTCTTCGAATATGGCTGGCGTGTCAAAGCCCTTGTGAACAGCGTGATTCAAGACCAGTCTTCCTATTACAATCTCCTTTCAGACATCGTGGCGGCGCGAAACAATATCATGTTTTCGACGAACAACGTGAATAAAGCTGCGTGGCAGGAGATCGCAATCAAGCTGCTGCGCAAGTATTTCCTTCTCATTGCTGTCGGGATTTATCTCCACGAAACGCAGAATGACGAGAAGAAAAGCACGTTCGTTCAATGGCTGGTGCAGAAGAGAGAAGTGCGCAACTTGTACGAGTCCATCAATCTGCAACACATCGATAATTACCTCAGTATCAACGGGGATCGCAGTTCCTCGCTGACAACCGATCTTTCCTTGGGCACTTCTGGGTATTGGTTTTGCTGCTAGTTCGATGATCGTATAGATATCTGAACATCCATACGATGCTTCTGCTTCAACAAATCACCGACCAAGACAACGTGATTATCGCAGACCAGCTTTTATTCGCTCCCAAATTCTCCTCTCCTCTCTTTGGCTCCATCTTCACGCCCACCCTCGTTCGATTCTTCGAATTCTCCTTCATTCTAGCCAATCGATTACATCGTGTCTTCCTGGAAATCACTTCCTTCCAAGGCTCCCAAAATGTTCCATATCATCAACATTCATCGCAGTCCCTGCGTGTATTTCTTTCTTTCTCTCTCTCCAAGCCTAGTGTGATCGACGGTGCGCTGTACTGTCTGCGTGACCGAGCCTCTCCTCTCATGTATTGCCGTTTTGGTTGATTCAGAGAAAGGACATCTCCTTCGTATGCGAATATGGAGGGGAGAAACGACGTATTGAATCAAATCGAAGTGTCGATGGTTCGCGAATTGGACGAATTTGATGGCGAATGCATCGCGCTGTTCGGATTCAATCCGCAGAGCCAGACGATCGATTCGTCGAAGAAGGTGCTGCATAAGCAAACGATCGCAACATCGCAGTAGGAAAACGCAACCGATTTTTGTGAAACGCAGAGAAGGAATCACAAAGATTATCCAATCGCATCTCCTTGAAAACTTGCCGTCTCTCTCGATGCAATCGCTGCAAATGGATTATCATCGAGTCAGCAGCAATCACTTCTCCATTCCTCCTTACTCTTCCATCGATTCGTTTCGTTTATCGCGTGTTTTGAACTCTAGTCTACTCCAAATCATCCAATCGTTCCCTGATAAAACCGATCCTTCCTGCACGATCTTGCTTCTCGCGCATAATCTCGGCGGTTTACTCTTCCATCTCCCTCTCTTCATGCTGTTCCTCACTCACATTCGCGCTGAAAGCGATTTCGCTCTGGACAGCTCGGCTTTATTTGGTAGCTTTTAAAATAATAAAATAATTTGATTATAGACGAAGAGGAGTCCGAAGAATCCTCTCCCTTTTCGATTACTTACTTCATGTGTTTGAACATCATTACCGATCTTTGCAGACTTCTCTCGCAGGGTTATTCGCATCTCTACCGTGTGTTTAAAATCATTCGAATGTCCCTTCTGCCCAGCGTCGTTCCGATCACTTCGGAAATCGTGGGAGACGTTTCAGGAGCCGAGGATTCGTTTCCGATAACTCTCTATGATTATATTACGCGGCTATTTGAAGCAGATGCAACACACGATCGCGAGAATCAAAGCTCGTTAGGCCAGCTTCGCTATCTGCAGGGGCTTCAGAAACTCGTGTATTTGATGATTATCGACGATTATATGACTGTATTCCTCCTCTTTTTGTTAAATTGATAATCCGAAGACGCTTTCTTCGTCGAAAACGCCCATCAAATTTGCTGATTGGATGCACGATCGACACGAAATCGAGCTGATTCTCGAATCGCTGAACAACCCCAAAACGCGTGTCTATGTAACAAAAGATAACATGGACATGCTATCTTCCCACATGGTCGTTGAAACTCCCATCCCTCCAGAAGACTCGGCGTCTTCTTCGTCTCCTCTTCCTGACGGCGAGCTTTCATTGAATCGAAAACGTCGAGAGAGCGATGCAGTGTTGATGTACCACCACATCAACGGTCTTGTTCTGAACATCAACAGCATTATTAAAGACGATTACTTCCCTGGATCGCGCAACACGCTGCTGGTTCCGCAGCTGGACGGAGCTCCGAACTTCCGAGTGAGTCGGTTCATTGATCGGGTGTTTGGCGTTGGGATTCCGATGATAAACGGCGTGGCGAACACCGTGGATTACATCCAGAAGACGTATGGAAGCAATAATATCGTAGGGAAGAGAAGGGGAATGTGAGATAGACGTGGGTGAATTTGCGAGAAGAACCGATTATTTTCATCAATGGCAAGCCGTATTCTCTTCGAAACATTTCGGATATGATTAACAATCTGATCTATACGGGAATCGATTCGTTGGGCTGGTTGGAAGGGACTCATTGGCTAGAGAGCGCGTAATCGAAATCGAGAAGAAGTTCAAACAGGATATTCTGCAGGAAGCCGCTGTGAATCGATCCATGATTATGGTGAACCACGAAACCGACAAGAACCAGAGCGTGATGCATCTCATTCCGGTCACAGAAAGCTCGGTAACCACCGTATCAATGGATCGTTATGACTCAATTTTAAGCTCGAAGAGGTCTACAAGATGGTGAATCGGTCCTATCCTCAAGTCCACATTTCTCTCTTCCGCGTGCCAATTTCCGACGAGCAAGCTCCCTTGGCTTCTTCGATCGACGAGCTGCTCAAGATTTCGTTCCGGAATTACCACGATCAGTTCGTTTTCAACTGTCAAATCGGCAGAGGACGAACCACCACCGGAATGGTGATCTGCTCGATGGCTCTGTCGTTCAAACGAGGCGAATGGCATCGATTGATGTCGCGAATCGCCAAATCGGAGAACGAAATGGAGAAGAGCAAATCGCTGGTGGCATCGGAAACAGCTCAGGATCGATTGCTACGAGGCTTCTATCCCTCTGTGATGAAGATCGTGTCGATTAGTGAGAATGGGGCTCGTGCGAAGCAGAAGCTCGACTATATTATTGACCTGTCCAGCGATATGCAGAACATTCGAGAGGTGATTTATCAATATCATGTAGAGTGTGGTGAAAAGGTGCGATTGTAGAGCTTTGCCCAAAAGGAGGAGATTTCGAGGAAGAAGAAGGAGGAGTCGCTGCACAGAGCAACTCATTTCTTACATCGCTACTGTGTGCTGCTGATTTTAGCAGAGTATTTTGAGGAGCACCTTCCAGACGAGAACAACCCAGTCTTCTCCCAGTGGCTAGAAGAGCACAAGGACTATACAGAGATATTGAAAAACATTCGTCTTGAGTTTTGTCTTTTTTAAAATAAACATGCAGTCGTCTGCTTCAAGCTGAAATAGATTAGATACCGAGCTTCGTGCGCTTCCAATGTCGACGCTTAGCGTTGTATCTAGCAGATAATGCCAAAGGAGTGACTGTACCTAATCTTGGTATCAGTACGCAGACGGAACCACTGAGGGAGGGGGCGGTTCTGTCTCATCTTCTTAGCGAGAATCTTCTTCGTTCTAAACGACTTCTGGGAAGGCTATAAGAGTTAGGAAAACCAAAGAGAGCATTTCTACCATTTCAACTTGTAAGCTTGACAAATTCTGAATTAACTCGCCACCAGTAGCCAAAAAAACGAAACTCCGCCATATTCTAGTAATTCCCGCGATACTCTAATAGGCCAATTTTTATTATATAGAAACACTCCGCATTCACTACTGAATAGTTTTTGTATAATATATCTGTGCCCTATTAATAAGATTAATGCAATGTATGTGCTTGTGAAATGTGACCCATTCTTACCATATCTTAGATCAGTCATTTGATTGGCTCAAGAAAGAAGATCGAGCAATATCTGTTATTCATACGGAAGATGATATTATCGATTACTTGCGTTCTTTCTCAAGTACTTTTTTTGCGGCGGCTGATGTGAGTATCTGCTATGTTTCGCGATATAGGGTATTACAGCGCAGTTATCTTCTTTGAGTGACGAGATTTCTCACTGCAGCAGTGGAATTGACGTTGTAAACAATCAGATTCGCGACTTGGAACAGAAGCAAGTGGTTGTTCATCGCGTGGAAACTCAAAGTAGTGTTCATTGCAGGTATAGATTGTAGAGAGCGATCCAAATAAGCGCTTGGCTGATTATTATAACGAAATGTTCCTTCCTAAGGAAATGCGTGATTACTCCTCTTTATTTCAAGAAACAGATGAAGAAATCCTGCGATCTTCTGCTCGTGTAGGAATTTGGTGAATTTATCAATGAAGATCACTGTCCGTTCTGAGGATGAGCGTAGCTTCTTGTCAAACAATGTCTACCGCGTTCTTCCTTCTGCAGGCGAGTGCAGCAACACGTCTATGGAATCGAGTCGCGTGGTGTCTTCCATGGCACCGATCCTCCCTTCCCCGGTGGTTTCAAAGCAGCCTCCGCCGCTTCCGTCGTCGTCTGTGAAGGAATCGGTGCGAGGCACGTCCATTCCGCCTCCCGTCCCTGTGTCTGCGATTCCTTCTTCTTCGTCGTCTTCGTCTTCGTCGGTTCCTCCGAATCGTCCCGCTGGATTCAACGCTTTGCTGAGCGAAATCAAAGCGTCGGGAGGCCGTGTGAAAGGATCGAGTGTGGAAGCTCCGAGCAACGAGGAGGAGTCAAGGGAGTCAAGGGAGTCAAGGGAGACAAGGGAAGTTCGAAAGCCGGTCGGTCCTCCGCCCATTCCCAAATCGGCCATTCCGATTCCTTCTACGCCTTCCTCGTCTTCTGCCTCTGCTTCGTCGGTTCCTCCCAATCGTCCTACCGGTTTTGGTGCTTTATTAAGCGAAATTAAAGCGTCTGGAGGCCGTGTAACAGAAGAAAAGATTGAAGGTGTAAAGAATGATGACAGTGGAGAGAAAGATAAGCGCAAATCGGTTCCTCCTTCTACGCCTTCTGCTTCGTCGGTTCCTCCTAATCGTCCTACCGGTCTCGGTGCTTTACTAAGCGAAATCAAAGCGTCTGGAGGCCGTGTAACGGGAGAAAGCATCGAGGGTGTGAAGCAGGAAGATGAGTACAATGGAGAGAAAGACAAGCGTAAATCGGTTCCTCCTTCCTCGTCCTCGTCGGTTCCTCCGAATCGTCCCGCTGGTCTTGGTGCTTTGTTAAGCGAAATTAAAGCGTCTGGAGGCCGTGTGACAGAAGAAAAGATCGAAGGTGTAAAGAATGATGACAATGGAGAGAAGGACAAACGTAAATCGATTCCTCCTTCTACGCCTTCGTCTTCGGTTCCTCCCAATCGTCCCGCTGGATTCAACGCTTTACTCAATGAAATCAAAGCGTCTGGAGGCCGTGTGAAGACACAGGTCACCGAGTCCCCATCGCCCTCCTCGTCCGGCGCGGCGGAAGCGTCCTCAACCTCCCTCTCGAAAAGTTTCAAGCGCAAATCGGCGATTCCTCCTCCGCTTCCCAAATCTTCGGTCCCCGCGCCCCCCTCCCAGCCCTCCGTTTTCTCCTCCGCTCCCCCTTCCGTCCAGCGCGGCCCGCCTCCTCTCCCGACCTCGGCCCTTCCCCCGCCCCCGCCGCCTTCTTCGCCCCCGCCAATTCCTTCTTCGGCCCCTCCGACCCACTCCACGCCCCCCACTGCGCCGCAGACCGACATCAAACCGTCCAACGCTTCGCTTCGGAAAAGCCCACCGCCCAGCATTCCCGTTTCCCCGCCTCCATCCAATCACCACAAAAGCACTCCTCCGCCCATCCCGTTGAAGTCGCCGCTGCGTCCTCCTGCTCCTCCTTCTCTCCCGCCGTCCCTTCCTCCAAAAACAGGAAAGCATACGCCATTACCGCCACCTCCGCCAGCAGCTCCGCCACTTCGTCAAAGTCCTTCTACAATCTCAATTATGAGCGACTCTGCATCGATCAGTGGAAATGAAAGTACAGGAAGCATAAAGAGTTTGGAGGGAAATCGAATGGGAGGTCAGGAGGATAAATCGAAGTTATTTGGAGCGAAAGGAGCTGAGAAGCCGTCTCTGAAGGATAGGAGAAAGAATATTGGAAGAAAGATGTTGGATTCGCATGTTTGTAACAAACTCTCGAAATGTCGAGGATAACGTATATATGGACTCCATCCTCTTTGTGGAGAACCTGCATGTTGCTGTATGTGATCGCTTTGACCTCGGTTCCTTGCTTGTGCTTCTCCTTGCTATATTTTTCTCCAATCCCAAGAAGACGCACAGATGAGTAGTCCTTAGCTACTGGAGTGATGCAGCGCACGTCACAGAACAAAAGATCCATCGTGCTGTTGCAACAAAGGAATTCATTCAGGACATCATACAAGAGAGACAAGCAATCGTGACCTATAGATGAGGCATCCATAGTGCAGAAAAACCCTTGGCTTTGATTACAATGGGGGTCACATCCCCATCAAAGTCAACATGACTAGAATCCGAAATATAGCTAGACAGAAGAGGAAAGAGCTGGAACACCTACCCATACATTCCTAAGACGCATTGTTCTACCGCGACTTCAAAAGTGTTCCCCCCTAGACTTCACGACTCTTCAGCACAAAGTACACGCATGAACTTGAATATCTGCAGTGTTATCCAGATACTCATATTGGACAGGGCGATTTCTAGAAAACATCACTCCTGCAGGAATGACACAATGAGCAAACCTACAGTTTATACCCACAATCCACAAATAACTCTTCTACATAAGGACTTAAGGGATCGGTGACGACTGGCATTTCTTCTTGTTGCGTTTGTACTTCTGAATCTACTTCTTCGTTCTGATTTGCAATATCCTTTCCCAGCCTTCGTCGATCCCTTCCCTTTCTTCTGGGAGGTCGTGCCTGGATGCCGAGATAACTATAGCTATCTCTATCTTCCGTAGGATTCATTAACAATTATTAAAACAAACTGATGTAAGTTCTCACAATTTTCTTCACAATTCTTCGTTCATATTGTCAGTGATTTCGATGTCTCCATAGCTCTCTACCTGCGTCACGACGACCATCCGATCCGTGGCCAATACTAGAGTGCATGAGACCAGTCTTCGCTACCCAGCAAGTGATAAAACGATTTGACCACGAAGCCGCGCGTTCGCTTCGCCGCGAACTTCGCGAAGTCGACGGGATGTTCTTTCAACCCCGCGTCATCCAGCAAACTAGGTAGTAGCTCGTCCGCACAACACACTTAAGAAGTCGCAGCGTGTTTTGCTGCGAGGGAGTACTAGATGCCGACGACCCTGCAGACAATGAAATCTCTATTTGGTATAGGCGTGCTTCGCACTCTACTTCGCAGATCCGCACCTGGAGAGTCGATTCCCACTGCCATCGTAGATTCCATAATTGGCATGCTATCACCGTCCAACTCACTAGAATGAAAAGAGAGAAGCGTTCTATACGCCGGAAGAGCGGCCTCCGGCCACGAGGAGTTTTCGATTGACATACCGTGGGAGCTTCGTGGATCGCCGCCGCTTGCAGATCGCCGCCGCGGCGACGCAGCGATTGCGCGAGGCAGCTCGAAGGATCGTCCCTGCAGCGAGCGAGAAACGCGGCTCTCTTCTCCGAGGAACTGCAGAATGGCTTCGCCGTACCGCTATCTCTGAAACGCCCAAAACGTGGAAACTGGAGGTTCGGCGAGGGCGAGGACGGGGAGAGGCGGTCTGGCGGCGACGGCGAGGGCGGGGTCGAGGCGCGCGCGTTTGAGGGTGAGGGGGTGGAGCTCGATGCGGACGTCGGGCCGCAGCGACGCCCAGCGCTTCGACGGCGAGGACCGCGGCCCTCGCGAGCCCCGCACGGGGGAGTACCCGAGTAACAGCACGCCGTCGGGTCCGTTGGGACCGTTGAGACCGTCGGGTCCGTCGGAGCCAAAGTCGATGTCGAGGAGGGGGCGGGGCGAGCGGGGCGACGGCGCGGGGCCGTCCAGGCGGTGCAGAGAGGGGTCGGCGCCAGGCTGCGGGTGAGGGGAGGGAGATAAGGGAGGATACGGGGATGTCGGAGAGCGGAGTGGCCATCCCGGCCAGCAGGCCTTCCAAGCCTTCCGCGCCCTCCGCGCCTTCTGCACCCTCGGCGCCCTCGGCGCCCTCCAGCGCACGCAGGTCGGTCAGGTCGGTCAGATCCGCGAGCGTGTCTACGATCAGACTCGACACACACGACCCACTGTGCAAACTGTGCAAACTATGCAAACTATGCAAACTATGCAAACTGTGCAAACTGGTCAGGCTGCTGGGACCATTCAGACGGTCCAGCGCACCCAAGGGTTCGTTGTCCAGCAGCAGCTGGGAAGCTTCCAAGCCGAGACGGTCCAGGATCGGCTCGAGGCCAAGCTAGACTCTAGAAAGCTTGGGGAGATGGCTACCTGCGTCGATGTCAGATTTAAATCCAGAATGGACTGCTGGAGAGCGGAAGCGTCAACGGGCAGGTCGATGCGCTCCTGACTACGACTCGTGGGTAGAGCGAGGGTCTACCGAAGCAGGGACGTTTCCTCAGGGAGGTTAGCAGCCTGCGGCTGTGATTGAAATCGAACCCGTCCAAAAAGGTCGTTTGTATCCGAAAGGAGGTATCGGCATTGTCTCTAGAGTCATAAGGAAGGCTTGGGAAGGAACATTATGGATCCGAGTGATACCTAGCATCAAAACAGCTGATAGACGAAGAGCTAGAGGCCCACACTTCGGTTCTATCACATTAAGACTAGAGTAAAATAGCTAGAAAAGCGAAAACCACATATCTCGAATGTTAGAATTAATCACCTGCTTTTTAGTCAATCGGTTTTTAGTGGTTCCTTCGGTCCTAGGATTCACGTGTTTGTAAAATACCTTTCTACCAGATAGGGGCGAGGAAGCCCTATTCGTTTACCAAACCTTTTCGCACCTACTTTCTTTGTTAAAACATACACAGAATAAAACATTTCAAATTAATGGTGTGACGCACTTTTCCCTCCAACTTGACATAGGGGCGAAGAAATCCAAAAATTCAAACCTTTGGCCATATTGTGTTTTCAGACCCTATTCCATAATCTAGGGATATTCTTCGCCGGATATAGAATGGCGGGAGCCTTATTTGTGTTTATGCCCGAAGAGAGCACGTAGAATGGTTTGGAGACCATCAGTGAAGGTGCTTCGCCCATTCTTTTCAAGTAGATGATTATTTGGAGAGTCAGTGAATATCGATCATATCATGAGAAGCTATTAAAATGCAGAAACGAGAAGAGATCCTTTCAAAGAACATGTAGGCTAGATTGTGAGGGTTCAAATATTGGCCCATATTTATTCTCTCAGTCAAATGATTAACTCAGAGGATAGCAATCAGGAAGGGAAACATAAGCGCATTCAGCATATGTGGCCCATTAGCGAGCAGCTGCAGCTCATTAATTGTATTAGACGGCATGATTTGATTTTGGGGAATAATTCGTCGTCTAATAGACACGAAGACAAAAAAGAGAACCAAAGAAAAGCAGTTAGACAATCTTGCGATTATTTCACCAACAGAAGATGTGGAGCCTCGTAGGAGCCGAAATGACGAAGCTTACAGGTAAAGAACGTTCTGCCAAGGCGTGCCGAACCAAATGGGCTCAGGTTGAAAAACAGTTTGAAGAAGGTTATATATTTTGGATCACTCTATTTCTAGAAGTATTATACTGCCACAAAAAGGGAGTAAAGTCGCAATGGGAGCTGTTCCCTCTACTTGCCGAGGTTTTCCCATCTATCTGCATTTGGAAGAGCACTGTTTCCCTTTTTGTCCCCTTTCGATTAGATTCTCGACACCAACAGCTTCATCGCCCCCACTTCCTCCACCCTGTCTCCCCTCCATCCCCAGAAGCGCGAGACGTCTTCCTCTCTTCATTTCGCGCCAAAGCTTCGCGACAACGGCAGCAAATCCATCAAACTCGCGCGTTCCAACTCGCAGAGCGACCGATCCATCACGCAGGAGGCGCTGCACAACCAGGAGGCCGTGCAGCCCATTCCTGAAGGCAGAGAGGCACTTTTCACAGCCGGCGATCCGCTGGCCGTTTTGCTCATCCCGGAATCGATGTCGGAGGGACCGGTGAATTTTGACAGCGAGCTGCTGGACGTTCCGTGGATGCCGGAATTTGACGAAGCGGCGCTCGATTTGGGGGCAACGGGCGATGTGGAGGGAGATGGCATTGATGTGAAAAAGGAGATCGTGGAGGTGTGGAGGGAGTTTAGAGAGAGTCAGAGCCGCATTGGGAGGAAGATCAAGAGGCTCATGGAGATTGTGTACCAGCAAGTGTGAAAAAGGAGAAAGAAAAACGCGGAGGCGAAGTGGGTTGTTTTCATTTTTCTATTTTTTCACATGGATGTTTGTTGGAAAGGCATTTCTCAATTTTGGTTTGGAATTCTCACTAATGGAGGTTTCTCTCTCAGAAATTAAGGAGAAGGAATATTTTGACTCCGAAAAGGTGGACCAGTCGACCATTATTGTTGTTCCCGGAGAAGTCATCACAACGGAGCAGGGATTTTTAAAGTAGGCACAGCACGCAATGGAGACTCATTTTTTAAGGGGCCATGGCGTTTATGTGAAGGATGGAAAAATGATTGCGAGTGTTTGCGGAGTTGTCGAACGAGTGAATAAATTGATATCAGTACGAAGTCTAAAATCAAGATATATACCTAAAATCGGAGATGTTGTCGTAGCAAGAGTACTTGGTGTAGAAGCGGTTTTGTGTCTCGAAATTTAGATCGTTGGATCTTCATGGGACATGGATATCGCCTCGTATCAAAACTCCGTTCTCAGCATCAATTCCATTCTTCTCCCTGGAGGTGAGCATCGTCGCCGAAACGACGCCGATGTGCTTCAGATGCGTTCTATTTTCGTACCTAACGACATCATCAGCGTACCTTTTTTGTCCCCCATTCCATCCAGGCGGAAGTGCAGCAAATCAACCGTCAAGGCGAGAGTTATCTGCACACCCGTTCTCCCAAATACGGCAAGGTTTGTCTCCTCCCTCCTCGCTCACTCGCAGCTCTCCAGCGGCGTTCTGGTGTCGGTTCCCTGCGTTTTGATCAAGCGGCTGAACCAACACTTCGTGAATCTGCCGTGCGGCGTGGGCTGCATCATCGGGAACAACGGATACATCTGGGTGACCGATAAGCTGCGTAGAATTCGATCGAACCGGCGATGTTCTAGGCGAATTCGATGATAATAGCATCAATAGCACGTCCACGGCGGAGATTGAGAAGGAGAAGAAGGAGCTGGAGATGCGAGAGGTCGACGAGGAGGCGCGAGGACGCATTGCGAACGTGGTGCGGAGCATTGATTTGCTGAAGTGCGATGTGGGCGAGATGGGTGAGGTGTAGGAGGCAGTGGAGACTGATTTCGCCAAATTCGATTATGGAGGTTTATAATTCTTTGTAGAGGTTGGAAATTGTTTGTTTGATGAACTTACGAATTCCCTTGTTGCATTCGATTCCTCAGGGAGGAGGGGAGAGATGAAGCCGCAGATCCGATTGTTACGTCTTCTAAAGTGAAAGGATCAAAACTGGAGTAAATGGTAGTACCACAATCTATCGCGAGTTAATGATTGAGGAAGCATTGCTCAGAACACAAAATCGAAATTGGTATCATTTGTTTGCAATTCCGCGAGGTGTAGGTGTTTAATCAACGAGCATTTGAATCCTTCGATCGTCATGGGTCTTTCTGGAAAGGTTGAGAAACTAATAAACGTGGAAAAAGCGAAGGAACTTAAGCTTCCTGTAATTAAGCGATTTTCGGGAGGTGGCACTGTGGTAGTCGATAATTCCACGTTCTGTCTCACGTTCATTCTAAATAAGGTTTTCCTCTCATTTCTATGAGTTATAATATCGTAGAAGGACTTTCCCTCTCTTGTGTTCCCCAAGCCGCTGATGGACTGGAGCGGTTCCTTCTACAGCAACGTATTCAACCGGATCAACGTCTCTTCGTTTGCGCTGCGAGAGAACGATTATGTGTTTGGAGAGCAGAAGTTCGCTGGAAACGCGCAGAGCTTTTCGAGCGACCGAATGTTGCATCATACGTCGTTTCTCTGGGACTTCAAGGATGAGATGATGGAGGCGTTGAAGGTACTGTTATTTTGTGCTTTCCATGCTAGCACCCCGAAAAGCAGCCGGCTTATCGTCGACAGAGAGAGCACACTTCCTTCCTCACGCGCATGAAGGATCATGTGCCCTCCAAGCAAGGCTTTTTGGATGCTTTTCTCGTATTTCTTGAGTCGAACGAGTTCCGGTGTAGGCGGAAGTGAAGGAGGAGTTCGACGTCGTCGAAGCACAAGCTCCCGACTTTGATGCGATGATCGCTGCGAATCCTCGAAAACTAACGAAATTAATTGAATTGGAGTAGAAAAGAGACGGGACTGAATAGTTGGATGTTTGGATGGGTCGATTGTTTGGTTCACACAAACATGTCAAAAGAGCTTGTGTTCTGTGTAATACTTAATTCCATACTGGCTGATGCAGCCCACGTGAGGCATTTCGCGCATGACCTCGTCGAAATCGAATCCATTTCCCACAATGAACATGTTCGGCACAATGAACCCGCAGTAATTGCTCTTGTACCCGCAGCTCAGCGGGGTATCCTTCTCGCAGAGAACGCAGGTCTAGACAATAACCAGAATGCGAGAAACGAATACAGCGACGGATTTCGCTCCATAGCTCTCGATCATAGGGATCAAGACCTTCATCGTATTTCCAGTATCGATGATGTCCTCCACGATGACGACGTGGTGGTCTTTCAGTCCCTCCAGGTTCAGTCCTTCCACTTTCACTACCCATCAGCATGTACAGACAACCAAAAATATACCCTCTCCAGTCGAGCTCGACCCACTGTAGCTCTTTACTTTGATAAAATCATACGAAAAAGCCATTCCCAAGTTCTGCATTTGATGGGACAAAGCGGCAAAGAAAACTTGAGCACCCTACAGTCAGATTTGAATTCGCTAGGGTACCTTCAAAACGCACAACAAGTGAATGCGGTTGTTACCATAGTCGCGCTGAAGATCGTAAGCCAGCTTGGCACAGCGATCCTCGATCATTCCATTGGTTAAGATGATCCCATCCAATTTATCCTTGCCGTTATCACACCACGTTATTCCTACTCGGTACTCTTCAGCGATTCTGAAAGCATCAACAGGCATAATATTATGCTCAGTGAGCGTTATAATTCCCTCTCGTTCGTGTTGGTGGTTCATTCCGTTGATTAATAGAAAAACAATAATCCATTCCCATTTTCGAGACTATTTTGTATCTTTTGTTGAACAAACAAAAATATACATATAAATATTTATTTATCTTGCGCTCGAGTGCCACCAAGAGGACCTTAAAGGATCAAGAATTGCAAATTATTGAGTACTTGCTCTCGGGAATAGATGAAGGAATCATCGCAACCGGAGATTCAAGAATCCAAACCAACTACACTATCTGAAGAGAATCCTGGATCTATGTCAAGAGAAGAGGCAAGCAGGATTCAAAGTCTTCAGCAACAAATTCGTTTGTGTGAAGGTGAATGTACCTTCTTGAGGTGCTCTCTTATAATGGATAATTCAACCGTTGTCCCGTGTGCTCCGCCATCCTCGACCTATTTGGAGGAGCATTCACAATTTTTCAAATTTCTAAACGATCTAAACCAGTTTACAGAGCCGAGTGGAGAAGTTGCTCCGTTAGCTGCAGACAACCGCTTTACCAAATATATAAACCATTTTTTGAGGCATCAGGATGAAATCCGAAAGGAAATATCGAGAATTCGCGAGGAAACTGAAGCTCTTTGCGAATCTATGGAAGTTGTGACTGTAGAACGGAACAAGAATAAGGAAGGTCTGGCTGAGCTGGAGGATGAAGTGGATACCTGTAAGCAAGTCATCGATTTCTTAGTTTCGCAACGTGATGAGACAAAAAGAGCTATTGGGAAGACGGATGAGCAGCTATTGGATTACAGGAACAGTTTTTCAGAGAATCGAGATATTTTGGTGCGAGTGCAGAACCCTATGATGGGTGATCCGCAAGATAGTAATTCACCGCAATGAAATAGTGTTGTCTTTCACAGTTTCATTCATTCATTCACTCATTTATTACACATCAATATCATCATATTATTCATTTGTAGTATGTTTGTTTATATAAGAAACATGGACTTGTTTCAAGCTGACCCCTTACACAATTGGTTTAGTAGAAGAAACCAATGATCTTTCCACCGACGTGCTTGCGACGAGCCTCCTCGTGGTCCATAATACCCTCAGAAGTGGTCAGGACGATGTGTCCGAACTGACGGCAGGGGAGCAGATTGCGGGTCCACATCTCAATCTCGTTCAGCTTCACATCGAAGCGGGGAGAGATGCAGCCGCACTTGTTCAGACGACCAGTCAGAGTGACCACGACCTTTCCGGAACGGTGGTCATCAATCACGGTGATTTCACCAATGTAACCTAGTCCATAACTCGAATTCGCAAAACGACTTACCCTTCTTCTGCATGCACTCAAGGAACTTCAGAAGCACCTTGGAGCAAGGGCGGACGAGCACTTGACGCTTACCACGCTTCTCAGCGTTGGTAATGGATTTCAAAGCGTTAGCAAGAACGTTCATCAACATGGCGATACTACCACAAATGATTAGCACCGTTGGTCATCAAATCACACAACAAACACCTACAAGTGTTTTTCGGAAGGGAGCTTAAGAAAACCTAGAATTGGAATTCATGGTCAGATCGCAACGTCGTCGAGGATGAAACTCCCTTTTCCCAATCGTTATTAGACGTCGAGATTTATTGGTTTATGTGTAGGGACGAGTGATTGAATATAGGAGAATGCCGATAACCGTGTTTAGTCAAACATTTGTGTTGGGCAAGTGAAGAAATTGACAATGTGGTATCGTACCTATTCTTTGATTGATTCCAAACTCTTTTCAATCCTCTTTTTCATAATCTGATCATTACAAGTCAATGACTCTATTTTGTGGTAGAAAATGCACACTTCAACCCTCTTTCTACACATTCCCATGCAATTTAAATCGATTCAATCACTCAGAATGAAATGAGTGATTCCCGCGGTTCACTTCAAAATGCGTAGTATTCACTCTCTAGTAAATTGTGAATCAAATGAAGTGTAATTGCTGCCTATGGAAATGGCTCATGTCTAGTCGATCTTCTCCATATTTGCGAGCCTCTTTGTACATTCCTTCCTGAGGTGAAAACTCCTGAGAAGAAGGTGATTGGCATTCGTACCGCTTGACTCCCAGGTTCCCTTCCGTGAGCGCTGTCTGTGGACTGTGGTTGCTTTGTTCGTTTACCTTGTGTGCTGCCAGATTCCTCTGTATGGCATTGCCAACGCTGCCTCCTCGGACCCCCTGTACTGGCTGCGTGCGATCTCTGCCTCGAACCGGTAGTTGGCAGTGTTTTGGTGTCATCGTCTAGCGGCACTCTGATGGAGCTGGGAATCACTCCCATCGTGACGTCCAGCATGATCATGCAGCTTTTGACGGGTCTGAAGTTGGTGGTGTACGATCAGAGCGTGAAGGAGGAGCGCGACCTCTTCGAGAGCGTGCAGAAGCTTTTTGGCCTGCTGCTGACCTTCATCACCTCGTTCGTGTACGTGGTGTCTGGCATGTACGGTCCCACGAGCGAGCTGGGCTGGATGACGTGCGGTCTTCTGATCTTCCAGCTGTCGCTCTCGGGCGTGATCGTTCTTCTGCTGGACGAGATGCTGCAGAAGGGATACGGTCTCGGTTCTGGCATCTCTCTGTTCATCGCGACGAACATCTGCGAGTCTGTGATGTGGCGCGCGTTCTCTCCGATGACGATGGACACGGGCCGCGGCAAGGAGTTCGAGGGCGCGGTGATCTCGCTGTTCCACCTGCTGATCACGCGGAAGGACAAGATCCGCGCGCTGCGGTACGCGTTCTACCGCTCGGCGCTGCCGAACCTGTTCAACCTGCTGGCGACGGTGGCGGTGTTCCTGGTGGTGGTGTACTTCCAGGGCTTCCGCGTGGAGCTGGCGGTGAAGAACCCGAAGTACCGCGGCCAGCAGGGCGTGTACCCGATCCGTCTGTTCTACACGAGCAACACGCCGATCATCATCATCTCCTCGCTCACCTCCAACCTGCTCATCCTCTCCCAGATGCTCTCGCGCCGCTGGGAGGGCAGCTTCCTGGTCTCGCTGCTGGGCCGCTGGTCGCACGACGAGCAGCAGAGCCGCCCCATCGGCGGACTCATCTACTATCTGATGGCGCCCGCCTCGCTCTCCGCCGCCCTCGCCGACCCCATCCAGCTCCTCGTCTACCTCGTGTTCATGCTGGGCGGATGCGCGGCGGTCTCCAGACTCTGGATCGAGTTCTCCGGAACCTCCTCGCGCGACGTGGCGCGCCAGCTCCGCGATGAGGGCATGACCATGAAGGGCTACCGAGACAGCGCCCTCATCGACGTCCTCGACCGCTACATCCCCACGGCGGCCCTGCTGGGAGGACTGTGCATCGGAGCGCTGACCGTGTTCGCGGACTTCATCGGGGCCATCGGCTCGGGAACGGGAATCCTGCTGGCGGTGACGACGATCTTCCAGTACTTTGAGATTTTCAAGAGAGAGAGAGAGGAGCTCGGATTCCTGGGGTTCTAACGGGTGAATGTGTGGGATTGAGTGGATTGTTTGTTGGAAACAGCGGGGAACCGCGGGAATGGGGGATTCGTATGGATTCTTTTTGCCGTTTTTTTTCGAAGAATCAAATATCTTATTTTAAGAAACAGAGAAAATGAATGTTGTTACGATTTTTGCTAGTTCATTGCGTAGGGAAGCGGTGCAGGAGATTTATACGTTCCTAACGTACCATTACAAATCAGTAAACGCTATATATTAAAAAAGGAACTCGGAAAAGGAGCTTACGGTACTGTCTATTTTGCTATTGATAAACGTACCGGTGAAGAGTGTGTCGGCAGGGGGGACGATTTATGGATAGAGTCGCTATCAAGCGGATCAACGACGTGTTCCGCACAAAGACTGATGCCAAGCGGACACTTCGAGAAATCACTATTTTGCGCCAGTGCAATCATCCCAATATTGCCAAACTAAAGTGGATATCCGGCGTGCTCCATTATGCATAGAGATTTAATTGTGCCTCCCGATGAATTTACCTATCGGAACCTGTGGATTGTCCAGGTAGATATCCTTGGCCGGACTCGATCTTAGGAATACGGAGGATGGGATTTATCCAAGATCGTGAAAAACTACACCAACATTCAAGGTTGGGGTGAACGCCACGTCAAATCGCTTTTGTACCAATTGCTCTGCGGCCTTCTCTACATGCAAGTACAATTTTTTTGTTTTTTAAGTCTATTTCGCAGAGTGGCAATCTTGTCCATCGCGATCTCAAGCCCTCCAATATCCTCGTCAGTGATCGCTGCGTTGCCAAAATAATCGATTTTGGCCTCGCTCGCCAAATGAACCAGCAATACAAAGAAAGCAAAGACACCACGGTTTCCCCGTTTCCCTCTTTCAAACCCAGATGGAAGTCGAAAACCCCGATCTCCTCGACGAGCCCGAGGCCGGTCCGGAGCCCTCCAACGTCCATCGCCAATTGACCCAGCATGTCGTCACGCGCTGGTACCGCGCGCCCGAACTGATCCTCCTGCAGGAGTACTACAACGCCGCCATCGACATGTGGTCCGTGGGCTGCATCTTCGCGGAGCTGCTGCAGACGCTGGAGCGAGGGAAGCGTCCGCAGCCGCTGTTTCCCGGGAAAACGTGCTTCCCGCTGAGCGCGCGGCGGTACGAGAAGGAGCAGATCGAGCGGTTCGGGGAGGAGATCCGCGCGGAGACGCACCAGCTGATGAAGATTTTTGAGGTGATCGGAACGCCGCCGCGCGAAGACTTGGAGAGTCTGGATGATGGGCCGATGAAGGAAGTAGGGCGAAGAGAAAAGCGTGGAGAGTAGTATTTGCTGAGCTTGGAGCCGGTGCCGCGCGTGAGCTTCCGCGAGATGTTCGATGCGAATGTGTCGGATGAGGCGTTGCAGCTGCTGGAACGGATGCTGGTGTTTAGTAGGAGAGAGAGAGAGGAGAGTGAGAGATAGATCCGAACAAGCGAATCACGGTGAAGGAAGCGCTGGAATCGGAGTTTTTACGGTCGATCCGAAAGCCAGAGATGGAGATCGTGACGCACACGCGCATGCTCTTCCCCTTCGAGTACGACTCCGTCAACGACGAGGGAGAGAAGCTTCGGCTGAGACGGCTGATCTACCAGGAAGCCATGCAGTTCCAGTAGGGAAGGCAGGCAGGAGATGACATGCCAGCGAAATCATGGATCCGTCCTATCCGCCGATGGCTGGACGCAGAAGAAGCAATACCATCGGTGCGTATCCCACGCCGCACGTGCCAGCGAGGCATTCCATGGATGATGGTGAGGGTGCGGCGGGACGATGATTTATAGCGGTGAGCCTGGAAGAGAAGAAGAACTGTACAACTATGTAGCTCTAGCGTGTTGTTTGGTTGGATCGCAAAATCGCGGTTATTTGATATTTTTAACCAGACGCCCTGTTTGTTGAAAATCGAACTATAGCAGATTCAAATTACTTGTTCTTGGAAATGTGGGGTGTGGCTTGAAGTCAGTGATTTGTAGGAATCCTGATAATTCCCTTGAGAAGAGTGAAGAGGCTGAGTTCGCCCAAGGTCCTTTGTCAATTCTATACAGAGCAGTCAAGAACGGTACGAGTGTAGGCGCCTTTTCTAATCGCTTTTATGTTTTTAGGTGCTCATTAACGTAAGAAACAACCACAAGCTTCTTTGTCATGTAAAAGCATTTGACCGACACTGCAATATGTAAAAATCTAGCATTGGTGGTGATTTGAAGGGTTTTAGAGAACGTCAAAGAGATTTGGACAGAAGTGCCGAAATCTGGCAAGGGGAAGAAGAAAGCGAAAGCCATAACAAAAGACAGATTTATTCCCAAGGTAGGGCGCTCCGTTTATCATTCATTCACTAGTTGTTCTTGCGAGGTGATAGTGTGGTTGTTGTCTGCAGTAATCCCAATTTGAAAGATTAAATATCGTGTTTGTGCAACAAATATAGCATGTTAGCAGCGCTTTTTGAATCCACCCTTCCTCATGATTCTCTTCATTCACGATTTCTCCATAATAATAATCTTCATCCTCCTTGGACACCGATACCAATTGTCCCAGTCTCACAGAAAGCTGGTAGGGGCAATCACTATCCCAATTCGAACACACCTTCATTACTCGATTCTCTCGCAACGAAATCTACTCTTCAATTTCCTTCCTCCCGTACTGCATAGTCTCGAATCTCTTGACACGAGGATGTCGGCAGCTGGATTTCGTCGTAGCCATCGTAAGAAACGACGCAGAATTTTTGTCGACTGTAGAACGGCACGGAGGGAATCAGTAGCGCGTTCTCGGGGATGGTGAGCTGCTTCTCGTCGCCAGCCTCGTCGATTACGACCACCGTAGCCTCATTCTTCATGAGGACGCATAAATGGTCTGTGGAAATCTACGAGGTGTGAGGAATTGAATGAAATGAAAAATAAGAGTGTGAAATGATAATAATAATAATAAGAAGAAGAAGAAGAAGAAGAAAGAAAAAAACAGAAGATGCAAGTGACATTAACTTTGGATGGGAAATGCACGTGGCTATGTGGGCGTTTCGCTGTTTGGATCGAATCTATCACTCGAAGTCAATCAAAAAACGACCCAAATTCGCACGTGATGGCACCAAAACACAATCCTTTCAAATTCGGGCACCAAAACACAATTCAATCATCAAATGGACCTTAACACAATTACATCAATCAAACGCGCCATTCCCCGAAGTAACTCCCGTGCACCCACGTGATCATTTCAATTCATGCCATTGCTTCACTCAACTTACAGTTTCCACGTGCAGATCCACGCTTTTCGTATCGGAAGTCAGCAGGTTCCACACAGGCGTCTTCGGATCCACCACTTCATCATTCATTAATAGACACAGAGGTTCGTGCACGAATGGACAGTTCTGGATGTCTGTTATCAGCGTCTGCACGCGATCCTGGCAAATTGGGTGATATAAATGATTTTTGCCCTGATGATCTTGCACATACAGATCGACGACCACGTGGATCACATCGAACGAGGAGAGCACGAAGGACTGCTCCTTCAATGCTGTGTGATTCGCAGACTCGAGGTGCAGGTAACTGGAGGGCAGACCGCTGATTCGCTATGTCGCACATGCGATTCGAGCTTACACTGCAATACTCCAAAACCGTGCTGTAGTGGAAGAGATCTTGGCGTACAGGGTAGTGGATGGTCCAGCCGCCTCCGAAATCCAGTAGAACCGAAAAGACTTTCTGGGGAAGTGGGGGAGGAGGAGGCGCTTTACCGTCCTTTACTACGATCACACTTCCTAGGTGAATGTGATTATGGACGACGATCTTCGGATTGAAATCCTCTCCATCAATAGAAATGTATTTCTCGTGCCAATCCATTTCTGGGAAAATATCCTAGTTTCAACAGCGGAAAAAGACGACTACTCGGAAACTGTGCGATACTACATCCTGAAAAGTGGCAGAGGGGTTGGCAGTCACCGTTCGAAGAAGATTAGCGTATTTGATAAAACAACGAATAGGCTGCGAATAACTCGTGTCTAGTAGTATCGTTAAATAGGCAGTTTTCTGATTTCCTTTAATATAATCCTCAACAAGTCCGTCCGTGACTCGTTTTCCTTCCAACGAAAACAATATTACATTCGGATTGAGGTCAAACATTTTCTATTGCTGAGAAACACACATTTCGAGTACAGAAAGATGATCCTTCAATATTTCGATCGGAAACGATAATATGCACGGTAGCTGCTTGCAAACACCGCCAAAACTGCATATAAGATTCACAATCATTCTTTTTTTTTGAGTTTTCGGAATTGACAAAAATCGATTGGATTTTTGTTCAATTTGTAAATCGCAAAGAATGGATGAGATCCGAAGAAATTCGATTTCTAGACTCCTAGAGGAGCTGGCATCTGAGTTCGGAAGAGAATCGATGTCCGACTCAGACCTGGTAAAGTTCGGTCGATACATAAAAGCATTTGCAAATTCAAATATTCGTACTCGCTTTATGGGATTTATGATGGAATAGCCAGTGAGGAAGGAGTCATTAGTCCAATTCATTCTATTCTGCGCGGAAATATGATGGACCGTCCTTCTCTGATCGAGAATTTCGATTCGATATATGAAAGACTCGTTCAATCGAGTGAGACGAATCCTCAAACCCGAGTGTAGATATAGAGTGGTGTGTGAGCGTTACGTGTAGCTGGATGTTATATTTATTGTATTTGCTTTATTATCAAAAGAAGTCGGTCACGATCTCATCTCTTTCTGTTCCTAAATTGTTCAATTTCTCTGTCGTATTGTGTCGATCGATTCATTCTAGACTCCAACAAAATCGTCAAGACAAGCAAATCAAAATCAGAACCCCCCGTCACAGCAGCCCTTCCACTCGGCGCAGTGTTCACAGCCATCCCAATCCCTGCAGCCTCCTCAATCATCCCAATCCCTGCAGTCTCCTCAATCATCCCAATCCCTGCAGCCTCCTCAACCATCAGCTCGTCTGGGCTCGACTCCGTCCTCTGCCCCCGCCCCTTCAAGCTCCATGCTGAAGCTTTCCGTACCCTCATCTCCTCTCTCTCCCTCACCCACAAAGATCCCCGAAAACGTGCTGATTCGCGAGATCATCGTGACGTTCCAAGGCGTGGACTCGACCTTCTTCCAATACGAGTTTCTTCTTCTTCTCCCTTCCTCACTCATCGCAGCGAGCAGTCCCAGCTCTACCTCTTCACCAGCGATCTCTCGCTCCCGCTCCACATCCACAACTCCACGCTTCGTCTCCTCCAAATCAGCTCGCTCTACCGCCGCATCCGCCAGTTTCCTTCGCTCTCCGCCCTCCCTCTTTAGATTGATGGAGGGAACCAAGTCCGAAGAGCACGGAATCATCCGCAACAGCGTCAACGACAACGTCAACAAGCAGCTCTACCAGTTCTACCGCTTCGTGATCTCCCTCGAAGAGACCAACAACGCTGCCATCGCTGGCGGAGCGTCGTTTACGTTTCAGCAATTGTAGAATTCTTGCGATTTGATTGGATGACGCCCAGCATGTTCCAGTGCGAAAAACCGCTTCAGCGACTCACGTATCTCTACAATATTCTTTTCTGCGGGATTAATCTTCGAGGCGGAGCCTTGGCCTCTTCGATCGCTACTTTCGTTTCTCTGTTTCCACGATTCGATCTAGATCAATCATGGGAACCAGGATTATCGTGATTTGGCTTTAGCGCTGTTAATCGACGTGAACCGATTCACTTTAAAACAATCCTGGGAATGGGCGGTCAATGGGCGCTTGCTCGATATTCACGCGGAGTTCTTCGTCGAAATCGTCACTCCTGCAGCAAACTCCTTCGAATCCGAAGAGACCTTCAATCGATGGACCGAGATGTTCATCTCGATTCTGCGTGTCATCTCTAGCTATTTCTATCGCCAACGCATGATTCCCAGCTTCTTCCCCGCGTCGTTGGTCCGACAGATTTTCGATTGTGGGAAGTCCATCCACTTCATCCGCGATTCCCTCCAAGATCACAAGGTAGGTTTCCACGTTTCCACTTTTGGATAGTGGTGCGTGCGCGGAACCGAATTATCCGTGTTGGACCGCTGTTCTCTCAGCGATGTAAGTGTAGAAATCGCGTGACCACGCAGTACACGCCATTCGAAACGACATTGCAATCTGTGTACGACCAGGCGCAATCGCACATCCTCCACGTCTACTTCGACGAGTACCACCTTTTCGCGATGCTGCGTCTGCTCCACCAGTTTTACCTGCTTGCCGCGGGGGATTTCTATCTGGAGTTCATTTCCCGCGTGGATTCCGGGTTTTTAACGGCGCCGACGGAGGTGTCGAACGGGTGGCTGCAGGAGGAATTCAATAACTGCGTGCACCGGACCTCGCTGGCGAGCCAGTTCGAGTTTCTGTCGCAGCATGTGCGATTGAACCGGCTGCGCGCGCTCTCGCCGTTCGACATCTGGAAGAGTCCGTTTTTCACGGTGGAATGCGAGCCGAACCTGCGCGTGATTTTTTCGAAGGTGGAAATGGCGAAATACGAGCAGATTTTCGCGTTCCTGATGAGCTTCAAGACGCAGTCGTTCGTGGTGCAGAAGATTTGGGTGGACCAGTGTTGTCTATCGAAGGAGCTGGATCGAGTGAACATCGTAGAGGTCGAATCGGTGCTCGATGCGTTTAATCTGCTGCGGATGAAGATCCAGTCGTTCTTAACCACGCTACAGAACTTTTACTTTTTACACATCATCGATAAATTCTATAACCAAATGATTTCGAAGCTCAAAACGGTGAAACGATTCGACACCATCCTTGAGCTGCACAACGAATATTTAGACTCTCTTTGCCATTATTTCTTTGTCGGAAACGAAAAACACTCCATTCGAATCCTCATCTTTGAATTGCTCGAGCAATCGAGAGTGTTTGTAGGATTGCAGGTACGAATTGCATTGCTGGGACGTAACAAGCAGAATAAGCTCTTCGACAGCATTAACGAAATGATCGACAAAAAGAATGTATGGTTTTATGATAGTTTTGAATGATTCAGAATGGGGAGAGTTACACCGTGGAGTTATTATCGATTCAGGAAGATCGCAAAATTGAAGTGTGTGCTCTTTCTCGCGTTGAAGCCTAGATAACGTCGTTAAGCGTCAAGTTCAGTCAGAAAATGCAACAACTGATTATGCAGCTGCGAAATCCGCCGAAAGGGTAGTTTTTCGATAATGTATTAATGTGAAGCTACGCTGATTTTGTAACGATTGCGAGTCAATTAGACTTCAATTACTTCTATTCCGAAATGTGAACTTGTTTGTTATAAGAATGGAATAACCGCGGAAGTTATAAAAAGGAAAGTAATACTCACAGATCCAGAATGATCGGAGGTTTTTTACCTCGGTACACGACTAGATGCCAATTGAGTCATGCATAGAGAATTCTATACTGTGAAAATAGGAAATTTCACCTTTGAGGTTGATAAACGTTATCAAAACTTGAAGGTGATAGGAAATGGATCGTATGGAATAGTATGCTCGGCAGATGACGTGGTATGATTTGGTCTTCTCAGCAAATACTTTTCTAGATAGCGCATCGTCAAGTGGCTATTAAGAAAGTGAAAGACCTCTTTCAAGATTCCGTTGATGCGAAACGGATGTTGGTATGTGCTTGTTTCCGTTTTTTTGAAAGTAGAGGGAGATCAAAATGCTGAAATATTTTGGGTGCCATGAGAACATAATTAGTTTGTATGATTTGGTCGCAATGCCTTATGTATGCCTTTTTGTTGTTGATAATCGATAGGGGGAACAGAATTTTAGTGATCTTTATATTATTACCCAGCTTTATGACTGTGACTTAGAACGAATTATCTCTTCTAATCAAGTATCCTCCTAATTTTGTGTATTTCACCTATTAGCCTCTTTCAGAATGTCATATCCAGTATTTTTTATTTCAAATTTTAAAGGCTTTGAAGTTTCTGCATTCTGCCAATGTCGTTTATTCATTTCTATTTCAATCTGCAGGTTCTTCATCGAGACTTAAAGCCGTCAAATATATTAGTGAAAAGCAATTGTGATCTTGCTATTTGTGATTTTGGTTTGGCGCGAGGCATTGAAAACGCTTTTATCGACATGACCGAATACGTGGTTACTCGTTGGTACCGTGCTCCAGAGCTCCTTTGTGAGAATTCTGTTCATCTCTTTATGATGTCCCCTAATGTGTAGACTTATGGGTGGGAAGTGGATATATGGTCCGTTGGCTGCATTTTTGCGGAGCTTCTCGGGCGCAAGCCGCTGCTTCCGGGGAGGAACCAAATGAACCAGCTGAAGCTGGTCATCAAATTATTGGGCCCCCAGAGGGGAGATTCGTTGCGATGCATCCAGAAACAGTCGGCTCGCAACGTCGTCGAGAAGTTAAACTACGGTCCTCCGACAGTGGGGTAATGCAATGCACATCATGGGTAGTCGTTTCGCGAGCTTTTTCCAGAAGCCTCGGAGAACGCAATCGACCTTTTAAGTCGAATGCTGGTGTTCGATGCGTCAAAACGCATTTCAGTGGATGACGCGTTGTGCCATCCGTTTTTAGCCGCGCTGACGCGCGCGCACCCGCAGTTTCTGGTCACCAAACCGCTCGTTTTTCGTTTTGAACACCAGTAGGGAAACGTGGAAACGTGGAACGTAGATATGGGGAAACGATCCCTCTGAAGGTGATGCGGGCGCTCTTTTTGAGGGAGATCGCGAGCTATTCGGGAGGAACGAACAAAGCGCAGACGCAGACGCAGAAGGGAGGGCTGAAGGAGAGCGCAGCCGAGGAGAGGAAGGAGTCCCAGGAGTCTGTAGAGTCTGTGGAATCCAAGGAATCCAAGGAATCCAAGGAATCGAGGGAGTCGAAAGAATGCAACGAGTTAAAGGAGTCGGAAGAATCCAAGGAGTCGGAAGAATCTACAGAGTTTACAGAGTTTACAGAATCCACAGAATCCACAGAATCCGCAGAATCCGCAGAATCCACAGAATCCACAGAGTCCACAGAGTCGGAAGAATCCACAGAGTCCGTAGAATTTAGAGAGCATGAGGAGTGATATTGTTTGTTGGAAACGGAGATAAAATCAGAGGTGGGGATGGGATGAAGGGAAGAGGGATGGAAGTCAGCTCACTCATTTTGATATGAATCGACGTGAAGTTGTTGAAATAACGGAGGAAGTGAGACAGATGAACCAGGCTGCTGGCTATCCGCAACAGCAAATCCCGAATTACTCGCAGCCTATGCCTTATGGAATGGCTCAGCCACAGGCAGCCGAATATGCTTCGGCGCCTGCAGTCTATCAAGCTCCTCCCCCTCCTCCTCCTCCTGTGGGTTATGGCGCTCGGTCCTCATATCCTCCGCCTCCTCCTATGGCAAATACGCAGATGCCTCCGCCTGGTGCTTATGGACCTATGCCCGTTTCCTTGAATGGCGAATATCATATGCAGGTTTGGACTTTGATTGATTGATAACTATGTTTAGAATCAGCAGATCACTTGCTCGAAATGTGGGTGGATTATTCCTATGACTGGACATAAGAAGAAGGTTGTTTGCAGGTGTGGTCATGTACTTGTGCGTAAATACGATCAGCCATAGCACGTGAAGATTCATAAGAAACATAGAAAGCACGGATCCAAATCGAGCTCCAGTTCGAGCTCCAGTTCGAGCTCCAGTTCGAGTTCGAGTTCGAGTTCGAGTTCTAGCTCGCATGGAATAGGACATAAAGCACATAAGAAAGTGAAAAAGGCGATCAAAAAGATCTTTTAATTCGCATCGAAAAGCACCCTGTTCATGAATGATACAACCCAATACCGAATTACCTGTATTCTATTAGATGGTGCAAACTATTCACTCCTTTGTTATACATACATTTCAGTTTAAAAAGCATCAGAATTATTTTGATTGTGTTTTTCTTGGGATTCATGATAGAGTAATATGAGTAGTTTGAGTAACGAAGGCAAACTCCCCAGTGTTGGTCTATCAAGATATCCTTCACTTTTCTCTCCACTAAACTCGCAAGATCTAAAATTATTTAGCAACTCTCAGGAAACCAGCAAGTTTCCTGACTTTTCGCAAATGGTGCTAAATTCTACGTCAGACCGCCTATTTTCAGATAGCAATATCCTAAAATGCAACTCTTCAAACAATACGACCCCTTTTCATTCTCAAGAGTTAAACTTGAGCCAGGGAACGTATCGTTGCGAATAGTATGTTATGTAGTGTTGAACTCTCGCAAAATGACAAACTTCCATCTGTGAACGGACTGAACCTGTTATCCCAAGTCCTCTTTTCTGATATGTCACAACTTCAAAGCCAAAGCCGCTGCAATTCTGACTCTGATATGAAGCTCCAGCTCCAGCTTCAGCTTCAGCTCCAGCTCCAACTTCAGCTCCAGCTCCAGCTGTATTCCTTGGTGAGTTGTGTGATGGATAGTAGTCAATCCTCTCTACAGATTCCAAAATCGCAGTCTACCAAGGAACCAATTGTAGCAAAAACCCCAGCGAAGGAGAAGCCGAAAGTGATCATTCTAACTCCAGTATCAGTATCTGGTCGTAAAATGATGTATAGGCGCGTAGAAGTATTACTCGAACAAAGAATATAACGATACGGAAAGTGAGGCGAAAACGGCGGAGAAAAGGAAAACTTTCGTTTCGTTTGTAGTTTTAGTTGATTGTTTGTGAGACTCATACTTTCTTAAGGAGATGGTGAAGGTTTGCTTTCACTGTTTCTCTGAAGCTGTAGGTTTTGATCTGCGGAGATATCGAAGGAAATATCAAAGACGTTTCAAACAGAGTGAACAAATATGCCACAAGTAAGGTGGGTCCGTTTGATGTTCTCTTCTGCGTTGGAAAGTTTTTGGATGAGAATAATCAGATCCAAATAGGTAGAGACTGATTTGGGTGGAAAGTGATCGGATAGATTCCTCCATTTCATTTTCGCTTCCAACATATGTTGTTTTAAAAGATGATGTTATTTCCGACGAGTTGCGAGACCAATTAAGTAAAGTAAAGAATTTGACACTGGTGACCGATGTCAGCTTTCAAACTATCAATGACCTTCGTGTACTACCTATCTAATTTCAATTATACTTAGGTCTTGTTCATCCCTGGTATCTATGACGAAAAGGAGTACACAAACAACAATTCCTCCTCTTCATCCGTTTATTACCACAAATCTCAAATTGAACAGGCGATCGCTGCCAGTGGTGAAGCCAACGTGGATTTTGTTTTCTCAGCAGAATGGGCTTTGGGGTTCGTTCTTCTTTCCTTCTCCTTATTCGCTAGAATGCTTCGTAATCTCGACAATTCTCGCTTCCCCTCCATTCCAGACTGCCATTCTGTAGGATCGCCCATCATTAGCCGAGTGCTTGCCTCTGTGCGTCCTCGCTATCACTTTGCGGGCTCAATGGTATCTCCACATCGTGTTCTTCGATCTAGAACACTTTCTACGAGCGTGTTCCCTATCGCAACATCGATGGCACCATTACGCGGATTGTGTGTCTGGGCCCCGTCCGCGCTGGCTCCGATAAAAGCCGCAAATGGCTGCATGCTCTGAACGTCGTGCCGGCCTCACAGATGTCCGCGGAGGAGCGAAAACAATGCGATTCCTTCGCGACCAAATCGCCGTTCGACTCCTTCAAACGCGCGCAGGGAGCCGCGGATTCGGCTCCAGACAAGCGAGTCAACGCGGGCGAGTCTGCTGGAGCGGCCGAAAGCGCGGTCCGAAGCTCGTGTTGGTTCTGCCTCGCAGCGCCTAATGTAGAAAAGCATCTCATTGTGACGTGGGTTTTTGACGCCAGAACGATGTGTAGAGTGGGGGAAAACGCGTATTTGGCGTGCCCGAAGGGACAGCTGACCGCAGGACACATTTTGATCATCCCGGTGGTTCATCGGCAGAGCACGCTGCAGCTGCCAAAAGAAGCCGTCGAAGAGATGGAGAAGTACAAAAAAGCGCTGGTGAAGTCGTGTTTGCCGAAAAGGAGATGATGCGTAGAATGTTCCGCGCCCAAGGGAAAAGTGTGCTTATCTGGGAGAGAAACCTCACTACACGCAATCCGCTGCACTGCCATCTGCAAGTTGTGCCGATCGAAACGACGAAGGGTATTTTTGGAATTCCGCTATTATCCCAGAAAGCGTGGTCAAAATCGTGCTGGACGCAGCGGCGACGCAGCGCGGATTTCATTTCCAAGATATTCCGGAAGTGGGGATTTTTGGAATTCCATAAATAGGGCCAAAAATTGGAGGATTGGGCAGGGAAAGATGACTATCTTTACGCAGAAGTGTGGGGAGAAAAGGAAATACCGAAGCGGTTTGGGTATGTGGTGAAGGAGAAGCGGCCGCAGATGCAGTTTTTCCACCAGGCCGTCGGCTCGCTGCTCGAAGCGGAAAATGTGGGGGATGATTGGAAGGCGTTGCAGAAGTCGGTGGAGGAGGAGACGAAGATTACGTCTGAGTTTAGAGAGGCGTTTAAACCCTACGATATCTTTGAGAAGGAGGCTAGTTCATAATTTGGTTGATTTCGTTTTGTTTGTTAAATGGACATTGAGGAAGGGGGAGAAGGAGTGCAGGCACCTCGAAAGGAAGGGTACGAGGCGATTCTGAACGAAGTCAGCTCGGTTCTGCCAAATGACTTTTTCAACTTTGATATGAATGGCTATGAGTATTTGAGAAGCAAAGTGATAGATCCCATTCAAACGGGCATACCCATTCTCGTAAGGCACGAAGTTGGGGGTATTACGTATAGCCACAGATTGAGGCATATGAGGCTATCGAGTTTATCGGTAGATACAAGTCGGGGAAGAGTATTGTAGTTTTTTTTGTTGTTGGGCTTTTTTAATACAAAGATGAGTTATTTCGTCATTGCATCGGTCGTATGCTCTACGGAAGTGGGAGGGTTGCAGTCGGATGTTGCTTTTTTTGATACAGATCGAAAACTCAACGTGAATGTGCTTGCGTTGATCATCAGTCAACGTCTCTCGAGTATCCAGGACCCAAGAAAGAGATCTCAGCTCTACAACGAAGCTCTCAACCGTGTCAAAGTATATCGTCCCAAAGACATGACTCATCTCGCTCTTTTCCTTTGTTCCATTCGAAATAACCATTCATATTCCCCTCGTCTCCTCGTTCTCGATTCCCTCAGCGCCTATCTCTACGATTTGGGCAACAATGAACCGCTTCAATCGACGTTTCGCTCCATTCTTCATCATTTTCGTTGTCTTTTACGCGAGAAGAAGTGTTCTCTCATTCTGATATCCCCAAGTACACAATGATTTCGAAGTGTGTTCGAGTAGAAGTGAACGCTGCGTCCGCTTCGTTCTATTATATGCCGCTCAAAGGCTGGTTTTTCCTTCTCTCGCATCGTTTTCTGCTCGAGAAAGTCGAGAATTCCTGGCGCATTTGCAACGTAAAGGACGGCCAGCAGTCGTGTTTTTACCAAATCGACAACGAAGGCCTGCATTTTGTATCATGAAAACAACTCAAAACTCGCTCTTTGTTATACCACACCTTCTCTGCATCGCGGCTTCGTACTCAAATCGCTTGAGCGGCGGTTCTTTCTCCACTTCGTTCTTCCAAATCACCGGCGCCGCTTGCTTCTCTTGCAGCATGCGCGACGCTGTGCTCCAGCTGAACCGGATAAACGTCGGAAACCCGAACACTGGATCCATTACGCTTTCTAAAAACTGGACGGTCATCGGATCTATCGTTCATCCCATCATGTACTCCTACCTGAAGGATATCCACTGCCCAACTTGCCTATCAATCTATCTTGCATGCAGGGTTCTTCCCAGGGATGTTGCTCGATAATAGCGTCGCGATGCGTCTATGATGCCAATGCACTCAGTAGACATACCTTTGCGACGATACTAGCGGCAGATACGCATTTGTAGAGGGAGTCGGCTTTGGGGGCCACTTTGAATTTGATGTTTGTGAAGTTGAAAGTTTGGTTGAGTTTGGCTTCGTATTTCGCAGCGGGTCCGACTGTGTCGATATAGACTTCGGAGACGCGCACTTTCATCCGAAGAAGCTCGGAAATCATACTGATCGCAGCGTTGTGGGACATTTCGTTTAAGTTATATGGAACTCTATCGATAGTCAGAATCAAGCGTTGGATACGTTTGGAGCATGTTTGCAGATATTTCTTTAGGAGAAAGAGATCGAATTAGGTAGCCAATAGAACCTGTCTCGTCGATTGTCTTTCGGAACCCATCTCGCTGTCCCGAAGTAAACTTTTTCGAGTCTAGAATCATATTCAAAATTCAAATTTACCATCAAACCCTAAATTGCTGATTTCCTCATTCTTTGACTTTGCCCAGTAAGCAGCAGCATAAACCATCGGTCCTACACATAAAGAATCAAAATAGCATGATACCCACCACGGGTCCTCTTCCTGCCTCATCAATTCCCACAATTACCTCTTCCTCAAGACATTCCTTTGGGATTTCGCTTTTTTGAATTTCACAGCTCCACAGATTTGACTTGAGCTGCATAGAGAAAAGAATGGAACAAACATCGCAATTTAACCATCCCAGTATAATACAGTTCTCCACACTTTCCTTCTCCTCACAATAGGAAACAAGTTCGGAATGAAAGCGATCTTCTCTTCCTTTCTCTTTCAAAATGCTGTTTATTTCCTGCTCAATGAATTTGCTTCTGCAATAATCGATGATTCGTTTCGACATGCGACCTAATTCGGGATCAAGTCTTTTCGTCATTCCACTCCTTTAAAAACACACTTAATAAAATCGATTTTAACAGAATTGTAGGTCAACATCTCTTCCTTAACACAACACTTCTCATCTTCTTCTTCTTTTCCCTCCCTCTTCTTTTCCTCTTTTTCTCTTGAGGAATGCTCTTTACTCTACATCACACACTCACTCCATGCACACCGTGCTCGTCGCCCAGCTCGTTAATCGGCGAAGAAAATCCCACTCTTTTTCCTCGAATCCCTTTCATTCATTTTTTATGTTTTTTCGCTTACCAGCGCCTTGTAGAACGCGTGTCCGACGAAACTGTGCCACTGACAGCGATGGTGACAACATGTCGCAATGCAAACGCCGACACACTACTAACAACGACATCGCGCAATGTACCTCCAGTCCGCTCTGCATCCCATTCAAAACGCACCGAATCGTGTAGTCCGTCGCAACGCCACACAAATGCTTCGCGATTCCCACAAACTTCTGGTTTCCATTGACAGAAAAAATGGGTATTTTGCTCAGGTCAAGATCGCGAATATTCCCCGTAACTCGACTGAAATTCGATTCTTTGTGGCGAAGCCAGCGATCTGCTTTGAAGCGGACAGGCGAAATGTCCAGGAGCAGATACTTGCCGCGGGAATCGGTGGATTTTGGCTTGGATTCATTCGCCACTTCGCCGTTTAAACAGAAGTCGATTCCGAGACTGAGCATGCCTCTACCGGCTCCAAACTCAACGAATACAAAGTCCTCATTGATGAGATTTCTGATGTTGAATGGAGGGAAAAAATGATAACATACTTCTCTTGCATGTTGCTGATCATGCTCACTTGCTGATAAAGATGGCGAAGCGAGTCCTGTGTGGCTCCGCGTTCTGCTTTATCTGCAATAAAGGGATCAAAGGAAGCGGGGCGAAGAGCATGCATGGGGATGCCGTTGGGAAAGAGCTCATGATACACAGAACGAATCTTTCGCTCCAACTGCTCCTCGAAGAGCTGCTTCTAACTGTGAAATCGTGAACAAGAAAAAAAACGGCTTCTTGGGAATCGAAGGCCGGCGATTCGTGTTGAACTTCAGAACCACAGTTGAAATTCTCGACGTAATACGGACATTGCTGCTTTTGTTGTGTTTGTTTCGACTTATTACAAATTTTAATGTGTTTGCTTAGTTTGTCTTCGAATACCGTATGAGAAGGATCGATCGGGCAAACCACTCGTTTTCTCGACGTGGCGTCGTTTGGCGGAGTATACGATGGGTCCATATGAATATGGTTGATACAGTATTTGCTTCCCGGTGCTCTTTCTCCAGAACAGAAGCGTGCACACTTAGCTATCCAAAATAGACATTTTGGCCATTTTGATTCATCTCGTTCATTTGCTCCGAGTGCCTTTTTCTTCATTTTCTTCTCAAGTCTATAGGTCGCATCTCTCTCCCACTGCTCTACTTTTGTTGCTTTCTAATTGCGGAAAGCTCTCGCTTCTTATCTTGAGCATCATTTTCCATAATCGAAATAGAATCTTCCATTTTTTGAGTGTCACTTTGAGTTCCGATTTGCTTCTACATCCAGTAATGTTTGCTTAAGAAGTTCAAATGATGATTATCATAAAATCATTCCATTTGATACGTTGTTACTCCAAGTGAAGTAATCTCTATCGGTGGTATCAAGCAAGCGGATAGCGTCTTACAACACGTACAAGATGGCCTTTCTAATGTTCGGCGTGAAGGAAACAAGGAAATCCATAAATTCTATCAATTTTTTGTTTTTCTGAATGAAACTCCCCGAATAATCCAATCAAAAGTCCTTATTGTCATTATATCAAGAATTTTCCTGGAAGTTTCTTGATAAAACTGGAAGACCAGTCACAAAGTATTCAAAGTCTCAGTATTTTTTCTGGTCTAAGGATGGAACAAGTACTTTCCCTTTATGATTACAACAATTTCGGGGAGTCAAATCCTTTGTGTACGAGTTGTACTTATCTTCCCAACTATAGCCAGGAATGGATGAATGGAGATATTTCTTATAATGGATGCTATTCTCCAGTTGACAGTGAGATTGATTGCTGTCCTTCCTTTGATTGCTCATCCATGGGTTGCTCCTCTTGCTTTGATGGCTGCTCTACTATTGATTGCAGTTCTTCTGTTGCCAGTTGCTCTTCTGCATGCTGTTGTGATACGTTTTTGGAGATGTCCGATCCTCCGCTCTGTAATCCTCTGGGTTCTTGCGACTCGGTTAGCAAGTCTATTTTGCTTCCAAGAGGTTCTAGTGTGTTGTATCGGTGCAACTCAAGTCTTCCAATTCCCTCGTTCGCGTTCGAAAATGGTACTGTTTTACCTGCCAATGAATCTGCGACACTTGCAATGTCTCTTCCCAACCAAGATGTGGCGTTTCCCACATCAGTCAGTTCGGAAGTACTTTTTAACGAGCAAGAGATGAAAGAGGAGGAGGAAGGAGAGGGAGAAGAAATGAATAATATTGATAGCAATGATGATAATTATACTATTACTTCGACTACTACTACTTTTAATAATAATAATAATACTAATAATAATGATTTTATAAATGATGATATCAATTATACCAATGAAATGAATACGGAAGAAAGCACTCAGGATCAGAATACGATCGGTGAAATGCCCGTTCAGTATCCTCCATCGAAGAGAGGATCGTTCCCTTTGGAACCTGAACCTGAACCCGAACCTGAACCTGAGCCAGAACGAGAGCATAAACGTGTTCGAGACCATTCTGAGGAGCGAGAGCAGGATAGCGATGGAGATTGGATGCTTCTCCCAGAGTCAGAGATATTTGAGAACCCAAGTGGTCGAAGTCCTCCCAAGATGTGGACGAAAGAGGAGTGCAACCGTCTCCATACTGCCATTAATCGCTTCGGTGTAGGTCATTGGACCGAGATTTCGCGATATGTGGGCACTCGCTGCGTGAGTCAGTGCATTAATAAGTGGAAGAACAGTCTTTCGAAGAAGCGAGAGCGATGGACGGCTGCTGCGACGAAGCAGCTGAAGGAATATGTCCAGAGCGGCGCGAGCGAGAAGGAAATCGCGAAGCTGATGCCGCAGTACACATATATCCAATTATATCAGCAGATCCGCAAGCTGCGGACGAACACCAGTCCTTGGGCTGAGTGGGAAACGGAGCTGCTGATCAAGCTGAAGCTGGAAGGGCGCTTGGGCGACACGGAGATCGGGCGCCAGCTGAACAATCGCCATCGCGACAACGTGAAGAACGTCTGGAATCGCATAAAGCGCGAGCAACACTTGTAATCTAGTCATTCGAATCGCTATAAACCGATTTTTGTTCTAACAAACACACGCCATTAGTTTTCTTTTTGTTCTTCTTCTGCTTCTTCCATGGTGAGAACGCGTCGCATCGTCTCGATATCCACTTCCGTCACGAGGATGTTAATGCTACGCATCACTCTTTCTCCCCTCTCTCTCCTACTATTTGGTTCCTCGCCACACCACGCAGCCCATCGTCTCGAACGTCCTCTCGAACGCGGGGAACTTCTCCGTGAGCCGCTTCCTCGTCTCCGCATCGAGTTCAAACACGCACGCGCCGACCTCCATCGCCTCCAGCTGCTTCTGCGTGGCCTCCGCGAACGCCGCGAGCTCCGCCGAGTTCTTCTGCGTCTCCAGAATGCGGAGGAAGTCCGTGCGATCCACCGCGACCACGCGCTTGGTCATGAAAGGCCGCAGCACGGGCAATCCCTCCTGGCAAATGCGGTACGCGCACTCGCACTTCCGACTGTTGTACTCGAACAGCTTCAGCCCCGTGTTCACCACCTTCAGCCGCTTCGCCGAGCGCGAGCGCAGACACAGCGCGTTCACCACCGGGTCCACGTAGAGGAGGATCTGCGGGTGAGGGATCCCACGATGTGGGGAACGTGGTGGTTCGCGGAGCGCGAGTAGATCAAGTCCCAGTCGAACGCGTCGGAAATGCCGTAGAAGGCGCGCAGCGCGGGGAGGCTACGGAGAAAAGGGGAAACGGGGGTACATCTCTTTGTTCCAGGGGATCAGGACGTCGTATTTGCGGTTCTGGGAGAATACTCTAGGCGTAATCGCGGGGAAAAGCGAGATACTGCTGCTCGTCCTTCACGATGCCAACGAGATCGCCGTCCAGCAATTCGTTCTCTTCTTCTTCTTCTTCTTCCTCTTGTTGTTGTTGAGGAGTTTCATTCTCTTTGGGCGTTTCGTTCTCTTTGGGCGTTTCATTCTCCTTGGACGTTTCGTTCTCCGTTTCCATCGCTTTGCTTTTTTCTCCCTCCTCCTTGGGCGTTTCGTTCTCCTTGGGCGTTTCGTTCTCCTTGGGCGTTTCATTCTCCTCCTCCTCCTCCTCTCTGTCGAGCTTGGGGATTTCCGCGGTTTTCTCGAGCACGCAGACGAAGAAACCCCCGGTGTCCTGATGGTGCGGCAAAAACCGCATCGCCCACTCCAAATGCGCCTCCCGACACGCCTCTTCGCTTGGTGGGAACATCGACTCCCTGTACAGCCGTCTGTTTTCCGCGGGGATGGCGTCAAACCGCGGGAATGGTTGGTTTTGTCCGTCGACGACTTGCCACTGAAAGAGTCCCGCGGCACGACGCAGCTTGGGATAGCGGTCGCGGACGTCGACAATGCGCACAGCGCCGCCGCAGCGACGCAGCAGCGCCATGACGACGGCCTCGTCCTCGATGGGGTTTAATGAACATGTGCTGTACACGAGGCGGCCTCCCACCTTCAATAGCTTCAGGCCGCGGAGAGTGATCGCGATCTGCAGCGGATGCAGCGCCAGCGAGTACTTGATGTTCCACTTTTTCCACAAATCGGGCGCTTTTCGCTACCGTTCAATCAGCCAATCAGATGCGAGATACCAGCGTACCGTCCCCGCTGCACGGCACATCGCACAGAATTCGGTCGAACGAGCCGCTCTGGCACGTCGAGTCCGCCGATACCCGCGGTTCTTCGTCGAATCTAGGGGTTACAGAACCGCGGGGAAGGGACCGAAGGAAGGGATATTGCTGGCCGAGGTGCGTCGTTACGATGATGCGGCCGCTCTTGAGGTGGCTGACTTGGTGGACGAGCAGATACGCGCGCTTGCTGTCCGCGTCGTTGGCTACCACGATGCCATGGCCATCTTGCTTTTGCAGCTTCTCGAGGATTTGGAGCGTTTTCGAGCCCGGGGCGGCGCACATGTCCAGAACAATGTCGTCTTTTTGGACGTCGAGGAACATCGGAGGAAGCATGCTGACGGCTTCTTGGCGACCGATGTGGCCGGACAGCGTGAGAGCTATCATGTACTTGTGAAGGTCCTTGAAGGCTTCCACCTTGCGGAGCTTCTTGCGGTGGAGATCGATCTAAGGAAAACAAAGGAACTGCCTTTACTTGCCAAGCTCCTTCCCCTTCGTACCACTCGATCGGGTGAACACAGCCGATCTGCTGGCCTTCGTATTCCACGGTCCCATCAAAGTGATACTTGGTCTTGAGGTTTTTCTTGATGATATCAAAATTGGGGTCGGCCTCATTGATGCGGAATGTCGTAGGAAGATCTCGTCTCTACAAATAACCCAGGAAATCGACAAATCACCAGAGTTTCAATAAATTGCCCCCATTCCTCTTCGGGAACGATTTTCTGGAGCTTGTAATAGTTTTCAAACAGTTCACTCTCGCGAGGACACTCCTCCATCGTTCTCCAGACGTTTTCCTTAGGCTTCTTCCCATTCCTCCATCTGAATTTCTTTCCTCCGTTTCTTTTACCCATTCCGTGTTTCTCTTTCTGTGCCTTTTGACTATCAAATCGACCCTTCGCCAAAATCGCCAAATAACCGTTGTCGTCGTCTCTTGGTTTTCAACAAACAAATTCCACGCATAGAGTCATTACAAACACACACACATATGCACTATCTTCTTCGTTTATTCTTCTGTCTGCGTCGCTTGCGTTGCCTGCATCTCCTGCACTCCCTGCGTTGCCTGCATCTCCTGCACTCCCTGCGTTGCCTGCGTTGCCTCCTCCTTCTTCTTCGGTTTCTTTTTGAAATCGGAAGCAAAATAAATGCGTCTCGGGTTAATCCGCGCTCCTCGACACAGCTGGATAACACTCCGATCTTCGATGGTTCTGTTCAGCAGGTCCACAAAATCGTGGTAGAGATCGTAATTCGGGAAAATGCGTGTTTGCCGAATTTGCTTGAAGAAATCATCGCGATAGGGAGATCTACCTCTTATCCCCTCTCTACACCTCTACGGAGGATGAGGAACGTCCACGGAGTATCCCTCCACCATCACTTGGTAATAATACCCTAATCGTCGGAGATGCTCCAACCACTGGATTTTATCGTACGCGTACGTCACAAAAGACTCGTTGAACGCAGGCAGCATCGCAGACCGCTTCACCACCACATACGGCTCCTGCGTATCAGATCGCAAGCATTCCAGCTTCATCAGCGGCTCCTTGGAATCGAACCATCCCCGCGGGTAGTAGTCATGCAGCCATTCGCGGGGACGGAAGGTCTGGCAGCGGTGGTCCTGGATGCAGGAGCGCAAGTCCTTTTTGGTCTTGGGGAAATAGGACCCATATCTGGAATGGCAGAAAACAAGGGAAAAAACGTGGCCACGCACTGCTGGAAAGTGTCGCAAGGCGCCATTTTGATCTGGTAGGCAGGCACGATGATGATCAATTTGTCGTCGTTCAGAGCGGAGCGCGGCAAACGAAGCAGCTCGTCGTATAGATTCGCTATGTGGTGATGAAAAGTGGAAACGGAGAACGGGAAGGCCAATTGTCCATGTCGGAGAAGTAGTAGTGGGAGGTGGTAATGTAGGAAATCGCTTTGTTTCGAAGCTTATTGATGGGGTATTGAGAGTTATTGTGCTGAATCATGTAAGCTAGATGCACATTGTCTCGGAGAGGTGTTTTCTCCTTGAGGCGCTTATAGGTCTCAACTTCGTCCGGTTTTAAATAATAGACGATCGATACAGGACTAGACGATGAAGGGAAGTTAACAATCAACACACCCTTTCCAAAATCGCAAAATCTGTTTCATAAATTCCCATCTATTTATTCTGAATGTGAGCATACACAAACAAAACTACGAGGCTTGGGAGGCAAAAGTCACATCGAATTCTTGACCGTTTCGGGAAGAAAGCCCATCTCCATGAGAATAAAGGGACTCATTAATATTCGAGTTCATCACATACTACAAATTAGCAAGGTTTGACAAAAGCAACAATCACCTTCCAGTACCCTTCAATATTACCTACACGGAGTGAAAATATGCCTATTGAGAAGAACCTATGCGTAAAAACAACACAATTCAACAAACAACGAAACCACAGAAATAATGACTAAAGAACACAATGATCTCATTCTCGTCATTCACGCGACGTTATATCACAAAAATGAAATAGAATCAAGAGGGTAAAAACAATTGTTGAACGTGAACGAACTGGATATTTATCTTGAGTCTGCACAAATCGCATTCGATTGTATGATCATTTCCTATTTTTGGATGTTCCCATTCGATCTCCACATCTTCCATTTCCCCGAATTCCCGGATCGACTCATCCATTCGACTTCTTCTCCCACAGGCAATCGAAACCATATAGTACTCATCAATCCTCGTGGTGTAGAAGAGCCAATCATCCATAATCTCATCATTCATAACGCCTAGCGTGACCCATCGATCTTCTCTTTCATCCACAACGTTTGAGAAATCCAAAGATCCAGGATCATAACGCGGATGTCCCAAGCCTACTCCGATTGCTTTCAGATATGCTTCTTTCAACGTCCAATATCTGTAGAATGTATCGAAAGTGATGGTGGATTGCTCATTTGGGTGGAAATTGGAGCGTATCGAGTTGAAGAGGAAAGAAAAGCGTTGAGGAGACATCGAGAAGTCAGAACGCATTACATCAACTCCAATGAGACTATTGATAATGAATCAATTTGATTAAAAATATACAAATCGGGAGAAGCAGCAAGTGCAACCAAGCCGCCTTGGTGAGAAACGCTGTAGAATGTATTTGACAGCCTCTCGTCTTTCTGACATTTATGCAGAAAAGCCGAATGGTACACAGAGCAAAGGCTTGCCGTACTTCGTTTTGTGAATGGAGCAGCCAAGCTTTTCTTTTAACTGGTTTTGTAGTAGATAGGATATTAAAGCCATCTATGATGAATGGCACGTACTCCATGATACTTTGATATCTTCTCTCTTCCTATATGCAATGATTCGCTTTTTGTCAGGTTCAGCTATCTATAGAGTTATAAATCTCACAAAATAGAGCTTTGGCGATCAACTGCTGAATTGGATCTTCCTCTAGAATAATGGGATCGCTATATTCCAAATAGATATCAACTGTGTATTCTTTCATGATCTCTGTAAACTAGAATTTCACAAACTATTTTCATGACTCTTCCTGTAGTGCTGATGGTGGCGGAAAAGCCATCGATCGCTGGAAGTGTGGCCAATATTCTTTCAAAAGGCACACACACGACAAAAACAGGCAAACTCCCTATCCACATCTTTGACGGGGAATTCTTAGGCAAGCAAGTGACGTTCAAGGTACGCTTCATTGCTTGAAGCTTGACGGAGTAGGTTACCTCGGTAGTGGGTCATGTGTTCAATCTGGACTTTGCTCCCGAATACCAGAACTGGGAGAAGACGGATTGCTTGGACTTGTTCTCTGCCAAGACGATCCACAAGGAAGCAAGTGGAGGAGTGATCCATCACCTTCGCAGCGTCGGAGCCAACGTGTAGATAAAGATAGAGTCGTTGAAATGTAGTGATTACGTTGTCCTCTGGTTGGATTGCGATAATGAAGGCGAGAACATTTGTTTCGAAGTTCTAAACTGTGTGAAACCCGTCATGAAGAATTGGCGAGGTATCGCAATGTCCTCGCTTCCATTCTAGAAACAAAGCGCATCTACCGTGCCTATTACTCCGCCATCACGGCTCCCGACATCCACAAGGCGATGCGCACCCTAAAAGACCCCAACGAGAACGAAGCCCATGCGGTCGATGCCCGCCAAGAACTCGATCTGAAAGTGGGCGTAGCGTTCAGTCGCTTCCAGACGCAATTCTTCCGCAACAAGTACAGCGACCTCGACAGCTCCGTGATCTCCTACGGCCCCTGCCAGATTCCGACGCTCGGCTTCTGCGTCGATCGCTTCGATCTGATCCAGAACTTCAAGGGCGAGGCATTTCCACGTTTCCACTTTTCACCTGCAGCACTACTGGACGCTGAACGTCACCGTCAAGAAAAACTCCCGCGTTCTCCCGCTCTCCTGGGAGCGCGGCCGGCTGTTCGACCAGGAAGTACTGATTCCCGCGGTTTCTCCCTAGTCCTTCTTCGTGTTCTCGCGGAAACTGGCGTCGGTGTCGTCGCTGACGGTGCTGTCGGTGCGCGAATCGAACGGCGCGCGCGTGCGACCGGTGCCGATGAACACGGTGACCATGCTGAAACTGGCGTCCCGATCGCTTGGAATGGGCCCCAAAGAAGCTACCGTATACGCGGAACGGCTCTATCTGAAAGGGTACATCAGCTACCCGCGGACAGAGACCACCGCCTATCCGGAGCATTACAATCTCCTGTTTGTTTGGAACACAGTCTGTGAGTTCTAGCGGGGCGGTCGAGCAGCATCGAACCAATCCTCGCTGGGGAGGCTACGTCAACGCGCTGATCGCGGGGGGACTGCGCGTCCCGCGGAAAGGCGTCGACGCCGGCGACCATCCGCCGATCACGCCGGTGGTTTCGGTGGATCCGTCGACGCTTCCGAGCGGGGAATCCGCGCTGTACGACTTGATCGCCACGCATTTCTTGGCGACGGTGAGCGACGGTTGGCTGTGAAACCGAAGTGCAATCTAGATTGCAAGTTCGTGACCACCTTCGTGCGGTTTGGAGGCGGCGATGAAACGTTTTCGTATTCCTATCGGCGCGTGACGCAGCCGGGATTCACCGCACTGTATCACAGCCAGTTCGAGGACGAAAGCGACGACGAAAACGACGCTTCGGAAGCCGAACTTGCGATGGAAGCCTACTCCTTCCAAAAAGTAGAAACGTGGAAACCGAGAGACGTAGGGCGAGGTGGTGGAGGTGGATCGAATCGCGGAGCGAGACGGCTACACGTCGGCGCCGGGGTATTTAACCGAGAGCGAGCTGATAAGTTTGATGGAGAAAAACGGAATCGGGACGGATGCGTCCATCCCCGTTCACATCGCGAACATTTTAGAGCGCAACTACGTGTCGCTGGGCCCCAAGCGAACGCTCATCCCCACGAAATTAGGCATTGTGTTGATCCACGGGATCTACAGCATCGATCCCGAGCTCGTGCTGCCGATCGTCCGCGGGAATATCGAGAAAGAATGCGCCCTCATCGCGAAGGGAAAGGCGAAAATGGACGACGTCGTGGACCACGCGCTGCTGGTCTTCAAGCAGAAATTCATCTATTTCAAAGAGCACATCGCCGTGCGCGTTTCTCCCTCCGTTTCACGCTTCTAGGACATGGACGCCTTGTTCGAATCCGAGTTTTCTCTCCTCGTCGATTCGGGGAAACCGTTGTCACGCTGCGGAATCTGCAAACGATTCATGAAATACGTCAAAAACCCGCCGCCCCGCCTCTACTGCGCTCAGTGCAATGTCACGTAGTCCCGCGGGGATCCTGCCAAATAGATACAATCTCCCGCCCAACGGGACCATCAAACTCTACAAGGAACTCAAATGTCCGCTCGACGGTTTTGATTTGCTGCTCTACTCCCGCGGGAATTCGGAGCGTTTTGTGGGGGTCACGTATCCGCTGTGTCCGTTCTGCTACAACAATCCCCCGTTCGATGGAATGTCGCTGATGGTGAGAACCGCGGGGAGGGTCGAGCGTAGGGGTGCAATCAATGTCTTCATCCGACATGCAAATTCGGATTGTTGGCGAACGGCGTGTGTCGGTAGGGGATGGGAAGAGAGTGAAGAGCAGATGTCCGAACGAGGAAGACGTGGACGGAGAAGCGAAGTGCAATGGGATGATGGTGCTGGACTTGGAGAGTCGACCGAACTGGAAGCTCTGCTGCAATCAGTGCAATATGATTTTCAGGTAGGCGGAGAGGAAGGGAGTGGGACGAAGATTTACCGCCAATTTGCACGATGTGCAGGTAATGAAGAAACGATGTGAGGAGTGCGAGTCGTCGCTGCTGAAAGTGTCATTTAACAAGAACAGCACGCCGTTGCCGGGAGGAGAGACGGAGTATTCGGGATGCATTCTCTGCGATGAATTGCTGAGCGGGTTGATCGAAATGGTGTCTGGACGGAATCGACATATCAGTTTGGTCCATCGGAGAGGACGAGGAAGAGGAAGAGGAGGGCGAGGAGGGAAGGGACGAGGAAAAGGAAAAGGAAAAGGAACAGGAAAAAGATCCGTATTTGATGATATGTGAGAGATTGTTCGTTTGTTGAATGAATGAATGAATGAAAGCAGAAGAGAGGAGAAGAGATAAAGTAATATAAGAGAAATCCAACAAACAAGGCATAAACGACAGAACAGAAAAACTAATTCAAGGCCTTCTCATATCGATCGCCAATCACATCGCAGATATGCTCAAACGTACGCAGACCCTTGATCAAAGCCTCCGTCGCATTTTCTCCTACACACATCACGCACCCTGCTACTATCCCAAACCTGTAGTTTGCACACGGAGATGCATCTTGGCTTCGACAGGATGAGGCACCGAATAACCACAGAACTCGACTCCTTCCCTAAAACTGTAACTCCACGATAAAAAGCTCCTACTGCTGCATCATAATGGTTCGGATAGGGTTCCCAAGCGTATGGCCTTCATTATAGAACACAAAAGTACGCGAAGTGTTTATTCCCACTCCCTACCCCTAAATCATATCCCACGGTGAGCTACATATTCCACTTTATGGTCCACATCAATTCTTTCTTCAGCCATGTTCCCAATAAAAGCCAAATTGATAAACGAGGAAAACGGGAATGATGCAACTTTCCCAACAATTCGTTTTTGTGAGTGAGTAATCTCAATTTACAAGTGCAACACGGGTTCACTGAATGCACAAGGACAAAAATACGATTTTCAATTTCGTGTTGGAATAATGCGTGTTGTGACTCCATCAGCACTATTTCATCACCAATGAATTATGATTTTGCTATTATTTCGAATACGAATGAGCAGCTGAGTGATTTCCTGACGAGACCCTCAGAAAGCAACAATCTCTTGCTGCTATTCACTCCTCCCCCTAATAATGGCTCAATCTATATGTGCCTTATTCAAAGACGCTTTGTAGGCTGGATGCGTTCCGAATACTACGACTTGTATGTCCAGTTTGGAGGGTTTGGTTCAGATTCAATTTGTCAGTGGTAGAGTGAACAAATATCTGATCACAGCACGGCGAAAAATGTGCGGTTTTCATACGGTCCTCTTTTTGTCTATTCCTACCGATCCTTGCAATAGCCTTCCTCTCGAAAATCGTTTCACAGCGGAAGATCGAACATCTGTGGGTTGTGTCAAGTCAAACTTTTTGGGCACGACCTACTACGCTTGTCTCGATGAATCGATTATGGCGTCGATCCATAGTACAAGACTCGTTGATTTGAATGAAGTGCTGATCAAATACAAAAGGAATTTCTTTTCCTCTTGGAAGCCTTACGAAATGAAAATCTATATGAAGAACCCGCTATCTTATACTCAGAATCCCACCCTTCCGGAAATCAACGTTCTTTCCACCAAACCTCCCGAATGGGATCCGGTGGTATGTTTCTGTTCTTTAGAGATGTTGTTACGAGTAGTTGAAAACGTACTACATGGACTTTCGAAACCGAGTCACTATCCCTTCTGTTAAAAACTTTCAAATCGAGGATTCTATGAATAACGTTATTTTCCAATTTGGCCGAGTCGGGAAGGACAACTTTACGATGGACTTCAAAGTAAGGAGTACAATGGAATGGATTGATGGACTAGTATCCACTCTCCCTATTCCAAGCCTATTGCATTGCGTTAACACGATTTGTTGTGTGATCTGCCTGATATTTGAATTCCAAAAGATCGGGTTATTTTGTACAACTGTTTTTTAGGAATACTTTTGGTTAATTTTATTTACGAATGAGCAATTTGTTTGTTTTAGAAGAATCCGATGGAGATGAAGACTGGGGTCAAGGTGTGTGATTCCTGTGTCGTATGACAAACAGAATTTACGCCAACGGAAGCGCCAGCAAACCCAGTTCCAGTGTCACAAGAAGTGGATCCGAACGCCAATTCTTCATCTACTGAACCAGAGAAAAAAGAAAATATATCCTTATTGTGGAGCTGTGGAGTTCTTAACGTGGTACCGATTTTCCAAGTTTCTGGACGGCATCGATACACAACCTGGAGAATTTGACGGTACCATTGTGGATTTCGAGTGAAAAGCAGATACTTTAGAGGATACGATGCATGATTTGTCTGGGGAACTTCAGGCTGATTTTACGACCATGTACGTTTTCGTACGATGTCGCTATTCCATAGGCATCACGACCCTTCTATGGGTATTTCCTCCCTCAATCCAAGCGGTTTGAATCCGGGGCAAACCATGGCATCCACCTCTGCTTCCCTTCCCCAATCCAAATCGGGACTGCAAGAAGCAAAAGCAAAAGCAAAAGCAGAACCAGAGCCGGAGCCAGAGCCTGAACCTGCATACATCCATGAACCGCTTCCCGACGATCCGCAGAAGCTCGCTGAGTTGCTTCAATCGGAACTGGCGCGTCGCAGCCCGAACCGCGGTTTTGTGCGTTCGGTCCTGCGGCGTTCGAACTACCAGTTGAGCAAAGAGCTTCGCTGCCGCGCGTACTCGATTCTGCTGGACATCGACAGTTCATTAGTGACAAGTCTGGCGGACAACGCATGGAGCGTCAACACGGTGAACAGCGGCATCATCGAAGATTACCTGCATCATATCTACCGCTGTTTCTCCGAAAACAGTACATCACCTTAATGATGCTGTCGATCCTAGTGGAGAGCGAATCCAAAGTGATCGAGGACGCGCTCTGGGTCATCTACGGCGTATTGATCCACACCAGCGCGGCCTACCACCCCTGTTCGCCTCGGAATCGCCGTCTGAAGCGTAGTGCTCGCGCAACTCGCGCTTTTTTTCCTCACAAAAATGGGCTTTAACCGCGAGTTCTCGCTCCTCTTCCTCCTCCAGATGTTCGAAATCGAATTCCGCGACCCCGAGAAATACCTCCGCGACCTGGAAGGCCCGAAAAAGACGCTTCTTTCCTCCCAACCCATCGACCCCGCCGCCGATCTCCTCCTCAACCGCGGGATTTCCATCGTGGAAACCGTCCGGCTTCCCCTTTTCTCGCTCTCCCGCGGGAGGTCGGCGGTGCGGCTGCACGAGCTGATCCACCTTCTCGCCGAATTCCACTTCCCCGCGCTTTCCCGCCATCTCGACCGCGTCGCGCCCCACTGGTTTCTCCCTTTCTCCTTTTCCATCGAGCAGCAGGACGACTTCGTCACCGTGGGTTCCACGTTTCTACTTTTCTCCAGACCGCCGAGGAAACGCCCACGCCCTACTTCGCCCCGCCCGCGCAGCCCGGCTTCCTTCCCTCCGCCTGGATCCTCGGCGCCTTCCTCCCCCCCGAGGAGATCCCCGTTTCCACGGTTTCCACGGTTTCCACGATCGGTAGATGATTCCACGATGCGTCGAGACTAGACGCGACGCGCTCCGAATCGGTCGAGGGTACCTCCGTTTCCCCAGTTTCCCCAGTTTCTCCGCTTGTGGGATCGCGGTGGGCGGAGATTTTGATGGATCGGATGGTGGTGGAGGGCTCTGCGATCCCCGCGGTTTTCCTCCTCTTGGCGTTACTCCGTTTCCACGAATCGGATTTGATGCAGATCCAAGACGCAGAGTCCCTCCAAACCGCGATTCTGTCTCTCCCGTGGGGATCCACTCCCGACTCCGCGATCCCCGCGGTTCTCCGCACTGCCGAAACCCTCTCCGATGAAACGCCCGCGTCGGTTTTCTTCGCGGCGTACGGCGCGCTGTCGCTGGTTTCCGCGGGACTGCTTCCCCGCGGGGTGCGCGGCTCGCCGGCTCTCTGGCGAAGCCGGCTTGCCGCCATGTACCGGTAGGAGATTCCCGCGGGACTGCGAGGTAGTCTGCTGAATCCCGCGAAACTGGAGCGCGTCGACGCGCTTTTGGCGCAATGGGCGGGAAACGAAGCCGCGCTCGAAGCCGCTTGCCGCCGAAATTACGGCGTGGAACGCGCGCTTTCCCGCGATTTTTACGTCCCGCCCGCCCACTCCCAGACCAACCTGTTCTCCCCCGCGGTTCTGATGGTCGCGCCGGGGGACGTGGTGGCGGGAGCGCGGCGCAGCATTCCCGCGGGGATCGTCTGCCTCGATTTGCGCGGGGAATCTTCGCGCGCCAGCGGGAGCCTGCCCGAGGCGTTACACGTGGAGGGAAAGCTGTGGGGGTCCGATCTGATGCTGGAGGGAGTTTTGCGCTGCCTCGAGCAGATCCGCGGGAAAGTCTTCTTTCTGGCGGCGTTTCATCGTAGAAAACCGTGGTTCTGCTGACCTCCGGAAAACCCGACCGGCACGACGACGAAGACGAAGACGTCAATCGCTGTCTCCGGTTTCCCCGTTTCCCCGATTTAAGAGTAGAGTGCTGCGCCGCGAAGCGATTCCCCGCGTTTGTCGCTTGGCGGGCGGCTTCTTCGCGGCGCACGAGTTCGCGCGGCGGTGCGGGCACGTGGATTGGCTGGTGGACCACGCGGAGGGCTGCGAGGGTAGGGCTCCCGCGGGGAATCGAGGGTAGTGTGCCGGTATTTCGCGGTCTCCGATTTCATTCAGAAGGCGATCGAACGAAGTTCCGAGGTCGCCACGCGCACCACCGCCAAGGCGAAGATGCAGATCGGCAGAGCGCGCGAGAAGTGGGACGAGAAGCAGCAGCGAATCGTGGAAAAGTCGAAACGGACGGGCGTTTCGTGGATCCAGAAGGCGATGCAGTCGGTGAAGGAATTGGCCGCGGAACTCGCCGAGGAGAGCGACGACGAGGTTAGCAAGGTTAACAAGGCCAGCGACGAGAAGAAGAAGGAGGTATCGACCGTAGAAACGGAGAAACTGGGGAAACAGGAGGAGGAACCGCGGGAAATGGAGAAAACGAAGCTGGGGGAGCTGGAAGCGGGGGATTTGATCGCGTTGGAGGCGTTGGAGGACGGGGTGCGACGGTTTGAGTTGAATGAATGCGAAGTGGATGCGATGGAAGTGAAAGTAGGCGATGAAAGAGAGATGATGATGATGATGATGTAGAACGCGATGTTGATGAGTGGAGAACAATGCTTGGTGATTGCGAGAAAGATTGGAGAGAAGCGATGCACAGTCGTAGCGAGTCGGAAGCTGGACATGGTCGAGAAGATGGCGAAGAAGAAGGATCATCCGAATGTGGTGACGCTGCTGTTTAGTGGAAGCGACGGAGAGAAAAGCCAGTGGAAGATCGAAGCGAAGGACACGATGGCAGTGTGTTCGGAGATTTCGAACGCGTTAGCCCAGTTGGATTAAGAATAGGTTGGTGGATTGATTATTTGAATGCTTGTTGTTTGTTTGTTTGTTGAATACTTCAATAGAAGGGGAGTACAATCGCCTCAAAAGATATACAGTTCAGATCCTTTTACAAGCTTCTTATTCTATTTCTGAAAGCGAGATTTATTGTTTTACTATGGAAGATCAGAAGATTGATGAGTCTCTGTATAGCAGACAACTCTACGTCCTGGGAGAGGACGCAATGAAAAAGATGGGTCATTCAAGCGCGCTCATTATTGGAATGAAGGGATTAGGTGTCGAAATCGGTAACCTCAATGTATCGAGTTCATTGTAGCGAAGAATATCATTCTAGCTGGAATCAAGAACGTTGCCATATTTGATAATGAGGCTGCATGCATTAAAGATTTGTCGACCAATTTCTACATCACGGAGGAGGATCTCGGTAAACCGCGTGCTGAAGTGTGATTTGGTTTCTTTCCCTAAGGTAAAGATTTGCCTTCCGAAGCTTCGCGACTTGAATCCGTTCGTGACGGTGACCCGACGCGAAGAGGAGATAACTGAGGACTATATAAGAACCTTCCGCGTACATTTCCTTGTATTACGATCAGCCGCAGGTCGTTGTAGCTACCAATCTCCCCAACAAGGAGCAAGAAACCCTCGATGCGATCTGTCACGCTAACAACGTGTGTTTCATGGGAGTGAACAACTACGGCCTCGCTGTTCGCATTTTCTGCGATTTCGGCGAGTCCTTCTACGTCAGCGACATCGATGATTCCGAGCCCGGCACTGTCCTCGTCGGAGACATCAGCAGAGTGGGTTTCCCCGTTTCCCCAATTGGTTCTAACGCGTAGGACAAGGAAGGCCTGGTCACGATCACCGAGGACCGCCACCCCTTCCAAGACGGCGATCTGGTCACTTTCTCGGATATCCGCGGGATGGTCGAACTGAATGGCTGCGCGCCACGTGCTGTCCACGTGCTCGGACCCCAGCAATTCACGATCGGCGACACGTCCTCGCTGTCTCCCTACGAATCCTTCGGCTGGTGCACGCTGGTCAAGCAGCCGAAAACCCTCCGATTTTTGGAATTGCGGAAAGCCAACCGGCATCCCGCGGATATTCTCTACACCGATTTCGGGAAAATGGACCACGCCATGGCTCTGCATACCGCGGTTCTCGCGCTCGACCGTTTCATGGAGCGGTTTGGTCACGTGCCGCGCCCGTGGAACGACGAAGACGCGGGAATCTTCGTCGAGCTGGCGCACGAGGTCAGCCAATCAATCGACGAGGATCTCCGTCCCGCGGAACTGAACGAAACCGTTCTGCGAACCTTCGCTATGACCTGCTGCGGCGAAATCTGCCCGATAACCGCGGCCTTCGGCGGAATCGCGGGGCAGGAAGTGCTGAAAGCGTGCAGCGGGAAATTCACGCCAATCAAACAGTTTTTGTACTACGACGCCTTCGAAGCGCTGCCTCCCCGCGAGGATCACTGTAGGTACTTCCGCGGGGATCGAGGGTAGCGGATTGCCGGGAGATCGGGAGTCGGTACGACGGTCAAATCGTGGTATTCGGGGAAACCTTGCAGGAAAAGCTGGCAGAATCGCGGGTATTTTTGGTGGGCGCCGGCGCGATCGGCTGCGAAATGCTCAAAAACCTCGCGCTAATGGGCGTCGGAACCGCGGGGGAGGGCGCGATTCTGGTGACGGACATGGACCGCATCGAGCGGAGCAATCTGTCGCGGCAGTTTTTGTTCCGGAACACAGATATCGGTCAGAGCAAGGCGGGAACCGCGGTTCGCGCGATCCGATCGATGAATCCGGAGGTGAAATGCGAGTTCTTCGAGACGAAGGTGGGTCCCGAGACGGAGAATGTGTTCAGCGACGCGTTCTTCGAGCGATTGACCTTCGTCTGCAACGCGCTGGACAACGTCGAGGCGCGCAAATACGTCGATTCCCGCTGCGTCCGCTTTGATAAGCCGCTTCTGGAATCCGGAACGCTGGGAACCCGCGGGAATACGCAGATCGTCGTGCCGTTCGTGACGGAGAGTTACGGTGCGACCAATGATCCGCAGGGTGGCAGAACCGCGGGGAAATAAGGCGTAGAGGAGAAGATTCCGCTGTGCAGCTGAAGAATTATCCGTACAAAATCGAGCACACAATTCAGTGGGCACGTGACACCTTCGAGGGTCTCTTCGCCCAATCGATTCAAACGCTCGGCTCCTATCGCGACACCCGCGGTTATCTCGACTCGATCGCGGAGAAAGTGGATGTGCACGACGAAGCCGTGCGTCAGCTGCACGAATTATTGGTCGATTCCCCGTGCGTTTCGTTCGACGATTGTGTGCGCTGGGCGGCGAAATTGTTCCGGAAATTGTTCTACACGGAGATTCGTCAGCTAGTCTATCAATTCCCTGTATTCCCGCGGGAAATTGAAGTGATTTGTAGCGGGATTTTGTGGACTCGAACGGGAATAAATTCTGGAGCGGGAACAAACTGTACCCGAATGCCATCGAATTTGACGAAACCGTATTCCTTCGAATCGAATTCTGAAACATAGAATCCGGTACACGTGGACTTCGTTCGGTTTGCCGCGTATCTGCACGCGGAGAATCTCGGAATTCCAAAAATCGAGGATGATTCGCACTTGTTGGAAGTCCTCCGAACCATCGAATTCCCCGCGTTTGTGCCCGACACCAGTAGAAAACCGCGGTTTTTGTATCATTCTAGACACCACCAACACCAACGAGATAATCGCGAAACTGACGGCGGAACTTCCGAATCCCGCGGTTCTCCAGTCGGTGCGCAGCATTCCCGCGGAATTCGAGAAGGACGACGACGCCAATCATCACATCGATTTCATCGCCGCCTGCGCCAACCTCCGCGCGGCGAAGTAAAATTTGGCGGGCTTTTTGAGCGGCAGTTACGGAATCACGCAGGCGGACCGAAACACGGTGAAGAAAATTAGCGGGAAGATTATTCCCGCGATTTCCACCACGACCGCGTTCGTGACCGGCACGGTGGCCGTGGAGCTGTTCAAATTAACCGCGGGAATGAAGGAAATCGAGGCGTATCGCAGCTGCTTCGCGAATCTGTCAATTCCCGCGGTTTACTTTAGCGAACCGGGGGCTTGTGAGAAATTAACCGCAGGAAAGAAGACGTTCACGGAGTGGGATCACGTGACGCTGCGGAAGGTGAGGAATCGCGGGGAGGTTGAGAAATAGGCGGATGGAAAAACGTTCAAAGCGCTGGCGGAATATTTGTTACGGGAATTTGAAGTGAATTTGGACGCAGTGTATTGCGGAAGTTTCCGACTGTATGACGCGTATGACACGAAGGTAGGCGAAGAAAAGGAGGGAGGGAATGATGCGCAGGATCGAGAAAATCGCGAAATCGTGGAAGTGTATCGCGAGGTGACGAAGAAGGAAACGGAGCCGTGGATGCGGTATATCGAAGTGTTGGCGTTCTGCTCGCCGGAGGGAGCGGAGGATGATTTGATGGCGGATGACGTTGATCTGCCGAGTATCTTCGTGGAGATTTGAGCTGGAAGAAGAAGAATGAATGAATGAATGAATGAATGAATGAATGAATGGATGGAGTGTTTGTTTGAATCAAATTGTTTGTGTTATGTGTCGATTTCTGAAATAATTCAGCTTGTATGGGAACTGAAAACCTTGATTCAGCAATGAATCCACATTCCAGTCGTTTGTTTCTTTCTCAACAAACACGCAATCGGAACATAAACACGGTGATTTCAAATATATTGCGGAGATACGTGATATACTGGCTTCGTTTCCAATACTCGCTGTTATTCGAGCTTGTCTGCGTCTTGGCTCGCGTCTTCGTCACTGATTCGCTTCTCCCTCGCGCTTTCATCGGATTCTCCATCTCTGAAGAGAATCGATCGTGCGTGCTGACGTGATAAAACTCATCGTGCAGTTAAGCAAACCGATTCAATCAATTCATTCAATGACTCAATCAAATCATTCATTTCATTCAATTCAATTCGATTCAATTCAATCAATTCATTCAATGAATCAATGATTCACTTCAATTCACTTCATTCATTTTATTTCATTCATTCATTCATTCATTTTATTTCATTCATTCATTCATTCATTCATTCATTCATTCATTCATTCATTCATTCATTCATTCATTCATTCATTCATTCATTCATTCATTCATTCATTCATTCATTCATTCATTCATTCATTCATTCATTCAATCAATCAATCAATCAATCAATGATTCACTTCATTCACTTCATTCAGGATATCAAGTGCGATTGCAGCATCTCAAACACGTTCATCACTTCGAATTCCTCGGTCTATTCCTCACTTCCCTCTCCTCTTCTCCCACCAATCCGCACAAATACAAAAAGAATCCCAGCGCGAAGCTCACGTTATCTCCGTACAACGCCGCATTGTAATGCCTCGACTTCTGCGCATAGCGAAACACGACCACCAGCAAAACCAGCAGCGCTTCCTTCGGCACCTGCTTCCAACACAACGCGCGGAAATTCCGCAGAATCTCCTTAAACACGCCCTCGAATTCCTTTCGATTCGACAAAACCGCGAATTGCTGCAGCACGAAGATCAACGCGCCCAAATTCGACAGCGTGATCGTTAAATTCTGCACAAAATTCGCGTCGATCTTCGACAATTTCAGCTCCAACTCCGCGCAGCTCGCGAACGGAACGAACGGAAACAGGAAAACCCCGTTCACTTCCAGCTCGCCCAGCTGCGTTCTGCACTCCTCCAGCACGCTGCGCTCCGCCAGCGAGTCGACCAATCGATGCAGGCAGTTTTCGGCGAGCGAACTGGCTCGATACACCGAATCCAGCACTTCGCTCGCGTTGCTGTACGTCAAATACCGCGCCATCTGCTTCGTCTTCGCCTCACTCCCGCCATCCTCCCCTACATCCTTCACATAGATCAAATCCGCGTGTTCCGGAACACTCCCCGCGCACACTTCTTCGCCCTCGCAGCACAGCAGCGCCGGCTCGTTCAGGTTGATCAAAACCCGATCAATCCGCTCGTAGTTCACGTTGAACAGTCCGTTCCCGCTCTTCAAACTCGTCGTCGCCACCAGCAGTTTCTCCGGACGGATCAGCCCGTCCACCAGGCGAAGCCCCGCGCGCGAAGCCGCGCACGTGATCAGCTCGTTCACCAGAAACTGCCGCCGACTTCGCACGCCGATGTTGTAGTTGTTGCGGGAATACACCATTTCCACGATGTGTCGCGGCTATGCCTCACGCCCCGCGGGAATCCGTACGTCGATGACGCACCCGAACACCTCGAACGGCTCCATGGAACACAATCCTACCAGCACGCCCAGCAACTCCCGCTGAGAGGTCCCCGCGGTTCTGCTGGACACGCCGACATCCGCGGAAATCGCTTCTTCGCGAACCAGCGCGTCGAACGTCGAGTACGCCGCCTTCAGCCGCCCGAAAACCGCGGAAAACACGGACAGCGCCACGGCCTGGCGGAGCGTATCCCCGCGGGGAGGCGGGAGGGAGGCGAAGAGCCGCTGCTGGGGCGCGAGGAGGCGAGCAAAGGCCTGAAGAAACGCGGGGATGTCGCGAGAAGGCGTGGCTTCGATGGAATTCGGTAGAATTCGGAGGACGGAGAGCGGGATGGAGTCTGCGAAAAGGGGGTCAAACCCGCGGGACTGGGCGTGCTGGATGCGGCGAAGCAGGAGAAGGAGGAGAGTGGTTTGGAGCCATTGTTTGTGGCAGCAATCGACGCCCAATCGCATCGAAACCCACAGCAGCGCCGCTTCGTCCCACGCCGACTCCCCCAATTCCGAGAAAACCGCGGGAGCCAGCGAGCGGTTCTTCGCCTCGGCGGGAAAGGAGGAGAACAGGAAGGCGACCAGCGCGGGAAGGAGGCGTTTCACCGCGGGATTGTCGAATAAAGCGACTTTGAGCTGCATCAGAGGGAGCAGCAATGCCGAGCAGACTCGGATTTTCTCGGCCGTCCAGGCGTTTCGCGCCGCGGAGGCGAAGAACAAATACGCCTGCAGCGACATGCTCACGCCTACGTCCCAGTCCTCCCCCGCGGGTACGCTGGTACAGCGCGGCGGCGTCGCGGAGCAGCGCGAGAATCGCGGGGATCTCGAGGTGCAGCTGCGGATCGTTGATTTTTCGCAGGATAACCGCGGTTTCCCGCATTTTCTGGATGTATTCGGTCTTGTGCTGGAGGCGTTTCTCGGCGCTGGCGAAGGAGGCGCTGGATTTGCCGGTCAATTCGGTCACGGCGTCGCAGAGCGCGATATTGGCGGCCCGGAACAGTGTTTCGAAGTGGCACTCCCCTTTTAAAACCTGCAGACAGCTTCGATAGCCGGGCAGCTCCGCCCACGCGGGATAGGCGCGGAGATACCACAAAAACCCGATCAGTCCGGCGAAGCCGACGACGTGGGAGAAGGACTTCGCGTAGGCCTGCGCCTGCTGCTCGATCAGGTCGCACGCGATGTTCACGAACGGCTCGGTCAGCGGGGCGGCGGTCTGCGCCAGCGTGGTGGGGAGGGGTCGAAAAAGCGCTGATTTTTGGAGGGCGGTCCAATTGGTGCGCACCACTTTGGCTTCTTCGTGCGTTTCGAGCGTTTCGAGCGCGGCGACGCGGTCGTCGTACTAGGAGTGAGGCGAAGAAAGCGCGGGGACTTGGGCGAAGACGGCGCGGAGCTGCGAGGCGACGGTGTGGAGGGAAACCAGCGCGTGGAACAGGCGGAATAGCACGAAGAACACGGGCTGGTAGGGGATGCTGGGGGTCACCGCGGGGAGGAGGGCTCACTAGGCGACGGCGGTGAGCGGGAGATTGCGCGAAGCTTTCTGCCGCATGAAGGAAAAGGTGCCCGAGTCGCGCTGCTGCTGCGCTTTGAAGAATCGCTCGGTGGCCGGGCATTGCTCGGGAGCGGTGAGGAGCACGCAGACGATGCGGTCGATGAGGGAGAAGCAGGAAGAAAAGGCTTCGCACGCGTTCTGGATGAGCGGAATCTCTTTGCCCACGAGGAGGAGCAGGCGGTCCTTCACGTTCGAAGGAAGGCCGAATTCGTAGTTGGATCCGCACATGAAGGCGAGCTGAGGAATGTGGGTTTCGAATATGGCGGTCTACACTCAAAGCCAGTCCATGGACGAACTTCCATTGCGTTCGCCTCTTGTATCAGAGATTGGAATTGGTTAAAATACTCAGAAAGATCCTGTGCCTCTGTGTCAGCATTTTCCAATGAAATCTGCTCCGATACATAATGTGTCGTGACGAACGACTTCTACAAAATGAGTCGATTCAAAGAGAAAGATACGGCAGGCATCGATATAGTCTTTCCGTTATCGTTCAGTTCTCCCAAAATCGCATTCATATCATGATGGTATCCTTTTAGAAACGTAGTGTAGCTTTGTAATTCTTCTTTGACTTCTAGGCATGAATCAAGGCGTACGCTCACAAACCATTGCTTATTTCTGACGGCTTCGATGAAGATCGTAAGTTCCACGGTAACAATTTATTCATGGGACTCCTCAGCTTCTAGTTTTCAGACTTGGAAACAACTTGCGCTCCCACCAATTCGAAAAGGTGACACAAAATCGAATGTCTGACCCCAAAGCTCTGGAAATCGCTGCTCAGACAGTGTACTACGATGAATCGGGAAAGAAGATCTCGAGGCAAGAGCACATCGCTCGTTTTTTAAAGCAAAAGAAGGTCAAGGTATCCGACTATCTATTGTGATCGCTGACTCTATAGACACCGGAAGAACTCGAAAAGGAGCACTACGAGTGGAATGTTGCGACTTCAACCAAAAGGCAGCATAAAGAACACATTGATGAACTTATGAAGGTAGTTTCTATCGATTCCGTGAATTGAATGTAGGTCAGTAGAACCGGATATACGCAATACGCTACAGACGAAGACTTAAACCGACGGCAAAAGGAAGAACTCCGTCCGGACGACCCGATGTATAAATATTTCCTGCAAAAACGACAAGAGGCCGAAGAGAAGGAAAATCTGGAGAAAGAATTAAATAACAAGGAGAAGGACAGCAAGCCGACCGTTTCCGACTTCCAGCAGGAATCTACGAAGCCCAAATACCGCGGACCGCTCCCTGCACCGAATCGTTTTGGCATTCTGCCCGGATATCGTTGGGATGGAATTAGCCGAGGCACGGGATATGAGTCACGACGTTTGGTGCGAATGAATGTAACAAAAATGCGCAAGCAGCAAGCCTATTTGTGGAGTGTTGCAGATTTGTAAGCAAAGCGGGATCGAACGATGTTTACTTCCTTACTTCTTTCTTTATTTACTTCTTTCTTTAATTACTTAATTCTTTGGTAATTTGTTTGTTTGTTTGTTTCAAAGCAGTTTGATGATCAAGAACTGAATCGTTCAGTGATTAAATCCGTTTTTCATTATTACCTGTGGTACCAATGTCGGTCAAAGTGGGATTTTCTGGTGGAAGGGGTGACGAGTAGGAAGATAATCCTTTTCTTCCGGATGTGGAGATTGCTGATGAAACGTGAGAAGTAGAATGGGAAGATGATGTTTCTAGAGTATCAGTCTCTGTGATTGGTGACAGCTTTAATAACTCTAGTCACCCAATCGCGTGTTTCTTCCATTGTTCGTTCAAGGTAGGTATTTGGTTACAATCTAATTGTAGGCATGTGCTATTCTGTTTTATCTGTTCGGAGGCTTGTTCTTGAGCGACTATATGGTCCAGTTGGTGATAGTCTTGCTGATGCACACGATGGACTTTTATGTTGTGAAGAATTTCAGTGGGCGCTATCTGGTGGGTCTTCGTTGGTGGTCCGTGATCTCCCCTGATGGTCTTTCCAATACCTTCCGTTTCGAGAAAACAAATGTAACTCCACTTTCATTTTTTACTAACGTAGCATCCCGAAAAAGTGACGAAGGCAGATAGTCGTATTTTCTGGTCTTTCCAAGTGTTGAATACAGCTATTTGGTAGCTTTTTCTCGATTTCATTGATGTAAGGCTGCTCTTCGTGATTTTCTGCATCTTCGGGCTGCGATTAATTTGGTTGTTCGTAACTCTGGTCGGTTGCTCACTCTCTGCATACAATCTGTACGCGTACATTCAAGCAGCAAAGAGTGGGTACGCTGAATCGCTCTGATGAGTAGATTCTAATACCGCCATGTCGATGTTCACATTTATCCCGAAGGCAGTTACGCAGAAGGCAGTCGAGTTTGTAATGAATGAATCTGTGATGGTTAGAGCGGTCGGTTCTGCAGCGATGTCGGTCGCCAAGTCCACCTTTATGAACAGACAGAAATGAGTTGTTTGTTGAATGAACTATATTGTCCCCTACTTGTTGGGAAAGAAAATGGGGCGAAATGCACAGTTTAAAGGCTAACTTGTCAAAGGGCTGATTTAGCCAATTGACAGGTTTTAATCACGCGTAATGCTTTGATTCCTGTTGTACTCGTTTGTAGTGTATATATTGTAATATGCATAAAAATAAAAGCCCGTAATGAAAATGCCACGAAATAAGAAATTGTGTTCGAGTAATTTGATTGGTCCACAGAACCTTCTGTCAATCACTCAATTTGACAAAACATAAATTATTTGATAAGAGCAATGGATCTCAGCCAGCAAGGAGGGCCCTTGGATTTTATTTTTCAAAAGAAGTACACCACTAGAGGTGACATTGACAGCCTCGTACTCCCTCAATGGCTTAACGAGTATTATACCGTCATGGAGGAATTTGAAGGCATGTGTGCATGCGATGCTGAATTCGAAGCGTTGATCCAGCCCAGTTTTTCCGCATTTTGTAACACAATAAAGAACTATTGCTTCGATTTTAGCTTTGGCTGTCAATGTACTGGGTTATTTGCATCGGAAGAAGACATTAACAACGTGATGGAAATCATCTGGCTGGAGGCTGTAGTTGGAACTTGCATCAAGTTTATGGAAGATATTGTGGAATTTGCTAGGGTGTGGAAAACTCAAGTGCAAGTTACTACCCAAACCAAGAAGAATACCACCGCAAAGAAAGCGGAGACGAAAACAAGACCGAACATCCCACGAAAAGCAAGGGACATTTTGGAAGCATGGTTTAAAGAGAATGTAGATAGTCCTTACCCCAAGCTGCATGACAAGGAACGCTTGTGCACGCAGACAGGACTTTCGATGAAAAAGATTGACAACTGGTTCATTAATGAACGAAGTAGAAAATGGCATTTGTACAAAAGAAACTGTTTACATTAGTTTGAGCCTCCCTTGTTTTTTTTACAAATCACTCGATGTGAACCCAGAATTGGCGGGAAAGTCATTATTCTGTTTTTCTACGGGATTGATAGGTTTGATGGGAATTGTGAACCTTCTCCCTCAGCTTAAATCAATAACCGAAACGAAATCTTTGTCTTGTTTCAAAGGTCTGAGAGTCGGCATTGATATTATGTGCTGGTTGGTGTAGACGTGTTTTCTAATCGATTAGGCTGCATCGTGGAAGTAAGATGTGTGCCAGAGATATCATTCTATATAATGACAGTTCTAAGTGAATTTTCTGCTTTCAGTTTATGAGTAGATTAGTTCAGTATTGCTTAAATCGTTTGGACGAACTCATCACAGAAGGACTTGTTCCTTATGTGGTATTTGATGGTGCCGATTTGCCTATTAAAGGTGGTACAAACGAAAGTCGCCGCGAGTGAGAGTTGGAGAGCGATCTGATTGCTAGAGCGCGCCAGCGCAATATGGAAATTGCCCAACAGAAAGAGCGTGAAGGGAAGATCGACGAGGCAAGCGACTACTTCTACAGAGCCCTCGAGATTTCTCCAGACCTCTATGCTCCCCTTATCGCCCAGTTGAAAGAGCGTAACATCCAATTTCTCGTGGCTCCCTACGAGAGCGACGCGCAGCTGGGCTTTCTCTTCCGAAACAACTACATCGACCTGGTCATCACCGAAGACGGCGACACGCTCGTCTACGGCTGTCGCCGCGTGCTCTTCAAGCTCGACAAAGGCACTGGCGAGGAGATCGACATGTCCCGTCTCTCCCACTGCACCAAGCTCAACTTCTGCGACTGGACGCACGACATGTTCACCTACCTCTGCGTTCTCTCCGGCTGCGATTACCTCCCTTCTCTCCGCGGTATCGGCATCGTCCGCGCCTACCAGGCCGTCAGTCGCGGCCGCACCCCCGCGGGGATCTTCGCCTATCTCCGCGGCGTGACGGAGGTTCCGCTGGAATACGAGAACGGCTTCGCGCGCGCCGTCTTCACCTTCCGCCACCAGACCGTTTTCGACCCGCAGCGCCGCGCCGCCGTCCCGCTGCTCCCCCTCCCGGCCTCGCTGCAGGCGCAGCCGCCCGCCTACCTCGGACCCGTTCTGCCCGCCGATCTGGCCGTCCGCATTGCCGCGGGGGAGGTCGATCCGGTGACGCAGCGTCCCGTGGGGGCGATGGAGGAGGAAACCGCGGGGATGGAGGAGCCCGGGGAGGCTGGAGAGGTGCGGTTCTCGAGCCCGTTTGTGTCGATCTCGTTCCGAGCGCTGATCGAACGGCCGTCGGAAAGGGGATTGCCGAGAAAGGGAGATCTGAGCCATCTGGACTTCGCGAGCGGGAGCGCGGTGAAGAGAGCCATGGTGATGGAGTCGCCGCCTCGAAAGAGACCGACGGTGGAGAGGATCGGACCCTCGCCGGTGGCCGCGAAGTGCGTGAATGCGTTCCTGGACCAGTTTCGACGCAGTCTCACGCAGCAGTGAATTGGAAAGCGAGGAAGAAGGGCGTTGAGGAGAATAAACAAATGAACTATGCGTTGTTTGATTCAGCAAATTAGGGAGAATTGAGCGATGGAATTCATTGATTCTAAGGGAATTGAGCGATGGAATTCATTGACTTCTAAAAAATGGTTCAATCAGGTTGATTGAACTGGCCAGAAAGATTCGTTTGCTCTTTGATCCTCGGAGAATGATGCGATTGCTCTTGCTTGCTTGCTTGATTGCTTGCTTGATCCAACAAACACCACAAACAACAGGGTTCGGCTATCTACGTTCCTCCACGACTCGTCTCTTCCTCTCTCCATCGCTGCTCTACGGTCGGTACTCGCCCGTCACCATCGCGTGATCACGCTCGTACGGCTCCAGCGTCAGCTGCTCCAGCGGCTTGAACTTCTCTTCGCGCAGCTTCTGCACCTCAGCGGCAAACACGGCCTCCGCAGAGGCGGTGGAGTCGATGCAGCTGGCCTTGATGGAGATCACGCAGTGCCCGCCCGTTTTCAAAAAGTACTTCGCGTTGATTCCCACGATACGCGCCTGGTCCGGCTGCGCCACATCCGCGAAGATCGTGTCCACCATGCCCACCAGCATGCGGTACTTCAGCGGATGGCGCGCATCCTCGATGATCGGAACGATGTTCGGACGCGTCTTCGCCACATTGATCAGATCACGACCCGGACGATGGGCGAACTCCACCGCGTAGACGAGACCGGTCTAGAGAGAGAAGACAGAAGGAAGAGAGTACGGGACCCACGATATCGGAGACGTGAGATACGGTTGTGCCTGATGCAGCTCCCAGATAAAGGACCTTGCTACCGGGCTGCATGTAGATATTACGAATACCACCCTACACATTATCTATAAACAGAAAGAGTACGATAACGGCAGCACCCAGCTTAGAACGGAAAGGATTCCACTGTCTGTACTCCTTCTTCTCGCCGATGGTTCCCTATTTATCACAAAAACAACAACGAACCCACAGGCACGTCCACAGAGATCTTCTTCTCTCCATACACCGTTTTTCCCGGAGCAAAGTTTAATGTGCACAAAACGTCCTCCTTAGACGAATGGGCTATATAGACACCTTTGAATCTATCACTTGACATCATACAACGCACATCATACTTATGGGGCTCGATAGTCACTTTAGCTCCTCCTCTCATTCCTCCGCGCGCTCCTCCTCGTCCTCCGCGGGCGCCACCTCGTCCTCCACGAGCACCTCCTCTACCTCCACCTCGAGCGCCTCCGCGGCCACCACCACGGCTACCACCTCGTCCTCCGCGACTTCCCGAGAAGCCACCCCTTCCTCTCGAACCATCATCTACCCGAAAGTAAGTATTTGCTTGCAAAGTCGCGTGATAACGTTTGAACAGTCAAATACATACTGAAACCCATTTCTAGTCCACTGAATACAATAATGGGTACAAAAAGCAAATATGTATCCCCATATTAAAGCCTGCTGCAATACAAGGAAAAATCCACCCAGGGGGTATTTCGTCTTTGTTCGATTTCTTTCAAACAAATAAAGATTTAATAGTTGCATAACTCAACTCGCGTAGTAGGTTGGTGGTGGTCTCGTTTTGGAGGACGAGGAGGAATGGGAGGTGTTGTGCAACAACTGCTCGAGGAAGACATAGAATCGAAAGGCTCTCTTTGAGTGGAATGGGGTGTTGCTTCGGCAGACTCGGCAGAGCTTGCCGTTGTGGTTGAACTCTCCATTCGTCTTCTCCGTTCCTCTCTTTCCCTGAGTTTGGCTTGTAAATATTCGGCAGAAACGAAAATTTGGGGAGTGTCGCCTCTTCGGAGAGGGTTGTGTATTTTAGGTGATTTACTTTTGCGCTTGACTTCATTTTCATCATTATCATCATCATTCTCTTCTTCTTCTTTCTCGTCTGACTCGCTGCGTTTCTCATTACTTCTTTCCGTTGCCAGGCTTGTGCTTTCTGCACCCTCTGTGCTTTGCGTACTTTCCTTGCTTTGCCTTGTGTATTGACACAGTTCCTGGTACCATTTGACCGCAGTCTCCTTCTCTGCGAACCGTAGTTCATACTATGGAATATTCAGGGAAAACAGAAACAAACCTCTCGGTGGGTAATGAGCTTGATGGTGCAATCCTCGTCGTAATCGATCAAGGCGAAAGGAACATCGATAATATTTAGTGGGAGCTCTAAAATAAAGGACGAAAGAGGCGGATTTACGGCTCTCTACCTCTTCAAAGCTTTTTCGAAAGATGAACAGTCGCTCTCCATAAATTCGCAAATAGCGAGCTGCCCAACTGCGCTTTCCCTTCTTTTCTGCCCATCCTTCGAGGATTCTAATCACAAAGCGGGTGTTGGCTGTACATGGAAAAGAAGTTGTCTTCCAGGGACACAGGCTTACTCTGAATATAGTCTACCACTCACACTCCTCTTCTAGAGCCACCATTTAGAGTGCGAGAAAGAAGATAGCACATGGATTGATCGAGGGTGGTTACGTGGATCGGCTGACGATCGCTACTTGGAACAGCTGCAGAATCGTTACTCGATGAAGTAAATAGAGAATTGGGATGTGGAGAGAACATTTGGCACAACCTTCATTAGATCCTTTCTATGTATCGTTTGCGTCTAATTAGATTGCCGCTCATATCCCCTACGACTTCGCCTTTTAGCGAAAACACTATGTTGTTGTAGTGATCAAGGGTCAAGACCATCTAGCTTTCAAAACCTCTTCCACGAAGTACATCTTTCTCACCTAGAGTCGATATTACCCCAAATGACACAGCACTTTCTTCCATAATATCAGTAATTAAAGCGAAGCATAATCGAAGTAGGCAAAAATGATTGGATAAACAAAAACTTGAGGGTGATTGGAAGTAATTCGGCTGACATTTTCAAGCTATTTTGAGGCTACTAACACGAAAATGAATCGGAACACCTGTAAACACACGGGATCCAAAAGAAAAAGGCATGCTTCACCCACTACCGCACATTGTGAATCAGTTAATAGTGATATATGATTAAGGAAAGCATGCATTATGTATCCATTAGTTTTATAATGGCGATCCCCATCTATAACCATACAAACCGAAGAAAACAAAAGTGTATTTAAAAATGATATATACACTGTGCTTCACCACATTGAAATCAATGTTCCCACCAATTATTCACTTTCAGCACGACAATTATATTTTTTCATGCGTGCCTCTATTTTCGTTGTCGGTCTTCTCTTTGTGTCTGCTTTCTGTATTCCTGCGAAGCCCTTTAATTTCCTTGTCGGCGATTATTTCAAGGGTTCCTGGAAGATTGAGAAGAGAGAGTATACTGGGGCTGTGGAAGGAGCTGTAGAGGTGGCTGAGAAGCTTGTTTTTAACGTTACTGAGATGGATGAGAATCGCTTGAGTGTTGCCCATGTAATTGAGGAAACAAACGAGATCGACATTGAGAAATCTTATGAGATGTCTGTGGTATCGAACAGAAGTTGCACCTTCCTGGAAGGAGAAAAGGCTGTGGCGACCCTTAATTTTGTTCCTTTTTACGATGGCACGCGTTTTGTATGTGTTCTAGAGTTGCTGTGAGTGTAGGTGGCTGTGTTTGCTACGGAATCTGGAGAGAATGTTGAAGTTCTCATTGACAACCAGAACCACTTCACAGTCAGAAAGTATGCTGACGGTAAGTTGGTTCACTTGAACTTTCAGCGCAATGTCGTCGCTTTGACTCCTACCTTCTTCCAGAAGTATGGAAACCTCATTATGATGGGAGGAATGATGATTATGCAGCTTGTAACTGCCAAGTTGCGTCCTGCTCCTCCTCAGCAAGAAGAGGGAAATGGTGAGGCGAATGGTGAGGCGAACGGCGAAGCCAACGGTGAAGCTACTTCTGGAGAGGAAAAGCCCAAGACTGATTAATGTTGCTGTTTGTTCACAAACATATGCTAAATTGACTCATCAAATAGAGCCTTGTTCATCCGAGGTGATGGCCTACTTTCTTCTTTCTCATCGGGCAGCTTTGCATAATTCTTTCCTGTTTCAAAATCAAACCGGATCGCAAGTCCCTATTCGTTATCGAAAATGCACACTATAAAGTACTGCAGGAATGGGCTGTTTTGGTAGGACTTCTTGCCATTCGTGAGTGGGAATAAATTGAGGTATTGACTCTACACCGGATTCTTCAGAACTGGCTTCTGTTTCTGTTTCGTCTTCATTAGCATTCACATCGAGGAGAATATAGATGGCACCAATAATGACTGCGATGGACGAGAGAATGTATACGAGCTTCGTATTCATTCAATCCTAAAACTGAGCAATTGGACTCTTTTGAATCCATTTCGAGATGTTTTACGGTACTCAATTTGCTCTCCTCTTTCTAACAAACAAACAAACAAACAAACAAACAACAATCAAATTAACATTCTCATTTCAATCGGTGACCTACTCCTTGGAACCGATGCTCTTTATCAATTTCCTCGAATCGACTCTCCGATGCGCTCTGCTGTGGACCCGGCTCGCTTTTTCTTAACCTGCCTGCTGCCGTTGCTGGTTGCGGACTGTTCGCTGATCGCACCGCAAAGGCAGAAGATCGATGCGCGGAATTGGATTCTGAAAGCGGCTCAGAGGACGTTCGCAGCGAATTTCCAGAAGACCGGGTCGAGCTCTCCGAGGATCGTAATGAATGGGCCTCTCCCTGGAAATAGTTCTTTTTCGATTTGAATTTATTCAGCGAATCGGCTGCCCGTAACAAAAACACAAGAACAAAACGATTGGGTGATACGGATTCCTCAGCATACGCAATCTGCGGCGAAGGCTCCGTGACGTCGGATTCCTCTTGGATCGCAGGACTTATTTTCTCGCTAAGCCATCATAGCCAAACCAAATTAAGCCAACACTTCGGCATACTCGATGTCCACTTCCACATCGGTTTCGACGATCACGACAACATCGTCCGGTTGGGTATCTATGATATCGATAATGTATTCTTTCCCTAAATGCTCGATTGTGATCGAATCGCCCTTTGAGAGCACGGAAAAGTTCTTCAGCTTGATTTCAAGACTACGCTCCTAGATTCTTTTTTTCAAACAATACATTGCTCTGGGGTTACTAAGCTCGCCGAATGTACCATCACGGAACTTTAACTTTACAAAGGTCGCTTTTCGAAGATTTAGGTTTTCCACAATCAAATAATCACCAGGGGAAATGCGGAGTTTTGCCATTATCTACGGCGTGGAACATAGAAAATAAGCAAAACCCAGCGGGGAACATAACAATTCCTCTCTGGAGCTGAAAACTCCTTTACACCACAGTAGCTCGACTGACTTCCGTTGGAAATACGGAACATCAATGGATACTGCGCAGTCGTGCCATCTACACGAAAGGCACTATATAAGCAAGATACTAATATACGCCATCGCCATCTCGGGGAGGATGACTACAATAAAAAGGAAAACTAAAGAGTACTCTTATCACCGTATTCATCTTCAGAATCTCTTTTTTGCATGGGATATACTTTGAGACGCTGCCTATACAAGCTAAATATCATGTAGAATCCGTGCTCATACGCTGTAGTCTTGAAAAACGTTTGTAGAAAATCAAGTCCGAACTAGATATTACACAGAAGCAAAAGATCTTTCCATTTAATACAGAACTTTGAGAATTGGAAAAGTAACACGAAAGACAATCCAAAAATTGCTCGTATTTTTCGCAATGAAACTCCCATCTGAACAAGAGAAACTTAGATTTGCTGAATCATGCCTGCTTATCAGACGCTGATGGAAATGGGACCTGCTCTCACTTCGAGAGCTGCTAGTGCGAAGGCAGTTCGTCTTTACAAGGCGATTGTCAAGCAATTGCCTAGAATCATTTCTACGTATCAAATGAATCTGACTTTGAACGAGGCGAAGACGATTGTGAAAAATAAGTTCTATGCTAACGCCGACGTGAGAGATCCTAGAGTTGCTGAGATTCTTGTGTATAGAGGGGCTATGGAATTGGACGAGCTCGTCCAGCAGTACCCCCACGAAGAGCAGGCTCGTTATTACTTCTCTGAGGAGCCTTATCGTGAGCGTGATAAATTCATGGCCAAGGAACCTGACTATTTTGACCAGCTGTTATCTGACTTCGAGCCTAACCTGTAAGCCACTTTTATTGCTTGTTTGTTGTATTCGATCGATTTGGAATAATATTGCGAATACTGATTATCCGTATAATAGATTTCGCCCTATATGGAGCGGATTCTTGAATAGCTTTGAGGGATGATCTATTTGCGTACGGCTTATATTTCGCTGCCCTAACTAGATCTTGTCCGGATCCTCGCCAATGACAGCAAATTATCTTTAAAATATCTAAAACGTAGAAACTGTGGAAAGGGGTTTCCAAGTTTTTAGTTCAACTCTATTTGCGGGTTGTGGTACGTGATTTCTGAGCCTTTTCGTATTGTCTGATGCAACAACCGACGCAAGGGAACGATGAAAAGGGAAGTGAGTTATCTACTTCTGACACTCACCAGCCCCAAGAATCTAATGATACTGTGAATTGTAAATAAGATTCTTTAGTATAGAAAGACACAGCAACTGCCCCCTCTACGGAGAATACATCCATGGAAGAAGCCAGAGCCGCGCCAGTTCACAAACAAATAACCGAAGAACAACATGATGTGATTCAAACGGTTGTTCACTTTCTCAAAAGTCATACTGCTTATGATTGTCTTCCTCCCAGTGGGAAGATAGCTGTTTTCAATTCAAACATGCCAATTTGCCTGGCTTTTGACTGTCTTCGAAATCAAGGTGAGTGAAGTGCGAATTTAAATTCCTTGTAGAGGTGGCAGAAGCAATCATTTGGAACCATGATAAAAATTGTTATATCGGGGTGTTCAACAGCAGTGATTTGATAAAGGCTGTTTTAATGCAGATTAATATGCATCGCCATGATCAATCTAAAAAGGATAATATTCTGTTCATCAATATCAACACATATCGGGGTATGTTAATATTTGCTTATTTCTCCATAGAATTTCAGCTGCGAAGCGAGTCTAAACGAAGACTTTTGGATTGCAAGCCGTCAACATCGCTCATTGATATTCTGCGGATTATGTCAGAGTATCGAATCCGTCGCTTGCCCGTAATTGACGTCCGTGGATGAGGCTCTGGATTTTATGCGTAGAACGACCAAGCGTATGGTATTCTCACATACAGCGCGATCCTTCGTTATATTGTATATTCGTTCGATCGCTCCGCTCCTTTATATCAACAAACAATCCGCGAGCTGAATTTAGGTCTGTACAAAGATGTGATTTCTTGCCCTTCATCAACATCGGTAGCGCAAGGTAGAACTGTGCAATTGATACGATGCAGCCCTTTTTCTGCTGGAGAGCAAGAACATCTCGTCGATTCTGGTGACGGACAAGGACGGTCGCATCACCACGATCTTCCAGCGCAGCGACATTTTCAAACTGGACATTTTGGACATCGACAGCTTCGAGCGGCCTTTGGATTCGTTCGAGACCCTCGTAGGGGCCGAGGATGAGCGTGAGGAGTAGGGACACAAGCTGTCGCAATCGCTGTGCTGCCACCAGGACGATAAATTGCAGTATGTGTTCGATATGTTCGCGACGACGGAGCTGCGACTGCTGGTGATCGTAGATGAAAATGAAATGCCAATCGGGATTATTTCGCTCGTGGATTTGCTTAACTATTTTATGTCGTACATTTTATAATTAGGATCTGTATCATGTTTTGTGCGTGTTTGTTAGAAACAGGGCAATCAGGCGTGAAGTAATCACTTAAGGATACGTGGTTGTTGAATGGAATCTGAGGCAGCGGGTAGAACGTTATGTGGTGCAGCAAGTCTTCAGATCGGATGCCTTCTGAGGACTCGTTAGTAGCACCACCTTCGTTACTGATCCCATTGCCCTCTCCACCCCCATTTTTGGGGGGTCGATCGGTCAGCAGGCGGGGAGAAGCCGCACGTTTTCTCCTCGCCTGGACAACGTTGGGTATTCTATAATGTCTACAGCGATGCGTCAATTCATTCATTCCAAAGACCGCTGTTTCGATGACTTCAATACTCCTCCCGAGGACTGTGAAATTCACGATCGCTTGCATGACAGCGCAAATGGCTGATCCGTTTTTATAGCGATTTCGATAGCGAATCACTCCTCCATTTATCGAGAAGTAGCCTTTCCGAATCAGCTTCTTCATGTATCGCAGAGAATTAATTCGATTTAGAATCGTCTGCGTATCTATATAGGTAACATTCTTATATGCTTCAAATAGAACAGTATTTTGATATTTCTTTATGATATAGTTTAGAATGTAATCTGAAAATGCGAACAGACCAATAAATGGGTCATAACTATTTACAGAATAAACAAGAAATATAGATCTATCAAATTCTCTATGATATGCTTCCGTCTCTTCTGTTCTTTCAACTACCGCACAATAATCATAAACGTATTCTTCCTCTTGATCTTCTTCTTCATTTTGATTCTTTGTTTCTTTCTTTGTTTTTCTTTGTAAACTTCCACTTAAACTTTGTCTCATTAAATTATCAGACAATTCTCTTCTCTCATTCGAATTTCGATGGAAGATTTGATTGTGGATTTCCGCTATGACTGACGACGGAGCCATCGCATCAGTTGCACCGTACATTACGGGTCGCGCTGTGGTTTCGATGGGTCGCTCGGACTCTCCTTCATAAATAAACATTGTGTCTTCTTCGCTTCCTGAAGTCATTTGATTTATCTTTGTTTCTGGTCGGATTTCAGTTTCCACCGTTTTTGGCATGGAAAATTCGGATGAAGAATAGGTAGAATACATGTCCTTAAGAGTACTTTTGAGAAGGTGGATGTATTGTCGAATCGTACGAATACCCTGATCTGAACTAGCTTCATCCTCTGAAACAGTAGCACAAAAGGTATAAATCGATTTGGAAAGAGTTTTCAGTTCAGTTATGTAATCTCTTTGCTGTATTTGTTCTTTTGTCAGTTCTTCATGATCTTCGTCTTGGATTGAACTAAATGGAGGAAATGCTGGAAGTACCAGATCCATGAACGTAACAACTGATGTTTCGATAAGCGATTCATCAAATAAAGATAAAAGACATATACATTGAAAGAAATGATACCCAAGTTCACAGAGATTATCGATTGTTATCAGTTCAATCCATGCTGGCGTATTTTCCAATTCCACCTTCTCTTGGTAACAACTAACGAGATCTTTTAAAATAGAGACTAACTGAGTGTATAATTTATCTTTCTTTAATTTATTCGAAGAATTCTGTTTAGGACTGTTATCTTCTGTTTTCTCATTCTTAACTAAATATCCCAGTAAATCCACGAAGCGCGCACAAATTTCCTTCAAAAACCTACTCAACATGTTGCGACGTGGTTGTTCTTAATTGTATTTTAATTAAATGTAGTACCTAACAACTCAAGTGAAGAATGTGTTTCGAGTATAGATACAGGCGGAAATGCATATCCTACTGGATATCCTCTTCTTACAGATTCGACTTTTCTAATATAAGCGATTTGTTCTGTAACAGACTTCTAATCAGTTAACTAATGGCGTAGAAAAATACGTAATAATAAATAAAACCCTCCCTAAGCTGTTTTAGCTTATTAATATGCGTCGAATTTACCCGAACATATTTCCATTCCGCCATTGAAACAAACTGCGTAATTTTAAAATATTCTGGTAGTTTAAAGGGGTATCCAGAGTTGAGAAATGGGAGAAAATCAATAATGTATCCGTTCTAGGAAAGTCAAGTTAAACAGGGAATTTCCCACATGGTTACAATCTTCTCCAGTGTCGAAAACGTTGGTCGCGTTTCCTAAGGTGGACGATTCTTCAGTCTGCGGTTGAGCCGAACCAGCACCGCTTGGCCCCAGGATTTTGCTATCTGAGCTTTCGTGAGTAGATCCTGTAACCAATCGATTACCCATTTTTATTAACTTAATAATATGTATATAACAAGTATGAAAAAATGAATATTTGACTACTAAGAAAAATATAAAACACACAGAGAGAATGAGAGAGACGTTCACCAGTAACCCTATAAACAGTGTACATGAAATTACCCTACAATTCCTCAATGTGTCATCCGACACCTTCGCTACCCTCGGTAATCTCAGCTGTCCCTTGTTCACAACGAAATAGCTCTCCTCTATCTGATTATCCGCCACCAATGCTGTCAAATTTTTATTTATTCCCGCGGTTCTATTATGTGTGACAGAACTTGATAGATCGTTGCTGGAGGGTAGGACGGCCCTCTCTGCCGACGAAGCACTCTCTCCTCGCTCTGGCTTGAGTAATTTATTGGTATTCTTCGCAATTTGCTGGGTTTTATGAATAATGGTTTGCATATTGTTTGCAGACACGTGACCAGGCTTGATTTCGGTGAGATTTGCGTTTTGCAATTCGGAAACAATCGAAACAGTCGAATCCCGAGTGGCCTTGCCATCCTTCCCCTTCTCTTCCGTTTTGCTCGCGCTCGTTTCCTTCCCGCTCTGAACCGCCTTCTTCGTCTCCGCGGGTTGTCTCCCATCCTTTTCTTTCCGCTTTGCCAGCGGGAGCGTGATGTCCTCATGATTCTGCATCTGAATAGCTTCGTTGGCGCTACAGTGCGTAAAGGACCCCAATTCCCTCCAAATCGGATATATTCGCCACGCCGACTCCCCATCGTCTCTTCTCGAGGTCGAACACGACGCTCTGTCCCTGCAGGAAGTTATTTCCGATCACCGTCGACGGATCCGAGTACACGCCCAGGCAATACACCGAGCCCTCCGCCTGGAACATGTAGAACCTCCCGGCCACTTCCAGCGCGCAGTCCGCGCCCAGCGCGATTTTTACCGCGGGGAACAGCGACAGATCCCCCGCGGAACCCAGTCGGAAGCAGTCGTGTTCCTACCTTCCACGATTCCACCATTCCTACGCGTAGACGCTTCACCGCGGGGAAAGTGCGGTTTGCGCGGCGGAGCGCTTCGCCCAGCGCGGAGTGAAACGCCTGCACAAAAACCCGATACTCGCTGGAAATCAGATAGGAAAACGTGGAACCGCTGTCGATCATGATGCCGCCCATCCTGCATGAAACGCCTTCCCCGTTTCTACGAATTCCACTTTCCGAGATCGCGAAACGCCCTCTGGGAGCCGATGAAAATCCCCGCGGTGAACACGCGGAAGTACCGCTCCATGGAGGAGAAATGCGTCCAGCAGAGCGGGCGAAGCGGCGCGGCGGCGTCCATGCCGCCCAGCGTCATGAAACCCCCGCCCTCGATGAAGCAAAACCCGAACATTTCGCGGATGGCGCTCTGCGGGTTCGCCGCGCGCAGCGCGTGGATGTGTTTTTGGAAACTGCCGATGAACGACATCTCTGAGGGAGGGGGAAACGGGGAAACCTACCGCGGGGAGCGAGGCCGATGATGCCATCGGCGAGTTGGGACTTGAAGAGCCCGCCGGAGACGGTAAAGCAGCCGAATTGATGGTAGACTCCGTAGGAAGAGAAGGACGCGCTGTCGCCCAGCGGAACGTGCGCAGATGTCGGAATGTTGCCTCCTAGCCAAACCGTGTCCCAAAAGAGCGGACCGCTTAGATGACTTCCTTCCAGATAGGACTATGTAAAAATACGATCGAACTGGTACCTGAGTAAAGTGACAAACCCCATCCTTACAAATTGAACATCTCCCACGATAGGTCGTTTCGTTGCACCGCACAGAGTAGAGTGAAGAAAAAACTATTTAGTTGGAACGAAGGATATTCGGATCGTTTTCGATAGGGATGGAGCAAACGGATGGTTTTGATGAGTTCCGCACGTAGTACAACTTACAGTTAAAAAACAAAGCAGAACTCACGAATCGCAGGGAAACGCCAAAATGCTACTTCCTGTATCTAGAATCACAGTCTGTCGTTGTGGTGGAGTTCCTACGTAAATCAGTGAATAAAAGTATCTGATGATCAGTGCAAATCACTATTATTTACCCAATTTTCTTTGAGTCACCATATGTAGGAAATAATGACAAGTAGTCGTGGAGCTTCCTACCATAAATGGACTCAAACTCGGAATTGTTCAGTCGTTTCCAGTAGATAGGGAATTTATAATAGGATGCTTCAGACTCCACTCCATTCACACAGAATAACAAACTTAGCAAAAACACAATCCAGAACACCTTGGCTTGCTTTCGAAACATTGTACTCGACTAGCAACGCGCGTTGACACACTGAATGAACAATTTTCTATTTTCCAAAAATAGTCGATAATTTGGCAGAATGGCGGTGTTGACTGTAAAACAGTTGCAATCGCTATATTCCAAGGTAGCCCACATACGACCTAGATTGTTAGGATTGGATGTGGGAACAACTTTTGTTGGAGTCGCTCTTTCCGATCCAACACTCACGCTTGCACTCCCACAAGGGACGCTACTCCGCACCGATTGTTATTTTGCGAAGTTACGTCAAGAGTAGGTTTACGTCCATTTAAATCCAACCCACTAATAAAGCTCGTGCAGCAGTATCGAACCTTTGCATTTGTAGAAGAGTGTCGGAGTGGTGAGTGATAGGTTGTGGGACTGCCACTTTTGGAGAGTGGAGAAGAATCTATTCAGTGTGAAGATGTCAAATTGTTTATTCACGAGTTTTGGAATCATACCGAAATGCCCATGCCAGTTGTGTTTGAGGATGAATGGGGGAGTACCCAAATGGCTATGGACGACTACCGGTATCAGAAGAAGCGAGACTGGAACAGAGGATTGCGAAAGAAGGACGAAAATGCTGCCGCCATTATTCTCCAATCGTTTTTAGACTCTTTTGATGTGAAACGCCCCGATCTGTGATTTCTTCCAAGTGTCTGTACGGGCGTTGTCATGGATAATAATCGTGCAAATACCGAGTTTGTTTGCTTGAAAACACGATTGCTGTATGAATTGTGCGATTCGCATTTCTGAAACTCCCAGATTAGTCATTTCAAAGAAAAGTGTTTTCTAATTTGGACCAGTAATTACTTTCTCGGAAGTAATTCAAGTAATATTATCTATTCCATTCTGTACATCGACTTACTTTCGCTTCTTTATGGATTATCCTAGAAACGAAGCAAACAATTCTAAATCAGGAAGACACCACTGCAACATGGCCGGGGACCACTTTAAGACCTGCCTCCAGTGTTGCCAGATGATGAACGAAATAATTCAACTCCGTTCAGCGTTGGGAAGAACGGAAGGCATGGAGAAGAGGTCCAAGAAGAACTTCACCATCGCCCCGACTCTATACACTTTCTTTCGAAATGGTCTGGCTAAACGCCACTTGGCTCGGTAAGTGCGGCATCATGCATATCATCTAGATCTGCCAGCATTTCATCCTCTGATATCCTTGATTCTTTAAATGAAGATGACAATAGTTATTTGGAGAGTATTGTTCAACAGTGTTACGCTCCCCTCCCAAACGCCTTTTTCTCATCACATGATTTTGTTTACCAATATCTGTTTCTATGTGAGGAAATGTGTACGAAGCATCTCCATCTCTTCATTAGGCAATATCCTCTCCGCGGAGCCCCGTCTTTTACAACTCAAATCCCCAGCGTATGTTTTTGGAGATTTCCACGGCAACCTAGCCGACCTCCTCGCATTCGCTCGCACATTGTGGCCACTCGGCATTCATCTCACTCCGGGCACTTTTCTCTTCCTCGGCGACTACGTCGACGGGGGCCTCTTCGACCTGGAGCTGCTCTCCTACCTCTTCTCCCAGAAGATCATGTTCCATGACAAAGTGTTTCTTCTTCGTGGAAACCATGAGATTCGGTCCGTCAACGTACCCGTTTCCACGTTTCCACTCGACCTCTAGAGCGGTTCTCTGTCTTCTCCGCTCTCTTCTTTTCTCGATCAGCTTCGATCCCGTTTCCCCGAAGACCTCGCTCTCACCGTACGTTTCCACGTTTCCACGTTCCTCCTAGCTCTGGGACCGCACCAACCAAGTCTTCGACCACCTCCCGCTTGCCGCGGTTATCGACGACGTTCTGTTCTGCGTTCACGGCGGCGTGCCGCGGCCTCACCGCGACCGATCGCCGCGCTCCATCGCCCAGATCCGGCGGATTCCCGCGCCCTTCGACCCCTCCAAGGATTCGGCGCAGTCGGACCCGCGGGAATCGGACGATCTGGAGACCAGCGAGTTAGTGGCGGATTTGTTGTGGCCGCGTCCCGCGGGGACGGGGGAGGAGGGCGCGTGCGGGGGCTCGGGGGAGGGAGAAAGCGCGGTTCGTCGGTTTTTGGCGGGAAACGGTCTGACGCACGTGCTTCGGGGACAGGATTCGACGATGGAGGGCGTTTCCGTGGGGAAGGACGCGCGCGATATCGCGATTTGTAGTACATCGGGTGTAGGACGCGGAGGAAGAGAGGACTGAGGAGTAGGGACTTCGAAATGGAAACGCGTTGTGTGGATGCATTTTGATCGATGGGGAAACGCTCTATGCGATTAACCGTCCGAATGGAACAGTGGCGGAGGGAGAAGTCGGTCAGAATGATTTCGTGGCGTAGAGGTGTTCGCATCTCTCGCAATTAGAGTGATTTGTTTTTTGTTATTGATCAGTGTTTGTTCCTCGACACTATGAGCAAGCAGGAACCGAAGACGAGGGAGAGACGGCGGATCGAACCAATCGCTCCAGAATTGGGGTGTGATGCGATTTCAGATTTTTACCTATAGAATTAATTACGCATCATCTCCTCTTCTCGAATACTCTTATCCCCCAATCAATGAAACCATCGTTACGAATATCACAAATGGTGAGCTTTCGGAGGCGAGCTTATGTATAGCCATTATTGCAGTGCCCAAACTATATACTCAAGTGCTTCATTTGATGAACAAGATGAATTTACCTCCTCCTTTCGGTCCAGCAAGGAAGCGTCCAGCAATGCCTGAAGCAGGTCAAATAAAAGATGAGATCAAATCCTATGGAGAGAGTGTATTGAAGAGAAACCATGAAGCTAAGGAAGAAAACGTGAAAAAGAAGCAACAACAATTAGGAGAGGAAGAAGAAGAAGAAGAGGAGGAGGAGGAGGAGGAGGAGACTTTAGATAGCAAACGACCTCACATTGATAATCCATTTAGTAAGACCGAGGTGATCCAGCCACCTGCTCCTTCTACAGCTCCTGCAAAGGAAGCACCCTTGATACAGCCGGCGAAAGTCATTTCGGTGGACAAGTCGGAGATCAAGAACATGTTCGCTACTCCTACGGCTGTTCGTTCCTGCGTTTCTCTACAAGATATTCTGAAACATCGCATCAGCAAAGAAGAGATGAGCCATCAGAAGGCCTTCAAAAACTACTCCTATGGCGATCCGAGTTGCAAGCTGTATCTGCGAAATATGGCGAAGGACGTGACAGCGGACGATTTGCTTCGCCTATTTGGATGCTTTTTCGATAGTGACGAGGAAGCCAGCGCGTACACGGTGGAGATGGAGATGAAGTGTAGGAAACTGGAGATCCGCATTATGGAAGGCAGGATGCGTGGCCAGGCGTTTATTACGTTCCCTTCGGTGGAGTTGGCGCGCGAAGCGTTGGTTACAGTGAATGGATATTTGCTGAAGGAGAAGCCGATTGTGATAGTACGTGGAGTGTTGTATCTCTATTGTAGTGTTTCGGAAAGCAGACGTAGCGAGCGATAGGAGCGTTATCGTGTTTGTTTTTACACATTCCAAACGAAATTGAAATGTCGAGAATTTTTGGAATTCCAGTTTTTCGTGAATCTTTCATACATTTTCATTATGGCTAAGAAAAGTAAGAAGAATCAAGCTCAGAAAGAGGCGGAGAAGCCCGAAGTAGCTCCCCAAAGCAATCCGAAGCCTGCTCCTAAAAAGGAGGACAAGGCTGCTGTGAAGAAAGAAGCGACAAAGCCCGTGAATAGCACTGCTCCGAAGAATGCTGGAGCTACGTCGAAGAACGAGGAGTGTACGAAATGCGCAACTTGTCCCCTGAAGGGGTGCTGCATGGCTTGCCGGAGATCGGAATGCGTCATTTGCCGTCTTTTCGGCGCCGGTGTTTCTACTGTGCTCACTCTTCTGATGATGTTCTTGTATATCAGCCTGGTCGCTGCTGGATTTGTTCTTTTCCTCATCGTGCGTGATGTAGGTGATTTACGTGGTGCGTAACGCGTAGGATCCATCGGTCACCTTTGATCTTTGTGCTGCGGATGCGTCTAGTTGTTTCAACGCCATTACAAACGTACATTCGCTGCGTCCTCATGATTCCTTTATAGGCTGTGAAACCTTATCTCCATCCCTACAAATTGATTTCCTATCTGCGTGTCCAGGGCTACATCCACTCTTCTGTTTGTTCACAAACAATCCACTACTCAACAACCATCTCCCCCACGATATGATATGTGAAGGGTTGCGGGCACTCGACCACATTCCTCTCCCCATTATCCACATCGACATATTGGCACGGTCCTTCCTGCGTGTCTTTCACCACCAGCACTCCAGGAGTGGTGTTCATGGTTCGAATCCACTCCCATCCCAAGACGGGCCTGAATCGCTGTTGGAATAGGTACATATGGGGCATTTGCGTCGGCGTGATCCGATTTCCATTCGGGACAGCAAAGTACTTCGGCTCCTCCGCCTTCGCCATAACTTCTCCCTGCATCACCTCCATGATTTCCTCGCCGTCCACTTCGCCCGACCCCATTTTCTTCGCCAAGTCCGCAATCTCCGCGCTATCCGCGGCTCCCTCCGCATTGCTATCCGATTCGTTCTGCCCGCGCGTGCTCGATCTCCGCAGCGTGGACTGCAGCGCCGCGCGCTTCGGCTTTTCCTGGAAGCTGAAGGTGACCGTGGCCTTCTCGACCTTTTCCTCCTTCTTCACCGGCTCCACGTACGCAAACCGGTCCTCCTCCTGGTCGCAGTGCATCTGGAAGTCCTTGGGCATGTGCAGCGAGGCGTCCACGCCGATCACCAGCGTGGGCACGAGCGCTTTGACCATGATTTGGACCAGCGGGTACCACTCCCACACTTGGCAGCCCAGGAACACGCTCACCGCCGCTTGCCGACGCAGTCCGCCCACTCCCGTCAGCTTCAGCACCATGTTCCGACCCCCTGCGTCCAGCAGGCCCGCGCCCAGCAGCGCGCCCTGGCGTTTCAGCACGGTGTCGGCGCGCTTGGCGCCCTCGAAGCCCTCGTTGCGCAGCACCTTCATGATCTTCTCGCGATACACGGCGCTCTACGCGTCCAGCCGACCCCCTGCGACTCACCTGCGGCGTGTTCACCGCGTTGGTCTCCATCAGCAGCGCACCCAGACCGATCGCCGCGCCCTGCGCGACGAAATCCTCGGGGTCGTCCATCGCTTTCAGCAGCAAGTCGCTCAGCTGCGCGTTGGCCGCGCCCGCGTTGATGATTCCCGCGATGAGCGCGGCCGCGTAGCGGATGTGGGGGTTGAAGGACTGGAGGAGAAGCTGGGCGGTGGGCAGGAACGCGGCGGGCTGGTCGATGAAGACGAAGCCGAGCGCGATGACCGCGTTGCGCCGCACGTTTTCGGAGACGTCGCCAGCGATCATGTCGAGCAGTCTACGCGTGATTCCCCGCGATTGCAGTCCACGTGGCCACGGCGTCGTGATGCGTGTGGTGCGCAGCGTGCGCCAATCCGGTGCCCAGCGCGCCGCTCATGCGGAGATAGGCGTTGCTGTGGGTTCGGAGCATCTGCAGGATCGATTCGCCCTGGTCGCCGGTCTGCAGGAACATCAGAGCCATGCCGATCGCCACGCCCACGGCGATTCGGTCGTGCGACGTGCTCGTGATGATGGGGACCAGCACGTCCAGGATCAGCGACTCCACTTGCGAAATACTATTCTCGCTGCCACAGTTCACCAGGCCCAGAGCCACTCCCGCGGCGAACCCTTCGAACGGCTTTTCCTACAGCTCAGAGAGTGGAAACGTGGAAACCGCGAGGAGATTGAGGAGCAGGTCGGTGAGCTCGGGATCCATGGATCCGAAATCGATGAGTCCGAGGCCCAACGCGCTGGCATGGACGACCATCTCTTTGTTGGGATGCGTCTCCAGTGCCTGGTGCATCCGCGTGCAGATCTCTGGAGCCACGCCCTCGCCTTCGCCCATCATCAGAATGGAGAAGCCGTAATAGCCACCGCCCAGCTCCTCTTCCTTCTCGCTGGTGAGGTAGTTTCTGAGATGCTCCTGCGCCTTCTCGGGGTCAAAAACGTGGGATAGCGCAAAGGACGAGATAATGCCGAACTTGGTCCAGTTCTCGGCTTCCTTCAGCCAGCTGATGTGGTTCATGACGAACTCGTCGGTGCCTCCGATGTTGGCCATTCCGTGCGCCACCATCATGGCATGCTGCACGTTGGTATCCGCGTAGTGGACGAGACGGACGTAGTCCTCGAAGAGCCGACTGTCGTGATGGTTCAGACGCACGACGAGCTGGTGGATGCTAGGCGTGGAGGGAGTGGGAGAGCGGTACAGTCGGTTGGAGACTTCGCCTCCCAGAATGGGAGCGAGGATCGGAGCCAGGGGCTTCGACGGGTCGTCGTGCGAAGCCAGGTCGCGAAGGATCAGGCGGAGAAGCGAGGGGTCGTTCAGCTCGTAGAGGAGGAAGCAGATCTGGCAGGCAGCGGCGAGATCGGATTGGGCGAGCGAGGAGAGGAAGGAGTGCACTGCGAGGAAGCAATCGAACGAAAGGCCCACGGCTGTGGAAGTCGCGCTGGAGAAGCAGGCATTGGAACACGCCGAACCAGTCGCTCTGCTCCTCGAGAAGGCGGCGGGAGAGCGAGTAGAGGCTGGCTTCGATGTCGGGAGGGTAGTTGTATGTCGAAACGAGATCGAGAAGCGTGTGGACCGCCTCGATGGAATTCGCGGTGCGACGAAGCGAGGCCTCCAGAAGGTCCAGACGACGGCATTCCACACTAATGCCCACGAGGTTGGAAACGTTGCGGGCGTTGAGGGATTGGGAGAATATGAAATTCACAATTTGACGAATAGAATCCGGAATCTCGGATTCCGGAACTTTCTTGTTGCAAGCCTCCTTATATCCGTCGATGCATGTGTCTGGTCATTTAGAATGCAAATAGAAATAGGTACTGATCATCGCTTTGACAAAGTACGAATCTTCGTTTAGATCGAACAGTGGACCGGACTGAAGTGCGTAGTCCAGGGCTTTGTAAAAGTCTTGCATATGGAAATAGCACTAACCATTACACCTCCTAAAAAAGACAAACTTTAGAAATAAGGAAGTTTACGTAGCAGGAAAGTTCCTTCGATATATCGCTCGGTGTATTGATGAGAAACTCCAAATGTTGAGTGATATCAGGCCAGTTCTCGTCAACGCATGATAAAAGTCGCTTAATTGCAAGAATCTACTCATCACAATCCAAGGGAATAGCCTACAGATACCGATTCGTTCCACCCTTCTAACATGGTGAACAAGCCTTCGATATTCGTTTTACCCTGTTCATACATATATCCGTTCATTTTAAATCAGAATAGTTATAATATACGATTTGAGAAAGTGAAACTGAGGTTCAAGTTGAGAACAGTCCGTGTACTATCGATTTTTCGAGTGTATTCGACAGGGAATCGTTCGGAATTGTAATTATAGACATTTGGTGGGAGGTGGGAAAAATGGTTCGATTGTTTGCTACAGCAGCCAACGCGACTAAATCGGTGGTTGCTTCCTAAACGAATTCGGATCCTGCCCTGGTTCTGCGTTTTTCTGCAAAACGACACTCAAACTCGAAAACACCGATTTTGGGCTTCCGTCATCGAAAATAAATAGAGCTGCAGTGTCTTCATGGAAATAGCCTAGTTAAATAATGATTTCGCTATGTCTCATAAGGTCTGAGGATAAGCAATTAAAATGGTATGTTCTCTAAAGCTGATTGGGCGCACTGATTCTGCGCCAATCAGCTTCGGTGCACCGATAATTCCTTATGGGCAATTCTGGTACAAATCTTTCCATAAACCGGTATGATGCAATAATGCCAACTTTGGTGATGCCAAATATTGTTAGGCAGGTATGTATTTTGTTGGATTCCGTGTGTGCTGTGTTCGGAAAAGAGGGTGGGAGATCGAAAGGGTGCTAATCTTTGGGAATAGATATTTTTTGAAGTTCACACAGTATCATGGCTAGTAAGAACACTATGAGCGACAGAAACCTGGTGTCGAAGGGTACATCGTCTGACGACAACCCTACGCCTGGATTTGTTTTGAAGGAGCTTGTTAGTAGGTTTTTGGGGAGTTTGGGTACTACTCTCTAGACTCTACCTTTGCTGGACCTAAGAACTGCAAGGATTTGGTTGGTCTGCTCGTTCCTCGTTTAAAGAAGTCGGATCCCAATATCAAGCTGAAGGCTCTTAAGATCATCAACGTAGGGTTGCCACCAGGGTCCGAACGTGTAGTACCTGATCGTGAATGGTCGTGTCGATTTCCAGAAGGAAATGAGCGCCCACCACCAGCTCATCAAGGACTGCCTGTCTTTCACGGGCCCTCTGGACCCGCTGAAGGGTGATGCTGTGTACGTGGCCATCCAGACGACGGCCAAGGAGACCATCGACAACCTCTTCAACGAGACGCTTCGTAACCGCACCAACTTCACCCGCCCCGTGGACTCCTTCGCGGGCGCCTCGGTGTCCTCCCAGCCCCAGCCGGGCATGCAGGGCATCGGCGGTGGTTCCCGCGCCCCGGCCGCTCCCAAGGACGACTGGCTCAGCCGCGCCAAGGGCACCTTCGGCGGCAACCCCGCCGCGCCCGCGCAGCCTGCGCAGCCCGCCCTGGCCGCCCCGGGTCCCTTCGGCCAGCCCCAGCCGGCGCAGCCGCAGCCGACGGGTCGCTATGGCGCCGCCCCTGCGCAGCCGGCCATGGCCGCTCCCGCCCAGCCGGCGCAGCCCGCGCAGCAGGCGCGCGCTGGCGGCATGTTTGCGCGCAAGCCCGCGGCGGCGCCCGCTCCGGTGCCCGCGGCGCCGGCGTACCAGCCCCCCGTGATCAAGGCGGGAACGGCGGTGACGGACGGAAGCTACGAGCGCAAGCTGGTGGAGGAGCTGTGCACGCCGCAGGGAATGCGCCCCGAGCCCCCCAAGGACAAGCTGGCGCGCTTCGCGGGCGCCTGCCAGACCCTGGACGCGGCGGTGGTGGGCCCGATCCTGCTGGGCAAGCTGTCCGACAAGAACTGGAAGGTGGTGATGAAGGCGCTGTACACCATCCAGGAGATCCTGAACACGCCGAACACGGACGGATTCAAGGCGTACTTCAAGGAGAACACCGAGGAGCTCCAGGCGCTGGGCTCCTACAACCACCCCATGGTCAAGAAGATGGCCGGCACGGTCTTCGACCGCGTCTCGCGCTGCCGTCTCGGCGATGAGGGCGAGGAGGAGGAGGAGCCCGAGGAGAGCTTCGCCGCCGCCCCTGCGCCCGTCGCCGCCGCCGCGCCCGCCGATTTCGGTGCGTGTTTTCTCTCCCCTTCACCGCAGATTTCTTCGGCGCCGCGCCCGCTCCCGCGCAGCCCGCCGCCGCGCCCGCGCCGGTGCCCGCCGCCCCTGCGAGCAGCGACCCCTTCGGCTTCAACGCCACGTCGATCGACGACGCGTTCTCGGGCCTGTCCGCGCAGCCCGCGCCCGCCGCCGCGCCGATGGCCGCGCCCGTGAGCAACGATCCCTTCGGCTTCAACGCTGTGTCCTCCATCGACGACGCCTTCTCCGGGCTCTCCGCGCAGCCCGCCGCACAGGCTCCCGCGCGGCAGACCATGCAGCAGCCCCAGCAGGCCAGCTTCGATTTCTTCAGCACGCCCGCGCAGCCGCAGCAGCCCGCGATGAATTACGGAATGCCCGCTCAGCAGCCCCAGCAGCCTGCGATGAACTATGGAATGCCTGCGCAGCAGCCTGCGATGAATTACGGAATGCCCGCGCAGCAGCCGCAGCAGCCCGCGATGAACTATGGAATGCCCGCCCAGCAGCCCCAGCAGCAGGCGTCGACGATGAACTTCGATTTCTTTGGAATGTAAGAAGGAGCCGTTGCTTTTTTGCTGAGCTGTTTGTTGACAAAGGACGATGGTGCCGTATTTCTCTTTATAATTTTTTTGTTTGTTTGTTCCCGTATTTTTCCACCCGGGATGCAGAGTGTACGCACGGACACTGGCTTTTAGCGTAGACTACTCAGGAGAATACTTCGGATTCGCAAGAAGTTAGTTCGTCTGTTTTGCCAGATCAGGGAGTACGTCCTTGGATGGTCTGTAATCGTAGAATGCCGGTGCCGTTTTTTGGAGTGGGCCGTTCAACTCATTCGCCTATTCTTCAGGACTTAACTTTGAAAATCCTGGATCAAATAGAGCTGCTCACTACACGAACTACCAGGATATTATGCCTCCAAGTAGTGGTGAGTTTGCGTTTTTTGCACCTACTGGAAGAAGCACGATGCCAGAGCAATTACTGTCCAACTCTGGTTCCAGTGATCATTTTTCAACGGTTCCAAGCTATCCCTATGCCAAGGGCGGAATTGCTCCCTATCAAACTCGTTTTAATTCTATCGAGGAAAAGGACCCGTTTCTTAATCTGCCTCCTTCATTTTTGCCGTACTACACTGCTCCCTCTGTGTCGTACCCTTCCATGCCGTACAGTTCGTCTCCTCCTCCTCGTCCTCTCCGTTCCTCTCGTCCCCTTGCTCCGGGCGGTGCTTTGCAGCCTCAGCCCCCGCTTCAGCCCCAACTCCAACCTCCATCGCAATCGCAATCTCAATCTCAATCTCAATCTCAATCTCAATCTCAATCGCAGCCCTCTTTAAAGAAAGCAGCTCCAAAGCCGCTGAACGACGTTGTGGACATTGCCAAGGTCGATGCAGGCGAGGACACCCGTACCTACATAATGCTGCGGAATCTGCCGAATCGGTACCGTCTGGACCAGGTTTCCGCGGTTCTGGAACGTGCTGTGGGGAACAAGTTCACCATCGTCAGCATGCCCGTGGATCCTCAGACCTCGCGGAATCTCGGGTATTGTTTCGTGCAGTTCACATCGACGACGGATGTAGCGAAGGCGTATCGAGCTGTGAGAGCGCGTTTGGGAACTGAGGCGTAGATGCAGAACCAGCCGTGGCCGGAAACGGAGAGTACGAAAGTCTGTCAGTTCTGTTATGCACGGATTCAAGGGAGGAGTCAAGCGCCGTACGCGGAAAGCGGCCAATCTAGATCACGTACTTTCTCAATGAATAATCGTTCTATCGCGAAACCTAATCGTTTGAATCAGAATGGAATTGTTTCTGATCGCTCTACGAGAGTAAGCAGCCACGAAGAAGTTACACAACCTTAAGGATGTGGATGTGGGTGTGGTTGCCAACGTTTCATGCGCTGTATGTTTGAAGTGGATGTTTTTTTATTGTTTGCTGCAATAAACAATTTGGGGTGGTGTGTTTCGGTGGATGTGTTCTGTTTTGTATGTTATGCAGTTCCGGTGGATATGAGTCTGAACCGTTGCGATTTCCACGAAATCCATGTTTAAAATACCGGTTTCTTGCATATGTTTAAATATGTTCTAGGCACCTTAAATAGTGGAAATCACGGCGCGACGACATACCTACTGGTTTATATTTCAATCATTCGAAATGGGAGGAACTCTATCTGTTGAAGAAACAGCTTACTCCCGGTTTGCAAAAGACATCAAAAAACAAAATGTTGATTCCTCCGAGTCTATGAGGAATTTCGTGAGCAACTGCACGAATATGATGGTAGCCACGCTTCGGTTGACTTATCCATAGGACAATTCCAATTTGCCGCAATACAAGGCCAGTCGACAAGTAGTTATTCGATTATTTGCCTCATGAATAGCCTGTGGATCTACTGCTCGGCCTTTTAGAGGAAAAACTAACCGAGACAAGTTTGAACTCCGAGGATGTTTCTCTGCATATTTGAGCTAATCGCTAGATTACACTGATTTTAGAATCTATTTATTGTGCTATGCTCTTCTCAGGAGCCTACGACTCCGCCTCCGAAAACGCGGACAAGTTAATAGAAACTATTCTAAGCGTTCTGAAGAATAGCGACAATGTCCTATTTGAAACCTTCTCTTTATGTCCAGCTCACTCCCGACTGCATTGCAATGGCTATCAAAGCTCTTCGAGCCATGTGTTTCCGCTCTTTTTGCCTCAACGAGGCTAGCTACCCTCCCGAAGAGAGCTACTTCCAAGCCTTTACGGATCAGAACGGGTATGTCCCTCCCTTCTTTTTCTTCTTTTTTTCTCATTTTTTAGTTTTGCCTCCGTTTCCAAGATGATTCTATGGAACCGCGATCCCTCCTACCGCGCCTCCTCCGAAGCGTGTCTCTTTTTCTGCGAGCTGCTCAACTCGCGTCGCGATCACTACACGGGCACCCAAATCGCCAGCGTGCTTTCGCTCCTCGCTCCCCTGCTCCCTTCCCTCTCCCTCCTCACCTGCACTCAGTCCCTCCCCGCGATGGAGCAGCTCCTCAAGGCCGCCGTGCTGACCAGCAGTCGCGACGCCTTCCACAGCCTGCAGCTCCTCTTCCTCCAGAACGGCAGCTTCCTGGCGCACCTCACCCGCGCGCTGCAGGCCCCCGCCGCCCCCACCGCCGCGTTCAGCCGCGAGTTCGTGATGCTCACCGTCACCGACTCGGTCGAAGGCGCGCGCACGCTGGCGCGGATCTTCCCGCTCTCCCTCGTGAAGCGCCTCGAGATCCAGGGCAAGCCGCTGGCGCTGGAGGGGATGAATCGGCAGCGGCCGATCGAGGACACGGCGCAGGACATCGAGGTGGCCGAGAACATGGCGCTCACCGCGCTGGCGGGCTGCCGCGTGAATTGGAAGGGGTTCTGGTCCTCGCTGGAGCAGGAGCAGAGCGACTACGCGTTTATCTGGAGCCAGGAGATGCGGCGCAATGTCTCGGAGGCGCTGGCGAGCGAGCTGAAGGAGCTGGAGAATCGGCGGCTGACGGAGCCCGGCGCGGTGTGGGACTTCGAAGGGTTCCGCATGCTCTACCCGCAGATCGAAGCGTTCGTGTGCGTGGACGGGTATTATCTGCAACAACTGCTCGATGCGCTGGAGAACGGAAAGACGGTGAGCATCGTGAACGTCGCCGAATTCGTTCGCCATGTGTGCGATCTGTACATCGTCACGCGGAACCTGCACACGCGGCGCGCCTTGCTGTATCTCATCCTGCGCGTTGTGCAGATCGACGAGCAGAAGGGACGGGAGTTCCCCGTTCTCCGCTATCTCTGTTTCATTTTGGAAGATCGAGCGATCGACACCGTCCTAGAAGGCCTGATTCTCCAGATCCTCAACCTCGTGTGCCAGTTCCCGCTGTTGACCGAGCAGTTCCAAGACTACAACGGCGTTTCCACGATCGCTACGATCCTTTCGCAGCTGGTCACGCAGCTCGTTCAGCACGCCCAGCACGCCCAGCACGCCGGGCGCGCGCAGTCCGTTCGTCCGCTAAGCGAGTCTCGCTCCTCAATGGACCCGAAGGACCCGATGAACCCCGCCGTTTCCATTGCGTCCAGCAAGTCGGGAACGCACCTCGCGAAGCCGGATCGGATCTCGCTGCCTCTTGTGCCGCCCCGTCAATCGGGGTTCGATGCGATTTCGGACGATGACTCGGACTCGGTCATGGAGATGAATCCGCGAGCCAAATCCGAGCCGCAGCCTGAGTCTCTTTCGGCGTCCGAAACGGGATCCGAGTCGGAAGGCGAGAGCGAAGCGAGCGCTGGAGCGAGTTTGAAGTGCAGCTGCCCGCATCTTTCCGCGGGCGATCGATGCCAGCTCGCCTTGTCGATCGTTCGCCACACCTGCGAGAGTCTGAAGCGCATCCGCAGCGCCTATCTCACCGAGGCCATTCTCTCGCGTCTCCTTCGCTTCCCCTTACTGCTCTCCACGCAGGCGAATCTCGTCGAGATGGCGTCCATTCTCATGATCGCGCTGGAGACCTCCACGCCCGCCCAGACGCTCATTTACCGCTCTGGAATCTTCCGCGTGTTCTTGCTGCTGAGCTGCGAGAAGGAAGGCATGCCGATCCCCGTCGCGCAGCTGTTCCATCGCTACCACGTGATGCAGGAGCCCACCGATCTGCAGAACGCGTTCCAGGACGCCAACGAAGAACTCACCGATCTTCGCAATCGGCTGCAGAACGCGAAGAACACGGAGGAACGCGTCGAGCTGGCTCGGAAGTACTCGTTCCTCCGCTTCTTCCTGCCCGACTCCTTGATCGCCCTGCTGGAACGCGAGGGTCCGAGCGCGTTCTGCAACGTGTTCAATGCGGACCGCGTCGAGACCAGCGAAGTGATTTGGAACCGAGCGATGCGCGAGCACATGCGGAGCTGCATCGCCGACCAAGTGCGCGAGTACTGCGCGGAGATCGCCGCGGACTCCTCGGCGGTGTGGAGATACGTGCCTCCGCAGCCGATCAACTACGAGAACATCGACAACAAGCTGTGCATTCGCCACGTGTTCTTGGAGACGTTCCTCAAGCCGGAGTGCAGCGTCCCGCCCACCGTGGACCCAGTCCTGTTCTTCCGCGACCTGATCGACAATCTGAACACGCGATGGTCCACGCTGACGCGAATGAAGGGCGACATCGACGAGATGGTGCTCTGCGACATCCGCATGATCCTCCAGTCCCTGCTCAAGGTGCTGCAGACCAAGAAGGAGGTCAGCCAGGTGGGCAAGAACGAGTTCGCCACCATGGAGCAGTGTCTCAACTGCGACCTCAACTTCGAGTCCAGCCAGCAGATCGTGGGCGACGTCCTCGCCGTGCTCGCGGAGGCGCTGTGCCCCGCCTCGTTCGGCAAGCCGTCCATGATCAACGTGCGCAACTGCGCCGACTCGGACGTCTTCGAGTCCTTCAACTACCTGATCGAGCAATTCCTGCCCAACGACCTCCCCGAGCTCCGCCAGCGCGACCTCCCCAAGTCGCAGATTCTGTACAAGACGCTGAGCTGCGTGAAGCTGATCGCCAGCGAGGCGGGCGCGCATCTCTGCGACGTGCTCGCTCGCTACCCGACCCTCATCCACACGCTCTCGTCGTTCGTCGAGCCCAACTATCTCGAGCGCAACGGCGAGGTCTGCAAGATCGCCATGGAGACCCTCGAGGTCTTCCTCCACCACGCGCGTCTCCTCGACATCTGCGTCAGTTCCGGCTGCCTGATCTTCTTCCTGCAGGTCTCGATCTGCCTCGAAGAGCACTCCGAGCTGGACAAGCAGCTCATCCAGCTCACCGAGCGCTGCCTGCAGCTGCTCATCGGCGTGGGCAGCGACGTGACGGTCCCCAGCAAGGTGCTGGAGGCGCTGACGCTGCTCGTGACGCCCGGTCTGGTGAAGGCGCTGCGCGCGGGCGAGTTCATTCGGATGGTGCGGAGCGACAACGTGCGCGCGCCGCTTCTGATCTGGAACCGGTCGATGCAGGAGGCCTTGCTGGATGTGCTGGACCGCGAGGAGAGCAACATCGCGACCAGCAGCGACGCCCTCGTGAGCTGGAACGTCAGCGCCTTCTGCGCGGACCAGGCCAATCGCAGCATCTACAAGAACCTCGCCTCGGAATATGTCATCGACGAGGTGTTCCTGGACCCGTTCCTCCAGCAGCCCGACGCCCCGCTGGCCGATCCCACGCCGGAGCACTTCCTAAAGGAGCTGGTGGCGAAGACGCTGCAGCTGCAGGACCTTCGGCAAGGCGGTCTGACCGATCCGAGCAACGAGGAGAGCGTGAACGGCTTCCTGTACGCGACGGTGTGCTCGCTGATGAAGCTGCTGGAGGTCTACGGGGATTTGGTGAGCGTGTTCATCAACGATCCCCGCGTCTGCTCCGTGTTCCGTCTGCTGATCGACTCCACGCTGCCGTGGAACATCGTGCAGGTGCTGCTGGTGCTGCTCCGGTCGGTTCTCGGCACGCCGACGGCCTGCGAGCGACTCATCGAGCTGGTGCCGGACATGCAATCGCTGCTGCAAGACGACAACACCGCGTGCGAAATGCTGGTGCTGGACATCCTGGAGCTGTTCATCCAAAACAACGACCAAGTGGTGCAGCGCATCATGAAGAGCGGTCTGATCCTCACGCTCCTCGATATGAGCTTGTTCTACGAGAAGGAATACGACCCCTACGTCCAGGACCGATCCTTGCAGGTTTTGGGCAAGATGATGAAGTCGTTCAAGTTCGGAGAGATGGTCCGCGAGTACATGATCACGCTGTTCTCCCCGCTGTTCCGCACCGAAGAGGAGGAGCAGGCGGTCCTGCTGAACTGCAGTGAGGACCCGTCGAGCTTCATTCACCGCATGAACACCCCGTTAGAGACGGCGAAGGTCTACTGGAACGAGGCCGTCCGCAGAGACCTCTTCACGTTCCTCAAGAGCGAGGCGCACCAAGTGCATCTGAACGAGCAGGTCTACGTCTACGAGCCCAGCGAGGTGGCCAAGCGCATGCAGAGCTACCGCGTGACGCTCAACGCGCAGCTGGTCGTCGCGGATGTGTTCATCGAGCAGTACAAGAACTCTCCGTTCTGCTCGCTGGACCCCTCCGCCTTCCTCACCGGACTCATCGAGAACGCGAAGCAGCGTCTGCCCGGCGTGCGGAAGGGCGTGCAGAAGGACCGCGAGGAGTACTGCTCTCTGCTGCACGCCCTGAGGAACTTCATGCAGGACCAATTCGAGGTGAGCGAGGGCACGCGCACCACGCTGGTGGTGAACGACCCCTCGCTTACCACGCTGGTCGTGAGCTTCCTGGTGGACGTGATCTTCTCGAACGTGCCGGTGGGGCAGGACTTCGCGCTCACCACGCTGCAGTTCATCTCCACGAAGCCCTACGGCCGCGACGAGTTCATGCGGAACAACAAGCAGACCAAGGAGAGGTCGTACATCGCGCTGCTGCTGGCCGCGTCGTCCATCGTGGAGAAGCAGAACGACAGCAGCTTCCTGGTCGTGTCGATCCTCAAGAACGTGATCCTCGAGAACGACGTGCTGCGCGACACCTGCTATCGCGCCGGCGTGCTCTTCTACGCCTTCCACTCGATCCTCTCCAACCTCGACGACATCGATTCGCCGCAGAGCACCGCCTCCGTCTTCCTGAGCATCCTCAAGCGCATGGCCACCGTTCCGGACATCGAGAAGGACATCCTCGCTTTCACCACTTCGCGGTTCTACGCCAAGTTCCTCAAGGAGCCCAACATCGTCAAGCTCTTCATCCGCCAGCCCCACGAAGCGCCTCAGCCCGTCGCTGCCACCGAGCCGCTCGCCGAGGGCGCGGAGCCGAAGGTCTATTACCGCATGTGGCGTCCGGAGGCGTACGAAGCGATCTGCGAGGTGGCGGAGCAGGAGATCGCGCGTCTGAACTCGACGGCGGCGAGCACGGAGGGCTGGGACCGCTTCTCCAACCGCTTCCAGATGGACTCCATCAACGAGGAGTGGAAGAAGTTCACGCGCGAAGGCAAGCCCGTCACGCGGCCGCAGGCGGAGTCCACCGGCATCAAGCGGCGCCAGAGCTCGTCGCCCTACCAGCCGACGCGTCCGCAGCCCATCCCGTCCTCGCCCTCCGTCTCGCCCCCCGTCTCGCCCCCCGTCTCGTCCTCCGTGTCGGTCTCTCCGTCCGTGTCCCCGTCCGACGTCTAACCGATTCTCTTCTTCTTCTCCTCTTCGTCCTCTGTTTTCTGTTTTCTGTTTCGCACAAACACACAAAAACTTCCATTTCGGGGCTACCGGCCGGCTCTGCGCGGCGCTCTCCGCAGCAGCCTCGCTCGCCAGATCGGGAATGCGCTCCACGAACCCGCGCAGAATCGCGCGGCACTGCTCGTCCGAGAACCGACTCAAAAAGCGATGGCTCAGCAGCCGCGACAGCGACGGCCGCTCCTCCGGCGCCTTCTTCAGCACCATCTCCACCCAGCTGTGAAACGCGTGCGAGGGCGTGTGGGCGGAGGGTCCGTACGTGGTAAAAAACGGGGGATCCCCCTGGCAGGTCCGAATGATCGCCTCCATCGGCTCGTACTGGGCGTACGGCGGGAAGCCCTTGAAGAGCTCCATCGCGGTGATGCCCAGCGACCAGATGTCTGCCTAGCGATGAGACGCCCAGAGGGGGGAGAGCCTACCGAGGCATTGTAATCCGAGCGACACATGACCTCGGGGGCCATCCAGCAGGGAGTTCCGACGAACGTACGCGCGTGCGCCTTCTTCATTGCGCCTTCCATAATTCGAGAAACGCCGAGATCAGCTAAACACACGGAGCCGTCGGAATTAACTAAAATGTTGCCGGCTTTGACGTCGCTAGGGAGTCAAGAAGAGAATAGGCAATGCGAACCGGTGGAGAAGATTTGAATTGTGAAGATATTGCAAACCGTGCGCAGCTTGTTTCAGAACTGCAGATATGACGTCTTCCTAGCGTTTACCGCCCTCCGGACACGCCTACGGGAAGACCTTCGCCGCCATCCAGCTTCCCGAGTTGCTTAAGATATTGTAGAATTCGGAGCAAAGAGCCCTTTGACATGAAAGGAGTGACAATCCAAAGATGATCATTCACACAAAAGCAGCAATGGCATTTAATAACGTTCGGATGATTGCAGAGTTTCATAGATAGAACTTCTCTCCATAGATCTGATATGCTAGAAGACACGTCCTCCAGAGAAAGGACTTTGATAGCGACTATACAGTTATTGACCTTGCATCTGCCCTTGTAAACTTTCGCAAATGCTCCCTACGAAATGATTTCCGAGATTGGATCTCACATGGCCAATTAACCCTAAAAGCTCATAATCTCCGGCTTCGGTAGGCCAGAGCGTAGTTTCATCCATCTAAACTTCGATTTCTACTTACACTGAAACGCAAATAGTTGTTTTTTGTGACAGCGAGAATCTCCTTTTGCTCTCTCTCTTTCCTTTTCTCACAAACAAAATTCAAATATAATCCACTAGAAAATCGGAAAACCGAGGATTCTCCTTGACGATCGGCACCACGACCGTTTTGAACCAATCCATTCCATGGCGCCCCTATTTCTCACTCTCTCTCTCTCGTTCCCCACCACAACGTCCTTCTCTCCCTTCAACTCCCCCGCCAGCGCCTTCAGCCGCCTCACATCATCGGCCGAGTTAATCAATTGCGCGTAAGCGGCCAGCTGCCTCGCGTACTCGCTCGCATTCCCCTGCACGAACCTCGCGAAGTACAAATCCGTCTCCACCGCGGTGAACGAGATTAATGTCTGCATCGCATGCGTCCTCCGCTTCTACCGTAAACATCGCGTTCGACGCCATCGGCGACGCCAGCGACCGCGCCGGCACTTCCCGCGCGAACGCCGAGTACGCCAGCAGCGGCTGCTCCCCCGCGAACCAGCAATGGCCCGCCAAATCCAGGATGAAACTCCTCACCGCGGTTCTCGCGGTTATCGTCACGCGCACCTGCGAAACGCCCACCAGACCGATCGTCCCGCGGGAAACTTCTTCGCGCAGCAGCCATCCGCAATCCTGGGTTTCCACGGTTTCCACTTTGTGGTTCCCCAGTTTCCACACTTGGAGTCGCGCGTCGGTGGTCATAACCGCGATTATCTCGGTTTCCCCTTTTCGCGCGACGTCGAGTCCCGCGGGAATGCCTCCGATGCACACCGCGGGGATTTCGGTGATTCCATCGAGCGAGACGACATGCATCAGTCCCCCGCGGGTAACGCACACCACGTGGTGCGAAGTCGTTCCCGCCAAAACCACGCGGCCCTGCCCCAGCCACGACCACGCCAGATTCCCCGCGGGACGCAGCGCCTGCAGCAGCGTCGCCGTTTCCCCGTCGGGCGTTTCATCGCTCAGCGGAGCCGGTTGGAGGGAAAACGCCTGGAACGAAACCGTCAGCGACGAAACGCCCGGCACCGATTGGCTGAACGGAAGCGAGCGGTGCCCCGCGGGGAACTCGCGACGCGGAGCAACCGCGGGGAGAGGGGCCGGTTCCGCGGGGGGCGCCGCCTTCTTCCGCTTCTTCGATTCCCGCGGTTTTTCAGGCTCCCGCGGGAATGGATCGGGCGTTTCATCAGCCTCGCCGCGCTTCTTGGAGTCCCGCGGGGGAACCAGGCGAGGCGCCGAAACCGGGGAAACCGGGGAAACCACCGGAATCACTGGAACCACCGGAACCGCGGGAATGGGCGAGGGCGTGATTTCCGCGGTTTTCTCGGGCTTGGCGGGCGTTTCGTTCATGGGCTCGATTCCCGCGGTTCCGTTGTTCTTCTTGGGGGGCAGCATGGAGAGTTTCTTCTTTGCCGCCAAACTGCTTCGCCGCAGCCAATCGCGCATTTCTTCGCCGCCCAGCGCGTTGCCGCCCAATTCTTCGGGCGCGAACTCGACGGCGACGCAGGTCTCCCCCGCGGTGAACATCAAGCGCGCGGCGTCGCGACTCCACGTGATGTCCGTCACCCCATTGCGCGATGCCCCGCGGATCACCGCGATCGGCTGCGCGCGGTCCGTCCGCCACACCGACACCGTCCCGTCGTCGCTCCCCAGCGCCAGCAGCGACAGGAACCGCGGGGAATGCTGCAGCAGCGTCGGCGCGAAGCGCGCCACCCCCACGATCGCGCCGTGCCCCGCGAAAACCGCCTGCGGCGCGAAGGACTCGCGGGAGAGCAGCAGAGCCGCGGGAAACCGCGTCTGCCCGACAGTGGAAACGTGGAAACCTACGTAGACGGCGTGGGTGAGGCAGAGATGGGAACCGTCGGGCGCCCAGCGCGCTTGTTTGTAAAGACCGCAGCCGAACGCGTCGGAGAGCAGAGGCGAAGACGACGAAGACGACGACGAAGATGACAAGGAGGATGACAAGCCGGCGGAATGGACGCAGGACCACGAGGACGTGGACCAGACGCGCAGCTCGTTGTCTTTGCTCACCGACGCGATGAACTACGTCGAAAAGTGGAAACGTGGAAACCTCCCCGCGAGGGTCCCAGTCGACGGAGTGGACCCAGGCGGCGTGGCCGGCGAGCGTGTGGAGCGGGGAAGGGCTGCCGAGCGCCCAGACGATGAGCTGGCAGTCGAGGGAGCAGGAGCAGACGAAGCGGCTGTCGGGACTCCAGCAGAGAGACGTGACGTCTAGGGTGGAGAGAGAGGAAGGCAGGCACCGGAGCGATGGCCTTTGAAGGTTTGGACGCAGACGAAGCGGATGACGATGTCTTCGTTTTCTTCATCTTCTTCATCAGCATCTTCATCAGCTTCTTCTTCCTCTTGTTCTTGTTCTTCTTTTTCTTTTTCCTTTTCTTCACCATCTTGTTCTTCTCCTCCTTTTTGTTTTTGCTTTTGCTTGTCTTGTTGGTGATTAGTATTATCATCTCCTTCAATCTCCCCTTCCTTTTCTTTGGTTGGAGGATGCTAACCATCACACAAATACAAAAGCAACGACATAATTGTCATCCTTTTTCCAAATACAAACCGTCTCGTCATCTGAGGCGCTTGCCAAATATCTACCCAATGAGCCTATCCACCTATCAAAAAGCACTTTCCATCGGGAGACCAGCGACAACATGTTACAACATTTGAATGTCCCCGCAAAACACTTAACAGCCTATCCGTATTTTCGTCGTCTTCCTTTTCTTCAGAGAAAATGGGATCCGTCGACCAAATTAGAATATTCGAATCTGGAAATGTTATGAATCACACCCACAACGAACCTCCACCAGCCGTAGCTACATAGTTCTCCGTTGGATGGAAATCGACAGAATAGATGGATGTGACTAAACCAATTACGCCGTTGCATTCGAATCGCTGTACCATCGTGCCCTATCCAAGGAACTCTGAGTATTTTCATTGATGAAAAGGAATGTGTTCGTTTAAAGGAGTCGATCGTATCAGCAAAGATGCCAACACCAACGACCTATTTAAAAATTATGCAGAGCAAATCTATTGATCTACGATTCACCACTTGCGCTGAAGTGTGCATTAGGCAAACTGCCCTTTTGGCCGAACTGAACGTTTAAATCTCTCCTTAATCAAAATTTCAGTTTTTCGTTATGGGTTTCAAACAAACACTTCCCACGGTTTTCTATCAAGAATTGGTTTCATTCTTTTCTTTGCTTTCACACGGTTGACTCTCCTTTTCAGGAGAGTCCGATCCACTGCTATTCAGCTCTATGGTAATGCTTTCACATTCCTTTTTCACGTCTTCACACCCGGGAACAAGGTCAAATAGGTTGGGGTCGTTCGCAGCCAACACCATTCCCTTGAACACGCTCTCTTTGTGAAGCAGATTGTATGGCGAGTCATACTCCGCCACGACACCTGCGTCCATCACACACACGCGATCTGCATCCAAAATCGTATTCAGTCGGTGAGCAATCGTCAGTGTGGTACAGGTAGAGAATTGCTTTCGAATCATGGACTGCAAAAACGCGTCTGTTTCATTGTCTAACGATGCGGTCGCTTCGTCCATGATCAGAATCTTCGGTTTCTTCAACAATGCCCTCGCGATGCAGATCAGCTGTCGTTCGCCCACAGAAAAATTCGCTCCTCCTTCGTACACATCGTCCTCCAATTGTCGAGGCATATTCTCGACCACCTGTTTTAATTCGACTTGCTCGATTACGGACCAGATTTCCTCGTCCGAGAACTCATTGAACGGATCCAAATTGAACCGGATCGACGCGGAGAACAGAACGGGGTCCTGCGGGATGATGCACAATGCGCGCCGGACATCGTCCAATCCCAGCTTTCCCAGGTCCACCCCATCGATTTCGATCGATCCTCCGCACAGGTCCGTGATTCGGAACAACGCGATCATCATCGTCGATTTCCCCGCGCCCGTCCGTCCCACAATCCCCACCTTCTCGTGCGGCCTCACCACCAAGTCCACGCCTCTCAGCACGAGCGGTCCGTCCCGATACCGCAGCTGCACGTTCCGCATCTCGATCCTCCCCTCGCTCGGCCATTTTGGCGGCGGACGAAGCTGCGTCACGCGCGGCGGCTCCGGCTGCACGGTGTCCACGTACTCCTTAATGCGTTCCACCGAGTTCATGTGCGCCTCGAGCCTCGCCGCCACGCGCACGAGCTGCTTCATGCTCCCGGACATTCCCGTGCACGCCGACAGGGCAATGCCCAGTCTCCCCGGCGTGATCGCCGACCGCAGCGCCGCGCACACCGCCGCGACGACCAGCGAAATAACCGCGGCCAGGACGTCGGAGCGGACGGCGAGCCAGTTGGCGGCCCACTGGAACATCAGAACCGCGGTATTGTGGCGGTCCAGCGCGGCCTCCATCCCGCGGAGAAACCGCGGTTGGTCGGCGAAGGCGCGGATGGAGCCGGCGCCGAGCAAAACGCCCTGGAAGTCGGCGAAGAGCGGGGAACGCGTGAGCGCGCGGAGGCGCTGAATCTCCGTGTTGCTGCGGCGGAAGCGGCGCTGTAAAACCCCGAACGCGGCGAGTACGATCCCCGCGGGGAGCAGGAAGAGGCCGAAGGTGGCGAGCGTGGAGCTGAGGAGGTCGACGGCGAGGCTGGCGGCGTGGCGGAGGAGCGTGGTGAGCGCGCGCGGGAGCTGGGAGTCGGTGAGCTCGATGTCGCGGTTCAGTCGGTTCAGCACGCGACCCACGGGCGTGACGTCGTGGAAGGAGACAGGGGCGGAGAGCACGGCGAGCGCGAGCTGGTCGTGGAGCGCGGAGGCGGCGCGGAGACGGCCGGGGACGAGGAGGAAGGACTGAGCGGCGGAGGCGAGCAGGGAGAGGAGGGAGAGCAACGCGTAGCCGGCGATGAAGAAAGCGATGCGGCGATGGCAGGCGGAGGAAGAAGAGGAAGAAGAGGAAGAAGAGGCGCAGAAGGGGTCGTCGCTCCAGTAGGAGAGCCAGAAGTGAGAGGCGACGGTGAGGAGCGCGGCGAGGAGCGTGAGGAAGAGGAAGAGGAGGACGAGGGGAACGCCAACGAGGCGGAAATAATATTGATACACACACCACGGAATGGACCCGCTCGCCTTCGTTTCCTCCGACACAAGACGACTTTCCTCTTCGGTTTCCACGGTTTCCACGGTTTCCACGGCGGCAGACGAGTTGGATCCCGCGGGAATGCGGCTGGAAAGGTCGGTCTCGGTCTCGGTTGCAGGGGAGAAGGGAGAGGGGGAAACGGAGGTGGATTCCTCGGCGAGGAGGAGGAGGTCGATGGGCTGCCGCTTGAGCTGGTCGAAGGTTCCTTGGAAGACGATGGTCTGGTTGTCGAGCACGATGATCCAGTCGCATTTGTGCAGGAACTGCGTGGCGTTGGTGACCAGAATGCGCGTCCGGCCGCGCAGATAGCGGTCGATGCACTGGCGGAACAGTGTTTTGCCCACGTGGGCGTCCACCGCGGCGAGCGGGTCGTCCAGAAGCACGATCTCCGAGTCCGAATAGCAGCAGCGAGCCAGCGAGATGCGCGCTTTCTGCCCGCCCGAGAGGTTGATTCCGCGCTCGCCGATCTCGCAATCGCTGCCTCCCTGGAGCACGCGGAGGTCGTCTTCCAGGCAGCACACGCGCAGCACGGCGCGGTACTTCTTCTCGTCGTACGGCTTGCCGAAGAGAATGTTGTCCTTCACCGTCGCGTTGACCAGCCAGGCCTGCTGCGCGGACAGCGACATGCTTCCGTTCACTATCACCACGCCCGCGTTTCGCGTCATCTCGCCCACCAATGAGGACACGAAGGAGGTCTTGCCGCTTCCTACACGACCCACAACGGCCACCAGCGAGCCCTTCTTGATGCGCGTCGTGATGTTTTTTAGACAGTTCGCGTGGTCGCCCCACGCGAAATAACCGTCGCGGATCAGCACGGCGTCCGTTGCCGCGTCGTAATCCTCCACCACCTTCTCGTTCCCGTCGATGTCCTTGTAGACGACCGTGCTCCCCGCGGGGAGATCGCGTTCCACGATGGACTCATCGCACTCAGCGAGGTTCAGGAAGCGCTGGATGCGGCCCATGGACACGCGGAACTGCACGGCGTTGGACATAACCACGGGGAACATCGTGAAGGGCGTCTGCAGCATCTTGAAGAGCGAGAGCAGGTAGAACGCCACGGAGGACGACAGCGGCTTCTTCATCACCGAGGGGTACAGAGAGAAGCAGACCAAGGGAACGATGCAGGGCACCAACGCCGTGACGCAGTCGAACCCGGCGGCCATGATCCACGCCATCTGCGCGACGAGCTTGAGCTCTTTGGCGCGGACTTCTCGGATTTTCTCGAGGAAGGGCTTTTCCCAGCAGTAGTATTTGATCACGCGGATCCCCGTGAGGACTTCGTTGGTGAGCTTCACGCGCGCGTCCACGACGCGCATGTTGCGGATGCGGATGCGGCGCGAGACGATGCTGGCGTAGGACTGGATGAGCAGCATGATCGTGTAGATAGCGAGGGCGATCCACGTGATTTTGCCGAGCTGCTGAGCAACGAAGAAGATGCAGAGAAAGAGAGAGATGGGGATGGAGATCGCTGTGTTGAGAAGCGTAATGAAGAGATGCAGCTAGGATGTGAGGAGAAGCAGCAGGGAAAGGAAATACCATGTTGGTATCGCTGGACATGATATTCACCAATTGGCCGGTCGACGTTTCGCCCCTCGCGGTGGAACTGAGGACCAAGGCCTTGCGGTAGATGGCTTCTGAGGCCATGGTCTTGACGTAGATACTGATATCGGTGAGCTTCATTTGGCAGGAGGATGAGATTAGCGTGTTGATCACTGGAACGACGAATAGCATCGCGATGTAAAACACTCGCTCTGAGGTCGCTAGAATAGAGGAGGCAATGATAGTTTCGTACTGAGTGGAGATGTTTCTTCCAGGTCGCTCACCAAAATCTTTAGAATCAGGGAAGGGATGAACGACAGTATCACAGATATCGTGTTGAGAATGATGATTATTACCCAGTTGCATAGTCCGGTAGCTCGTAAAATAGAACGCGTGAAGGATTTATGCCCCTTGGCATCTGTTTTCTCTTTTTCCCAGATTGACATGAATCTGGAATAGAGTAAGTCGGGTCTGACATAATCTGGATTTTTGCCCAAGTCTTTCATTGTTAACGGCCGTTTCTTGCCGATCTTGAAAACTTCGTCGATAAACGACATTCTGAACATACAACAATAAAAGGAATTGCATACGTTAAGCGTGAAAAGAAATTAGAGTTATCATAATAGCATTTCTCTCTTTTCTACAGATAACTCTTGGAACAATGGAGCACAGTCGGAGAAGAATGATTCGAGTCTGTTCTGACTAGTTCTATCTCGGATTTCATGAGAACAGAGAGAAATAGTGAAGAATTCTATCCGAACCGAATCGAATTCGACAAACTGCAAGTCCCAATATCATCATATTTGCGTCTTCTTGTGATTTCACAAACAGAGCACGATCTAGGGATATTACGAGACCTCTTCAGTTTGTTCTTTTTCTCCTTCAGTCTGCGTTTCCGCATTTTATCCTTCTTCATTAACTCTACATATTCTTTCGGCAGTTCTTCATCCTCCTCCTCCTCCTCCTCCTCCTCCTCCTCTTGCTGCTGCTCCTGATGATACTGCTGTTGCAGCAGTTCCTCCTCCATCTCTCCTTTCTCCATCATGTCTCCCCCATCCGCCTCCTCATGCCAATGCTTTATCATTTTCCTCTTTTTTTTCATCTCCAACTCTTCCTTTTGCTTCCTAATGCGCTCATCCCACTCATCATCATCCAGCATCTCCTCGCTATGCTCCTCCTCTCCCCCCGGCAAAATCCCCGAGTACTGCGCCGCCCGAATCAATTGACAACCCCCCGCGTTTTCTTCGTCCAGTAGCGCGGCAAGCTCTTCGTCCGGCGGGAGGATCGACTTGTTGATGGCGATGACATCGGCATCCAGCTCGGGTGATGGTTTGAAGGTTCTGAACTCATCCCCGCGTACAAACCCGCAGAATTCGATGGAAAAAGTGGTTCCCGCGGGGAGCGGGAAGCAGAAAATGGGGATGTTCTCCTTCTCGACGACGAGCTTCTGGTTGAGGAACTCGAGGAAGGAACGCATGGTGAGAGGAGAAGGCAGCTCGTCGATGAAGTACACGAAGAGCATGAAGATGCGGATCATGTATTCGAGATGCGTCATGAATTGATTCACCGGGCTGGAGATGAAGGCAGGATGAGTATTAGTACAAGGAGAGATAGCGAATGCCGTGCTCGCAGGGAGGACGCTCGAGGATTACTGGACGCGAGTTTTTGAGCGCGAAGTCGAAGAGCACCGCGTAATCCTCCACGGTCCAGTATCGATAGCATCGCAATTTTCCTCGTTGCTCGAATGAGTTGATGTGGAACTGCGCAATGAGTTTGAGTTTATGAACGAAGGGGGTTCGATGAAGGTATTTGGTAGGAAGGGGCCTGTTTTTGATTACATAGAAAACTAGATTGAAGACGAAAAGAAGTAATACATTTAGGGCGATATTTGAGCTCCTTGTAAGCAATATCACTCCAAGCTTCCAATGGAGCTTTTCTCGATGCGCGAGTGTTAGTAACTCTCTTTACAAGTCTCTTCAACATGGATAAGGGTCGATGAAATAGACTCTCCATTGTGTGGTAATTGACTACGTTGTGATCAACCTATCTATTAGTCCAAAAAATAAAACATACATAGTCTCTTATCCTCTCCAACTCATCATATTCCACGGGTGCAAAAGAAAATTGCTCGATAATGAGTGCCTCGCGAACATAATTCGGAAAATTCTGTGGAGTGATGGTGATCATCATTAGTCTGCGGATTTCGCGTAGTGCCTTGCTTTTCAACTTCCTTGCTTTTTTGTTCACAAATATCATCTATATAGTAACCCATTCCATAACGCACATCGTGTAATTCAGCCAATCCACTAATTCTGTGTTCCTTGCAGTATTCAAGCGCTGCCTTCCGTATTGCATGAATATACATTGGGTACAGAAGAGGGAACGAATAGACCATTTCATACAGAAATGTTTTAATCAAACAATCCATAAAAGACACTCCAAAAACGACCCATTTCTTCTTCTTCTTCTTCTTCACTTCTTCTCCTTGGGCGGTACAAACTTCTTCTGCCGCTCCTGCTCCTTGATCCCGGCCTTCCTCTTCTTCTCCATCCGCCTCTTCTCCATTTCTCGCTCCTTCTTCTGCTGCTCGCTCAAGAAATACTCTCCGCTCTCGATCTGCAGATCCACCTTCGACGGCGTGATGTGATTCTCCGGCGGGAACGGCGTGTATCTACTCTTCACTGCCCTCATCATCTTCATTACTTCTTCTCCTTCACCACCACCTTCTTCGTCTTCGAGCTCTTATTCTCCTTCTTAAACTTCGGTAAGAACCGATCCCAATTCTCGTTTTTCAGCGCAGGGTCCTACGCATCATCGCATCATGCCATCTCCACCTTCGCTAACTCCCGCTTAATCATCAGCGTTTTGATCGCATAGATCGGATGGATGTTCTTCATGCAGTCAATGATGATTCGACGCACCGTTTTCAGGCCTTGGTAGCTTCCCATCACCGCCACCGTGTTCCCTTGAACCAGCATGTAGCAGTCCGTTAGCAGCTCGATCGCCTTCAGCGTCGCTCCTTCGGGGCCTACCAGGCGCTGGCGACGCTTGATGAAACGGTCCTTCGTGGTTACGTAGCCGCCGATTTTGATGATGTCGCATTGCATGTTGTCGTCCAGGATTTTTATGGCTTGGTTGAAAGGAACGCTGCGAGCAAGTAGCTTGATCAGGTCGCGTGCTTTCAGAATGATGTAACTACCGCTCAGTCCAAACAGGAGGAAATACGGGTCCTTCGTTTTACGCGTCGTCTTGACCGTCATCGTACCTTCGATACAGTCCAACTCGCAGTAAATTCCGTGTTTCTACAGCTTCACCGATTTATGCGAATCAAACATCTAGTTCTTTTGTAACCGCTGGCCACACTTCACGGAGATATTGCTCTCTGTAGCGGGGAAACATGGTAGCGAACGAGCTTTCCTCCAGCAGAGAAGAGGGCATATACTCCTCTTTCCATTCCTAGGAGCTAGTCCACTCCAACACACATCCCTACTTCGATTTCCCACTTGTTCACAGTGCCATCATCCCAGGGCTTGTCTTTGCGATAATTTCTCTTTTTTCCCTGCTTCTTCTCGTTTGTGGGAACTGCTTCGGTGGGTTTGTTGCCAGAATCCATTGTGTGAAGAGAAAATGTGAACATATTGTTTGCAGAAGTGTGCAGTAGAGAGTGAAAAATGCACCTGCATCTTTTTCAATTTTGAATCGCATCAAGTCACGATTGAACGATTTCATTAGGGAAATTGCCACTGCTCCTTCATTTATAATTTGTGTGCAAAAGAGTACGTGATTTGGAACAATCCCATTGTTCCTTGGTTTACAATTTGTTTTGGCTGTTGTGCATCCTATCCATCTTCTCGAGCCCTACGCGTAGGCATAGTTTATAAGATAGATATGCGATTGAAACTCCCAAATGGAACATTCCATTTTGGTGAGAGTTCCAAACTGACAGGAATTCATATTTTATTTTTCAATTTAGTGTAGGTTAAAGAAATGGCTGAACAGACTGAGACCTTTGCTTTCAGTGCTGATATTACGCAGTTGATGTCTCTGATCATCAACACGTTCTACAAGAACAAGGATATTTTCCTTCGTGAGCTGATCTCAAATGCTTCCGATGCGCTGGATAAGATTCGTTATGAGAGTTTGACTGACCCCTCAAAGCTCGAGTCGAACCCCGAGTTGGTGATCGAGATTACTGCTGATAAGACAAACAAAACGCTGACGATTCGTGATACCGGTATTGGTATGACAAAGGCTGACTTGATCAACAACCTGGGTACCATTGCTCGCTCTGGAACGAAGGCGTTCATGGAGGCTCTTCAGGCGGGAACGAGCGATGTTTCGATGATTGGTCAGTTCGGTGTGGGTTTCTACTCCGCTTACCTGGTGGCTGACCGCGTGGAGGTGATCTCCAAGAGCAACGACGACGAGCAGTACGTGTGGGAGTCGTCTGCGGGTGGTTCGTTCACGATTCGTCCCTCGACGGACGAGCCTCTGGGCCGTGGAACGAAGATCATTCTGCACATCAAGAGCGACCAGGAGGACGTGCTGGAGGAGCGCACGATCCGCGATCTGGTGAAGAAGCACTCTGAGTTCATCGGTTTCCCGATCCGTCTGTGGGTGGAGAAGACGACGGAGGAGGAAGTGCCTGATGATGATGAGGAGGAGGAGAAGAAGGAAGAAAAGAAGGAGGGCGAGGAAGGAGAAGAGGAGGAGGAGGATGCCCCGAAGGTGGAGGAAGTGACGGAAGAGGAAGCGACCAAGGAGAAGAAGACGAAGAAGGTGAAGAAGGTGACGCACGAATGGGACGTGCTGAACAAGCAGAAGCCGATTTGGATGCGTCCGAAGGACGAGGTGACGGAGGAGGAGTACAACGCCTTCTACAAGAACATCTCGAACGACTGGGACGATCCGCTGGCGCACGAGCACTTCGCGGTGGAGGGTCAGCTGGAGTTCCGCTCGATCCTGTTCGTGCCGAAGCGCGCGCCGTTCGACATGTTCGAGACGAAGAAGAAGCCGAACAACATCAAGCTGTACGTGCGCCGTGTGTTCATTATGGACGACTGCGAGGATCTGATGCCCGACTACCTGAACTTCATTCGCGGCGTGGTGGACTCGGACGATCTGCCGCTGAACATCTCGCGTGAGGTGCTGCAGCAGAACAAGATCCTGCACGTGATCAAGAAGAACCTGGTGAAGCGTTGCCTGCAGATGTTCGAGACGATCGCGGAGGACAAGGAGAAGTTCAAGACGTTCTACGAGCAGTTCAGCAAGAGCATCAAGTACGGCATCCACGAGGACAGCGCGAACCGCGAGCGTCTGGCGAAGCTGCTGCGCTTCCACAGCTCGAAGTCGGGCGACGACGTGGTGAGTCTGGAGGAGTACGTGGAGCACATGAAGGAGAACCAGCCGGGCATCTACTACATCACGGGCGAGAGCCTGGAGGCGGTGCGGAACGCGCCGTTCCTGGAGAAGCTGAAGAAGAAGGGCTACGAAGTGCTGTACATGGTGGACGCGATCGATGAGTACGCGATGCAGCAGCTGCGCGAGTTCAAGGAGAAGAAGATGATCTGCGTGACGAAGGAGAACTTGAACTTGGAGGACGACGAAGAGGAGAAGAAGAAGCTGGAGGAGGAGAAGAAGACCTTCGACGAGCTGTGCGTGCTGATCAAGGAGGTGCTGGGCGACCACGTGGAGAAGGTGCTGGTGTCCAACCGTCTGGCCGACTCGCCGTGCTGCCTGGTGACCAGCGAGTACGGCTGGTCCGCCTCGATGGAGCGAATCATGCGCGCGCAGGCGCTGCGGAACGACGCGTTCGGCATGATGTCGGCGAAGAAGATCATGGAGATCAACCCCGATAACTCCATCATCAAGGTGCTCTCCGAGAAGGTCAAGGCCAACCGCAACGACGCCACCGTCAAGGATCTGGTGTGGCTGCTCTACGACACCGCGCTGCTCACCTCCGGATTCTCGCTCGAGCAGCCCATGGCCTTCGCCAACCGCATCCACAAGCTCATCCAGCTCGGACTCAGCGGAGAGGACGAGGACGTGCCCGCTCTGGAGGAAACCAACACGGAGGCCGCGCAGGAAGCCGCCGAGGAGGAAGAGGGAGAGATGGAGGAGGTCGATTAAGCGAAAGAGAAAGAAAAAGAAAGGAATAATAGTCGTCGCGATTGTGTGGATTTTGTAATAGTAGTTGCATTGGTTGGATTGTTTGTTGAATGAATAAATGAATGAATGAATCAAGGAAGGAAGGAATGAGTAATGATGGATGCGTGGAACAAACACAAAAGGATGATTACTTTGCATCTACAACCTCCGAATGGTTTGATTGCACTTCCTTGTTTTCTTGGGGAACTTCGCTCATTCCAGAGAAGAACAGCAGAATCTTTCCATCCGGTTTCCTCTCAAACTCGATCGATCCTCGCTCGCAAATCACATTCCGAGAGTGCGTCACGCGCGACGCAACCACATCGATCACTCCAGGCTTCGCCAAAGTGAGCTGCATTCTACATAGCAACAGCAACCCACACAAACTCTCCGTAGACATCGCAGTGAAGCCGCACCTTCGATAGGATCGCTCCCTTGGCTACGTCAAAGACAACCACCCAGCTTGGCAGTCCCAACGCAATCAATCCATCGAACACTTCGCAAATCGTCAGAATCCGCTCTTCCAAAAAGAACGATTTCCTCTCGCCATTGAACTCGTATTTTCTACCCATTTACGATCTCTCTCTCTCACTCACATCATGTGTTCTCCCACAGCAAAGTGGTAGGGCTCGGGAATCGATCGAACGACGTGGAAAGTGTGATAAATCAGGTTTCGAGCGGTGCTTTTTGGATCCTACCAATCACACGGCAACGCAAGACAAACCATAAGAGAGATGCAGATTGAATGAGGCTTCAGCGACGAGACTTTTGGGAGGTAAAAGGCGTAGAATGAATCGTGGGAAAAGCAAGAAACCAGCGGATAGTCTCCTTGAGTAGACACAGAAAGGCCGCGAAAGAAGTCAGAAAACCGGATTAACACCAAGGGATCCACTTCAATCCCACAAACAACACAACACAATACTCGTCAAGTCATCATAGATGAGAAGCTCATTCTCTACAGCTCGCGAGATGACAAAAACATCCTCTTTCCGATTGTAGGCAACGAAACTGCCACAACATTCTAATTCATCAGAGTCAAAAATCCTTCAAATCTCTACCTCCACATTTTGATTCCTTGCTAGAAACAGAAACCTTGGTCAATCCGCCCTTCCCCCACTGTCTGAAAAAGACGCTACCGTCCCAGGTGGCTGCAATAGTAGTGCAAGCAATAGCAATACTCATTACAATCAATGGATACTTTTGGATGTTGATTCCAGTGATTCGACACGTCACGATTTGCTGAATCCCGATGAAAGTCCACGCATTTTGGTCAAAAGACCACAATCCCACAATCCCATCTAGAAATAAAACCAACTATCCAACTTCACCTATCATTGCCACTGCCAGGATACTATCCACGTAGTCGAGTACGCTTATTCGACTGTTCAACATCAGAGGACTTTTTTCTTCGACTTCTCCGCTTTGAGAAACTAAAAAGACGGAAACAACAGAGGATCCAAAGGCTAAAACAATATACTGATCACTGTCACGATTGTAAGGGTATATACGCACCCAGGCTGCTGGGTAGTTTAAGGGAAAGCGGTGTGTATGGTCATTAGTTGTGATAACAACTTGATAGGCTTGAATAGCAGCGTGAATTGGTGGTTCTTTTATGGAACATGCATCTATACACGGCATCGATGAGAGAACCTTCACTTCACGTAAGGTGGACAAAACAGAAATACTCGTTCCGGAATCGACATCTAGATGGACTGTAGACACATGCCCATCACTTGTATGAACGAAATAGGTTGATTGGTCGTTTTGAACTACTTGATTGACCAGGGATGGTTGTATTCGGAAAGGAAGGCTACCACTACACACGCGGAGAGTGTGCGCCATAATAACCTTATTTTTGTTTCCAATTTTTGTTTTCAGAACACATTCACAACGGATTCAAATGTCTGCACCATCCATTAAGAAGGTAAGAAGAACGTAAGATTGATTTACGCAAAGAAAGTGAATCAGTTGATTGCCAGCAAGAATTACAAGGAGGCAATTAATGTGATCGATATAGTAGGGTTCTTTGTATCTATTTATGGAAGGAAATACTCAAAGGTCGTGCGTCACTTAGTCTTTATTATCAAAGAGGTGTTTCGTACTATATGATAGGAGAAGTGACTACTTATCTGTTTCGTAATGTGTAGAAAGAGAAGGCTCGCGTTGATTTCGAGAAGGTGCTCGACCAAGATAGCAGCCATGTTCTTTCATTACAAAACTTAACAAAGATTGCAATGGATGAAAAGGACTATCAAAGCTGCATCAAGTATATCAAGAGAACAATTGAGATCAAATCGCAAGAGAATCGAGGTGTAGAGAAGGAATACATAAATCTGTACAAAATGTACATCCTGGTAGCTTCCTTATCGAGGTTTAAGTTTAGATATCGGACAATCAGAATGCCGTGCAGACGCTTCTCAAGACGTATTATCTTCCAGACCTTTCTCCGTCAGGTCGTGAAACAGTCACCAAGAAGCTCGCTGCCAACATCGTAGATTCCTTCTTTAAGACTAATCGCGCAGTCTCTCCTCGGACCGCTCGATAAAGCGAAACTCGACTTGCTCTTGACTCTGCTCCAGGAAATCAAAGACGGCTATCCCTACATGTTGAAAGAGGAAGGCGTAAAACTCACAGAATTGCTGTTCGCTTTTGCCTCGGCTCATCCAACCGAATTCGTTGCTTTGCCGCGCGTTTTTGACTGTAGGAATCGTCGAGACTCGCGCGAATTGAATCGATCTGCAAAGACACTGCGCTCTACGACATCTTTGTGGACAATCGTCTCAAAATCGCGTCGCTCGATTCGTTTTATCTCTCCTTCTCGGATCGCATGCAACTAGCGGAGTCCTTCACTCCTCAATCGACCGATTCGCGCTATCCGGAGTATGTGATTCTCTATTCGAAGAACGCGCAGAAGTTCGAAAGCTCGCGATTGAAGAAGGTAAAGAGAGAAAGAGAAACGAGAAATGATGAATAGAAGCCGATGGAGGTGGTCCAAGACCTCAAGATTCAGATGCTTCCTCCCTATCTGGTGAATCTTCAGCTTTGTTATGGCTTGTTAGAGGGCTGACGAGTAGATCGCATGTGTATGGAGATTCACGATGCCAACAACGCGAAGACGTTCTTGGACGGAGCGTTGGCGAGTCTCCCCGCTGCAAATACGAAGGAACGAAAGGAAGTGGCGTTCTATGAAGTGGAATTGGCGTTTAGTTTATGCGATTTTTTGAACGCGATTTCTCTGTTTCTCTGTTTGTTTTGGGTGATGAATAGAATCGATAAGCTCGATATACCCGAGCTGAATCGAGTGGAGCTTCGATGCTTGATCTATCTCCACACAGAGAAGCAAAAAGAGGTTTGCTCGCTCGTTGAATCAATCGAAACTCCATCGCAAACCCTTCTCGAATACTGGGCGATTTCTCTGATTCAACTCGTTTTGATCGGGTTTTGCATTGAACTCTAGGAGCAATGGGACACAGCCAAGCAGATCGCTGCGCGAATCGATCCGCAAAGCATTGCGTTGATTTATGTGAACAGCGTGATCGCAATGAACCAATCCAGCGAGCAAAACGTGATTTTCAATGATGTGTTGAAACCGTTGGCGACGTCGTTGGCCCAATTGACGCAGACTCAGCAAGATTTGTATCTGGGATTCAAATACGATTATTACTACTTGATCTTTATGTTGGTGATTGGAGAATGTTACAATGAAAAACTGCGCGATCACACGCGAGCATTGAAGTAGGAATGAGTGCAGGGTGGAAACGTAGAACCTATTTGAAGATCAATTCGAGATTCCCTTTCAGCACGTCCGTTCTTAGCCAGATCGTTTCTCTTTTGTTCCGCGAGAAAAACTATTCCACAGTCATCGAAACGTGCTTTCACTCCGATTGATTGACTCGCAGATGCTCGAAAATCCCGATCGATCAAGCCAACTCGACGGTTTCGCTCCTCGTTCACCACGGAATCGCGTTCGCTTCTTTCTATTTGGTTCGTTTGCAAGGGCCGATTGACTGTAGAAAAAGTACGATGACGCGATCACGCACTTCCAGAAAATGGTTTCCATCTGCTCTGCGTTCTTGGAGAAGCACAGCGAAGAGGAAATCAAAGCGGGCTATGGCGGGACGTTCGCTTCGCTGTGCAACTGGAGGGCGGTTTGCAAGTATTACCAAGCGGAAGGAGAGTGTTATTTCAATCTCTACAGGTAGGCCGTTTCGTTGGATTGAGATGTTTCGATTGGGGTCTGCGACGCGCGTCTTGGATCTTTTGCTCGATACGCTGAGTCAAAAACTGAACATTCAGAGTAGCGATCCGATCGATGTCGAGAATCCCATGTCCTGTCTGTACTTCGATGCGGTTCTCCTAAAATCGGAGGTATTTCTTTGCTTGCGATTCGATCCAGGTTCTCTCGCGCTCTCTCCAATTCGAAGAGAATCTTTCTCTTCTCGAACCAATGTACGACGCTCCGATCACCTCCACGCACTATCACTTCGAAGCGTTCCTTTTCCATTTGGCTCGCGCTTATTATCAACTCGCTCTCGATCTGTTTTTCTTTTCTTTTTTCTTTTTAATCATTCTAGAATCAGCCAAGGCCGCACAGAATACGCGTTGGTGGTTCTCAACACGGCATTGGAGCGAGTGAACGAAGCGCAACGCGAGTTGGGTTATTGTGCGAGCGTGTTGGAACTGAAATCCTGCGTTCTGCGTCTGAAATACTCGCTCTTGTCGAGTTTTCTCAACACCGACGAGTTGGAAAGTCTGGAAAAAGAGCAGCGAATCGTCAATCAGCAGCGATTGTTTTTGGATCCGAGCAATCTTCAGGGATGGTATGATCGCTTTGATGGTTGCTTAGAATAGGACGGATTGGATGGACGATGAATCCATGGCAGTTCGCAGCGATGTGTCGAGCTATTCGTTGAAACCGGAGGTCGAAATCGCCGAATCATCTCCTATTTTATCCTCCCATCATTCAGTTTGTTGCTTGTTTATTCTTTGACTGATTAGCTCGTATTGAAATTGATTCAGTTCTTCATTCGAAATCTGCTGCGAAACGAGTATCAATGCGAAAAGGAAATCCGAGCCAATTGCCTTTTCACTCTGTGGATGGCTTTGGCCAAAGCAGATCCGCGCCTTGCCGTTCGCGAACGCGCCTTGTTGGAGTGTTTAGAGCTTCAAAAGCACTGGAGAGGCGTGCTGCATAGCAGTATCGTAACTCCCTTCGCGATGTACAGCATTCTGTAAAGCTTTATCAAAAGCGAATCATGTCTAGACTGATGAAGAACGGAAAGCCGGAGAAAGCGATGGAAATCATCAGCCAGGGACGGAATCTCGCTTCAGACAGTCCGCTCCTGCTCTTCTTGGAAGGTTAGAATTTCGTTCCGTTGATTCATTGCAGCGTATTGCCAGTATCACTACTTCCACAGAGAAGATAAGGCGTTGGATGTACAAATCGGGCAGGCGTTTCACTGCATAGCTCGCCGAAATGTGCTGCTCAGTCGCCACGATTCCCGAAAGCGCCGTTCTCTTCCTTCTTCTCCAGTCCTTTGTGTGCTCATCGATTGATTCGCAGAGGAAACAAAACGCGATCGCAGACGGAGCAGCTCGTTCTGAAGTGTGCGAGTTTGCTGCTCCCTTCGAAGGACGATTACGTCCGTGTTCTCTGCGCCAAATCGTTCTATCGTTGCCATCTCTATCAGAAATGCATCGCCGTTCTCGATAGCGTCAAACCGAACGGAGACGCGAGGCTCGAAGCCACCATCCAAGAGTTGCGTCATCTCGCGGAGCAGGCGGAAAACAGATCGAATTCGATCGAATCGATGAAGCTGGATCCATGCAATCCGTCGTATTTCCATAGCGATGGAGGCGTCTGCCGGCTTCTGAATGGCACGCTGAGCGAAGAAGAGCTGATAACGGAGGAATCTCTGGTGAAAGAAAAGCTGATCGAGGGAAAAATCGCGGCCGAACAAACAGCTACGGTAGAATCCCTGATTGTTCCGATGAGAAATAGCTGGTTTACATGTATCCGTTCGATCCGTATTGCCAATATCTCCATTTCACGGCGCTGTATTTGGAGTATATTCGCGGAAAGAACGCGACGGTTTCGGTCGACTCGCTCTTCAATTTCGGAACGACGTGTGTCAAAAATATAATCGATTCGTATGACGTTGGATTCGGTTTGATTCAATTGAATTAAAGAGATTCTCGGTGTGGTTCTGCGACAAAAAGTATTCTCTCCATCGCAACGATATGCTCAAAAACGCTCTGCGCTTGCAAACGCTGCTCGCTCTGCAGTCCAACTCCAACGAATCGCTGTCCACTGCGAAATATTCTGCAGAGAATACGTTGATGATGGATCCCACAGATTTGAAAGCGTGGGAAACGCTCGCAATGAAGAAACTCGATGATTATGTTTGCGTTTTTGTGTGTTTTGACGGGTAGATGAAGATGGAGGCGAGCGAGGAAGAGTCGAAGACTGCGTTGAATTCATTGCGTCGACTGTTCTTCTTCGTAGCGAATAGAGAGCCGGAAGGCTCGTTCAATTCGATTCTCTTCCAGCTATAGTTTGCGATTGGATGCTGATTCATTTGTAGCGAAAATTTGCTGATGGGAGAAGAATCGTCGCATCTCATTACGGCTGAGAGTAGAATTGATGGATTGTTTGAAGAGTAGTGGTGAAGCAAATGCCCGAATTGGCGTATCACATGAAGCAGGCTTATATCTTCGATCAGGAACTCGCTGGATTTGCGAAGAACGGAGAAATCGCGAATGTGAAGGACGTGTTGAAGGAGTGCAACGCGTTGAAGAAGACCAAGAAACTCTCGCAGGACGAAGTGGATCGCGTGAATATCGAAATCGCCTTGATTTTCTATCGGTCGAAGGATTACGATCACTGTGTGAAGTGGATCAAGAGCAAGTTGGGAGCCTATGAAAAGAACAGCTGGCAGAAATTGGCTATGGAATACGTCTATATTCTCTGTCTGGACATGATGAATAAGGAAGAGGAGCTTTTGGAATTCGCGACGAATTTGCCGGACGGTCCGTTTTTGCCGATCTACAAGCGAATCTTTGCGAATATCGAAATCTATATTGAGAATTGATGGATCGAAAGTGGTTTGAGCGAACACACACAGAAAAATGAAATGAAGGAAACAAAACATAGATGATAGAAACATCACAGGTCCATAACAAACAATCAGGATACAATCGAAGTGAACTAACAAATATCCCGAAACTCGCAACGCGAGCATTGAAACTCGTTCTTACACCGCGAAAAATCGCAAGCACGCACACCTCGGATATACTTTGTGATATTCGACTCGATCAACTTCCCATCCATTTTACCTAAATCGACTTGACATCGGATTCCAGACTCGATGTTTTCAAACCACATCTACAATCTCAATCCCTTCTATTTATCTTACATTGGAAGGATCCGATCCGTTCAGCTTTCGAAACGCATCGACATAACTAAAGATCACAATACAAACTCATTCAAACCTCGCAGCTTGGAATGAATAATACGTTTTCACATTGGAAGCAAAGCTTTCTTCATTCAACTCCTTGTTTGATGGGTTCGATTTGTACTCGACGATCGTTTCCGGCTTTCCATTCTTTCTTTCCCTCATTCATTCATCCAAAAACTACCCTTCGATGCGATCAAACACACCTCTAAACCGGTATTTCTCCTCTCTTCCATCCACTTCGATGCTTCCATCCAAAGCAAACTCCGATTCTACAGAAATCGGCGCGATTTCTGGATTTTCAAAATATCGTTTGATTTCTCTCTTCAAATAACTCATCACTCCGTTGTAATAGTGAAGTTTCATCAGCTTCTTCGTCGCAGGTGAGTCGTAATCCTCCTCTTTCCAATGATGCCGAAGAACCGCGCGAATGATGTCCGTTTCATCGGGAGTTTCGCCCAATGCTTTGTATTGATCGAGAAGTGTTTGGATTTGTTTGCTGTTCTCGCTGCTGTTTAAAAGAGCGCGCAGATTCGCTTCGGTTGGCTGCTTTGCGATTCGATTTGCATAATGTTCGCGCAATTGTGGGTTGTAAAGAAGCTAAAATCAAGCAGAATAAGAAGAAAAACAGTGGAGAAGTCTTGCAAACATCCGTGAAGCGAGGATCCGTAGCTCAAATAAGGCACTGGAAGTCCCTGCGAGTTCAGTACCTACAATCAAACGTGAAAATGAGAGAAACGTAGCGAAGATAAAAAGCATAAGGACATTGAAAGTATTTGTTGATTCGTGAAACGCTTAGAAGAAGACGAGAATCTCCCGATTCGTCAGTTTCCGAAAGAATCGAAGCAAAATCAACATTAGAAGAAGAAGGAGGAGAAGTTGAAGAAGTTGAAGAAGTTGAAGAAGAAGAAACGGGTCGAGAGATTTGTTTTAAAGAGCGTTTCGGAGGAGAAGGAAGAAGAGACGATAGAATAACACTCGGCTTTGTAGAACGCATTTGTCCTGAAGAAGAGAATAGTGTGTATGAGAGATAGGGAGGTGAGAGTGAGCGAGAGAGAAGTTCTTGAATGCAACGAACGTCATACGAGGAAGAAACGAACTAAAACTGAACGTGAATGAATGAAACGACAGGCTGAATTGAAGAAGAGTCAGGGACAATGGCGCATTCCGGGAACAAACAGGAAGAACTGACGCGATGAAGTGAAATCCTGGAAGCATTCAACTGAGGCAAAAAGAGAGACTGAAATGAATGAATACACAAAATGAGCTACTGTGAAGTAATTGGGATATCGATCTGCGTATGTTCCGACAAGAATAACGTTGGAATCGATTGGGCTGGTTTCATCCTTTTCTTCTGGATTGGAGTCACATTGCGTAAGAAGAAGTTTCGTTAAAGGATGGCCTTGAAGGCTTCGCAATCGATCCAAGATGGAAGTGGAAGGAAAGAGAGGAATGAATGAAAGGAAACTAGAGTGAAAGGAATGCGTCGTTTGTACTCAATGTAGTCGTGAAGTTTAAAGAATGGAGAAGACGAGTTCGATTTCAAAAGAGGCGAATGGCCGTCTTCCAAATACATCAATTCATTCAACAGACCAATCAATGAAGACTGGCGTTCAGAATCGTTCATGATTTGTGGTAATTCATGAATTCGATTATAAAACTGGTAAAGAAGATAAGACCCAGGATAATTCAGTAATTGATTATGCAATGATTGGATCGTCGACATTAATTTCGACAAGTTTCTCCATTCATTCTGTGGAAGATTCGCTTCAGTTTTCAACGCCTCCTTCACCGTTTCATAAAGACTTTGATGATTTCGTTTACAGTTCTGAATAAAAGTTTGGAGGGTCGTTGTGGAGATTTCAAGCGAAGGAAGTTGTAACACTGTCATCATATCATAACTTCTAGAGTCGTTTGGATCATAAAGAAGACGGAGAATGTTGATTCCCTCCGAAAACTACAAGTCTGAACAAAACAAAAATCGAACGTTGCTAGTTTCCTCGTTTCCACGATAGGGAAGCCCTTCTTGTTTCAGAAGCGTGCAGAACTGCTCGACTTCTTTCTGTGTCTTGAAGAATACTCCAATGACGTGATTCATTGGATGGTTTTCAAACCGATTTTCTTTCACCAATTCCTCGACTGAATTCTCGGATCTTGTTTTTGCCATCGCAGGACCCTTCAAGATCTTTTTGATCTGATTCACAATCTCTTCTTGTTCCTCCACTGCAGAATAGAACTCATTCAATCGCACTCCATAGCCGTTCTTTTCGATATCTTTCCACTGAAACACTTCCGGTTTCTTGAGAGAATTCTCTCGATTCCATGAGTTCGGGATCTGAATCACATTCGATTTTGATTTTGATTTCGCAGCATTCACTTTCAAGTCCAAAATCGAAATGAAATCGCTCATTAAGCAATTTCCCTCTACGGATTGAATCGCCACATAGTCTCGAAAAAGATTCTCAGGATTCAATCGATCCGAAGGCGTCTACATGGAAATGATTACTTCTATCGTCTTACGATCGATGTGTGGTGCGTAAGCAAAGCGGATTGGCACTCCGGGTTTTGAATCAGAGCGGAAAGAAATTGGTTTTGGACAAGTGAATTGTGTTCAATCGAAAAAATAAACAAGTGCGAAAATCGCTAACTGTGAAAAATTGGAAACAAGAAAACGCGTGCGAAGAGATCAAGAAACTCTTGGTTTGTAGAAAGCGTGGAAGCGAAATCGGTCGGCGAGTACAAGCGCTGATCTTTGAGGAATGAATCGAACAACGCGTAGATTCGAGCGAAATCAGAGTATTTTTTGTTCAAATGATCGGGTATTTGAGTTGTTTGGCTCGAGAGAAAAGTGCTGAAATCGGTGGGGGAAATGCTATGGGATTTGAGAAGGTTGATGTTACGAATAATTGATTTTGTTTGTTGTGAATAGGAAACGTTTAGGGTGTTGGAAGGAAGAAAGATGTCTCGATTTGACTCGAAGACCACTAGCTGCTCTCTTTCATTGATTAATCGATAGGATTCATCGTTCAATATATTCGGATAATCTGAAGATATCATTCGAATCAGTGAGTTGAAAGAATGGACTTCAGTCTCGATCGACGAAAGAGGGGCAAGTCTAAACAACATCCTAAATGCAAGTCTCTACACGTCGATTGTTTCTTGGATTCGAAATCGCTCCCAATCTCGATTACTCAAACGTTAAGGCTAATTCAAAAATCCATAAGAACAATGGGATATGACAAGATTAAAATAGACGCTGGATTTGAAATTTCTTCCAAAAGAGACACAACTCGTGAAAGAGCCTATATCAAATCGAAAACCAAAATAAATACATTGGTTGTCAATTTACTCCCTAATTTACCAGAAAGTAATAGTTTTGAGGCAGATTCGTTCTTCGATAAACCTTGACTTGATGAAACACTCCTCCTAAGCTGTTGGTATCCACTTCTAGTCACCAATTTAGACCGAAAAGATCCTAAACGAAGCATTCCAGCTCACACCTAGAATTCTCACTTGTTTTATCCAATATCTTACAGATAATATATTCTGAATGCTCGAAAACGATTCGTCAAGGAAAAAAATACTCCCACCAATAATCTCTTGCTTGAAAGAGAATAATGAGTATTCGGTTTTGCGAACAAACATAAGATGATGCCATGCTTTCATAAGTTCTACGAACCGTGTGAAGCAATCTCCACATTGCGGTATATCTTGAATGTGATTGTTTTGAGTATACTGATTGTTTGTGCGGTATGTCTACGAAAAAATCAGAGAGAAGAATGTAGTAGGAATAATCTACATTACACTCTTTCAACAACAATCCTACTCAAAAGCGTTAGCTTATTCATCAACTCTTCTTTATTGTATCCATAATTAATGAAATATGGATTAAAAATGGGATTATTAATCGAACGACGAACGACAGAATACGGCTCCATATCATGTGTAGCATTGTACGGAAGCAAAACGTTCTGGGTCTCGTTAAGCATTACATTAACATCGACAATGTCCTAGATTGTCATTCACTCGTAGTCACTACATGTCGCAGCACATCATGAGACTTCACTTTCGTCCCATACATCTCCTTCAAATTCTTTTTTGTGGACGGAATTTGTTTCCAACTACATCTTATTTGTACTCAGAAACAAAACATATCCAAACAGACGCCACGACGATAGCACTTCTTCATGTTTATCACCTTGTCGTTCATTCGGAACGTTTTAAGCAGAATGACAACTCTTTCATTCTTCAAAAGCTCAGAATGCTTCTGAAGAGATGTATAAAGAGTTTGGGAAGGAAAAGCATCAATGTCTGTGATGACATAGTGGGAAGTATCGATCGATTCAATCGCTAAATCACGCAGTAAATTGATTGGGAAGATAGTTTGGTTATAATGATCCGCGCCAAACGTGTCGTAGTATATACTACGGAAAGGAACGTTTGAGAGTTCTTTTATGATATAGAGAATGAACGTTATCTGCTTCGTTTTCGAGAAATTGTTAATAAAATCCTCAACTTGGGGGATCTCTTTCTCTGTTAACAAAACGGCCAAACAGATTCGATTCTTCCATCGCTGAACCAGGAATGGGATTCTATCAATCCTGTTCATGGAAAGAACGGAGATCAAAGTGAAGTCGATAGGAAGACTTCGTACATCTAAATAAAACGCGACTCTATGAAATACATGGCTTTCTTTGAAACGTTGAGCATTTCATTTCCCTTGAATCGAAAACCATCAAATAAAAGGGCTGGCAGTGAGAATAAACCGATCTGTCATAGCAAGGGTAATAAAGGGAGTCGCGGTACTTGTTTAAAAAATAAGAAATGCGCTTGGCGTTTTTACAAGGGATGCTGTAAGATCCTTTTATTTCGTATGGAACGTGGCGGTGAAAGCACTCCTTTTCATTTACTATTCGGCCAATATATTTTGTCCCAGAAAACTTCTTAATATAAGGGTTGTGGTTGGCATAGATTTTGTCCAAAACACTGAAATCCAAATCGTGCTACTATCAAAACGATAAGATAAATCCCTACGAGTAATCTCTTATTTACCACGTCTATAGTTGTTCTCAACTCACCACTAATACATTTCACATAGGCATTAAAAATAAAAGATGATACAAGAAAAAGCAAAAAAGTCAAAGACATGGAAAAAAGAAAGTGAAAAAAGAAACTCATTTTAAAACTGCATTTAGGTTATTGAAGATTATAATTCCAGCTTTGGGTAATAGTCTATATTTGGTCAAATAAAAGAGAACTAGGGGCTAAATGAAACAAAATTCGAACAAACAAGCTCCAACCCAGATTTGAAGCAAGCAAACTACAGTTTCGCAATCGTCTTAAACAGCCTCATCATATTATATGATGTAATCGCATTATCTGACCATACTAGCTTGGGATCGAAATGAGGTAATTCGAAGCCAAAATCAGACGACAAAATGTAAAAATTATACCCTACGTATAACCCCTCTATCCAATCCAAACGATTTAGTGTGACTAGATAATGAAAAAACTCTTCATGATCCAGTTCTCCAAAGAAATAGGGATGATACAACGGCAAACTGGGATACCGCTTATACACTCCATACGACATCAAGCCACTCGTAATCTTCACTTGGAACAAAGCTATGTCTGTAGACTCGATCCACGTCGTTTCATTCAGCACATTCTATCTGTCAGAGCTTCTCTGCATTCTCACAGCGTATTCACTCTTTGCTGGGATTATCTCTTGAGATAAGAACTGCTCTTCGATGTCCTGCTTTGAATCGGGGATGTCGTTCCATCTACAACTCACAAGGCGAGCAGAAAGACAATACAATAACTCACAATCCTTATTGGACCGATAGCAATTCGCAGAGAGCGCAGAATCCGCCAATTTCAGTGGCTGGATGAGAAAAATGTTAAAAGGACTGTCAAGGAAGCGTTTGGATTGGAGCAGGTTTGAGTACAGCGAGCCTAGGATCGAGTTGGATGTCCAGAGCTACGCGAAAGCATCAAATCCGCATCGGCCACAAGGTAATGAGTAGTTTCAATCGACTCAATGGAAAGATCACGAAGAAGATTGATGGGGTAAATGTTGTGGGCATAGCTGAGTTTGTCGTGCTCACTATCCGACAGAGCGATAGGAGCGCTTGTCTGCATGTACACAATAACGGTAACACGTTTTGTTTTCACTAGCTTTATGATCAGCTTTAAAGCTTCGTTTAGTTCTGATCCCGTTATGATTAGTGTTAGAACAATGGGTCCCGGCCATCGTTCAAGATGTTTCTTGAGATGAAACGTTTTGTCAAGACTAGGGAATGAGTTGTTCAAATGAAGCTACGTCATTGTAAAAGTCAACGTGATATTGTTGAAGGGCTTTTGTACATCTAGAGTGAATATCGAATAGAGAGCAGTACAAGGCATTCGGGAGAAGTGTTTACACTTCAAATCGTGAGAAACCTTGAACAAGTAGTACTTTTGGCAAAAGGAAAAAGTCCTGTTGTCTTTACAGGATACCTGTAAATAATCTGAGTGATTATAGACAAAATTAACAATTGAGCTAGCAGAATTACATGTCACAGAAAGACTCTTTTTCAAATCATAGTCCGCCATTCCATTAAACAATCTCTTGTCATTTCCGAGGTAATTCATTGGTTTGGGAAACCGATTTAGTTTCACAAGAAAAGGGGAAGTTGATTCATAATAATCGTCACAGCACTCCATACTTGTAGCACACTATTTTTCAAGTAAGTCTCAAATGTGTACATTACCACACATTTCAAAAGAGGGATACTTTTCTATAACCTTCGTACTACGAGAGAAATAATCCGCTGTAGTTTTATTCTTGCCAGATCGTATGTTGATTGATTTTAGTTTACTTTGCATTGGATATGCACTATAATGTATGGCCCTCGTGTACAAGAAGCATGCTACACATAAAATTGCAAACCAGAGGATCATCTAAACTAAATTAGGGAGTTTCCTCAGAACCGAATCGCTCAATACTCCACAAAATGTCTATTGCTCAACAGTGACACCCTTTTCAAATGTAAAGCTTTCGCTTGATAGGTAAAATCGTCGAAATTACACTCGCATGCAATTTTTACTTTCTTTCTAAACAGGATCATTCTACCAAACCTTTCCTTTCTCTCTCCATCCATCCAACGCATTTCCAACAAACAACTCACTCAACCCATCATTTAAATACAGCAAATAAGCCCAACTCAATCAATCAATCAATCCAGTGTACATTCTCCTCTCTTTACAGCTCGTCATCCTCCTCGTCCTCCTTGCGATCCTTCTTCAGCATCTCGCGGAACTCGTCCTCATCCATCTGTTCTCCGTTCTTCAGATCCACCTTGATGCCGTTCTCGTTCTCGTCCTCGTCCTCCTCCGTCGCTTCTTCCTCCTCTTCCTCCTCGTTCGTTTCCTCGGGCACTTCAATCTCGGGCTCCAACTCCATGCTCTCCAGCTGCAGCGACTCCTTCATCAGGCTGTACAGACGCGTGGCGAACTCGTTGGGCTCCTCGATCATGAAGCCGGAGTTCATCAGCGCGCTGTCGTACAGCAGATTGGCGAAGTCGCGCGCCACGTCGCTCTCCGGATCCTCGTCGGCCATCTTCTGCAGGCTGGAAATGATCGGGTGGCGCGGATTGATCTCCATGATCTTGTGCGACTTCAAGTACTTCGCTCGCTCCGGGTTCTGCAGCGCCTGCGACTTCATGATGCGCTCCATCGTGGCGGAGTAGCCGTAGCGGCTCGTCGAGAGCACGGCGGGCGCGGACTCCAGCTTGCTGGAAATCTCCACCTTGTCCACCTTGTCGCCCAGCAGCTCCTTCAGCCACTTCGTGAAGCTCTCGTACTTCTCCTCGTAGGCCTTCTGCACCTTCTTCTGATGCTCCTTCTCGTCGCCCAGCTCGACGCCCTCCTTCGTGATGTCCTGCAGCGTCTTGCCGTTAAATTCCCGCAGGTTCTGCGCCACGTACTCATCGATCGCCTCCGTGAAGTACAGAACCTCCACACCGCGACGCTTGAACGTCTCCAGGAACATCGACTCGGCCAGCTTCTCCTCCGAATCGCCGCTCACGAAGTAGATCTGCTTCTGCCAGTCCTTCATGCGCTTCACGTAGTTCTCCAGCGAGGTCCACTTGCCCTCCGAGGTCGACGACTTGTAGCGCAGCAGACGCGCCAGCTTGTTGCGGTTCGCGCTGTCCTCGATCACTCCGATCTTCAGCGACTTGCCGAACTGCTCCCACAGCTCGATGTAGTTCGCGTTGTCTTCGGGCTGCGTGCTCTCCACTTCCTCCTCCTTCTGCTCAGTCTGCTCAGTCTGCTCCACTTGCTCCTCCGTCTCGGTCTTCTCGGTCTTCTCGGCTTCCTTCTCAGCCTTCTCAGCCTCCTTCTCCGCAGCCGTTTCCTCGGCCAGCTTCTTGATCATCTCGATGGCCTTGCGCACGATCTTCTTGCCCATCACCTTCAGCACCTTGTCCTGCGACAGCTGCTCACGCGACACGTTCAGAGGCAGATCGTCCGAGTCCACGACACCCACCACAAAGGACAGATAGCGAGGAAGCAGATCGTCGAACGAATCCTGGATCAGCACCTTGCGCACGTACAGATGCAGGTTGTTCATCTTCTTGTGGTAGAAGTCCTCGTACAGATCGGCGGGCGCCTTCTTGGGCAGGTACAGAATGCACTTGAAGTCGATCTCTCCCTCCGCCTTGAAGTGGGTCCAGGTCAGAGGCTCCTGCTCACTGTTGCGCACCAGCGTCTTGTAGAAGTTGGCGTACTCCTCGTCCGAAATCTCGCTCTTGTCGCGAGACCAGATCGCCTTCTGCTCGTTCATGAGCTCCCAGTCCCACACCGTCTTCTCCTCCGTGCGCGTCTTGGGCTTGTCGCTCTCCGCCTCTTCTTCCTCGACTTCCTCCGCGTTGCTTCCTTCCTCATCCTCCAGATCCTCGCCCTCGAACACATCCTCCTCTTCCTCTTCCTCCACAGGCACCTCCACCGTCTCCGTGTGGCTCTTATACAGATAGATCGGGAACGTAATGAACTCCGAGTACTTCTTGATCAGGCCTTCCAGCTTGTCCGCATCCAAATATTCCTTCGCATCGTCCTTCAGATACATCGTGATCTCCGTACCGCGACCCAGCGTGTTGCCCGCAGGATCTTCGCCCACCTTGAACGTCGCATCCGCGCTGGATTCCCAGATGTGCTGAACGGGATCCTCGTCGCTCTTAGATCGCACCACCACGCGATCCGACACCAAATACACAGAGTAGAAACCCACACCGAACTGACCGATCATGTTCAGATCGCCTCCAGCAGCCATCTTCTCCACGAACTGCGTCGTACCCGACTTGGCCACCGTTCCAAGATGCTCGATCAGCTCTTGCTTCGTCATACCAATACCACGATCCGTGATCGTCAGAGTACCAGCCTCCTCGTCGAACTTGATGCGAATATCCAAGTCGTCCACGGAGTCGTCTCCCAGAGCCTAGAGACATCGTTAGATAAATGTTCAACAATTTGCAAATTCATTCATTCAATTATTCATTCATTCATTCATTCATTCATTCATTCATTCATTCATTCATTCATTCGAACACAACAGCATGATTCAGACCGCGTTTTCACGCAAAGTGCGTTCATACGAATAGAGGACCAGAAGGGTTCGCCAGCACAAAGCTGTTCCTGGAGATCTCTATCCTCACAGACACAAGCTCATCATAATCGTACAAAAAGAAGCACAATTCACAACGTTTGACATTGCATTGAACAACTACGTACCTCGTTATTCGTCAGAGAAATGAAACGGATCTTGTCAAGCGCATCAGCAGAGTTCGAAATCACTTCACGCAAGAACACATCCTTATTCTGGTAAAGAGAGTTAATAATAATATCCATAAGACGATTCACTTCCGTTTGGAATTCATAAGTTTCCATCGTAGGATTCTCCTCTACAGCCTCCTCCGAAGTCTCGATAGGGATCTCCTCCATAATTTCATCATCCTCCTGGGCAAACACCATCATACCTATCAATTATCAACTCTTTCAGGATTTACTCGGTCCAGAGAGGAGCGCAACCACCATAAGCGTATAGAGCAAATACTTCAGAATGCTTTTCATCAGTTATTGCACAAAGAAAAAGTAATCTGGGGAAAATGCATATTCTAGAACAACTCATTTGCTTGGGGGTTACAGAATCTCTTGCCAATCACAGAGTGGAAATTGCTACCCAGGGGTATTATTACCATTCTAAGAGATTGCTATTCATAAATAATAAAGTGATTTCTCTTGTGTATTAGAGTTGAATAAAAGAGATAAAGGCTCGACTTTATCCAATTACTCTGTTACTTCAATAATAGCAGATATTTAACAAATGCATTCAAATCGAGCTTGTAAACACAACCGAACCACTATAACTTTAAAAACTTCAGTGATTCTTTTCCACTCCTTCCTTAGATTATTTTTACAACGAATATGAGTTCAAAAAAGGAGAAGAAGACGTTGGATGTGTTTAGCAGTGATGAGGGAAGCGATTCGGAAGATATCAACCAACTCCATGTTAATAAGCAATTTAAAGAAGAGTATGCACTAAGCAATGATGTTGACTGAATAGATTCGAAAAAAGAAAGCAAAAACAGGAGTTGGCCAAAGCCAGAGAAATGGGCATTGATCTGGATGGCGATGATGAAGAGTCATCGGAAGAAGACGAAGGGCAAGGTTTGACGTATAATAGTCATGTTTGTGGTCAATGCATAGTTTTAAGAAAGAAGCAGAAATTTTGAATGAGATCCAAATGATTAAAATCAAGGACCCACGGTAGAACATTCTGGGTGGTTTCTTACGTTGTAGTATTTTCGATAAGGAGTTCAAGTTTTTTGAAGAAGATGATGATGACGACGAAGATGATGAAAAAGAAAAGAAGAAGAAGAAAGAAGCATAGTAATCGAGTTGGCTGTTGTTTGATGAATAGTACTGCAAAGGATATGATTCGAGAGCGAGCATTGGCGTTTTCTCTTTTACTATTTCATTTATTTCTAGGGGAACTCTGGATAAAGATTCAGACTCTGATTCGGACGCAGATTCGGACGCAGATTCGGACGCAGATTCAGCTGAGAAGAAGGGTTCAGAGAAGAAGGAAGAAGTGAGTAGTCAACGTTTCCTTTGATCTTCATAGAGAATACTTTCGAAGGCAGAAGAAGAAGAGAACCTCAAGAAAGAAGTGCTGGAAGGAATTCAGAAAGAAGAATATCCTATTGACTTGCCTTTGTTTAATTCTTAACATCACGGTGGAAGCGAAGATGGGAGAGAGCGACGACGACGAGGATTTCTTCACAAAGCGAGATGTTCCCGAGGAAGAGCAAGACAAGTTCGCACAGTACTTGGAAGAAAACGCGGACGAAGAAATGAAGAAGAACGTGCAGAACTATCTGCAAGCGACGCCTGAAGACGAGAAGGAGCGATTCCTTCTGGACTACATTAAGAACATGCGATGGAAAGGAGACGGCGACGATTTCGATCTGGAGTAGCGAGTTGAGGGGAGATTTGATTGGATAGCGATGGACACATGGATGTGGAGAGCACGAAGGCGACGAAAGATGTCGATCTGGACGAAGATATCAAGGACATTGACCAGCAAGACCGTTACGAATATCTGTTCAATACCCGATACGAGCAGGAGAATATTATTTCGTATCCGCGGTAGGCGAGAAGAGGAGAAATGAAAGGTAGAAACATCGAAGGATCGATGCGACGCTCGAAAGATAAGCGAAAGCAGGAACGAGAGGCCAAGAAATTATATCCTTTTTTATGAACAGAATTCGATTCAATAGCTTTCCTGAACGAAACGAGACAAGAAGACGAACGAAAACGTCGCGAAGAGGAACTTCGTCGATTGCGTGCATTGAAGCGTCAAGAAATCGAAAAGAAACTGCACGAAATCCAAGAAATCGGAGGATTGGATAAGGACTTGATGAGTAAAATTAACCTGGATGAGGACTGGGATCCTGCGAAATACGACGCCGAAATGGAAAGCTTGTTCAATGATGATTATTACGGAGAAGACGAAGAGAATCCGGATGTGAAGCCGGATCTTCATTTAGAGGAGATTTTGGATGAAGACGAGCTTCCTGAAGAGGTGAAGAAAGAAATGGAAGTCGAAGAGAAGGAAGAAGAAGAAGATTCGGAAGATGAAGATCATGAGAAAGGAAGTGATGAGGAATTGTTGGATGAAGAGAAGGAAAATGAGAATGAGAATGAAAAACGAACGGAGGAAGAAGATGAAGAATTGAAGAAGCATCGAGAAGAGGCTGAGAAGCTCGTCGATGAGCTCTACAATCTCGATTACGAAGATATGATCGGCGACACTCCCGTGCGCTTCCACTACACGAAGGTCCGTCCTCTCTCCTATGGCTTATCGACGGATGAAATTCTCCAGGCGGACGATAGCGAGCTGCGCAAGTTCGTGTCGATTAAGAAGCTCGCGCCGTATCGCGATCACGAATGGAGAATTACAAAGAACAAGGTGGGGAAGTTCAAAGCGCTGCTGAAGAAGCAGCTGAAGAGAGAGGAGCAGGAAGCGAAGGAGAACCGAAAGAAGGAGAAGAAGCAGCGAAAGAAGGAGAAGAAGGAAGCAGAGCGAAGAATGAAGGAGCAGGAGAAAAAAGCTACAGTAGAGAAGAAGAATCGCCGCTCGAAGAAGAATAAAAACGCAAAGAAGAGTGACGAGGCGAAGGCTGCTTCTTCTTCTTCTTCCAAGTCGAAGGAATCCAAGTATTCTGTTTGTAACAAACACAGCAAGACACAGTGTCCATAGCTGGTGGAGGAGTATCTTGATTGGCACTCTCTGGGCAGGAGGGTTGTGCGATGGGTCTGGTACGAGACAGAGGCGAAATAACAGATCTAAAAATATACAATTTTCCTTTTTCAGTGCCCACAACGAGGCCATCCATCAGAGGGCTCCACACAGCTATATTGGCGTTATCGTTCACACCGATTTTTTCGAACTAGGCTCGACTCTCTTGGCCTGCACCTACATACAACCGCCAATCCAGCTGCCGATAGATGTGAAAGAAAATCGATTTGAATGAATTCGATGTTTCCGTGCTACGAATACGATACGACGTTAAAATGAAATCATTGCTTGGAGAGATTTGCAAGGAAGACACCATCGCATTTTCTACGTTCCACCCCCTTTCTTCTCCTACCCGGAATTCGAATTTTGCTCACAATCTTCCCGAGGGTGTTTCCCAATAAGCTTACTTTTGCGATGTAGCGAGGCGACCGGATCGGATAAATCATCTGAACAGGTTCATACACAGGAACCGCCAGCGGGTGCAGCAACGGCGCTGCGGGAGGGTTGAGAAAGAGCATGCTCGGCGGTCGTTGCAGCAGTGAAGCGGCCATGTCTTCGTGATATTCCCGCGGTTCCAATGGCGGCGTGTGCAGCGCAGAACCCGCGGGAGTGCGGGGATGCGGCGGGGTGAAAAGCGTGGGAACGCGCGGGGCTTCCTGCGAGGCGGCGGTCCGTGAGGGCGTGAGGTGGAACACTGTTTCCTGGGGCCGAGGCGTCTGCGCGGGAGCGGGGAGAGGAGACAGAGCGTCGCCAGAATGGACGGGAATGCGCCGATTGTTCAGCTGGAGCAGGGACGGGCGGGGAATATCGGGAACGGAGTCCAAGGAGTAGAGCGAGTTCTGCGGAGGTTCGCTTCTAGAGAGCCAAGGGATTGAGTTGCTACACGGAAATGATGGCGTAATCTCCGTTCTGCGAGAAGTGGATGCCGTTGGCACAGTTCACAGTGGATTGATCGGTGATGTCGTTGCATCCGTACACGACCGTGGCTTTGGTGTAGTTCTTCGAGTCAAAGCACAACGTGGAGCGTACGTCTTTCACCAGCTGGTAGCGACTGATCGTGAAGGTGCGAGGCTGCCTTCGATTCGTCAGATTTTCGTGGGCTGCACAATGAAGCCATGTCGACAAACGAACAGGCGATGAATCCTCGGCCGTCTCCGTAAAACTGAGCGAATTGGAACTTGCGAACGCTTGTGGGGAAAAGGTTAATCAGAATGTTCTTCTATGCGTGAGAGCGGGGGATTGCCACCACGGAATAGTTCCAGATGTACACGGTGGTGCCGCAAGTGATCAAAATGAGTTCTTTTCTGAGGGTCAAACCAGACATTCAATCAAACGATGGATGCCAGTCCAGAGAGGATATGATCACGTTCTGCATGATGATGGTCTGAGCTAAGATCTCGTTGTTTCTCCAGTCCCAGACGATCACGAAGGAACCGATGCATCCACTCACTAAGATATCGGGATTACGAGGATGAAATTTCACTGCCCAAGGAGTACGAGGGTGCCCAACCAACGTCTAGTCATTCGGGGATGTAGAAAACAACATACCCGAATAATATGGCCTGTAGAGAAGTCGACAATTTTAATGGTATGATCTCCATGAGTTGAGGCGAAAATGTGACTAGGATATATATGCAGGATAAGAAATACCCTTCTTTTTGGAATTCAATTGTGATTGTACTCTTTACAGTTTCGGGATACATGAATTGAACTTCTTCTCCCTTAAACTAGTTTGGTGAGATAAGGACCACACCAATACATCTTTTACTGACTTTGTTTCCGCATAAATGTCAAAGAGCCTCTTTTGATATCTGTTTGAAGAAAATCCATCTATTCATCATTCGTGAACACGATATCGCCCACATCTCTTCCTATTTAGTAGCATTTGGACAATGTTAGTCTCTTGATCACTACATTGTTATATTCTGAAATAAAGCGCGATTACCTCATATTTTACATATAACAAAAACAAAGTAAAGTAAATGATTGTGACGAAGAAAAAGAATATGATAAATAATACATTGAACTCGTTTTATTATTTGACTATGTTATTTACTTAAGGAATGATGTCACATTTTCACATGAGTGGTGTGATGCTTGCTTATCATGCGTTATTAATGTTACAGAGAATAATGTGAAAAATTGGCATTTGGAAATAAGCATGTTCGGTATAACCGCGGTAAATGCATTTTACTTGAATCCATCTTATATTCTAGATTTACTCTTTATTATGTGCTATCCTATGGCAATTATGATGTTTACGTCGTATTTCAAATAGAAGAGTGTGAACACTATTAAACTACACAAACTTTGCCTACTACGTTTTCCAGTTGTTGCAATACTCTACATCCATGCAAACATAGGAGAATTGCGATATGTACAAAAACACATAACCGCGGTTATCATTGTTCAGATGAGATATTGTCCACATTATTTATTCAGGATTTGGAAGTATGTCTGCCCTCGAGAAGCGCTTGAAGGAGTTCCAGAAGAAGGCTGGAAACCGCAACTGTTTTGTTTGTAACCAGAAGGTCATCCATGCCAACGATGAGTTATCTTTAGGGTCCTCAGTATTTTGTGATGGATTTCCTCACTCTGGTATGCACTGGATGCAGTGGAGTCCAGTGGGTTGTGTTTGTATCGTTTCATGTTGTAGCCGTTCTTTCAGCCACACAATTAAGCACTTGACCCTCGCTACTTGGACCAAGGAGGAAGTTGACCTGGTAGTTACCGGAGGAAACAAGGTTTGTGTAATTTCTCCGCGTTGACAGATAGAAAGCTGCTAAGAAGTACCTGAAGAACTGGGATGAGAATAAGAATCCTCGTCCTCAGCCTAGTGATAAGGAAGGTGTGAAGCAGTTCATTCAGGACTGTTTCGTCGACCAGATCTGGGCTGGAAAGGGCGGAAAGGCCAAGAAGAACGACTATGACGATGACTACGAGGACGACTATGTTCCTAAGAAGGGAAAGAAGTCCAGCAAATACGACGATGATGACGACGACGACTTCGCTCCTCGCAAGCCTGCCAAGAAGGCGAGCCGCTTCGAAGACGACGACGACGACGACTTTGCTCCTCGCAAGCCTGCTAAGAAGGCGAGCCGCTTTGAGGATGACGATGATGATGATTTCGCGCCTCGCAAGCCCGCTAGGAACATGAAGAAGCCCGCGATGGATCTGTCCGGCTCGGAGGATGAGGACTTCGCGCCTCGCAAGCCTGCCAAGAAGCCTCCAATGAAGCCTGGCCGCCGTGGACTGGAAGTGTCCGAGGAGGAGGACGACTTCGCGCCTCGCAAACCCGCTAAGAAGCCTCCAATGAAGCCTGGTCGTCGTGGATTGGAAGTGTCGGAGGAAGAGGAAGAGGAGGACTTCGCTCCTCGCAAGCCCGCCAAGAAGCCTCCAATGAAGCCTGGTCGCCGACCTGTCGAAGTGTCCGAGGAGGACGACGAGGAGGACTTCGCGCCTCGTAAGCCTGCCAAGAAGGCTCCTGCCAAGCCTGCCAAGAAGGCGAGCCGCTTCGATGATGAGGACGAGGAGGAGGAGGACTTCGCTCCTCGCAAGCCCGCCAAGAAGGCGCCCGCCAAGCCTGGCAAACCTGCCCGCAAGCCTGTGGAGTTGACCGAGGAAGAGGAGGAGGAGGAAGAGGACTTCGCTCCTCGCAAGCCCGCCAAGAAGGCGCCCGCCAAGCCTGCGAAGAAAGCTCCCGCCGCGCCCGTTGAGCAGTACGATGAGAGCTATGGATATGATCAGGGATATGGATACGATCAGGGCTACGGATATGATCAGGGCTACGGATATGACCAGAGTGGATATGATCAAGGATATGGATATGATCAGGGATATGGCTATGATCAAGGCTACGGATACGATCAGAGTGGATATGATCAGGGCTATGGATATGATCAGGGTGGTTATGATCAGGGCTACGGATACGATCAGAGCTATGGCTATGGATATTAAGCTTGTACTTGTTTGGAGTGTTTGTTCCAAGCAAACAATTGCAATTCATTTGTTAATATCACGCTTGATTCTATGAAAACTCTCTCTAACCTGATTGATGATCACCACACTAAGAGCAGAGAGGCGTTTGCAGCTTCTGATCCACAGTGCTTCGCAACACTTCCTCGGTAAACGCATCCACATACACATGCATCTTCGTTCGCCAGTTCGTCTTCGATCCCTCCGCAAACCAATCCTCTGCAATCTTCGACTTGGGATGCGGCACATCAATCGCAAAGCTCTGCGACAGAACCGTATACTTGTACCCCAGCAGTCGGAGATGTGTGATCCATTGCACCTTATTCTTTCCATAGTTCACAAATCGCTCGTCGAACGGAGGCAGTTTCTCGCTTCGTTTCACCACAATGTAGGGCTCTTGAATGTCGTTCTCCATACAAGGCACGTCGGTTACATAGGTCGTCGGTGGGAGAGTGTTCCACTCATCAAAATGGTATGAATGCGTATGCGAAGCGACTCGGAAACGATTGCATAAGCCCTTTTCAACACACTCGAGCACATCCTTCTTGGTACTTGGAAGGAGGTTTTTGATGCTACAATCAACCGAATCAGCAGCGAGGCTTACTTGTCGATACAGCCCGTAAAACTATCGCAAATGGAGCCCTTAGGGAGAATGAACTCAAAGGCTGGAATGATCGTCGCAACATCATTCCTCTGAAGGTAGTCGCGAGGGAGGGACTTAAGAGTACTGTACAGATCCACTGGAGATGAGGGGGACTATCAACAAATGTACAGGCAGGCCACATATCCATATCTGCAAGCCAAATGTGGGTTGTGCGAACATTTCTTAAGGCGATATTTCTCAGCTTGTTAATCGGGTATGGGTCCGGCGCATCACTGAAGTGTGCAATGACATTCAACCGATTCGGAATATCGAGTGTTTTGATGTAGTCTTCGTAAATTACTGATCCGTGACCGTAGAGGAAAAACGCAATCGACAGAGGACTATATGAGTCAACTACGCACAGCAATACCCTTTCCAGCGGTCAAGCCAATAGGGAAGGAAATAAACACGTTCAAAACTATGCCATTAGAACCAAGGCACTCCACTCACCTCGACTGTGACACTACGGTAATGTCATATTCTTCCTACAATCTCATCAACGAAATTATTCCAATACATTTAAATTGATCTTCTGCTCCACAACAGGAGAAGAAATTTTCGCCGAACTATTCTCAGGGAAAACCTTGGTAAACTCCACGCTCTTATACGACAAAAATAGGAAGCCGCCAAGCATTATTCCAAATAGAATGAAAGAGAGAGCGTTGAACATCTTTGGAATTGAGAATATGAGAGTAGTGGGCTCCCACGTTTTTAAAAGATTGAAATAACGATTATTGAGTTTTGAACCATTATCTGTGCCTTAAAGCACGAATCATAGCTTTGCAAATTGTAGTCCGACGTAACAGTACAGTATACCCTTTCGATCGAACGATATTTCCCCATTTTAGTTTGGTGATGTCCACCGAAATGGAGAAATCTATTGAACCGTGGATAAACTCTATTTTAATAACATCATTTGATGAAAAGAAGGGGCCTCAGATTGATTACGAGTACCCTAAGCTCCTTTTACCCGAATCGGTGAGAAACGAGATAAAGATATCGTCCTTACCGAGAACATCTTCAGATACGGAGAACCAGTGCTTCTTTGTAATTCGTATTCGTGCCGACAAAGATGTGTCTTATTCTATGCAAACATGCGACAACCACAACTTTCTGTATGGTTACATATATTTTCAGTGAGTCTTGTGGAATGAGTTCTTAGCGTAGGCGTGTTGAAAACCTAGCAGCTCAGAGAGGATTCTCTCAGTTTTCGTTTATCATTTTATCTCGTTTTCCATTTTACTCCTTATTTCGCAAGTACTGGTTCATTGTTTCCTCAATTGTAGCTTATCTGTGTTAGTAGGTTCTCTCTATTTAAAGTACCATAAAAAAGTTATCGATCTAGTAATAGATGCTGTTTCACTCTGGTAAGTGATTCTTTCTTCGCTTCAACGTAGGCCACACCCAGAGGTCGGTGGTGTGTATTCGCTGCCGGTATTAGATCTTTATTTCCAGTTGAGTATTCCAAACACCCCGTTGTTTCGCAAACTGTTTTCAATATCATCCATATCATTATTATCTTCTTCTTCTTCTTCTTCTTCTTTGTCGAACAAAAGTCGTTGCAAGCGAAGTGACTCCTTGCCAGACAGCGTGCTAACCGAGCCTACAACTCCTCTTTGTGGTTCCTATCCAACCAGCTCTCTCTGCACGCCTTCTCGCTGGGAAGAACCGGAGCCAGCTGTGAACCGACTCTTTCTCAGCGGTACCTTCGACTCCCACATTTACCAATTCCCCTGCTCCATCCCCGTGATCGCGTCTCCAACTGGCGAGCTGGAGGTGGACGAAGAGGAAGTGGAGCTGTTGAAGCGATCGAAAGAATTGGGGAAAACGCTTCCAGCAGATTGTTCTGTGGAAGGATTCTTCACGGTACGCTGCTTCTCCTGCTGTTTCACGTCGTAGGATTCTCCGATGCTTCGCTCTTGCTGCCTTCTTCATGACGTTCTCTGGAGAGTTTGGGAAGCCCTGCTTCTCTCCCAGTCCCTCGTCGTGTTTTGCCCGTGCGTGTCTTTATTATCGAAAGTGATGACTGCCCTCGCTTCGCTTATCCATCCTTTAGTTCCCACTCACGACTTCCGTCCCTATCTCACCGTCTACGACCAGGATCTCCGCGCCATCGAGGCCTCGCTCGAGAAGAAACTCCCTGGAGCGCTGCTCGCGGGGACCAACGATCCGTTTATCGCTGAAAAACTGGGCAGGTTCGTGGATATTTTGCTGATCCCCGCGCCGCAATCCGATGAGCGCATCGTTCTCCGAAGCGTCATCGAGGCGTTTCCGGGCGTTTCGGGGCTGAAGAAGCTGCTGAGCGATCTGGAGAAGAAGCAGAAAGACCCGTTCTGCGTTTTCCTGCAGCACGGCGAAAGTCGCTACGAGCCCTTCGTGGAGAACTGGACGGAGGACATCGAGAAGCTCATTCTGCAGCACCGCTCGTCGCAGACGAAAACGGTGTACACGAAGAACGCGTTCCTTCATAACCACATCGGAACGATCACCAGTAACTTCCTTTCTCCCTTCCACGTTTGCATCCGCCAATTCAAGCAAGAAGCGCTCAAATTTATCCCACGTATCCTCTTCTTCTTCTTTCCTTTTTTTCAGATCCGTATCGCACGATGAAGGAGCAGCTCGTGGGAACGGACGTCTGGCGCGTGGAGGACGCGACGTATCGCCATCCGGAATGGCTCAAATATCCGTTTCGCGAAGGCGCAGCGGCCGATTTGATGTACCAGTTCGCGCGGTCCGTTCATGTGGAACGGATGGTGAACCAGCTGCGAGAGGAAGTGAGTCGAGAGCTGACGGAGATGGAGGTCGCGTGGAGGATTACGCTGGGGAGAGAGCAATTGATGCGATTGCTGCCAAGTGATGAGCAGGAACGAACCGTGATCTATAAGAGGATTCTGTGTGTATGTGTTAGGGAAGGGAGCGAGTGGTAGATGATCGAGGCGGAGAAGAAAAATGGGAAAGATCATGCTTCATGTACTTCCAAGCGTTTGATTAGCAAGATGGAAGATCATGCAAAATGGATATTGGAATCGATTAGCAGATGTGCTTGTTTGTGCAAATCAAAAATTTGTTAAAGACATTACAGTAGACTTCTGGGAAGAAAGTTGCAATCACGAATTTGTACGACGAACAATAAAGGACGGGTTGTGGAAACGATTATTCCAACAAAGACGGTGAAGTGAATGAAATCAGCAACTGACTCCTATTTTTGAAAAATGGCTTTATTCTAAGCCAAACTGCTTTCTAAACTGCTTTTTCTGCATCTCGGCAAGTTCTGGATTCACAAGACCAGTCGTGCCGTCTGTTCCAAGGGGTCTTCGAAAGAGAAGAATGTTCGGATCGGGTCTAGACGCTGACGGAGACCAAAATCAAGTACTTATGTGTGGCATAGTGCTCCCAACCCAGACTCATTCGAATACCGAGCGACCTCCACTCCTGCTCGGTCAGTAGCTTTCCAGCAGGAAATTGTTTCGATAATTCTTTGGGAAGGGTTACATGTCTAATTCTCAGGTAATCTATTCTAAATTACCTATATTCGTAGGTTTCATCATAGTACTTATCACTGTAATCAATTTGACTCGCGTAGTTCATGAGATCAAACAATCTTTGAATTCTTTTTCGTAATCTAAACTGCAGCCTGGCCCATATCGTTTCTGTAAGAATATAAAGAAAATGAAACTTGAAGTAACCCCAAAATCAAGTGCCTTTGATTATCCAAATATCCTTTCATTTTTTCTCTCTTGAAATGGACTCAAAAAAGCGCAAATCTGGGAAGAAGCACTATAACGAAGAGCTGATTGAAAGAGATACGGGAAATAGTTCGATAAGTGGTCGAGATAGAGATCGTCAAACTTACTCGGTTCAAAGTGTGCCCACGGGAGATTCATACACAGAAGGTTATATCGACGAGACTGTAATTTTCTGGTATGTACAATTACGATGTAGTTGGAAGATAGTATTGTTATCGGAAATAAACAGAGCAAGTGCTGCTGCAATTGTAGCGGCGAAGTGATTCGCATGTACCTGATTACCATCTCGACTCTGATATTTGCTATTGTAAGCCTATTGGTTCGATTCGAAGTAGTTGTCGGCTCTGATCGGTATCTATCTCATTTTTTATCGAAAAGGGGAACAAAGTAGGATTCAGAGCGGTATTATTGCTCTTGCTATAACAGTTTTTTGTACGATTTTGGGTGGTTGCTTATTTTCAGTGCTTGCTCCTGCGACCTATGGAATTACGAGAATTGTAAAACTGAGCAGGAGAACTCACCGCGCGAAGGCATCCAAGAATAAAGAACCGAAAAGGACATAAATCCTCATGTCAAATTAGAAATGTAGTCCATACCAAATCTGCAATTGTTTCCAAAACAAACAAGCAAGACTCCGTCGTAATACTCCACACTTTCAATCTCCTGCAATTGAAAAGGAAACGGATAATCCTTCACTCCCAAACCAATTACAGTTTTGGCTTTGGCTTTTCCGCTCAAATTGCCAGGAAAATTGGCACGCTTCGCTGTTGTTCCCAGCTTTGGTTGCGATGGTTGCGACGGCTGCGACGGCTGCGACGGCCGCTGAAGTGTTTCGTTTGGACTCGGATGGCTACGAGACATTCCTACAGATCCTGGTGGTCTGCAAGCACTCTTCGGCTTTTGCTTGTTCGCAGGTTTCGAGATAGGGGGAAGTACTGCGCGCTCCTCTGGGCTCCTTTCTTTCTGAGAACGCCGGTCTTCGGTAGGTTTGACAGCTGCTTGCTTCGGCTGAGAGTGTCCGACGGACTTTTTGCTATCACCATGTTTCACAGGACAACTACTCTTCTGCTCTGCAGCAGAATGCGGGTACTTTGTAGAATGTGCAGTAACAGGTTGTTTGCGTATTGTTCTATTGGTACAGGTCTCTGAGGCAGAGTGCCCAGAGTTTGCAAGACGTTCAATCTTTACTGTAGTTTCTTTGGGGAAAACGTGGTACATTTTCTGTTTATAAAAGCATTAAACACATTTCTACGTAGAAGTGGCTGTGAATATGATCTAAAGATCTAGCACAGGACTCACGGACCATCCTACGAATTGGAAGTCAAACAACGCGATTTACAATGGGTCTGCTGCTTGCGATAAGTGGCTATAACTACATAAAACAGCATTCGAGTATAAAACTTAAGGTCACTACGGAAGGCAAAAACACTAGTTGAGGCGCTCATTCTGATTTATCTCCAGATACAATTAAATAACTAGCAAAACAGAGTAACTTGTCAGTTCTTTAATGTAAAGAATGAATACAGTGGGCAATATTCACTGTTCCCCGTTATTATTAATATGATTTAAACAGGATGTCCTCCAAGAAAGGTTTTACTCTTTTTCGAAAGAAGGAATCGAAAACCTCTCATGGAAAGCTTGTAAGCCGTAAATAGTACGTTTTACGACAAAGACGATAGAAGGGTCGAGTAAGGAGGAACGGAAGGTGAAGGCCGCTATTAAAATCGATGAGCAACCGAAGAGGGAGGAAGAAATCATTGTTCGGAAGATGAGTGATCAGAGGTTGTGTTTTTCGGTATATTTCATGTAGATTCCAAGAGCTTCTCGATGAGTCAAGACGATCGAAATTGGATTGGATCAATCAGGGACGCGAGGAGTCAGAAGTGGATTTATGGCCGATATTGAAAAAGGAGACGAACATTTTGCGTCTCACAAACACATTGCATCCAAATCAGAATCAGTATTGCTAAAAACACAGTGTTTCCTTTAGATTAAAGCGCTTAGGGACTGAAATCAGCTCTATCCAGATCATTGCGCCCGCTATCAACACAATGCAAGACATGGTGAATACCCTGAAGTCTCTTCGTCAGTCCTGCAAAGCGTTGAACGAGGAGGAAAGAAGATCTGTTTCTCTGAGCGAAACACCCGTCTGCAATTCCGTGCTCGATCAAATGAGCTGGATGCAGAAGCCAGAAGAGGAAAAGCTTCGTCTCTGCCAAGAATTCCCTCTTCCCAAGAATGTGAGCATCGATGAGAACCAAGAAGTCAATCGTTTGTTTTTCTCTCTGCTTGTTCTCCTTGTAGAAGACAATATTCTGTATGAGAAGTTTTTGCAATGGCTTCTGGACGTGGACAACTACGAGCTGTTCATTCGAATCAAGAAGTTCGTGAGCAGCATCAACAGCATTCTTCCCTCCAGCGATCCTTATTATCGCGAAGAGCAGTACTCGTTGAATCGTCGGATGAGAGCTAGAACGATGAAGATCGCGCAGGATATTCGAGTTTTTGTGAACGAGGCGCTGTCTGGAATCGAACTCTCCGATGATCAGAAGCAGCTCTATCCCCGTTATCTTCAAAAGTTGATCATGGTAATGTGCTACAACCAAGTAAGCCGCTTTTATTAATTGGGAAGAAAGATCCTCGCGTGTCTTCCTGGCTACAGACCCGAGAAGAAAGACTATTTCTTAGCGCGTTGTCGCGCTCTCTCGCAGTTTATCACGTTTAAAAACTTGGGGCATGACAATCGACACACCGTGGCGCAGTACAAAGAATTCTGGGACTGTGCGATCGAGCGTTGTGCTTTTGGAGAGGGTCTGATGGATAGAACTGCAAGTGATGGCGGTGTATCGGTTTGTGGACGATAAAGTGGTCTGTCTGAACAATGCGATTAACATTCTCACCCGACTGCTTGAAACGATCTTTAAAGTCGTTGGAGCCGATGAATTGATGGATGGCATCTGCATTATCGTGATGCAGGCGCAGGTCCCTCGCCTGAAGCTTCAGCTCCAGATGATTGACTACTATTATGAGGGAGATGAGTCGATGGCAGGGATTTTTGAGAGTGTGAAGCTGCGAGTTCGGAGCATGATTTCGTTTATCAAGAACTGCAAGTTTTCTGATTTTTGCAAGCTTGATTTGGCGGAGTGGGAGAAGTACATGGGGCGCAATGGCGAGGGTTTTTCGCAGCTTCGCAGGAACTCGGAGCTGAGTAGCGATGATGAGATTTCGGTGATCCCTTTTGAAGACGATATGAGCGAAGAGAATAATGATGAAAAGAGGCAGAAAGAGAAGGAAGACAGCTCGATGACGCCTGCTTCTACGGACTCGCAGAACTTTAGAAACCTGTTTGGAAAGAAGATGAAGAAGATTGTGGACGGAAAGTGGAGAGATTGCCTCGATCCCAAGCCTCGATGGGTGGAGAGCACTAGAGTGAACGACGAGTTGGTGAAAGAGTGGAAAGCGCAGCGGTATCGATACTACAAGGTGAAACCGACGAATCCGGAGGAGGCAGAGGATTTATATGATGTGGGTTTTTGGCTGGGCAATAATAATAATAATATAGGAATACCGCAACGTAGTTCGCACTGTTGAAAATTTGCTATATTTGGTTCGATCTTTGCGTGTTTGTTGAAAACGAGAGAGATGGAGGGAAAAGTTGTTCGGCCAATCAGATGCTTCCCTTCCAAAAAATAGATCAGACATGTTCAAAGAATGTCACAACGGATTGCTCTGAAGCCACGAACGTATTTTCTAAAGAAGCAGAATTCAATCCTGGGAGGGCGATCTGCATTGAATTCTCAAACAACCGTTACTCGTGGAACAAAAGAGTCTTCTGATCTGAAGGACTATGCCGAGAAGATGATGCGTGAGCAAAAGCTATCATCTCAGAAGCTCAATCAACTTGTAGGTTGTGTTTGTGGGTCTTCACTTTAGGCGATCTCTCTCCAGCAGATGACTCGTACGATTGGCTTCTTCTTTCAAAGTTTAGAAAAACGGCAAGTGCTCATCAAGTCCTTGACAACACTAAAAACCGAAAATTCCCGTTTGAGAGAAACGATCGCAGTGCGTTCTCAACAGGTCGAAGAGATGACAAACCAACTCCAGGCGGTAGCCACCGCCAAGCAGGACTTGTATGACCTTCTGACAAAACTATTTGCCCGGTTTGAAAAGGTCAAGTCAGTTCAATCCGAAATCCACACGATGCTTGTGAATCAACAGGACAAGGCATCGCAGATGAAGGATGCTCTGTCTTCCATGAGTGAGCAAATCCAAGAGAACGAGACTCTGTTTCAAGCAAGTGAGAAGAAAGGGGGAGTGTTGATGTGTAGAGCAAGAAGAAAAGAAGAAAAAAGAAATCGAATTGAAGCAGCAGACAGAGCAATGCGAGGTCCTCACATGTCAAATAAGCGAATTGGAGAAGAAAATCGATTCGCTCCTCGCCGAGCAAAAGGAAAAAGAAGGAAAACTCAGAGAGCAGCAGGTGGTCATCGATCGCCTGGCGAAAGAAGCTTCCGATCTAAGTAGAAACGGAGGGATTGTTGAATGTAGAATCCACTCTGGACAAGAACACAGACGATCTCAATGAAAAGAAGAGCGAAATCGAAGCGATCAAAACGGAAATGAAGGCCGAATCGGAATCCTCTGGACTCGAAATAAGAAGGCTCAGCGAAGCGTTGAGTGAGAAACAAACCCTTCGAAAGCAGCGAGAAGAGGAAAAGCGAGCGAAGCAACGCGAGCTGAAGGAAACAGAAACGGAAATCGAGCGGATCGGCGAAGAATTTACCGAAAAGGAAAGGCAACTCATTGAGCAGAGATCGAAGAACGAACAAGAGCGAACAAAGCTCGACGAATCGAAGGCTAAAGCCAGCGAAGCGGAAGCCAAAGCGACGGACTCCAAAGAACAAGTGAGAGACGCGGAAGAGAAACATCGCGAGGCGGCAGAACGGTACAAACAACTCGAAAGCGAGCAGAAAGCGATGCTGAAGGAGCGGAGCGAATTGGAAAACAAGCGAGAAACGCTGGGAGGCCAGAGCGGAGAGAGTCTGGAAGCGAAGATCCGAGCGATGAACGATGAACTCAACGCGCTGCGAGGCGAACTCGCGAAGGGCGGAGAGCAGATCCGCGCGATGGGCCTCGCTTCCATCTCGGAGAAGGCGTTGAACGATCGCATCGCCGAGCTGCAGAGCGAAGTGGAAGCCGGTGAGAAGGAGGACGCCGCGCTGAAAGCGGATCTGGAATTGGCTCAGCAACGGAATGAAGCAAAACGAAAGGAACTGGAAGCGAAGGAAGCGAAGCTGCGATCGCTGGAGGCGACGATCCGATCGCTGGAGGCGGAGGAGGAGAAGACACGGAGCGAGTCGAGGGAAACGCAGAAGCAGAGGGAGATGGGCGCGGAGATCGAGGGGCTGGAAGCGAAGATCCGCGCGGTGGAGAGCGAAAACGAGCAGATCATGGAGCAGGTGAGGATTGGGAGAGGGTTTCAGGTAGATCAAAGAGCGGTATTCGCTGATGATCGAGACGAGGAAGAAGGAAATCCAGAGACAGAAAGAGCAGCGAAGAAAGGAGAGCGAAGGGAAGCCGTCCTCCCAGACGAAGACCACGCCGAAAAAAAGTACGATCATCTTCCTGTCATAGTGTAGAACCCTCCTTCACGCCCATTCGCAAGCCTCGAGTAGGATGCTGCGATCCTCACAGAATGATCCTTAGAAGTCGGTGCGACCCACACTCTCCTCGCTCTCTCGAAAATCACGAGTACCGTCCACTGTGCTCTTTAACGCGTAGATTCAATTCCAGCCCCAGAAGGTCGAGCAGTCCGCTGGGAAGAGCGACTGGTTCAACGACGATTTCTTCAGTTACGATTGTTTGTTAACAAACACACGAAATTCGAGGCTTCTCCTTGATGTGAATCACTGTCGAGTCTCTCGGCTCGTTTTTCTGGATGATTCGATCCACTCCGCTCTTGATCGCCTTCCCAGTCTTCTTCGCTCCCTCCACTACGAATGTTCCTGCTGTACGAGCGCCAGCTGCGACCTTCTGGGTGAACTGGCTCTCTTTCACTCTGTTAGCAGCTTCGACGGTTTTTCTTCCGATCTAAATAGCAATTCGATCCTCGAAAATACTTCAGCCTCCTTGAATTTCGTATTTGCCTTGGAAACGCCTGATTTCAGTTTGCTCCACCCTAGCTGCAAATACGATCCCACGGTTTTAGCACCACTTTTGATGGTTTCTGCAGTACTTTTCTCCTGTAGGTGATAATAGAAGGTAAAGATGGACTTCACACTTTCCCTCCTCCACCTGAAGAAGATCGATTGTGGGTGTGGTTTCGTTAAGATTGCTGTTGTCACTCATAGTTTTAATTTAATATTTAATCCATTTTTGAATCCCTAAGGATGGGATATTCAATCCTAAGTCTACGAACTAAGTGTGCGATATATGTAAGAAGCGGTTTCTACGTTGTTCCATCACCTCAATTCGAATTGAATCGATGAAGAAGTGGTGAAAAACAAGAAAGAACAGAATCGCGGGAATCGATGCTTTTGTTGTGATGAGTTTATCATTATAAAATCACAGTTTTATATCATAATAATTAGTTAAATGAGTCAGGAAGCTGAGGAAGCGATCGTGAAGAAGCAGGAAGAGAAAAAGAAGAAGTTGAATGAAGACAGCGATTCTGATGAAGAGGAAAAGAAAGAAGTAGGAAGCGTGGTGTAAATGCTAAATATGCAGAAAAACGAACGAACAAAGAGCGAGAGAGCAATTCGCACCTTAAAGAAAAATCGTAACGGAGCAGGCTTGGCAAATAAAATTCCCACAGGTTTGCAATTCGAATTCAAGTGAATCATAGTAAACCCTGCACTAAAGTGTAAATTGAGATATGTGCAGCTGCAGCGTGTGTACGACTATCTTCAAATCGAAAACGAATATATTAAGAGTCGTCTGGAAGCCAAAAAGAACGAAGTGAAAGACGATGTAACAGACCTTGTTAAACTCTGACAGCTAGAAGGCCGAGATTACAATCGAAACCATCCGCGGATCGCCTCTTACTATTTGCACCGTAGAGGAGATCGTGGATGATGATCATGTAATCATCAGTATAAAAGGCATTCTGGAATACTTAGTCGGCGTTGCCTCTTTCGTTGATCGAGATCTCTTGGAGCCGGGCGTATCCGTATTCGTCACCAGCACTGTAATGCATTTCATCGATTGTTCATGTAGTCGATGTTCGTCGTTGGCATCGTCCAGGAGAACACCAACAGCTCCGTCGACGTCATGCGAGTCGAGAAGGCCCCCGCCGAGACCTACGCAGACATCGGTGGTCTGGACGAGCAAATCCTTGAGATCAAAGTACCCCCGATTTCTGCCATTCCAGAAATAGGAATCCGTGGAGCTCCCGCTGACGCACCCCGAGCTCTACGACGAAATCGGCGTGAAGCCGCCCAAGGGCGTGATTCTGTACGGAGAACCGGGCACGGGGAAGACGCTTCTGGCGAAGGCCGTGGCGAACAAAACGTCTGCGACGTTTCTGCGGCTGGTTGGAAGCGAGCTGGTGCAGAAATACGCGGGAGAAGGTAGGGGAAGGCGAGGATGTCGAGCGCAGGACCGAAGCTGGTGCGCGATATCTTCCGAACGGCGCGCGATATGGCGCCGTCGATCGTGTTTATCGATGAAATCGACTCGATCGGAACGAAGCGATACGACGCGGACTCGTCGGGAGCGCGCGAAGTGCAGCGAACGATGCTGGAGCTGCTGAACCAGCTGGATGGGTTCGATGATCGGGGCGATGTGAAGGTGATTATGGCGACGAATCGGATTGAAACGCTGGATCCGGCGCTGCTGCGACCTGGGCGAATTGATCGGAAGATCAAGCTGCCGCTGCCGAACGCAGAGAGCAAGAAGCGGATCTTTGCGATCCATACGGTGGGGAAAAGAAGGGGGAGTGAGGGGTAGAGCAAGATGAGTTTGGATAGTGACGTGAATTTGGATGCGATTATCCAGGCGAAGGACGATCTGTCGGGTGCGGATATTCGAGTAGGGGAGGGAGAGAGAGGATGAGGGATAGTCGATTTGTATGGAAGCGGGTATGATGGCGTTGAAGGACCGAAGAATGAAGGTGAACATGAACGATTTCGAAGAGGCCAAGAAGAAAACGCTTTTCAAAAAGAACTCAAAGGAGCCGGAGGGTCTTTATCTTTGATGTGTTTGTTGCGCACAAACAAGTCATTCCATATAGTCCGAGTCTGAGTCCAAATGCGCCTTTCTTGGCGCTTTTGGTTTGGATCTTGTTTTGGGTGCTGGTCTTTGCTTTGACTCTGCGCTTTCCTTCTGCTTTGGCTCTGCGTTTTCCTTCTGCTTTGACTCTGTTTTGTCCCTTGCTTTCCTCTGTGTCGTTTGGGTCTTTTTCGAAGGCTGGATGCGCACGCGTTTGGAGCTGGGCTCGCCATCCGACGATGCTGCAAATGTGTTTGAAGTCGAAGGCTCTGTAATAAACGTGGTAATTATCTGATGAGGTTTGTTCCGAGCTACGCATTTCGGCAATTCAAACGGCTTCCGAGACTGCAAACACTGCAGAAGTCGCTCGAGAATGAGAGCCTGGCCGCAGAGCGACGCTTGCTTTTTCTCTTCGGCTTCATTGCGGATCGCTACAAGCTTCTCTTTCACTGCTTGCTGCATTGTGGTTTGATTCGCTTTGTTCTCATAACGATACTCTGCTAACAGACTCGCCACATCACCCACAAACTTCAGATCGGTCTGAGATTCGGAGAACGCGCAGCCAACCAGCGATAGAAGGAACTGAAGCTCCTCCTTCTTATTGAGTTTGTGGTACTGCTGCAAAATGAACTGTACGGGAGCGATCGACACAACGGAACTCGCTAATCGGATGACGACCACCGAGTGGCAGCGCGAAATGATCTTTGTGATAAATGATTCAGCGAGTTTGCGAGTCTATTCGTGAAGGAAGCAAAGCGAAATCGACGGTTCGGTGAGGACATGTCATGTGTTTGACGCCAATCTCACAGTAATCGGCTCCGTAGATAAATCCTCCATCCAACACAGAATTCAAGATGGCTAATGAAAGATTCGTTATGTCAAGAACGGTGCTTAAGCAAGCTTTTTTCACAGAGGGAATAACGCATCGAATGATATTTGGTAAGTAATCAAAGGCGTCGCATTGGGTGACGGATCCATCGAGAGAAGGAAAGGTTTCTTCCTGACTGAACAACACGATTGGAAGGTTTGTAATGAAATTGAAAAACGTGTTCAGAGCGGAATAAGCAATACGTGGCTCGGAGGAAGCGATCATCTACAGTTCAGTGAGTTGAGTGACCGAACTTCGCTGAGAGAATCGAAAAGAAATGTACTGATTTTGTTTGGATTGTGAAGAAGACATTGGAAGCAGGTTTGAATGCATTGAACTTTGAAAGAGTCGTTTTCGGACTGAAGATGTGTGGAGAGATGGTTTACAATCTGTTGGTAGTCACACTCCTGTGCGATCGAAAGGGTTTCTTTATAGAGTGAGCAACTTAGATATTGATAAATGTGTCCGATGAGAATGATAAAGCGAGTCGATGGGTGAGACGAGCGAATGGTTTCCAGACAGCCTGAAATCGTTTCAGCTATGAATTTGCTGTTTCTGATCTGTACGATCATCTGAGCGATCGCTTTCAAACCCTCCAAAGTGTCAATCGAAGGAATCAAGGAAGCGATTTGGCTTTCAATTTCCGTCCAGTCGTCCAATTTTGTTTTCTGAATGAGTTGCAGGGCGACTTGCCATTCTCGCATCGACGAGGATTCCCTCAGCAGCGACTTTAGAACAGGTAAACCAAGAGGAACGGGCTGCTGAGTTGCATCCAATAAGAACGACAGAAGCTTCATCGGGATTTCATTCCCCTGCATTGCCAGCACTTCCTCGATTTCCTCTCGAAGCACGTTCTGACAGACTGGCTTCTGCACAGCTTCGCGCAGCACATCGAACAGAGCGATGTCCTGCGGGACCAGAGACGAGCGACTGTCCACCAACGGATCCACGATCGATGCATGGAGTGGAATGGACCGGACCTCCCAGCAGAGAGTCAGCGACTCAAAGCTGAGCTCGCGCACGGTCGAGTCTGTTTCAGTGCAGATGTGTTTGAGAACCATATGTTCGATCTGAACGATTTGCTGAATTGGAAAGGGTTCGGAGCTGAGCAGTGTTTTGAGAACCAGCGAAATGAAGTGAAAGGCGCGTGCGAGAGCTGCTTTGCTCTCGGATCGAAGCGCCAGCGAGAGAATCGTTCGGAGAATGAGGGGCTGGGAAGCGAATTCCTTCACGTCGATCACGAAGATGTCGATGATTTTATCGAGAATCGAGGGGAGCTGGGAGACTGACAATGCGGTGGCCAGTGCGTGCTGGATCGACGGAGAGGCCAGCAGAGAGGGCGAGAAGGAGAGGATCTGCTGCAGACTTGCCAGAGCCGAGGCCATCAGACGTGGCTGGGAATTGCCCAGAATGGAGAGTAGATGCTTCAGAAGCAGGGATGTCTGAGGCAAGAGCGAGAGAACCAACATGCTTCGCACGAGCCATCGCACCGTATGAGAGGGAGGAACCAAGAGCTACAACATAACGAGATTATAACGGAAGGAACATTGTCCAAATCGAGGTGATCGGGCAAACGGCGCTTCGAGAGCAGCCAATGCTTCTGCGTGCTTTGCGAGAGCCACTGAGCCAGCAGCACGCATCGAGCACAACGCCAAAACCCCGCTGATTTCTCCTTGTAGGAAGCCACAGCCATCCAATTCAAAAGCAATTGCTGCTGCATTTCGATAGACAGCGTTGAGTGGCGCTCTTCGCTATCGCAGCAGCAATCCTGCAGAGAAGCCACTGACTTGCCACAACGAGGACAGCAGTCTTTGAAGGAGGCCTGGAGGTCGATTTTGCCTTTCGATCCTTCAATCCAATACCCGATCTCACATTGCTTTTTGAGAGCCATGCATGAAATGATGAAGTTAGGGAATAGATGAACGGCTAATTTCGATGAAAGAGGAGAAGAGTCGGATAGGAGCGTGGTGTTGATCACGTATAAGAGAGAACTGGCGATTGGAGTGAACGGGTTTCTATGAGTGAATGGAAGGGTGAGCTACGACTGAAGACATTTCAATAACTCCGTGTAGTGATTATGAATCAACGACTCTGCGTTTGTCAATCGAATCATTCGCATTAGCAGCAGCTTATAGAAGCTCAACGCAGTCTAGAATGTGAAGAGATCGCTGTTACATACAATCAAAGCTTTCTGTTCGTTTCGAGAGTATGTGATGAACTTCTGTAAGGATGTGATCATCAAAATGCAATATGGAGTAAGACTGGTTTTCCAGACAGAGTGACGCATTGGCTTTGCAGACATGTTTTCGATATGTATCAACAGCGATGATTGGAAGAGACTGCTATACTCCGGACGTGTGGCAAAGAGTTCCTTTTTCTTAGAGGGTTGTTTCAATTTGTACAGACTGCAGATCGATGACTGCAAGAGATGAAAGTGGAAGATCAAGACAAGATGTGTATATTGATACACAGAGCTGATGTCCTTTGAGGATTTCACAGAGTTGCTGGATCAAGACATCGATTTTGTGAGTGGTGTGCTGAAGGATATCTTTGAGAAATCGAATAATGAGCAGCAACCGATCTTCTGTGAAGAGTCTATTTGGTACTGGACGGGAATAACAAGCAATACAGGGCAAGAGATTCGGATCGTTTGAGGAACGAAATCCATGCAGATTCTAGCAAAATACAGTCGTTTAGAATTGCTTGGTCATCTCCCGTCATTTCGGTATTTAGTTTACCACGACAATAAATGAGCAACTCATCAATCAACATGTTGAGCATGTTTAAATCGTGTAAAGTGTAGGACTAGGATTACATAGGCTCTTGTATAGCTACGTTTACATCAACGGATCGAGCAGATTGAACAAACGCCGCAATGTTTTCATGCAGTATCTTGTGACAATCAAGAACCTTCGAAGATCGCCATTGGTCAATCGATCGTTGCATTGTTTGAATAGGATCTTCCAATTCATGCATGCTCGCTTCTGCATAATCAACAGTATCGAATATACTACTGGTAGTCTTGATTTGTACATAGGATGGTAGAGCAACCCTATCCATCATACACAATCATCAAAATCAACTCCATTATAGTATTTGAGTTATAACGATTATTTCAAATAAAATATTGAATGCTCATTTGTACTTGGCGCAATTAGGTTGGAGGGAAATGCAATTTTCATAGTACGGTACGAAAAATATTGTGTTTAACAAGAATACGAATCAAATAAATGCAAAAATAGGCTACAGCAATCGATGACCTTGTCAAATAATAGTGAAAAAGAATGGATAATGGGGGCATCGATCCCCCTACCTATCGCATGCAAAGCGATCGCTCTACCATTTGAGCTAATTACCCTATATTCTCCTTTCTAAAAAATGGAGTAAAAACCACTCATCATTATTGCTTCTGTTCGATGTTGGATTAGCAGTTCCTGCAATAGATTGTGATGATACCCTATATTGCCAAACAAACATTTGATTCCTGCTCTACTTACTATTTATTGCAAAAATCGATGAAATCAATTCGTTCAATTGTCATTTTAAGAATCTAAATATTGAATCACAGATCGTTATTTTTATTCGACACCATTGCACTATTTCTGGTTTCACGCAAACACATTGCCCTTGTAGTCGTTTGTTTCTGTAGGTTTTATATACCGTTTGAGTCACGTCCGAATGCTCTAACAAGTGTATAGGAAATGAAGCACAACAACGTATTACCTAATGCTCACTTTAAGAAGGACTGGGATCGCCGTGTGAAGACCTGGTTCGATCAGGCTGGACAGAAGAGACGCCGCAGACTGCTCCGTAAGGAAAAGGCTGCCGCGATCGCTCCTCGCCCCGCTGCTGGACTGCTCCGCCCTGTTGTCCGCTGCTCTACGCAGAAGTACAACATGAAAACCAGACTGGGCCGTGGTTTCACTCTGCAAGAGTTGAAGGTGTGTTTTGGTTTGGTTTGGTGTGTAATGGAATAGGAGGCCGGAATCAACCCCCGTGAGGCTCTGACCATTGGTATTGCTGTGGATCATCGTCGTGTGAACCGCTGCGTGGAGTCTCTGCAGGCGAACGTGGAGCGTCTGAACGCGTACAAGAGCAAGCTGATCCTGTTCCCTCGCGGAGTGAAGGGAGAGAAGGGAGTGGCCACTGCTGAGGAGATGGCTGCTGCCACCCAGCTGAACGGTACCATCCTGCCGATTGAGAAGGTCGCCCCGAAGGTGGAGTTCATGGAAGTGACTCCCGAGCTGAAGAAGCGCTCTGCATTCATGGGACTGAGACAGGCTCTGTGCGATGCCCACAACTTCGGTAAGCGTGCGAAGCGTGCTGCGAAGGCTGCTGAGAAGGAGAACTAAGGAAGGAATGTGTACAAGGGTGAATTGCTGGGTGTTTGTTCGAAACAAAGAAGAAACGCTAGGAAAGGGATAAACGAGGTGGCTGCAAGTTGTCTTCGATGTTTGAGGGGATCGTGTCCATGGCATGCCACTGATCGAGAACATGGCCTTCGTATGCCTCTACAAGTTCTCGCCGTGCCTAGAAGGTGATAAAAAAACAGCCATTTTGCTACTTCGTGGACTTCGTCGCGCGTTTCCTTCACAGAACGGAGTAGCGAGAGAAGCTCACCACACTATTTCTGACGCTGCGTTTCTTCATATACATGCTCATAGGCAGACGATAGTGTCTCCGTGTCGTTTAAATGCTCAAAGGCACAGTCTCGCATAGTGACTGTTGTGAGAGAAAGGGGGCTTTTGAAGAACTCGATGTTTTTCTCCCATGCTTCCTTTTCCTCCGTGTAGCCCTCGCGAATCTGTTGTAGATGCTGCAGCTTTTTCGACAAGTAGTCACAGTCCACATTTGCTTGCTGCTGCTGATCGAGCTCTTTCTACAATTTTAGAGTTATGTGCATGATAAAAACTTCATTGGATTCGGGAATTTCGACAGTATCAAGGAAAGACGAACAAGTGGCGCTGAATTCATTAATTATTTGACAAACTACGTTCTTGTAGTCCAGAAAATCAATTACAAGTCTCAGATACATTCGAAGAGACTGTAGCTTCAGATGCAATTTGATTTTGAATATCCGATATAACAGCACTGGTAAACTCCTTCATTCGCTGATGAAAGGTAATATCTGTAGAAGGAGGCACATCGAGTATTTTCCTACATGTCATTTCTCAGTTCATTGTTCGTACCTGATTTCAAACGCGTCTACACTATCAATTTTTTCAATCTCCATTGAGAGGGTGAAAAAGATAGTTTTTGTGTGAAAATGAAGGTGGATTTTAGTGCAGATGCGCCATTCAGCATAAAAGAAGATATTGATGCACTCTCTCACGCCTATTCCTATATAACTTGGGTATGGTTGACTTCTTCAAGTAAACAATTCAGAAATATGGTGGGTATCTGCTTATTGCGATAATTGCATTCATTGCGCTGTATGCGTATCATTACACGCATCCTCCAAAGCAAGATCCAGCTCTAAGTAAATATATATTCAATTGATATAAGCAATCAGCCGAGGAAATCCGCCTGGCAAATGAGGAGCGGATGAAGCGAGTACGTCGTATGCAAGTGGGAGATGTACTAGTCTTGTTCTTGTGATTTATTGTAGTCTTTAGAGGATAAGGTTCGTCGACGAAAGCAAGAGATTGCAGAGAAAGCCTCCAACTAAGTGTACAATGACCGTGTTTGACAAACAAAGCAATCAAACAGAAAAATTAAACAAAATAGTCCAAGTTATCGCCCTTCTGATTCCACAGCTGACGACACTGTGCCTCCATCACTCCTCGAAATACACGGAAATGGTGATTTAGCGGTTCTTTGTAATGCAGATGAATATGCGAATTGAAACAGCCATTCCGATCATCACACCCATAAATCACTCGACGGACACGGCTGTGCAGCAAGCACATTCCACACATGATACAGGGCTCGCGGGTAATAATAATATCATAGTCAGTGCAGAGATAGGGATCTTCTTTCGAAGCTCGCTTTCTGCCTAGCTGCATGTTCATTCTTTCGCTTTGATTGCGGATTCCGGCAAAACAGCAATGGTCCAGAAACATATTCTTTCTGTTGTCTCCACACTCCCCCATAATATTGCCATTCTTATCCAATATAACCATTCCCACAGGAAGATTACCGTTCAAAGCAGCCATGCGGCCAAGTTCGATCGCAAGGCGCATGGAGGAAATATACCGCTGCTTCTCTTCGGCTGTTAATTCGGGAGGCGGAGTTGTAGGATGATAATTAATTGGCCATAGAGCACGACCCGCAACAAACTGCTCCTTTGTTAGGGCAGGATATCTGGGAACTAAAACTGTAATCACCTGATCTTCAGAAATTCCAGGAAGCTCGATCCCCTCCGAGTTTTCCGACTTTTCCGACTTTTCCCATAGCAAAACCTTTAGAACAGATGGATTTTCTTTATCTTTGTCTACTCGCTTCAAATGATGAAACTAACATTCGTAACAAAGCAAAATCACCAACTTCGTCCTTCAGCGGGTATTTTCGCGATAGCACATTCAAGACATCCTTTATTTTCGATTTATCAGTGATTAGGCAATAAAACTCGACAGTTTCGATTTCATTCGAAAGTGGCTCTACTACCTCCTCGAATTGGTAGTCTTCCATTCCATCTGCCATGAAAAGAGTACAGAATTAAATAGTACAGACAGCACAAGGTTTGTGTTCTATTGTATCCGAAGTTTTATTCTCTGCGATCTGTATATGGAAACATTTGGGTGGACAATTTGGATCGATTGCCGTTGACTAAGCTTCTTAATTCTTAATGTGGAGGTCATTCCACGATTTTTGTTTACAGAAAAAACTATTAAGATGAGTCTATTTAGAAAGCGAAACCCCAAAAGCAAATTCTATTATCTTGTGGTAGTGATCTTGTTTGCTCTCCCAGTCGGATTACTCATTGTTGGAGCCATTAGTCTGACCGATGCAAACCACCGTTCCTCGATGATATCAATGTCTTTTTAATTGGCGGTCGTTATTTTTAGATATAACAAACGAGCAAAAGTGTGGAACAAACATGGTCTTGAAGATTTTAAAAATCTTATGTTTGTATTAGTGAAAGATGGAGAACGTCATTTAATGGAAGTGAACACGACGAAAAAGGGAGAGTTCTACCCCGTCCGTGATTCGTGCAAACGGGAAGGAGACCCTGCGGAGGGATGCATAGAAACGGACTCTTTTTACTATTCCAGAGAGGTCTATACGACGGACGAGCCTATCGAGATCCAGATCTATCATGAAGATCGTTTGATCGTCAACGACACTCTCTTGCCCACGACGCAGCGCACTCTAAGCGTCCGCCAGATGAACTGCGACCACAACACGTACCCCCTGTCCCCCCGCTCGATCCTAGCAAAGACTGCATCCGGGAGTGCGACACTTACAACGGAACCTGGAACTCCAAAAGCGAAGTCTGCGTCTATCTGGAGTATCTGCAGAGCGCCTGCTACCGTCTCTCCCTCACCGCCGACAACAAGGCGTATCTAGACTCTCCTCCGTCCGCGTTGGCAGCGTGACTGATCGATAGGGAATGGGAATTAGAGACGGAACGAACCGGCTGCTTCTACGCCGACGACTGGAGCCCCTTCAACTTCGGAAAGGAGAATTTCACCACCATTCCGGTCGAGGTGCGGTATTACCAGGATAGCATGATCGCTGCGTCGTATACAACGCGGGGATGCAGCGATACGGAATTGACAGATGCGCAATGTATGGGTTTGACGCCGAAAGAGGCCAGTCGGGTGGGAATCGCTTTCTCGTTCTTGGGACTTGGAATCCTTGTCTTCCTGATTATTGTAGACTGAAAAGGAAGTGTGTGTGATGTAGATGATGATAATTGTGAATTATTGCCGTCGCGTAGTTTCGGACACTGACGAATTCACTCCCCTCCCTGATATTTAATCATGTTTGTTAGAAAATCAAATCGTAATGTCGCAAAGAACCGCGATTCTGGTTTACCGATTCCCGCGAATTTAACCGAGAAACCACATAAGGTTCCTTCTCTCTCACCTCATTCAAATCGCTCTGTGCAAAGTTTGTGAAGGTAAGTCAAAATTCGATAAAATTGGGTTTGTAAACTTCTGTGTCTTTCTGAAAGAATTGTTGAGTGTGAGATGATCTTATCTATAGAATGGATGAAGCGTTTTTTAGCATGATCAAAAATGAGGTGCGATCTTATCTTCACTCGGTTGAAAATCTGAGGTGCTCTATTTTGATTTTCTTTAGTGTAGTCATTTAAGATACAAGCCCGTCATCGAAATGCTAGAAAACAAATTGCAAATTCGTCGTGACATTATTGACTCCCAGAAAAAGCTTATAAAAAGTATTATCAAGGTATGAGTTATTTTCCTGGTTTGTTTTTTCAGGACGAAATGTGCCAAGAGATGTTGACTCGCTCATCTCCTGACACAGTTCTCCCTACGAATGTAGGGTCCCAAATCCCTATTCAAAATACATTTTATCCGGATACCCATACAGTTCCCAATGTCAACATGCTAGATGTTCCACTAACTAGCGCTTATACAATATTCTACAACGAAAAACGACTTTTGCTCAGTCAAGAAAACCCCAGTACGTCCTCCTCGCTCCCTCCCTTTCTCACCCCCAGCCCTCTCGGACGAAGAGATCGACAAGAAGATCGAGCAGCTCTGGAACGATCTGACTCCCAACCAGCGAAAATCCTACGTCAGCACGATGTCCATCCCTCGCTTCCCCTCCGTCGATTGGTCGCGGTGCGCGTCTGCGTTTGTTTGTGACGAACTAGCGACGACTTGTCTCGCCATCGCGAGCGAGAGATCAAAACGCGGCCTCGCGAGATCTCCATTTCGTACCACCAGCCGTACAAACTTCCCAAGAAGGCGCGCAGCGCGTACATCTTCTACTGCCTGAAGCATCGTCCGCGGATCCAGGAAGCCAACACGAGTGAGGAAAGAGGAGGAGGAAGGTGAGGCGCAGACATCAGTCCGATGGAAGTGAGTCGGCGCCTGGGGCTGGAGTGGAACAGTTTGACGCCCGAGCAGAAAGAGGTTTGATTGGAGGGATAAGTTGAGGGAAGCCGTACAAGCAGGAGGAGGCGGAGGACAAGAAGCGCTATCTGAAGGAATTGAACGCTCTTGGATTGACGTATGGCTGCTGCAGGAAGGGTGAATGGTAGCACGGATGATCTGAAACGATCGAGTCGGAACTCTTCCATCTCAGCCGCGCGCGCTCGCTCCGCTTACATGTATTTTTGCAGCGAGAAGCGCGATGAGATGCGCGCGCAGAACCCTCGTGCGTGCGAGTGATCGGGTTTATGAGCAGAGTGGAACACGAACGAAGTGAATCGAGCGCTGGTGAATATGTGGAATCGCATGTCGGAGGAGGAGAAGCGGCATTTTGAGATGAGTGCTTTCGACGACAAAGACCGAATTCGAAGAGAACTCGAGAAGGTGAAGCAAACGTGCGCACGCAGCGAGCGATTCATGGAATAGAATCAAAGTGCCGATGGTGATTCCGAGCCACAAAGTGAAGCGAACGCGCCGAGCTCGCACGCCCTACACGCTTTTCTACAAGGAGCGGATGGCGCAGCTCCGCCAGGAGAACACGAGTGGCTTCGAGGGGCGGTTTTGATGTAGCGATTCCTTTCGGCGAGGTGAGCAAGCGGCTCTCGGACATCTGGAAGTCGCTGACGGACGATCAGAAGCAGGTGTACGTGGATCGCTCGCGCATTGAGTCGGAAACGATGCATCCGATGGGGCTGATCGAGCCGGAGAGCGGGAAGGAGGAGATGTCGACGGAGCGAACCGCTTATAATAATTTTGCATCCGTGATTCGGAGAGATAAGCCAAGTGGAAGCGATCGGAGGGAGTGAGGAATAGATTTCTCTGAGTCCGATCTGAGAGAGATGATTGACCAGAAATGGGCTTCGATGTCCCAGTCTGCACGGTTAAAATATTTGGCCCCTGTTGCAGAGCATCCAAACGATGCCGAACCAAAAAGTGACATTGCGTTGATCGACGAACATCAGTTTTCGGAAGACAGTTAGGCATGTTTGTTCGAAAAAACAACGAAGGGGGGTGAGAGGTTGTGCATAACGTAGTATGTCGAGTCTTCCAGGGGGTCGAACGCGAAGTGCATGCTCCAAAGACTCTCGACGCGCTCAACGCTGCTGATCGAGCTGATGAATGAGTGGGTGACTCATCAGAAACCTACAGGCGCTCTGGGATTACTATTAGAACCTTTAGTTGTTTATTACGCTGAAGGAAAAACGAGATCGTGCAAAACAAATCGTCCAACACTAAAAATGATGCTTGCAGATCGGGTACAATGAGTATCATAGCAGACATCCGATCCGATCAAGATATCAATCGTAGGAAGATTCAAAACAGCCTTGGGAAATGTCCCCCATTTTAGAGGCAACTACACTCGTTACAGCAACTCAACTCTACGATCGTTACATTCTCACAGTGATTTTTCTCACAATTCCGTCTGCAGTTTTCGAGAATCGAAGAAGGTTCGCCCAAATCGGTGAGATAAACCCATTTCGCCCATTTTGATGCAAAAATCCCATTGAGTCCGATTCCACATCCCAGTTCAAGCACTGTTTTGCCCTGAACCAAATCACGGTTCGAAAGCAGCAACGATTGCAAGATTTGGGAACTAGGCCATGCAAACGACCCAAAATTGTCAGTCATCATTTCATCTGCAACCACTTCCTCCGAATCGTCTTCTGCTCTATATCCATCTCTCTGTTCGTCTCTTTCTTCCCTTCCCATATTTCATTGCAACAAAACCAAAACCTATTTCAGAATTATTGTTTTCTATGTTGTCTGTTGCACAGAAGTGTTTCCCTATCATAGGGAGGCGCTTACTTGTAGCAGGAAGTTCTTGTATCCATAGGTCAACTGTGCGTTATTCAGCGTGTGTAGTCCTTGCGCAGAATGTGTTGTCCCTGTCTTCTAGTGTCCGTTTCTACTCTCAACGGAGTAAATGCCCGCCGATTAGTCAAACGAGTCCAGAATTGCTCCATTATTGGCATCCGACGAAAAACATCAATATTACGCCAGATGACGTGTCTATTAAGTCGTTTGACAAGGTTTGGTGGAAATGTCCCAAAGGAGTGGATCACGAGTGGGAGTGCAGTGTTCGCTACGCGTTAAAAAGCGACGGGAAAACAGTGAACTGTCCGTTTTGCTTCAATAAGCGAGTTTCTATTACAAACTCCCTCGCAACACGTTATCCGGAAATCGCAGCGCAGTGGCACCCGACAAAGAACGGGAGCCTTCTTCCATCGCAGGTGACGTATGTCAGCAATACCGCCGTCTGGTGGCAGTGCGATCGCGATCCATCACATGTTTGGAAGCGAGAGATCCGCAAGCGTGTTCATCCATTAACTGCCTCGCAAGGTACTCATATGCTCTCTCTGTGAAGCAGGTCTGTGCCCCTACTGCAGTGGCACCCACCCCACAGTCCGAACTTTAGACGTTGCCTTCCCCGAGATCGCCAAGGAGTGGGATTACGAGCGAAACGGCGAATTAGTTCCTTCCGATGTGAGCAAATCCTCCTCTGCCGTGGTGTGGTGGAAGTGCAGCAAAGGCCACGAATGGCGGACCAGCGTGAATAATCGAACCTCCTCGCACCACAGCGGGTGTCCGATCTGCAAGGGGCACGAAATCTCGCTCGAACGATCGCTGGCTTATCAGTATCCAGAGCTGGCAGTGCAGTGGCATCCAACAAAGAACCTCCCGTTGCTGCCAAGCACAGTGTTTCCTTACTCCAATCGATCGGTGTGGTGGGTCTGCAATCTGAACAGGCCGTCGAATGACAGTTCGGAAGAGACGGTGCAGTTCGGAAACTTCTCTCCATCAGCGAATGTGTGCGTAGGATGCGGCCAGGAATGGCAGGAATCGATCAAGAATCGAGTATCGAAGTATAAGGGAAGTCACAATCTTTGTAAGATGGAAGCAAGGCCTGGTGATGCGTAGTGTGTCCGACGTGCTCAACGAAGAACCGAAAGCAGACGGTCAATTCGCGGAGTAGTCCAAAGAAGCCATCCGAATCGAAGAAACTGCGGAAGATTCGGATCGTGGGAGGCAATGACAATCAAGAAGTCATTATGGTCTCCGCTTCGGATTATGAGAATTTGATCGCTCTGGGATCGTACGAACCGGTTGAAGAAACCTATGAGAAGCCAGTGGTGATGAAGGAAGTGTATGGAAAGCAGAAGTCGCCGTATAAGCACGTTTCATCCGATCGACAGACCCATGGACCGCGCCATCGCGTTGTTTTGGATCATCAAACGAAGAGTTCTGAAAATGAATCGAATGAAGAGGAGTTATGGGGAAGAGAATTCAAAAAGAACAGTCCAGAAATCGATGAATTGGAATCAGAATTGGAATCGGAAACAGAAATAGAATCAGATTCAGAATCGGAAACAGAAATAGAATCAGATTCAGAATCGGAAACAGATTCAGATTCAGATTCAGAATCGGATTCTGTAATAGATACAGGAGAAGACGAACTGCTGAATAGTTTGAATGACTTAAGCGATATCGATCAGTACATTCCCAAAGAGAAACAGCAAGGAAACGAAGGCGAACGCCAGCAACTGAAGGAAGAATCAGAAGAAGGATGGTCTATTTAGTGTAATCTAGCTTGTTTGCTTGAATCAAACACATCACAACTCTCCATAGCAAGTGATTCCCGATTCCAAAATCTCCACCACCAATTCTTCTTGATAGGTCAGCTCTTCTCCATCGATGTTTACCGTGTTCTCACCGGGATATCGCAAGATCACCTTCTTCGCCTTCACATAATCCATCAAAGGTGATTGCAGATGGGTTCGCGAAATGTACCGACCCAGCAAAGCCGTGGTCTGGCAGCAATTCCCAGCTCGAGCCACGATCAGATCCAGACTTCCATCCGAACAATGGCAGAAATCCCCATCTACGCATTCAAAACCTCGATGATTCTTCCTACCATAAGGAGCGTTTACCACGATTCCAATCGTTAGATAGGACATATCCTTCTCTTCGACCTCCCGTTCTTCTTTCAAAACCCGTTCAGGGAACTCATCGCTTCGCTTGATTTCGCCTTTCGTTCCTACCTCACCGGCACTTGCTTCGCTTTGTTCCCGCAGCAACAGCAGCAGCAGCCTTTGCAGCACGCGCAGCACGCTTCCTCCTCCGCCGTGATCTCGAAATAATCGTCCTCCACCCAGTCGCGATTGCTGACCAGTTTGCACCACCGCGGATAATCGCAATTGCACACCGACGAAAACCCGATCGGTCTATCGCTCACTCTTCTCTCTCTCCGTGCCTACGGCTCGCTCCAATTCTCCACAGAATCGACATCCTCGTCGTCCTCGTCGTCCTCGTCGTCGTCGCTGGAGAGCTCGGGATGCAGTTCTTTCTGCGCGGAGTGGGGACATTTGAGAGGACGATAATAATAATTTCGGAATCCATCGCGACAAACAGGACAATTCACTCTTCCTTTCAGCCCTTCTCTCCTCAACCCACTTGCTCTGCTTGCATTTCCGAAGCTGGTAGTTCGCAATTCGAGGCGTGACCGGCGTCTATTCCTCACCTCCTCGCTCCACCCCCACATAAATCAAATCCGTCACGTGCTTCTGCCGCTTCACCACTCCCCACTTAAACTACAATTCACTCATTTCCTCTCTCTCTCACCTTCAACAGCGGATAACGCAGGCATCCATACGACCGATACTCTTCGTAATCGCGCACCATGTCCCCACCGATCCCCGCGACAATCCCGCACAGCGAGTACTGCACCGGCATGTCGTGCGGAGACACGCGTAACACGTCCATTCCTTTGATTCGGTGCTAGAATTGGAAAAAAAACCGCGGGGATACTTTGATGATACAATACGCGGCGGTTTCAAAACAGCGCGTTCCCATGCCTCCCGCGATCTGGTTCTGCGTTCCCGCGGAAATATGGCAGATGGGCGTGTTGTAGATGGCATAACAACAATCCACGCTTTGGATCAAAACCCGATCAAAGGAAAACCGTTGCATTAATCCGTTGACGAACTCGTTGACCAGTCCATCGCCGGAAACGAGGAGAACGCCTTCGTATTTATCGGGTTCGTGGGTGAGAGCCATGTCCTTTGCGTTGGCTGGGTTTGGAGGGAAAAGAAAAAAACGTACCTGCATATTTTGTGATTTCGATATCGCATTGAATGCCGGCGATTTGGAAAAGGGGAAGAACGCGCTGATTGAAGACTTGCTGGGCATCTCCCTTTCCTCCATGCGGATTGAGAATCACACGAACACGTTTGAATCGCATATCGTTCTCTGGAATCATTAAAAAAAGATTCAGGAGCTACGAAATTCGACGATAGGACCTCGACAGTTCTGATGTTGACACCGATCGTTCTCGATCGCCTTATTTAGAATATCAAACCACTCAGAAGATTGATTCTCTATAAGTTGTGACAATTTCAAATGATTACTCGACGAAAAAACAATTCGAGATTTTTTCCAATATCGGTCACGATATCCTTCTCCAATGCGAGGCAGCGAATGGACAATGATTTCCTTCGCTTTCGATGATGCTACAGCGATCATGTCAGTGACAAGGATGCTAGATCAATAACGAATCATTGCCAACAGGTACGTCTGCTTGTTGTAAACCAGCTTCACTCCATCAAAAGTAATTTTCATCTAGCGGATCAAAATCAAGACGCTGGCACTACTTTCTTCCCTTTTAAATCATCTTCTATCTGTTCTTGAGGCAAATCAAAAGCAGGATTCTTCTTTTTCTTGGAATCATACACAACTGCGTCCACACAGTGAAACGAACTATTATCTCTTTCTTCTGTCATGCTGGATCACAACTTCTACAATAGAAAGTATAAGCAGCTGTTCACAAATAATAATAACAACACAACCCGAGCTATCTTCCAAAGTTTATCAAACAAAAAAGCAAAACCTCAATGTCGCAAAACATAATACTTCTTCTTTTCCCCATTCGGATCGTTTGACACCTCTCTGCAATACTTGAGCAGCAAGTCTCCAGGCAATCCAAACCCAAAATCAGATAAATCTCTAAGTATCAAACTCCACCAACACCTCAACTTGATAAAGGGAACCAAATCCTCCTGAACCCACTCCGATTCGATCTCAAAGAGCTGCAGGAACCGTTTCCCAGGATCCAACTCCAGCACATCTTTATCAATGAATCGAAATCCCTCTCTGTTTGTGTCCTTTTCAAACACTGCAACGCCATGAATCAGCGAGGTATCTTCCTGGATATCGAAGTCATATCCACGAGGAAGCCACATCGAAATTCGACTCTGCAGCTCCTCAGCTGTTTGCCATTGAGCTGCTTCTACGGTTGTGTGAACAAACAATCGAAACCTCCTTCCGCGCAGAGAAAAGCCGCTCGAGCGAGATTGAAAACCAGTGATTCTCTGGGGATGGAGAGAAACGAGTCGCTTTCTTTCAGCTCAAAGCCTAAAAGACACTGAATGAGGTGTTTCTATGGAGATGAAATGAAATGGAATGTGAAAAACGATGAAGAGGGGGTGAATGTTTGTTTCTGTGGATAAAATGTCTTGGAGAGTGAAGTGGAGAAGATTAATGGAGTGGAGAAGGCATTGCTGAATGAATTCGATGAACTGCGCGTAATACTCCTTGCTTGTGATTTTGTAGAGATGATTGTTTTCGTCCTGAACGATGTAGGGATAATCGTGAACCACTTTCTGGATTTCTCCGAAAGAAAAGAGGCAACGCGACTCTAGATCAACGAGCGTAATTTGGTCGTCCTAAAATCAAGTTCCATACATAGAGAGAGACATGGTCCGATCCACGAACCTCGATGCTTGGGATATGTGATAGAATCTTATGAATATCGACTGGATTATTCACTAACTACACAGTGATATATCAAAAGATAACGATTACTTCAAGATAGGAACTTACAGTTCCTTGAATCGAAAAGTGATTCTTTTCTTCTTCCCTGCACAAAAGCACAGTGTTTGATGTTTCTATTTTCTCCAAAGCGAACGATTTTGTTGGAGTTGACAGAATGCACTGACCTGTGTCCTCTCCTTTAAATGATACTCTTTAAATCACAAAATACAACACAAAACCATACAACTTTCCTTCTGTAATCTCATTTTTCACCAAGTCATTTAGCACCAATATCCGATAGTCTGTGGCACTGTATTCGGGGCTGAAAACAAACTGTGATTTTTCCATACACAACGTGATGAAACAAACACAAGAGTGATATTTTATATATTGGACAATGACAAACAACAGAAACAGGGATGCCCAGACCCAGATGGTGATTTGTTTGAAACTGTTAGACTGCTTTTCGATCGTGGTCTCGATCCTGGGAAGAGCAAACGCGGGTTTCATGATTTCCCGTTCTTGAATTGCTCTTATCCATCGTCTGCAAACTGCTTGCGATTCTCGCTTGACAAATTTCTTAATAACAGAATTGACGATCCCATTGTTTGCTCCCGTTTTGATCGCTACACGAATCCTGCAATTATTCGTATCCACTTTTTCGATAATCCAATAGAAAAGCAAGGTAAACGATTCTTGAATAGGCAAGTTGCTCGTTGTGTGCTGGATCGTTAACGTGGCTGCGTTTTTCTCTTTGTGATAGACAAACATGTGGCATTGTTTTATTTTGCAAGGAATCTGTTTCTTCAGAATTCTGTAGAGGTGATGAGAAACGACCTCTCGTCGCAGTTCTTTGCAACATCCTAGAGAACCGCATTCGAACCATTTTCCGATGCTAATATCAAAGTCTTCTCCAAGCAACAGGAGAGATTGATAGAAATGCGAAGACAGTATGTAATGCGAGATGAGACGATCCATAGGGATTGAAAACGTTATGTCTGTTAACAGAGGATGCTGTGAAATAATATCGATCTGCTTGGATATACTTGTTACGCAGGTATTCGTTAGAGGCAATGATTTGTAGGGTTTCAGCAGTGTTTTCAGCAGTTGGTAAACCATATTGCATTTGGAAACCATTGTGAAGGTGTATCGATCCGCTTTCAGTGAAAAGCAAATGGAATCCTCTCCATTCTTCTGAATATCAGATATCTCTTTCAAGCGTGTGTTCCACAGGCATTCATTCAATTCGTAAAAACTGCACTTTGAGCAAGATACTTTCATGATTCCCTGATGGTCCTTATATTTGCAGGCAAACTGAACAAGAGCAATCTCTTCTGCTAGTGAATGGCACTGCTCTTGAGTATTGGTACTGAGAGGTTTTTGAGAGGATTCTTGTGTTTGCTGAGGACTGTCCTCGGACTCTGTAGATGGTGGGCGAGAATCGAGCGGCAAACGTGGAGATGTTGCTTGAATTGGAGTGATCGAACTCATTCGTGAAGCGAGTTGCATGTACTTCTCTTTCATGTCTTCAGTGTTCAGGTCGTTCTACCTTGTTTAGAGAAGTTGATTGGATACCTTTCGTGTTATAATATTACGAACTTCTTGAATACCGCGACGAATTTGGAAGGAAGTGGAACGAGAACGTTTGATGGGAAACTGAGGCGTAGCGGATCTGGCAGGAAGTGGAGGAGCAGGGAGATCTTCAGGAATAAGTAATAAGGGTTCGTCCGTTTTGATAGATTGCGCTTTGTTTGTTCGAGCTGACTTGTCCTCAAACTCGTTGGATGTCTGAATGATCAGTGTTGAGTCTTCACTTTGATCTTTCATTGTTATCAGCTCTCTATCCATAGAGTCTTGCATGGTAGCAACAAAGAAAATCTTCCATATCCCTTCTTCGTCTGCCCCGACGATTCATCCCCAAGAAGCTCAAACAACTCACTCTTGATACAGAATGCCGAATAGTCTTAGAAAAGTAAATGAAGAAAAGCCTTCTTTTAGTTGTGTGTATTTTCGTGTTTGCTACTAGTGCTTATCCATTGTATAATACAGTTTCGTCTATTTCCTCTCTAGACCGCATAAACGTAGAAATGACTATCCACTGGACCAAGACTGTCATCTTTGCCATGCCATTGTGATAGAATCAGCGAACAGGATAGGAAACATCATTTCCATAGAAAACACGAGAAACGTGCTAAATTCGATATGCAAGACAGGAGAGTTTGAAGGGTATTTGAGTTTGGAATGAAATAATGATAATAGGTATCTACTGACCCCCGACGAAATTCGGTCGCTCTGTGACAAGTTTATAGCTGACAATCTCAGTCAGTTACAAATTGCATTTTTAAAGTATCAAATGAAGAAGTCATCTGCAAGTCTGGATGACCAATATTGTAATACCCCAGCATTTTGTCCCAATGGATGGAAAAGATCATCAACTCCGTCAGAAACGGAGGATGAATTGATGGAAGAAGAACTGTAAGAGACATTTTCATTTTGTTTGGTTTCTATTCTCTTGTTTGTTGCTACAGCTTTCTTTCACTTTTTTTTCGGTTCATGGAGCTGAGTGGTGGTTTTGCCGAAAATAAAAACTTCTTTGATGTGGGGATTCAATCATTTATGCAAAACAATAATATTCGACTTGATAGTCAAACAGAGGAAGTCTTAGCCCAAAAGGTGTTATCGTGCCTTCAACATGTTGTATACGTAATATCAGTGTAAGAATTACATTGTAAGGTGGCTTCCAGAATTCAAAAGAAATGTCGCCGAAAAACCCTCGCTGTGAGAGATATTTCAAAGAGCATCGAACTGTGTGGATATGGGGTTAGTATTATCTGTCTTTGTTAAATTGAAGAGTGGGTTTCTTCCTTCGGACCCAGAAATCATGCAAATTTGTCCTGAAAGATCTGGAAAGAAAATTGACTCGACTTACATCGATTTGGAGCCGGCAGTGAACATGATTCTTGAGTCTCCTCCAATCAAGAAGTTCTATCTGCCATTTGAATGGATATCTGTAAACGGGAAAACTCAAGATGAGCTTGCAAAATGGGGGTTTATCCCTTCGTTCCTTGGGAGTGACGAGCGAGATACTTTTATTTATCAATATATGAGAGCAGAAGAAAAGGATTTCATTAGCTATTTATCAAGTTTTGAGCATATTATTGACCCCTCTCCCTACTTTCTTTTGATTCGAGACGAAATTTTCCGTCTACTGAAAGAAACTCCCAAAAATATGGAGTCATTTTTAAGCAGACTTGTCCTCTCTATCATTTCCATAACAAAAAACCCTCACACGCTTCCTTCTTGCTATGTAATTTCTTTGTTTTTTGTGTTGTCCATAGAATCGCTATTTTCTTCCACCCCTCTTTTCCATTTTGTTTTCCAAACAAATCACATTTCGCTCCAATGATCATGACTTTTTATTACGCAAATTCGCCTCGCAGTGTATCCACGCAATCTATATCAAGTTGGCTTGCACATCATTCGTCATTACTATATAGAAATATTAAACTGATAGGAGATGCAGATGAGTCGATCGTCGAAACACTTTTTGAAAAACTCAACAGCGATCATTTGGATGAGTCGCGTTTGTTTGGATGTCTTTGTTGTAAGGAGTCAAGTGACTCGCTTTATAATGTAGGTATTGCTCTCATTGGCGGGGAAACCGCAGTTCATTTTGTGAAAACTTGCTTGTCGAAGTTGATGAAATCCAAGTTGGTCAAGTCAGTCTCGGTCCGAGAAGAGCTTATTGTATGAATCCGAAGCTTTAGTTCCTTGTAGAAAATCGTGGAAATCGCCAATTCGTTCAGTCAAAAGGAGGAGTTCCCCGAGAATGTCAAGCAAGCAATGGAGGACCTAAAAAGAAGTCAGATCAAAACAGTGTCATTATAATTAATAATATTGTAGCCTTTTGAATTACCCCTGTTTGTTTGATCTTATTTAAATCCATCTTTAGAATGGGAAAGAAGAAGGCGCAACTCCCTCCAATCTCTATATTCGTCGGTAGATGTGACAGAAGAAAGTACGAAAATACGGCTCGTGTACTGGGTAAACTCATCAGCGAGAAGTACTCATCGGACGTTCAGTATGTGCACAGAATAAAAAGATTACCTAAAAATATTGAAGCATGTTACAGATCTTTTTTCTAACTTGTAGATTGCTAGTTTTACATGTTTGTCGATTTCCTGCCTGATTTTCTTGGTTCTCATGTTCAATCGTCCTGTACTGTATATTTAGAATTACTTATAAACAGATTTTGGATTTGATTTGGTTTTACGACTTTACTTGGCTCGAAGAAAAGATATCTGACACAATAATGGTGTGGTACGTCATCGCCGTTCTCTTCTTTGTGGCTTCCTACCTTATCAAGTTCTCCAGTACGTTCGAGATTTTTATTGATGGTTTGGTGTATTTAACTTGGATCATCTCCAGGAAAATGTGTTTACGAGAAGCAGAAAGGAAAGCAACTGCCTTCTGTGGATGTTTGTTCATCTGAATAGGATTATTTGTAGGATTTGATGGCTATAATCAATTATTCGATAAAATCAAAGCATAGTAATTATCAAGACTATTTGAAATGAGAAGGCGAAGATTTCTTATTGTTTGTTGAATGAACCTCCCTTTGCTGTTCCTCTCGCTTCTAGGTCTTTCGATGTTCTTTGAGAGAGCCAGGTATGAAATATCAAGGATTGGGACGACGGTGATGGAAAGTACCCGGTATCTTCCAATATTTCTGTCTTGGAATACAACTCTCGAGATTTCTCATCCTTTACTTTATTCGGATATTCGAGATAAGTTACTGCCTAATTTCCTGCTTGAACACAATTATCAAGAATATGTAAAACGAGCAACGGCTCAACTTGACCAGTTGGTAGAGGACGAATTGCTTTGCTTTCAAAAAAATAACAAGCAATGTCTATCTCACGACTCGGCTGAAAATATGATTGCTTCCAAACCATACAAGGACAGCGAATTGGTGATGAGAGATCCCATCATTTACCCAGCAGTGATTGAGCCAGAAATCAACGAGTACAACGATACCCAAGTGATCATCGCTATTCCAACATCGCCATCACAGTACATAGAGCGAATAGCGATTCGAGCCACATGGTGCAACTCCACTCTCACAAAGAATAAGAAGGTGAAATGCGTATTCTGTTGTGCTACGAGTGACATAAGCCCTTATGTCGACCAGTTTTTGAAAGAAGAAGCCGAGCAATTCAATGATATTGTACAGTTCCCATTCAGAAACAGTTACCTCAATTTGACTCGGCTTCAGTTCTCTTCCTATTCTTGGATAGCGAACCACATTCCCTCTGCCAAATTCATCATTCGATCTGATTCAGATATGTTCGTGAATCCCGATCTGATCATGAAGAAGCTCATTCCATACCCCAAGAAAGATTTCATTTATGGAGTGTTGATTGATGGAGGAGTTCCAATTCGACACCCGCTAAGCAAGTACTATTTCCCCAAGTGGTTATTCGCCGAAGATCGGTTTCCTGCTTACGTATCAGGTTGTTTTTACATATGGTCCGCTGATGTGTTGGGGAAGGTGATCAATGCTTCCAATGTCATTCGACCAATTCACTACATTGACGATGTTTATTATGGTCAGATTTTCCGTCATTACAAGCTACGAATCACCCCTGATCGTGGGTATCTTTACTGGGACCAAGTTCCTATCTCCAATCTCTTTTTCACACATGTCGCTGCTGCCCATCGCTACTCTCCCATCGATTTAAAGGTAATTTGGAAGCTGTATCATCATCAATCCCTTGTTTTTTCAACAAACATATTCTAAACAACTCCCTATTTTACATCATACTTCACTTTAATCGCATCCAAAATGGAGTCTGGCACACTCTTTCCAACAATAATATACGGCCAAATCGTGGTGAGAATATCCAGATAGCGAGGCAGCACCCACGCAGTCAGCTCCGCCTTCAAAAAGATCCTATTCCGCTCCCAAATCTTCAGCAAACTCGTTCGCGTCACAACCTTCTCTCTTTGCAACGCGTTCAGCAGCGCCATTCCTTTAATCGGAAGCTGGGGTTTGGTCAACATGGCCGGAGAAGACGAATAAAACGAGACCAAAATCGCAAACTCCGGAATGACCTTTCCCTCCAGCAGCTGCTTTCCAAACCATTTATAAATCGAGGGATCCGACTGCGGGAACTTGCGACAATACGCAGACAATTCCCAGAGATGCGAACCAAACCGCGGGATCACATAACACATCATCTCCTCTTTCTTTGGATCATAAAACGGTTGCGGCGTTTCGAGAGGCGAAGAATAAACACAGAGAGGACCTTCGCCTGAAAGACTCGGAAGCCAGGATTTGTTAATCGTTGTAACGCCTCGCAAAAAGATTCTATCCATTATCTACATCACACTGCAATTCCTACCTTCCTTTCTTTTGAACCATATCTTGGAACACAAAATAGTCCGGATATTTGTCCTATTCATAAAAAACACGATTCCAACTCTCACGTAGTCACTCGTTTTGATTGGAAGCACAAAGCTTTCTCGATGAATAAAAGCAGGCGTGAGTTCATTGAGAGTCGTTGTGAGATACGGGACTTTTCCCCGCGGGATATCGATATCACGTGCTTCCGAAGGCGTCATTCTTCGCGCGACGTGATCGATAAACCCCGCCGCGACGATCTGTCGAAGAATCGTCGCTTGTTTGGAGGTTGGGGGAACGAGAGGCTTTGAGAGAACGGCGCTGAGGGAAGGCTGCTGCGAGATGAGAAGGCGGTTGATTTGTTTTCGGAGATCGACCATTTCACGCATTGATTTCTCGCGAAGGAAGTGCTCTTTGCAGAATAGAGAAGGCGTGTTTGTGTGGAGAAAAGCGCCGAGAAGACGAAGCGAAGAAAGGGCGTCCGAAGAAGCGTCTCTCCACAACAGAAGAGACTCTCGACATTTCTTCAATTCTTCGTTCTCTTCTGTTGGATCGGTCGTCTCGTTCTCGATCTCCATTTCATCCTCCTTGTTTTCATTTTCATCCTCCTTGTTTTCATTTTCATTTTCATTTCCATTGTTTCCATTGTTTTCATTGTTTTCGTTTCCATTCTCCCGCATTAACAATTCTTCCGGTCGGATTATCGGCGTTCGTCCCGTCAGCGCCGCGATGATTCCCACCACCAGCGGCAGCACGTTTTCTCTCTCCCTCGCCAGCACGATCATCTTCGCGTATCGCACTCCCACCGGGTATTTCATCATTTCCTTCCCCAGTACCGTGATCTCGTCCTTCGACCCGTCCACTGCTCCCAACGCGCGCAGAATCTCCACAGCCGCGTGCAGCGACGCAGCGTCCGGCTGCGTAGGGAAGGGGAACGACTCCACGTTCTTGATCCCCATGTCTTTCATCAGAAGCACCGTGTCCTCCAGCGGCGTTCGGCACACTTCCGGCGTGTCCCAGACCGGGAACTGCTGCTGGAACACCGCTGCGGAGTACAGTCGATAGCAATGCCCGGGCGCTACGCGACCAGCGCGGCCCTGACGCTGCTCTGCAGACGCTTGCGAGATCCACTGCACTTTATACTCGCAGATTCCAGTCTCTTTCTCCCACACTTTCTCTTTGGCGCGGCCGCAATCGACGACGTATTTGATGTTGGGGATCGTGATACTCGTTTCAGCGACGTTCGTCGCCACCACAACCAGTCGCTCGCCTTCTGGAATGGGGTCCCAAATCCGAAGCTGCTTCTTCTCGTCCAGCAATGAATAGAGAGGGAGCACGTGCATCGGAGCAGTGGATTGGCTAATGTCGTCGTAGAACGCATCGGGGCCTTTCTCGAAAGGCACTTCGCCTTCTTCTTCGATGTCAGAATCTTCTTCGTACACGGCTAAATGGTCGACAGTCACGTCTTCTTCGCCGTTTGGAAGTTTTGTTGGCTGGATGATCATTGATTCTGGCTCGTCTTCTCCTTCATTACGCTCCTTCAATTCTTTCTTTCGCTTTGCCACCGCCGTCGGAGAGAATCTGCGAGTTAGAAACCCAGCCAATACTCCCACTTCGAGTTTAACTTGCGACACAACGTTTCGATTTCTTGCTGCCCAGTTAAAAACACGAGAATGCCTCCATCAGGAAGTCGCTTATGAATCTGAACGACCTTCTTATAGGCAGCGCCCACATAATCGTCCATTTCGGTCTTCTTCGCAAAGTGAACGCCGACGGGGTACATTCGCGCTTGCACATGAATGATCGGAGGCGTTGTAGGAAAAAGAACGGGGTTTTTGAAGTCTTCGACTTTCAGTGTGGCGGACATGATGATGAGTTTCAGCTTCGATTTCACTTTGCCTTCCGAATAGAGCTGTGAACGCAGAGGGATAATGCGAGAGAGCAATCCAAGAAGAAGATCCGTATTGAGGTTGCGTTCGTGAGCTTCATCCAATAGAATCGCACTGTAGGAGCGAAGAATGAAATCAGATTGGATCTACGATGAGAACTCATCCCCATGCTCACTTCTTTCAGCAGAATACCATCAGTCATGAATTTCACTTTCGTGTTGGGACCCACCGTGTGATGATCGTATCGGATCTGATATCCCACAAGTCCTTTCCCATCGCACGTGCTATTCAGTTCGTCAGCGACACGACGCGCCATGGAAACAGCGGCGACACGACGAGGCTGCGTGATTCCGATCATTCCTGGATGGCCACTTTCATCGGCTCCATAGCCAGCTTCATACAAAAACTGAGGAACCTAAGGATCAGGCGCGTGTTTCATTCCAACCTGAGTCGTTTTTCCACTTCCCGTTTCTCCGCAAATAATAACCACGTCGTGGTAATTGACCGCTTCCATGATCTCCTGTTCCATTGCACACACTGGAAGCTGGCTTCGAATCGCTGTGATTTCCGGCTTTCGATTCACATTTATAAAGTACGCTTTCTTTTTGAGATCACTGGGAATGGCTGCTTCCAAGTCCTCTTTGATTCGTCGAAGATCCTCCACCGAATCGTCATTGATACGGAGATTGATTCCTTTGGGAGCTGATTCCATTACCTTGTTGATTTCTTCAAAATACGTAGGACCTTTAGGACCTGTATCTTCTTCTTCTTCTTCTTCTTCTTCTTCTTTTTCTTCATTATTGTTATCCGATTCTTCCAAAGGATCGATGAAGGTACCTTCAGTAGGAGCTTCTTGTGTTTCTACTCCCTCTTCACACGACTCTTCTTCTTCTTCTTCTTCTTCTTCTTCTTCGTGCTCCTCCTTTGTATCGGGGTTATCTTCAGGTTTCTCAATTCTAACATGGAGAATCGCATCTTCCTCTTCGTTAAGCTTCATACCCAGCTTTTCCTTGTAAAACGCTTGCTTGACTCGCTCCTTTTTGGTTGCTTTCTTTCCCAATGCTCCCGTAGGCGTGAAGACACTCAATTCTGCTGAATTCAACTGCTTCTTTTGAATCTCCTCCAGCATTTTATCGTGAAGAATCTTCATTTGCTTCTTTTTCTATTGTTAAGTATACAAGTAATGCATTACTTCCAGTTCCTCGCGCTTTTTCGCACGCTTTCCTTTTTGTTCTGCTTTCTTTGCCAATTTCTCCTCTTTCATCTTCTTTCTTCTTTTCTCCTCTCTGGAAACCTTGTTATCGACAATAATATCGGCTGTTCCACCTAAGGCTTGTTTCAGCTCCTCTGAAAGGATGGAAGAGTTGTCTCTTTTCTTAGACTTCTTCAACTTGAGTTTCTTTTTGTCTTCCATTGGTTTTCAGGAGAGAAAAATGAGTCTGTAAGAAAGGTTGTGAAATCCTCAGAACTTTTGGAATTGCGAAATAACGAAAATCCCATAAATCTAGTAATCTGTGAGATATGAACGAAATTCCTATATTCCGGGATGTCGATCCTGGCGTGTTAAACGTTTTATGCCGTGATTCAACCGATGATCTTTCGCAAGTGATTTCTGTAACAAATGTAGCATCAGCGATAGCTCTCTATAACCAAGTCGGTAATGCCATGTTTTCTTTATTAATTTAAGCTCAAGTCTCTCAGCATTGCAAGACTGTTTTAGATAAGGTTAAAGACCGAATGTACTACATCAACAAGCGCATTGGAGAGGCTCAAAAGTCTGTTGCCGAGTATCAAAAGAAGGTGAACGAAAAGCAGCATTATTTGGAAACTATAAACCCTGAAGAGCTGTTTAGTGAGTCCAAAAGTAAGAGAGAAATCTGTTTTGGTAAGCTTCAGAGCCTGAGGAGCCGTACTTGGCTCCATTCGACTTCTTTTCCTTACAGAAGAAGACTGATAACCTTGACCGTCATCAGATCCCGATTCCCAAGTTTGATACGTTTTCCTCTGTTATAGAAATCGATGTATGTACTGGAGCGTGGTTTCAACCGCCAGACCTCCGTGTTAGAGAAAGAATTTGTGTCCATCATTCCGAAGTCCTCCATCGAGGTTCATCATCGTGCTTCCGTGCCTCGTTCCACTGCTCCAGCGAATGAATCGACGTCGATTTTTTCTACATTCGCAAGGAGCTCGATTCTCCAGCCGAGCATCCGCCTCTCCTCGTCCTGTGCCCTCTACGAAGACGAGTTTTCACCGCTCCCCGCCGACTACGACGACTCCTCCGATCGAGCACATCTCCGAAGCAGCAACACCAGCAGCTTGAAGAGTTCCGTCCACTCCGATCTGCCTAGCGAGAAGAAGCACAGCGCCTCCTCTATTTCGCAGTCCGATCTGCCTTCAGAGAAGAAAACGCCGCCATCGCCGCCCATTTCGCAGGCCGCGAAGCCCGCAGAGAAGAAAACGCCGCCACCGCCACCGCCGCAGTCCGCGAAGCCCGTGGCGAAGGAGGATTCGCGGAGTTCGCGGAGTTCGCGGAGTTCGCGGAGTTCGCGGGGCTCGGAGGACGCCAAGGCGGAGCCCGGAGCGAGTTATCGCCCGCCCGCGGATTTCTTGGCGGAGATCCGGCAGAAAGGAGCCGAGCGAATGGCGCGATCCAAAGAAATCGAAGCCCAGTCCGCGCAATCCTCTCAATCCTCTCAGCTCACCCAGTCTATCCAATCGACTTCATCGGCTTCTTCATCGGCTTCTTCTTCGTCGGCTTCTTCGTCGGCTGGGTCCGTTCCCCCCTCCAGGCCGCTTCCCGCCAATTTCCTCGCGGAGATTCGGCAGAAAGGAGCCGAGCGAATGGCGCGATCCAAGGAGCCCAGTGAACCCAGCGAACCCAGCGAATCCTCCGAATCCTCCAAGGCCGCTGCCGCCATATCGACGAGGCGTCCGCCCGAGAAGCCGCTCAAGCCCGCGAGCTCCACTTCCACTCCTCCTCCCAAGCCGCTCCCCGCGGATTTCTTGGCGGAAATTCGGAAGAAGGGCGCGGAGCGAATGGCGCGATCCAAGGAACCCGAGCCATCCGAGCCCAGCCGAACCGTCTCCCAATCGGCTCCCCAATCGGCTCCCCAATCGGCTCCTGCGGAGGCCGTGGAAAGACCGGCGAGGGCGCTTCCCGCGGATTTCTTGGCGGAGATTCGGCAGAAGGGAGCGGCGCGGCAGGAAGCGTTGCAGCACAAACACGAACGAAAGAGCAGCCAGGGCACGCTGGGAAGCAGGTCGGGGACGATTCGCCGCAATGGAACGCTGGGAGGGAATTCCGGAAGCAAGCGATATGGCAAGTTCGTGATGCATGAAATTCGGAGTGGACAAAATACGCTGAAAGTGTGCGAGGATGGAGAAAAGAGTGAGGCGCCAAAGTCTGGAGGAAATCCGCTGCTTGATGAAATTCGGAATTTCAATTTGGCGAATCTTCGAAAAGTGGATAAAACAAAATCTCCTAAGGACACGCAAGAAAAGAAGCCAAATCAAGAGCCCTCGCTAGCGGATTTGATGAGAAGTCGTTTGGAATGCTTCGACTCCGACAGCAACACCGACAGCGACGATTCTCGTTTTGATTTTTCCGATTAATGTGCAAAAGTGTTGTTTGTTTTGGAAAAAAATAACAAGGCACGTAACAAAACCCTTAAAGGCTATGAATTCAAGTAGCATATGATGCAGGACTGAGCCCAGCTGGTGTTGGGTGCGGACTTCAAATCCGTAGGGGAGTAACTGCCCAGCAGTTCGATTCTGCCTGACCTGCGCCAATTTTTTCTTCTCGGATATCTTATTTTCGCGCTGGATTGTTCGATCAAAGGTGTGGATTTCGTCGATTATGCAACAAACAACCATACAAAGAATAGCAAATTGCTGATTATTTCTCTTACAGGCTAGAACGCTCAACAAGACGAGCTCTACACAGTTAAAACGCAATACGAAGAAAAACCTCTGTTCGTGGTCCCACTCAGTGAGACCTCCCTTCAAATAGATTGCCTTAATACCTCGAGAAGCATAGTAGTTCGCTGTTTCTTTGCTTCTGTCCTGGTGGTTCGAATAGAAAAACACTCTAATCTTTGGGAAACGGTCAAAATCGGTCTTTTCAAATTTCTCCTAGACATAAATAGACAGATGAACGGCAACAAGAGGCAAAGCGCCACTGATATGGGCTTCATCAAATTCCTCTTTCGAGCGCGCATCAACTATTAATATATATTCATTACTCCGAGTGCGGATGATGTATAATTCTTCTGCGGATATCTCTTCTGCTAACATTTCACTTTCAGGCTCTTCGACTTCAAGGGTCTCAATAGAGGATCCTCCATCCTTACCAAGTTTACTACTCGTAACTGCTACCACGAAGCCAATACACATTCACTTCTCGAATAGACTTCACCGGTCTCAAAAGAAGTGTGTAAGCTACAAACGCGAGTAGAGCAATAACAATCAACCGTCGGAGACGGTCTCTCCTATAAATCGTAGTTCCCAACATAAAAAATAATGAAACACCGTATTCGTGTTTCTTCGAACAAACAGCCCATCAGACGTATACATCGCCACTGGCATCATTTATTAAATGTACGATGATCACAGACCCAGACAATTTCAACTCCTCCAGCGTCTTCTCCATCTACATCTCATCCTCTCTCCCCACGCCCACCTTGCTCGTCAAATTCTCCGGCGGCTTTCCTCCCGTCAGCAGCTCAATCTCCTTCCCCTGCAGCTCCTTCTCCGAGTGCTTCACGAACTCCACCAGCTGCGCCACCGTCGCCTCCTTCTTCACACAAATCACTTTCTGCTGGCTCGGCAGCCGCAGCTTCATCCGACACGCCGACGGGCCCACTACGTCCCACGCTCCCTTCTCTCCTACTCGGCACCGCGATATCCACAACCGTCGCTTTCTTCGGCGGCTCGCGACAATGCTCAAGCGCCGACTCGCGAGGCGATTCCCGCGGGGGAGAGACGCTCCGGCGGACCCGCGACCCGCTGGGCGGGCGTACGAGGGGGCTGGGGATGGGGCGAGGCCGCTTGGAAGGCTTGGGCTCGCGCTTGATGTGGGCGAGAACGGGCGAAGAGTGGAGGAAGGAGGTCTTGGAGTCGATGGAGGGCGGCAGAATGGGCGGCAGATTGGTGGCGGGGTTCTTCGCGAGGAAGTCCGTGACTAGAGTGGAATGGGGGAAAAGGAGAAACTGTATTCCATGAAACGGTCGGCGTTTTCGATGTCGATCTTGTTGAAGTGCATCATTTCGCTACCGGTGAGGGGATTGATGACGGCGAGGTAGGGGAGAGCACCGAATTTGTAGAGCTGGTGGAGACGCTCGCCTTCACTGAAGGTGTGTGTGTGGGGATCGACGAAATGTTGGACGATGATGAAGTTCTCCTTCATGATCTCGTAAATGAGTGGGTTGCGGAACAAGTCGCGATTGATCGTACCAGACTCGAAATCTCCCTTTTCCTGGGGATGAATGACAGATATATGTCAAACGAATAAACAGAGGAAAATCCACTTTTTCGGTTCACGGTAGATGGCCTGCTCTCTTGCGGATTCCAAAAGATAAGGACCGCGCAATTCCTCAGGTAAACGATAGGTCGCTGCCAGATCTACATGAAGTGCGCGCAATAACCACTACTATCACTCTCCGCATTATCAAATATACTGACTGAGTACTTTTGAATGTCAGATCCCTTGGGAATATATATTTCTACAAGTAATTTCGACTGAACGGTCCTACCCTGATTCTCATATATTCTGTTCGATCGACCCATCTCCTCCATTTCCATTGAATTCTCATCTTCATCAAATTCTATACTAGAAGGGGAATCATTGTCTTGAGCAGATGCTGCATGATCAGAAAATATATTGGCATTGTCAAAATACAGAGAAATAGCTTGGTCAATATTTCCTTCCGATATTTCTAGGTACTTCCGTGCTGTTTCTGCATCTGTACCAGTAACACTACAAAAACCGGCAATTGCATTGTCCATTTCAAAAATATATATACATTGATCGGGTAAATATTATTAATAAAACAATACTTATTTTAACAGGTCGGTGGACATTGCAGATTATTAGGTGATGGTTCGGAAAATATCCATTCCCTCACTTATTCTGGGTGTTTTTTGTGCTTTTCTACTGTATGTTGGTGTAGATCATTTTCACCTTGTTCAGTTTGGTTCCTTTTTGTTTTGTTGCATTATTGATAGATGTCTTAAATAAATCAGAGTGTTCAAACAGCAATGTGGTTTTCTATACTCCCTATATTATGGAAGAGACTGAAAAACCTTCTCCTCCTACGAATCGAGGTCTGGATTCATTGAATGATAACTTTCTCGATTCAGAGCTGAAAGAGCAAAATATCTACCTATCATCCTTTGAAGATGTTAAGTCCAATAAATGCCATCCATCAGAAATCGATTTTTCGTCACCCAATTGGTATTCGTTGTATTCGTTGTTCTATTGTAGGAAAAACGAATTCCAAGAACGGCAAGAATGCATGTTTTCGAATTACCAAGGGTACTCTATCTTATTCAAGTCTGAATTAGAGATGTCCCTAAGTCACACTCAACAGAGTACAAAGACACCTCCGACTCTCTCTATTCGTCCATATTCAAATATGAGTACGAGGGTGTTCACGCCGCCTACCTCACCAATGCTTGCTTATCGATTAGTCGGCTTGAAATCCAGTTATTCTCGAACACCACGACGTTCAGCAAGCGATTAGAAGGATACCAACACCTCTGGCAATTCAAGACCGTGACCACGCCCTTTCCCAAGCAAACGGACCGCAATCACGTGATTTACGATGATGACGGCGCTTGGATGATCATTCCTGGATGGCAGCAGCATACCAGTCATTTCACGGAGAACATCATTATGGTCAATCATCGTGCTACGCATCCCGATAAATTCCCTCCTGTATGTGTTGGATTCTCGATGGAACGTAGATGAGACACGTGTTTTTGCCGCAATTTCGCACGGAAAAAGAGATCAAATGGACGAAGGGGTTCTTGGAAGCTCTGAAGAAAACGCATCCGACCAGCGGATCGAACGCGATTTACTTCCATCCCTATGAAGATATCAGGAAGATTTCGGGGAAACACGCGCTTCTCTGCTGGCGACATATCGTTTGGAATGGATGTGAGAGGTAAATCGTAGACGATCAGCGGTCATGTGAATCATTTTGGACGCGGCGGGTATTTCCCTGATCCTTTTGAAGCCGATTATTTGCGAGCCTCGATGTACACTCATTTCGAGATCGATGCGTATAAATACTATCAAGGAGATCACTCGTTGCTGAAGATCTTATACTTGCCTCGCGATGTGAAGAGCAATGGAAGGCAGTTGATTAATGTCGATGAGATGGAGTCAATGATTCGGTCGCTCAAGGTCGGATTTGGTTGGTTGGTTGGTTTGATGGGTAGAATCATTATGTGTACAATTCAACTCTCATTCACACGATTCCTATGATCGATCAGGTTCGTATTACTGTCGATTCCGATATTGTTCTATCGGTTCACGGAGCTGCAGTCGCGACAATCATCTTCCTTCTTCCACACTCCACGTACATCGAGCTGCGTCCGCCCAACTTCCGTGATCCGTGGTATCAATTGCTTTGCAACCAAGGCCATTTGCAGCATGTGGCGATGAACAACTTTTCGTTCCCTTTGCCTCCGGAGTGTCCCAGCATTCGAGCCACGCTGGACCCGCTGAAATACCAGAACTGCTGGAGGAAGGTGCATTACGCGAATTATTACGTGTGTGTGGAATGCTTGCGAACCGTGCTTCTTCAACAATACTTCATTATACGTAAAAACAAATACGGACTGTGCTCTGTTTTCAACAAACACACGCTATTCCTTCACGATCGTTACCAACCCCTTCGTTCCATCCACCTGCACTCGCATCCCCGTCTTCAGCCGCTTCATCAGTTCTTTCACTCCCACCACGCACGGAATGCACAGCTCGCGCGCAATCACGCTTCCATGCGTCAACGGCCCGCCGATCTCCAGAATCACCGCTGCTGCATTCATAAACAGAGGCGTCCAGGAAGGCTCCGTCGCTCGAGCTACCAAGATCGCGCCAGGCGGAAGCTCGGTGTCTGGATCCGTCACGAGAACGACCTCTCCTTCCACCACACCACTGCATGTCGGGACGCCCACCAGCACGTTTTCTGGAACGTTTTTGAGCTCTTCTTTGAGCTCGTTGGACGCATCGAGCATGATGCATTCGGGAGCAATGATCATTCTCGCATGAGGGTGAAGAGGACTCGCGTTGTACACCGCCCTTCGCTTCGCCACGAGCGATTTGAACTCCGCTCCTCGCTCCTCGTTCGCTTCCCACGCCATGATATCCTCCATCTCCAAGTAAAAAACGTCGTCGACCTGCTCGAGCAGTCCGCGCTTCACGCATTTCTGCCCGATCAGCAGCAACGCGCGACGGAACTCGGTCGTAATCCGGATGAATCCCTGCTTGGACCACTCGCGATACGTCGGAAACACGCGAGCGTAAGGCAGATTCCTCTGAACCACCCAGCGATCGTACCAGGTCAGCTTGCTGAGGATTGCTTCGGTGGCTTCGTCGCGCTCGCGGAGGTTTTGCTCGATCGATTTCGTGTTCGTCGGGTCGATGCGGTGAATCAAAATCAGAAGATCGACCGGGCGTTCTTGATAGCGAGGCGACGCCAAGTCAAACTCGACGTTCGCGCGATGGCCAAATTCGGCGAGAAATGCGTCCCACGCGTCGATAAATGATTGGCTCGCAGAGGAAGCATCGTTTCGGATCGAATTGAGGAAACTGATCGCACGATCGTTGTCTTTCGCAGCGCAGATAGATTCAAACTCTTCTGAAAGAGAAGCATTGTCTTTGAAGACCGCGAGCAGAGCGCTGGCCGCTTTGGAAGACGCCTGGCTCCAACGAGTCGCGATGCTGTTTGCGTTGAAACACCACAAAGACTGGATTTCGGATTCAGTCAATCCGTATTTCTCCAAGATGGAGGTGATTCGCCTGGTCGACATGAGAGTGTAGATGTTCAAACTGAGCGATTCTTTATAAATCGCGGTGTACACATCGTGATGGCCGTTCATGATATGCGTCATGGACACGTTTTCGCCTGCTTCGAGAACATACTTCTGGAGAGCTTCGGCTCGTTTATCGACTTTTTCGAAGATCGCTTCGGTGTCTTGAATCACTCTTTCCACAGAAGGGAACGTAAAAATGTAATAAAGCAGGTTTCGGACAATGTGCGAGATCAGAGTCTTCCAAATCGCAGGGAATGCTTTATGGTCAACCGTCTTTTTATAGAACGGATAATCGTTCTGATAAGCCTCCATGATGATTCGATAGGATTCAAGATCCATTCCTTTCATGAGTAATTCCAACCCAATATCCCGAATGCAGCAGTCGCACACTCCTGCAAAATTCATGTATAAATAGCCATCGATCGAGCACGTGTAGTTCTTCGAACACCACATGAACCAGCGAATCATCGAGATCGTGCTTGGGGTGAGCGGGCAATCGATCATTTGAAAGTTGTCTATTCAATAGCAGGTTTCACTTCTTACTGAAATTAAACCAAATTCCCCAATGAGGATTGCACTCCGGAGACAGCGGATCCAGATCTATTTCGTTAAAAAAAGGTCGAATCGAGGTTACGAGGAGGAACTTCACCGAGATTCGTGATCGGTCTGGCTTGAAGAATGTACAGTTTGTTTTGATAGAACGTGAATTCGATATCCATCGGCTTTCCATACTGCTTCTCAATCTCCTGCGCAGTGGAAGCCACTTCAAAGAGCAGTTCCTCCGTCAGACAGGGACGTTTCCCTTCTTCAGCGGACAGATCCACTCGATGTGTTCCTGGATTGGGGTAATTCGAGCATAGCTTGAACGCTTGAGACCCAATCCGGCTTTCGATAATCTTTTTCTCACGACCCATAAACGATTTTCGAATGATCCAGTAATCTGTATCGACTTGGCCACTTACGAGAGCTTCTCCCATGCCCTGCACCCCGTTTATCACTAGCCACCCGCGTGAACCGCTCTGTGGGTCTGCCGTGAACACAACCCCCGAAATGTCAGACGGAATCATCACTTGAATAACCACTGCCATTGAAACATCGTACACAGGAAAGCCCAATTGTTGACGATATGTAACGGCTTGCTTGCAGTAAAGGGATTTCCAACATTCCTTGATAGCGGCACATACAGGATCGACGCTGCACTCAACATTAAGAATAGTCTCATTCATTCCAGCAAAACTTGCATCGTCCAAATCTTCATTCACCCCAGATGATCTTACCGCGACAAGAGGGGACGTTGCCGAGGTTTCCTTAATCTCATTCAAGAGACGACTAATGCAGTCAACTGCAATCGTATCGAGCGGAGAGTTGTCAATCTTCTCCAATATTTGCTCGCAATTCTCGATAACTTGAGTACTCTCCTCGGAAATGTTTTCAAAAATGGAATTCCTCGAAGCAAAAGCGTTAAAAACAGATGATTTTACAACAAAACCACTAGGAACACAAAAGCCCCTCTTTGCCAGAACAATCAGATTTTTCCCCTTGCCGCCCACCAATTCAAGCGTTTCGTTTCCACTCCCTCCGTAAATCTAAACGTGAGTCATCAACGCATCTGGCAAACCTCCACAAAATCATCCATTTTAAAATAAGAATGGTGACGCACCAGTTCGTACAGAAACGAATACGCGCTAGATTTCCAATATTTCTGTAAGAAATCGTTGATTCCATTGTTTTATCGGGTTTCGGACAGATTCCCATTACAATCGGAAATGGGCTGTGTTTTTTTATATCCCCACAGAAATTTCCCAAGTATATCCTTTAATAGTTCACAAAATCATCTGTTAACAAGTAATGGCATCCATCTTCGCTCTCCAAACTCGAATCCTTATATTAACTGCTACATATCTACTAGACTATAGTGAACACACTAGGCTAGACAATAAGAATATTTAGTTTTCATTTTAGTGGTTGGGGACTTATACTCCTTTTGAACCCCAAAATGCAATACGCAGAAGAGGATGATTATAGTTCCACCCAATATACTTCGAGTGAACCATCTTCTCGTAATCACTTGAACTGCACGTAACGAATAGAAAGAAGGAGCAATAGCCGAGCTATGATGGATCCAAAGAGTATTCGTCAATGTAAAGCCGATCAAGCCAGAATCTTAGAGCAGTTCAATACACCTTACTACGGCATACTGGTTGGGATTAAATTGGACGTGTAACTCACCTAGGAATTTGGAGCTGAGAATATGCTCATTTTCGAAAAACTAGGAAAGATGGCAGTTGAGATCGTTTCTGGATCATTCATTATTGATAAGTGGAATAAGGTAATCATAGTATAGTGCTTGATTATCGTTTTAGTTTTTGGAAGCTTTAAAAGAAGATAGTGAGATGTATTCTCAAAATGACGAAGATGGTTGGTTATAGCATGCGATGGTTTATCCATAGACACGATGACACTAAACAAAATGGACGTTATTCAAAAACAGCTCGATGCTATTGTTGTAAGTGTTTCTCTGAAATTCGACATAGGCTCAAATGGAGAAAGTGAAGGAAGAGAACCGTCGCAAGTCGGAAGAACTGGAGATGCTCCGTCGAACAATGGCTCAGCATTCACAATCTACTCCTGGCCAGAGCGAAAGCCACCAAAGTAATCAAAGCCATCAGAGCTATCAAAGCTATCATACGAACGAAGTCTCATCGACTGCGACTGATTCCTATGATGATTATGTGATGGATTTTAGTAAGCCTGCTGGCTATCGTCCTCCTCCTGCTCCTTCCTCTACCGAGCCTTCAGTGGAAGAAAGATCGCATTCCACGCCTCGTAGACGTTCGCTTCAACCCGAACCAGAGCCAGCATCCGAAGTGTCAAATTCTCGCCCTCCGATTCCTCCTCCGCCTCGACGCTCGCCTGCAGGCGATGGAGATTCTGCGAAGCATCGCTCATCACGAGGAGGATTGAGACCGGGAAATGCGGAGCAGGATCGTCAGCGGTCGCAGTTTCTCGAAGAGATTCGCCGGAGTGCGAGTGAACGAATGTTGCGAAAGGCTGGAGAGTGAGAGTGAAGAGATGGAATAATGCGTAGGGAGAAACAAGAGAAGGAGACTGGAGAGAAGGGAAGTGTAATGAATCGAGATGCCATTGTGAATGGACGAGAAGACGAATCGGAGGTGATGAAGAATCAGAGGAGATTGAAGATGTCGCTGAATGACGAGATTCGGAAGAAGATGCAGCAACGATTGAAAGTGATGAATGAGAGTGATGAGGAAAATCTTAGTAATGTTGATTAGTAGTCGTTTGTTTCTTCTCAAAACGAGTATTAATACAGTGAATTGAATACATAAAGAACTTATCGATACTAGCTAGAGTTGTTCTTTGGGAATAGGGAATTGCTATTCTTCACCTATTCTTGCTTCGTCTCTTCAGCTTTCTCTTTTTCCACTTTCTTTTCAAGTTCTTCTTCCTTCTCTTCAGCTTTCTCTTCAACCTTCACAGGTTCTTCTTTCACAGGTTCTTCTTCAACCTTCTTTTCTTCCTTCACAGGTTCTTCTTCTTTCACAGGTTCTTCTTCAACCTTCTTTTCTTCCTTCATAGGTTCTTCAGCCTCCACAGGTTCTTCTTCAACTTTCTTTTCTTCCTGCACAGGTTCTTCAACCTTTACAGGTTCTTCTTCAGCCTCCACAGGTTCTTCTTCAACCTTCTTTTCTTCCTTCACAGGCTCTTCTTCCTTTACAGGTTCTTCTTCTTTCACAGGTTCTTCTTCAACTTTCTTTTCTTCCTGCACAGGTTCTTCAACCTTCACAGGTTCTTCTTCAACCTTCACAGGTTCTTCTTCCTTTACAGGTTCTTCAACCTTCTTTTCTTCCTTCATAGGTTCTTCTTCTTTCACAGGTTCTTCTTCAACCTTCTTTTCTTCCTTCATAGGTTCTTCAACCTTCACAGGTTCTTCTTCAACCTGCACAGGTTCTTCTACCTTCACAGGTTCTTCAACTTTCACAGGTTCTTCAACTTTCACAGGTTCTTCTTCAACCTCCACAGGTTCTTCTTCAACCTCCACAGCTTTCTCTTCAACCTTCACAGGTTCTTCAATCTTCACAGGTTCTTCAACTTTCACAGGTTCTTCTTCAACCTTCACAGGTTCTTCAACCTTCACAGGTTCTTCAACCTTCTCTTCTTCCTTCACAGGCACTTCAACCATCTTTACAGGCTTAGAATTCTCCTCTTCCACATTGTTGACCTGCTTATTTCCAGCTACAGGAAGCTTAATAGCAAGAGTCGGCTGAAGTGCAGGTAACTTCACCCTCTGATTTGGATCCAAACCATTTCTTCTGCAGAAACCCTCCCATTTTCCTGCTACAGATTCCTCATCTAGTATATGTGGAATTGAATCAATGATGAGTGACTCCAGAGGACTAATTGGTATGGAATCCTCACCATATGAGTAAGTAGCCGAATAATCATAAACATTATCACGATTCAAAGCAATCGTAGAAAGGCCATACAAAAAAGACTTATAATCCTTACTGCTTGAGAATTGTTGACAGATATATCGTTTCTCTGTATCTCCACAAGGATAAGGAACAAAATGAGAGGACAAAATTACATTACTAAGCAACTGGTAACAATCAACCATACCCTTCTCATTTACACAGAGGTCTCTTGTGTTTTCGTCTAAATATCTTGATACACTCTCAGGGAGCTGATGCTCAGCAACCAAGTAACCCGCTTCAGGCAAGTTGATATAAGAGATCAACTTATCGAGGAATCTGCTCCTAAGATAGTTATCCAGGACATCTAAAATCTTATGGGTAATGTCCTTTGCATTGTAACTCTCGCCATTCGATTCAACTGTGTTTCGGAGATTGTCCAAAAGGGGACTGGAAAAACTACGACTTCCACCTTCTTCAAAAGCTTTCGAAGTGCAACAACCCATACGTACCAAATATCAAAAAAACAAATAATGCCAATTTTTTGAACAAAAATAGCAGATTTCATCACGTTTACAGAACCGAGATTTCAATCCTTGCGAACGACTCTTCCTCTCCTCTAAACTCGCGTGAATGCTATCCATAATGGAGTCCAGCTGTTTCATCAATTCATCCTCTTTCTGTTCTTGCTCCTCCGATTTCTCCATTAACTCGCTTACCAAGGAGTGCAAGCTCTCATTTTCTTTTCTACACTCCTCTTCTCTCTTTTGCGCCTGCTCCGCTTCATTACGCAGTTGTTCCAGGCTTTCTCGTATCTTCGCTTCCTCACTCTCCATCTGCTTCACTTGCTCTTGCAGCAGGAGCTGCGACTTCTCTAGATCCTCGTTCTTCATAACAAGTTCATCCACTTTCGCATCACTCTGCTCAGAAACAACTTCGTGCGTCGATGCCGTCTTGCGGATCTCTTCTAGCTCGCTTTGGAGCTTCTCGTTCGTCTCTTTGAGCTCGCGGACCTCTTCTAGCTCGCTTTGGAGCTTCTCGTTCGTCTCTTTGAGCTCGCGGACCTCCTTTTCTAAGCTTGCTTTCGAGTCATAAGAGCGAGAGAGCGCTTCCAGCGTGATTCTGTTATCCTGTTTCACTGACTCCAAATCTTTTTCCAGCTTTTCTTTCTCTTTTTGAAGTTCCTGAATCTGGCTATTCTCTCTCTCCTCTTCCTCCTTCTCCTTCTCTCCTTCCTTTGCTCCTTCACTGCCTCTCACAGCATCGGTTTGGCTCTTCCTTTTGGCCTGATCCGCTTTGCGGATCTCACTTTCCAGCTGCTCCAAATCGCGCTTATGCATCTGCACGGTTTCGGTCAGCTGCCGAATTTGATCCTCGCGTTGATTGATGTCTTTCGTTGCCTCCCGAATCTTCTCTTTCAGATCCATGTTCTCCTCCTTCAGCTGGTCTCGCTGATCCGAAACGGATCGGTACTGCGACCACAGCATGTTCAGACTGTCCTCGTCGCCGCTCGCCGTCTGCGCCATCATTTTGTACTTGTTGCACTGCTTCATCTGCTGGAAATACCGTCTCTCGTTCACCAGCGCCACTGCGTACTTCTCATTCACCAGCTTCTTCAGCTCCTCCACATCGTCAGGGAGGTCCAGAACCTCGTCTGTCTTCTTGAACGAGTTCGGACGCTTCCAGCTCGGCGACTGCAGCGATCTGTCCGGCGATTTCCCCGCGACCTGGCTGTACATATCGCGCAGAAGCTGGTTCTCGTAGTGGATCTCCTCCATCTTGCCGTAGATCTTCTGGTTCTCGAGCGCGCAGTCGTTGAACTGCTGGTAGATCGTGTGGAGGTACTCTTCGATCTGCGCCAGGCGGGACGAGAGGTCTTCGTTTCCCTCCAGAACGCTCGAGATCGCCGAGATGCTCTCCACAATCCGGTCGGGCAGAGCGGAGTTGCCGGGCTGCTGGGCTCTCGCTTCTCTGTCTTTGGATCGACGCGCCTCCGCTCTCTTTTCTTCTTTCTCCTCCTTTCGGGCCTTTCGTTCCCGCGGGGCACGCATCTTCACCTCCACTTCCGCCGGCTTCTCGTCTGCGATCGCCTCCAACTTTTCCTTCCGCCTCTCCGGGCTGCCAGGCTCCTGCTTGTCCACAGCAGGCTCCAGCACCACAGCAGGCTCCTTCTCCAACTTGGAGCTCGTCACTAGCTCGACGGCCGGCTCTTCGATGAGTTCTGGACCCGATTGAAGCGGCAAGCTCTCTGGAGGCTCCAGGATCAACTTCGAATCGCCGGATTCGGTAGGACTTATTGAAACGGGCTTCTCGACTGGAAGATCCGTTTCTGTGGTTGGGGTCGCGGGATTGCTATCCTCATTGGGGAGATAGAAGTATTTCTCTAGAGGCGTTCCATCGACAGCCACGATGAACACATCCGTCCCTTCACTGCAACCGACGTCTTTGAGCTTTTTGTTCATGTCCACACGAACTCCATTCACTTCTAAGCAATACTCAATATTGGGCGGCTCAAAACCATTGGAACGTAAGACCTATCCTCTTATTTATGAGCAATATCCAAACGTCAATAATATGGTAGCACAGGGAAGCGCACATATAGGATAATGAAAAACTGATAGGAAAACAGACCAATCCGATTGTAATATTTAAAACACTTAGCTCATAGACAACAACTGGGTTTTTATCAAGACCCAGTTCGCGGATGTTCGACTCATATGACACTTGCTCGTTATTGACTAGCAATTGAAGACGGTCTTCAGCGAGTCCAAATGTTTTCTAGATTTCACTTCCCATTCCTCGAAATTACCGTTGCTGCATTCACAAGAGTTTGATAGGAAATAGGAGGCGACAGCTCGACATCCCTCCTATTCATATGAAACTGGAACGATATTTTCATTTTCTTTTACAGTTTAATAACCAGAGTTTTGTTGGATTGTACTACTCAAAATGGTTGTTATGAGAAGATTTTTAGATAATTTCTTGTGTATAATCTTATTTGCAATCATTATTCCCGGTCTGAGGGCTTCTGGTACCTTTCGCTCTGGATGTGTTTCCTGTAGAGTGTGGAACCTATATTTCTCCCTGCCAAGCATACATAAACAAAGTTTACGAATTCATAGGAGAATCAGACAAACCCGCAGAACAATTGGTCACGAATCTTAATTTCTATGCATCAGATGCATGCGTTGGAATTACAACGTCTTTTATTACAACTGCTTCCCTAACTCCTATTCCTTCTGAACTGGTTTGTGAGGAAGGTACTTGCCTTGATCAATATTCACTTCAGGTTTCCGCCCATACAACGCTGAATACATTTCGCTGCACTTTGTTGTTCATAGTTTGGAGTACTTAAAGCTTTTCAATATTACGTGTAATACTGACATAGAGGAAGAGCATATCTATGATATTTTGTAGAATTAGAGAGAAATGGTGACTTTGTAGAAATAACGAGATAGAGTGCTTTCAGGATGGTTTGCCTTTCTTTGACAAATACAAAGGTCACGTTCCATCTGTCGAAAAGTACTGTTTTGCAATAGGGGATATTGACTTCTATGCGAAAAAGAATGGAACGCGGAATATTCGTCTTTCTAATAATGGCTGCAGGGATATTCAGGGCGAAGAAGACGATTTGTAAAAGTCTGTACAATATGGCGCTTGTTTGTAACAAAAACCAAAAATGAGAATTAAATGTACAAGGGATGCTTACATCGGAAGGAAATCTCGGACAGTTACCGGGAATGGAGTCTTCACTCCCAAATAAATCACAAACGGAATATAACCCCATCGGAATAGAGTCTACAGTGAAAATACATGCGGCGATGACTTACTTTCGCAATCTCAGTGCCCTTGGTGTACAGTCTCATCAAAAACCCCTGATTCGTTGGAGGGGGTGCCATCATCATCGGTGCATTCATTCCAAACATTCTCGTGACTCTATTAAATAAGTGGAATTACTAAATAGCGGTCACCACGGTTTTCGGAGCGATGTCGCAGACTTCACAAACGTGGAAGTTTAGATCATTTCTGTCATAATAAATCGATTTCATAATGAATTCTCTCGCTCGTGCCGCATCTGCCATCCCTGCCATGACCCGCAGCTTTGCTCAGGCTGCCAAGAACCAGAAGTACTACATTCTGATGTGTAAGCGATCCAAATGGAATCTAATCGTTAGACGATTATGTCGAGGGTATTCTTGAGAAGAGAACCCCTTTCCGCGCTGGACATCTGAACCTTGCTAAGGAGCTTCATGCGAAGGGAACGATGTTCATGATTGGCGCTTATGCCAACCCCCCAGATGGAGCTACCTTCATTTTCAAGGGAGATTCTCCTGCTGTGTGCGATGAATGGCTGAAGCGCGATCCTTATCTGGCCAACAAGCTCGTCACCGACTACAGAATTCGTGAGTGGTGCGTTGTTCCTCTTGAATAAACTATACTAATACTGATAACACAGCAATAACACCATTCTGTTTATTTAACAAACATCGCATTGATCATAATCCAAACTTCCTAAACGATCTAAGTATTTAATCATCTTTTTCACCTTCGATTTCAACGCAGGCTTATCTTCCACCTTCGGCTTCAGCGTTGATTTCAAGAACACCATTAACCCATCACGCACTGGCATCTTCTCCGCTCCAGACCCAATTCGGGCGATACACGCTGCGAACACTTCATCACTCGCTGTCACCAAGAAATTCACGAGGAACTGAGTCAAGAAAAACTCAGTCTGCGGATCGATCTGTGTGAAATCAATGATCTTCAGAATGCTCATCGAAAGAACGAAGTTCTGCAGCAGATCTGAAGTCAAGGTCTTCCATATCCACTTAGAAAATAATCTATATAAAAAGGATATTCGAAAAGAGTGTAGCCAAGTTGGTCAGCTTTGCATTGCTGTAGTCCTGAATGGTTTTGAAAATGTCTTGGTACGCTAGCTGAAGCGTGAACTTATGGGAAGGCTTGCTCTTGCAGAGCTGATTCAGCAAATACCCATAATACGGATTGTACTGCTTTTCCTACACTCGATTTCGCCCTTCTGCCCCACTCGACCCGCACAAACCAGAATGATTCGAATGATTTCTCGCTCCTGCACGGGCTGGAGATTGAGCTGAAGCAGCCGATCGAACGCCTCCATGTAATCGCTGCTCGTCATGAGCGTAATGAACACAGCTCTACAACGAAGCGCCTTTCTTCGACTTACTTTCGAACGTCTGTGTTCATTCGAAGCTTTTCCGCCGCTTTGATCACTTTCTCGTCCGCTTCGGCGATGATTCGACTCAGCGACGTCCGCTTTTCCTTCTTTCCCTCCGCTTTCTTCGCAGGTCGGTACTGTGCGCCCAGAACCCACCATCGACCATTCGTTTCGGCGTTATGGATGTCTTCGAGCGAGACTGCGAGAGGCGTGGAATTCGTTCCGAATGTTTTGGACACGAGGTTTCGAATCATGGTGGCTTTCTCCTTTTCTTGCTTCAGCTCCGCGTTGTCGCGGTTGTTTTTGATGTTGTAAACGGTTTCTAACATCAGCTGCACTCGCTGGTTATTTCTACGTCACACAGACAAAGCGGAGCTACTTCCACGCATCCGAATCTGCCTTTTCCTTGATGAGAAGGATGAGGTCTTTCAGGTCCGCTGGGCAGTCGCCTCGCAGTTTGAATCCGCAGATTTTCATTGTGGTGTAAATGATTTCCACGTCCATTTCGGTGAATCGTCTTGCGCCTTCCTTCAACAAATCGACGATTAACGTGGAGGTGAGAAGATTGTAAAAGTAAAAATAAGCTAAAAGAACGAAGATATTCACCGGCGTTTTCGAGTACTCCACGACATTGTCGTTCTATCGTTCAGTTCATCGAATGCTTCGTACGCTCGTATCGTGCTCGTTAATCGCATTTTCACACTCTGCTTCGAATAAATTCACTACATTCTCTGCAATGAAGGAAACGACGTTCATGTCGCTTTCGTGCTGCGCGGCGGCGATCAAACCGGCGTATAATCGAATGTAGTGGTGAATGATTTTGAATGGGTTCTTTGTAGCAGCGATGACTGTCGTGTAGAGATTGCTACGCACGCTGTTCTTTGGATACTTCGTGTATGCAGCGATTAGAAGATGGCACATACTGATAAACGTGTCGTCTGTGACTTTGTTCACAATCTCGCGGATTTGCTTGGCGATAGCTTGATCGAATTGAGTGGACTCATCTGCAGAGGAAGACTGGTTTCGTAAGTGAGGTGGAACGTATTTGGCTGTGAATCGTTTCAAGTCTTCTTCGTGGCCAGCCTTCACTCTTCCATAAATATCTGTGATATCTTCATATCGAACGTCCTTTGGTTCATCGGAAGCTTCTGGTTTGGAATCATTCTCTTCTTTTTCACTTTTCTCATTTTCTTCTTCTTCTTCTTCTTCTTCTTCCTCTTCTTCCTCTTCTTCTTCTTCTTCTTCCTCCTCTTCCTCTTCTTCTTCTTCGTTACTTTCAAGTAAATCAGCATCATCCATACTTTCTTCCTTTTCTTCCTCTTCCTTTTCTTCCTCTTCCTCTTCCTCTTCTTCATTCATGACACGAAGACCATTGTTTTTGGCATATGAACGGAGGTAATTAGCATCCACAATTCCATCCGAAAGATCCTCATCTAACCCATCATCCTCAGACATTCCTTCCAGCTCTTCTTCCTCTTCCTCTTCCTCTTCCTCCTCTTCTTCTTCCTTTGATTGTTTCAGATCTACCTTAGCATTTTTCTTAACCTTTTTCTTTCTGCTTTTCTCCAAAGAGTCAATTTCATCTTGCGATAATTCCTTTTTTATCTTATCCATATCCGGAGCCTCCATTACATGATCCAATTGATCCAGAAAATCAAAAATGTCATCACCAAAACCATCTTCCTTTAATTCCTTGTTTAGACGACGGCGAATGTCTTTCTTACTCTTGCTATCACTTGTATTAAGCCCCAATTTCTTCTCAAGATACTCAATCTCCTTTTCGTCCTGCTCGAGTTGTTTCCGCGTTCCCTATATAACAAACTATATTAACAACAGTACAAAATCGAATTTATCAATATGAACCTTTTTGGCTGTTGATTCGGAATCACCTCTTGTGACTTCCTTATTTTCTCTCTTTTTATTACTCTTTGATTTCTGCGTAGTTGCTTTTTTCATTGAGACAATCACGCCTAAAACAACAAAAACAATCTAATCCCTATTCTCATTTTAGGAAGGTAGTAATTTCTTATTCTAAAAGTAAAACAATCTGCAAGTCCATTCTCTCTCGAATTGTTTATTGTACCGTTTTAGCCTGCTATTCAAGAGAGTAATTGAATATTAAAGCCAAAAAGGAAAATAAAGAAATGACATTTAACATGTTTTTTCCAATGATTCATAGATTTTTTATCTTTTGCAATGGAAAAGGGCCAGAATCGATATCATCGTAAACCGACTAACAGAAAAATATACAAGCAACGGAAAGACACTAAGGAAAAGGAGGAAAACAAGGATTCTGAGGAGTTTGAAGTTATAGATACTAGGCACTATTATTTCAAGGGATTAGACTATGAGGTTAAGTATTTGGGTGGTTCTAACATGGGAAAATACATAAAGACCGTGAAAAAGGGAAATGTACACGAATGCCAAATGTTTTATAAGGGTATCCTAATATCAACATGGAGTGAAGTGAATGGAAGACACATTGGAAAGGAAGTCACATACGAAAGAGGTATAGTGAGTAGTGTAACTGATAACGACAAGTCGTTTAAGAACTACCAGAGGTATATTGAGAACCAGAAGCAGGGACCGACTCTGGTGATTTACGACGAGACTACCTATATTGTGGTTTATCGCGGAGACTTCAACAGTAATTATGAGCGGCATGGAAAGGGTACTGAGTTCTATCCGAAGACAGGAAACGTCAAACTCGTTGGTATGTGGGAAAGCGACAAGCTGAAGCAAGTTGTAAAGGAATTTGAAGATGATGAAATGATCGAGTATGCAGATGGACATGATAACTTGGATATTTCGAGACGCATTCCTCTATACATCGGTGGCTATGCCTACGACGAAGAGAACGATGAGTATGTGCGCCATGGATCGGGCTGCATTTTGGATAGATATGGAAAGGCTATTCACGAAGGAGTTTGGGAGAACGGAGAAGAGAAAAGCGGGGTTGATTTGTATGACGGATGGTACGAAGATGGTGCTGAAGCTCAATACATCCAAAATGTGCAGGTGGGAGATGATGAAAACGATTCTCTGTCGGTTTCTTCCGAGATAGATAGGTCTAGCACGCAACTGGAGATTCGGTCGAAGGAGGACATTCGAGGTGTGAATTTTCAAATTCGTGAACTTATCGTGTATCCCTCATTCAATGGCTATGTGTTGAAATTGTACAATTTAAAATCTTTGAAAACCATTGAAATTGGTGATTCCTGCCTCCAGCATGTCTCTTCCTTTAGTCTAACGAATTTGCCTGGACTTGTCTCCGTGAAGATCGGAAAGAACTGCTCCGAGAAGAACTGCTCAGTGAAGAATGTGAAGATGATGAAGAACAAGCTAAAACTGAGTACGAACAAATCCTTCTCTATCGAAAACTGTCGACACCTGAAAATGATCGAAATTGGAGAGGGCAGTTTCATTGATTTTGGTCGGTTCGAGATCACGAAATGCCCGAAGCTGGATTCCCTGAATATCGGATCCGAGAAGGATTCTTGGAACTTCTTCGCTGCTTCGTTCATTATTCAACGTATAGAAGGGAAAAGGAAGGTATGATCAATAGAGTTGGATAGTTTGAAAACGATCTATTTGGGGGATTCCGCATTCCGAATGTCCACCGAAACCTGCATAGAAAGTATAAAACTTTGTGAGTTCTTCATGTAGATCTTCCGCAACTGCGAACGATTACTCTCAAGGCGAACGCCCTCTTAGGAAACAATACGGACTCCAGCACTCTCTCCTTGACAGGTAGATTTTCCATTTCAATCTGAAGTGCAGATCTTCCCGCTTTGGAGTCTCTCGTAGCGGAGAAGAACAGTTTTTACTTCCCTCGCACGATTTTCTTCTCAAGTATGGCGCTTGTCTTTTTTTTGAGCGTAGATATTTCGAAGAAGGCGAAGATTACGCTTCCTGGAGCATTTAAGAAAGTCATAACGAATTCTGTCAGCAGTAAGCTTTGAAGAGAGGATCTGATTTGCAGATGTTCCTGGCTCGCTACAAAGAATGATAAGGGATGCTGCCGAAGCGCAAAGCGCATTGAGGTAATCTAGAAAGCTCTAGAAAACTGTTTGTTTCCATCAATTTGCCCTATTAAAAAAGGCCCCTAAATCGAAAGGGGTTTTTGTTCGATTTTTGGGCCATTGCATGATAGAATGTTCTGGAAATGAGGTTCCTTTCATAGTCTATTTCATATTTTCTTTATTGACATTATTCATAAAGAGCAATTCTGAAGAAAGCTATGATGAATAAAGTGCTATTTGCTATTGTGGCTCTCACCGCGCTTGCTTTTGCGGAGGAAGAAGAGAGTCTGGGAAATGTGATCGGTATCGATCTGGGTACCACCTACTCTTGCGTGGGTGTGTACAGAAAGGGACAAGTGGAAATCATTCCCAATGAGCAGGGTAACCGTATTACTCCTTCCTACGTCGCTTGGGACGACAAGGAACGTATGATTGGTGATGCTGCCAAGAACCAGGCCACCATCAATCCTGAGCGTACTATTTTCGATGTGAAGCGTCTGATTGGTCGTAAGTACAATGATCCGACTGTTCAGCACGATAAGAAGATGTGGCCTTTCCATGTGATGGACAAGAAGGGAAAGCCCGTGATTCATGTGGAGACCAACAACGGACCGAAGGACTTCTCTCCTGAGGAAATCTCCGCTATGGTGCTGACCAAGATGAAGCAGATTGCCGAGTCTTATTTGGGTGAGGAGGTGAAGAACGCTGTGATCACTGTGCCTGCCTACTTCAACGATGCGCAGCGTCAGGCTACGAAGGATGCTGGAACGATTGCGGGTCTGAGCGTGCAGCGTATCATTAACGAGCCCACTGCCGCTGCTATTGCCTACGGTCTGGACAAGAAGGACGGAGAGAAGAACATTCTTGTGTTCGATCTTGGAGGTGGTACCTTCGATGTGACGGTGCTGACGATCGATAACGGTGTGTTCGAGGTGCTGGCTACCAACGGAGATACGCATCTGGGAGGAGAGGATTTCGACCAGGTGGTGATGCAGTACATGATGAAGATCTTCAAGAAGAAGTACAACAAGGACATGTCTGGCGACAAGCGTGCTGTGCAGAAGCTGCGAAAGGAGGTGGAGCGTGTGAAGCGCGTGCTGTCCACTCAGCACCAGGCGAACATCGAGATCGAGGCTCTGTACGACGGCATCGATTTCTCGGAGACGCTCACGCGCGCTCGTTTTGAGAAGCTGAACATGGATCTCTTCAAGAAGACTCTGGGACCTGTGGAGAAGGTGCTGGCGGACGCGGATCTGAAGAAGAAGGAGATCGACGAGATCGTGCTGGTCGGAGGCTCGACGCGTATTCCCAAGGTGCAGGAGCTGCTGAAGGACTACTTCAACGGCAAGGAGCTGAACCGTGGAATCAACCCCGATGAGGCCGTGGCTTACGGAGCTGCCGTGCAGGGAGGAATCCTGAGCGGAGAGGCCGCGGAGGAGACGAAGGACCTGCTGCTGCTGGATGTGGCGCCCCTGTCGCTGGGTATCGAGACGGTGGGAGGCGTGATGACGGTGCTGATCAAGCGTAACAGCGTGATCCCCACGAAGAAGTCGCAGGTGTTCTCGACGTACCAGGACAACCAGCCCTCGGTGACCATCCAGGTGTTCGAGGGAGAGCGATCGATGACCAAGGACAACCACAAGCTGGGACAGTTCGACCTCAACGGAATCGCCCCCGCGCCGCGCGGCGTGCCGCAGATCGAGGTGACCTTCGAGATCGATGCCAACGGTATTCTGCAGGTGTCCGCGGAGGATAAGGGCACTGGCAAGAGCGAGTCCATCACCATCACTGCGGAGAAGGGACGTCTGAACGAGGACGAGATCCAGCGCATGGTCGAGGAGGCCGAGATGTACGCGAAGGAGGACGAGGCGGCGCGCAACCGCGTGGACAAGCGCAACCAGCTGGAGAGCTACTGCTACCAGCTGAAGAACACGATCTCGGACAAGGAGAAGGGAGTGGCCGACAAGATCTCCGAGGAGGATAAGGAGAAGATCGAGGAGGCCGTCAAGGAGACGCTGGACTGGCTCGACGACAACGATAGTGCGGAGGCCAGCGAGTACGAGGAGAAGCAGAAGGAGCTGGAGGCGGTCGCTAACCCGATCATGTCCCAGTTCTACCAGAACGCTGGAGGTGAGTCTGCGCCGGAGGATGACGACGACGAGCTGTAAACTACTTTGATATATTGGTATTGTAATGGTTGAATCTTGATCCTGTTTGCCTGTTTGTTGCAAAAGAAAATGGAAAAACAGTCCTTCAAGATTGTTCTTCTCGATTTTCCTGCTCTCTCCGCTCTCGAAGACATCCTCGCTTCGCTGGAGGCTGGAGAGGTCGACCTGGGATCGGGATGGTGATGTGTAGAGTTTCTACTCCATCGATCCCTACATCAAGGACGCTATCAATTATTTTAACAAACAAAACCAGATTCAGGAGCGTTTCTCCCGCATTCAGTCCATCGCGCCCAGCGAAGAGTCTATTCACGCAGGTCGTGAAGTAGGAGAAAAATAACGCGTAGTGAAAACGTTCTCCACGGAAGCGGGCTACAGCGAACAATTGACGGAGCTAGATATTCTGTTTATGGCAGCGGCGTATGAGATGGAAAAGACCAGATTCGGAATTGAGCACATAAACCACATTCCTTTACTAACAGTACATTTCAGTGGTGGATGCGAGAAATAGAAATCCAGGTATTTTGAAAACACGGATGAGCTTCGAGAAGTGGGCGTAAACGTGTGTCATGAGCCATGTATCTATTTCAGTCTCCCAGGAGGATGCAGTCGAGGGAACGGCTGTTTCTATAAGCACATATCCCACCTTTTTTTATGAAAATAATCAATTCCAGAAATTGTAATTCCTTCACTGCACCCTGGTGACATCGACACACATCCATTCGTTTCTCACCCTTCCTCCAAGCTCCGCGCTTCGGCTCCAGAATTTGTTCCTCAGGCTACCACGCAATCTAGCACTTCTACACATTCCCAGGGCAGCCATGTGAATGGCGGGAGTGGAAGTCTTCTCCTGGAGCCAACCAGCGAAGACGACTATGGATGCTGGATTGGTTCTGAGGAACTTTCAATGCATCGATTTGCTTTCCATCTATAACCGTAGATTTGACCGGAATGTTCCTGAAGAAGCCACGCAACGACTCGATAATTCCATTGTCGTTTGCACCAATAACACGACAATCCAGGTAGACCAATGCCCACATTCGACAGTTAACAATAGATAATTTTGTTACAAATGGGGTTTCGGGTGGTCTCGTTGGCGGGAAATCCGATCACGAAGATGAAGATCTGGACACGAAAATGCAGCTCGTGTTTTCGGTTTCTTTGAGGGAGTGGGTTGAGTTTAGCATTTGCATTAATGAGCACTGCAGCTTCTGTCCGTCTTGTGGAAATCGGAGTTTGAAGCGAGTCCAAGCGTTCATGACTCGAAATGGAGTGGTCGGAGTGGGCGATTTTTCCTCTTCGCGAACGCACAAAACAAAGAAGCGAACCAAACCGAAGAATCAAACGAAAAGCAATCGCAATAGTCAAAGCAAATCCCCAATCAAATCAAGCGCAGAAGCAGAAGCAAGCGCAGAAGCAAGCGCAGAAGCAAGCGCGGAAGCAGAAGCAAACACAAACGACACAAAACAACACGATGAGAATGTAAACACTAGCGAAAACACCAATAATGCTGCAACTCATTCAAAACATGAACTTGAGTGAAACTTGTTTTCAACAAACACTTGATTGTACACTAGTTTGGCTGGCGCAGCTGAGCTTCCTTCTGCTCTAATTCGCTATATTTTTCCTCCACAACCTTCAGATAGTTTAGCAAATCATGCTTAAAGTCTGAAGGAAGACTCGTTATTGTATCCAACAATTGGAGAGTCGTGTCATCTGAAATCTCAACCGTACGAGGTTCGGGCGCTGCTAAGTCAATACCACACATAGTACTATACATTCTTTTTGAGTTTGACCTATCTTTCGAAATTGACTTAGTTCAGCGAGAGACTTGGGAGGAGTAATTCTCTCAATTTGTGGCATATTCTACAATCAGACAAATCGACAAAACGCACAGTAGTGGTAATCTCGTCAAGTTGGGCGAGGAATTGATCGCGAACCTCCTAGTAACTGAGCACAAAACTCAAAAATCGTACAGAAGATGAGGAATAGGGAGCCTCTTCCAGACGAATGTCTTCTACGGATATTACGGAGCTAGAAGAGATCTACCAAGATGGGAGTCTTCACATCTGGCGAGTAAAGGAATCGAACCTCTTTCTGCTTGAAGTTCGATGGATTGCAAAACTCTACACCTCATTCGATTTGCAACACTCTGTACACATGCTCTTTAGCATAGGGAGAGACATATTGACCTTCGCTTGTGGGAAGCCGAATCGAAGTAAATTCGAACTGCCCAGCAGTCACGGACTTCGGGTTCAATATAACACTTTCCTTTTCGCTCATAGGTAGTCCGACAAAAAGAATTTGCTTCGTCGTTTCAAAAACAAATAGTTTAAATTTCATTTATTTTTAGCAACGTTTCCATAATATCAGAAACCGATGACCCAAATCGATCCGCAATCTCCTTCTGAACGGCAGGCGGATATCGGAAGAATCGCATGCAGATCGCTCCGTCCGCAACACCCTTCGCCTTAAAACCATCCCCCAAACTCACAGTCGACGGCAAAAACAGACTTCGGTAATCATCCACATTTCTCCCCACCAACGAAATTCCCTTCCCTATAATAATCGACTCCAGCGCCACCACCGTCTCCAGCGTCTCAATCGACGCGATCGGCGTGAGAGACCCGATGGTTCCGTAGATGGTGGCGTACACCAGCAACTCCTTTCCCTGCTGCAGCGTCTGCTTAAACAGCGACGTCACGATCGCTCCAGCGTAGAAGCAGACCAGGAGCGACATCTACGCGTGACAGAGCGAGCGAGGAGCGACCGATCGTTCGTTTTTGGTCTGATAGGACGGCACATACGCGTCCAGCCCGCTCAGCAAGTCGTTCAGCTACAATCAATCGTGGAAACCGTGGAAACCGGATAGAAGCTGCGGTAGATGAGGATGTTTCCGTATTTGTCGCTGACGGCGAGAGTGATATCGTCGATGACGCAGCTGCGCAGCAGCGATCGGTAGGTGTGATGGCGCAGAACGAGCGTAAGCGACCACGAATTCGAGCAGCGAATAATCGAAATCACGCCCGAGTTATCGGTGAGATAGAACACGTTCTTATAGAACTCGATGGAGGTGACGAAGGAGTCGGTGCACTGCGAGAATTGAGAGAAGGGAGACGACGCCTACGCGGATGTGCGATACGAATTTGGGGCCGTAAAGGTCGATTTCGTAGATTTGGAGCTCGTTTCCCGTGACGACGGCGACGAACCGGTCGGCAACGGGGAGCAAAAAGAAGATTTTGTACTCAAAGCGAACTTCCCAGAGCTGGACCGGAGCGTCCGCCTCGCTTTTCAGCGCTATTTCTAAACGAGGAAACGGAGAAAAACCGGATTGGGATTCGACGCTGTAGCGATACGCTCGGAGATAGTATTTCGATGTGACGCCGTTGAAGCTGGCGAGCAGCAGAAGGAGCTCGTTGGCTTTGCCTGGGATGAACAGCGACGCGGAAATGGCTTCGTCGAGGGGGATGGAGACGCCTCGACTGGACTGCAGCAATCCAAAGTCTTTATTGAATTGAATGATGCTGAATCGCGAGGAGGCGATCTGGGGCGGGTTGCTTTGCTTGTTTACGTCGTAGCCCGAGACGAAGACGGTTCCGTTGAGACTGGGGACGAGGAGACGCGGCGTGACGCCGAGTTCGGTGGGTTGGATGGAGATGCTCGTGGAGCGTGTGTCGATGTCGAGGTAGATGAGCTGCTTCTTCTGCCACATGAGGAAGAGCGATTTCGATTTTTGGCGCGAGACGAAGAGGTTGCCCATGTGGCTGGTCGACGCGTTTTTGTCCAGCAGCATCGTCGAGTTGAAGTTGATCAGCATGGGGATCAAGCGGAACGGATTGTTCCGATAGATCACATAGTACGAATCGCCTGCGGACACCACCAACGCGGGAACGCCGCTTAGAATGCACGGCGAGAAGCAGACCGGCTCGCTGCTGATCTGCACTTCGTAGATCTTCTTCGGCTCTGCGTCGCCGTTCAGCGCGATCAGCAGCAAATTCCCGCCGTGCGCGCCGACATACAGCAGCGAATCGTTGGGAGACGCGTACTGCTGGTAGTTGGGATTGCGGACGTTCGAGAAGGAATAGATGCAGCTGGGATTGCAGTCGACCGCGATGGGGTCGCGCGCCTCCAGCACGTTCCCCACGATTTCGAAGCGGCGAATCGACCGATCGCGCACCGCGAAGAACAAATAGTTCCCGTACTCCAGCACGTCGTCGATCTCCGAGTTCACCACCTTCGCCTCCAGTTCCACGATTCGGAATTCGTTCGGCTGGTCGTGCACCAGCTTCAAGCAGCGAATATTGTTCCCGGTAATCACGGTGATGTAGTTCGCTCCGATGAAGCTGCTCCCGATTTGGCTGTCGCTTCCGCACTTCCACTCCGCGACGCATTTCATTTCCTGCAGGAACCGGACCTGCGAGGGCGTGATCTGCACGTACACGCCGTTGTAGACGCCGGTGTTCAGCGTCTTCTCGAGCGTGGAGAAGTCGGACGACTTGATGACCTCGAAATGGCCGTTGCCCGAGATCGAGATGAGATAGGAGCGATTGGTCGTGGAGAAGATGGCCAGCGGATCGACGAAGTCGTCTTCCAAGGAGGGCAGCGAATAAAGGCGGTAGTACATGTCATCCGAAACGAGCTTGATCGGCGACAAAACCTCCTGGATGTTGCATTGGATGCCCAGCGAGACGGTGCAGAGCCGACCCGACGCTCCGTGTCCCGTGGTGGCAACGAATCGATTCATTGAGTCCGCGATGGGCACCATTTTGGACACGCCGGAGATCGTGGGGAGGATCGTTCCGGACTGCAAGGACTGCAGTTTGTGCTCGACGATGTCGTTGATGGGCAGGCAAATGCTAGGCTTGAAGAGGAAGCGGACAGCGACTTGTCTCCGTTCTCGCAGAACAGAAGGAGGTGTGTGTCGGTCGCGCACATGGCGGTGTAGATGCGCGTTGAGACCAAAACGGGGTAGGAGAGAATCTGGAAGTCGTTCGTCAAACAGAAAAAGTTCGGCTCGTCGGTCGCGAAGAACAAACCGGCGGAGGAGAGCGTGCTGGATGTGATCACGGCGTTCGATGAGTTGCTGCATGTGAGGTATTTCCGCTCTTTGGTGGTCGTGTCGACGACACACATCACGCCAGAGGAGTAATAGAGGAGATTTGAGCCGTCTAGAAGTAAGAAAAAGAGAGTGTGTGGAGAAGAGTACAGAAGAAGAGATCTGTGATATGGTGCGATTCCTGGGGAGGGAGATCGATGGTGTTTTGGATGCTGATGGAATTAGAAGAAGCGGAAATGGAGAGAAAACGCACCGACTTGGATTTGGAAACCAGATCCATACAAAGACAGGCGAGCACGGTGGACGAACACCACTTCATCGACCCGATGATACAGTTGGCGAAGGAATAGCGAAGAGGTTCCTTCTCCACAAACTGGATCTCGTTTGTATCGTAGTTGATGGAATGTTCAAGAGAATATACTAGGATTTCACCGCCCAGAGCTCCTAGTCATAGAATCCGATAGAGGAGACACTACCAATCGCGATGAGATTATTATCGGCGTTCACAGCAAGATATTGACCAGGAACCTCCAGCAGACATCCTGGTTTGCCGAATTGAAAGTTTGCGATTGTTTGGAACGAACTCGATTCCAGGCTATACCACAAAATCGACATACAGCCACTATCAGAAGTGAGCACGATCAAGTCCTTAAAATAGTCTAAATAGAATCTACATTATCAGCAGGTACCAGATAACTTGAGTCTTTGTATAACGAGTCCAGTCCCAAACAGAGTTTGGGTTACGACGTTATACTCCTTTCCATCGATAACACTATATAAGGAAATGGATGTTCCACTGAGAATAATGAACTGGAGGTCGTTATTTCCGAGGAAATGTCCTAAAGCTTTAAAAGTTGCTTCTATACTCACCAGTGACTACCCCATTGACATTGGTTCCATAGGAAAGAATCTTGTGATATAGAAACATCAGCTAATTTGATTATAGTATTCGAAATTCTGCGAAGTACTGAGCTATTTACAAACCTTATTTTTTTGTAATTTATTTTATATTATTTTATTTTTCTACTGCCTTATAATTTCCACACTAGTTTATCAACTATTTCCGGATGCTTGCTGTACCGTTAGACACATTAGGTTATAGTCGGAAAAGAGAAGCTTTTGGACTTTACCCAGAGTCTGACTCTTATGGGCGTAAGCATTTTGACCTTCCTTCAGCATTAGAAAGAAGTTCTGTGTTTTATGAAGTTAAGCGCAATCGTATGAAGTAGGCCTTTTGTTGGTGGTGCTATTTTCTTTAGCAGTGATGAAGGATCTATAGCTTCAAACTTCAACAGATTCCAGTCCTTTCAGCGCGAAAATGAGCCGTAGCAGCTTCGCTTTCACGTAATGTCTAGTCAGATGCTAAAAGAAACGATCGAACAAAAAGAGAGGGAAATCCGTGAGAAGGATCAATTGATCCAAGAATTGCAACAAAAGATTGTAGGCTGTTCGTGGTTCATTTTTTTCATAGTCAGCGCGTGAACTGAAAGTGGCGCAGTTTGATTCTCTTGCAAGACTGTTTATGGAACAGAATGTGAAACTAAAAGCAAAAGATGATGAAATAAAGAACCTAACGACTGTTGTCCAAAGGTATGTTGCTCCCTCTTCTATCAATCTAGATTGACGAACGAGAACCGGGGTCTGAAGAGCCGGCTTTATCTTATGGACCGTGAAGACATTATTAGTTATTTAGGAAATTAACTATAGTTGTATTTAGTCCCTCTCTGGTATTGTATTTTTTGAAGTTGTTGTTTCTTGTCAAACACGAAGCAAGTATCACTTTATATTTATGGGGTGCGTATTCAGCTCGGACGCTGCTTCTCAACCGCTACGGCGGCCTAAACCTTGGAAAATGGATTTCTCCAAGTACGACAAAACTCTCAACGAAAACGACTTGGAGGAACTTCGAACCGTTTCGAACCGTTCTTCTTTTTCACAATAGCAATTCTGGTATGATCGGGTTGACAACAATCTTGATGTGTGGGCGGTGCTGCGGAAATGCTGCGAAGCCTGCTTGAAAAGTGCGAACAATTCATCTCTAACGAGGCAGATGACTACACCACAGCGAATCAGCTCTTTTCGGAAGCTTCTCTGCAGGCACCGCATCACGATCTAAGCGAATGCGTTGACCGAGAAGGCTATGTGTATCGAATCGAGAAGTTCTGCTACTCGAACCCATCGAATATGATGGTTGGCAAAGTGGACGAAGGTTTTTGTCTGTTCTTTGCTCCGATATAGACACTACGCTGTTTGTAGGGGAGGAAATCGTATATCAGTTCAGAATCCAATCAGTGAACTTGCATTGACTGCTTTCACATAGGCACAAATAGAAGAGCCGATCCAATTTTCGCTGTCTTTTAACAACTCAGACAAAATATCGGCTGTCGTATCAGCAGTGCGTGATGAGCTGCTCGCGAATCACAATATCGAGACTGTCAACAGTATTAAATTGATATACAGAGGCTTTATGATGGACGAGAAGCGGACAGTGGGAGATGTGGGAACTATTGAGTGTGGGCTGAAGTGTAGTATACCGTGAATCCTGACTATATTATTCTAGCGATAGTGAATTTCTTTGATTGTTACAACAAACAACTAATGCATTTTTCGAACACTCCTTACAGGGAGCAATCCATGCAACTCCCTCCTTTTCAACCCGATCCAGAATCTCTACGACTTTCTCTTTTTTAGACAGCAGAGCACTGTCTCGTGCCGTTTCTCCCTAGAATGAACTCACTCACGAATTACCGTACATAGGCATTCTTTATTGATGGATCGGCTCCATGCTGCAACAACAGCATTACAATATCCGTGTGACCATACCAGCAAGCTTGGTGCAGCGCTGTATACTTGGTTTGTGGATTGACAAAGTTGAGATCAAGACCTTGATGGATATAGCGGATTACCTGCCGCATGGAATTCTTTTTACAAGCACGGAAGAAGGAATCATACGTTTCCTACCAGTTAACAAAAAAAGTCTATCAAACGAAAGAGCGCTCCTGGCTCGATATGATGGTATCGTAATCGTTCGATGGCGGCTCTTGTGGTTTCTGAGTGAGGGAATCAATCTTTTTTTTTGCTTTAGTATATTCTTCTTTCATAGATGGGTCATTTTCCGTGAGAGAACATAGCGAAGTCCAAACATTTTCTGCAGCTTCTCGAATGAGCGGTTCATTTAGATAAGATGTGAGTAAGCAACCATCAGCTTCTCGAAAACAACGGATCGAATCTTCATTCCGTCCCTATATATCGGATTTGACGCAACTAGTACCATTTTACAATATAAATCTCCTAAATGCTTATATGCACAGAATTTACCCCCGACATACTCTTGGTTCTTGCTATCAATGACAACTTGCTCTAAGGTCTGGACAGCCTCTTCGAAACACTTTTCCGATACTTGCTTGCTCGCCTTCCGGAGATTCTCTCGGATATCCTGCATAGAGTAAGTCTAACAAACAAATCTAATCCCTTCCATCATAATGCTTTCCTTTCATGCATCCAGGAATGTTCATGAAGGCATCAAAGTCGAGTACCTTCTTCTGCGGGCAGCAGCTCCAGTACTTCTCTCCATCATGGAACACCGGCTTTCCTTCATGATACTGACAGCATCCCTCCACGTTTTCCTCGGGTTTGTACCACTTATTGCATCCTCCATGCACGCACCGCGCCTTGCCGTCTACCATGCACTCGCCCCGTCATTCCTACCCTTCATCTCCACCGGCGTCGGCTTCGCTTTCCCCGCCTCGATCGCCGATCGCAGCGTGGTCGGCGCGTCCGCGTTGGTCCGATTGAACTCTTCGATCGATTTTATCACCGGAGCCGAGGGAGCCGAGGGAGCCGAGGGAGCCGAGGGAGCCGAGGGAGCAGCAGGTGAAGCAGGTGAAGCAGTCGAGGGAGCAGAAGCGGGTGCTGGAGTGGAGGAGGCGGCGACGGCGGCGTTGATGGCAGCGACGGTGGGGGAGGGGGCGAAGGACTGCATTTTCTGCTCGCAGCAGTGCGGCCCGATGGTGCAGCCCTCGATTTTGTAGAACTCGTCCCAGTCGTAGACGCGTCTGGACCGTCGAAACCACCCGCTAGAAGTACTTTTGACAGCACGACCAGCCCTTGGAGGCATCGTGGAATACAGGGGGCGAGGTGTGGTAGTGGCACGCCGTGTCGGAGTTCTCCTCGGGCTTGTACCATTTGTAGCAGCCGTAGTTTGTGCAGCGGACCATGCCCGTGTGATCCTCCTCGACCTTCTGGGGACGCTGCGGAGGAGCGCCTTCGGTCAATTCTGACAACGAAAAATACCAAGCTGGAACGTGATCGTCACGTTGTTCTCGCACACCTCGCCGATAATATCATCATCGTAGACTGCCTTTCCACTAGCGAATCGATCGGATGGAAAACGTCTTACAACACATAGCAAGTCGTAGTATCGACAGTAAAAGGGACCAGAGGATACTTTTTGTTATAGGCATCACAGAACATCTATTTCCTGGACAAACTTCGTAGAACCTACTTTCTTCACCTTTGAAATCGGATAACTGCACCACTTCGTATTTAGCGTCATCTTCAACATGAGAAATCCATCCTCGTCCTCCGGCTTCTTGTATTGCAAAAAGACTCTAGAAATCATTCCCTGCGAATTCCAAGCGTACTTCATTGCCCAGTTAAGAATTATATGGAACCAGTTTTTGTTATTGGATGATGCATTGTTAGCTCCCCGTACAGACTTTCAGAATAGTAGTTTTTCCATCTCCGTTGTTTCAACAAACAAGGAACAAAACACTAATTTAATGTGAAGCCTTTTTCACAGCCTCCTCAAAGCGCTCAACTGCATTGGATTTCGTCTTCGAGTAGGCGATCCGCTACACATCACACGAATATTCATTTTCAAAATACCATAGGCTTGCCATAAAAGTCAAATCCCTGAAGAGAATTCATCGCGTCCGTCGCATTTTGAGGCGTCAGAAAAGAAACCCAAGCTTGTCCGCGCATTCTTTCTGTCTTGAGTGCTACAACGTCCAGAACTATGCCGAACTGGGAAAACAGCATATAAAGAGAACGCCTCAATTGCTCCTTTGGCAGTCTGTCGTTTAGGTTATTTATGTACAGAGTAGGAATAGGCACCAACTGCTGGCTCATTCTCACACTTTTAATTGAAAATCAGCAAGGAAAGACAAAAATCGGAGGTATTTTCTCAAACAAGCTATTTATTCTAAATTAATAAAAATGATATCATTATCGGTCCCGGGGGATTGGCGAGCATTGTCTATAACACTCTCTTTCACGAAGTGATCTAATCTTCACAACGGTCCTTCGAAGCTACGAAAATAGCGTGTAGGATCCACAACTTTGAAAGATTTCCGATTTTGGCTGTAGCCTATCAGAATAATATAGTGCCCACAATAGTCGCGCTAGATCATAACGCTGTGAAGAGAAATACAAAAGTGCAGCAACTTCTGGCAGGGTAGAGCAGAGAAAAATCAACAAGGAGAAGAACGACCGTGTTTGGATTGAACTGCAGGAAGTCTGCGATCGTAGTGATAGTCACTTGGGCATCAAAAATATGGATGCTCTCGTTGCTGATAGTTTGGAAAAGCCGCTGAATGCGTTGAATATCATCATCTATTGTTGAACACTATAACTGAGGAGCCAATGGAAGGCAAACGCGGTAGAAATCCAGATAGTCATACTGTCGCTTCGATGGAGAAACGTTTGTTGTGCAGTAAACGCATCTTTAGTTCACCAGCTGCTTCATCTCCTACCGAAAATCATATGATTTCAATAATTTCACAAGTTCAATAGCCCACAAGCCATCCTCTACATTGCCTTCGATAGATTCCAAAAAGTCGGTATAGGTAAACTTATCATTCATGACAAAGCGATTTGCCCATTTTCTTCATGATTAGCTGTCTAGCAAAGACTTACACAATCATCCAGCAACATGCAGGACCACAATCATATGCCGTCTGTTGAACAAAGTGATAATTCTATGATTAAGAGAATAGAATAGCCACACAAATCGTTTCCTCAGTTTTCCTTGGCCAGTACTACAGAGATAATACTCAATGGTCTCTCGGTCGAGGAATTCGCTCTTTGACATTCACTCGATTTGCTAGTGAATGGGTATTGATAGACTCCGAGTTAAAAAATATTAATTAATCCTTTTCATTCTCCCCAATTACCGCGGAATTGTTAAACAAACACAAGATTTAAAACTACAGAAATTATTCTTGTACGATTTTGCGATTGATAAGTGATCCCGTCGTTCGTTGTCCCAAATATACTTTCGTTGCTCCGCATTACAATACTGAAGATTGATAGGTTTATACAGTGTCCCCAGTCCGTCCATCTTCCCTTTCTTCCAATCTCCTTTGTAAAACAGCGTCCCATTAGGATAATAAACACAGCCGAATCCATTCCACAGATTAGACGAAAAGAAACCATTATACAGCACGGTGCGATTCTTATAGTACCACCGTCCCTCTCCATTGAGTTTATCTCCAGAAATCGCTCCCTGGTAGAGCAGCACGTCTCCATCGTATATTTTATCGTCTATGATTCTCCATTGTGTGTGTTGAGACAGCAGATCGTTCTCTGTGAGTGGGTACTCGTGGAATGCGACACAATCCAACTCATGAGAACGGTCCTGTGAATCAGGCTTGACAGTTGTGTCGTCGCTATGTGATAAAATGGAGTAGATTGGATCGTTTTCCAAGTCTTGCGAAGCCAGCCATTCCTCAAACTCGTTGCTTGTGCATTTTTCGTCGTTGATGGCCGCCGCAACGCAATATTGGATCCATTCGTTTTCGATGGGATTTGAATCAAAGGAATCTTCGTTCAAGAAATCGATGGGATCCGATTGGGAGCATGAAGTGGAGTCAGGTATGATTTCATTTTCAATTTCATTTTCATGTTCATTTTCATGTTCATTTTCATGTTCATTTTCATGTTCATTTTTATTTTCTTGTTCATTTTCTTGTATCGTTTGTGTGGTGTGTTGGAGATCGTTCGAGGTTGTGGTTTCAGTTTGATTTGTAGGTGCAGAGTTTGATTCCTTCTTTCTTTCACATTCACTCACAATTGCAGGCTCATTGCTATTGCTACCGCCATTCTTCTCTCCATTTGCATTCCCATTTTCAGTCACAATCCCAATTTCATTCTCATTCTCATTCTCAATTCCAATTCCGATTTCATTCTCATTCATACTCATCGTCACTAAATAGATGGCAACTCGCTCTTCCTCACACTCCACAACCGACTGGAAGGGATCTCGATTCACCATCACTCCATCCAACAACTCTTTATACAGCGTTCTCCTCTCCACACAATCATCAAACCGAAGCACCAAACTCTGATTCGACAGCGTGGAGCTGACAACAAACGCTTTCCTATACTTCCCAAACGACTCGACTGTGATCCTATAAATGTTGTCTTTGTTCAGATAGCGATGCACCGTCCTCTCATCATACTGCACGAAGCAATCTCCAAACCAACCGCCATCCAAATCGTCCGAATCACGCTTCATTGAATACGTAAACAGCGGATATGCCGAGCCGTCCGAGAAAAACCCAAACGAACTGCTGTCATCGCAAGGCTCTTTCGGCTGCTCCACGGAATAGAGAATGAAATCTTTCCGATCGTACTCCTCTCTTCGCAAGGGCTTCTTCTCCACGGAGCTGTCGATCGACGAAGGAAGCAGCGAGAGAGGGTACGGACTGTCCATTTCGCTCCAGCAATTGGGGGCAGATGAAGAATAGTTCGGCATCAGCGAGCCCAAAAACTGCCGAATGCTGAGCAGATTGCCCGAGCCGTTTGAGAAAACGTCCAAGCGGTACTTCTCGAGATTCTCGCAGATCTCGCTGAGCGAGGAGTACTCCGTGATCACTTGCAAATGGTATTTCGAGGCGAGCTGCTTCAAGGCGTCAAACAAAGCGCCGCCTCCGGCAATGAAAATCGCATAGTTCGGCTTTTGCTGAATCATCGCATTCAGTTTTTCCTCACAAAGAGCTCGGTAGCATTCGAGAAGGTGGTTCTGCGAGAGCATCAGCTTGGTCTGCTTGTTTTTGTGCTTGATTGCAATATAGGGAAACTCGATTCCCTTCTGCAGCTTCTCGACCACATCCTTGCAACAGGACTCGATGCACTCGGAGAGATTGGGAGAATCGAAAATAGGATCTCCGTACTTCGTTTGATAGTTCTCCGTAAGACGGGTTGCAAAGTAATTGACGATGGCATCTTTGGAAAAGGAAAAGACCTCATTTGATAGATTTCTCTCTTTCTTATTCACATAATAAACATCGGAGTATAGTCCCCCACAAATAAGCAATGTGTAGCAAGAGCTTGTCGGGATGAGCTTCGAGGGGTTCACAAAATAGAGAAAGGGAGATACGGGATAGATTTCACTCAAGCCCAGCTTTAAGAAACAAGAAATAATATACTCGTTGCTCTCATTTCCGAAGAGAACGATTCTGTTACAATCCTCCTTCGATTTTTCGTCTAGAAATTGCTTGAGAAAGCGTGCAATCGAGAGAAAAACGAAAGTGTACTGGATTGAACCATTTGAAGTATTTAGGTACAACTCGATTTCCGATGGAAGCTTCTCCTCGCGGTTTATCGAATAGGTATGATTGAGCAGACTCCTTTCTCTAGACATTATCGAGGCACGATTTCAAGTACAATGCAGTTGGGTTGCTCTCCTTATCGCTAGTAGAACCGTTTGGAATAAAATCTAGGTGAAGCACGTAATCGCCACTCTCCACACTCTTTTCAGTCGTTCTGTGCACATATCCAAAGAAGATGCACGAATCTCTTGGAAAGATGTAATAGAGAAGCGCCATTTATCGAAAAGGATGAAAACTAAAGGTTGAAAAAGATAGTTTTCCCAAATGAGCTTTGAGTTGTTAAAGTGGTTTTTAATTGTGTGTACGAATATTGGAAAATCTGCAAGCAACTTCTAAGAACAATAGAATAAGTGTTCAAAAAAGCGATAGTACCCAAAATAGTCATAAAAACGTATCTATGTCAGGTAATTTTGCTTCTTTCTATGGAATTATCACCTAGAACATCAGAAGCCCGCGGAAGGCAGTGAATGCCTTATTTGCTGCGATGACATTACGGAAGATAATTATGTTGAGTTTCAAGTGAGTGGAGGTAGGATCCAATAGAGTATGAAGCCCATATATAGAAACAAAGTGGAATCCTTGTATCATTTGTGAAAACTGCACAGAGCAGTTGCTTAAGGATATGATGCCGACCTATCTAAAGAATTTGCTGGAAGCCGATTGTCGAGCATCGCAGTTGCGTGTGTTGGCTGAAGGACCTCCAATTTACGTGAAGGTGGATTGTATTATTGCGAATTGAACATAGGAGAGCTCAATCTTTCCCTGCCCTGATGGCGAGCATGTTGAGAAATTGTGGTATTCGAGCACCCAGCAAGAGAAGTCATCAAAGGTGGAGGTAGGAGTGAGACAGGAGCGTAATGTTCAGGGTTGTTTAGAAGGAGAAGAGCGAGAAAAGTGGTGGAACGAGATGAAAGAGATTTTGTCATTAACAGAGCAAGAGATCAAGGAGAGAGAGGCCATGTTCGGAAAAGCTTCGCCGTCGAGCAAATCTTAATCAATGCGCAACAGCTATTCGATTTTTTAATGTTTTGCACCAATCGCAATGAAATGAGACGTAGTACTCATTGAAATGACGTAAATGAAACTCCCAAATAATCCTTAAATCGTCGTGCCTAGGACCGAAGGTGATATGGGACAATTGGAAAGTAGTGCTTTTGATGACGACGATATTACGGAATCGACTGTACTGCAAGGTGATCGTTCCGTAAATGGAATCGTGCGAGCAATCAAGGAAGGAAGAATTAAGAAGATCTGTGTACTCACCGGAGCAGGAATCTCGTGTTCCGCAGGAATTCCAGATTTCCGCTCTCCTGGGACAGGGATCTATTATAATTTGCAAGAATATAATCTACCAAATCCAGAAGCTATGTTTGAACTCGAGTTTTTCAAGCAAAACCCTGCAATCTTCTATAAATTTCTAAAGGTGAGAGTCGTTTGAATGAATAAGCGGTAGAAACTCCTTCCTGGAAAATACAAACCCACCTATGTTCATCACTTCTTGAAGTTGCTGGAAAATAAAGGTATCTTATTACGCGTCTACTCTCAAAATATCGACGGATTGGAACGCTTGGCAGGGCTTTCCGAGACTGTTTTGGTGGAAGCCCATGGCTCTTTTGCGACCGCATCTTGCATAGAGTGCGGATTAGAGTACCCCATAAAAGATCTGCGTGAATGCATTGCAAACGGTATTTATCACCTTCATGCGTAATGATCTACAGGCGGCATTCCTTACTGTTCATGTGGTGCCCTCGTGAAGCCGGATATCGTTTTTTACGGAGAAAACCTCCCTCTGAAATATACTTGGATGCATACAGCTGATATGGTTTCTTGTGATATGCTTCTAATCATGGGGACGTCGCTCTCAGTGCAGCCTTTCTGTAGTCTGATTCATAAAGTGAGAGAAAACGTCCCGCGACTGCTCATCAACAACGAGGCGGTGGGTCCGTTCCGGTTCTGTGATATGCAATGCTGTCTTCGCGATGTGTACATGCAATCGGACTGCGACGAAGGCGTGAAGGAGCTGGCGCGATTGCTGGGGTGGGAAGAAGAGCTGGAGGCGTTGGTGAAGGGAGGGAAGGAGGAAGTGATTCTGTGATGATAGTATATAGTAGTGTAATTTTAGAGAGAGGTTTGTTGGAACACACAGAGCAAATCTTTATCTTGAACACTTGGCAGGTCTTGTCATCCGAAACGGTGCAGATGATGGTTTCGTTGCCCCTGATGAAAACGTCCATATCCAGAATCAAATCCTATCCCTCAGCGTGCTTTCAATGGAGTACGCGATGGCCGTTCAGTCGAGACAGCAGTTTCCCTTCGCGTCCGTCCCACACATACACGCATCCATCCAGGCACGCCGTGATCAACACCACTTTATTCGGATGCCATTTCATTCGCACAACGCCGCCGTCGTGCTTCAATTCCTGTCGAATTCGGTTCGCCGCATAGTCGTAAATAATCACCGAGGAATTCATCGACGCCGACGAAACCCAGCTATACACAGGATTGAAAGCCACTCTACAGGAAACAAAACACTCTTCCGCTACGCTTCGACAGAGCAGTTTTCTTCCTCGTCTTTGCTTGTGTGTTCGTAGCCGCTAAGCACCTTGGACTGATCATTTTGGATCGATTTCCTACCTTGTGTGTCTTCAGATTCGTCAATCGAACGCTTCCATCGCGTCCTCCGCTCACACAAAGCGAGTTCTACGATTCATTCAGTTCGTCTTTTTCTCACTGTTGCAAACAGATCGATGCACTCCACGCCTCCCTGATGCCAATTGTTTCTACATTGAATCAATTCTTTAACCATACTCCTCCGCCTTGATCGAGTGCATCATCTCCTTGTTCTTCAGATTCCACAGCTTCAGCGTGTTGTCCAGCGATCCCGTCACCAGCATCTACCATCGCGCTTCCCTTCCAATCCCACCTTTCCCGAGGGAGTGATCGCACTGCACGTCACGTTATCGGTGTGGCCAGAGAACAACTACGTCTTAGCGACTTCCTCTTCATCTACGGCTTGGGATTGGCCATCTGGAATCCGCCAGCACCAAATACTGAAATCGTTTCCAGCAGCGAGCAGCAAATTGCCCTGCGATTGATGCGTCTCTTTGATTCGTTACTCTGGGATGGAACTTCATCCATTCTGGCTCTTCGGGACCTTGGATCTCGGTCACTTTCTTACAAGAATCGGTTTTCCAAACGAGAATCAAGCCATTCATGTCCATCGTGGCACAGTACTCTCCATTGTAGTTGAAACTCACACAGCAAACACTGTCCTAAACCTCAGGCGATGAGCAGAGAGCTACACTGTGTCCTTCAAGCTCGTGGACATCGTCAGGCTTCTCGTAGTTAAACAGGAAAGCACGATTATCTTGTCCACCGGATAATACTTGATTAGGATGTGTAGGATTGAAAGCACAGCAGAACACAGAATCAGTGTGCTTCTCGAAAGACTAGAAATAGGTGTGAGAGAAGAACGCTACGAAAATTGAATCACGAACAAACTCTTCTTCCTCTTCCTCTTCCTCTTCCTCTTCTTCCTCTTCCTCCTCTTCTTCTTCTCCTCCATTCTCTTTTGCTTCCTTTTCCTGACGTACTTGCAATTAAACAATCAACAAAATACTACATTCCTCCTCTGCTCTTTCCAGGAAGTCATCAACATCCATTACAACATAATCTAGTGCTTATATAAGATATTTAGATTATACTATCGTCATCTAAATCAATTACTTCGTCTTCATCTGTGATCTCCACCCCTACCATATTATTCTCACACAATATTATATTTCTACCTTCTATTTCTTCATCTGAAGTAGAAGGCGCAGTTTCGGAAGGGTTCTCGTAAATTTCTGGTTCTGTGGTGTTTTCCTAATAGATGTATATAGGATATTGCTCTGTACCATTCTAGCGAATACAGACTTCAATGGAGAGTGAGTGAAGGAAAATGTGTGGTAAGAGCGGGTTTAGAAGGCAGAATGTTATTGCTATGTACTTGAATACCATTCTGATTGGAATACTTTTCTCACAAACACCAAACATGAAACTAACACTTCAAGCAACATATCATAATACAAGGAAAGTGATCAGCCCAGCCAAAGGCCGCTACTACATTATTCCTACATCTCACACAACAAACCATTCATCCCACTCTACTCATAATCATCCTCTCCATATATAGATTTCTTCTTGTGACTACGCTTCGTTCTGTGAATTGGAGAATCCTCACTTGATCTAGACAACAAGAACGAACAAAAGAAGGTACAAAATCGATCTTACGTCATCATCCATTGGTAAATTGATCGCTGGAGAAGAGTGGGAGGAAAGAGAAAACAATCGATCATCACGAGATAAGTGAGATCGTCTGGTAATGATTTGAGACCTAAAAATGAATTTCTATACGAATGAAGCTTGCCTTTCGTTAAAACCTTCGAAGCCACGAATAATGTTCCAGGTTGGGCAGTCCTCCTGTAGATATTTTGTTTCTTGCATCATGATTTTATTTTCCAGCGTGCTGAGCGAATCGTTCAACCTTCTACGAAAGTCACCTTCCTCGCTTTGATCTTCTACTTTGTTTCATTCACGAGCATGACCAACTGGTCCTGGTCGTTTCGAAAGTCCTTGTCTTCCATCAATGGAATTTGTGAACAAACAGTCCTTTATTCAAAGAGTACATTCAATTGTTCGTAAACTGCATTTACGATTCCCCACGAGATCAGCGCTCTGCAGAAGTTCACTTGGGCACCATTGTACAATCCAAGAAAACGACCTCGCTGTCTACAAGATCGTCATTTCCTTCCAAGCCCACTTCACGATATCTCGAATCGCTTTCACCACCGTATACCGACTTCGATGAACTGCCTCCTACCCATCACTCCTCCTCCTCCTTCGTGGCTTACCTTTTGAATCTGCACCGCCGCAGCGCTGAACGGGAAGGAAATCGTGCTGACGCACGCTCCCAGCACGGCTCCACTCGCGAAATCACACAGCGTGGGTGAAGGAACCGTTTGCAAGCAGACAAAGGAATAAACAAAACAGACAACAATTAGATAAGCAAGCAAGCAAATAAGCAAACAAGCAAACAAGCAAACACACAAAGGAATAAACAAAACAGACAACCAACCAAACACACTCTCTCATCATCACAACAATCCAAAACAGAAGGGGGATATAAGCTGCAAGCGGGGGAGGAGGACTGAGGGAGAAGGCGTTTTAAGGGATCGCGGAAAAACAAAAACAGGCCACTACCGATGCAGTTGCGAAGAGCTACAGCGCTGCAGGTAAAACGAACAATCAAAGAAGACGAAAAGCCGGTGAAGGACTCGCGAAGACCTAATTGATGGCAAGCATCAAAGAAATTAGTGAAACGGGTGTTGTAGCGAGGAATTTGTAACAAGGTTTGAACGCGTTCAAACGGGGTCAAAAGAGCTTCGGTGAGACCGGAAAGAGAAGAGGCCGCCAAACGAATCCCAACGGTTTCAGCAGCCTCCGGGCTAGGATCGAATCGATGAAATGCAACGTACTCTGAAACCCTCCTTTGAGCAGAGAGAATACTGTGACGGTAAAAATCATACGTTCCGAACATTAACGAGGTGCTCAGTGTCTTTTGCATGATCGGAGCGCCGATACCCCGGTATCTTAGTATCAACAAATTCGAAAACGCACACAATAGACGGAAACCTTCATGATACAGAGCTTTGCCTACGGACAGCATTCCGTTGCCCGTAAGTTGCTGACGAAACATTACTTTATTAATCGGGAAAGTAACTAGCGGATAATCCGACACATCTTCGCATTACAAAGAATGTTAACAAAAGCAGCTGTTCCTCCTCGAACAAACTCATCGGTCCTTGGCAGGCCCATGAATTGTGGAACGAGGAGGTGAACGTTATTTCGAGAATTCTTCATCAACTACAAGGCTAGTAAATCCCAGTCACTCCTACAAAGCTAGAGGTACAAACGCACCTATCCCAAAATACGGATCCAACTTTATTATAACAAACATATCCCGTGGTCAACCACAATGATTTTCTCTAACCAGTTTACCAGTCGTCGTCATCATCGCCGAACAGACCACCTCCGCTCATATCGATGTCTTCCTCTTCCTCTTCCTCCTCCTCCTTGACCTCCTCAGCGGGAGCAGCAGCCTCAGCAGCAGCAGGGGCAGCGGCCACAGCGAAGGCCGAAGGATCGGCCAGGAAGGCCTTGAAGGGCTCGGCCTTCTCGAAGGAATAGGACATTCCCTCGGACACCACGATGGCGACCATCTTGCGGAAGGCGCTGTTGAGCGAGTGAGGCAGCGAAGCCAGAGTGGGATATCCCATGGACAGCGAGAGCGCAGCCAGCTTGTTGACTCCGTTGAAGAACTTGCTCATGATCTCCTTCTCGGTCAGATCCAGCACCACAGGGTCGTAGATCGCACCGTCGTCGTAGACGTGCTTGATGTGCATTCCGTAGCTGAAGGGGTGGATGTTCAGCTTGTCCAGCAGGGCAGCCTGACCGGGCTGCACCTTCTGACCAGCGAGGATCAGAGGCACGTCGTTGATAATTTCAATCTGACCACGGTTAATCTTGGTGGCAATGTTCAGAGCCTGGAACCAAGAAGTCTGGCCGGGATCGCAACCGGTAGGTCCAGCAGGCACAATGACGTCCACATGGGCAACCACACCCACACGAGCGGGAGCAGGCACCTTGTTGTTGAGAATGATCTCACGAACGTTGGCCATATCTCCGTTCACGAACACCAGACCCACGTTTCCATGGACCAGGGGAATCAGCTTCTCAATGGGGTGTCCGGGATGCTCCTCCACGAACTTGTTCATGCAGCGGCGGATCATGGTCTTCTTTCCGAACAGAAGAAGGGCCTGACCACGCAGAGCCTTACGGATATCAGCAACCTGCTTGGAGGTGACGTGCTTGATCTCCACGACGAAGATCTTGTTGTACTCCTCAAGAATTTGATGGAGCTTCTGGAAATAGAGAGCTTTCTTTTGTCTAGCGGACATTGTGGGGATAGTTGATCAACAGTCAAAAATCGGTTTAACCACTACATGGAGGGTGAGAATAGGCATATAGCACAACAGAAACTTACCTTTTATGAAAATGGATGGATGGAAAACAATTGGGACTTTCGGCGCACACGGGCCCTATTGAGTGAAAAATGAAATAGGGTCCATTTCTCAAAGAGCACAACAGACTGTGTAAACAAACAAGTAGAAACGAAAAAGTATCTGAAAAACCGTAAACGCCACACTCCCCTTAGTGATTGCGATACCAACGCTGAGTTGGACTCTCCAAAGGAGACATAAACTTATCTCCAGCCGTAGAATTCTGGTGCGATGCAGATGCACTGATCGACTGTAAGTTATCCACAAAGGGGTCGTGCACCGAAACGCGTCTGTAAAACCTAGCTCTCATTGCAACCACTCAAATGGTCACCTGCACTTCCGAGTAATCAAATCTGCGACCCAAATGCAAACATACCAAACAATGACCAAACCCACAAAGAAGGCAACAATTGCACCGAATGGGATATTCCACGAGCACTTTTCACACATGACACCCCGACAGTTTGAAGTACAAACACATTGATGACTGTCCGGATTACAGTAGCCATCGTTTAGACATGTCACATTACACAACGCTGGCTCCACTACAAATCATTCTTTTGTGAGGAAAGTACATGGTTGTTCATTTTCCTGAGCAGCACACACCAGAGATAATACGCATAATGAATACAACAGAAGTTTCATTCTGAACTACAAATAAAAAACGTTCTGCGAGAAAAATGATTCACTGAAACCCATAATGATAAAATTGGATAGTGATTAAAATATTGGAAAAGAGAGAAAGATTAGTTAAGACTGTACTCGAACAGGATCATTTCTATAGTACATTCTTTCTCTTTATTTATCTAAAAAGAGACCAACTAACAACTTTGATGATTTGGAATAGCTTCTGAGCCGGAATTGGGAGGAGAGTAGCATGATGACTTCGGTTGTCGTTGCTACAGCGAAGAACGTCGGCTGTACTGTTCAAACAGCTTGAGGTTCAGAAGCGTTATGAAAAGTTGTCTTTTTTAAACGAAGCAAATCAAAAATGCAAACATCCATAGTGGACGAAACTTCGAATGTGTGGAGCAACTCGTTGCCTCCAAGCAAAGAAATCGTCTCGTGAATTTGAGAAAACAGTTTGACAACTAGCATTTCTTCAGAGCACTCACCTAGAAAGCACAGAAATGGATTGTTTCACACGCAGCATGATCCAAACTCGAATTCAGAGAGTGGGGAAGAGGATTCGGATAATGCTTCGCAATCAGTGGTTTTAGAGGTGAAGAATGCTCACAAAACTTATCTTCTTGGACTGGAGGGCGTTCCAGCAATTCGAGGAGTGGATCTGTGTGTCCACCGAGGTGAATTCGTTATCATCGTGGGCAAATCAGGCTCTGGAAAGAGTTCCCTGTTGAACATCCTCGGAACTGTCGATAGTCCCACCCGGGGAGAGCTCTCCATCGCAGGATATACATTCCATGACAAAGTGAGCGATCGAATCGTGTCCCAGATTCGATTAAATGCTATCGGGTTCGTCTTCCAGACATTTAACCTTATTCCTGGAATGACCGCAGCGCAAAACATCGAGCTCCCCTTGATTCTGAAGGGCGAACTCACACGCAGTCAGCGTCGTGAAGCCGTCGACGAGCTGCTTCAGCGTGTAGGAATGGCAGAGCGCCGAGATCACTACCCATCGCAGCTCAGCGGAGGCGAGCAGCAGCGTGTTTCAATCGCTCGCGGACTGGCGAACAGGTGAAGACGAGCTAGAGAAATGAATCGTAGTCCAGACTTGCTGTTACTGGATGAGCCAACGGGAGATTTAGACACGTTGAACACAATTCGAATAATGAATTTGCTTGGCGAGTAAAACACTAAAGGAACGACATCTTACAACGCAATGTTATCTTTCCCCATTTCTTCACTTGTGGAATACACTGCTGAATAAAACATTGTCAAGCACATAGCAATCATTTAGTCACTGAAAATAATGTGAATGGCAACATAATGAAAACATAGTTGTATAAAAATCAATAGGTTAAACAGAATGAATATATTATAACAATATTGAATGGAGAAATGATACTTGATGGTAATGTAACTTCATTAAAGGATTTTAAGGGTAATTATAGTATGGGTGTCTCCTGCTAGTTAAGACCAGAAGTGAATGCATTTATACGTTGTAATGAGGTAATAATATTATGTAAATAAGAATTATGTCATTTTCAGGTTATTTTGTTGTTAGTATAATTCTAAACGTTGCTTATCAATTATGCCTGCTACCACTATCGGTGTCTCTAATTTAGCTAGGGTACGACGGTTTACTCAACAAGACAGTAATGAAGCACTCACTTCCATTCCTGGATCTAATATAGTCTATGGAAAGCGTGGTAGAAAAGAAGGAATATTTCATAAAAGGGGGAATAATTACTCACTTATTCGAGGAAAACGTCTATTAACTGGTTCCTCGTATTATTATATTGGAAGCGAACGAACAAGAGATGATGGATTACTAATTTATCCAACTATACCCAAAGTAATCTCTTTGTATGAAAATGATAAACTAATTTACAAAGGTGGGATTAAGGATGGTTTGTACCATTGGGCATGGAACAATTTACAAAGACGGAAAGCCTGTTTTTGAAGGTCATTTCGAAAATGGTAAGAAATGTGGAGAAGGCTGTGAATTTGATGACAACGGATTATTTATAAAAAGAGAATACAAAAATGATCAGATTACTGGCAGTTCTTCTGAAGACCAGGAGTATAGAAGAAGTATCAATAAGTTAAAGAAATCCTTTGAAAAGAAAAATCCAAAGTTGCATATTGCAGATATCACTTATTGCGACTTTATAGTTCAAAGAAAGAGAGATCCAAGATTCCAGGAATCTCCTATGGTCTTCTATGGATATGTAACAAAAGAAGGAGCACATCGAGTGATCGGAAAGGAATTCAAGGTTACTGGATATGATCATTTTGAAGGTATTTATGATGAGCAAGGTAGATATTATTATGGAACGTTGTGGTGTGATTCCAATGTTCGTTTTGAGGGATCATTTAAAAATGGAAGAATGAAGCACGGAAAGATCTATATAACGAAGGTTTTGCTGTATGAAGGAGATGTTAGCGAGGATGGTCAGATGCATGGACAAGGTCATTTGTATTATACCAGTAAAATGAATTCTACTCCTTTTGTGCAATATGAGGGCTCGTTCCAAAACGGAAAACCGGAAGGATTTGGGAAGGTGTATTACAACACAGAGAACGAAGAAGAAAAGAGAATCAAGTACTGCGGGTATTTTAAGAATGGCTTGTTTGATGGAGATGGGATTTACTTCTCCAGAGACTTGAGTTATTGTTGTGGAACGAGCTACGAATGGAACAAAGCGGAGGCCAAGACATTTGGGACGAGAAGCGACAAGAATGAAGTTGCAGATATTATGAAAGCATGTAGTACTATGAGCCAAGCTGAATTCGATTCTCTTTCACACAAGTATAGAACTGCTGGTACAAATCCTGAAGGAGGTTGGAAAGAAGGAGAACTTGATGGACTAGTCAGAATTACCTCGAAAGAACATTCTTCTTATTTGGTAAAGATGGTTGATCGCAAGCCGACATTTGTATGGGATATGATGATAGATAATAAGAAATATACTGGAGAAGTGATAACCGATGATAAAGGTGATATTTCTTTATTATATTTCAAAGTTACTTTTACAAGATACGATGTCGTATTTGATGGATGGAAATACTCCGATATAATGCGAGATAAAAGAGGTCAATTATCAGGCTCCATCTATTATAATAAGAGAATGTTGTATTGTGGAACGATCAAGAATTTTGAACCGAATGGAGAAGGACAATTATTCGAAGGAAAAGGTCAAAAGTATGCTGACGGTATTTTTGATAATGGAAGAATGACGCACTGCAGATTGGAATATAATAATTATAAATATGAATTAGAATCGACAAATTGGGACTGGAAGAAACCTGAAAGTTGGAAATTAAGCGGAAACGGAAAATATTACACATTGGTAGAAACTTCTAAACGACCGCTACCTGAGTATTACCTTGTTTATGAAGGCGCTATGGTAGAAGGAAAGATGGAAGGTAAAGGAAAACAATATGAAGGTAATCCTGGATTTCAGCAAATCGAGAAATGTAATGCTTATGATACAATCA